TAACTATAATAATAAGGCTTTAAATATTAAAAGAATAGTTAAAGTAGAAAATAAATAATATTTATAAGATCTTACCTTTTAATTTAATACTACTTTTAGCTATATAGCCTATATATATTTTATATATACTTTATTTTAGGATAAATATAAATAACTAATATAATAAAATAAAATAAGTAATACTTATAAGTAGCTTAAATATACTTATATATATTTTAGGTGCCTATTTTTAATTTACCTAGTTACTAAGTATTTATAGTAGCCCTAAAATAGCCTATAAGTAGGTATAAGTAGACTATAAGTAAATACCTATAAGTATCTTTAAGTCTACTTAATATATCCTTAGGCTACCTAATAGATAGGGACGTAAAAGTATAGTTTAAGAGGCATAGCCTACCTATAAATATATTTATTTTTAGATAGAGGCAGCAGTAACCTCTTTAACCTTAAAGTATGCTTCGAATAGACGGTTAGCCTTAGTAGTAACCGGAAGCTATAGGTTACGTGGGTTAGCTACTCCGTCGCTAGCTCTTAAATATATACCTATAAATACCGCTTAACGAGGTAAAAGTAAAATGCTCTAACAGATGCTTCTATTAGTGCGGATTATAGCTGATTCCCGGGTCTTCGCTATCTGACACGTTCCTGCTATAAATTTAGTGGGTAGCCCTAGCTCTGGTGGCCTCGCCTGCTCCAGGCCGCCTCGACCGCCTCGATTTAGTGAGCTCCTACGAGAATAGCGGTCGGGGGCCGCGAGGCGCTATTAACAGATCTCTACTTCGTAGTAGAAACTAGCTTGTCTAGTCTCTCTCTAGCAATCCTCACGTCCAGGTAGGCGCTTCGTCTGGCTATAGTGACTAGGGCGGGACTAAGCTAATGCATATACGCCTTAACTATCATACTGCCAAGCAGACCATTCTGCTTCTTAGGCTGTCGCAAAGACCATTGTGCCACGAAGGTAAAAGTGGAATGCACTCCGACAAGTGCGCTACAACTGACGCATATCTGACGACCGCATCTTCCGAGACAGGCAGACTAAAAGACAAGGTCCTTTAGTGTATAAGTCCCTGCACATAGAAATGGGCACCCCCCTGTTTTGGGCACCCCAAAAAAATCACGACCATTTTCAACACCATTAATTCAATCCCTTCTCACTGCCCACCACCGTGCACTACGATACAATCGTCACCTATTTCTGAAACCTCAGCTTCGGTTTCATCAGATTCTTCATTCTCAGCTGCGTTCACCTCCTCCTGCGCCCGTCGTATTGCCTCAATATTGGCGAACCTCGAATTCGGGCTCGTGACCACCCTCTTCCTTTTTTTCGGCTTGACGGCCGCCAATTGTGTTTCCAGTGCCTGAATCTGCAATTGAGCTTTTGCTAAAAGGCCATCCTTCTCGTCAAACCCTTTGTGATCTTCCTGAACAGCAATCTCTTCGTGGGCACGTCGTCGTCTAGCTGGTTGAATTGAACTACCTGAACCTTCAGATCTTGCGAGCGCCTCGGGTCGACCACGCAATCTGGGATGTGTCTGATTGCCAGTCACTGGTGGGTAAGTGGCTATTGAATGCATTGGCCACATTTTTCGCGTTCTTTTTGCGTCTGTTGCTGTTCTCCAGCAGAAGAGGGCTCAAAGTGGCTTCGCCATCGACACCGGCCACAAACCCGTCGCTTTCCAGCCACCCTTGATGTTTGACACAGTGAGCGCTTGCTCGCGTGCTTTCTGGTAGCAGGAAAGAAAGTTTTGCTTGCCGACTGGGCTTGAATCGGTCAGGAGGCTGAGAAATCCGACCTGTTTGCGGTAGTAGTGCTTAAGAGCGGAGAAGACAGACAAATCGAGCGGTTGCAACACATGAGAGGTATGGGAGGTAAGAAAAGAAGGTGAATCTGATGCTGGTAGCATAGATACATGAAGTCAACCGTCTCGTGACTTCCGTGGCCGTCCAATACTAGCAGTCTTCGCTCCGAAGGGTCGGGTGGCTGGGTTCTTGGAATGAACACCTTTTCGAGCCACTCCACCGCAGTTTGGTCCGAAGTCCAGCCGTTCTTTGTCGCAGTGAATTGCCAGTCACTAAAAGTACTGAGATCTTCTGGGAACCACTGTTGCTGGACCGATTTGCCCTTGAAAATGACGAGTGGAGGGAGGAAGGTGCCGGCAGCGGACACGCACTCGATGAACGACGTCCAGACCCGAGAACCAGGCGTCTTCTTTTGTACAGATCGTTTTTCAGCACTGCCAACGACCAGGCCATTCTCCCCAAGTCCTTCCATGATGCCTGCTTCATCCATGTTGTACCTGTTCTCCGGCTTAATAGCCAGAATCTCGGGAAGGAAGAAATTGTTGAACCAAGGCCGAATTACCTCGGTAGAAGCGCCGTTGACACGCGCAGAGTCTCTGTGATGGCACTTCTGGGTCCGAACTGCAGGATTTCGTCTTAAAAATGCTTGCATCCAGTGTTTTCCGAGCGGTGTGTGGTCTCCTTTGACGGCGAGCATGCGCTGCGCGAACTGCCTGATCTGCGAGTGAGTGGGAGGAAGGCCCAAGGCGTCCTGAATGAGAATCCATTCGGTAAGTTGCTTTTCCTGTGTCTGAGAAAGCCTCTGAAGAGCAGAAAATGCATCCTTTCTGCATTCGTGACCATGCATGCGATTGTAAAGAGTTGCCCTCGGACGCCCCAATCGCGAGCAGCCTTCTTGGCGGATCCGCCATTGGCGATTGCCTCAAGGGCGCTGTGAATGTCAGACTCTGTATATTTCATCAGTAGTGGCTTGAAGACACATGCGTCAATTTTTTAGCAGATTGGATGCGTTTCCGCGGTGAAATTTGCTGTTGAAGTTGACGCAGCCGTTTAGGTTGGGCACCCATCTTGGGTGCCCAAAACAGGGGGGTGCCCATTTCTATGTGCAGGGACTTAATACGCCCAAAAGGGGAAGATTAGCAGCGTAGTAAGAATATTGATGGATAGAAGACAACATTCACGTAGGGTTGGCCCCGACTTCTTAGTAAATTAGAATAATATGCCGTCTTCTTGGCCTTCAGCGCTACAATATTATCTGTTAATCCATCATGGATCATACTGCCGTGCCGGACTTAGAGGGCCTCAATTGGCAGCGAGACAATTTGGGCTTTATGTACCTAGTATAAGCTACCTTGCTATTGCCCTTCCTTCCCTCTTAGCCGCATGCGCTATAGCCCCCACTCGTCTTAGTCTGCCCTTCAGGCAGAGTGGTCTGCTTGGTAGTCAAGGCGTCTTTATACAGCATAGGCTTGGTGGTGGCCCCACGCAGACTTGCAAATAGATAAATCAAATCAAATCCGGGGTCCAATTTGATTTGATTTGGATAGCAAAATCATGGATCTGATTTGATTTGATTTGATTTGAATCGATTTGGATCTCATTTGGATATCTGGATAGCCCCACTTTTTTCCCACGACAAAATACATTGAGCCGCTCCTATAAGGTCCGCTTTGATAAGGTCCGCTTTGAGGCGGCCTCTCTGAGCTGCGGCCATCTGTCCGGCAAGGCTAAATATTCTCTCCGGCTCTGAAGACATCGCCGGAATGGAAAAGAGGTCGATTGCCATTCGCGACAGGCGTGGATATTGGCGTCTGCGGAGAAGCCAGTACTGGATGGGATTGTCCACAAGACAATCGCCCGGATCGGTACTGCCCACCCATTCTGCGTACTCGTCACGCATGGAGGACGGTGAGGGCGCAGGTTGGGCGCCAAGTTTCCTAATTGAGGTCATGAAGTCATCTAGGTCCGTTGTCTTCCTTGCAGCTGTGGGCTCCTCGGGTATCGTATCTTGCTCGACCGCGAGGGTTCGGTACTCCTCCCATATGCGCCATTGCAGCAGTCAAGTGCAGAGCTGTCCCATTTTGGCCATCGGCTACAAATATCTCCCCCCGTAATATGGCAGACGCACCCAAAGATATATTTCACGATCAAACGTGTCAGGTAAAACACAAAAAGAAAGCTTGGTGACACGGCCTGGAAAAGCAACTGCCCGTAATTAGCGACCACTCTAGGCCAGGCAGGGCTGGCTCCCCAAAACTATTGGCCCAGGTCGCCATTGTGGGGCGTATCCAAATAATCAGATATCCAAATAAATTTGGGTGTTGCGATTTGATTTGATTTGATTCAGCGCAGGGGCAATTTGATTTGATTTGATTTGGATAAATTTGATTTGATTTGATTTGATTTGATTATGATTTATCTATTTGCAAGTCTGGCCCCACGTGTGGGACGCCCACCGCCAAGCCTGTCGTAGCTTGGCCAGTTTCTTAGGGTATCACGAAGCCGCCCCTCAGACGTCAACCAAAAGAAATGGGCAACTCGGCCCCACAAATCTCCGTGGCTGGTGTCTGTTGACTAATGGAGCCCTCGTTGCTAGACCATAGAGGGATACAAAGAGGGTCAATACCTTGACAGGGGTAGCTTCATTGCCAAGTATCAAAGACCTCGACGACACCTAATAGACCGGTAAAAAGCCCGGAATTTAGGGTCTCGCTGGACCTCCAAGATGTCTCTTTTACTTCTATTAAAATAATGCCTTGAGGTTATCCACCTTTGCTTGTGTAAGCATCCTTCACTTCCGTACATGTTCTCCAACGCCTGTTTGAGAGTGTCTTTGCTAATCGGCATGTTGACCGTGTTCGAGCGTAACCGATAACGATGGTGCCGTCTTCAGTCCATAGATCCTTCTGCACTTAGTATCCCGAGCCTTTACCTCTGACTTGCGATGATTCAATATGATGCGATTGCTGACGGGCCGATAGCTTGCCCACCCCGGCCATCCAGTTGAAGTCCAGGGGTATGTGGGGCTGTTCACCTGGCTCGTCGTCCAGTACGATGACATAGTCGGGCAGAACAACCACATGATAGACGAGGCGCTTCTTTTCCACCAGCGATTTTTTCGAGGCGAGACCCAGCCAAACAAGCTCCTCGAAGGAATTGCAGACTTGATTCGAGAGGCTCATAACCATTTTGATCCTGTCATGGCGAATTTGCTACAGATCTCTGTCCTCAAGTTTCTGACGAGCAACTTGCTGGAGCGACACGCAGGTTTCCAAAACATGCTTGTCACGAGAGAAGGCAGACAGTTTCCCGGGTTCTACAGAGACATGTCAGGTATGAACGTAGCTTATGCAGTGTTCTGCTACCCCAAAGCGCTTTATCCCGACGTTGGTGCCTTCTTGGAAGCGATCCCAGATATGGCTAAATTCATCGATATCTCCAACGACGTGCTATCGTGGGTAGCCCACCCTCTATTTTGAATAACTTCCTAAGTTAATGTCTGAACAGCTTCTATAAGGAAGAAGTTGGTGGGGATACGAGGAATTATATAAATAACCGTGCTAAATGCACAGGAAAGCCACTCCTTACCGTTTTAGGAGAGGTAAATGAGGAGACAATAGAGTCTGCAAGACGGGTCGAGACGATTCTCAAGGATAGGGGGAAATATGCACAGTCCTGGAGCGATAGTGTCAGAGGCTACATGGCGATGCACACCACAAATCCTCGGTACAAACTCGAGGACTTGGGTTTAGGTGAGGAGCACCCCTTGGCGCCTTTTGAGCACAAAATAGGTCAGTTCTTTAAGCAAATGAGCACATGATTTCGATTTCGATTTCGACAGTGCGTTGGCATAACTCGTACGGGTGCGAGGTACGAGTTGCGGACTCGGCGCGACCTGATCAGCCTGACAATACGCAGGCCAGCGGAGACTTTTTTCAGCTTTGGCCACCAACATGACGCACATGTGCCAGAGAAAGCCGTTGGGTTTGTGAGTCGACCTGATTCAGGCAGGTGTTGGTCGACGCTTTGCCAACACTCGGGTTCGACAGTCCGGTTCGACGCGCGCATTGTTGTAAATTCGGGATACTCAGTCGCCCGATGAGGCCGGCAAAACACCATGGTTGGAAGCAAGGCCTTTTGAATGCATGCAAAAGCATATGGTAAGCTTCAAGGGACACAGAAACAGAAGGGCCCGAACTGGGGTCATCACACGCAGTATTTCGCTGGGCTCCCCCCTCGTGAGAAACGAACACAGCACCAGATGGTTTGGCTGGCGCCGTGCCGGAAACTGTCTTCATCTTTGACGACTGTGTTCAAGCAAGTGCATCAACGGCTCCGAGCACGAGCATCAGGGCTTCGAGTACCAGTACCTCCCGCCTAGGAAATGGAGGGCGCTGATGTGGAAACAAATGATCCGCTCATGTCGGCGGACATGGAAGACGGACCATTAGAGGAATTTGCACATTCTGGGTCACGGCGACCATCTGACGAACGCAGTGTGGTGTTTGTCGTCCTTGGGGTCTTGATGGGAGCCGTTGTGTCATGGAGAGCAGTGATGATTCGAGGGTCCCTGTTAACGAGCAGACATGCAAGAAGTTGCTATCCACGTATTGTGAGTGCACTGCTATGGCAAAAGACAGGTGTTACTAACACGAGTCACTTGACAGCCCTAGCACTATTATAACTCGAGTACGAGGAATATATATGGGAGAATGACTTTGATCAGCAAGACATTTACCGCGGACTACCGACGGCTGAATAAGATGCGGCATGAGCTAAGGACATGATACGGCCATGCACGTATAGCACTTAGGACACAAACGAAACAATCCCAGCAGGCCTCACCACTTCGTCGCGCACAACTCTACGGACCATGTCGACCACAGCATCACGACGCTTCGCCTCGCCATCACATGTACGGGCGACGCGACACCGGTTCTCATGAAGCGAGACGCCAGCAAGGTCATGAATATGCTTCCGAGCATGCGGACAGTGCACAAGAACCGGCGGTTCGACAAGATCCAGGAGTAGTTCAAGGACGCCTCGTACACTAATTGGGAATACATACAGCAAGGAGGAGGTGATGCGACATAATCCCGAGTCGACTCAGGCGTCCGATGCAGAAGAAGAATGGAGTCAAGAGACAGATGGCGTAGCTCAGTGTGTAGACATGATCAGTATCAAGCACCCACCTCAAGCTTTTCTGCTGGGCAGCACGGCGGTCGGTACTGAACATCCCCATGCCCCATACAAATTCCATGATGGCTTCGTAACACTGCGACAATTCGATGCCAGCTGTCAAGTCTATCGTCTACCTACCCAGTCGGCAGCAGGCTCGTCGCGGGCGCTTTTCGATGATGTCGTGGCCGGGAGAGATGGGGGTGGATTGAAGCGTCGAAGCGGCTAGACAGGGCCAGTCCCAGCTGCCACAATTAATGCCGGCTAGCTAAGAAAGATGCCGTACACTTTGTTCCTCTTGACGTGAGGTTTCTTGAGTGAGGTGAGGCGACGCAAATCGTGTTTCAGCAGAGATATAAGCTACAATTATTTATGTCTCTGTCACATACGGCCATACCTGTGAGGAAGCACCCGCTCTCGTCTGCTCGCGGTTAGTTAAGCTCGCAAGGGGCAGATTAGTAGTTGAATCGGTGACGGTCAGCGAATACCGGCTGCTGTATGTTTTTAGACAATTTTTTTTGGTGGAGATGGCTTGGATGACGGTGGCGCAGTGATTAGTTATGCAAGCGGAGAAGGGAGGCATCTCCATCCTGCAGTCTGCGTAAGTTAGTAAGCGTTGCGATACTTTCAACTGCGCATCCATTGCCAGCGTGAAGCACCGGGAAGGCTCGTGCCGGAACTGTCCAGCCGAGTCCATGCCGTCGTCCATCGATCATGTGGCTCGGTGAATTGCTCTGAACAGGTTGTATGCCGAAATGCGCACGAAGAACCATGGTTGGAACCTCGACTTAACGCAGCCATAGCACATCAGTTCACCCTCTGTCGTCAGCACCGGTTACAAGTCCAGCATAAGACACCCTGTAAGTTACACACCACCAGCGGGGTCCACGATTGTGCACTTCAGGCAGCTGTTGCCGCGACTGGGCAGGGGAGTTAAAAGCCCACTTTTATTGGATACATGAGACTGTGTGGGAGGCAGCTACAGCATCTACAGCTAATTATCTGAAACTCCGAAAGGTGGTCAGAAGTCTACCGTCCATTTACTCTGTGCCATAAAACATCACGATCTCCTGGCTTTACTCTTTCTACCGCGGCACTCCGTTATTTTTGTGATGAATGCATCCTACCTAAGCTCGCCCCAGTTAAGCTGACTGTATTTGTTAGATTGGATCATCAATGCATGCTGCTGAGCAGAAATCAGGCCGCTGGATGGCTGCTGGATGGCTGCTGGATGGCTGATGGATGGCTGATGGGTGGCTGGTGGGATGGCTGAGCTCGTTGTGGCTAATAAATGAGGCTGGAGGTGTGTCCGGAACGGAAATTTAGCTGTACCGAGTCCCATTTGAACTTCTATCGACGTGATGGACCGCCTTTTGGTGCCTTCGGCCCTTTTTATCGTTATCTCCGCCACCCATGGAGGAGACTCTACCACTCCTTAGGGGACGGATCTCCCTGGAAGATGCTCTGAAACAGGATATCGATATCATTCGAGAGTTGTCCTACCCAGAGAAGCGATATCAGCTCTGGTACCACCTCTATACTCAACGCCAACAAATCGCCGAGGTTGTATCGCGACACTTGAACATATCACAATCTGATTTTAGCCTTGGTGAAGTTAAGGAGTGGATACATGGCAATTTTAATGCCTGTATTCCTATTCATATTGTCCGGAGCCCTCATACTTTCGGTCTTCCTCCCCGTGCTATTATTCGGTTTCCGCTTCCATATAAGCTTGGCGAAGCCTTTCGCCCCGGAAATGTCGACGAAAAGCTGCGCTCAGAGGCTGCCACATACATTTGGCTGCAACAGAACTGCCCCGATATGCCTATACCTCGACTCTTTGGCTTTGGTTTTCCTGGCACGTAATCGGTATGTAACGCTGGCCTGGCTAGCCCACCATCTATTGATTGAGCGTTTAGTTTGCTGCGGTCAGTCGTGAGCCGTTCTATAACCGTGCACTATGGTTTGCCCGTCGCGCTATAGCATGGATATTCGGTCGTTCGCTCTCCCCTTGCGTTCCGCACAGTCGCCGCCATCTACCCGATCTTGGGTATTTGGTCCTAGAATACATCGACAATGGCAAGATGCTATCCGAGACTTGGGAGGAATCTCGCCATGACTCAGGGCGGCGCGCCAATCTCTTCAGGCATCTCTCTCGGATCATGCTCAACCTTGCAAAGCTTCCTCTCCCTAGGATCGGCTCTTGGACAATAGACGACGGTGGTGTCCTAAAACTCGCAAATCGTCCCCTTACTCTTCTCTTTCACCAGCTAGAAAATGCCGGGATCGCGACCGAAATACCCCGGGATCGTACATACACCTCTGTAGAGCCATACCTCTTAGATCTCATCACCTGCCACGACAACCGCGTACGACATCAACCTAACTCGATCCACCACCAAAGCGATGGCGAACAACAGTTGGCGGCTCTAACAGCAATGCGGGCCCTCCTCCCCAAATTTATGGACCCGCAACTTCGTGAAGGGCCATTTATCTTCTCACTAACCGACCTTCACCAGAGCAATATCTTTGTGGACGATGATTGGCATATCACGAGTATAATTGATCTCGAATGGGCATGTTCGCGACCTATTGAGATGGTTGGTCCACCGGACTGGCTTTCCGACCGGAGCCTGGAAGAAATCTTTCTCTATTTTGACGACTATGCTGCCTTGCACGACGAGTTTGTCGACGCAGTAGAAAGTGAGGGCTTGGAGCTATACCACACAAACTTCAGTGCTAAAGTCATGCGTGCCTGTTGGAAGACGGGCTCATTTTGGTACTCCCGTGCTTTGGACTCTCCAACGACTTTGCCAGCCTTATACATCGATCATATCCAGCCACGGTTTGTAAAGCTCAGTACTGCCGCATGGGCTGAGTTCAGTCATATGCTCATGGCACTATGGGATCTAGATAGCCGACCTTTTATTTCCTTCAAGGTGAGAGAGCAGGAGCAATATGACAACAAACTAAGGAATATATTCGCTCAGTCGCAGGGTGAGGAGAATGCTTCTGAGACTGGATAAGAGGGAATACGATTCATATCGATGAGATAGTCTTAGTATTAACAAATGATATCTGAGATGGGGGAGGCCATCACAGACAAGGAACGGGAGGTAGATAAGTTGGAGAAGGAGAAGCGAGAGTTGGAGGAGTACGAACAAAGCATTTGAGGTCACGCTACCAAGAACTTATCTATCCCTATGTAACTTCTCCTGCGATTCCCGTGCCTTCTTGAGCCATTCGCGATCCTGTCGAGCTTCCTCATCGGGAATGAATAATCTATTGTTTTCGGATATTGGGAGTCACGCTCGGAGTGATTGATTCGTTGCTGGACGTCAGCTTTTTCTCTTTCGCCCATCTGGTCGTGGTGGAAGATAGACCCTTCCCTCTCGTTGATCTCTAGGAGACTGAAGTGGCTCTGGTGCTGGAAGAGCGGAAAGAAGCCCACCAAGAGGCTCCGTGCTTCCGCTTGGTGGTGCCATTCTGCCATCCGCTTCGCCGCCCTCTCGAACGGACGCGGAATGGTGCTGTGAGATGGCGTCTGCCGATGGATTGGGATGGAGAAGCCGACCCGGACGAAGGCCAGTTTGTCGGACAAGTGTAGGCAGGCGAGAATGACCTCGTCGTCGAGCCACCTCATCCCACCAAGCCTTCGTAGCAAATAGTACGCCATAAGTTAATACTCTTGTTATTGGTGGATTAATTGCCAATGCCCGTGACGCCATTTGTGCGGACATGAGCCCCCAGGCTTGGATGGAGCTGGCGGGGGATGCCTGTCATTCTATTTTTACCCCCATCTAATACCTAAGTTACGTCGCCCTTGGTTAATAGAGCTTACAGTGCGTACTATGAAACAGGGAGGAGGCGTAAAACGGCCAGAGACTAACTACCTATTAGCCGTGTCACTTTGGTACAAGCATCAACTCCCGAACCAAACCCTCGCTGCCCCTCCCTCGTCCCTCTTCCCCGCAAAGGAAGCCCCGCCAAGGGAAGCGCAACTCCCATCGTCAACCACCTCGTCCGACGCCATCATGGTCGGCGTCCGAGACCCGGAGCTCGCCGACAGCGAGGCCGACGCCCAGCAATCCCCCCGCCCGCCCATGTCGGCCGACCCGCCGCGCTTCCTCATCGTCGGGGCCGGAGCCCGCGGGCGATGCTACGCCAGCGCCATCGACGGCGTCTCCAACGGCATCGTCGCCGCCGTCGCCGAGCCCGTCGCCTTTAAGCGCCATGCCCTCGGCCGCCGCCACATCTGGGGCGAGGCCGCGCAGCCGCGCGAGGGCCAGGCCTTTGCCCACTGGCGCGACTTTCTCGCCTACGAGCTGGAGCGTCGACGGAGAGCTGCTGCCGCCGGGAAGAACAAGGGCGACGTCGAGGGCAAAGCCGGCGAGGCCGTCGACGACCCTCCTCCTCCTCCCCCCGGCGTCGACGGCGTCTTCGTCTGCGTCCTCGACGACATGCACCGCGACGTCGTCGTCGGCCTCGCCCCGCTGGGCCTGCACGTCATGTGCGAGAAGCCCCTGGCCACCACCCTGGCCGACTGCCTGGCCATGCGCCGCGCCCTCGCCCCCCTGCGGCCCACGGCCGTCTTCTCCGTCGGCCACGTCCTGCGCTACAGCCCCCACAACCTCATGCTGCGCCGCCTGCTCGTCGACCAGGCCCTGATCGGCCACGTCAACAGCGCCGTCCACACCGAGCCCGTCGGCTGGTGGCACTTTGCCCACTCATTTGTCCGCGGCAGCTGGCGCAACCACCGCACCTCGGCCCCGTCGCTCCTCACAAAGAGCTGCCACGACATCGACCTCCTCCTCTGGCTCCTCTGCTCGCCCCCGGGCCCCTCCGCTGCTGGCGCCCGACAAGGCGAGGACAAGGAGCAGCAGCCTCACCTGCCCGACTTCGTCTCCTCCTCGGGCGCCGTCCAGTTCTTCAAGAAGTCCCGCAAACCCCCCGACGCCGGCGCCGCCACCAACTGCATGCGCTGCCCCCTCGGCGACGTCGGCTGCAAGTACTCGGCAAAGCACATCTACCTCGGCCCCCGCTCCGGCCTCGCCCGCGGCAACACAGAGTGGCCCGTCGATGTCGTCGTCCCGGACATTGAGGACTACCCGACCCCGGACGACCGCTCTGCCGCCCTGGAGCGCGCCCTAGAGGAAGACTGGGACGACGACACGCCCCCCGACGTGGTCCGCCGTCGCAATTGGTTCGGCCGCTGCGTCTTCGAAGCCGACAACAATGTCTGCGACGACCAGTTTGTCACAATCTCCTGGCCCGAGTCCAACCGCCCGGCCACGCGCGTCACCTTCCACATGGCCGCCCAGACCAAGCGCCAGTGCGAGCGCTTTTCCCGCTTTTACGGCGAGCATGGCGAAATCTACGCCGACTCCAAAAGGATTGTCGTCGAAGACTTTGCCTCGGGCGAGACAAAGACCTTTGAGCCCGGCCTCGAGGATCTCGGCCACGGCGGCGGCGACCTCGGCCTGACCCGCCAGTTCGTCCTGGCCTGCGACCGCGTCAAGAACCACGGCCAGCCCGCCCCAGACGCCCAGGACGAGTTCATTGGCTGCACCCTCGACGACGTCATCCGGAGCCACGCTCTCGTCTTTGCCGCCGAGGAGGCCAGACTGGGCAACAAGGTCGTCGACTGGAAGCAGTTTTGGGACCAACGCGTCGTCGCCGACTCGGCAGCAGCGTGAAGTCCACCTGCCGACACCTCCCTCTCGCTCCCCCGCACAGTAGATGACCCCGTCCGGCATTGAGACCTGATTCGTTTCCTTTTCTTCTCTCCGGGATTCCTAAAGTAAAGCAGAACAAGAAAGAGCATGACACTGGCTAGCACAGCCTCGGACTGCTCATGACAAACGCTCCTGTGCACTCCCATCAGACGCTGCATTATAATGCAAGAGAGCGGGGGCAGGGGCAAACTGCAGATGCCACGATCCGCCCTCAAACTGAGACCCTTGTTGATGATGCGCCAAAGAAACCTTGTGCCTAGCCGTCCAACTGATGACTAACGTTCCAGTTCTCTCATTACCTATCTCCGCTTCCGTCACGACATCCTCCTTCGGGGTATCTGCAGTACTCTACATGTCCAATAATCACTCATACTCACCCTCAATTCAGTTCCGCTCGGTTGTTCTCGTAACCCAGCGGGGCCACGGCCGCCAGCTCGCTCGGCTGATGGTGGTGAGGGGCCGCGGGCGGTGGCGTCACTCCGTGAGGACCCTCTTCGCCCTCCTTGATCGTATTCGGGCTAGGCACCGAGGGCGGTGGGGGCGATGCCGTTGAGGGCGCGGCAAAGCCCGATGCGGCACCGTATGGTTGGTAACCGCCAGGCTGTTGAGGGGGATATTGTCCCTGGAGCTGTTGGGGATATTGGTTGTTCCAGCCTTGCGGGGGGTACGCTTGCTGGCTGTAAACGCTCATGTGAGGATCGTAATTCTGTGCGGGCGGAGAGTAGGTGTGCGGGTATTGTGGAGGGTTCTGGGGGTGGCTCTGGGCCATGGCCGTTTGAGGGGACGCCTGTTGGGTATCGGAACCACTTGCATGGCTGCGGCGGCGGCGGAGAAGCAGAAAGGCAACCACGCCGAGGAGGCCGAGAACGGCGACGCCCCCCACGGCGCCTCCCGCGATGGCTCCAACATTTGCCTGGCTGCCGCCGCCGCCGCCACCGCCTGCTCCATTGCCAGTCTCAGTCGCCGCCCTGGTTTGTGCGGCGACGGTAGTGGTCGGAGATTCGGTACTGGAGGACGCGGTGCTCGGGGGAAAGCTATGAGTCCTGGACCATTTGGGGTCATAGTCAAGCAGGGAGGCAGTACCGCTGGAGGTAGAGCATGCAAGGGCCGTGAAAGTGCCAGAGCCAGGCCTTGTCATCAAATAGGTGTAGCATGCTGGGGCGGCCGAGGAGCTGCCAAATGGTCAGAAGCAGTCACGAAAAGGTAAGCGATGATTGTGAAAAAGTGAGCGAAAAGAATGAAGGGATGGGGGGACAGTGATGTCAACGAGGTGACAATGGCAGATGGAGCTCAGGGCGCAATGGATATGAACAGAAGCTTACCAGCAAACGGTGTGATAATCGTACGGGAGGTCACATTTGCCGGCTTGAGAAGCGACGTAGTCGATGCAGACGGTCTGAATGCGCGAACACACCTTGTTGCGCTCACAACATCCGAGGTAGCCGCTAAGAGAAGCACACGTCGCCGTGCTGGAGACGCAGGTGACTGAGTCTTTGGTCACTGCATGTTAGCCAGAGCTTTTCGACTTTGGAGCTCCAGACTCACCTCCGTTAAACTGCACAAAGCCACAGGTCCCCGGATCCAAGGTGTACCCTTCAAGGCGCGGCATCAGGTCCATCCGGGCGAAATGATGGCCCCGGGGCTGTGGCGGGGGCGTAGGCTTGGGGGATGACCCCATCCGCAACTGCTGCTCGACCATGAAGGCCACGTCGGTCTCTTGCGGCGACGTCCATGACTGTTCCGAGCCCGAACTCGGTGAAGCCGCGCCCGCGCCCGCGCCCAGGGACAGGAGGATGGCGGTTCGTTGACGCATCGTGTAAGTCGACGAGGCCGGATCGATTGGATCCAGACCAGCCACGCCGCGTCGTGGCCGGGTCCAAGACAGGCTTTGAGGGAAAGGAATGCGACGGGAGCGGAAGAGGACCAAAGAATTTTATGAGGTGACGGAAACTGGCACCTGGCAACGACAAGGCCAACAGCTCGCGTGGCGGGGTCCCGGGCCCAGGGGCCGGCCGAGAAGCGCATCGAGTGTCTCTCATCTCTCCCGCTGGGCGGTCTATCACGGTCCAGGGGGCTCGTGCTGCATGTACTGTACTGTACAGTAAGGACTCGAAAGTGCCCGTGGGAGGATTGGGATTCTCAGCCCGGCGCCGAGAGGTCATGCCCTGGTTGACGACCCTGGTCGGTGGCGCCGCGAAGGAGCCGATTTGATTCGATGGCCGTTTGGCGGGCTCGAGCTGAATCCATTTTTAGGCGCAATGGTCAGCAACAGAAGCAGAGACATGGAGCTCTTGGCGGGTCACCGCATCTGGGGGGGCTGAAGCTGATTACTGTGTCTCGTCTCGCTTCTTTTCTTGTCTTTTTTTTTGTCCTTGAGTCTCCGGCCGAGTCTCCGGCCTGGGATGGACGCACGATGGGCATGACAGCGCCATTGTCCGGTCGTCGATGAGACAGACGCAGCATGGGTACCTGTCTTAGATCCCAGTGAAGGAGAGACGAGGTCAGAAGAAAACCCGACGATGGTGAAGGTTCCACTTTGCGAGTCTATTTCTCCGGTTGGTACGTGTTATGCTGGGCCCAAGACGATTTTTTCCGAAAGTCGGCAAATTGCTTCTAGGTATCTGTACCTCAGTCAGCATCGCGGCCAAGAGAAAAAGTACATGTCGCTTCCCCAAAGGTACCTGAATAGAGCATCGTCAGCCATCTCAGCCCCCAGAGCCCAGGCGTGTGAGCTTTGACTGAGCGTTACGTACCTGGCTCGCAGGCGGTGGCAGGGGTAATATCTTGCAGTAGTAGCGGCGAGGCCCAGTCAATGCTGCAGGTCGCTGCTGACACGTACCATGTACCCGCGGGTATTCGTTCAAGCACGAACAACAATGATGCAGGTAATGTCCTCTCTCATGCATGTTCCCGGTGGCTCCTCCGCGCCGTCGGCTAATCTGCGGCAAAATCACCTTGGACTACAGTGCCAGTCGACAAGACGAACCCTTGGCGCTCTTCGTTTCTTCACCATGTTTGTTGCTGGAATTTCATGTCTCCCACGGCCCCGAACGCCGCCAAGGTAAAAAATAGAAAATATGGCCATTGTGGGGATAAGTACACGACAAGGCGCCCTCCCCTCAATCCCCGTGTTTGCAGCCCATGGTTCCCCCAGAATTATCGACGACACAAGTCTCAAAGCTCTCCATCACTCGCCGAGAGCTCGCAAGTTGCTTCCCTGATGCAATCGAGCCATCTGCTAGTCGGCCATCTGACCAGTCTTTCGGCCAGTTGGTCTGGTGGAAGCATGCGACAAAGAAGTATAGCTCTTCAGGGGGGGCAAGGGTCATCCGGTGGCAGTGCCACACGACCTTGACCAAAAACCAACCCCCGACGATTCTAGGGTGGACCGTATATAGCACGACGAGCTTCAAAACGGCGTCGTGCTGATATTCATAGAAAGCAGCCAGTATCCGCTCAAGATGCGCCATTTGCATCTTCTTGTCCGCTGGCGCCCAAACGCGTGTATTTCAGCGCGAGCTGGATATGCCGGTGAAAAAGGCGGTATGCTGATTCGGAACCCATTCGCCAAGAGTAAGGCGTGACATGACAATAAGAGACGACTTGGCACCATCGCGGCGGCCTCTTCCTTGCAAGATTCGGGGCATCGTTGTTGTCGGCACGGTGGAGCTGGACACACTTCTCGTATACCCAGTGCCCAGGTCGATCTCGGACGAGGCAGGGGAGAGAGCCGAGACGCTGCCCGCGGCTCTCGCACAATGCAGAGGCACCGGCGGGATGGCACCGGCGCCAAAAGTTGAGCCAGTGAACAAAGTGGGCAAATGGCCACAGGGCGACCCCAGTGGGTTCTTTCTGGCGCCAGTGAGCGTAGCAGGTGCGGGAATTGGGGAGCTGGTCGATGACTCCACACGCTGAGGGTGCTGTTCGGTAGAAGCGGTGCCAGAAGAGGGCGCGCAACGCCTTACACGCCTAGGAGAGGACCAGCTGGCTGTCTGGCGGAAAATTGTCAGCGATGAGGAGCTGATGTCGAGGGGGACGAGTTCGAAGAGGGGGCACGAGGCCTGTTGACACCTCATCTGGAGAAGAGTCGCTCTCTCTCCATCAAATCCATCATGGCTTCCGTGTCGTGCGGCAGGTTTGCGAGCAAGGCGACAATGGACCTTTTCTCGCACCGGGAGCGAACATGTCACTCTCTTCATAGCAGGCCTGAGAGCAAATGATAGATTTCCTGTCTTTGGGAGGTCAAATCACGTTCAAGCCATCGTGTCAGGCCTCTCGAGTTTAATCGCCTCGTTGCCACGCTTCTCACGTCCATGGCGTAGGTGTGGCACTTTTCGGGAAAGCGGAGCAAGAAGGGCCATTTAGACCGCAATAAGAAGACTACCTATACCCTTGCGATGAGCACCAGGTAGTCAAAAGATGATCCCTTGCCTTGGGCATTCACCAGCCATGTCAAACTATCGCCGTCTGGGGCTCTCGTCAGACTTTGGATTCCACTGGCATGAAGACTGTACTAGGGGGGTTTAAAGGAGTCAACCCCTCCACCTAGCTCCACTAGGAGGGGGGGTCCGTTGAAAGGGAAAAGGATCGTTGATTGAGGAAATAAAATATATACCTAATTTAGCGTAGGCTAGCCATTATATATAATACCATGTACCGCCTTTTCTTACATATCCTCTTTAATTCGAATTTTCAACAACGCCTCCCACCAATATAGCGATATCATAACATCACGATACACACATCGCGCGACGCTAAAGGCGTCAACGCCATAACTCTATTGAAATAGTCGGTGATAGCCTCATTGAGCCGTCACAGGAAGGCTGGGGCCTTGTAAAGGAGGAAATAATAGTTGCAACACCGTAGATCGATCTCACGATAATTGGCGAGACCTCTTTGCTGCTTGTGCTGCCTGCATCGCAGTGGCGGGGCTGTTTGTGCGTTTATCCGGAAATAGTCTATACATCAATTTAGGCTAGGATTAGCGGGGCATATATGTATCTTTGTTTCCTCAATCAACGATCCTTTTCCCTTTCAACGGACCCCCCTCCTAGTGGAGCTAGGTGGAGGGGTTGACTCCTTCAAACCCCCCTAGTATCAAGTATTAAGTTACTCTAAACCCAGTTTGCCTATTGCCCAACAGCAAGTGCATCGCTCCGCTTTGTTTCCCAGAAAAATTATCGCAACCTTCGCGGCTAGTACAGGCCCCCCCTAATAGAAGTGCCACATCTATTCGACAATGCATAGAGCTTCAAGCCAGCGCGTAAACTGGACAGTTTTGACATCTACAAACCGCCAAAAGAGATCGCTTACCCAGATCGTAGGGATGCCCAGCAAAACAATTCCGCAAGCCCAGGCTATGGTACGTCCGCACATGCCGGCTTGCTCGGATCCGCCGACCAAGGCCCAGGCGTAGGGCAGCCAGCGGTGTTCCAAGAGACTGAGCATCGGTCCGTGCATCAGGTATAGGGCGTAGCTTATGTCGGCGAGGTACTGCGCCGGTGGCGTAACGAAAAGATCCTGCAGTACCTTTATCTGCTGCAGCGCAAGCACGATTTGCATGGCCCCAAGGGCATACCAGGGGAAAATCAACCAGTCGCCACCCCAGGTCCAGAAAGGTTCCATCGTGTTGGCCCAGAGGGTCGAGATTCCCGGCGTCTTGTCGTCTTGGCTTCCGGGCCACCCAGCAATAAACAGGCCGAAGACGAGGTTGCCAACGAAGAAGACGAAAACAGCGAGGCGCTTTGCAGATCCTAGAACCGCTCTCGACCGAGGGGGTAATGCTTTTTCTTCCAAATCGTCCCCTTCTTGATAGATATCCATGCTTCCCTTCAGGCGCGCGTCGTCCTGGATCATGCCAATCTCGGCGATGCCCATGCCTCCGAGGAACTCGCATGGCGCCCAATGCCCGCTCTTGAGGCTATATATCATGATTCCAAGCACCGAAGCCAGGCGCAAGTGCGTTCTCAAGCGGCTGAGGCCTAGTATAGTGACGAAGAGTAGCAAGGAGTTCGCGAACTCGATGGGTATAGTCCACAAGTGTGGGTTGTAAGGCATCAACTGAGTGATGTCCCATTTCCAGCTAAGCGTCAGCGTCCATAAAGCATTATACCAGTCCCATAACTGCTCTCTCAGCGTCGGGAAGGTCGGGCCGATGAAGCCGAGGTAGCCGAGTATCATGATAAGAAGGGTAGACGCCATAGACGGGAGAAATAGACGAAGGCCGCGTCGAAGGACGCTGCTCGAGAGCGTCCTAAAAAGTCCTTCGTAATCTCGGTTCCTGGCTTGCCTCAAGGGCTTATAAGATAGAACAAAACCAGAGATGACGAAGAAGAGATGAACCATAGGGCGGCCGCTATAGACTACGCGTAGAAACGGTATCTGTATCGGTGACGAAGGCACAGTGTCGCCTTCGGCTCTGTAGCCGTATGCATTCATAAACCACCCATAGGGCTGATATTTGAAGATTTTGAAGTCGAATCGGCCTCGGGACCCTTGAATTGAATGAAGCCGAATCGGGTAAGGTCTTCAAATTCGATGAATCAAAAATCAGGAGTCTTTATTCAATTCATTCATCAAAATCTTGAATGAATGGCGATATGGTCGAAATATACGGTGAAAAAGGATCACCCCGCTTCGCAGCTGCCAGCCAAGGGGCATACAGGGAGGAATGGGCTAATGCCCAAAGCCACCCACCAAGGGCCTCCCTTTCTTTCTGAGCAGTGTCAGAAACAGCGGTTCTGCGGCTCGTCCGAATGAGGAAGGTGGCAACGATAGTGGGCACACAGAAGAGGTCAATTGAGCTATATGCACGGCTGTGTGTGTAAAGGCGATGTGTGTTGCCCCCTTCCGGCTAGGAATGTGCCCTTTGGGCCCGCAGAAATCTCGGCTGAATGCCCCACGTGACCTGGCAGGTGACCCATGCCGCCCTTCCTGCTGCGCCGTTCCAACAAGCAGACACACACGTACACATCAAGAAACAAGCTGCTTTGACCCCATCATACCTGTTGGCAGGGCTCGAGCATGAGACAAACTGGGAACGTCGTTCAACCGGTGTGTCGTATTATGCTATGAGGATTGTCTTCTATCTAGGAGGAGAGGCCAGCGTGGAAGATATAGCCACGCAAGCCTCAGCCGCACACGTGACCCTAAGGCCACATGCTGACCGTGTGATCTAGATACAATTGACGAGCATGATTCCCACAATACCAATAGATTCCACAATGCACTTTCCCCATTAGGCACGCCACAGAACCACCGTTCTGACAGGAGCAAGGGTTCGCCCGCGCGGACATGGTAACTTCGAAATCGGCCGCCCATGCGATGACGCACTGCGTATTTAAAAGTCTGTTGTGCGTGTTTCAGTTGGATTCCGCCGTTCACACTCCACTGGGAAAATCCCAGTGGGTTGGAAGTGGGGTAGTTAGGCGTCCATATATGTTGGTATAACGACCTAACAGTGCCTGATACGCCCACCGTTTCAGCAGTCTTGCCACCCTATACGGAGTATCAAAAACCATGAAGCTTATGAACAGTGCCATTTTATAATGCACACCATTTAAATGTAGTATCACTCGAATGTTCTGGATTTTCTGGTTCGGGTGATATAACTCTCGATATCTGTGCTTAACATTTGCTCAAGAAATGCCACATCATCCTGAAGGCAATAAATAGATCGGTCATTTGCTACTTGCAAAACTACATCTCAAGCACAGATTAAGCTCGGCAGCCCAAATTTTTGAAATATAATACAAGACTTATACCGTTAAACAGCCTCCGGCAAACTGATTAGAAAAACGCGTTCAGATCCCTCAACGTCTCAATACTGCGCGAACAATTGGACGTGACACGAATTGCGTCATCTCGCGATTTGGAGACTGTTAGGGACTTATCTACTCATCGAGCCCAATATGACTGCTACTTGCTTGTCCACACAAACTAGCCCGATCAGAAAGTACCGAAACATCTGCATGATAAGGATATGTTGTGCCAACTAGCCGCGTTTAGACGCGTTATTCGCGCTCAATTGACCACCTGTTAATTCTACTGTCGGAAAGACACGGTCGTCAGCCCATCCCACATTTTTGCCTGCATTGGGCAACGGTCTTCGCGACAACTGCCACGACTTTATTTTACGACGATCTCGCCTAATTCCTGCTTCGATGTTTCCGACAGCGGCTTCGGATCAGCCCCCGAATCAACGCCCTGACCGACGACCTATCCCACCCGTTCAACCTCGACTCCGTTATACTTTATTGTGGGTTATTTGGTGTCGTCCCGACTACCTGTCTCACGTCCATTCTCGAGCCTTTTAGCCTAGACCAGGTAAAACTTCATTACTGTCCAACCGATAGCTAATTATAACATGATACATAGTATGGCCCCTGCTGAATCGAAAACAGCTGCCGCAGCGAATTTCTTTGCTCCTAGGACCCGGCGTAAATTGCCAACGCAGAGTTATGCCCGCATTGAACGCCCTCAATTCAACCTCAGAATCCCGCGCGCGCGCCCTGATCCTAGCACAACTCCGGCTCCTTCGTCCTCCTCCGACTGGCAAAGATACGATTGTCTGCGCGCCCCCGGGCCATCCTGACTGTGAGTCAGATGATGACATGCCTGACGCGGATACATCAGAGCCGCCATTGAACAGTACCGGTAGTCACATGACGCTCGCAGAGAAAGCCAGACTTATCAAGAAGTGGGCCGACAACAAACAGAAGCATGTTCGCAAGAAGAGAGACAAGAATAGCCACGTTTATTGGTACATGCAGGGAAGCCATAGACAGAAGCTTTTACTCGAGTACAAGGATGGACCGAAAATATTCCAAGAGTTCCGGTGGACTTGTATAGAGTGCCTTCAAAATCCTTCTACTCTTCGGAAGATATTCCAGGTCCTTGAATCGAACCGCCGAGGGTTACCTCTGGCATGGGAGACCATTTAAAATCCCACAGTATTACGAAGGAGTCTCACCACGGTCGAATCAATGGATACGGCCGCGCCATTGGTGGAGGAGATTATACAGAGGTAGATGCATGGAGCGGTCGACCCAGGCAAAGAGCAAGGCTCACGGCAAAGGAGTCTATCCGCCAGTGGTTTGTAAAACACCGACAACCCTTCTCTGTTGTTGAGAACTTGAGACTCCTGCTTTCCAAGAGATGTTCTTGGCTCACAATACAACCTGTGTGTACAGGAGCCGTATAACCTTACGCAATCACATCTACACAGACTTTGTGGAACGCAGAGAGAAGCTGAAGATCGAGCTTCAGTACAATTGTGCTACCATCTCGCTCACCCTTGATATCTGGACAGCACCGAATCGGGTGCCTATTTTCGCCATTATTACGCACTGGATTACGCCGGAGTTTGAGGAGAGAGAGAGGTTATTGAGTTTATCGAGCTCAAAAATCTCACACTGGCAAACACGAGATAGTTGAGAAGACACTTGAGGAGCTCAGGCTCAAGCCAAAGCTTCTCGCCATTACGGGAGACAACGCCGCCAACAACGGCACGCTCTATTATTTGAAGACCAGACCACATTCCAATTTCCGGGCAAGCTGGTAGATGGTGTGAATATACCCTCATTGTTTGTGTATATGCTAATCTGCGTTCAGGCGAGAATCCTCCTCCTCAACCCCCTGCTCCGGCGGAAGTTCCCACCGAGGCTACTACCGAGGCTCCCGCCGAACCTCCTACCCCAAACCTCCTGCCTCCCAAGCCGATAAGTCTGCGATATCAACCCCCTGTCCAGATACAATGGAGGCTTCGGAGGATTGAGGCTCTACAAGTGTGTAACTGTGTACAATCGCGGATTCGAACGCGTTGGACCGATATATTTTGAGGATTCGGCAGAGCTTTTGAAAGTGCTTATTTTCGGTCCATTTGCCTAGGACGGGCGGATCAGTATTTATGTAAGTTAATTTTTGTAATATTCGAGATTATCGAGAGACTTCCCAGAAGGCTATAAAACCATATACTACTTATTGGCGTTTTCGAGGTATCTTTGCAATCGCTTAGGTACACACCAAATTCACTTCGTTTAGGGGATTCCTTCAAACTATTCATGAATGGCCTGAATTGGCCCAAACCCAACTTGAATCGCGAAAATTGGAGCTTGAAGATTTTGAATCAAGATCCAAAAAATTCAATTCATTTGATTCATCCTTCATTCAAAATCTTCAAAAAATTCACCTTCGTCTATCACCCCTAACCACCCAAAGTTAGATCCGGTGTAGTGACAGATAAACACAAAGAGCGCAGCGACGCCGCGCAGGCCGTCGAGCCATGACGTGGGGTAGAGGCGTCGTGGTTTGAAGCCGGTTGGATCAAGATGACGCTGCACAAAGGAAGGAAGTAGAAAGAAGAGGATGGCAGGCAGTCGAGAGAGGTAGGGCATCATCTCAAGGCGCCAGACCTTGGGCGATAAGGAGCCGAGTTGGAAGTAACTGTACGTTTGAGGTTCGATTCCTATATATTCGAAGGATCGTCACCTGACATGGATCTTTCTAGGCAACAATATGAGCTAGAATTCGAGATCATAGTCGAAAAAACAAGGCACGAGGTGTCCGTTATATGCCGGGTCTCCCACATTTGAAATCTGTTCCGGAGCGCTCCTGACTCCTGTTCTATCCCAGCTCTTACAGGCAGTCCCTGTCGTTCGAAGCGGGGGCATTTGCTTCGCCTTGGCTTCCTTTTTCGGTCATTTCCTAGTAATTACCCGTTGATCTTGGTGTGGGGCCACAGCAGCCCAACTAAGTGTCTTCGCCACTTAGTTGGCCCAAAAAATCCGGCACAGCCCAAAAAATCCGGCACAGCAGGGTCCTCAATTTGGGGTGCAAAATCAAGGAAATTCTACGCTTCGCTTCATGGTGCCGTCAATGCGACTTCAAATAGCTAAAATATACATGTGATCAATAGCTGCGGATCACCTAAAGACGCAAGTAACAACGAAAAGTGAAAAAATCACGTCTTTGGGCCTATTTAGGAGCTGCCGCCTTCCAGTCGAAGAGATAGGAAGACCGCGTTTGTGAGTCCAAATAGACGTATTATGTAGTAATTTCGCCTGTTGTGCGTCTCTGAGAGCTATTTTATCCATACCTGTGTTCCTGGAGCGTCTGCTGTATCTTGTTGGACGATCGGGTGCGCGGTCGAGGGCATGGTGTATCGACTACCGCTTCAACCGCTGCTAACGGCGGCGATGAGGGTATATTCTCTTGCGTGTCGAGTAAATTGTCCTCGTCTTCATCGTCGGCGCCATCCTCACTATGTTTGTCAAGATCGAGGCCTGTGAAATAGACGGTATCGTCACTGCCGGGCAACGACGACATATCTGTAAGTGGGCGAGGTCGGGTCGCTGCGCGCGCCTGACATCTCTGGCGGAGTTATTTCTCTTCGTGGTATCATAGAAAAGGATTCCTTGGATGGCTCTTTGAGCTCCCGCATGAGGGTATCGCAACTTTGCTCCAGAGTGTAGAACTCAACGTCTCGTCCGTAAACTCTAGCCAGGGCTTAAAGTTCAATGTCTTGACTCTGCCATTGACTAACTGCTTCTTCCCGACTTTATAGTCTTCTCGGATCTTCTGCATCTCTCCACGAACTCGTTTAAGATGCATCCTTATCTCCTGGCGCGTTTGAAGCCGGGTTTGCTTTGCCTGGAGCTCCTCATACTCCCGGGTGATGTCGGCCATGCTGGAGCTCGTGATAAACTCTCCGCGCGGCCTGACAATCTTGCCTCTCTTCATTCGATTCGCATACGCCTGGGTTCGGCTATTCTTATCGCTGACTATGCCCTGGGAATGTGACGCCATCGCGATAGACTCGGTGTTCACTTTCGCAAGAACCCGCAAGTTTTCTCGTGATGGCGAGCTCATGAGGGGCCCATACCGTTGCCGGATATCATTGAGGGCATCCGCGGCGACTTGGAAACGCGTCTCCGAGGGTAGGAGCGAGGCGTATGCAGGATTGATCGGCTGCTGTTGTCGTAGCTGCTCGTGGAGGATCTTGGTGATCACCGGCGCTGGGTCGACAGGAAAGAGGCCTGTTTTTTCAAATGCCGCCATAATGTTATGCCGCGTGAAGCCAGCCTCATATACGTCCTGAAAAGCTGTGAGGAAGTTGACCCGCGAAAATGATATGTTGCCTTCTGCGAGCGACTTCCGAAGCGCTTTCTGATGTGCTGACTTTAGTGGCTGGAATACCCCAACATCAAGCGGCTGCATGAGGTGGGTGGAATGTGGAGGGAAAATAGCAATGATGATATCAAACTTGATACAATACTCAGCAAAGTCAAGGGTGGTATGCCCTGTAAAGCCATCCACAACAAGCAATCGGTAGATCTTCTCGTCGTCAGGCCGTTGGTTTGGCGGCGCCTCCACGCGACTCATCCCCATGTTGGGGCGCCGAAGATGCTCGTCACAGCCGAACCACTCTTCCAGCGAATTTCCTGACTGTTTTGCTTGCGCTGACGATGCCCAAGACCAGCAGTTGAAATGCCTTGCCCACTCAAGGTGTATCTCTGCGTTGGAAAAGCCAGTTGGCGACTGGGCAAACCGTACGCCTGTCATGATGTCGATGCCGGCCCAGTTGGTGGTAGGGTAATGTTGGAAAACAAGCCAGGGTGGAAGAGAGTCCCCCACTGCGTTAACTGAGGCAATTACCGTGCAGGATTCTCGGTTTGCTGGGTCTAAAACTCGGGGCCGGGTGCTCTTGACTCTAGTGGTGCGCGTGATGAGAACTTGATGCGTTCTCGCAGGCACCCAATGCGTATTCCGGCCTCGTCTTCATTCCAGATCTCTGAACTGCCAATACGGTAGCTGGTGATGATTTCTCGAAGCTTTGAGTAGAAAAATTCGACTTCTTCTACCCCGTGGGCTTCAAAGGACTTCCGGGCTCGTTCAACTGCTTTGAGATACGTCTTCGCGATCGCAGGATGACTTCCACGCCAATTGTCAAGCCAACTTGACGAGACCGGGCGGGCATTGGGATCTCGACGCATTCTTATTGCATTTGCAACAGCTTCAAGTTGCTCTCGTGGCGGGCATGCCGGTGCGTTCCATACACTGTACATACGCAACCAGGGCGTCGTCTTCGTCCTCCGTCAGCGCCAATGGACGCCCTGGAGCACGGGAAAAGGGTTTCTTATGAAATTAATGGCTCTCTGTACGGATGAGCTCTTCACATTGTAACGGATGGCCGCATCTCGCACGGAAAGAGGCGTTCTTTTGGTGTTGTTGAGCGACGAACATCGGCTCTGGGGTCGCGACGAGACGCCAGAACGGCTTTTGCTGCCTCCAGGGTAGCCATGTTATCTGTCATAATGTATTCCGGCAAAAAGATACGTAAATAAAGTCAAGTTGCGCGAGAAAACGCGGTTGAGATGCATAGGGTTGACGTTTTGGAGGTGGGCTGCTGTGCCGGATTTTTTGGGCTGTGCCGGATTTTTTGGGCCAACTAAGTGGCGAAGACACTTAGTTGGGCTGCTGTGGCCCCACACCAAGATCAACGGGTAATCGAGTCACCAAATCCCGCTTTTCGGGGGTCCCCTTGAAACTCCTACCAGATCTAGACTATAGGTACCCCTTACGTTTCGAGCTACCTTAGCGGCACGCCGTCTACGACTTACTTATGGGCTGACCCCGCTGCTCCCTCTTGCACCTCGTCCGGGCGATATGAAAAGTAACTTCTTTGTTTCTTCATATCAGCGCCAGTAGCTAGGGCGAGCGCGACAACTGGTTAGGAGAGGGGGTATCCAGGAAAATGTAGCCGGACTTGGGACAAAGTACATCCTTCTATGCATTTCGCCCTTTCAGCCCTTAACCAGACGCTACACGTGGCATTAATTAGCGATCCGACGGCCTTTAACTTTCTTAGGTTGACTGGTCTTCCGACCATCGTGCTCCTGGCTAGACCTGTGTAATCATTTATCTATCTTGAGATACGGAAACTCTTAATTAGCTGCACAACTCCAACGCCACCAATACCGCCTTTGCGTGTTTAAATCAAGTTCGGACGAAGCCGTTGCGCCTGAGATGCTAGCTTCTTGTAGAAAGCATCCGTCACGGTCTCGTTAAGATAGTCAAGGCGATGACCACAATGAGCCGTCAACACATCCTCAACCGTTGGGCCCGAGTCGCAGCATGAGCCCCAGCAATCCCTCACCTGGTCGAGGGAAGTCGTCTTCAAGCTTGAACGTCGGCTGTTATTTATAATGTGGGCAATTGTAGGAGTGGCGACCTCGTGGAAGACATCGAAGCGCTCGAAAATCTCAGCGAGGAGCACGAAGTCTCCAAAAAAGCTTCGCGGAATGAAGTAGATGTCGCTCCAGCCGATGCACCACTCATCGGGATTAACTTGGTAGTCGAGGCCAAGCTGGTGAACAAACTGAGCGGCAGCTTTGGCGGGAAGATGCATATCCTGCTTCCACCCCCACCAAGAATTGCTGTCAGTGTTGGTCATACAATTATGGAGCGGATGTCCATAAGTAAACCACATGTTGTCAAAGTCGGTGTCATTCCACCCAAGAGGGTCGAGCCAGGCGTCGAAATGGAAATACATCAACCCCTTGATGTCTGGTCTGCCGGCGAGCACCAGCTTCATCATATTGGCGACTTGACGGTAAATGAGATTTGTCGTTGGGAATTGATCGTGGGTCCAATTGTAGTGTTCGGGAGGCTGCTCGGGCATCATGTCGGGCACAGAGATATGGACCGTATCAAAAAAAGGTTGGTATTCCATGATACGGGGAATCCGTTCTGGATATGGCGTGTTCCACCGTACCATTGCCAACACGTTGCGGAATGGTGACGAGAAGTTGCCCGCTCCGGCAGCGGGCTCATGCGTCGGCTTGACATTGGCGTAAGCTGCCCTTGGCACCTTATCCTTTGACATGGCCAGGAAAGCAACGATAACAATGGTACCAAGTGTCGATAAGGCGAGAGACATTCGGGAGTATTCCTGCTATCGCCGTTAAAAAGCCGCGCGCCATAGGGGGGGTCTAATAAGGCATGGGAGGATGGCGGCCGGCCGAAACCTCACGAACCTTGAAAGCCTTGAGCGGCCCGGTGCGTGCTGCGTGCTTGGTAGAGTAGCCGCTAGACGGCGGAGCAGGATAAGAAATGTATAGCGCGGACGCGACAAAGACAATGATGGTGCCCGGGACGACGAGACTGCCCAGCTCGTCTTCGAAAAGGATGGGCGAGGCGTAGAGGAGTATTGCCGTGCTAGCAGCTACCGCGAAGCACTTTAAGACGGCGTCGGCGTCTATTCTTGAGTTAGTCTGGCTATGCACGACGGGGTAGGCCATGGTCTCCATACACTTATAGACCAAAGTTGTAGCAAATCCGATGAAGACGCTGCTTAAGACGACCAGAATGGCGCGAATATCGCCATATCCTTGAAAGAAATGCGGCTCGTCGGCACTTATCATAAAGATGGAAACATGGCAAAGTAGATTGACGAAGGCACCGGCAGCATAGAGTATCATGTTATCCGCGTGGGGGCTATTCTCGTTGGTCTTCAAAAGATGCCCATTGTAGACGCCGGACGACGCGCTGACAAAGACTTGGAAGAGAAGAAGGACGTATATACTGATAGGGTATGCGGTACCATTTTCCGGCTTGTATTGCGTTAGAATCAGGCCGAATAACTATATTAGATGGTAAGCGGAATGTTTGAACATGGGCAGAGATTAGACAGCCGGGGCATATCAACGCACCTGTATAAATATGGCGATCCATTGTGTCTTCGAAAGGGCGGCATCGGTCGACAAAATCATAACAAGGGCAGTGATGAGGGTTCCGCCGCTCTTGGTCAGCTGTATCGTTCCCGGATCGGCCGAAGTATAACAAAGAAAGATCTTATAGAGTACGTCAGCTGCAATGCCGTGTTCGAGTATCGGGAAGAGTCGCGTGCCAGTCTGCTCTTTTATGTAGTTTGAAGGGAAGGGGGGGAGGCGGGGGATGGATGTCGCTATCCACGAACTGAGTTGTTTATCAAAGTATAGCCAAGGGCAAGAACACAATAGCCAATCTGCTTCTCTCTCGCCACTTCGCCGTATAGGTAGCGCCAGAAGGTGAGAACGTCTAACGTCTGAGTAGAAGTCGATTGCGACCGCTGCTTGGCCGGTTCAGCACCGCTTCTTGCGCCATCTTCTTCTTGCTGTTCCTTCTGTAAACCATCGCTATCTGCGCCTGGCTCGTTAATTGACTTTAGAGGGAGGTAACGCGAGACTTGGGCGAGGTCCGTCTTCGGCCCAACCCCATTGACCATTCGTTGCAGGCACTCTCGGCGGAATAGGAGGGTAGCTATGATGAGTTTGCAGAACTCGGAGATGCTGACGGAGCCGGACGTGGAAAAGGAATACGAACCGGCTGTCTGTGCGGTTTTCATAATGATTCCGAAGCTGACTTGAATGGCTATCAAGCCCGCCACCGCCGCCGGTGCTTGGTAGTGCTGGGATAGCGGCATCTTCATGGAGGCTCGAGAGAGCAGAATCCGATAGCGTCATAATCTCTAGCATGGAGGACTTCTTCTGCGGTGGCGGAATGAATACTTTTGAAAGGCGCGTTTCGCACGTGCGTCATTCCGTATTGCGACGGGTCAGGAGCCGAGCGACCCCCGTAGAAGCATTTGAAGTTCGTTTCCGTGTGGAGATGTGTATTGGTTCTATGCCACGTTGGTCAGTTTTCCGGGCTATAGTAGTTTCGAGGAAGCTAGTCTGTTCAGAAGGCGGGCTTGTAAAGGTGTGCGTGGAGCCGACGGGTTTTTCATGTCGGCTTTCTCAACGATTCTGGCTATGTAAAGAGAAGGCGCTTCTGCCCCTTTGACAACACCAGGATTGGGTCAATGCCACGGCGGCAGTTCCACCGGCTTATCTTACATCTCTCGTATTACGACCAAAAGACGGGGGAAGCCGTTCTATAGGAAGTATTTACGGGCACGCAGCGGATCTCGTGCTTGGCCCCTATACTAACGTTATGCTAGCTACTGACTTATACATTGCCCGATTTAGGAAGGCGGGGGAAGTCTTCGAGAAGAAAACAGTTGATATTATCATATTGCCACCTAGCTCATCTCCTCGCGAGACAGGGGTCAAAGCCAGCCAAATCAGTGTCTGGAAGGCAGCTAATTACGGAGTGGGACACAACCTGGGGCTGTCTCCGAACTGCTGAATATACGTATCTGTCAGGACAAGAAAGGGCCTATAATACGCGTTAGTAACACCTCTATTGGGGGTGCCCTCATTTTGCATAGTGTAGCGGTATTTTACCAGCTTGACAGTATCGACCAGGAAAGGGCCTCTGTGACCAAAGCACATGTTCTCCACGCCGGCATTTGGGCAACAGGGAACTCGGGACAAGAGCCGGGTCGAAATTTGCGGTCATGTCGACGACGGAGAAGCGGCTCGACGGGATTCTTGAGCGTTCCCTTGGCGTTTTAAATAGACACCCTGACACGCAGGGTCTTGTGGTCGGGCTGCCATGGCGTATGAAGCATTCAAGGAGCAACCCAGGAGCGTCGCGTACTTTACATTTCCGTCTCGCCATCGGCCGCAGGTCCTCTTACGCCTTCCTGTCTGCCCGCGCGACCAAGTCCAGAATCCCGCGGCGCCATCCGGGATTTTATCCGGACTGACTCGTAAGCGCTCATAATATCAGTCTAGAGAGGCCCACCACAAGCGGTGAACCGAGAGTTGCGCGGCTGCGTCGAGTATTTACACGCATTGAATATAATACCACACTGCCTCGCCGGCGGCGGCTGCCTCGTGTGCTATGCTCCGCGCCCCCTTTCAAACCTCCGCACTCTCAGCTTGTCTCGCGCAAGCTCGCCTCTCATCCGTCAGCAGAGCTGCTTGAATCCACCGCTGCACCATGAAGCGTGAGTCCGAGGTTGGCGACGGCTCCGCTGCCAATCGTGAGCAGCTTCTGAACGTCATCATACCCATTGGTGGCGTGGGCTCCCGGTTCGCCAAACACGGTTATCGCTACCCGAAGCCCCTGATTAACATTGTCGGCCGTCCGATGCTGCTCTGGCTTCTGGACAGTTTAAGCCTGAAGACTGGCGACACTGTGTGGATAGCGATCAATGAAGATATCGACGATGAGTTTCATGTTGGCCAGCTTGTAAGCAAAAGCCTAACAAAGGTTGACCATCGAATCCTCAGACTGCGCCATCAGACCAAGGGGGCTAGCGAAACGGTACGTGAGTGGTTTGCGTTGGTGAAACATGGACCATGGCAGCTGATCATCGACCTTTGCGCAGCTCTACATTGTTAGCCAGTCCATGACCAAAGAGCATCTACACCGCAAGACCGTATCGTTAGACTGCGATACCATCTACTGGACCGACATCCTGGCCAAAGTCCGCGAGACGGGGCCTGGCCATGGCGCCTGCTTCTACTTTCCTGACGACGGCGACAAGCCCGTCTTTTCCTACCTCAAAACCGAACCAAGGTACGTCGACGACTATTGACGTTATGCCCAGTCTCGCCCTCGGCTTCTCACATTGCTCGTCATCGGAACGGCCTGGAGTTCATCACTGAAATCCAGGAGAAGAAAGCCATCTCGAACAAAGCCAACTCTGGCGCGTACATTTTCCCTAGTGCCCAGGAGCTCAAGTCACGGGCCGCCGAGGTTCTCGATATAAAGCATTCTGTAGGCCAAGACATCGGCGAATACTACATCTCTCAACTCATCTCCCACATGATCGAGATCGGGGTCCCTTTCACTGCAGTAGCTGTGAGTCGACAAGACATCAGCTGTGTGGGAACGCCAAAGCAGCTGCACGACTTTCTCAGGACCGTCAAGAGTGGCAAATGCAGTGTGCCTATTGCTCGCCAAACCCGCCGTTTCTGTTTCGACCTCGACATGACCCTTGTCGGCGTGCCGACCGTCCCTGGCGACTATTCTACATGTCCCCCGATTCCGAGAAACATTCGACTGGTACAGGAACTGTTTAAAGCTGGTCACCATATCATCATCGTGAGTTTACTGCCCCTTTTCGGTCCTGGACATTGTCCACGGCTACAGGACTCAGCTAAGCGGCCGCGATGGGAAGCAAACCGCGAGACGCATGCGAACCCATCACGGAAACGTTGGTTCGGTCATCGCAGATGTCGGGCCGGTTACGTTCGCCCAACTTGCCCAGTACGGCATTCCCTTTCACGAAATCAATTTCGGGAAGCCTTTTGCGCACGTTTACGTCGACGACTTGGCCGTCAATTCCAACCTCGACACCATGCGGGAAGTCGGTTGGCTCCTTGACGATCCAGAATCTCTTGCCATGGTAGAGCCAGAGGCTGCAGAGGACCAAAGGCTCAAGAAGACCATGATAGCGGCACGCGACTTCAACACGATCCAAGTCGTCGATGAAAAGGTCATCAAGTCTAGCAAGTCGGACAACATCATTGGCGAAGTGTACTTTTATTCGCACATGCCCCCAGAGGTTGTCCACCATTTCCCATCCATTTACAATGTCGACTTTCTTCCCGACACAGGCACCTATACCATAACCATGGAAAGCCGCAGGGGGCTGACCTTTTCACACCTTCTTGTCGGCCGCTCCATCACTAAAGGCCGCCTTGGCTCGTTTTTACGGGCTCTCCATTCGATTCACTCAAGACCGCGTACAGACCAGCCAAGTCTCCCGATCACTGCAGCACTGCAGGAAAAGCTCACGAGCCAACATGCCGTCAGTGCTTCTCAGCCCTTGAATATTTACGCAAACTACGGATCTAAGCTTCGCAGTCGATATGTTCGCTACCGAGAGCGATACGACGCATTAGGGCTCTTGGCTGCCTCCATCTTCAGCCGCCTCAACGACTTCTTGGACGTGTACGAGGCAGAGGAAAGAGGTGTCTATACCCAAATCATTCATGGAGACCCCGTCTTTAGCAACGCCATTCTTTCCAATGATGAGCAAACCGTCAGCTTCATCGACGTTCGTTGTCAGCTGGGGAGCAAGCTCACGTCGGAGGGAGACGTCAACTACGATCTCGCCAAGGTCCTACAGTCCCTCTGCGGCTATGATCATGTCATCTTTCTGAGTGAAGATGCTCGACAACTCGCTCAACTCTTGGCCGAGGACAAGCCGCTCTTAAGTGAGGCCGACGTAGACCTGTTAGGGGACCTCCAGGAATACTACTTTGCTTTCCTCAAAAACAACTACTCGGCTTGTGCGCCCCGCAAAACGCTCTTCGGCATCACGGCATCTCTACTATTTAGTCTTATTCCTTTACATAGACTCGAGCTGGGTCATGTTTTCCTAAAACTATGCGAGGAGACCCTGAGAAAAGCAGAGGCTATTTCAAGTTGGTAGAATTGCATATTAAAACACTCTATGCAAGTATGTCTTCTTAATTTTTAATGCTTATACGCCCACAAATGAATCGTCACACCGGGTTTAATGTTATGTACAATGTAACTGCCTTAAATCTAGGGAATATAAGAAACGCGTGCTGGGGCTTCAATAGAGCAGGAAGAAGTCGGCTGTCACCAGCACCTCCATGTGCTATAGGATCCGCTTGCAGTACACTTGCTGGAGTGTACACCTCACTTTCGGCTGCACGCCACAGCGATTTTGCAACAGTTACATGTATGAGGCTTTTATCATTGTTAATTAATATACTCCAAGAACGTCTTTTCTACTCTTATGAACTAATTCTGACGATATTGCCCTGTTAGGCAAGCCACGGAACGCACCGTCAGTGAGCATGCACACAGCTACAATACGGCCTGGTTAAGTCCGTTAAGCGCTCGTTACTCGGCCGAGCCCAAACGCATGCAAACTTGGAACCCCCCGAGACAGTGTTGCCACTAAGAAACAAGGCCCGAGTCTCACAGCCTGTGCAGCCAACGGGCGTCCATTCTAACACGATGCGCAATCCCGTGCCTGGAACGTGTTTAGATCAGGAACCGGCTCGAAACGGATTGATGAGCGGGGGGTTCGCCTACGCGTCGTGGCTCCAGGTTCGCGTTCCAGTCAAGATTCATCAGGTTGCATGGCAGAGGGCTTAGCCAGAGGCAAGACACTGTCTCGTCCAGCCCTATCACGTGCCCATCCCAGGAGGTTGGGCTCAAAACATGGACGTTGCCGGCGTCAGTGACACGGATGACCCAGACAAAGCGTAAAAGTCGTGTTTCTCGGAGTAGGAGAAAGCCATGCGCACTTGCATCCCCAAGCTCTGTAAGGCCTCGACTCTATTTCACGACATGATCTCATCCCTTTCATGGCATTACTTCTGAGACAAGTCGACTCCAACGAAGAGAAGCGCTGATGTGGCTCTAGAGGCTGGCCGGGAATGATTCGTTGGCGAGGCATCGCACCATAGATATACGGTGAAACCACACTGGCTGCCTAGTCGATATCTTGGCTGTTTACAGCCCTACATGGACTTGTTGATGCATTAGCATTGCACTGTACAATAGCTCGCTCCGTGGTACACACGCCCCTTGACCAGTCGGGGGCCTCCTTGCGCCACTCCCGCATCATTAGCCCAAGTTGAAGTGGAATGAAGTCCTATATGCAGTTGGATGTTGACGCTCACGCGCCCAACGACGCTGCTGCTCGATTTCCATTCCAGCCCGTGTTCACTAGGGCAGAGCCAACTTGGACTTGAAGCCACTACCGGGCACCGTTCCAATAATCTCCGAAACAGGCCGACAGCAACAAGGCTACCACTCTCGCCATATAGATTTCCATGGCGTCAACTACCGTGACTGAACGAACCCTCGACGTCTAAAGCGCACTTCTATTGTCTTGACAATACGAACATCGGCGTTTGCTCCCGTGAAACCCGAATGAAAGGGACTTTGCCAAGGACCCCAGATATCTTGCTTGCCCCAGCATCTTCTCATCAGGGCCGGTTCCATACACACAAGGCTAGCTGGCTACTCCCCCTTGTCCCATCTATGCTTCGATATCCGTTTCAGCGGTAACCTGTGGCACCACCGCTGTGCCCGGTAACACCGCCGACGATCTGCGGCATCTTTCGATTTGGATTGTGAGTTCAGCAACTGCATGAGGAATGCCCAGCTGAAATTATAGTGGCGGCGAGCGAGCGCTGGTAAGAGAGTTCCAGCTTATCGCACTTTGCCAGCTCAAGTCGTGTAAGACATGCTGAAGACGCCGTCGATAGCTTCACCGCGAACCAAGGGGGGTGTCAACTGAAGACTTTTAGCGCTGCACCATTAGGCATTCCGTTGGGACATTCCAAGTTCAGCAGGTAGACAAGTTTCCGGGCTTCCCATCTCTTACAAATTTTCATGATAGCAGGGTCAAGACGACAAGACAATGCGTCGAGTCAGACTGCCCAAGGGACGAAGCCTATAAGGGACCTAGAGTTCCCCCAGGTCGCCATATGTATTGGAGCGGTATCTTTTACAGCGTCTCGTCAGGCTTGATTAGTCTTGTCAGGTTGATCCGTCGTGTCACGTTTGATCCGCCTTGTCAAGTCCCGATCCTCCTTGCGCGTCGAAAATGAGGCCCTTTCTCCTCGTCGCTCCTCTCGCCGCCCTCTTCGGCACTGCCGTCGCCGCGCCCTCGGGTGGCAACGACGCAGCCGGCGCGGCCCAGACCGAATCGGAGACCAACGTGCCGACCGAGAGCCGCTATAGTGCCTTTGCCAGCTTTGGCCAGCAGCTCGAAGACGCCCTTGTGCAAGACATTGTCAACCTCTGGAACAGCGGCAAGACGGCCGAGGATGTCCGCCAAGTGCGGGCGGCGGCCTCGCCCTATGCCCTTGGCATCAACAGCTTGGGCGACGTCGGCGCCATCCTCAGCCGCCTGGGGCTAGGCGACCTCATCAGCAAACGCTCAGAGGCCGGTGATGCCAACCCTCTGCTGGGCTTGCTCGGGGGAGGAGAAGCCACCAAGAACGGCAGCAACGTGGCAGGAGGGAAGCTTGACCTCAAGGATCTGCTGAAGAGCACGGGAGGCAAGCCAGACGTCAAGGCGCTCCTCGGCAAGCTCCAAGAGTCGCTGAAGAAGAGCGGCGTCAAGGACGGCGGCCGCAAACTCGGCAACCTGGTGGCAACCATGTTCCCCGTCACCAGTCTGGTGGGCAAGCTTGGCCTCGGAACTCTGTCACCTCTTACCGTCACCGTCGACGCCCTGCTCTTGGCTCTCCTCGGCATCGGTCCCACAGTGGGCAGGCTCCTGTTCAATCTCGGACTCATCGGCATGAAGGAGCCGGCGAAAATGATGATGATGATGTAACGATTTGAGGTTTTATCGGCAGCAACAGTCGTCGGGTGATGAGATTTGAGGCTCCTTGGCTAGAAAGAGACGATTCCTACGGAAATGCATCCTGGTGTGATTTAGGCAGACGGTTGCTGGCAGCAAATGCTTGATTAGAGTGAATACCAGCTTAATTGAACACAGGTTCGAGAAGCATGCAAGTCTTCGCACGTTGACCAGCCCTCGTCCCGGCATTGGTCGGCCTCGCGGGCATATATGTTTCTATCAGTGGCCGAGCTAGCATTTGCCGGCAGAGAGTACTGCCAAGCCGTATTGGAAGGGGGTGGCTCCACGGCCTCTCCATCGTGGAACGCCCTCGAGGTCATCTTCCGCCAAAAGGGCTTGCAGAGCACCGCGAAACACACACGGGTTGGGCTGCAGGTAGACACGACTTACTTGTCTTGACTGGTGCCCGGTCGAGCTAGGGATTGACCGTTTCCCTCTCAATGCTTATAAATGACGGGGGAAGAGCCCTAAGTAGGGGGTCACGTCCTTGTTGGAGCAGAGAGGCAAACCAGTTGTTTTCTCAGCTTGACAGTCATCAGGCAGGGTATTACTCCATTCCCACCTCAGAAACGCTATCGTACAGATCATGGCGCAGCTCGAGACAGCCAATGACGAGCTCGTCTCTGGATCCCCTCGGCCCGTCGCACATGCGGCCCGCTCGCTATATCTTCTCGAACGGCAGCTCCCTCTGCAGCCCCTGCTTGAGCAGCCCGTAGCGCTCGTCGTCTTCCGGCCGGATCAGCCCCTTGCGGAGCAGGAAATCGAGCATGACGAGGCCGCAGTTGGGCTTCCACTCGGCACACATCAGGTCCCGCTTGACGTCCTCGACCGCCTTCAGCACAAAGTCGGTGACTGCCTCGGGCTCGCCGGGCTGCGGCGTGAAGCTTGCGTCGACCTCGAGGTCGAACGTGAAGCGGATCCCCGGCTCCAGCTGGCCTTGCTCGGAGCCGGCCGTCGGGTCCTTGCGGTCATAAAATGAAATGCGACACCCGCGCTCAACCGTGCCCACCATGGTGCCATCCGCCGTCACTCTTCCCGACGCAATGTCGACGGCCAGCCGCGCCTCCTCCATGGCCTCGCGCCGCAGCGTCTTCAGCGGGTCCATGTCGTCCACAGGGTCCATGGCCCCGGCAACGACTTGGTCCAGCTTCCCGGCGTAGGTGACGTTTTCGGATCGCCTCGAGACCCAGATGTGCATCTTGGGCCGCCCATGCACCTTCTTCATAGTGTAGACGTTCATATGAACCCCACTTGTTACGATGCCAAAGACGCCCCTCAACGGCGACGGCATCTGGAGGCCCGCCAAGTGGCCGTCGAGGCCGCGAATAGGGTGAAAGTCCGCCTTTTTCCCAAGCCACTTTCCCAGCCCGCCCACAACGCCCGCATTCTTCTCGCATAGGCCCACAAACTCTTCTCGGCACATGTCGACCACATCGTCGCCATTGCCCACGTCGAGGGCCAGGTGGACCCTGCGCTCCGACTTGGAGACGTGGAAGCCGGTGCCTTCCCACACCATCCTCGCCACAAACTCGGGCAGCATGTAGCCGACAGGTCCCACGTTGTCAAGCAGGCGAAACTCCCACAAGCCACCAACATCCCTGTCGAACTTGTTGCATTGACGGATGACTTCGTAAAAGGACGGCATCGTCGGCACGTGAGTTGGACCGACCGGCTTGAACCTCCAAGGACGAAAGGTGGCTGTCGAAAGGCCAAGGCGTGTCGACGACCTGGGACGGCTGTTGGCCGGCAACAAGAGCGGCGTCATGTTTGCAGACATGGACGTCGACTCGTCCGCTTCAGAGGGCGGCACGAGGAGAGAGTCAAGCTTCATCATCAACAAAGGGCGGTTTGCTCTCGCGGCGGGGGCGGCGGTGCACTCTCGGGGGCGGGTTGCGTCCCAAGGGCCACGCTGTGATGCGGCTCCTTCTGCCCGCCCGAGAGCGCCGTGATGGCGAGCGCTCATATCCTGTTTGTCCGGGGAAGGCCTTGCTCCGCGCGTCTCCAACAGCTCAAGGATGGGATGGATTCGAAGGTCGGGTTACTAGCGCTCTGTCGCCCGAGAACATATGCAAGCCACCACCATCCGCCGATGCGTCGTACATTCCTGGCAATGGGTCGGATGCGTGGCCCGTGAACGCGTGACCGGTGGGAAAAGAGAGAGTCGTACAGAGTCGAGGGGGGCCCAGGCTCCAGGGACTTTGTCCAGGGCCACGGCTCCATCGTTTCCAGATGTCGCCTTCAGGTACCGGTTTCCTGGGACATTCCCCGGCCTCCGGGGCGAAATGACACGTCTTGACCGTGCCGCCAGCCGTGTGCATCGGTGACATGCAACCTTCTCCTTGAACTGCACACCGGGAGCTCTCTTCTCTCGGGTTTCCAGCCCCAATTGGCCGCGGCCACCGTCGTCCCCCTCCCCCCCTGCACGCATCGCTTCTCACTGCGCCGCGGACCACACAGTCTCCTCATCGAGATTTGCTTTTTGTGACATGGCTTGTGCCGTCGGTAATCGCCAGCCAGACGGCGGCGAGGGCTGTGGTGAATCATGCAGGCGCCACCCGAAGCCTCGGCGCCGGGTGAGCGAGGACAGACTGCACTGTAGACACGAGGCCTCTCTTTCTCGACGCGAATCTGTCTCTCATGCCTCGACGTTGGTTAGCAGAGGGCTTCGTACGGTAGCGTACGGCTGGGCGCATACACGCACATGGCACAATTCGCCTCGCAAAGGCCATCCGCGCACAGAGAGGGGTCGAGCTGGGAGGCCCCGAGGGATGCCATTGTTGGGGGTTCCATCGGTCCAGGGTCTTCTTGACCGGTCTGATGCCTCATATCCAAGCGAGCGAATGAGCGGCGTCGCAGGACGGGCTGCACAGGACTAACCGGACGACCGGACTCGGGATCTGCTGGGCATTTGCATCCTGGCATCCCGGTCAGCCAGGTCGAATCTAGCCGAAGCTGCCCCGTAGCCAGATTTTGTGCGGATAATCATCACGCAAATCCGTATCCGGCCATCGCTGTAATATCTGTATGTCCATACGTACATATGCTACATATGCGCGTGCCGCCTCCACACGCATATGGTCGTTTAGGTGCTGCGGGCTTGCACGTGACTATGCAAACGTGGTCGTGTTGTACTTTCGACTCATGAGGTGTCCAAGTAATGGAATGCTCTTCTCACGTGCCATCGTCGTCACAATTGAGCCTTGGTTGCCTGCCTAGTATCAGTAAGAGCCTCCGTGAGGCAACTTCTGGGCATTATAGACATTTGGATGGGGCAGGACTGTGCGCTTTGGTTCCCAAGCACTGTACGTGCTGTAGCTTCCAACAATGGCGGGCATGCGATTGGCCAAGCCAGATTACCTAATTGCCTTCCCCCCGACCCCGACCAGCGACGACCTCGTTCCCTGATCGACGAGCCTCCAGCCAAAGTGTGCAACTGTTCCCCATTGACGCCGCCAGCCCTGCCAACATGTTTGTCGCGCGACAACGGGCGGGCTGCCTCGCCCGCCAGCTGCAGCGGCCAGCTCGCAGCTACGCCTCCGACGCTCACGGACGCCACGCTGCCGCCGCCCCGGTCAACGAGTCGTTTGGGGTATGGGCCCCTTCACCCACCACTGCGCGGCAATGCCCTACACGAGGCTAACTGCCCCTTCTTCTCCCCTCTCCCATCGTACAGAAAGGTGCCGTGTCCGCTGTCGCCGTCTTCTTCGGCGGCGTCCTATTCTACCAGTTTGTCCCCAAGGAGGGCGAGGAGTCGGCCGTCTCGAATATAATCGGCAAGTACCTCTCGAGGCCCGAGGACTGGGAGGAGATCAACGCGCTGCACACCAAGGCGATGGAGCAGGCCGGCTTCGACCGAAACCTGTTCGAAAACGCATCCAACAAGCACAGATTTGTCAACGTCTCGTACCCCGAGTATGCCGCACTACCCTGTTCCCTGCGCGCGTCCTGGAACACCATCACCACAGCGCAAGAGAAGAGGCCAGAGGCTGACATGGATCCAGGGCGCTGCATTCCCACGCGCCACGAAACATTCGGGCCGGCCACATCAGAAACCTCGATGACGTTGTTAAGCACTTTCGGCAGCAGCATATCAAGGACGAGGAGCGGAAAGCCAAAAAGCGGGCGGAGCAGCAGCAATGAGAATGCGTCTGTACAGATAGAGGCGGCTTAAAAACCATGGCTTCGGATCATCAAGCATGCGTGCTCTGGGTGCGCGTCGTTTACCCACCGAGAACAATACGTGAAGTCATCATGCTCCTAACCGTTTTACTCGTTGAGGGAGACACTGCAAGTTGGTCGATGTGGTTCATCGGGGCACGCAAGAGCGACACACCAAGTCGTTGCTGGGCACAGCATCCCCAGCCCTACAATCTAGGATGGAGGGGAACAGACGCCAGGTCGAGGCACTCCGTCGGAGCTTGTGTAGTTCCCTTTCGGGATTCAAGTGTTCCACACAGGCGAGGGCAATCAATTGTCTCCAAACTACCAGTACTACAGTACTGTCAAGGATTCAAGGTTTTCAATCGGACTTGTGGTCCAGAAGAAAGCCAGGTCTCACTCTTTAATGTGACAGGCGGCTTCGTTGTAGTGCCTCTGGCATTTTGCCACAGCAGCCGCGAGATCAGCATGGGCATGTCACCTAGGGCCAGCAATTGTACCACCGAGAAAACAACCTGGACAGTCAAGACAGTTCGCTGAATATTGCGGACTCTGACAGCAGCGTGGCCAGCAGAGGCGTGAGGCCGACGTCCCGGGATGAGGGGCAATTCAGACGAAAAGAGGGCGGTGCTTCTTTATTTTACTCTCATGGTACCCATTGCCATCAACGACTTCGATAGAGGCGCCGCCACTCTACCAAAATTCATTTCCCATTTCGCCCGTAACAGTCCGTGAATGCAGAAACCACCCGAGACCACAACCTCCTTATTTGAGGGGAATGAAACGCGAAGAGTGCGTGGCGCCGATACCGGGACGGCCGTGCTTGACGGGCTTGCTGCACGGGGGGTCAGCAACTGTCCTTGTTCTTGGTGCAGGCCGGGAGGAGTGGGACGAACTATGAGATGGAGAACTCGGCCAGGTAGTGGCCAACCATCTCAGGCTTGATCTCCACCTGGTTGAACTCCTTGCCAGAGTAGATGCCGATGACGCTGCCAATCATCTCGGGGACGACAATCATGTCACGAAGGTGAGTCTTGACGAGGTCGGGCTTCTCGTTGGGCTTGGCCTCCTGCTTGGCTTTGCGGAGCTTCTTGATCAGGCCCATGGGCCGGCGCTTCAGGCCACGGTTGATCCTGCGACGGGCACGGGCGTGGACGACATCGCGCAGCTGGTCGGAGCTGAGGTCCAGGAGGCTGCGAGCAGAGAAGACATGTCAGTACCGATGGTCGTCCCTGCATCACACGGCTTTCGAATGCCACTTGCGGGTGCCCGCTCTCGCCGTCGCGGGCCGACGAAACGTGCTATCGTGGCAACGTACTTGTCAAGATCGATTCCGCGGTAGGAAAACTTGCGGAACGTTCTTCTCTTCTTGAGCTCGGCGGCCTCCTCGGCGTTCTACAGCACCATCATCAGCGACCCTGGTTCGAGGGCGATTGTGCGTGGCAAGCTGCTGCCGTCGCCGGCGTCGAGGACACACATACATATTCGTCAGCCATGGTCGCGGTGTTGTGAGTGACGGATTCGCCTATCGATGCGCTGGGTATCGACGAGCGAATGTGGTGACGGGGAATGGAGTCGCTGAGGCACTCGGAGTCGCTTGCATGTAGGCAAGCTCGGACACTCCAAATTTTGCCGATAGGGCTTTCATGCCCTTCAGCCCCTCCATGCGTCACGTGCTGACCCACACATTTATCTGTTACGACCCGCGCCACAGTTAGCCCCGTCCGTCCCCTGCCCGCTCGCCCGCGCCACACATGCTGCGCGCGCTTGTGGCATGAGGAAGGTCAATGGTGGAGCTGGAACAGACGTGCCAGGGGAGATTTCACAGTGAGGACTGGGACCTCGTAGAAGCCATGTCGCCTTTCCAGGCGAGGTGACGAAGGACTTCAACGACATCCCACCGCGTCTCAAACCACTCATCGGCGTTGCGGTGACGAGGTCAACTCCAGACGAGCCACCGACCGGTACAGCCTGGCACATCAAAGGACGTTCAAGGCACTACCACCTAAGCTGTCCAGCTGGCGCGAGTTGGCGAGGCGTCAGTGTCTTCGTGCATGATGTTCGAAGACCCCTACTCTGATAGGTAGATACAGAGAACCATTGCGCCAGGCAAAAGCGAAGCTCTCCGACCATGACTGAAGAGTCCAATCAACAGGACAAATCGCCTTAACCGGAAGATGATGTTACGACAAATCGACAAATCATCCCTAATTTCCTTGTGCAAACCATTTGTATTTCTCCCCTTCACGCTGCAGCAAGTCAACCATCATATATAATGCACTGCCGGTAGGTGAGTCCTGCGCCTAACACGTGCTTGCACTTCTTGTACGTCTTGATGAATGAGACTTCGGCGTGCTCGCGCCTCGAGCAACATGCACGGTATGTCCTTATGCATCTTCTACTACGCACGGCACATGCTACCGCTCGGCAGCGAGTTGTCGGCACCGGCAATTGCAAAGCATGCAGACCAGCAAGTTGGTGACCACCGAGGCGATTGTGGTTGACTTGACTTTTGACCTTGCAAGCTGGTCGGCTTTGCTTTGGGCCTGGTCACGATAGGTTCAAGAGTACAGACAACCCGACCAAAGTACACCTGTGTGGTCAGCTTGGCATTGGTGGAGGGGACAGCTTGGCCGTTCGTACACTGCCGTCGGCAACTTCAATTACAATACCAAGCAAGTGGATGACTTAGGGAGCAGGGGGAAAGGCTCATGGTTGAGAGACTGTAAACTGCGTAGTAAAGCATCTGGCTGATGAGGGTCGGGGTCCCTCCCCACGAGAGCAAGGAGCATTTGCTGCCTTTATAACGATGATCCTCGGAAAGAAAAGGAAGAAACAAACAAAGACGTGGGCACCCAATGTATTTGCCCCTGCAACTCATCCCAGTTTCTCGCGTGCCAGTCCCTCTATATCATCCTTGAGATCCGTCGCCATTGGCGGGAGCCGAGAGCTGTGTTTGAAGTTCTCTTAGCCCTGCTGGTATTGGATTTTCTACTAGCCAGAGGTGTTTTTGACAGCTGATGCCCGTCCCTAAGCGGTCTCGGTCCTTTGAATCTTTGTCGAACCGATAGTCTTTCCTCTGGGGTCATCGGGCCAACTCTTCCTCAGTCGGCATCCCCTTGAGCTATAACTTGAAGCCATTGCCGACTCGGAGGAAACCCTTGAGTTAACAGACACGGCCTCAGCCTCCTGTCAGCCCCAACCATCATGGTCCGCCTTTGAGATGAAGACGGCAAAAGGCGGCGGAAGGCGGCGGAAGTCACCCGTGTTGGGTCGTCTATCTTCATTCTGGGCGTCGCCTTCCGGAGGTTCAGCCGATACAGGTTGCTAGTTATAGACACCGTGCCCAATCGCTGGCTGCCATTGAGGGTCCAACACCTCCATTGGCCGGAGCTTCATGAAAGTTATACTCGTTGTATAAGCTGGTACCACGGCTTTCAATTCTCCCCCTGGATAAGAGTCGGGCTCGAGAGAGAGTAACATGAGAGTGCCTTGCCGGTCCCTCTCTCGGTCGGGTCGTGGCCCGGCTGACAGGCCGGCAATGCGAAAGACACGGCGGGCGGGTTTGGCCAAGCTTTGGTTTCCCTGAGTCTGCAACTTTCAAGCTGTCGATAAAGTACGAGTAACGGGGATGCGATAGAGTACGAGCAAAGAGGAATGAGAAAACAAGTGGGCACCGGCTGTGTATCGCGGAAGCACAGCCTGCGCGCCTCGACAAGAACGCCGCCAACGGCATGCAAGAAATCACAAGCAAAGGAAAAGAAAGGCTGCAGATGGCAACAACGACATGGGACGATGGCTGCCCACATTGGGCCTTGGCGGCCTCGGTCTCGACGTCGCTTCGTCGCTCCGTGGCCGCCAAGCCTAGGGCACCTTTACCCACTCGCCGCGCCAATGATGTATTTTCCGCCCTCATCACCAAGTCGCCGAACCTTGGTCCGGCTCGGGCTCGTTGCAGCTGCTGCCTGGGATCTCGGTGCGGGCGCGAGAGCTGTCGTCGCCAAGGCGTCTGCTTTTCGCCTTGTACCGTCGGTTGGTTCTGATGCCAGCACAGGCCCTCGAGATCCAACGCCTCTCGCACGATAGCGGCCCTCGCCAAGGCCCGACGTTGGAGTCCTTTCTCCTCTTCCTCGCCCTCCGACTTCTCGAGCCACCCAAGGTCCCATCTCTCACTCGACCCTTCCCGCGGTGAACGACTGCCCAGGCAATGCATGCGGACTCCGGCAGAGGCGACACGAGCTTCGGACCTGGTCGCAGACTGCCAAATATCGCCCTCTGTCCGCATCGCTAGGCGACTCACCTTTGAGCTCGACACCGAGGGCGAAAGGTGCGGCAGCGGCTCGCCGGCCTCTGGTTCTCGAAGGCACCTAGAATGTCGTCGTCGTCGCCTGAGCCTGTCACAGGCCCATCCGCCCACCTACCGAGCTCGACCACGGCATCGTCCTCACCACGACTGCTGCCTCCTCCGGCCCAGAGGCCTCTCGCGACCGAGGTCTTCCCGCACGTGACGACGCACTGGACAAAGCCGCAGAGCTGTACGTGGACTTATGTAGCCGACAGCCAGTCCCGGCCCGCCTCCCAAGGTGCTGTTGCCTGGCTGGATCTGCAGCCCATACCCGGCGCAAGCACCCTGTCATGCTACCCCGACGGCATGTTCTCCGGGGGACGTACGGGAGTCTTTAGCCCGGCCACTTGCCCCAGTGGCTGGACGACCGTGTCTCTTCGCATCAATACCGAGAAAGACTTGGCCGAGCCCGTCACCACCACAGCCGTGTGCTGCTCGTCGTATGTGGGCATATTCAAGGTTCGCTTTCCCGGCACACCCGCTGACCCGCGTTGCGTAGCTACTACACTCTCGACGGCTCTTACTGTAAACGCTCGGTTCCAACCGTGCTGGCCGTTCCAATCACTTACAATCACACGGCTGGTACATACGAGGTCATGTCGAGCTCGACTACGACCTTGTACAGTGCCACCATTGCCGTAAACACCATCCGCGCGCTCTTCATGGAGCAGGACATGAGCCTGCTGGGCCTGACGGACGACGAGGAGATTAGTGAGGATGAGGTTCATGGGAACCCGCTCCCGCTAGGGGCGCGCATTGGCGCTGCCATTGGGGTGGCCATATTTTCCCTGCTATCCATAGGGGCAGTCATATTCTGCCTGTTGCGGTGGCGGCGGTCGCGGAGGAGGCAGGCCAAGGGGCTCAGATCGCACGAGCTCGGCAGTGTGTATGGAAGACGGCTTCGCACCCACGACTCTCTTGCGGTACGCGAGGGCCATGCGGCTGAACCACCACCAGCATACGAAGCCTCTGGGCCGACGAACGGCTTCCGGGGACGCGGGGCCGACAATGCCCGGCAGGATGAAATCAGGAGTCTTGTGGCACAAAAGGAAGCCATCCAGCTGCGCATCGAGGAGCTGGAGAGGATAGGTACGGATGCTGAGGCAATATCACGGTGATTCTCCGATGGCGCAGCTTTCCGGGCATACAGAGTAGTTGCCGGCCTTGTTACCCAGCAGTGACGCAGCCAAGCTGGTGCGAGACAGGGGACCGACGCCGCATCGTGGTGAAGTTCGGACGCACATGGCCACCCGCGCTTTCGTTTCAAGGAGCCCGAGGTCGTTGGACACGCTCAGTGGTGTCTTGGGCAATGCCGGTCCATCCCACGCGGAGGTGTTTGTGTGTGTTTGACTCGCGTTAGGAGCTGTAACGACTGACGTTAGCAGACTGCTACCTACCCTAGAGAACACGGACGCAAGGTCCCGAGCGGGAGCACCCGAATCAAAAACAGGACCGCCGGTCAATTGACGAGGCGAGGGATAAAGTCGGCACGCATTAATTAGCGCTCTGTCATCTCCGGGTTGATGCTGTCGACGTCTGCCGTGTCTGCATCTGTCAACCGCTTCTCGACGGCATCAGGTACTGCAGGGCTGCCAAGCAAGATCGAGCGAGGACTTTTTGATGCCGGTTGCCAAGTACCGATATGTAGCTTCTCATTACCTTCTTCCCCCGCGGTGCAGCAATGCCACGCAAATCAACCTCCATCCGTGGCTTTGGTACCTTCGCCAATGAACCTACCCACCAAGTATCGTGTTCCGTTTCCAGGCCCTGGATGAGGCTGGTCTTGGTGGAGCGCCCCTAGTGGTAGCCGGGCATTAGCGGGCAGGACGTCCCCTGGATCCAGGGCATCCACAATGCACGGCGCCAATTAGCGGTGAGGGAGTCGCTGAAACTTGACTCGACAGCGAGACAGTGACACCGTCCTTGCAGATACCCCACTGAACATCCCCCGGCTCGGTACCTGAGGTCACTCGAATTTCCAGACCCCGCCAATTGTAATTGAAGCATCCCCAAGCCCATGCCCCTATTCACTTCACGCGCTCCGCGCCTCTTACATCTGCCGCCCTCGTCAAGATCCCCAGCTTCTACCTGTCACGACAACATCTTTGAAATTGTCTTGGTTCGACAATGAAGGGCGAGGTGAGCAACAGCTGCGGTGAGAGCCGGGCGCTGTGGACGGACAACCTCTCGTCCGTCCTCCACGATTCATGCACTCATCATTGCTAACCCCTTTCCCGACAGATCCTTCATATTCACCTGGGCCAGGCTGGCACCCAGCTCGGAAACTCTGCCTGGGAGCTGTGCGTCAACTTGTCCCCAAGCCATCACCGCCGCTGACCGCAGCGGCTACAGTTACCTCTTAGAGCACGGCCTAGGCCCCGACGGCCGTCCCGACCCCAATGGCCCAGATGTCGGCGACCCGGGCTCCTTCGAGACATTCTTCACCGAGACGAGCAGCGGCAAGCATGTGCCTCGCTCCATCTTCATGGACCTAGACCCGTCCCCCATCGACGAGATCCGCACCGGCCCCTACCGCCAGCTTTTCCACCCCGAGTTGCTTATGAGCGGCAAGGAAGATGCCGCCAACAACTACGCCCGCGGCCACTACACCATTGGCAAGGAGATGGTCGACAGTGTCATTGATCGCGTTCGCCGCGTGGCCGGTGAGTTGTCTCCCAGCATCGCACGCGGGCCAACGCTGACTGACACGCCGGTGCGCAGACAACTGCCAGTCTCTCCAGGGCTTCTTGATCTTCCACTCCTTTGGAGGTGGTACTGGCTCCGGCTTCGGCTCCCTTCTCTTGGAGCGCCTGGCTACCGAGTACGGCAAGAAGACTAAGTTGGAATTTGCCGTCTATCCAGCGCCTCGCGTCAACACGGCCGTCGTCGAGCCTTACAACGCCGTCCTGTCCACTCACAGCACCATAGAGAATTCCGACTGCACCTTCCTTGTCGACAACGAGGCCGTCTATGACATTTGCCGCCGAAACCTCGATCTCCCCCGGCCTTCGTACGACCACCTCAATCGCCTGATTGCCCAGGTCGTCAGCTCCATCACCTCGTCGCTCCGCTTTGACGGTGCCCTCAACGTCGACCTCAACGAGTTCCAGACCAACCTGGTCCCCTATCCTCGAATTCACTATCCCCTGATAAGCTACGCCCCGGTCGTGTCCGCTGCCAAGAGTGCGCACGAGAGCTTCAAGGTCCACGACCTCACCTTCCAGTGTGAGTTTTGTACCAACCAAGTCCCTGGCAGCATCGTGGTACTGACGGGACCCAGGCTTCGAGCCCAACAACCAGATGGTTGTCTGCGACCCTCGGAACGGCAAGTACATGGCTGTTGCTCTGCTGTACCGTGGCGACGTCGTTCCCCGCGACTGCACGGCTGCCATCACCGCCTTGAAGGCCAAGGCATCGTTCAACCTTGTCGAGTGGTGTCCGACTGGGTTCAAGCTTGGCATCAACTACCAGAAGCCCGTGGCAGTCCCGGTCCCTGCCGAGGACGGCGGCCTGGCTTCCGTCGAGCGCTCCGTCTCCATGCTTTCCAACACGACTGCCATTGCCGAGGCGTGGTCTCGACTCGACCACAAGTTCGACCTCATGCACAGCAAGCGTGCCTTTGTGCACTGGTACGTCGGCGAGGGCATGGAGGAGGGCGAGTTCACCGAGGCCCGCGAGGATCTCGCTGCGCTCGAGAAGGATTACGAGGAAGTCGCCGCAGACTCCTACGAGCCCGAGGAAGAGCCCGAGTATTAACGGGGCCGTGGTGACACATCTCGCCCGCCCGACATGACTGGATGCTCGAACTTGATGCGGCGCCCTCTTTATGCTGGGCGTCGATGTGGTGTACAAAGACGGTTGTTGAATCATGGAAGCTGTGTTTGAATCAATGCTTTGGGGTCGTGCAAAGTTTGGGCTGTACATACTTCCGTCGCCCTTGGCATAGAAACCGGGTCCACGATGCTTTAGAAGATTGGTCGTTTTGTTGCCAAGTTTGATACTTGAGAGGATTCCCCAGCTGGATAGAAGCAGGCAGGCAAATTCGATTTCCGTTTCCTTGTCCCCGTCGTCGTGGTGCTCGTGCTTCGGCTTGAGCGGTCCGGGGCTGAGCCGCGGATAGAAGTCATATGAAGTGCATGAGGCGACAAGCGAAACCGGCTCGAGTCCCATGATCACCGCAGCTTCACTTGGTACGTGGCCATTCTTACAAAGCGTCAACCTCTGGCCCGTATGCCCCCCTTCAACTCGCCTACGCCGACTTCTTCCACCCCGCCGCCCGGCGCGCACCCCTGTTCTTGGGCCTCCCCGATTTCCCGGACGACTTCTTGCCCAGCTTGAGGTCCTTGGGGCGGCCGTCCTTGGCCGACGCCCTCCTGCCCTCGAAGACGATCTGCTCGGGCGACTTGTTGACGCCGCCGGGAGCCCTGATCCGGTGTTTGGCGGCACCAGCGCGGCCGAGGAGCTTGCCGGCACGCCCCGCGGCGGCCTGTTCCTCGGCCGTCGACTTGTGCTCGTACTTGGTTCTGCGCTCGGCTTCGCTGGATGCGATTGCCTTTGCCTTGATGCGCTCCTGGGCCGAGGCCGTCTTGCGGGGATCCTTTGCTCGGGTCACACGGAGCGGTCGGGGGAGCATGGGTGGAAACTTTTTGCCGTCGAGTAGCAGAGCAGATTCGACGTCATTGCCGTCCTGGTAGATGTTAGTTATGGTGAACAAAACCAGAGGCAGCCGTTGGACCTTGGACCAAAGCAGCCAGACTCACATAAAACTGCACGTAAGCAAAGCCCTTGCCCACCCTGGTCTTGGGATCTCGCACAACGCGGACGTTTTCCACCTTGCCCTGTTTCAAGAATGTCCTCCACAGTCCTTCTTCCACATCCGACGGAATCTTATTGCGCTTCTTCTCAACCGTCTTGCCTGTGCTGTCCGTCTTGAGGACCGTCTCGTCGTCCACGAAGCCCAGGTTGCCCACGAAGACGCAACGCCGGTGAGCCATGACACTTGGGTGGGCGACACTGTCTACCCTGATGTGCCGGCCCAAGACCTCGCTCCCATTCAGTTCGGCAGCAACCTTTCTTGCGGCTGCGGGCGATGAGAAGACGGCGTAGGCGTTGGCAGACTGGGTCGTAGCGCTCATGACCGACTTTGTGATGTAGGCAGCTCTCTTGGGCATGGAGCCGGTAGAAAAGGCGACGGAGCGGAAGCGGATCGACTCTAGCCTCTGAGGGGCTGCCGTGTCATTCTGATCGAGGACCGACGACAGGTGGGTAATGAGCATCTTCTTGGCCTTTTTGGAGGTGATGGCTTCCGCGGACACGTTGCCCAGAAACACGGTTCGGCCTGCCTTTTCCAGATCTGGTGCGCCGGAGTCTTGACCCAGGCTTTCATGCACAGGCACGTCTTGGTCGCCATCGACGTCGCCTTGTTCAGCTTTCAGGCGCTTCTCGGCGGGCTCGGTGACATCGTGCTTGGTCAGCTCCGCAAGATAGTTGGCTTCGAGGTCTTCGTTGTCTTCCTTTCTTTTGCGTTTCCGCTCTCGTCTTGGCTTTTCCGTCTCCGACGTCTCGTCGGCGGAGATGGCGTTGTCGGCACTCGTAGCTCTTTCGCCTTGTGCGTCATTCCTGGAGCCATCCGAGGTGGGCTCGTCTTCGTCGCCATAGTCTAGCTCTTGGCTTGCTTCAGAGAGGACCTCGTCGTCAACTTCCTGGTCGCCGACCTCTTTGTCTTTGGTGTCAGGCACACTGAGCTCCTGCGCCGCCGGATAGCGCGTCTTGAGAGGCGCTTTTACGGGTCCAGACTGGGCGAGGTGTCAGCCACAAGGCAAATTGGGACAATCCAAAGAGACGGAGAGACCAGGGAAGAGAGAGAGAGAGAGAAAGACTCGCGACAGCTTACACTGGAGGCGAAGAGGGCATCGAGGGTGGGGTCAATTGCTTTGGAGGCAAGGCCCAGCGCCGGCGTCGATTTTCTTGAAGCATGTGTCAGCCACGTCAAGACAAGGGATGAGAAAATAAAGAAACCGACACCGCAGCTTCTAATGCCGGTCTTGACGTACCTTTTGGGCATCCTGGGCAGCGGGATATGATGGGGCTCTTGCGAGAAGCGACGAGGTTTGTCGGCAGCCAGGCTTCTTCTCTGGTAGGTACGAAGTATGTATCGTAGATATTAGACCCGGGACTCGATGTTCACCGGAGGATAAAAATCGAACTTTTTTTTGTTGGTCCCAAAATCTCGGCAGCCAGCCAGGATCCCTGCGAGCGGAAGAATGCGTCATTGGCTTTTGCGGCCGCGGTTGGGCGGCGGAACCCCCCCCATGATCGCGTTTCTGCCCCCCGCCACCGCCCTGCCCCATCCATCAAAGCCCGCCTTTGGCGCAGCGGAAAGTCAGTCAGGCGCAGCTTTGCCGCCGCAGGAACCAGCAGCAGCAGACATTAGCAGTGGAGCTGCGCGCGAAGCCGTGCTCTCTCTCCCTCTCCCTCTCTCACTCTCTCCCTCTATTCTCTGCCGCCCACCCCCCGTCTCTCTCTCGCCTCCCGCCAGACCGCGACCTCCCATCGCCTCGCTTTTCCCTGCAGCCACTTTCTGCACTTTTGTTGGCCACTCGTCGACCGTCTTTTCTTCACTGCGAGCCCTCGCCTCAGTCGTCGCCTTCAACACGCGCCGCCGCACCCCGACGAGAACCGCATCGCTGGTTTCAAGCCGACCTTGTCTTCTCACAAATACCCAAGACGACGCGATCAATCTCCTCGACCTCAACGCACCCATGGCGGCGACCGCTGTAGCGCACGGCGCCCGGTCGCCCTCTGGGCCCGGTGCAGTCGATCTCGAGGGCAGTATCGTCTCCAGCCCTCTCAGCGAGGTTGAAGACGGCGACGCCAACGACCAAGATATTGAACACATGCAGCTCGACGGTCGTGGCCACATCGGCGACAAGTCAAGCGTCAGCGGCGACGACCATCGCATTGCCAACCACGACGGCTCCGACTCCGACAGCGCCCTCTCCGATGCGGCCTCCGACGTCAACTCGGATGTCAACGACACCGAGGCCGAGACCGAAAGACTATACGATACTCCCAAGAGCCAGAGGCATCGCGACGTAGTCGTCGACCAGTTCAACAATGGCCGGGTCTTCGAGCACACCCCCAGCAAGCTGCACAGAACCACTGGGGCCGAAGCAGACCACGACAATCGCGACGACTTGTCCGTCTCTGGTGACGAAGAGTCTGTCGCCTCCAGCTTGGCTGGGAGAGAAGACTCGCCCGCGAAGCCCGCCACGGCGAATGATACGAGCATCGACGAGGATGCCAAGCTCGACTCGCAGGACCGCAAGCGCAAACGGTCCCCGATAGTTGATCAGTCCGAGCCAGACCAACCGCTTAGGAAGCGAAATGGCTCGCTGGGAGCACCAGGGGCGACGGTCGAACAAGACACGCCAATGAACGAGGATGATAGCACGTCAGCGAACCCTCAGAGCGGCCACCAGTCCGGTGGCGAGGACGAGGCCAGCTCTACGTCAAACCGAGACGCCACCGTCGAGGCACCAGAACGAGAAACAAGGAAGTCGAAGCGCAATTCATCCAAGCGCAAAGGGCTACTCGCTGGCGATGCGGCCGGTGGGGCCGACAGCGACACGCGCGAGTACCCGGCGGATGTCGCGGTCGGGGACGAAGCTGAGCACCCTGAAGAGGAGCCGGACGGAGACGCGGAAGAGGAGGCGGATCTTGCAGCCAAGAACATTGAAGAGAGTCAGTCGTCTCCCCCGAGGTGAAATGCGGTGCATCGCTAACGCCGACGCAGTGGAGAGGAAGCACGCCGCCTTCAGAGACTGGACACACATCGAGGATATGTTCAGCGTCTTCAGAGAGAGGTTCGTTAAGAGCACCCACCAAGCCCATGCAGAGCGCTGGCTGACCCCGGCCCGCAGGCTTTACAAAGACCGCCTCCAGCGGCTGGAGGAGGAGGAGCAGTCTCTCCTGGCTGACGAGCCCACACATCCCGAGTACCTGAGCATGAAGAAATGCATCGACGAGCGGCTGGACAAGAGATTGCAAGAAGCCGACGCAGAATACGAGCTCCAGATGACGGCCAACGACCGACGTGCGGTGGCGGAACGGGCACAAATCTGGAGCCAATTCTTCCAGGCCGTGCGCGAGAAGAGGGAGCAGGCTTTGGAAAGGCTGAACCAACAGTGGTACGAGGTCCAGAGCGCCAGGCGGAGCGCGCACAGCCTGCCCGACTATGGCCTGCTGTTCCCCAAAGACCCTGCGCAGCGGGTTCGAAACGCCATCGCGTACAACACAGAGGTCTCGACGCTTGCGGGCTTGGCCAAGTACGAGGGTTTCCCAGCTGGCCCCGAGCTCAAGGGTGCGTCAATGAGTGAACTGGAAGCCGATTTGTCTGCCATTGAGGTACTATTCGGAACCCGCTTTTGCTCGTGGAATCGTCTCTGACCTGGCTTCTCCTCCTAGCACGTTCATCATGGCCGCCAGAAGCATACGGCTCACCACCAGCCACGCGAAGAGTACCACACGCCAACATTCAGCCGCCTTGGCCCCGCGGGAGAGCAGTTCATCAAGGACACGCCATGGGCTAACCCCAACCACTCGGCTCATAAACTGCACAAGGAGCCGGCCCAGACAGACGGCCCCGCCAAACGAGCGACTCAGTCCACCAGTCGCCCTCCAGCGGACGTCAAGGCGACTTTTGACGGTCAGTTCAGGGCTCACATATCGCCTGCACTGTCCAATCGAGTGTCCGAGTCGCCGGAGATGGCGCGCGGCATCCCGAACCAGGCTGCGCATCCGATGAAGCGGGTAAGCAGCATCCCAAAGCTTGCGCGCGGATCGAGGGCCGCAGCGGCCTGAGGACCCGCTCCTGAACTGCCGCGAACAGGCGGGCGGTGCCCTGTGTCGACGACTAGACCATGATGCTTGACTTACACTGCGTTTCGGATAATGTGATACCCCAAGAAGATATGTCGGCTTTCTGCCTTTCTCTCTCCTTTGTACACGACTTTGTTCTCGTGCTGGCGCTACTACTGCATATCAGGCGCATGGTTTCTGCCGGAACGGCATCGGCGGCGCGAGATGCGTCTGGGGCACGGGAAAGAGGGTATGGTTGGCGAGCGAGCCACTTAGTAGTCGCTAGGTCTCTTGTCGCTCTTTATGATCCACTTTCCATTGTCTCCTACGTCTCTCCTACTTGTGTACTTTGGCTTTGGGACAATGGATACAACTGGCCTCAATCATACATGTTGGTTGGAGGCCGGTGTGCGCCGGTGATATTGTACATGAAGAACCCGAAGTCATGAACGGCGTTTATAGGCCGGCAAGAAGCGAGGTTGGGCAAACCCATTTCTCGTCAACCAGTCAAGTTTCGAATTTCGGCCCTGGCCCCTAGGCCGAGTCGCGGTGAACATGGCACTGCTCAGAGGACTGGTCTTTCCCGGGTTGGCCTTGCAATCGTGGTGATTTTTGTCACGGTTTTTGCGACGTGCTCTTCCTCATTGTTTCTTTGCCGGCTGCCGAGGGGTATCTGGGACCTTGACATTGTCAAAGTTATCCTGGCCGACAGCGTTGAGGGTGTAGTAGTCTATGACAGTGTACCATCAGCCTTGCATCCATCTGAGCCAGAGGGGGGGAGCATGGAGCATACAAATGCCGCCCACGACCGTCAGCAGTCCTAAACCCGTGATTGAGTTTTTAAAGAGGTAGGGTCGTCGGGCACGGATGAGCGCCGGACCTTGGCGCAGGCGGCGGTCGTAGTAGGTGGAATGCGCACTGGTCGATAGGTGAGCATTTGCTTCGCCGCGAGCACGTGTGAGGGGGGGGTTCAGGCTTACTCGGGCATTTTGAGTGTGCGAACTGTTCACGGAGAGACCGCAGAGATAGGTGACGGCAGGAATCGCTCGTGGAGATGATGGCTATTTCAAAGGGTCCAGAGTGAAGGGTGGTGGTGAGGTTAAAGCTGGGCGGGTCAAGGTCGGGTAAATGCCGTGGTTTGACGTAAGGCTCCGGCTTCCAGGGTGCGGCGCAGTGCCCTGTTTTTTACTCCCTCGCGACCGCTAACCTACCTTGGGCTGGCGCCTGAGCGAGCACAGAGCTGTACAGAGTACCCACCAGAGCCTACAGGGGATTGGGGCGCGTCAGGTCTCGTTCGCCAAAGCCTCGCCAGCTGCTCGAGCAGCATCAGCTTGTTGAGGAATCGAAGCCAACCTCACACCCCCGCACCCTCACCCTCACCCTCACCCTCGGGCTCCCCAGGTTCATCACCACGAGGCTGCCGCCGGCACGTGCGCAGCCGAGCTCTGGAGACGGCATTTGACGCTCGGCGCAAGAAGAGAGTTGCTGATTCTGGCAGCCGAGCCCAGTCGCGAATTGCATTATCGCCACAGCTCGCTTGCGCCCATGGTGCCGCCTGGTCGACGTCGCATGCCCACGCCAACACATAACTTTCCTCTGAATACCCCCGTCGCTGCGCAGCAACACCAACACCACCACCACCACTGGCGGCAGCACCCCGAGCGCGACCATGTCCTCGACACTCTCCGTCCCGGACCAGATCCGCCAGCTCAATGACGCCCGCAAGCTCGTCCTCGGCGATGTCAAGTACTATCCGAGCGTAGTGAGGGGGATTTTGCCCATCATCGGCCCTACGGCCCCCGTCGAGCTGCGACAATGGGGTGCCGAGTTCCTGGCCGAGGCCTTCTCGACGCCCGCTTTGCCCAACGGGGAGAAGGAGACGATGCAGCCCTACGTGCTCGCCACGCTCGAGTCGCTGGCCGAGAACGAGAGAGAGGACGCAAGGGTCCTGCGTAGCGTCATACAAACAGCGGCGAGCATATATCCGCTCGCTCTGCGATGGATGTACGTGCAACCTGCTTTCCTTCTTGACCTCTCTCCCACCCAGCGCGGATATGCTGACAAGTGGCTTGTAGCATCAACAACGGATATGATACCGTCACCTGGGAGAGAATGGTGAGCATCAAGCAAAAGATATTGCGGATATGGGACAACGCACCGCCTTCGGTGAGGATCTGCTGCGTCAAGTTTGCCCAGCGCGTTGTGCTTGCACAGAGCGTGGCCTCGGGCTCTGAATTCAGGGTTCGTCTGCCTACTTCCTGATGGCCTTGGAAAATCCTGCTGATGACTGTCACATAGCACGGTGGCGCTCTCGATGTGTCTCTGGACAAGGTCCCGCCTAATCATCAGTCTCTCGATGCGCGTACCCTTGAGGCAGAAGCTACGGGCCTGCTGGATCGCATGTTGGGAGTTTTGGAGGGCAGCAGGTGAGTGGGCATTCTATATACTGCCGGGGTGGAGTCCCAGCTGACGGCTCATAGCGATGCCCTCGTTGTCGACGCTACGATAAACTGCCTATCCATCTTGGTGCGGACGCGGCCCGCAACATCGGGTCGGATCCTCAACGCGCTGCTCAACTTCAACCCCTTACAGGCGGCCAACTCGCCCATGACACCCAAGCTGCGTGTCATGATCAAGTCGATGGAGAAGACGGCACGGCTGTTGCTCATCCACCTCAGCAAGAGAGACCCCCACAACCCCATTGTCCCGCGGATACAGCAACACGTTGAGCGGACGATGCGGGCGGTGGCAGAGGTGATTGACGACTCGGCCAAGAAAAGGCCCTTGGAGCCTCAGCAGCAGGACGGCGTCGATGCCAAGCGCCAGCGTACTGCGGGATCCCATGTTCCCATCCGGCCGCTTGGACCCGGACCGCACTCGCTGGCTGACGTCTTCACCCTGTTGAGTAATGATGAGCTCAAGAACTTTGACATTTCACAGTTGCCGCTGGGGTTGGTGGCCAAAGTGTCGGTGACTGCCCTCGCGGGACTCGACCTCGAACTGCTGACCAAGGCCGTCGATGGCGTCCGGGGCCGCCTCATCGAGCTGGCGAATGCGCCAGCGCCGGAGTTGAACCCCAACACTGCGCCGCTGGGCGTGGATGACGACGACGACGACTACGAGCCGGACTTTTACCAGGCCGAGGACACGGAGCAGATACTCAACAAGCTGGACGGCACGTCGGCGGCGCCGGAGCTGCCTGGGCTAGACGGGAGCCTGGCCTTGGCATCCTTCAGCCTCCCTCAGCCGGCGGAGCTAACGCAAGAGGTGGCGCTCAGGGCGGGCAGCGAGACGGTGACAAGAGTAGTAGAGATGATGAAATCGCTGGAAGAACCGGCGATAAAGAGGACCAAGGCCGGCTTCAGCCGTCTGGCGGCCAGCTCCGGAAGCCGGGACGCGTGGATGTCGATTCTCACGCGGCTGGCGACTCGATCGTCGGCAGGCCTCGAGGAGAAGTCGGTCAAGAGCGAGGACGGCGAGAAGGCCGAGGAAGCATCCGCCGCCGAGCGCCTCAATGCCAGCATCCGAGAAGTGTTGTACAACTACGTGATGGAGGATTTCCGCAGACACATCGACGTGGCCGTGTCCTGGCTCTGCGAGGAGTGGTACAACGACAAGATCCAAGGACGGAGCGAGGGCGACCACCCTGAGTACTACGAAAAGTGTACCTTGCGGCTGCTGGGCGGCTTCCTGCCATACCTGCACCCGCAGGACAAGATTCTAACGCGATTCTTGAGCGAGATTCCAGAGCTCAACCGGACGATCCTGTCGCAGGTCAAGCACATGTGCCGCGACCCCAGCGTGACGCAACTGGCGCTGACGAGCCTGCTATACCTGGTGATGATGCGGCCGCCGATCAAGGAGGTTGCGCTGGACACGGTGCAGGACATTTGGACAGAGTGTGAGTCGAGATGCGATGCGGCTGCTTTTGCCTGCGAAGCTAACCTTGTCCTGACAGTCGAGGACGCGCGGCCGATGGCTGGCAAATATCTGGCCAAGTATCGTCCTGCATTTTTGGAGGCGGCGAACAAGAGCAAGGTCGAGGGTGAGGGGGATGGACCGACGGCGGTGGCAATTGCGACATGAGGCTTGAAAGGTTCGATGATGGCCTGTTGTAAAAGATGAAAGGGAATACTTGAGACAGCGGCAGGCGTTTGGAGGGAAAGCTGGGCTATTACTTTGCCGGGTAGTCATGATGGAAGGCGAAGAGAGCATAGGTGGCTGCATGAGCCGTGGAATAAGGAGCCAGGGGTAAAAGGGAGGGCAGATGAAGGATTGAGAGCTGCATCTCTTGCTCTGCTGTGTCGTGGAGCCATATGTCTACGAATACAGCAGTTGTGTAACTATACCGGCGACACAATCGATGAGCGATGACGTGTGGCGAGCGTCTTCTCCGTACTGTACGTGTGCAGGCTTGCGAGATACGGATGCCGAGGCCCGATGAATCAGCATCAACCTCGATTGGGCCTGGCCGCGCGGATCGCCGTTGCTGGGTTACCGGCCGTCCGATGCCAGCATTCTCAGGACGCTGCGGCCGTTTCACCAGCGTGTGTGTGCGTGAGCGTGTGTGTGTGTGTGTGTGTGTGTGTGGGTGGACGGGAGATGGGCAGCCGGGTAGCGGCTACCTCGGAGGCAAGTACTGTTTTTCAATGCAGACTCCCCCCCTCCCTCCCGCATGGCTTTCTTTCCCTCCCCCGCCGGTGGAGAAAGTCAACATCAACAATACGACCATGCTGCGGGGCAGTAAAGCAATCAAGGCTTCTTTTCAGATCATGTAAGTTTGATGAAGGTTGAGCGAGAGCATGAGCTGGCTGTCCGTTGGAGGCGCAGTGCTTAGACGCGCGCGGAGCAGGGCGCTGCGAAACGTAGGAGCAAAGTCTAAAATCCTTGGCTCGGCCCCTCTTCCGCAGCGGGCAGACACCGCTAAAACCAGCGTTATTAGCCAGGGTTCATGCCCCGTAATCCAAGCTGCTGGTCACAGCCTCAGGGACGTGGATAGGGTACAGGACCGGGCGGTAGCAGCGACCAGTGCCAAAACAGGACGGCCGCTGGAGCACCTTTGATCAAAGTACCCGGTACCCTAAACTGCCGAGGAAACACGGCGGCACCTCCGGGTCCCGTCTACTTGGTACAGACAGCCTGAAAACCTGCATTGATCTCAGGCCAAGGTCTCCGTACCTGTGATGGTCGGTCCCCTGTTCGACGTCAGTCCAAACTCACTGGCCCTCGCTCCACCGTCCAAGTCGCCAATCTACGCGCCAAACAAGCTCCCCGACAAAATCCCCGGACGCTCCCTCACCTTGACCGCGATTTGCTTCCCGTCGTCAACCCTCGCCGCCTCTCGCTCGCTTCCCGTCAACCAGGCCGCGCGATATGCCCCGGAGCCGCCTGCTGAAGCGACCTTTTGCTGGCCAACAACACGTCTCCGCCGACGGTAGGGACTCCCCTTGCTCACTCTCTCTCTGCCTCCCCCTGCCATGGCCTATCGGCCGAGCCTCTCACCCCCCTCGTGCTTGCTGCATGCGTTACGCGCTCATCACAAACAAGAAGTCGTGTCTCATCAACATTCTCATCCCCTCCCCTTCCTCTCTTTCTGTCGAGCGTTGATGGCACCTGGCTAACAACGAAACCTTGGCTCCCCTCGACCAGACTCGACACCCAATGACCCCGGCCTAGATGCTCAGCCAGTCAAGACGCTGACTCCCGCCTCGACCGCTGCCCTCAACAGCATGAACGGCCGCGTAAACGCAGCCACCAAGCACGCCCTGGCACGCTCCGCCACCATCCGCAGCGTCCCCAGCTTCGAGGGCTCCGAGTCAAGCCCCGACAGCAAGCGCAGCGCCTTTGCCAGCAGCGTCAACAGCACCGCCAGCGCTTCCTCCGCCATGCCCGCCACCCAGTACGAGAGGCCCTCGCCCGCCGTCCGGTTAAAAGGCGAACTGGCACACGACATCCCCGTCAAATGGAGTCCAAAGGGCTCTCCCCACACTCTCGACTCCTCCATCCTCTCCGACGGCCCCGAGCCCGACCCCGGCCACTGGGACTCGACCATTGGCAAGGCCGGCCTCGGAAAGACGGGCCGCGTCATCAACAAGCTCGTCAGCGACAACGATGCCCTCAAGCGCGACATCCGCATCGAGCGCCTGCGCGCTCACGAGGCCAAGGAGGCCGCCAAGCTCATCGAGGACAAGATGGAGCGCATCATCAGCGACTACGAGGCCCGCCTGCTCGAGGCCAACGTCACAAAGACCCTCCTGACGAGAAAGGAGCGCCAGGTCGCCAACTTGACCGCCACCGTCGAGGCCGAGAAGAAAAAAGCCGCCGCCGCCTTGGAGCGGGAAAAGAACTGGCAGCTCGAGCTGGACAAGGTCAAGACCGAGTCCACCCAACAGATTGAAGAGGCCACGAGCTACGCCCAGCTCATGGAGGGCCGCTACAACGCCATCTCCTCCCACTGGCGAGACCAGGGCGACGACGTCAAGCGCGCCCTCTCCAGGATCAAGGGCGACATCGGATCCATTGTCGAGGAGCGCAAGTCGGACGACGATAAGATCCAGACCCTGCGGGAACTGTGCGAGCAGCAGGACGGCAACATCAAGGAACTCCGTCGCGAAAAGGACGACATATCCCGCCTCTTTGACGAGTACAAGAAGACGCAGGAAGACGACCTCCGCGACATTAGGCTCAACGCAAGCAGGAGGGAGCAGGAGCAGGAGAGGGTGCTCGACGAGTCACGGCAGGCCCTCGCCAAGCTCAAATGGGCCCTCAACGTCAAGCAGAACGTCAAGGACGCCCAATAGCCTCTCTCGGCCGATGACGGCGCCATGCCTCACTGGCCCCCATTCTTTCCCTAGACGCGTCGACTGCTCCGAGGATTGTACATATTCCTCTCGCCCCTCCCGCTTCCTCTCGGTCTCAATCGGAGCTCGTCGACGTTACGAATAGAGCGCGCTTCTACATGACGATGCACTTTGTCCCTCTTCCCGGTGGTTCTCTCCTTGGCCTTGTTCTGCTTCTCAGCTCACGAGATGGATGGCATCGGTTTTGTCTGGTCCGCTCCCAGGATACTTTGCCCTTTGGCTCGGTTGTCGACGCGCAGCACGACGGACATTCACGAAACGCGGCGCTGGGGAGTTGTCTTTTTTTTCTTTTCCTTTTCCCCTCCCTTTTCCTCTCTCGCCTTTTGGCCCCGGCCTTGAGGCTGCCCACCTCCTCCTTATCTCGGCGCACTGTGTGAGACGCGAAACCACCCCCTGGCCAGTTTTCTTTTCTTTTTCGTCTTTGCTCTCTGCCGCGCGCTTTCTTCTCCTCTACCCCTGTTGTTTGGGTTCTTGTTTGTTCACGCGCTCGTGCTCCGGCGGCTGAAGCTGGCTTGCGCCGGCGGCATGGCCCCCTCGCCGTGTCTTGGACGAGGAGGGGACGGATGGGCTTGGTGGGCTGGAGCGACAACGTTGGTGGTGCTTGTGCGGCTTTCCCTTTCTCTACTATGTTTGGCACATTGAGGGATACCCCGGCTGGCTGGCTACGAATATATTTTGCCCAATGAATGCTTCTTTCCCATCTCGTTGAGAGCCTGGCTGGCATCATGGTCGTGGCATTTTTGAGCGTCGGCGCAGCGTCTTGCTTCGGGCGACTGACGATGGGACTCTGGGGCCTCGACGCCGCATAATTGTCGCACCCTAGGTCATTCATATAGATCTTCAATGGAGACAATCGGTTTCTTTGACGCACGTCTCCTCCGGCTACCTCGGCTGCCTCGAGCTACAAGAAACCTGGCATCTGCGGGCCAAGTACAGGAGCTCGGGCTCGGAAGTGCCGCCTTTCCCCGTCCCCCCGAGGCCGCGCCCGTCGCTTACCAGAAGACTGACTCTCCCCCACAGCGCTCCTTGGCCTCGGCCAACGAGTCGTGGAAGGAGCGATGACCCTTCTGTCGGAGCCCGTTGTCATTCAGCAAGCCGATTTCGTCCATCTGGGTGATCATGCCGAGGGCCGGGCGGCAGATGTCCTCGAAGACGCCCTCCCTGTCCAGCTGCTCGCAATCCCACGACGTCCTGTCCCCAAAGGCCATGCCGACGTTCTCCGCAAAGAGGTCTCGGGCTCTTCCGGACGACACCGACACCTCGTACCAGAGACACGGGACGCCCTCGTAGAGTTTCTGGCCCAGGCGCCACTTCATCCGCTTCTCGTGCTTCTCCCCGGGGACCAGCCTCTTGGTCATTGCGACCGTGAGGATGCTCCCCGTCTCCTGCGTCTGACGGTATCGAGCGGCATGCCGGATGCTGATGCTCTCGACTGTCGCTCCGAGTCGCTCGTCGATTGTCGTCTCAATGGCGAACCCTTTTGCACTGGTAGGTCTAGAAAGGCAGGTGAGACACATGCTTGTTTTTAAGCCTCGAGAGAGGTCGCGTTTCGACTTACGTGACATTCATCGACGCCACTAGTGCATCTGCGATGGCGACGTGCAGGGTCGACTGGTTCAGGGCAGTCCTCTGAGAGACGCGCACTTGCATATCCCAAGGACGTCGCACACAATGGAGGTATAGATCTCCGAGCTCCTTTTCAACTCCGCGGCAACAGGTCTTGAACGTTTCCGCGTCGATCTCGACGATGAAGGGCGCCTGGTCCTCCAAGCAACAGGAGATCTCGTAGCAAACCTGCGTTTCGAAGTGTACCCAGGGGGCTTCTCCGGGAGGATGCATCTCGACCAAGTCATCTACGTCTGGTCCACACGTCGTTAGCGCGGTGGAAAAGCCGATGCAGCTTTCTGGTACATCGTCGGCGTTGAGCGAGTCTAGCATCTCGGCCATGGTCCAGTACGGGCCAGAGCCGATATCGACTTGAGAGTGACTCAGATTCTTCAAGTAGAAGCGGCCGAACTTGAGCTCGATCGAGACGAGTCCAGGAGAGAGCTCCAAAATGCTGGCCAAATCTTTTGTATGGGCTTCGGCCAATTTCAGGATATGGCTCTTCCGGGAGGGCCGGCCGTTGGACGGCGTGAACACCGCCTTCTCTGGCGGCGCAGGACATGTTGTCACGAGTGTGGGCGCCTGGACTTGTTGAATAGTCAGGCCGGCGAGAGGCGGGACAACTGAGTCCAAGATACTCAGACTCAGCTCCTGGCTCCAGTCGACGCATGGTGGCTGAGACAACAAATCAATTGGCTGTTGAAGCGTTTGCTTCAGCGACGGATCGAGCGCGTGGGGTTGAGGTGCCGGCTCAAGGCATATAAGGTCATCCGACGTGTCGAAGTGACCCCGTGCGTCGCTTGTTTGCTGATCTTTGACGCCCATTACCATCTCGAGATGGGCTGCGGCCAAGAGATCGCTTTCGCGCGGGAGAATCTCTTGAGGCTCGTCGAACGAGATCAAGGCCTCTTCCTCCTGGCTCTGCACCTGCTTTTCTTGTTGTGCCTGCCTCACGCCATCTCGCCAAGTCTCCACCAGGCTTCGGGACGACGTTTGCTTCGCGGGTTCGAGCGGCTCGGCGCTCAACACTGGCACACTTTCCCCGAAGATATCTTCAACAGACGTGTCTCCACCAGGTGCTATGGGTCGGACGTTCTGGCCCAGGTTCCCAGGAACGTTTGGACTCGTTCCATTGCGGAGGGTTCGCGATGCTTGCACGATTTTCTCGAATAGATTCACCACGGCCGTCGGTAACTTCTTCGGGTACTGAAACTCTTCGAATAAGGAGAAAACCTTTGTGGTTCCTGGCTTGACACCTTGTTTGGGAGCGTACTTGTATTCGTCCTGGGTCCAGGTTCCATTCGCATCTTGGCGCTGCGCTCTGACAGTCACGGCCGTCTGAAGACGACGAAATTCATCAGGTGGGGGACCTTTCTTCGACGAGATGTACGTTGCACGGTCCTGACCGACGTGCGAGAGCCACTTGTATGCAAAACGGAATGTCCCGGTCTCTTCTGGAACGAGCAGCTGTCGACACTGGCGGTTGCCGTAGGTCTGCAAGCAGAAGTTAGCAGCCACGTCGGGCTTCCAGGGACTTGTGTTCGCCCAGGGGCACTGACCACGACTGCAAGAAAGTTGTCCAAAGCTTGAGTGACTTTGTCCGTATCCAAACAATCCAAATCAGTGCCGATGTAGACCAGATCGGCTGCCATGTTGTAGGTAATCTGGCACCCGAACGACTCCTGGATTTCCTCGATGGAGGCCGGGGCCCCGACATCCTTCCACTGGGACGCTAGAAGCTGGAGGAAGTAGTCGATAGTCCAAGAGTCGCCAGATTCCAGACCTCTCCAAACGGCCTTGTGCTTGAGGTCGTGCATGTTCAACGGAAAGCGGTGGGCATCGAACAAGCCATGTTCGGGCCCGGAGTCGGTTTGAAACTGCGACCAGGCAAAGACTCGGGGGCGCTTCCCAATTGTTTTGATGTCGGAAGGAACGTGATGGGCAGCATCGCCGGCTCTCTTGGCTTGGTCTGGGTCGCACAGATCGGTGTCCTCTTGCACGACCTTGAGCAGAAGGTCCTGAATGAAATCCGAGACGGCCTTTTGACATTCGCGCGGGGTCAGGACCTTGAACCAGGGGATTTCGGGCTCGTAGAGGAGCTCGATCAGCTCGTCCTGCCAGTCGAGGTTAGCCGGCGAGGAACGTCAGTTGAGAGGATGAGTGACGGCTTGCGTCTTTGGGATATGCTTCCGTTGCCGAACGAACGACCCAGTCGACACCGCTAGGGAGCAAGGGGGGGTTGCAGGTGATGTAGAACTCGACGAACTCCATTCTGGCCCTGGCGAGGGGGAGATGGAGAGGAAGAGATGGAGGGGGAGAGGAAAGGAGAGACGGGGGCGAGGAGGTGAAGAGATGGCTGGCCGTGTGGCGTGAAGGGGGGGAGTTTAGGGGTTAAGAAACAACGGTTAGGGCTTGTGCCTGGAGGAAATCTCTGGGTTGGCAGGTCGCCGGGTGAACGGAAGGTGCGAAACAGGCACGTGCTGGCAGCCGTTTGCCAGGCCAGCGCCGAGCATGTGCGGCCTTGCAACACTTGCAGAGCCAAAGAAGGGGCTGAGCAGGGGCGGGAGAGTCTCTTGTATGCGAGTGGCTGGTAGGGCTTCTTCACGATGGGGGGGGACAGCGTCTTGCGCATGGCCTCGAGGCAACGAGCCCGCTTGTTTCTCTGTACAAGGCAAATTTCATGGCCGCCAAAACTGCTGAGACAAGATGCAAACCCCTTCTCGACCGCCAACAGCCGCTCTAGACCCTGACAAACTCCCAAAGGGCCGTTCCATCCTCCCTCACGATCAAACTCTCGCCATCGCTCGCAACCTCGACTACCCGCAGCCCCTTCCCGCTGTACGGTGTAAGCAGCTCGTAACCACCATCGAGATGCTTCCTCGGAGTTATATATTCACACACGTCGTGCTTTTCCGCCACAGCAAGTATGACAGCGTGGCGGCCATGGCCCAGGTATTTGCCCGAACGGGAATTGAAGAATCCGAACCAGCCATTTCTCTGGACGCAACGCCATTGCTGGTTCCAGCTTGTATTCTGATCTTCGTTCGCGCCTTGTAGGCGCAAGCAACCGCCCATGTCCGTCATGGTAATGGCTCGCTGGGAGGCCTTCTCGACAATCATGAACGTGCGGCCTGGCCAGGGGAGTGCGTTGAAACAAGCCTCCCTTTTGCCGCGGACGGTTGACAGCGGCGTCCCAAGCGTGAGGCCGCTGACTGAGAAGGTGTCATCGGCGTCATCGGTATCGTAATCCATTGTGAATAATCTCGTGATAGTGCTTGGGCGATTTGCGGTCGTGGGCAAACAGAGTCTGAAGGCTGCTATGGAGAAGGACAAGAGCAGGAGGCGGGGGGGGCAAGGCAAACCGGGTTGATATACCCTGACTGACGCAGTGAATTTCTCGGCAACGTTTCACACTCCCGGGGCGGATTTTCATTGGGCATCGTCGCGAGAGTTGAGTCGACGACGTCGAGGTAAACACGAATCGATATCATTATTGCTGATGTGGCGAGCGGAGCCTCAAAGCAGAAGAGCACTCGGTCACTGTGTGCATTTGAACCTTGGTGCTGGTGGACCCTCGGGTGTTTACTCTTCAAGCAATATCAGGCTTCATACCTGCTCACGGCTTATAGTAAATGACTATGATGGTTATGGCATGTTCGATGAGTTTATGAAAAGGGGCGGCCTATAAGCAATCTTTCTTCTTTATTCGGGAACAACACCCCCCCTCAACCCCCCCATCCAAACTGCTTCATACCATTCTTGTACATTCCAAAGAAAGCATTGAAAACGTTAATATAAGCTCCGTTGTAGGTCTGATATTGACTGGACAATGCGCAAATTCATCTCGGCAAATGGTCGTGACAAAATTGCAGGCCGTTGACCATGTCCTGAATGACCCCGAGACGAGTCAAGCTGATGCTACCGTGTGAACAGACAACATTAGACTAAAAGACCGGGCCGAGGCTAGCGAACGGCCAGAGTTTGCCGGGCCTCATGATGAGCTTAGAAGGTGACTATTGGCGTTGAGGCGTTTGCTTGGCGGCTCACTGGTTGGCCATTGTCGTGGTGCACTCGAAACAAGGACGCATTCATGGATTCCGACTCGCCGACTTTTCCTTTGGGCACTTGTTCGTCTTCCAGCATGGCATGACTGTGCGAAAGACGAGGGTCAGCCGTTTGAGCCCGTGTCCCAGCCAAGAGGGCGTCGCTCGAGGTGAGGCGGAAAAATCAAAACAAAGGGGAAAAAAGCACCGCGGCGGCATAGAGGGCCAGAGTGGGAGAGTCCAGCATCTACAGCATAGCAGCACGGAGCGCCCGTGCAGAAAAAGCAACGTTGTCCACGAATGACGGGCGCTCGTTCAAGAGTAGTCACCTCGTCACTCGTTCGTATTCGGACTGTCGCTGAACTTGCTGTGCTCAGCTTACCTATACTTAATTACATGGTAGCTGCAACAGTCCGTCATTCCAGGTCGTGGCCGCTTCATCAACCTCGCCCGTCAATCAATCACCGACTCCGACCCTCTGACTGCGACGCCACAATCTATACCGCTCCAATCTGTGCCGCTCCAATCCATACCCGCCCGCAGCTTGCGCCATTCGGCCCCTCAAAACCCCCCTCCCGCGCCGTCACCGACTCACCGACATGTCCAGCCTCCTCCATCGCTGACGCCCGACTCCAAGGCCTGCTCTGCCGCCTCCCGTCGGACCACCAAGCAATGCCTCTCGGAATCCTCGAGCCCAAGTCTGGGGAAAAGGTCCCAGGTGTGATTGCACTCCAGTCCCCTGAACCGTGTGGCCCGGCTGCCTCGTGCTGACTGCTGACCGTCGACTCCCAGGCACAACCAGATACTTCGACGATGCAGCCCATCCCCTGCAAGCAACCGGCGACGACGTCTCGTGGAAATGCGACGACAGCGGCAAAGTCCCCATCATCCTCGTCCGTCGCCCATCTCCTCCTGTTCCCATCGGCAGAGGCTGACCGGCTCGCAGATTCCCCAGCCCTCGGATGACCCCAACGACCCGCTCAACTGGCCGCTATGGAAGCGCGACCTCATCACCTTCATCCTCTGCTTTGCCGGCATCCTCGCCACCTCGCTCGGCTCCATCCTCGCCTCAAACACCCTCGTCATGAACAAGCATTTCCAGGTCTCGCTCTCCAAGACGGCCGTCCTGACCGGCTACTTCCTTCTCGGCGCCGGCGCCGCGGCTGTCTTCTTCGTCCCCTCGGGTCGCGTCTGGGGGAAGCGCCATCTATTCCTCATCGGCATCTGCATCGTCATCGGCTCGAGCGCTTGGGCCGGCGCCGTCGGTCAAAACTACAGCAGCATGGCCGCCGCCAGGGCCATCCAAGGCGTGGGGACGGCGCCCTTTGAGAGCTTGCTGAACGCGGCCGTTGGCGACCTGTACTTTGTCCACCAGCGAGGCGTGCGCATGGCCTGTACCAACCTCGCCGTCTTTGGCGGTGCCTTCTTCACCCCCATTGTCGTGGGCAAAATCACCGAATCGCTGGGCTGGGAGTGGACCTTTTACTTGGTCTCCATCTTCATGGCCGTCACCCTGCCAGCCGTCTTCCTCTTCTGCCCCGAAACGGCCTATCGCCGCGAGTCCAGACTCAACATTGACAGCACCGTCGACGAGATTAGCCTGAATTCCAAGTCTGCCTCGACGAGTTCCCCTACCATGGTCGACGGCGCGCCCACCCGGCCGCCCGGCTTCGTCCTGGTCCCTACCTCGTCGGCCATGCAGTCCATCGGCAACGCCAGCACTCCCAAAAAGACCTTTGTCCAGTCCCTTTCGCTATTTGATGGCAGAAAAACGGACGAGCGTTACTGGGTCCTCTTGCTCCGTCCCTTTCCTCTGCTCATGAACCCGGCCTTCATCTGGGGCTGCTTGATCCAGGGGACCCTAATTGGATGGACCATCTTCATCGGAGTGCTCGTCGCCGTCATGTTCATTGGGCCGCCCTATTTTTGGGGCGAGGTCATGGCCGGATACACGTACACGAGCGCCTTTGTCGGGGCCCTCGGCGGCTTTGCCATCTCCGGCCTTCTCGCCGACAGCAGCGTCAAGTACCTCACCAGGCTCAACAAGGGCATCTACGAACCAGAGTTTCGCATCTTGCTCGTGATCCCCATGCTCATCACCGGCGGCATTGGGCTCTATGGCTTTGGTCTGACGGCCGAAGACGTCGTCTCGGGCAAGTATTCGTACATTGTCCCTCTGATCTTCTTCGCCTTCGAAGTGGCTGGCATGGTCATTGGCGCCGTTGCCAGCTCTCTCTACATTGTCGATGCTTATCGTGAGTCGTTCTGGGCTCTGATGCCTGCTCAGTTTTGCCTCGCTAGCCCCGTGACTGACTCTGCTTCGGTAGGCAGCTTGACCGTCGAGGGCTTCACCCTGATGATCATCTTTAAGAACATCTTTAGCTTCATCCTCACCTGGTATGCGTACGACTGGCTCGTCCAGAGTGGCTTTCGCGTAGTCTTCGTCATCATCGCGTCCGTCCAGGTGGGCGTTTGCTTGCTGAGTGTCCCACTGTGTGAGTACTTGCGCTGTTGCCGCCTCATGTGAGTTATGGCTAACATGACAAAAGATATATGGGGAAAGCGCATCAGGGCTTATTTCCACCGTCACGACCTCTTGACCATGACCGGTCTTCGGTGAGGGCATTGGTCATGTCTTGCGGTGACGCTTCACGGCGCCGAGGGATACTCGATGGCCAAGTGTCTGAGCGCTCGGCTGTGCGCTGTCACGAGTTCGAGGCGCACGATCCTAATCATGCAGCTTGTGACGGCGGGCATCAAAAAATGATGCCCTTCCGTTCCGGGCGAAGGGAGCTGTTGGGCGTCTTGGTTTACGGGAAAGGGGGATATTACTGTCACGCGTCTTATGGCTCGTGAATTTTCGACACGAGCCGTGTTGACACGGCAGACAAACCAGGTCGTTGTCATTACGTCGTATCTGAGCGCATAATACCTAATTACCAGAGAGCCCCTGCTACATCTTGTGTGGCCGGCATTTAGTCCTCAGCTGGTGCATCTGTGACTTGCTGGCTTTCTCTTCTCGCACGCGGACTTCCAGTTGCCGCACGTCCATGACGCCATCTCATCCAGGTCGCGCGAGTGCAGCTCCGGACTTGGCACCAGCGGCCTCGACCCCGACGCCGCTTTGATGGGCCCCGGCAAGCGTCGACTTCTTGACGAGGCGAAGGCCACCGAACAGCATGACGGCGGCCTGGACAGCGAGGATGACGACGAGGGTGACGAGGGCGCCAATGACACCGGCGACGGGCCTGGAGACGCCCTTGTCGCTCGAGGCCCGGGAGAACGCATTACCGTCGAGAGCGGCCGTGGCCGTGGAAGCGCACTTGCCGTCGGTCTTGCCGCAGAGGCCGCACCAGTGCTCGGAGTCGACAATGGCAAACTTGCTCATGGCCGCCTTGAAGTCGTGCCACGGGAGCGTGAGCCGGTCCTGGCCAAAGAGCGGGTAGGCCTCGAGGCCGTGCTCCGCGGCGGTGCCGTTGGCAAAGAGGAAGCGCACGGCAACGTCGTCGTCGCGGACCTTGGCACCGATGGGCGCGTCGGTGACGAGCTCAAAGGCCATGGAGGAAGCGTAGTTGCAGATGCCGTAGAAGTCGGGGCTGGCGGCCGGCAGCCGGGCGAGGCCGAAGAAGGCCATGAAGGTGCCGTAGGCGCCGAACTGGGCGTGGAGCCGCGGCGCCTTGGGCTTGGCGTCGACGATGGCCTGCAGGGCGTCGACGACCTGGCCGGCGAGGACGGCGCCGGCCATGGCGCGCACGGGCTCGCTGGCGTTGTAGGCCAGGTTCCACTCGTGTGCGGAGGCGAGGCTGTAGAGGCGCGCGAGGGCCGCGGGGGTTAGCAGGGAGGAGGAAGGGATGGAGGCATTGTGGATGGTGGCGACGTTGATGAGGTCGAAGACTAGGCCCTGGTCAGCAACCGGGCCGCTGCGCCCAGGTGGTCCGGGGACAACCCACTGCTGTAGGCGTTCTTGAAGCTGACGGCATCCTCGTCGTAGGTGGCGTTGACGACGGGCAGCAGGCGGCGGTAGAAGTCGAGGGAGCCGTCGTACGTGGCGCGGTACTCGGCCGAGGCAAAGTAGCCGTTGGAGCTGACCTCGGCATTGACGCACCCGCTGCCGCCCTGGAGCCAGGCATTGTCCTCGGGCCTGTCGGCAGAATCGCCGTCGCCGACGGGGTCGACGGGGACGTACTGGTAGCCGCCGAGGGGCGCGGCGACGCGGGATCCATTGGCGAGCCTCTCGTCGGCGGCGGCGGCGGCGGCGAGGGGCGGGTACAAGCCCTGGAGAAAGGCGAGGGCCGACGAGTACAGCACGGGGTCACGGGGCGCGGTGACGGCCAGCTGCGCGGGGACGGCCGTGTCCGGGCTGATGGGACGGGCGGCGCCGGCGTGGGCGCCGACGACGACCGGGCCCGGGCCGCGGGCCGGGTCCGGCCGCACGTAGCGCGAGCGGTAGTAGGCGCCCGACGAGTGGGCCTGGTCCGCGCCCAGGGCCGTCAGGTTGACGGGCTTCCACGCCTTGGCGGTGCGGTCGCCGTGGCGGTGGAAGATGTAGACGCCCAGCACGCGCTCATCCTTGCTGCTGTTGGTGTCGGTGTCGGCGCCGGCGATGGCTCCGGCCAGGAGGATGGGGAGGAGCAGCTTGGCCTGCATGGCGGGGAAGAGAGTGATGAAAAAAGGGTGGGAAAAGCTTTTCCTGACCTCCCTCGTACCTGACCTCGGGCTTCACTTGTCCGCTTGAGCCTGCGAGGATCAATCGTGCACAGCTAGCACGATCAAGGGCGGGTGCGCGAGACGGGAGGGAGACGAGGGGAAGGGGAAAGGCAAAGACGTTGGGATGAACACCCCGGTCGTCGGCAGCAGCAGCAGCAGCAGGAGGTGACGAGCCGACGATAAATCCCTCGACCGTGTGGTTGTTCATACCTACTTACATATATATCGTACAGTGCGTGTGTCTGGTGTATGCATAAGTTGGCCTCGGCAAACCTTGTTGACTTCATCCCGTTCATATCGTGCCTCGACATCGTGAGCAGCAGCGAGTTGCCAACTGGACCCGAGCCATCAACGCCACGAGCGCCTCGTTTCCCTTGCGGCGATTTTCGAACAATTTGAATTCAGCAGATCCCAATGTCCACTCGGGATATAAACTACATTGTTGTGCCGAGGTCAGTACATACGATGCGGCGATACTGTGCATCCAATGCACGCTGGAAATACCCGCTTATATCCCCTCCCCCACCGTCGCCGTTGCAATCCGGGCCACTCAACGCCGGTTTCCCCGCTCACAAGGCCCATGGAGAAAAAACCACCTGCCCGATTCCGGAGTCCAATGGCCGGGGGGGTGCGCCAGGAGCAAGGGGGGCAGTTGGCCTCCGCGGCGATACAGACAAACAGCCAGCGACGCCTTGCTGGTTACCCGGGTGCGACCAATGCCTGGCTCTTTCTTCACAGCTTCGACTTCCTCGGATCCTTGATGTTCTTGGAAATCTCCCCGGACAGCAAGTAGTTGGGGTACTGCATCGACGGGTCCGTGCCAACAGCCGAGCCGGCCTGCCGCCTCCATGCGCCGCCGTCGACGGGAATCACCTGGCCGTTGATGTAGGCGCCGGCCTCGCTGAAGAGAAAGACGGTGGCGTCGGCCACGTCGCGCACCGTGCCCAGCCGGCCCGAAGGGATGGTGGCGGCGTATTCCTTGGTCACCTCGCTGCTCAGCAGCCGGGCCGCGCCCTCCGTCTCCTCGATAGCGCCGGGGGCAATGACGTTGCTCGTCACGCCGCGGGGCCCGTACTCGAGGGCCACCGACGCCGCGATGGAGTCGACGGCCGCCTTGGCCGCCGACACGTGCGCCTGCATGGGCATGCCCGTGTAGTGGAAGGTGGCCGAGATGTAGATGATGCGCGGTGTGGGGCTGAGCAGGAGGTGCGGCAACGTGGCCTTGACCGTGTGAAAGGTGCCAAGCGCGTCGATGTCCATGACGGACTTGAAGGCGTTGGAGCTCATGGCTTCGAGGGGCACGACAAAGTTGCCCGCAGCCCCGGCTCTGCCAGGCGGGTCAGAGGGCGCCGATGCTGTCGACCGGCGGGCACACTCACATGACAAAGTCGATGCCTCCCAGCTCGCGCGCACAGCGGTCCGCCGCCGCCTGGAGGCTTTCCATCTGCGAGGGCCTGGTGTCAGCCGGCGGCCTCAGTCTGCGCGAAGGCCGTCCAAAACAGGCCGACGAACCTGGCGCACGTCACACCCCCCGATTCCAATGACCCTGGCGCCGGGCCTGGCCGTGGCAATGTCCTTGGCCGCCTCGACCGTCTTGTCCTCGCTCCGGCCGACGATGCAGGCATTGGCCCCGAGGCGCACCAGAGCCCGGGTCTGCATGCTGCAGATGGTGCCGGCGCCGCCCGTCACGAACACGACGCGGTCCTCTGCACGGCGGGGGTTAGCGATGTGGACGGCGGTACGGCGAGGGAAAGGCGACGCAACTGAATAGGCCATCTCTCCACACGGGGCTCAGGTATTTGGACTCCGTGACTGGCATTGGAGCGACTTGTTGGACGGACTAGGATGGACGCACGCGCGCTGTGTGTGGTGGCGATGTCCGTTGGTCCGCCTTTTGCCTTTGTTTGCCACTTGGATGCGCTCGACGACGGCTTGGATGACGAGGAGACGACAGGTGGGTGGTGAAGGGGGGCGAGACAAGGTCCAAGGTAAGCTGATGGCCCCGCCTGTTGTATAAGAAGAGATGTAGATGATTGCCTGGACGGGATTCGGCTTCTTGATTTCCTGCCCGTCTTGTGGTTCGTCCGACGATGGCTGGCTGGACCGACGACCTGGCGGCCGAGGACGATGAGCTCCGCTGCAGTTGGTAAGCTGTGGAGGCCGAGGCTTATTGGGCCGAAGCCAATAAGCCTCGGCCCAGCCAGCCAGCCAGCACGGCATTGAGGCCCCACGTTAATCCGGGACTCCGTAAAAGCCAAAGGTAATTACTCGGTACTGTACGGAGTAGGTACGTATAAGCTACACACGGGGCGAAGGGGGTCCGGCTCGGTCGAGTTGATCCGCGCCCCGAGGCTTCTCGTCGTCTTCCGGCACTCCGTCACGTCACGTCTCGCCTCCGAGCTGAGCAACCTTTTTTGTCCATCGACGATTGTACAAACCACCAGCCCCCGCCAATCCTGCATCTCCGTGTATCGTCAACCCCGGCTGCTAGACGGCGGGGTTAGTCCGTTCCCGCTCGACCCATCCCTCGTTGCTTCTTCCCCCATCGTTTGCTGCCGGCCATCGACCGATCTCTTCTGAAACGCCCTCGCGCGAACCACTCACGCTGCGCCGCCCATTCGGCTCGTCAATCTCCAGAATGAATGAGCCCTCGTCCCGGCATTGCACCTCTGCCCTGACCCAGCTGCGGCATCCGCCTCCCGTCCTCCCGACGGTCGCCGCCGCCCTTCTCCACAAGGCTCTCTCTACTTCGGACATCACCTCGACTCGGATCTCTCTCTCGTTTTGTCGAAGCGAATCCGTCACATCCACTAGCCCGCTCGTCTCGTCGGAACCCCCCTTCCCTAGAGCCGGCGCGCTTGGACTGCTGCCAAGCTGCCCTTTGCTTTTTTCCCGTTTTGCCTTGTCTCCCGGGCCAGCTGACCGGCCTCGGCCTCGCTCCCGGCCGGCGACGCCAAACATCAAACTCTGTCGCCTTTCCCGCGCTGGCAGCGGTTAGAGTAGGGGCTGCCTTCCTGTCCAGTCTAGTTGCGTCGGGACGTGCTCGGCAGTCTTGCCGCCTCTTGCAACCCCATCTGCCCTTCCCGTCCGTCTCCCCCATCGACCAATTATCCGCTGCTGAGACGTCATCAAAATTGCCCCATTACCGAGACCTTTGCAACAGCATACGCGAGTCGAGACTTTGTCATCTTTGCGGCACAAGTACTGACAGACTGGCTGAACTATCGTGCCCAGTATCCGTACATGCGACCAGAACTGCTCACTGCATCTGGAAGTCCACAAAGACCACCTTGATGGCCTGTTTTCCTTGCATACAGTCCGCCCACCACCCGGCACCACCCAACACCATCCAACACCATCTAATACTTCTCAGCTTCTGCCCGTATCTCCTTCTAGCTCCGTCTCTCATGTCTAAAAGTCATCGCAATTATCAATCTCGCGCCCCCCCTCCCCAACAGCTTAGACCTCTCTCGCGCAGTCACATTCCCGACACCTTGCGCGCCAAGCATCGCCTGAACCCGAACCTACATCACTCGCACTGCATATGTATGTATGTACATGCATACACACATGTGCATCTCCGGCGCCCCTCGCTTGTGCTTGTCCCGACGTCATCCACAACGTTGCGCACGCCGGCCGCAGTCGGGGGACGCGGCGCATCCTCTAATAAGTAAAGCTAGCAGTGGAATCGGGCCGCGACACCATCGTGGGCACCCTGAGGGACAACGTCGTAGCGAGTCAGCTGCTACCTATCCGGTTCCGACTTCCGAAGACCGACCGTCGACGGGCCTCGACCGACTCCCTGACCATTGATTGCTTGCTACGTACGGCCTCTCATCTCTCGCCTTATCAAGGGCTCATTCTTCTTTCCACTTGCGTCTCGCCCATCTCTCTTGTGGATCGGGCAAGGCGCATGAGACACGGGGCATTCGCCAGATCACGCGCAGGGTCATGGAGCACACAGTAAGGGAATCTGGTTTGATTGCTATGAGAAACTGTAAACGCTCGAGATTCTTGCAGCGAACGCCAAGGCTTGCAGAGCCATTCGTAAGATATGCTGCCCGACGCCTATGCCGTGAAAGCCAAACTCCATTCCAAGACGCCGGGTCGACCCTCCCACTGTCTCACATGAGACTGGAACCTCGAAATATGTCAAAATGGTTCGCTAATATTGTCTTTCCTTTTGTTGCCCTTTTTTTTCACTGCCATTATACCGCACTGCGTGATCGATAAAAACCCCCTTTTTAGAGAAGACAATAATTAAGTCTTCTTGCTGATTTGCGCCCATCGCTCCAATCAGCTCAAAAGCACCATAGAAGTGAAATCCACGCCAGCGGCCTGCTCTCGGGCGTGCCGTGCGTGGTGGTTGGAGTGGTAGCTTTGCCCCAGGCGGGTAAGCAGCGATAATTGCGAGCTAGCCCTGCAAGGGAGCCGAAAGTGCCTTTCGAATAAATAGGCAAACGGCCCCGTAGATCCAGCATCGGACCCGGTCCCTGATGGTGTCAAGGGCGTTGGCGCAGGCGTTCTGGCTGCTGCGAGGGGATGCCAAGCTCGAGGGGAGCTTGCCAGTGGACAAGGGCGCGTTTCGTCGATTCGTGTCAAAACCAGCAGAGCGGGCAGCTTTCGGGGATGACGATGAAGCGCTCATGAGGCCCCATGGGACATGATCGCTTGCGGCTCCCGTCCGTCGACGTGCTGCAGAAGTGCGCGCCGGGATCGGTGCAAGACGTGTAAATGTAGTAGTTCTTGGTGAAATCACACATGGCGACGGCGGCGGGTGCAAAGACCCAGTTGTGTATCTGCTTCAGTCAGCATGAGCTTCACCAGGCGCAACGTCGACGCGAGGGCGACTGACTGGTTGGGGGCTTCACAATGTTGCCGCGTCAAAGGATAAAAGGCAGCAACCAAAAGGTGCGCGATGGCTCGCGAAGCGAAGAAACTGGGGTGGAGAGTATGCTCTTCGGTGTCCGCGGCAGGGCGAGGGCGGAAAGACTGGGGATCCGCAGTGGGAACAGGCAAGACTTGATTGACGAATGGGTGCGTGATTATAGAGAGCCCTGTAATATGAGAGGCTGTTGTATGGGAGTGGATAGCGTGCGATATATGGGGTTGGCTGGCTGTCAGGAACCGGACGAGAAACAGAGTTGGCGGGAAGCAGGACGGGTAGTTATATCATGAGCCCGGAGCCATCGCGGCAAGCTGTCATGACAGGAAGCTTGCAGCGGGAGGTGTGGGTTGATCGGAATGGGCCACTGCCCTTTGACATGTCGGCCGTCTGAGACCGTGCCCCCTCTGGGGCCATGTCTGAGAAGCGTCTTGTCAAACAAGGGGCGAGCCTCAAGCCCACAGTCGTGTCGAGGCAAAGGAAAAAAACCATGTGCATGAATGTATGCATGTACGTGCGGAGTAAAATACTGTCATGGGCAAAAGGGCCAAAGAAAGACGACCCGCCGCCACTGGGTCCAAGTTCCATGACGAGCCAGATTTGTTTGGCATTTCTAAAACAACTCATTTTCGCCTCGTAGGGCATCTCATGTTCAGGACCCTCTCTCTACCTAGCACGAAATGCAGCATGCTTGCTTGTTTCTCCCGGGGACGGACGAACAGGCCTCCTAGTCCAGGGAGAAAGAGCTCGAACCACGGGACAAGGTCTGAAGGCGCGGCAGCAACCGAAGGGATTCGGGCTCGCCCTCGACGACGGGCAAGCTACCCCTGGGGCCGCGGGCGCGTCAGAGGGACGTGACGGAGAATGCCAGAGCTGGTGCGAGCGCGAGTTATATTGGTCGCCGAGAGGGAATCCGTGCGGCGACGTGCTAGCGCGGCATTTGAGCTGTGGTCGAGTGTGACGGGTCGCGAGACGAGGCTCAAGAGCCGCAAAAGAAAGGCGACGACGCGAGATGCTCGGAGGGCTACGGAGTATCTGTACCTAGCCAGTTAGTGGAAGGCAATGTCAGATGGCGCCGAGGAGGGGTCGTGCTCTGCGACGCCAGGGGAGCCTGCAGTACCTAGGTAGGTAGCTCTCGCTGCGCTGTACGGGTACATGCCAGGTACCATGTCTGGGCCGCGAGCACGCCGCCCGCAATCGCCATTCCCAAGGGTCCTCGCAACTGGAGCCTTGTTCCGTTCCAGATCGCACAAGTAATAACTGTAGGTACCGACTTGAGAATGCATCGAGGGTGTAGGTAACCCTGCTGGCAACCCTGCTGGCAACCCTGCTGGCAACCCTGCTGGCAACCCTGCTGGACCAACGACGCACCGACCCCGTTGCGGAACGGCAGTCGGTCGGAGTGCCAAAAGCCATGACGGCAATTGCGGCGGAAAGTCTGTTCTCGCATCAGCCGTAATACCGTACCGTCCATGTTGGATGAGCGTCTCTCGCCGAGGTCAAAGCTCGCGACAGCAGGTAATGAAAGCCATCGTGTGTGACAAAGTGCTTGCATTGCCGACGTATGCGCGTGCCAACTAGGTCTCCACGACATCGAGCGTAAAAAGGGACGACTGTTATCAAGCGTCGGCAAGCAATGGCAAGTCGAGACAAGCCAAGTGCCGTCTCAGGAGCCTGTCTCCCCCGCGTTCCACTCGTCTTGATGACGGAGGAAATACCGCGCAATCGCAACCGGTCGATGCCGTGGCAATCAATGTTCGACGGACAGCAGACGGCGGATCGGGCCACTGTCGAGCGTGAGCTGGACGGGGAATTGGAATGACGAGGGCCTTGACGAGGGCCTTGACGAGTCGAGATCGAATGCCACTTGTTGTTACCCGATCAATGTTTTCGTGGGGTTCTCAGGTACAGTGTCTACTAAGGTAGTACCCAGGTAGATACCTACCTACCAAGGTACTTAGGTGCCTACCAATGTAGGTACCTATCCTTCGGCTAACTAGTGCTAATAACTGACAAGTCCCTGGCAAGTAGCTCTCGCACCAGCTGCCCCCAAAGCCGATACCAGGTGGCCGCCAGGTAACCGATGGCTTCCCGTTAGACACCAAGCGCACGTCCCTGGCCAGCCCCCACTGTACAAACGGCCTGTAGATGGGGCATCTCGCAACGCTTTTTGGCCCCCTTTTGGTTCCGAGGGAAAACAGCCTCAAATCAGAGACATGCTATCTGGTGTGCAGCACAGACTCGTACGTCTTATTTCCCCAAGGTAGGTATTCGCGCGCAACCTTCACGTCACCCCCGGTGTCTGGCCCTAGCGGCTGGTTCTAGGTTAGTCAGGTGCCGAGCTCTCTCCTTCTGCCTCCGCCTTGTTGGCAAGATGAGCTCGCTAACCGTTGTTTGATCAAACCTCCCTCCCCAGGCATCTTTGGGATGTAGCCGCGCGCACACGGGGGACTGCGGAATGGGTCTGCTCCGAAAAGCTCAGAGACGCCTCAGAAGACACCACCATATGTCCGAACGAGAAGTTTGCCAACCCAAAAAGTATCGATGCGCAGCCTTGTTGACATTCGAGCCTCGACTCTGCGTATCCGTTTCCCCAACTCGCCCTGCTGCAAGGGACTACAGACCTGCTCACGCCCATGTCGAGCACAGTCCGCTCCCCTCCCGCAACAGCGTCGTGTCCTGAGTTATCAGAGACGCTCCCAAGGCCCTGCGCGCAGTTCCGGGCCTCGAGCGTGGTCTTTTGGGTCCATCGCCATCTCTTGCCAAGGTATCCATCTGCCCGTGCAGTGCGTGTGACAGCGACGCCAGGTAAAACGGCGAAGACAAGGGACCGGTGCCCTGCGCCTGAGCACATGCCTGCATATCTAGCCCCCTCCAATATTGAGGCAGGCTCGTTTCTCGCCCTCGCCACTGGACCAGACCCTGCAGGAGTTCGCTGCACGGGCCCGAGCACAGCCGTCATGGCGTGGAAAAAGAAAAACTATGAACTTGTTGCTTGTTCCGACTACGCTTCAGCAGAGTCCTTGATATTGCCTACACTTCCCTTGCTGCCGAGCGTGTCTGGCTACAGGTAGGTACCGTCGACGGCCAACCTAGGCATCTTTCTTGGATTCCTCGAGCAAGACTGGGAGCCAGATGCGGGTTAAAGCAGCCTTGGCCCGTCCCCCCACGCCGTCTCTCCTCACCTGCCGGCGGGACAGCTCTCCAACGAATATTCGAGCGGCCCTGCATCTTCCCGGCCGTCACATTATGGATCTCGCCGTTCAGTAGTCCGCCCCGTCATGCTTGCGGTATGGTCGGGATCGGGAACCGGTGTGCTGCTGAGTGAAAAGCCAAAATGCCGCTCCCGGCCTTTTAGTCGCCGAATCTCATCGATCATGCCCCCTACCCACCCTAGCTTCTCGCATTCACAACCCTAGAGACGTAGCAGACGTGTCTAAAATAGTCGCCGTCGAAGTCTAGCTACTGGTGATTCCCTGCCCGAGGTCGGCCTGCATGCGCTGGCGGCCTCTGGACCAAGCCGGAACGGATCACTTGTAGTCTTGTCGCTTACTAGGAGCTCATTGGCTGCCGTGTGTCACGGGGCGAGCCCTTGGTTGGCTGTTTGGTTGCAGACCAAACGCTCTTGGTGAATTGAAGAAGCTGTCGCTTAGTCAATTTCGTTACCGGTAGTAGCGCGACCACTGCTCTCGCACTTCTGGGGCCAAGACCCTTACACCGTGTATGCCCTCTTTAAGTATCGCATTGCTGGTTATATCCCAGTGCATCTTGAACCATGATGGCGGACATCATCTGGCAATGATAGGACGACATCTACCGCCACGTTGTGAGCGAAAAGATCCATATACCGTCAAATACAAGTACAGTATGCCCTGTCATTGTCTGACGAACCACTACCCTGTTCATCCAGTTGGTGCCTGCAAAACCTGGGGCCGCTGCCAGAACTCTCCCTGGCATGAGAAACTAATAAAGAGCAGACTCTGAGACAACCATATCGATTTTACTACTATTTGAAAGGCTTCCCTTAATAGTGAATATGCGAAATCCTGTAACAGACATGGCGACTCACCCTTGCTGCGACGTACATTAAGTTGGAGTCGGAAGCTCAAGGATGACTCCTCCGTGCTGACCGGCTACACACTCATTCATTTGCTTCTCCATCGCCGTCAAGGGATCCGCGCAATCGATGACTTCACAAAGTGCAGCGTGGCGCTTCAGGAGCCGAAATATATCCCACGAACCTCTCATGTTGACCTTGGATCTTGTGGGCTGTGAGTGACAATGACTCTTTCGAGATAAACATTACTGCAACTGCCTTTCTTGTTGATGCCCTGGAGCGATGTTGGAAGTCGCCTTAAGCTCTTCAGCTGCCTCGGTCCCTAAATTAAAGGAAGCCCTTTAGTCTATACAGTGGGGTCTCGATGAGATGCTCCCTTTGCACGCAAACATGATCAGTCTTTCGTTTGGTAAGGGAGCTCTCAAGACATGATATATCACCACGTGCGTGTAAGAGCTCAAAAGACACGCGTAAGACAGACGCGACAATGGTTCTTGACGAGCTAATCTGTTGCCAGAGCATGCATTTCTAGCTCTTGGACGGATAAAGATGCTTCAAGCAACTTCAAGATTCGGATTGTGCGGGAGAGGGAGAAAGCATCTGGCCATATGGCTGCTGGCCCTTCACGTTTCTTGCTTGAAGTTTGTGCAGACAGTGCGAGTACGAAATACTTGGTACTCGGTACGGAATCGAGATCAGAGGGAGCACGACTAACGTAAGCCAAAGAAAACTTGCTTCAGCAAGTCGCGGCGCCACTGCCCCTTTCGGACCCAAGACTCTCAGCCACTCTGTGGCTCAACTCCTCTCCGGTTCAACCTTGCACCAGAAGCTAGCATCACGCTCTGTTGCGAGCCATCACGATTCGCCAGCTGCTCTGACAACAGACACAGCTCTGCCAGCTCCGCCGTCTGCTCTCGTCCCCTTTATCGATACACAGCCAGCGGCCGTCCCGTCACAAACCGCCCAGCGCTCGCACACGGCGCCCGAACCGCATGGGCGCTTCCGCAGCGACTCGCTCACCACATGCTAAACCCGAGCCCGCCGCCGCCCGACGTGCGGTCCATCTGAGCCTTGAACCGCGCCCCCGCATATCGAGGTGGTGGGGGGGGAGTGGCTTTGGGTGACGCCGACGAGGCCCCCCGAGATCCCGCCCACCAGCTCCCGCAAAGCGGCTCCAGAACGCCGCCATGGCGGACACGACGCCGCCCCGTGCCGTGCGCTTCTCGGACGGGGAGGAAGACGAGCAGCCCGAGAGGCTTGAGAGTGTCGTCGACTTGGAGGCCGACGAAGACTCGTCCCCCGGCTCCGAGACCGACCTTCACGCCATCGAGGACCATGACGACCTCGGCGAGCTCAGCATGTACGCCGACACACCGACTCACCACGCCACATCGATGACGCAGCTGCCCCCGGGCACCGTCAGCAACGGCGCTCCGCCCAAAGGTCAGTGGAGCAGCCCCGGCGACGAGACGGCATCCTTTGCCAATGGCAGCCGGCCCCAGCGGCCCCTCGGCCCCGCCAGGACGCCCTCGAGCACCTACAACCCGGCGACTTCGAGAAAGCCCGCACTCCAGCAGCCCGCGCCCTCCTTTGTCGAGTCGATCCGATCGTCGTCCAAGACTCGGCCGAGGCAGAGCGAAAGCAGGTTCCGCGCGCAGGAGCGGGCCTACGTGCAGAAACTGCGCCAAGACTATTCGGGCGAATACTTCACCTCTTACCAGGCCGCCAACGGCAACGACTCCGACTCGGAAGGCGAGACGCCGTCCTCGGAAGGCCCCTACGAGGAGCGCCTCGACCAAGAGACCATCATGTTCTACGGAAATGACGAACTCCAGCCCACCGAGGAAGACGTCAAGGACCCGGAGAACCGCGAACGCCTCGAGTGGCACGGCATGCTCGCGGCCGTTCTGACTGGCGACGTGGTGCGCCAGGAGAAGAAGCGCTTGATCGGCTCCGCGGACCAGCAAGCCAGCAAGATGGCCCATAAGTCTGAGCTCTGGCTGGGTGTCCGCGCCGAGTCATGCGGCAGGCGTCTTCCCGTGCAGCGACGGATGGTGGAGGAGTCGCGCGCCACGCTTGATCGACTCCTGGACGAGATCATCAATTTCGAGGTCAAGGGAGAGAGCGAGGTGGGAAAACCGCCGTACGAGCAGGTCAAGGACGTGGTGAGAAAGATTGAAAAGTGCGAAAGCCTATACCCGTCCTGGTCATCGCTTGCAGCCGAGCACAAAGCTGCCGGCTCGCCCTCGTTTCACGAAGCATACGACGCCATCTTCTCGTGGTACAACACAAACGAGCTGATCAGCACGGAGCTGTCCATTCTCAAGAAGTGGGTCGGCAATGAAGAGCTGGACTTTTCCCGCACCAAGCAGAGGTCGCCGGCCGTCAACGGCATCACCACCGATGAGACGTCCTTCCTCGACCGGCTAATGAAGGAGGACGGCCTGCAGTCCCTCTACAACGACGACGAGCGGTCGACGCAAAAGGGCATGCTGCGGCCCATATCCTCCATCATTAGCAAGATTAAGGAGACGCTGATCCGGAACTCTGCCCCCTTCCAGAAGCGTCATCTCCCGCCCTATCTCGAGGAGCTCTTGACTCTCATCAGTTTCCCTTCCCGTCTCATCGAGGAAATCACCAAGACGCGTCTTGCGTACGCCAGGAGGGTCAAGGAAACGGCCCAGCAGAACCCTCTGATGCTGGATCAGATGATCTCCCAATTCCAGCTGCTCCTGAAATTCGCCATCAGGATCAAGCTCGAGTATCTCTCCATCGAGAGCCCAGAGCCCGGATGGGACCTACCCCCTTGCATCGACGAGTCCTTTGACCAGGTTGTCCTGGAAGCGCTCAAGTACTACTTCAAGATGCTCAACTGGAAGCTCAGCGGCAACAAAAACACATTCAAGGAGGCCGAGCTGCTGTTCCAGGAATGGGACTTTGCCAACTACATTGGCAGACACCTCCAGGGAGGCCACATCGAGGTTGCTGAACAGTTCAGCTCGCTCACCTTTAAGGCTCTGAATCGGCTGAGCCAGACGTTTGAAAAAGAGTTGCAGGTGAAGCCCAAGGAGAGCGCGGCCGAGATGAGCAAGAGATACAAGGCCTGCCTCGACTCAGTCCGCGTTCGCCAGCGGATGCTCCAGCGGTTCTCGAGGATGCTCAGCGACAACTACGAGCACGTCTCGGACTTTAGCATCTCATTCTCTCCCGAGGTGATGCAAAAGTTTTACGACCAGTTGGTCGCCTCTGGCCATTTCCGCGTGGATACGGGCCCCTTGGAGAAGCAAGGCACGTACGTCATTGCATCGTCTCAGCTTCACAGGCGGCTCGAGGACATACAGGCCATGATGGCCATTACGTCCCAGGAGCGGTTCTGCGAAGACGACGGGGAGCAGTATCTCTTGATTCTGCGCCCCGAGGACAGCTTCAATTGGTTTGGCGAAGTGATTCCTGTTACGCTGCGGGAGCAAAACATCGACTTGAAGCGCGGACAGGTCCGGCTCTGCGCCATAGGATCGCAGACTCTGCCGGAAGCGAGGAGAGCCTTTCTCGACGCCGTCGACATGCACGTCGACCTCTTGCAGGAGTCCAGGTCCAACATTCACAAAGTCAACACGAGGCTGTTGGAAATCCGCAGAGTGGCTTACAAGCTGTCCAATACATTCATGGACAGCGTCGAAATCATCAGGAAGCAGACCGAGGGCAAGGATTGCCAGGAGCTCATCCAGACGTGCTTCGTCTTTGCCACCGAGTTCGGCCAGCGATCCCTCCTGTACATGGACAGCAACCGGCGCCAGATGAACAACCTTAAGCTGACCAAGCTCGCGCTCGACTGGGTAAGCTTCATCTGCGACGACTGCATCGCCTCGGACCGCAAAACCTTCCGCTGGGCTGTGCTCGCCCTCGAATTCGCCATGGGCATGACGCGGGGCCGACACATACTCGCCCTGGGCGAGGACGAGTACGCAAAGCTGCGGACAAAGGTGGGCGGGTGCATGTCTCTGCTCATCTCCCACTTTGATATTATGGGGGCGAGGTCGAACCTGGCCGCCCAGGCGGAGAAGGAGAAGATTGAGCAATTGGTAGGGCAGTTTAGGAAGCTCGACAAGAACAGGATGCTGGACGACGAGGAGGCGTCGCGGTGCATTACGGAGCAGCGCGTGGGCCAGCTCGACAAGGTCGACGAGTACCGGCAGGAGAAGGAGGCGGAGCGGCGCGCACTGGGCCGGGTGCTCGAGACCAACAACGAGGCCGACCGGTCCCTGGCATACCTCTCGTCTTCGGCGACCAATGTGACGATGCGCTGGCAGCAGGGCCACTTTGTCGGCGGCGGCACCTTTGGAAACGTCTACGCGGCCATGAATCTCGACTCCGGGCATCTGATGGCAGTCAAGGAGATCCGACTTCAGGACCCGAAGCTGATTCCGCAGATAGCGGAGAAGATCCGGGAGGAAATGGGTGTCTTGGAGGTGCTGGACCATCCCAACATTGTGTCGTACCACGGCATCGAAGTGCACCGCGACCGGGTCTACATATTCATGGAGTTTTGCTCGGGCGGGTCGCTGGCAAGCTTGCTCGAGCACGGCAGGATCGAGGACGAGCAGGTCATCATCTTTTACGCCCTGCAGCTACTCGAGGGACTCGTTTACTTGCACGAGAGGGGGATCGCCCATCGCGACATCAAGCCAGAGAGTGAGTTGCCCGGATGCGTTTGCCCCTTGGTATTGACGGCGCTTTTCCCTGTTCGCACGTTCCTGCTGTTCTTCCTCTGGCAGCTCTTCGTCCCCTCCCCCCTGTTCACTTGTGTGTCTTGCGAGCATGGCGGGGCTTCGCGCGTGTTGAGGACCGAAAGGCTGATGCTGAAGACAGACATTCTCCTCAACCACAACGGCATCATCAAATACGTCGACTTCGGGGCCGCCAAAGTCATCGCCCGTCAAGGCCGGACGCTGGCGGCGGACCTGCACGCGACGAAGCCGAACAAGTCGATGACGGGGACGCCCATGTACATGTCTCCCGAGGTGATCAAGGGGGAGAACCCGGGAAGGGCGGGGTCCGTCGACATTTGGTCGCTCGGGTGCGTCATCTTGGAGATGTCGACGGGGAGGAGACCGTGGGCCAACCTGGACAACGAGTGGGCCATCATGTACAACATTGCGCAGGGCAACCCGCCTCAGCTGCCGACGTCGGACCAGCTCAGCGCCGACGGCATCGACTTCTTGAAGAAGTGCTTCTTTCGGGACCCCAAGGAGAGGCCGTCTGCCGTCGAGCTGCTGCAGCACGAGTGGATCATGGCGATACGGAATCAAGTGGTGGACCCGCTGACGCCGAGCGACGCCAGCGGGTCGATTCAGTCGACGCCTATGCTGACGGGCTCGAGCGGCCGGGGCAGCAGCGTGGGACCCGACGGATTCTACTAGGCCGGCGAGTGTGTTGTATCTTGCAGGGCCAGCCAACGGGGCACTTTGCGGCTGTGCCACTTTGGCCCCCTTTTCCAACACCTCACTGGCTTTCGTCGGATGATCTTAACGAGTGGTAAAGGGTTTAATGGGTCCAGGTGCGTGCTTGTTCGAGCTTGGAGTTGGGGAGTTGCCTGTCCTGGGGGAGAGGAAACAGAGAGGAAGAGACGGATGTAAAAGACTGGTGGTGGGTGGTGCGATCTGAATCAAGAAAACGTGATGAGGGTGGCCAGATAAACGATACCAGGGACGCGTTGTGCAGCAGCATGTAATTCTGGGCGCGAGGGGAGGGTCATGACGCTCTGAATGGAAAAGGGGTGCAGCGAACGTATTACTTGTTGTACTTGTGCTGAAGCGGCCGCGGCAGATGGACGTCTTTTCTTCTCCTTGGACTCTAAACGAGAGTCGCGTACGCACGGGCGACGTACAAAGACAGCACGTAGGCATCCGCCGATATGCGGAGGGAGACGCCGTTGAGCTATCTGGGGCCCGGGCCGGGGCGGGAGCCGGAACGGGGTGCCCCGCGCTGGGGTAAAGGCGGGGTTGCCCGCTTTATTGCCTGCCGGGTTTGAAATAAAAAAAACCCGTGGTCATTCTTGGCGGGAACAAGCTCTACGACGACATCTCCTCACACCCGCCCCTCTCCCCTTACCTCCCCTCTGAAAAAGAGATAGCCGAGTTACGGTTCAGCCCGGGCAGGAGACGACAGGAAAAAGACGATCGGGCATGACGTCAGCCGCAGTCGAGGGGCCGACGCCGACGAGCGCCAGCTCGGCCGAGGGCGTGCTGGCGACGTGTGCGGCGCACGGGCTGACGGCGGCCGAGTTCGGGCGGCTGCGGGAGCGGGCGGTGGCGGCCAAGGGCGCGGCGCACTGCCCGTACAGCGGGTTCCGGGTGGGCGCGGCGGTGCTGTGGGCCAGCACGGGGACGGGGCCCGGGGCGAGCGACGAGGGCGGCGCGGCGGTGACGGCGGGCGCCAACATCGAGAACGCCAGCTACCCGGTCGGCACGTGTGCCGAGCGCGTCGCCGTGGCCCGCGCCGTCGTCGAGGGCGGCAGGGCGTTTCGCGCCGTCGCCGTCGCCACCGATGTCAGCCCGCCCGCGAGCCCGTGTGGCATGTGTCGGCAGTTGTGCGTTGCGTTCGCCTTCTCTCTCCCGTGGCGCTCTCTCGCCAGAGGCGCGCTGGGGTGGACTGACTGGCTGACGCGGCTGTAGCATTCGCGAGTTCTGCAAGCCAGACGTGCCCATCATCATGTTCGACAAGAACCTCGACTACATCGTCCTCACCCTGGAGCAGGTCAGTCCCGGCCCCCTTGCCCTCCAGCTCGTCGTGCCTGACCGAGGTACAGCTGCTGCCAATGTCCTTTGGCCCCGAGGATCTGCGCCCGTCCGGCGGTGCGCGGGCGTTGGTGTAGGAGCCAAGTGCAAGGTGTTGCGGCGTCGGGGGGTTCTGTGGTTGTGCCTGCTCCTGACACCCCATCACTTGGTCTCACGGCAAAAGGCTGAACGGGGAAAGCTTGACATTGGTCGTTCTCAGAGCTGGGTGAAGTCGTCGAAGGGGTTTGTGGGTGCCATTACTGCTGCCGTCACGAGTCGAGATAGCTGCCAGCGCCAATTTGTACAGGCCCTCTTGAGTAATGAAGCCCCAACATGGGCGAATTGCCCCTTGAATTTATTAGTAGGTTTCTAAGTACTGAATTAAAAGAAGCCCCGCGTCAGGCTGGGTAGAAATCGTATCCAGGGCATGGTGTCCTCCCGTCCCCTTGCGGCCGCTTGTGTGGAGAGACAACAGGGCGGCATATATGTATCCTCTCCGACCTCCTCCATCCCTTTCCGCCGCTCACAAAACGCAAGCGTCAATATTAACCCGTCTCGTTTCTGCTCATCTCCGCTCCTCTTCCTTTTTTTGCAATCCTCCCTGGTTGGTCGGAGGTTTCGTCGGATGGTATATATAGTTTCTATCCGTGTATGTAATGGGTTTGGTGGGTTTCAATGTCGAAGAAACTTTGTACGTGGTCGGGAGATTATCCACGCTCCTCACTGTACAGCCGAAGCATGTGCCGGGCTCGGGTTCCGCGCTTCCTCCGCCATCCATCATCTGCGAAGCGGGCTGACACCCAGGCCGAGGCCCAGCAGGCTGCCCTTCTTGGGCGTGCCGCCGACGGGAGCGCCGGGGATGGGGCTGCTGTTGCCGCTGCCGCCGGTGGGCATTTCGGGCTGTGCGGCGTCCATCGGGCTGTCGTTGCCGCCAATGGGCTTCATGTCGGGCTGCGTGTTCATCGTGTCGTCGATGCTACCGGGGTTGCGACCATCGTTGTCGTTGCCGCTGGCTGTCCTGACGCCGGAGCTGGTGCTGTTCCTGCTGTGCGTGCCTTCATGGTGATCCTGGACCTTGTCCTTGGCTTTATTCTTGGCCTTATCCTTGGCATCGTCAACTGCGGCGACAGTATCGATGCTGGCGCCCTCAGTCTTGCCGCTCGTAAACTTGTCCTGAACCTGCGGCCTCTGCATCTTCTGCACCTTCTGCTGCGACGACCGAGACCGAGCGCTGGGCGGTCCGCACGCCAGGTCGTACCACATGCCGGGCTGGTGGTTGTCGATGTCGCGCACGTCGTACGACACGGGCATGCCGTAGAGCTTGCATCGGGGCGCGCCCAGGTCGTTGGGGTAGTAGCGGTAGGCCTTGCAGCCCTTGGTGTCCTCCATGACGCTCTGCACAGGCGTGGTTTAGCTAGACGGCTCTGAAAAGGAGGAGGAAAGAAAGGCTTGGAAGAAACGAGGGGGGCAGGGAGGCTTACATCGCAGAACTGGTAGCAGCCCTCCTCGGTGACGGGCACGCCAGGCCGGTCCTCGATGAACTCGGCAATGAAGTAGGTGCCCGCCGGCTCGCCCTTGACGCCGCAGTACGCCGACTCGGGCGACGGCCGCCCCGTGGCCTTGTCGTGGGCGTAGACCGTCTTGGTCGGCACCACCGTCGCCGGCGGCTTGACCGTCAGCGTCGTCTTGGTGACGGGCGTCATGGCCGTGTCGATGACGCAGATGGTCGTCGTCTGCGCCGTCTTGGCCGGCGGCTTCGTCACGAGCGTCATGTGCGTCGTCAGCCCCGTCGTCGTCTCATCGCTGCACGGCTCCGTCGTCGTCGTCGACACTGTCGCCGTCTTGCTGGCCGTCAGGGTTGTCGTCACCGTCTCGTCATCGCATGGCTCCGTCGCTGTCGTAGAGGGCGAGCGCGGCGGCGTCGTCGTCGAGAGGATAATGGTCAGGGAGCCTGTCGACACCACCGTCTCCGGGTCGCAAGGTTCATCGTCGCCGCCTGCCGTGGGCGTGTGGAGCACCGTCGTCGTCGACGTAAGGTTGGCATACGGGTTGCGCGTTATGACGGTCTTGACGGTCACGGCCCCGGTTTCCTCGGGGCAGGGCTCCGTCGTCGTCGTCGTCGTGACCGGAGTCACGGTTATCGTTTCGTCATCAAGGCAAGGCTCCGTGACCGCCGGGTTTGTAGCCGTCACGTAGACGGTGACGTCGATGGTCGTCGTCGACACAAACACGGTCCCGGTCGGGCACCCCTCGGGCACGGCCATGGCCCCGTCCGCCTCGCCTTGCGCGCCGCCGTGCTGTGACCGCGGCGCGATGCCGCCAACAACGCCCACGAGTTCCAGGCCCGCATCCCTTGCTTCCAGCTGTGGCTTCGGGTCAGTCGCTGCGTATGCGTATGTCCACGTTGGATGGGCCGTCATCTTACCTCATCGCCAAGGACTTGTCTGGGTGCCGCCTCGACGGCCACCGACAACAGGCCAACGGCCGCTAACGTCCAAGAACGCATCTTCAGTTCTTGTCTAAGCTCGGCTGGCTCAGGGATAGGCTCGGCTCGGGACCAAAGATGGAATAAGAAGCACGTGTCGGCTGATGCTGGCCGAGAATGGATGAGAGGAGAGCTCGAGTGCTTGTGCTTGCTGATGATAATTGCCGTCTCCAGTCGCATCGTCAGTGTTATATATGTCGTCTGGCGGCCCGTCCCAGGGCAGCAACAGCTGAAACAGTTGTCAATACTTGGGGCGTCAGGGAGCCTTGTTTTTTCCTCATCGAGTTCGTCAACGGGCGGTACAGATAGAGCGATGAATAGCGCTGTTGCCCTGGAAAGGGGTTCGCCGCCGTGCAAGGGAGAAGGCCTCCTTGCACCCGCCTCACCACCAAAGGCCACCTGGAATCGCGCCCTGTATATCAATCACGTCCAAAGTGCGGGAATGTGTGCTTATGCAGTTGATTCACTCGTCGTCCTAGTTTTGGCTAGTCCCAGCGCCCGTGAGCCCTTCAACCTGTGAGTGAAGCTCGAGTATCTCCGGCGCCGGCTGCACACTACTCGGCTCGACGTGCCCTCCCATCATTGCTACATGCAGTGGTGCCTCAAAGAGAGAGAAATGCAAGGGGAGGGTATCTGAACTCGGGGATGCACTCCAACGCCGTCTCGTCCCTTGAGGGGGCGGAAAGCAAACATCACCATATGCCCATACTGCAAATCAAATCAAAGGCCCGGCCCGCTGCCATGATGATCATAAACACGCCGCAAAAGCAAGAGAGTGTCGGCGCACCACGTTCCGGTGTTGGAATGGTGCAAGTCTGTGAGAGGGAAGAGAAAGAAAAAAGGCCAAATAGCGGGAGTGGTAGGGACGGGTGAGGGCAGCCACCCGAGCAGCGACAATGGCAAAACAGCCTTGACACCGGGTGGTCCCTCCTCAGTCCTCCCAGATGGTTTCCAGGTCAATGTCCCCTCGGCGCTCGGCACCGCAGACGCTCCATCGCTTGCGCTTGTCTCTCGAGCCAAAGTTCATGGTGCGGCCGCGGGCGGGCACGTCGTTGGCGTTGCGTGCCCTTGCATCCGACGAATCGAGGCCGTCGGCAGCTTCGGCGGCGGCCTGCAGCCGGGCCAGTCTCTCGGCCTCGAGGGCGGCCTCTTCTGCGTCTGGAGAGTCGGGAATGGTCTCGAGGCTCGAGATGCTGGGACTGCGCGACCGAGTAGAGGTCGGGGTCGAGGGGACAGAGGAGAGACTGCCGCCGTGAAAGCCAGACAGTGCGTCGTAGGCTCTCATGGGGGAGACGGAGGAACTCGAGGACGGGGTCGAGGGCAGCAGCGCCAGAGACGAGGCGCTGGGAGGAGCGACGCCTCGAAGGGGAGAGGGTGGGCGGCGGTGGCGGGCCAGAGAGCCTGGAGTGGGGCTGGCTCGACTCGGGGAGCAGCTTCTTTCGGCGGTGGAGGATGTGGACTGGGGCTCGGCGTCGTGGACAGAGGCCCGGACGGGAGATGACGTGGGGAAAACATCGTCGACGGGCTTTCGGGGGGTTCGTACGCGGCGGGGAGAGCCCAAGGGGCTGGCGGGCCGCACCTGAGGAGAGTAGAGGATGCGGCCCGAGGCGCTGAGGCCCGGCATGGATTGGGTCCGGGACATGGGCATGGCGAGGCCGGCGGCGGAGCAGGAGCGCGAGTGGGAGTGGGAGGCAGAGAGGGGCGAAGCGGTTCGAGGGCGGTAGGGAATCGAGGAGGGCGCCCACGAGGGCGTGACGGGGGACGGGGGACTCGGGTCGGTACTGCGGCGCAAGGTGGGCGGCTTCGACGAGAGGTCGAGATGGAGCGTGGGGACGGCCGCGTTATTGCTGCTGCTGCTGCTGCTGCTGCTGCTGTTGTTGTTGTTGTTGTTGTTGTTGTTGTTGTTGTTGTTGTTGCCGCCGTCGTGGTTGGCGGCTCCGAGGCGGACAGAGGGCACAGGCGAGGGCTTGAACTCCTCCATGCGCTCCGTCTCAGGAACAGACTCCATGGGTCGCGAGATGCATCAAGCGTCGAGGGTGGGAGGCTCGGCGTGCCGAGACGGATGGTTTTGTGTGTGTGCGGGAGTCGACGGACCGACGGCTAGAGAGAGAGGGTTTGACGAGTCCAGCCGGCAAGTGGCGGCGGGTGCTTGTCGGATGCCTCACGGTGAGACGAGGGACATTCCTGAGACTCGACCAGGCGACAGACGAGGCAAAAATAAGCACCCGCCTTGTCCCCCCCGAGTCGGTCTGCGGCTGCGTGGATGTTTTTTTTTTGCGGGCTTTGCCCCCTGTCCCTCTTCTCTGTCGTTGTCGCTCGTCTCTCTGTGGCTTCTTGTCTCTCGGCGCTGCTGCTGTATCCTCTCGGATTGTTGGAGAAACACGGGCGGCGAGACAGAGCTGAGGAAAAGGGAACCAGACAAAAGGCCGCCGACAACAATCGAGGGGCGCTCGCCCAACAAGTACCGAAGGCACCCCAGACAGCGGGGTGAGATACCTAACCGGGCAGTCTCTGGATCCGAGGTTGGTGAGACTCAGGGTACCCTGTACAGTTGGTAGGTGTCAGCGCCCGCACTGTGGTTCCGGCGACGCGGGTATCTGCCCATGGCCCATTTCCCAAGGTAACCTAACTAATTACTTACTGTACGGAGTACGGAATACCTGCCTACCTAGGTAGGTCAGGTAGCACTCGCTGTCTGTCTTGGCGGTACCTGCGCAAGTAATGAGTTGAATGAACCAGGCAGACCCCGCGTGGGCCGAAGACGGCGGCGGCGACTGGCGCTACGCTTTGATGCTTCTAATTCAGTCCTGTCAATTCAATCTACGGTTCGTATGAGCATGTAAAGCAGAGGTATGCAGGTGTTCTGTGCCGATGGGGTATCCCCATATGTTACGTAACTTACTGCACATACAGCATGATGCGGACGTCTAAGTTACTGGGCAAGCCATGTACAGTAGGCATGCACATACGGAGCGTGTCAAAGGCGCGCGCTGCCTTCTGGATCGAGGCCCAACGACAGTGAGCACAGCCGCGTCTTTGGCCAGAGTTGGACTAGCGCCCGGCAGAACCGTCAAAGGCTTAGTCACCCGGCCGTTTCTAGCGCGACGCTTCAGTGCCTCGGATCGGACATGCTGGCAGGCGTACATGCTGGCAGGTGTACGTACTACAGGTGTGCCAGTCAGTGATTTTCCGTGCGCTCCCGCAACCCCTAACCGCCGCTGATGACCTGGTGACTGCTCGCTGTCCGCGCTAGCGGGAACTGACTCCAAAGAGGGAGGTGCAGAAGTCGGCTGTCGGTGCTAACGTTGAACGCACAGTGTGGCCTGCACATGTTGCATCGCCATGAATAGATGCAGGTGACTCACCCACGGCGCCTAGACCAGCCGACTCCTGAGCTTCGAGGCATGTGGGCTCGTTCCCAGCTTGCCGTCACGTGCACGTCAATCTCGAGTCTCCTGGCAAAGGAGAACCCTTCGTCTATTCATCATGGCTCATACCGGTCAACGACTGATTCGTAAAGCTGCAGTAAAGTCACGGCCATCAGGCTATCAGAGCTGGACCGAGAGAGATGGCGGGCATGCGTGTCTTCACTGCCAATAATCTCTCCTCTTTGCTCTCGACGGCTGCACTCTAGAAAAAGAAAATGAGGCAAAATTGGCTCGTTGTGACGTTTGGTATTGAGCTCGTCTCCCCGCTTGCGTCTTCAGCCATCCTCCAACTCGACATCCTCTTGTCGGATGGGTAGCTCGCTTCGCAACCCCTCCTTGACCTCCGAGTTAACCCCGTTCGGGCCCCCGACGTCCGTCGCGTGGCGGTACACCCGGACCGTGTTGTCCTGGCCGGCGCTTGCCATGGTCTCGCCGTGGACGTCCACCCAGAAGCACACGCCCTCGTGGCCGCGCACCCGCTGAAGGATGGCCTTGCTCTTGACGTCCCACAGCACAATGTCGCCGTCTTCGCTTGCCGACGCGAGCAGGGGCTCGCCGCCCAGCACGGCGAAGCAGCCTCCCACGGCAAACCTATTGTTTTGGTGGCCCTGATACGTCTTCTTGACCGTTCCCGCGACGTAATCCCAGAGCCGTATGCAGCTGTCGAGACTGAAGGCGAGGACGAAGCGGCCGTTGGGAGAGAAGCACACATTGGTCACGGCCGGGTTGTCTTCGTGGACAAGAGTCCGAAGGCACTGGCCGGTCGACGTGTCCCAAACACGACTAAAACGTCTCATCAGCAACCAGTCACGATATCCGACCACGCCGAGGCGTCTCACATTAAACCATCCGTGGAACAGCTCACGACCAGCGTCCCGTCGCGACAAAAGTCGATGCCGCTAACGGGATCGCTGTGGGCGGGCAGGCTTCGCATCATCCTTCGGGCCCTCACGTCCCACAGAAAGACGGCCTCGTCGTAGGACCCGCTGGCCAGAATGTTTCCCTTGGGCGAGAATGCCAGGCAGTGTATGTAGTTGTGATGCCCTCGCAACGTGGACCTGCCCTGGCCCGACGATATCGACTTGCGGGTGGTTGTCTTTGGGCGCCCCGTGACGCGATCCCACAGCCGAATGGCCTTGTCATCGGAGCCGCTTGCCAGCGTGTTGCTATCGGGCGTCCAGACGAGGCAGCTCACGCCGGCCATGTGGCCCACGAGGGTATCCATGTGGGCGCCGGTTGCGGCGTCCCAGATCTTGAGCGTTGCATCGGCAGAGGCCGACGCGATGAATCGGCCGTTGGGCGATATGCGAACCTGAGAAACGGGTTTTGTATGGCCGTGCAGGATGAGCCGCGGCTTGTAGCTGGGCTTGAGTGGCTCGTGTTCCAGTGGGGGGGACGGCTGAAGAGGTCTCGGGGAGAAGGACTCGGTCCGGGAGCGGTCGTAGGAGCTACGGGAGGCGGCGCGGGGACGGGATTGCGAGTCCCTCGACGGAGACCTGCTGGGGGACCGTGAGGCCGACCCGGAGCGCGAGCTTGAGCCGGAGGTGGAGCGGGATCTGGAGCGCCGGCGCGTGCACGAAGGCGGTGACGAGTACCCGTCGTTGGAAGCCTGTGTGACTGGGCTCCGGCTTAGGACATGGCCGCCTTGCGAAGCCCCCCAGGAGCGAGAGCGCGGTCGCTGCAGCAAGGCATCATGAGTCCGGCGTCGCTTGGGTGGAGGTGGAGTTGTGCCGGCGAGCTCATCGGGCGAGTCCATTGCTGGGCCAGTTGGGACGCGAGGCTGACGCGCGGCGGAGGTATGGGAAGAACGGAGGAAAGCTCTCGGAAAAAAATGCGGACCGGTATGACGCGGCGCCATTGGCTGGCGAAACACATGCAACTCAACACGTGGGGCCACATGGATGAAAAATCGGCGACACTCTCTCCAAGGATCTCGAGGCTTGGCTTCGTTGTTAATCAAGCCGTTGGCCATGCAACGTTGTCGCCTGTGGGCCGCTATCATCAGTGGGAATTGACACTGGCTTGCGCATGCCGACGCTTGGGGCGACAGCAATGCGGCTGCAAAGGACGCCGAGTGTCGCCAAAGAATGATCCACCTACCCGTTCTACTCCGTATTGCGCGAGGAACATGGCGTCGACCTGCTTCCAACTAGGCCCAACTGATTGACGACTGCGGGCTGGCACAACCCAGCAACACTCTTCTGCCATGGCATGGCATCTCCGTGGCATTACTCCGCGAATAAAAATCCTGCCGAGTCCCGCGTTGGTCTGCACAAGAGCCAACGCTTCCCCCTCACTCTTTGTCCTTTCGGCTTCAGAGTTTGCTTTTTACGCCCTCAAGCTGCTTCTCCCCATCATCTGCTTCCCGCGTGTTGTGTCGATCTGGAGGGATGTCTCGGAGTTCCGCGCCCCATTGTTTTGCACGGAGCACACAATGACGAGGTTGAGTCTGCCTCCCGACAAACAGCCGCGATCTGTACAGTATACCACGCGGCCATGGATGATGGATGTGTGCAAGAAACATCGTGGCCAACATGTAATTAAGGGGACGGCCGAGTCTTATCTCAGTCGGACAAGCAGGTTTTTTTTTCCTTCTTCGTTCGGTCTCGCAGCAGGTCCAGGCCCAGACGGGCTCGGGCGGCGAGCTTCGAGCTTTCTCGACCGTGGCGTTGTCAGCCGCAGGGCAATAGTCGGTTCCAGATTGGCGAATTGAAGCCCATGGGAGATGCTTTGCCTCCTAGTAAGGTCAGGGCTCTGCGACATACAGCACTAGCCAGGTAGCTGGAGGTATAGGATAGCCTGCGTGCCTGCCTAACTGGTGCCGTACCATGGCGTGGTATCTGTCTTGCCTACCGCCATCGAAACCTCCTGATTGGGAAGTGACCGAAAGATTCTTACGATGGTGAGTTGCCGCCCGCCATCGGATATGCAGGTGTGGAGTAATTGCTGTCCTTTCGGCTTCAGCCGTCGTGCTTGGAGCCGCATGTCGTGAAGCCCCTGACGAGGTAGCCTCATCTCGCCCGGCGAGGGCGCCTTGTCTGGGGGCGTGTGCAATACGAATGCATGTTTAAATTCGAGGCCGCCACCACTCCGTCGCCTAGTGAGTAGACAACGCGCCTGTCGAGCCAATCGGCCAGAACCGAGTTTCTCAAAATGCGGCTGTAGGGCTCCCGGCTTGTTCATGGGCGAAGCATCTTGGCATATAAATCAAAATATTACTCGCATTAAGGGGCATCGTGGGCTAGCAGCCTTGTTGGCGTGCTCAAACGCCCTGTCTTGGCTGCCAATGCTTGCTCTGCAAAAAAGGCCCCATTGTGCTGCGAATCTCGAAACAAAGCAGCCTTGTCATCCTCTGCCCCACGGGATTGGAGGGCCGGGCACGCAATCTCGGGCTTCAATGCTCAGTCGACACGCGGCGGCTCGCTCGCTGGCTTCTGCTCCATTGCGAGGTGAGATTGCCAGGACCGGGGACCTCACCTCCTTCCAGTCTGGCATCCATTAACTTCCTCGGTCATGCATGGGCAAAGTATCCGTAAGCAGGAGCAGGCGAATGTCGGCCGTCTCTCCAAAGCGGGAGGGTCGGGCCCGCCTGCCATTGGCCGCGCCAGGAGCGGCCCCCGATGCCAGGCGCCAATCATTGCATCCGATTGATGGAGAAGCAATTTCCTCTACTCCTTTAGGCAACTGCGGCTTGACCCTGCCCCGCTTAGCGTGCGAGCCCGTCTTATCTTCTGCAGGTACCAAGTACGGTGCGGTGAGCCAACAAGGGTCAGGGACGGACCTGCCAGAGGTGCCTGACCAACAGGGGAAGGGACCCCGCACACCAGGCTTAGCGAACACTCCCCCCGTGGCATGCGCACACACACTCTCGTACCCCCAAGACGGGTTGGTTAAAAAGGACGCCCTCTCACTTTCCATTCCCGCCTTCTCTCCTCAGCAACTTGCGCTCCAGTCACTCTTTTTTTGAAACCAACGCGGCTACCTTAGCTCTCATACGCTCATTCTTTTTAATTACTATAATACTCAGTCGTGCTCTCCCTCCCGGGTCAGTCTCAGCTTCCTCCGCGACTTGCCTTCTTGCACTAGCTCGCCGCCGCCTTGTCCAAGATGCACTTCAGCCTCTCCGCCGCAACGGCCGCCCTGGTCATGGCCGCCTCTGCTTTTGCCCAGATCGAAGGCTGTGCCATTTTCAACAGCCTCAAGAAGGGCGAGCCACTTCGCGTCGGCCATCCTGTCAAGATCAGCTGGACGTGCGCGTCTCAGAACGAGAAGCCCATCGTGAAGATCATCCTCGTTGGCGGCGAGGAACAGGGGACCCAGACAGATCGGGCGGTCGTCACTAGTAAGTTTGCGCCAGCCAGCAAGCAGGTCTTATCGTTTCTGATCCCTCTCGCAGCCGGTGTCCCCATCGACAGCGGAGAGTTCATGTGGACCGTTCCTGACCTCCCCCCGAGACCCTTTTACGGCTTCAAGATGATCGATGTGAGCAACGAGAAAAACCTGCAATACTCCGAGCCCTTCCAGATCGTCGGTGGCTCTGCCCTTGCCTCCAGCTCCTCCCCGGACATCAACACCACCGTCGTCTCCTCGAGCGCCTCATATGCCACGCCTACGGTCCCCACTGCCAATGCCCCAGTTGTTCCCACCTCGGCTGTTGTTCCCCAGGCCCAGGCTCCCAGCGTTCCCGCCGCTGGAGCCCCTGCTGGTGGTGTCCCCACCCGCCAAGGCAACGTCGACTATGATAACAAGAACGGAACCGCCGCCGTCAAGCCTAACGGCGCTGCCACCGGTCCCAACGGCGGTGTCGCCGGCGGCGTCTCTGGCCGGCCCAACAACTCTACGGGTCTACCTATCCAGACCGCTGGCAGCGCCCCTCTGGCTCAAGCCGGCTTCCTCAGCGTCTTTGGTGGTGTCGTTGCCATCGCCCTTGCTCTGTAACGCAGAGAGATGTGGGTTTTGAGAGTAACTTTCTATATCACTATTGCACAAAAGAGACTTTCACTCGGGCGCTATGGTAAAGGAGACTTGGAAGACTGGACTGCACATAGGAGTGGCTCGGCAACGGATTGGACACAGGCCCCATCTTGGCCTCATGTATCGGCCGTGCTTGGGGGCGCCCTGTCCGCATTCTGTCGCCCGGGCTTACGATGAGTTGTAGGTAATATCCTAGTTAGCAGCAAATGGCAGGGTGCGGCCGATGTTTTTCATCTAACAATTACCCATCCATCGGACTCGCTTTGACGTGGTCCCATACAAGCACTTAGGACCTCGAGCCGTTGACTTAGCTGTACGTGCTTGCATGTCCTCGAGTGGGCTGCCTACGGGACTCGGTGTCATGTCAGACGAGTTTCGCTCAACAGCCGTGTCACAGAGTGTTTTGTGCTTCAGTGTTAGGTTCAACATGGCGGGGCCGGCAGTTGACGGGTTTTCTGGGCGTGGCGGAATGCAAGACATTTGTGGGCGTCGAAGAACGGCTTGGCGGCGCAGGGCAACACGCACACATATGTAACAGTAGTCGGTCCGTTCCCGATGAGACACAGCCTCCTCTCACGCTTTGTGACAAGGCATTCTTCCGCCCACGCACATGTATGGATGGATGAGTGGATGTAGCTTCATCTCTTGTCAGCTGAGCCAGAGCCAGCCAAACTCGGGTGTGACGTGGTCACGTGCGTGGCCCAACCATAGCCCGTCGCTGCCTCCCTTCAACAATCCTTTGTCCGACTGCGAAAACGGGCCGCGGGTTCCATTTCAGACTCATAATCGACACGGGACACACCCAGGATCTGTGTTTCTTCTACAGACTGCCAGTACTCCACTAATTTACTGTACCTGCCCGCCTGATGCCACTGACCGGCCTCCACCGCCCCGACTTGGCTGCAGGGGAGAAATCCCGCTCACGGCCAGGCTCAAGGTACGTAATATGGACGGCGCCGGTGTCTCAAAACGCCGTGCTGTACGAAGTCCACCCTGCCGTTACTCATGAAGTGGAAAATGGCGGCAAGCATCGCCCCTGAGGCCAGACACGATGCCGTTGGCAGAGGGATGGACGTGCGGGACCCTGGGCGTACCGGCCTCGAGGAACGCCCGTCGTGATGCCGCTCACTGTAAGGATAATCCGTGCCTTCAAGAGCCACAGGTCGCGGCCAAGCCGGTTGTGGAGCACGTCGGCAAACGCGCCGCTCAGGGGCCGCGCGGCAAAGTTGAGGAAGTCATAAGTTGGATGGCAGCTAGGTTGCTATCCTCGGTCTAGCTCAGCGAGGAAAATTGGCCTTGAAATGCTAAATACTAATTTATACCAGTCCCCCCCCGGCGGATCAGGAATATTAAGCGGCGACGAAAAAGAGACTTCGCAGGGCTAAGACAACGGGCAGGGCGTCCTTGAAGCTGAGCCTGGCAACCGCCTCGCTCTTGACCGTCTCGAGGGCCTCCCAGACTGGCCCCCTCTGCTTTCGATCGGACACATGCCCGTCCCCGTCCGATTAAATCTCCCTATCCTCATCCGCCGGCCCGCGGCTCGTAACGGCGCCGGGAGCGTCGGCCAATGCAGCCCCGTGCCGTCCGCGTGCCCCGGCATTGTCTTGGACACGTCAGGACCCCGTCTGCCGAACCCCGACGGGGGTGTCAGAGCACAGAAGCAGCATGTAACCAAGCAAACGAGGGGCACGACAAACGTGACGTGCCAGGCTTCTTGGTGGAGATCAGGGAGAACAAGCGGAGACTGCCCCAACTCTCCGCCAAGTGACGTTTAACCCTGAGCTGATGGGCTTTTTCTCTATCTCATGGTAAACATGGCAGGGACAAAGCTCGCGAAGTGCCGCCAAGCAGAGGCCAACAGTCTTCGCTTTACGTCTCAGTCGAGGGTAAGAACAGCGAGGAGAAAGGGGAGAGACGGTGTTCATGGCGGCTGGAGCATGCGTTGGAAGGAATTTGGTTTCAGGGATGCAGAGAACCGGAACAGGCTTCGCGTAAGCAACGGACGGATCATGGACTCGGCATCGTGATGGCGGTTAAGAGGGGGGCTACCCCCGTCTGCGGCTACCCCGTAGCCTGATGAAACGAGAAAAGTGGCATCAAGATTCTCGCTCTTCGTGACGACTCGGTAACCTATGAAGTCGAGGAAACTCGATACAAGTGGAGCGAGCTTGACAGTTGTGCCGCGGTCACAGATCACAGATGCAGGGGGGGCGGGCGCACGCACATCGCCATCTTTTTAGAGGGGGCTGAGCCAATGGCAGGCACCCCGCGCCCCCTGCGTGGAGAGGCAGCGACGGCTGCGGGGCCTGGATTTTTCCCCTCACCCGGCCGGCGCTCGATCGTCGACGGAGGCGATGACGGCGTTTGACGGCGACGGCGATGGCTGCCATGAGAGAAAGGGTCTTGAAAGGGCAGTGCTTCGCTGTCTCAGCTTGTAGCCCCCGTCGCCCAGTGCGCTCTTCTTCTCGCCGTGGCCAGGATGGCCCAGGATGGCCCGGTGCCGAGGTGGAGCGGGACTGTTTCGTTTCTCGAATTGTGTCTCTTGGTGTTTTCTTTTTCCATGCATCTCTGGCGGCTACCGCCTGTGTTATTCATTCCTCGGCCCCGTGCAGATGGGCCTCGTTCGTATTGACGCGAGGAGAGGCCTCAGGTGAGTCGGCTCGGGGTCTGCGCCGTCCGGGGGGACCCGTGTTTGCGGCGAAATGAAAGCGGGCAGGTGTGTGCGTCGTCCAAGGTATGTGCATCGCCCATGTACCCTGATGAAGCTCTCGAGTCTTTGCTTGGAGTTTCGCTGGCGACGATGCCAGCCACGGTTCGCACCGTCCGTCGGGCTAGCGGTGCTGGATGCCTCCGCCAGACGGACAGGTGACGCGCCAGGACAGAGCCCCGGCACCACCACCACCAACCGCCACCACCAACCACCACCAGAGAGGCGCGCTCGGTCTTGAGTCTACCTCCTTCCAGCTGCTAGCAGTGCTTTGCATTCCATGGCACGTACCTCGAGTAGCGCCGCTCGTCGCCGCCCAAGATTCATTCCATCCTGCCCCCTGCGGCGGCCTACGGGGCGCTGAGTCGTCACTCACCTTCAGGGCTGCTTTCGGCGCTGACGGGCGGCATCCACCGCGATGGGTTCCAGGTTGGGGTTAGTAGGCCAGCAAGTGCCCTGTATCTTCAAGTTATAGCGCAGGTACGAGCTCCTACAGTGGAGTCTGGGAGGGAGACGGACCGGGCTGGACCCCAGTCGCCCGCCGACTCATGCAAATCAAGGCTAGCTATCCTTGGCCGAGAGTACGAAAAAAAAAAGGAAGATGGAGGAAAAAGAAAGGAAGCAGCACATGCCATAGCCTTTCCCTTTTCAAGAGACGATGCCGCCATCGCAAGGATTGCAATAAAGATAGGCATCGCGGACAAGTGGCCGTTTCTTCCGGGCCCCCAGATGGTCTGGTTTGACGTCGGGAGCGGCTCGGCCCTTTGAGTTCGTCTCGTCTCGTTCCCTTCTCTCTAGCGACATTCCCCATATTCCTCCTTCTCCTGCTTGTTCATTCTTCTCCCCCATTCTTCCCTCTCCCGGTCATGAGCACGGAAAGCTGTCTCCCTACCACAGCCTTCAGCTGGCCGCCGTAGCCTTGGCCGCCCATTCGACGCCCGCCCAACCGTCGGTCCTCGCCCCCCGAACCGGGTCTGCATCCGCTCCGCGCTTCGACCGTCTACCGGTACCAGTGTCAGTGTGGTAGCGCCCTTGCCCTGCCAAAATTCAATCCGTCAAGAGGCTCGGGAAAGAAGGACAGGGGGCAGATCAGGGAAAAAAACCCAAACCCGACTTCTCCCCGCCGACTTGCGGTCAACCGTCGTCGTCCCAAACACCTCGCGCTCGCTTCTCATGTTGGTGCTCGACGGCTGAATGAGGGGGTGGCGCCTGCAAGACAATCTTCCCATCTTGTGCGGGCACCTAATAAATCTGCAGCTGCCGGCCCTCTTGGCGCGTCGTTGCTCGCTCAGCTCGACCTTGGTTTGGGCCGCAAAGACGGACGCCGCCTCGGTCTGAACCGCACGCCTCTCGCCCCCAGCCAATCGCCCGACCCCAGCCATGGCAGCCACTCAGAGCTCCTTCAGCACCCGCCGCGACGGCTCCTGGGATGGCCCTGGGCCGTCTGTGGCGTATGGCATACAGCAGCCGTCTTCGCCGACCCTGACGAACCCAGACATGATTCTGCCCGACTACGACAATGGTGAATCCTACGACAGCCTCTCTCGCGCTCCCTCCTCGTCGGTCTGGTCCATGGCTCACCCCACAAACGCCGACTTTTCTCCCCTGCCCCAGAGCAACTACCACGCAATGCCTCTGGGTCCCTCGACCCCCATAATCTACGGCAATGGCACCATGCTGTCCGACATTGGAGAGGTGACCGAGGTTGAAAGCATCGCCAGCAGTCCGCCCAGGCGTCTGACGTCTCGCCCCCTTGTCTCTGCCAGCGATGGCACTCCGCTTCGATCGTCCCCGACCATCGGCAAGGTGCTCGTCAACAGGCGGCCATTGCACGAGCGCCGCCTGTCCATCGAGTCGACAAGCACCATCAACGACAACGGCCGAGCCACCGCCCTCGGCGACTTTGACGACTCCATCAGTGTTGCCGACAGCTGTTTCCAGGGCGACGACGAGGAGAGCATGGCCTCCTCCTACGTCGAGGAAATGCCAGTTCGCCAATCCGTCACCGCCGTCCGACCGTCCATTCAGTCCATCAACCAAGCTAGACCCTCTGCAAGTTCCATTAGCAAGCGAGCCGAACACATCCTGGCAAACGCCAAGCGCCGCCTCAATGTATGCTCCGGCTACTCTATCCCTCGCCCCCCTCGGAGTATCATAGTGGCAGAATCGCTGACGTTTATCCAGACCATGGAAGGGAATTTGAGCAGGGCGAGAAACTTTGGCTACTCCTCCGCGTCCGACGGCCCTACCCCTTCCCCGGCTGCTCGACCGGTCAAATCCTTTGACGAAGACATGCTTTCCAAGTCGTCGTCGAATCATGCAAGAAACGTAAGCGAGACGGGCTTGCAAGGGACTTCGAGACCTATAGAACGCTTCCAGAGATCGGCCAGCGCTCTCGGTGCAGCTGGTGGTTACCGCCAACCGCTCCTCTCGCCTGTGAGCGCCGACGCTCCTGGTAGTCAACATGCTCACCTGACCAACAAGCTGTCGCACCATCCCCTCGACATTGTGCTTACGCCTTTGAGCGAGGACGGCGACGACGAGGGTCATTGCGCCAGTGATAAATTCGACGACGTTCGAGCCAGCAGCGTCGCCAGCCCGACTTTGAGCTCCTACTCGGATGCCGGCGGGCCACGATCTCCGTCGGTGGTACAGGTGCGAGACCTTCAGGACCAGATGGAGGGGCTCAAGGGCAAGATCTCGAGCCTCAGACAGCAAGCCCGCGCAGACAGCATGAAGCGTCGCAGCTTACAGGGCCTCCGGACGCCGAGCCCCTTCACTCACGCGAGGTGGGATCACGCCGAGTCGCGCAGCGTGAGCAACCCGGACCAGAGGAGCCGCGCACCCGAGAGTCCCTTGAGCGCCGCGGTATCGGAAGGCGAGATCGGCGGGAGCCCCGGGGTCCCCAAGGAAGATGAGGCCCAGGACTTGCCCGGGGAAGATGCGCCGTCCATCGTCGGCAGTTATCATGAGGCTCGGGAGACTCAAGACCAGGGTGGGTCCGAACGCATCGAGGATGTTGAGACTGTTGGAGAGTCGAATGCGGACGTTGAATATCTCAACGGCGCAATCCAGGACGCGGAAAACGACGATGTCGACGTAGACGGGGCAGCTGATACCGACGGCTGGAGCGAAAGCGGCGATTCCTTGTACCACGACACGTACCAGCATCCAGTGTCCCATGAAGATCGAGAGGACGCGTTCGACTACGAACACTTTTTCCTTCACTCGGCCATGGGCACCCTGAGTCAACAGGAGCGCAGTCGACGCGGCAGCTCAGGCAGCGATGAATCTGGTGATTCTGTCGAGACAACTCGAGGCCCAATGTTGAGCCATGCCAGACGCCCCAGCCTGGACACTTTTACGACAGTTGACTCCTTCACCACCGCCACCGAGGGCCGCGCAAGTCGTAGCTCGTTGATGCCGGGCGGGGAATTTGGGGATGAAGACGCTGAGGTTGAGAGCTTTGCGCTTTCGAGGGCGTCCGGCGGTGGCGACGACGAAGCAAATCACTGGCAACGAAGCCGGACGCGCCAGAATTCTGTCATCCACCGGCCGAACAGCACGACGTCAACGCTGCACCGTCCATCGGTTTCTTCTTTCGAGTCGACGGGGACAAATAGGAGCTTCCCGCTCGTGAACAGGGTCAGGATGAGTGGGGGGATGTTGACGCCCATGGGGTCCCCGGGACAGGACCTCAAGCAAGTGTCCGAGTCGCTCATGACGGAAACGGTCAGCATCTGCGACAGGGAGAGCATTCACGAGGCGCAGCCGCAGTCGCCCGCAATCCAAATGCTATCCAAGGAGGACCAGATGATGGTGGAACGGGTTGTGGCCAGCCTCGGAAGATGCGTACTGGGCCTGACGGAATCATCGAAAACCGACCCAGGGAGACAGGAGGAGTTTAGGCGAAGGATCGACGCTGCCAGGAAGGTTCTTGAGGCGGGCCCGGGGTCCTGAGCCATCATGTATCACGACGACGACGACCATGACGATGACGGACGAGTTTGAAGGGAGATTTGACGCGGCGTAGCGGACTCGCTTTACATGAAGATGCAAAGAGGACGAGCAGGCATGCCGGGAAGAGGAGGCGGTATTTATGGTGGCACGGAATCGAGTCGCCTGGATTACGCGGGAGTGGCCGGCCAAGCGTTTGTCAACAGTGGATAATTCTGATACCCTCCTTGTATTTTCCCCCTCCTTCCATCCCTTTGTTAGACCTTTGATTACATAAAGAGTATTAATCTTGAAGACATTGTCTACCAAGCTGCGGTTGAGCACCAAGTAAGCGCGCCGAACAGGATGGTTGGTTGGTGGTGGCCGAGCTGTTGACGAGGCGCCGAAGCATCTCGGTGGGGTGAAGAGTTTCAATAATCAAAGAAGTGCTCGACGTCCAGGATACACACGGTGACTGGGATTCTCTCCAAACGGGTGCGATTCGCAGGAGGCGTTTGGGGGTCGCAGATCCAAGGCTCCCAGCGGGCGCCAGAGGCAAACCACCACTTACTTTTCCACTCGCCATCAATTCCCCAGTTGCGGCACAGTGCATTAGAGTAATCGCACAGTAGCCAGCACAGCACGTGGTCCCATCGGGCTTCTCCCTCGCTCTCACTTAAATCTCACGTCGACGACACAACGCCGCTTCCCCCACCGAAAAGCCCCCCCTGCTCGCATCCCCCACCCGGACAATCGAGCCTCGCCGTCTCCCGAAAGGGCCAACAAGAGGCAGAAGAAGCAGACAGTCGCCGCCGCCGCCGCCATGGAGGGCCATCTCGGCCTGCTCGCCGGCCTCCTCCCGCCGGAGCTCGCCGGCCCCGTACGCCAGCACCTGCTACACCCGCAGTCACCGCTGCAGACGTGCGGGCGGCACGTCGTCGCCCACGCGCGCGCCGCCGCCGCCGCCGCCGCGGATGTCGCCCTCGGCCTGGCCGCCGACAACCAGGGCCTCGCGGGCGGGCTGGCGCTGCTCGCGCTGCTGGCCACGGCCCTCGTCGTCGCGCACTGGGTCAGCCGCCTGGTCATGTGGTGGACCCGCGTCGCGCTGCGTCTTGCCTCGTGGGCCGTCGTCGTCGCCCTCGCCGCCTGGGTCTGGAATCGCGGGCCTGCTGCCAGCGTCAGGGATGCCGTCGTGCTCGTCGGCAGGGTGCTTGGCTATCTGGCTGTTCTCAAGGATATCTGGCTCGACGAGTATAACCGCTACGAGGGCCAGCAGAGGCATGAGGCGCGTGGTGGTGGCCATGGCGCCCGGGGCAGGAGTTCGGCGCGGTACTAGGCCTTGCTCCCCGTCGAGCATTCTTTGAGCGACCGTGCGCGGCTCCGAAGCCATGCGAGTGATTTGATGCCGTCGCAAACACCACGTGCTGCAACTGATATGCGCGAGCGAGCCTACGAACCAACGAGGGAGGAACCGACAGTCAACAGGATGGAGCCGCTCCGAATGTACAGGATCAAGTATGGTTTTTGCTATCTCGTTCCAAATCGAGGACGAATGTGCTTGGGTCTGCAAACACATCTGCAAAGAAAAAAAGACAGGTCGCCCAACGCCGCCGCTATGCAAAACACACTCGAGTACACGCGACCCCGGCCTAATGACCATCTGCCGTCGGCTCAAGGCATCATATCGTTCGTTATGTTACTCCTCGTCTTCAAACTCCTCGTCGTTGGGCTCCTTGGGATCCTGTGCCTCGTGGAACTGGATACAGTCGTCGATGTAGCTTAGGATGGCGCCGACGCTGTCCTCGTTTGTCACATCCAGTTTCAGATAGTTGATCATGCTGAAGCTCTCGATCAAGCCGGCCACGGCCCGGTTCAGCCTCCGGAAGCTGGCGCCCTTCATGACCTGGTCCCTCTCGTCGGGCCGCTTGGCCTCGTCGTCTTGGGCATCGGCTCCTTGGGCTATGCGCTGTGTGCGCTCGGCGGGATCGTCCTCGAGCAGGCCGACGTCTGGCGTCAGGAATCGCTTGAGGTCCTTTTTCTTGACCTGGCCCTTGACCAGGTCCATCTTGGACAGGACGTTGATGTGGGGGACCTCGAGCATCAGCATGGCGCTCATGGCGCTCAGGGTGCCGGCGAAGAACTTTGCGCGGTCGACAATAAAGGTGGCCTCGAGGAGGTAGACGGCGGCCATGCGGACGTCGAGGGATCCGGGCTGGGAGAGGAACTTCATGAGAGTAGGCAGGACGGGGATGTGGGTGTAGAGCTCGATCTGGCCGGGCATGTCAAAGATGATGAGATAGTCCTCGGTCAGGCTATCGAGGGCTTCGGTGAGCCAGTCGAGGTTTTCCATGAGAAACTCGAAGCAGTATATGAGGCCCCCGTTGGGACCCAGGCCGGCCTCTTCCATGGCGTCCTTGAGGGAGATGAGCTCCTTGATATCGAGGTCGGGCTGGTGCTCGAAGGACTCGGCGGCGGGATCGAGGTTGACGTAGAAGGCGGAGCGACGGTTGAGCTGGAGGTGGGTGATGAGGGCGGCGCAAAAGGTGGACTGGCGCGAGTCGAGTTAGCACTGGGCGTCATGGTCTCGAATTCAGATGTTTGTGGTTGTTGTCGTACCTTTCCGGCGCCGGCCGGGCCCATGACCATGGCGCCAAACTTACTCATGATGGCGGCGGCGAGTGAGGCTTTCCTCTGTGACAAGGAAGAAGCTTGATGGGAGAAGAGCTCCAAGGGGCGACGTATAAGAGGCAGGGATGGGCTGCGTGCACTGGCTGCAGGCGAGGCTGAGGATTGGGTTTTGCTGGAGTGAAGTTTTGGCCAGGGGCTCCGCAGCGGGCAGTTGGGACAAGGCTGTCCGGTCGCCGCGCACAGGGTACTTGCTAGGCACTTTGATCTGCGCATCGAGGCTACCTTCGGCACATGAGATGGCCCCTAGCAGGCACTGTGCCCCTCCGCAGACCCCCAATGCAAGGCACAGCCCACTAAGGAACCTGCAGATACAAGCCCGACCTTGGTATCTTTTCTTGGCTATATCTAGCCGACTGTCACTTTTCCAGTAAATTAGTAGAGAAAGTACCGCTCGCTTGATAACGACAGGAAATTCTACGTCATACTTAGGTAGAGAAAAAAGGTATTTTCCTCAACACCAGGGCGCAACACTCCTTGGGCCGCTTGAGAAAGCCACTCCAGCCAAAATACTAACCTAGTTAATTTATGCCTCTGCGCTATTGCATCGGGGGTTTATATCTGCATGTTCTGGTGATCCTAGTAGTGGGCTGTACTAGTTAGTACAGACTGGTGAGGTGCCCGCGATGTGCACGTGGGTACACGGCAAGTCCAAGGTACAAAGCTCGGCCAAACACGTTGTCGGAGCCAGAATTCCTCGGCGAAACAACGAAGGTAGATGACGAAAAGCAAGGCTCATCACTTTTCGCACAAGATGGACAAGAACTCGTCGGCACTCTGATGCATCTACAGTATACATATACTCACATGTACATACATGCATGCATGTACTGTACATACGTCCATATATGCGCCAACACAGGCATTCATAAGTCGCCGAAGCATGAAGAGGTCCGGGAGGGAGCGAGAGAGGGGCGAGGGATCGGCGCCGAGGGACACAGACAGGAGGAATGCTGCTCCTGCCCGATGGCGCAATTTCGCTGCAAAACGTGCTGTTTTTTTACGCCGGATCCCCCCAGCAGGTACGGGCTCTCGTGCTACCATGCTGCTAGGATGGTACATGTGTGTACGGCTTAACGTCCACCAGTGCCCCTGCTCACCCTTAGCATTCCACTACCACAACCTTATTCCGAATACCCCTCGACTCTATTTTTTTTTTCCTCGCTGGCTGCTACGTCGGTTTTAATCGCCTCTCCGCCTTTCTCCTGATTGACCCCAACCGCTTCCTGCTCTTCTTTTTCTTCCCCTCTCCTCCACCCCCGACACTATATCCATCTCCATCTTCTCCCTCAGTGGTACGTGGCCCGATCTCTCACTTCTCAATTCTGCTGCAACTCTAGAGTGACGACAGTCTAACCAATTCCTCTCTCCAGCTCAGTCCGGTCCCGCTCCCTTCCCGTCTTCGACCTAGACGCATCGTCATCGAACGAACCTCTTGCTTTTATCCCTTCACCTCTCCTCCGCCAGACCTCCTCTTCCTTCCACAGCCATGTCTGCAGTCAACGGCACCAACGGTGTCCACGCCATGGGTCCCGCCCAGGGAACCTTTCTCTTCACCGTGGGTATCCTGCTTCTCCTTCCGATGCCCCGCCTTCTAACCCCCGTCTCCAGTCCGAGTCCGTCGGCGAGGGCCACCCCGACAAGATTGCCGACCAGGTCTCGGATTCCATCCTCGATGCCTGCTTGGCCGAAGACCCCTTGTCCAAGGTGGCCTGCGAGACGGCCACCAAGACGGGCATGATCATGGTCTTTGGCGAGATCACCACAAAGGCCAAGCTCGACTACCAGAAGATTGTCCGTGATACTATCAAGCAGATTGGCTACGACGACTCGGAAAAGGGCTTCGACTACAAGACCTTTAACCTCCTCGTCGCCATTGAGCAGCAGTCTCCCGACATCGCACAAGGTCTGCACTACGATCAGGCTCTTGAGCAGCTCGGTGCCGGTGACCAGGGCATCATGTTTGGCTACGCTACCGACGAGACCCCCGAGCTCTTCCCCCTTACCCTGATGCTCGCCCACAAGCTCAATGCCGCCATGGCTGCGGCCCGCCGCGACGGCTCCCTGCCCTGGCTGCGGCCCGACACCAAGACCCAGGTCACCGTTGAGTACAAGCACGAAAACGGCGCCGTCGTCCCCCTCCGTGTCCACACTGTCGTCATCTCGGCCCAACACGCTCCTGAAATCACCACCGAGGAGCTGCGCAAGGAGATCAAGGAGAAGATCATCAAGCAGACCATCCCTGCCAGGTACTTGGATGACAACACCATCTACCACGTGAGTGGCCGCCCCGTGCCGCGTGCATTGTATGCTACACAGCTGACCAATCCCCGCAGATTCAACCCTCTGGCCTCTTCATCATTGGCGGACCCCAGGGCGACGCCGGTCTCACCGGCCGCAAGATCATTGTCGACACCTACGGTGGCTGGGGCGCCCACGGTGGCGGCGCCTTCTCCGGCAAGGACTTCTCCAAGGTTGACCGGTCCGCCGCCTACGTTGGTCGCTGGATCGCTAAGTCCCTCGTTGCCGCCGGCCTCTGCCGAAGGGCTCTTGTCCAGCTTTCCTACGCCATTGGCGTTGCCGAGCCCCTTTCCATCCACGTCGATACCTACGGCACCTCGGACAAGACCTCGGACCAGCTCGTCTCCATCATCCGCGACAACTTTGACCTACGGCCCGGTGTCATTGTCCGCGACCTCGACCTCACCCGGCCCATCTACCTCCAGACGGCCAAGAACGGCCACTTTGGTACCAACCAGCAGTTTAGCTGGGAGAAGCCCAAGGCCCTCAAGTTCTAAGCGAACGTGGTGGCGGCGGGGAGGGCATTCAACAAGCCCCCTGCAAGCCGACGGCTACGAATTCAAAGTGTCTAATGGTCCATTTCATGCCAAGTCAAGGCGGCGTACGGTTCTCAACGAAACCCTGTGAACCCCCCCTCCGGGACCGGAGTTATGGGGGGCGGTTTTCGACATGTGATTTATTTGTCATCTTCTTTTGTCATTTCAACGAGACAGGACTTGTCTCCTTCTGACGATACAGCGAGACGGACTGGTGGCGTCTTTCAACAAAGACGAGTTCCCGAGGGAACCTGCGTTTGTGAGGCGAAGCAAGAGCTCCTTTTGGACGAAGGAGGCTTTGCATTACGAGATACCCCTTCCGAGGGAAGAAAACTTTTTAGAGAAGCAAGAAGCGAGCCTGGCGCTATGCTAGGGGGCGGGGGAGGGGGGGGGAGGACGAGAATAATTTCAACATATTTTTGTTTTCCCCATATTTCTCTGGACAAACTCGTGCGTCGGGACGGGCGACCAGCGACTCAGTCATCATGTCGTTGGCTACGAGAGGGTGACTGAGAGAAGGGGAGAGGTTTCAAGGCCCCGACGGCGGCTGCCAACATGTTTGAGGATGGGGACCGAGTGCTCAGCTTCTTCTTCTTGGGCGGGGGCGCAGGCTGGTCATGTATCTTCAAGGCCGTGGATAGATGGATCTTAGAAACAGATGCCAAAAAAAATCCCCCGTCCATGAGCGTGTAAGCCAAGCTTGTCAATCATGGCATTTAAGTCATTAGAACAAGGCCATGGACAGTCACCCGTCCGTGGTCGACCTGATGCGTACGGCGTGAGGAAGTTGAACACATCAGAGCCCAAGCTCGCACCTTGGTCACCCTCGACGATTGGCACGAAGCGACAAGAGACAGAGAGCGTCAGAGAGCATGTATGCCGTTGGGCCCTCGATGGACGCGCAGGGAGATGAGGGCCGGCCGTTCTGTCAGATTCACGCGTTGGCGACAGATGACAGGAAGCCGGGCAGGACTCGCGACGAGAAGAAAAATTGGGAAATGAGCGAGTGGGAGAGGGGAAAAGCAAGTCTGCCGCGACAGCTGCGGCTTGCTTACCAAGTACGATTGGACGAGGTACTGCTACACAATGATGAGCTGGGAAATGTGACGGAGAACGCCGTCTGCCTGTTGGTCAAGCGCTCCGAGGGGTGACTGAGAGTGGCGCGCGCGATTGTGTATGTAATGTACAGTACGAATGTCGTGTTGGGTCGGCGACTTCCCGAGAGAGGTTTTGCTCTCCCGTCAGAAATTGGGTGGGCAGCAAGTCCGAGAGCCAAGATGGTATTCCTCGTCGGCCATGTTGGCCACAACGACCGGTGTGAGGGCCGTCGAGGCAGAGCCATTGCTCCCAAGATGGAGCCCTGCAAAGCAAACGAGGCGGAGACGGCGCCGAGGCATTGCTGTTGGCGGGCATCTTGGCTAGACACCACGGGCAACAGGATAGCTCCGAGAAAAATGCCGCGTCTAGTTCGAAGGGCAGGCAAGGCCCAGCCTTGCAGCGTCGCCAGGCGGCGGAGTCGAGCGCGCCATTCTCACCCGCAGCGCGTTGCTTCACGAGCGGTGAGGCAGAGCTCTTTGCAAGGGTGGTGATGCGAAAGGGGGTTGTTGGTATTAGTCGAGACGACGCGTGTTTCGTGCCCGAGGAAGAGATGGGCCTTCATGGCCGGATATGAGCCTGCGTGGTCGTGACATAGCGGAGCATGCCGAGCGGTCAAGCTTTTTGCGGCTTCCGGCGGACGAGGTGATGCCTTTTCTTGGCAGATATGGCAATGAATGGTTGGCTCTCTCGGTGGGACACGCAATACACAGCCACGTAGCCGGGGCGGAGATGAAATTTCATTACCGGCTGGATGGCAGCCTGGAGAGAGTGGGTTAATAGCAGTCTGAATGAGGCCGTGAATGGGAAATTCCGTGCCTGTGCGGCTCGGATTTTTCGAGCAGGCCCCCGTCTACTTGCCAGGGGCCCCATGATCTTCAGCCTTGTCTGGTGGGGATAAGAGCCGCATCCATGACTTGATCCTTTGTTCTCTCATTCACATTCCTTGAGAGGATCTGTGCTTCCCCTACTTTAGAGGGTCCTGCCCCCGGCCGAAACATGGGTATGATGATGGTAGCAAATGGCAAAAGTTCCTCATCGACATATTGTCTGGAGATGGGAGCCATCAATTGGCAAGGGGAAGTCTCCGTCACCGATATTAACGTATTCAAAATAATCACAATATCAACTCTGACAGCGGGCCAGAGGTGGGTTTTGCAAAGTCCTACAATCATGGCCTCCAATGGAATTGAAGTCAAGACCTCGGCACTACTAGGACGAGAGGCAAGCGCAAGAGGTGCTGAGATTGGGCCGTCATTCTGTGGGGAGGGAAATCACTTGATTCCTCGAAAGAACAAGCGCGAGACACAATTCACCAAGACACGATTGACCAAAGTCCGACATTGAAGTTTGGATAGTTCGAATCTTGTACAATGTCATAGAATTTTTTTTTCTTTTAACTTCCTTTCCGTATCCACGAATAGACTCTGACTAGAACAATGCGGCCGACACTAAAGCGGGAGCTCATCTTTAGCGTGACCATTAAGCTGGCCCTGGCATGAAGGAAAGCGTCAGTGTGGGTGGCTGCACCGGGAGGCGGCCGACAGGCACTAGCCGATCGCTGCTGGCGGGCATTAGGGCCGCATGAAGAGGCCATCGGCGTTAACAAGATGGCCAGAGAGGCACGAAGAGACAGCCGAGTGTTGCCGAAACAACGTAGCTTGCCATCGGACCATAAGCCTGGCGGCCTAACGGCTCGTGCAGCGACCAAATATCCCTTCACCCGACTGGCTGTCGACGGGAGAAGAAGAAACTTGATGGCATATCTCTGGATGTTGGATCATAGGAGAGCAAAAGACAATAGGGACTCGATGGGGGAAGGGGGGGAAGGGATGAGCCATTCTGGCAAGACGAGTATGAGAGAGCGGATGCGGCGGTGAGAGAAGTAGCGCCGACGAGAATGATGAACGGAAGCCTGTCAGATGGTATAGACGGCTATGGGATGAGGCTTGATTGACGGTTGATATTGTTGCCGCGAGCGAAGCCAACAGAGGGTGCTGTGATGGAAGAGAAGCTGGCCCGTGCCGGCCAACCGAGTGCCCACTAGGCTGGCAACCATCAGGAAATACAGACACGGTAGTCACAACTTTTGAGCACAACCGAGGGACAGCGCTGTGTGTCACACTTCGTAAGTTGACCGAGCCGGGGAACCAGGTGTTTTGGTCAGCGCCTGAGGAGTTGGTCATGTTGGGGAGTAGGTGGATAGAGGCGGAGTGAACGGCATTATCCGGAAGACCAGGGCCGGACGAGACAAGCAGGGTCGGCTGGGCGTTCCGTGATAAGAGGGCCCTACAGGAGAGATGCGTTCAGTCCCACGACGCCGGACCCGAGGGCCTGGGAACCGGGAGAGGGAAAGGGGGGGAGCGGGCGAAGGGAGCAGGCTCTGCTTGCAAGAGCACCGGCCATGGTTTGCGGGGGAAAACTTTGCATCGCCGAGACTAGTAATCAGTCGTAGTCAGCGATTGACGGAAAGGAGGCGAGCAGGGGCATCGTAGCCTTGGTCTGCGACGGCGGATGAAGATGGCGGTGATGATGGACGGTGCGGGATGGCGCACGGGACGGGTGTCTGTAGCCGCCGATTCTTCTCGTCTCGAGGCGCCGTCGTGGAGCGCTGCCGTGGAGCGCTGCCGTGGAGCGAGCGAGTGCGTGGGTGATGAGGGAATGAGGGAGACTTCGGGAGAGCAAGGGTGATGTCGGAGCGGGGAGGGCGATTTGGTAATCCTGGCTCCTCTCGGCGGTCGGCCACTCAACGGTCCCGGCCACGCCACGCTAGTCCTGTTGCGGACCACAATCACCAGCCCCGCCCCCCCCCCTTGCCAACGAGTCCAACGACAATAGCAACGACAATAGACAACGCCCACGGCTCGACGACGCGCCCATCGCGCCTCGCTTCCCCTATTGTGCGCCCTCTGTCGGCCGTCTTTCCTTCTGTACCGCCGGGTCTGTAACGCCGAGGCGCTTGGCCAAGAAGCCGCTGCGGCATGGCGCTGACGAGAGCCCATCCCACGAACTGCGGCCGGCCATTTTTCTTCTCTCACCCTCTCTCCAAGCCTCTCTCCAAGCCTCTCTCCAAGCCTCTCTCCAAGCCTCTCTCCAAGCCTCTCTCCAAGACAGGGGGGCTTCGGCATCCGTAGACGACAAGCGAGCCTGTCCCGCAGCCGAGCCGAGCCAGCGTCGAGGGCTGGAAAGCTCGAGGGACAGGGAGGGACAGGCAGAGACGATCGTCAGGGGGCCCCGCAAAGAGAAGCAAGGAAAAGACTCGAGATGGCATCAGCGAAAAGAAAACTCGGCGTGGATGCGCATCATCCATCAGCCGTCGTCATCAATCCCGGGTTTAACTTTTAGACTACAGCCTACATGTGTGTAGGCCGTAGTCTAACATCCGTCCCTTCGTCCCGCACCTCCGGCCTCCCCCCCCCGGACCAGACCCACGATGTTCGTCCGCTACTGCCTGGCCTGCCTATGGCCCACGCCAAGGCATCAATGCCTAAGTTACAATGTGAATGAATGGCCAGCCTATTCCTTAAGCACTCACCGTCTTCTCTTACACCCCTCTGCCCCGTTCCTGTTTCTTTTTCTTTTCTTCACTAATGCTGAATACAGAGTGCACGGTTAAGCCATCCTGTCATTCATTCCTGCATTCATACGCTCTGTCGCCTACTCGGCGTACATGTATACACACTGTAAGTTAATTAATACAGTAACGTTGAAAAGGGCGGAATGTATCGAAACCACCCCCTTCCCTTCCCCTTTCGCATCCATCTCCGTATCCCCAGTCCCGATCGGCATGCCGGTTTGCTGAGCCGACCATGGGGAAGATGCTGTAAGAGAATCGAAACTGTCGTTGGCTTGGGCGTACTTGTGCATACAGCACGTATGCCGCAAGGAGGTCCCGGCGTTACCTGTCACTTTCGCTCTCCTCTACTTCCCCCCCCCCCGGGCTGCTTGTTGGGCCGAAAGGCCTCGTTCCCTTATTCAACGTGCCAACCACATCTCACGGCTCCTTGTATTCAGCATGGGCAAGGGCACGCACGCATGTACAATACAAACAGCAACACAATGCCTACAGAACAAGCACACACCACCCTTCGGGGGCCTGCGCGGGCTTTGCACTCTCGGGGCGTATACCCGCATGTCCAAACCCCCCCCGGCGCCCTAGTTAAGCTGTCGGCCGCATCATCGGGAGACAAGGGGGGGAGGCCTGGGTTGGGTGTGTCGGCGTCGCTTCAACAAGCCCTCGTCCGACAATCAGACGAGCCAGCCGGGCGTGAATACCGCTTCCTCCGCCCGTCCGTGCCAAACCCCTTAGTTCTGAGACAAGCATGCAATCCTAGGCGTGCCTTTTGATATTGTACTCTGTACTGCATGTCTTGGCCTTCTGCTCGCGCATCTTATATAGCCTCTTCGCCGTCTGGCACGCCTCGGGACGAAACTCCATCACACATTATTCACGCTTCCTTCTTGTCGTCTTCAGCTGCTTCTCCACGACATCAGCCGCTACCCCCTTTCAACATCACCCAGCTTCTCCGCCCAGACCCGTCCTCCCACTTCTCCCTCGGGCAATTCCATCGCTCTAGGCTTGTTCGTCGCGCTTGCCAGAGCCATTCTCTCGCAACGACGATACCCGTCTCGAGTCGGACGCATCTCCCCCGTCCGTCCTTGCCAGTATCTTGACCCTCAGACACCGGCCCGCTGCTCGTGCTCGGCGGCGGCCTGTTGATTCACACTCACCGCCCTCCAAAGCTCTTTCGCTTCAACACACGTCCACCATGGAGGGCCCCACGACATCCATGCGGCGCATGAGCCAGATGGTTCTCAAGGACAACGACACGTCCCGGCCGCTCTCACCGCCACCAGCCTACGCACCCAGCGGGCCCATCAACCTGCAGACGCTGACAGCCAGACAACTGGAGCGGTCGCGGACAACGCACCCCCGGCCCGTGCTGGTGGACCGGTCTCCCTTCACGACGCTGCTGGGCGGGTCCGCGGCGGCCGAGGACGAGGGCCCCGAGTGGGAAGAGGGCCTATCAGCCATTAGCCTACACATCAACACGTCCGTGACCGTGTCGAGCGACAACAACATGGTGTGCCTAGCCGACACGCCGGCCAACCACGCCAACGCCATCGCCCACGCCGTGGTCAAGGCGCTGCAGGAGAGCAGCTCGGGCCAGTGCGGCATCCCCATGATTGACGAGGAGGGCCGGCCACGCCCCGTCCGGATCCACGTCGACGCCGGCCTGACGGTGGGGGGCGCGGGCAACGTCATCGGCAACGAGGCGGTGGTCCAGGAGGCGGCTCGCCAAAGGGGCGGCGACTTGCTACGGAGACGGAGGTCGCAGAGCGACGACGACGACGACGAGGCCAGCCCTGCCAAGCGCAGACGGGGCAGCCAATGAGGGCGCCGGCCATGTCCGGGACAAGGCCTCGAGGCGTGTCGAGCTGGGCAGGGCCGACGACGGGGAACCTTGGATGAGGCTATGAGGAAGAAGCGATCAAAAAGAGGTTGGCAAAGGGCAAAAGCACCTCGGGCTAGAACTTGTACAGACGGGGGGACACTCGGCGAACCGGAGCGGGCGGTCAGACTCACGGGATACCCCGATTGAATAGTCTCCCTCTTGTTTTTTTGTGAGAGAGATAGTCCATCTCTTCTCTCACCTAGACACGTGGACTTTGTAATTACGAGCGATGAGGTATAGAGAATGGAACATAGATCAAGAGAAGGTTTCGTCTCTCTCACTTTGCCCGAGACCGACGTGGTGCCATGCCTACCCTGGAGCTCCCCGGTACCCGAAAAAGCTTGTCGGCACTTCGTCAACAACGAGGCCCATGTTTTTTTTCAGTTTGCACGTGGGCATCGCGGCCATGTGTTAATTACTTTGTCTCTTTACAGAGCGGCCCGACAAAGGCCAAAACAAGGACAAGGACCGGCACCCAAGGACCGGCACCCGAAGCAACACGCCTCGGCCTAGTCCAGCTAATACCGGTATATTATCCACCTCCTCAATTGGTCCACGCCTCGCTCCTTTTTTTGTCCTATCCCACAAGTTAACCGAAACCTCACTCATCCTGCCCAGCACGCGAGCCAAGATGCCAAAGGACCCTCAGGGGAAGGACCCTCGGGCGCTCGCCAATGGCAACCCTTGGCCATGCATCCATCTGTAGATGGGCCCTGGATCCCCATCGCATTGGCCCAGCCCAGCCACCGGCGCAACGGCCGTTGATTAGCTCGTGTAGCACCGACGAAGCTGGTTGCGGCCAAACTCCACTACAAGTCCCTGCCTGACTGCCAAGCCCCCCGTCGGCAACACAGCCATGCCGAGTCCTTCCTTGTCCTCCTCGGGCCCCAAGCCAGGTCGCCTGAGCCGCCTCCTTCACCCACGCCGCCCTAGTCGAGAAGCAATGTCTCAACTCGCCGTCCGCAACCTCACAGCCCACCCTCTCGAGCTCGTCAAGGTCGAGCGCTTCGAGAGCGAGCGCATCTCCACCGGCACGCTCTTCGGCAATGTCACCGGTACCATCACCGGCTTGCTCAATGCCACCGCCCACTCGACCCATCAGACTCACCCCAAGGGCGACCCCGTCCAGTCCGACGACCTCGCCCTCGCCCTCCCGCCCTTCACCACCACCCGGACCGACTTTGACGCCCCGGACCATGACGGCGAGGTCCTCCGCTTGACCTTCAAGACCGAGCACCGTCACTACGAGACCGATGTGCCCAGTCCGTCGCGAAGGTCGGCCGTCATGAAGAAGCTCGACGACGGGCCCCATGACCTGACCGTCGTCTACGTCCCCGCCGCCGCCCTGCTCGCCGTCTTCTCCTCCGCCGCCCTGCATGCCTGGATGCGCGAGCTCCACGACGACTGGCCGCTTGCCCTCCTCTCCATCCCGGGCACCCACAACTCCCCGACCTGTTACAAGGCCCTGCCTTCGGTCCGCTGCCAGGCCGTCGACGTCCCGGACCAGCTGCGCAACGGCGTCCGCTTCCTCGACGTCCGCGTCTCCGTCAACCCAGATGACGACGCCCTCGCCCTCGTCCACAGCGCCTTTCCCATCTCCCTCACCGGCAACAAGTACTTTGGCGACATGCTCGACCACCTCTACCGCTTCATCGACGAGAACCCTAGCGAGACCATCGTCATGAGCGTCAAGCGCGAGGGCACCGGCAAGGGCACCGACGGACAGCTCGCCAAGTACCTCAAGCACAGCTACGTCGACAAGAGACGCGACCTTTGGTGGACCGAGCCCAAGATGCCCACCCTCGGTCAGGCCCGCGGCAAGATCGTCATCGTCCGCCGCTTCGGCCTCGACGACGACATGCGCCAAAGCTGCTGGGATGGCCGCGGCTGGGCCATTGACGCCCAGCAGTGGCCCGACAACTGCGAGGACGGCACCGGCGGCGACGGCTGCTGCTTCCGCATCCAGGACTTTTACGAGGTGTCCGAGAGCCAGAACATCGACAAGAAGGTCAATTACAGCTGCGGCCAGCTCGAGAGGGCCGCCGAGCAGGTCTTTGCGCTCGACGGCATGCCCGGCCACCAGCCTGATGCGCCCGTCCCGCCCTTGTTCGTCAACTTTCTCACCGCGAGCAACTTCTTCAACGCAGCCTGCTGGCCAGAGAGAATCGCCGCCAAGGTCAACCCAGCCGTCGTGGAATACCTCTGCGTCAACCACGGCGAGGAGGGCAAGGGTCCTGGCCAGCTCAAGGTCGGTTGCGCTGGCACTGGCATCGTCGTCACTGATTGGGTTGGTGCCAACGACGACTGGGACCTGGTCCGCTGCGTCGTGGGCATGAATGCGAGGCTGCAGCACACAACGTGAGACTACTCGATGGGTGACAAGTGTATGATACGCGTATAATTGTGGACATCATGTACATCAACGAAATCAGGCTTGGATACAGGATCTTTGGACATGAGACAATGGGAGGTTTTAGAGAAAGGAGTTGATTATCCGCAAACCATGCTAATTGCTGACCCAAGCCCATTTCTATCCTTCTCCGGTCTGTGACAACGCCAGTTAGCAAACGGCTCATGGTAAGCGATCGAGACAATGCAAGGCAATTGGGAACCAAATCAGTTCTCCAAGGTGAAACATGGGTTGCTCGTCATGATGAACTCAGCTAGAGCTAATAATGCAAGTCATCTTGATGGTTGAAGTGGGCAAAAAAAAAGGTTGACCTACTTTGGCGTGCTTCAGGTCATACCATCCAGGCCATACCTAGTCTTTTCTGCAGTGTTAGTCTTCTCCGGCACATAATTGAAAGAATAGTGCAAGGGCGAAGCAGTCTGTTGAAAAGTTAGTACGAAGCCGATGCGACACTGGTGGCGACGCGAGAACGCACTGGGTCAGAAGTTGCAGTTGTGTTCATGCCCCCGATCGAACGATCGAGGGTCAAACAGTGTGAATACTTTTCGCCTCATCACGAGAAGATACATTTACAAGGAAAGACTTCGATTCTCTTGTTACCTGCCACAGGCTGTCAGCCGGCTATACCCAAGCAGTGTATCATCAAGCATCGAGCGACAAGGCCAAAGTCAGGTGACGAATTGTCATCCAGAGTTCCCGTCCATCTTGCACCACAAGGTTTTGTACGACCTTGCTGTCTAGGGTGCAAGACGGCGGGACTCGATTATGTCCGCCCGTTCGTTCAAGTCTTCATCATACAATGGCAGCGCTCCATCTCCGAGGGAAGAATTTGTCATGTACCTATCGAAGCACAGGTTAGCTGGCATTCATGGTAGATTGAGACAAGATAGTGTGTTTGTGGTCTCCAGTCAGACAAGGCTGAAACTTTAACAACGATATCCACATTGTGTATTAAGAATGAGGAATCCCTAAGGTGTCGTTCTGATCATCACGCAGAGAGGGGAGGGCGAAGATGGGGGATAGGAGCAGACCAACCTTTTGTCATGGCCATGCTGAACAACGGCATCGGAGCAAATCACCAATGGAAGAATCTGTTGCATGTCAGCTAGGCTCTGTGAAGATGCGCTTCCGCCAATGCTGCAGTATTGGGCTCGCTCAGGTTAATTCTAGAGTTTGTTGTAGTCACCACGGTGTGGTCTGATTTGGATTGTTCGTGAAGTTGTTCATCACAGAGAATGATGGGAGTGCAACAGAGAGAGTTCTTACCTATAGCTGGAGGAGCCACCACCGCAGAGGCTGACAGGAGCTGATTGCGTGCACTTGCTCTCCATCGAGCTCCCGTCCAGTCTGGTGGTGGCCGCGGATATGCAAGGAAGAGAAAGAATTGCAGAAAATTTCTTTGGTGGAGGAAGATAAAGGGGAGCGGAGCGGAGCGGGACAAGACAGAGCGGGTCTAGTATGAATTGGTACTAGCGCAAAATCACATCCAAATCACTGCTCGGAGCGGTGCGTAACTTACCCGAAGTGGCGTAGCCAGATACTGTGGCGGTGCACTTGGGCGGGGGCATTGCGTGGCAAATGTTGACGACTAATTATAAACACAGCGGCATCCGGTGACCTCCCAGATTCAACCTTGCCCCTCATATCTTGAGAGAAGCAGCAGTGACATTCGCAATGGCATCCGCAGGGGCGATATTGGGTCCTTCGACCCTCCGCCTACTGCGTGTTGCCGTGGTCAGAACCACAAAGGCAGTTCGCATCAAGCTTGCCGACGCTACCAGGTCGCTCCAGGGCCAGGCACAACATGCCCCCATCACTATCAAGAGCGGATACACAGGACGGCAACCGATCCACCCTGCAGCGCTTCTGAAGCAGCAGAAGCGAAGCGCGCGATGGTTCTCGACCGCAGCTTCCAAGAGCGTCCACAACGTGCTGCGAAGATTCGTCAGTTTCAATTGCCGCTCAAGCCCGCCCATCGGCTCGTCCAGACTCCCGTCGTCCGACACCGCACGGCGAATCGCGCAGTTTTCCGGTCGGGCCCCCTTCGCCAGCACTTTGCGACCAAACCTGACTGGAGGTGCTCTGCCACGGGCCACCGGAGGTTATGGTCTCGGTGGCGGTGCGCGGTACTTTTCACACGCCCCCGCCGCCCCTGCCCAGGTTGTCCAGAACGTCTCGCAGGCCATGAGAGCATTCTTTCTGTCGGGGCAGAAGATTAAATATGACGGCGTTGGAGCGCACGGGAAATCCCAGTACCGAGCCGTGTCGAAGCTCGAGGATGACGCTTCGCGACGGTTGGCCGAGGTCTCCCGGTCTGCCCCTGGCGCCTTCATCGACTTTGACCTGAGCCCAACCATCACGGCTCTTAGCCCCCTCGCGGCAGCCGTCGCCCGTGTGTCCGGTTCATCTGGCTCTGGCGACGAAGCCCCTGTTCTCCCGACGACTCTTCACACTGAAGGATTCCTCGACGTGCTATCCGTCGACTTCAACCGAGTTTTGCATGATTTGACCGCAGTGTACGCCGATCTCAAGCGGCTTTCTGCCCTCGGCGATTTGCCAATAGTGCGGGAAAGGGACACTCTTCGGGTCCGGTTCCCTGGAGTCGATGCCTGGACGGTTGAGCGGCTTTGCGACGACGTCGGTGTCCAACGGGGCGTTGTCGGGCAAGACTGCGGCTTGGACGCCGCGGTCGGGGCTCCCGTCGCACTCAAGCTCCCGTTTGCACCAGACTCCGAGGGCGAACTGTTGTCGCGTAGCGACTCGGCGCGATCGCTGGCAGGCCACGGAATCGAGGATAGCTCGTCGCTCCGGGACGACGATTCGTTCCTTCACGAGGCATTCGTCGCAAACATGGAAGAAAGTTCATGGCCATCAGAGACTGAAGGCTACGACGACGTGTCGGCGCTGGTCAGCTCGAGCGGGTTTGAGGGTCTCGAAGGTATATATAGATTTCTGGAGGAATGCGATCGAGGCCAGGGAAGACTAGGATGAAGATTCTGCTAGGATGAGAATACCGTGGATCTACACTCGTTGTACAGTTGTGCTTATGGATCGCAGTCGGCCTCCACACACCAGCCGGACACGCCAATTGGTTCTTATTTGTCCAAGTTAGTTGAGGAAATCATTGTCATCCATCACTCGCGAGGAGACATCATTGAGGCGTTCACTCCGCTGTAGGGGCTGGGTGGACGTGATGTATCGTTCTCGTGTCTTGTCGCGCTGTTGTTGCTGCCAGCACGACGGACCGAGGTCGGGCTGCGGCTCAAGAGATTGGTGTCCACGGACAGGTGCTGGAGGAGCATGCCGAAAGAGATGAGACTGGCGCACAGGGCGTCGCAGTCTGCGGGCGGCGACATGACCGCCTGGTGCCGTGGTTGGGTTGTGAGAGAGGGAGTTTCTACGGTATATCCACGGCACTTGTTCAAGATGCGATAGCCGCCGGGTGAAAGCCCTGCCTAGCGGCAACGACCGAGCTCGGAATCACGTGACGCAAACTGGCACTACTGGCCCGACGCGGACCGTATTTTCCCTCCGCCACCAACAGAGAACTGCCCAACAATCGGGACAATTTGCTTGGATGGATGTGCGCCAGGACCCCCTGAAGCAGCTGTTTACCAAGGTACGTTCAATCTCCGCCGTAGTAGCTGGTCTACTACCCGTGCGCGCGCGTGTGTGTGATGCTCTTCATTTTTACCAATGAATTCTGCAATTCTGAAAGCCACCCCGGCCTACCTGTGGACAATTAACACAACTGTCTGATACCCGCCCTCTTTGCCGCTATGCCGTGTTTCTAGCCGTCGTCTGGGAGTGGCTGCCTGTCTAACTCGGGTCATCATCTAGAGCTGCTCGCCCGACGCCGAAGATAATCTGACCGAGAGACGCTTTGGCGCATGTCCGGCTCACGCCATGCTCGGCAGCAACAGCAGGGGAGTCGGCGACCATAGCAATAATGCAAGGCGAGTATATAGCTTGATATCGACGATTCTATACGTCCCCATGTGCTGTCGAGTTACTCTGCGCTATCGAGAAATATGAACGTCAAGTGTTGGCCGAATAGTCGGCAGGCGTTGCCCTCGTCATCCTCACACCGCCCGTCTGATGAAAAGAGGGCTGTGGCCTTGCAGCACTGCAGAAAAGACACGGCTCTGGATGCTCACGCCGATTCTACACGTATGCTCACATCCAGACCGTCGACGCAGTATCCGAGCTGCTTCGGGCCATCCTTGAGCTCAACCTCCCTCTTGGACCACCGGCCTGAGCCGTCCCTTGCCTGCTCTTCCTGCCAGTCGCCTCGGCTAGGATCGGCTGCATCCGCAAGAAACTCTTCCTCGTCGCTGCTGTCCCCGTCCTGTTCGTCGTAGTCGGCCACTGGATCCCACTCCCCCGTCTCCCAGATAAGGCGCACTCTTAGAGGAGACAGGCTGAATAGCTTCCCTGCAATCCCTCTTACGGAATATATGTCGAAAGCCTTCGGGATCCGCGATGTCTTCTTCCCCTTGCCTTGGTAGTGAAACCCCACAGTGACCAGTCGCGCTTCGAGGAAAGACGGATTGACCTCGTCGCGGCGAATGACATCGGGCTCGCCGTAAATCGTGCAGAGCTCTGCGTAACGAGGGTGCAAGGCCAGGACGGTATGCTCTGCCGACTCGGGCACCGTCGCGAGCTGCCTGGCGATTCTCGAGAGGTAGAATATCTCGGCATTTCTGCGGTCATCCGGCTTGACTTGGGTAAAGTTGACACTCTTGAGGTTGGCGAGGCGGCCAATGGTGAACATGTGCGACTCTTCAGACGACGGCGTCTTGGCGTCGACGTCTTGCTTGTCGTACACGGGGTTGTGCGCGATTCGTAAGCCGGTGAGGCCTGGGAAGTGAGCGGAGAGGGCATCCACAAAGGCCCACTCCCGGATTTTGTTGTAGGAAACATCTAGGTAACGCAGAGACGGCGGGAACGTTGGGACGGTTGTGCCGGGGGCAGTCATGTCCGCTATGTTGTTGCCTTTGAGGTGCAAGTTGCGGAGGGCCACGAGGGATGTGAGGCTCGCGAGATCCGAAATCGCCTCGAAGTTGTTGTACTCGAGGTTGATGGAGGTGAGCGTGGATGCCAGCCCAGCATAGTCGACTGGAGGCAGCGAGGAGAGCTGGTTTGCTCCGACGGCCAAAGTGGCGAGCGACGGGCATCGTGTGGCGATGCGACAGAGCTCCTCCCAGTTGAGAAGAGTCTCGCCCAGGGCAAGCTCATCTACACCTCGGAACGCCGCTGCGGCCCCGTCCAGGGAGTCGTCGCTCAAGACACCCTGAAACCGGTTCCCGCTATTTTCAGACGTCAGCATCATGGAGCAAGCCGGCCAGGATCCCGCACCTACTTGAGGCTCAGTCGCCGCAGAGCCGGCAGCTCGGCACAGACATCCACCACCGGACCCAGGCGCTCAAACAGGTTTCTGCTGAGATCCAAGTGCGCGATGCTGGGGCACGTATCCGCGACACGGCCCTCGCCGTCCTGCGCCGCCGCCACCACACGCATGCCGTCGAGAATGACGATGCGGAGGTCGACGAGCTGGGCCAGCTTGCGGCGGACCTTGTCGAAGCCCATCTCCTCGGCGACCTTGCCGGAGATGACAACCTGGGAATCGGGGGTGGCATGGCCCGACTGCGGAGCCTCGGACGCGTACTTTTCCCTCAGCGCGGCGATGAAACTCTGGGGTCTGTCGGCCGGACGGCTCGGGCGCACAAACGAGGCCGCCGTTGAGGACCCGGAGAGGCCTGCAAGGACGGTGAGCACAGAGGGCCGAGACAGGAGGCGAGCAACCAAGAGGGGGGGAGGGCGGAATACATGAGAAATAGCGCACTCGTTTGTGAGATCCATCGTGTTTCCCGCGCGTCGCATCGTCCCATTCGACTCCCAGCCAGGCGCCCGTCGTTCCAGCGACCTCGCCGACATAGCGGACGGTGCAGAGGGCGCCGCCATAGGACATGCGCTGCCCAACTTTGGGGGATTGCGCCATTGGTCAAAGCAGTCCAGTCTGTGCGCTGGAGCTTTCAACTTTCTGCTGTCACATGCCTTTTGCGGCCATGTTGCTGGCCTGAGGTTGTCGAGTTGAAGTAAGAGAGGCGGTGGTGACGATTCATGCCGGAGGTTGGAATGATTGGGGCCGCAGGATTTGGTTGGATGCCCCGTCGCGCCCTCACTTTTGCTGCTAACCAAGGTCTCGAAACAAAACATTGAGGGCACAAAACCAGTGCATTGGACTGTCAAGCCAATTGATGCACAGGCTGCTGGCCAGATAGAGATTCGGTCTTTGACAAATAGTGATACTCTTTAATACATGGTAGTGGTTTAAGTACAGGCCCCTCGCATCTTCGCTTCACGAGTGGCTTCTGAGAGGCAATCCTAGTCAAACTGTTCCCGGCCAAATGCATTCTACAGCTTCGTCTTGGCCTCGTCAACAACCTTGACCAGGGCGCGGCCGTTGCTCAGGCACACCTTGCCGCCATCAATTTGAGTGACAAACCTCACCTCCTCCCACTCGCCGTCCCTGTTGCCCGTCCTCCACACGCGCGTCACCAGCTTGTCTCCGGGCATGACGGGGCTGGCGAAGCGCGCCTGGTACTCGCTGATGTTGGCCGGGTCGCCGCCGCCAAACCTGCCGAGGATGGCGTGGCAGGCGTTGTTCCACTGGAAGAGCCCGTGGGTGATGGCGCCCTGGAAGCCCATCTTCTTGCCGGGTTCGGGGGTCGCGTGGAGCGGGTTGTAGTCTCCGTTGAGGCGGTACAGCAGCGCCGTCTCGGGCGTCGTCTGGTGCTCGAGCACGGCATCCGGCTCCTTGCCCTCGGGCGGCGGGAAGTTTTGCGTCGGCGGCCCCTTGGGCCCGTGCCAGTTGCCCTGGCCGACGAAGAAGGAGCTCGAGGTGATGCGGGCGTAGACGTCGCCGGAGCGGGCGTCGACAAGGTCCGTCTGGGTCTCGAGGACGGTGCCGGGGCGGCCCTTGTCGTAGACGCCGAGCACCTTTGTGCGGGCCTCGAACTTGCGGCCGGCCGACGTCGGCGGAAGCTTGTTGAGGAACTCAATCTTGCGCTGGCCGTCGACGGCGCGGCTCGAGTCGAATTCGGGGACGCCGGGGATCTTGACGGCCCTTTGAGCGGCGTAAAAGTCGACGACTTCCTGGCTGGTGCCCTTGAAGGCTGCGACCGGAGGGTAAGTCTCTGAGATGTTTACGCTGTCTCGTCAGGGACAGCCTTACTCAAGACGAGCGGGTAGGTCGGAAACACGGCAAAGTCGGGGTGAAGCTCCTGGAAGACGGTCAGCTCGCCGGTCACACGGGACGGGGAAGCAATTCATACGTAGAGAAAGTGTAGCTCGTCAGCCTTGCAGCCAATGCTGTTGGCGAAGAGCAAGACATCGCGCTTCAGCCAAGAGACCTCTTGCGGAGGATACTGGAATCCAACTCCGGGACCAGACATGGCGGCGATGTGACGAGGCAGGCGTTTGCGAAGAGAGCCGTGGGGGACGTGGCACAAGTCGAGGGACGGCCGATGGATAGGTAGTCAGTCCAACCGCTGGCTGTTGCAGCAGGTGGCGTCTCGAGCCGAGGTTCAGACAGCGGGGTTCCGCTGTGTTGGCCAGTGGGCTTCCTCGGCGTCGCCGCCCCGGAAACGAGGGCGACCAACACATGGTTGATGCGACAATGGAGGTAGATTGCATTCACCCATGGCTGTGTGTTGTATCGAGAATTCGTGTCTGTCGTTAATTATTATACGGGATAAGATTTGGACAGGAAAGATTGGCTGGAGTGGAGGGAGAGCTGATTGCGGGCCGGGATCCACCAAATCCCACAGGCTACCCTGTACCTGGCCAAGTAGGGGCTCCAACTTTGACTTCTCCCTTCCCCCTGCAAGCACAAACATCTAAACATTCAGATCCAGGCTGCCTAACAACCATGCCTCTTGGACCTTGCTGGTAACGACGTCGGCAGGGGAACGCCTGACCTGCTGTGGCTTTGGTCGCCCGGATTCACCGCTTCATGACGAGTCCCATAAGCATGTTGAGAGCTGGCAGATACACCGATTCCCGAATCTCTGCGTACCGCCGTCAGTTGAACCACAGCATCGTCAGCTCACGGCCGGTCACTGAGAGGGAGGCCCAACTGCTCCCAACTTACCCCAGCTCTGGAATGATGATTGGACACGGGCCACGCGAGCTGCGGAATCTGGGGGAAACTCCCTTGTCGGCACAGAAGCCATGACAAGAACATGTCCGCCGTCCGGAACTGTTGGCGGCCGCTGAATCTGATATGCCATCAGCAAACCCGCTCGTCGAAGTCATTGTAGAGACGGAGCAAACTTATCCGGCAGTTCCTAGACGATACGGCCAGGCGCCGATGGCAGAAAACGCGAGGCAGCTGTCCCGTCTCCAATTTCCCCGTCACTATTGCACCTAGGTCGGCGATGCCTGCGGAGCCACGGGAACTTCGTATCGGCCTGGTTCGACGTACCAGGCACACCGTGGGAGTAATGCAGGATCAGTGCCAGGAAACCAGTGCCCCGTAAATAGCAAGGCCATCATGAAAAGGAAGAGAGGCACGTCACCCTGATACATTTCCAGACGCCTGCCGTGGATATATAAATGCTAAACCACCATTGCTCCATTCAAGCCCACGGCCTCTAGCCGTCCTATCAGCTTCTTGACGTTTGCCCACTCCTCGTTCTTCAGACCCTCCTTGCCGCCCAGGCCGCTGGCCACCTCAAAGACGGTCAGCGAGCCGTCGATGCCGCCGGTGGCGACGCGCTTCCCGTCGTTGGGCTCCCACGCCACCTTGTTCAGGCTCTTTGAAAGCATGGCTCGGCCGTCCTGGCGCGCGCTCGGCGAGATTCTCGACACGGGCTCCTCCGTCTCCAGGGCAATGTCCCAGAGCTCGAGCCAGCCGGCTCCGTCCACGAGGGCAAAGACGCTTGGCTTCACTGGCGACCACTTGGCATCGTAGACGACGTCTTCTCGGACAAAGTCGATCAACGGCGCAATGTGTCCGTCTCCGCTCCCCATGGTCGACGTGGCCGCCGGTGCTCGGACCTTCCACAGCTTGACGCTCCAGTCGAGTGATGACGAGATGATCAAGTCCCCCAGATCCACTGGACCCCAGGCAGGATGAAAGTCTACCGACATGACCGGGGCCGTGTGGCCTTTGTAACTTATCTTCTTGTCGACCCCAGCCTTTGCGCCGGCACGATCGTACCTGTGGCAGGGGAAGATTGTGCCCTCTTCACTGCCGACAAGGAAAAAGGTCGGATCCGTCTGCGGAAACGACAGACACGTCGGGCTGACGTCCTCGACGGCTACCTTGGTCTGGGTGGGGTTCTTGAGCTCGAGCAGCTCTTGCGGCTGTGCAAAGACATCCATGCTCCAGCCGCACACCACGCCGTCCGTGGAGCTGGATATAATGTTGTTGGCGTTTTGGGTTCCGACAATGTCAACCGAGTATATGGGGTGCGCATGGCCATATCCTGTCAACGGGGTTTTTTGGACAGGGGCAGCCTTTGCCCTGGTATCCCACAGTAAGACCTGGCCGCTGTAGGAGCCGCCAACAATCAGGTTGGGGTGGTACGGAGAGAACTTGGCGGTGAGAATGTCGGACTGGGCTGTGAAGACGTATTCCGGGCGGTCGTGCATGTGGGTGTTCCAGACCTGGACGAGGCCGTCGGGCTCGTGCGGTGCGGTAGGGTTCTTGGTGTACGAGGCGAGGAGCAGTTCGCTGAACTTGGGCGAGAAATCAATGCAGCTGATCATGCGCTTTTTCGACCAACGGTCGTCAAAGAACTGGGCGATTTCCTTGATTCTATGGCTCCCTCGGCCTCCCGTGTTGCCGCTTTCATCGTCGTCGTCGTCATGGTCCTTTCCTTGCAAGGCATAGTCGGTGAGGATGTCGTAGGTTTCTTGATCGATAGCCCGTTCAATCACCTTGGTTGACTGTTCGAGGAAGTCGACAAACTCTTCGGACCTGGTGACGGCCTCGAGTTCCTCGCCGGTGAGCTCTCTGGAAGGGTAGTTGCCCGACGGCAGGGGCTGGGCTGGCGTAGGTCCGTCGGCGAGAAGCTGCTTAGTAGCCTTCAGTTCCTCCTCGACTTCATCCCGAATCTTTTGCCGCAGCTCCTCTTCGCGGTCGCGCTCCCTCCTGCTCAGCTTCTTGCTGGGCGTCAAGTTGGCGCCGTTGGGGTCATCTGCATCGGATACCAAGGACTGCGTCCTGGGCCTCGCCGGGGAGATCCAGTCGCTTGAAGTCTGGACGCCTTTGCTGTAGGAAAAGACTTCCTTGACCGGAGAAGGGGGGCACTCGTAGACGGTCGTCAGGGGTACCGTGCTCAGGGATATCTGTGGCGGAGGGGGGGCAACCTGTCCATTATGCGGACCTGGTAATTCGGATGTCGCGTTGCTGATTTCGCCGGCACTCAGTACGCTATTCGGTCTGCTGCCACGAGCGGCTGGGGAGGCGGCGCCTCCTGTTGTTGTCGAGCCGGGCCTGCTCTCGCCGACCAGGCTGTTGATGAGGGACTCGATTTCGCGACGATTGTCTGCTCTTCCTGGAGGCGGGGAAAACAGCTGCAAACGCATCAGCAATGGTATGCCATCAGTGAGCGCAGCCAGAGGAAAGACCAACGTCGCTGGAGGCGCCTACGCTCTGGCGGCCAGCCGCCGACTGGGTGGCCCGAAGCTCCCTCTGCCTCTTGAGTTCTGCAAGCTTTGCCTTTTTTGCAAGGATTTCATCTCGACGTTGCTGCATAGTAGCCGAGCCACAGTCCCATTGCGGGACGACCTAGTTAAAAAAGGCGACAGGATCGAGTTGGTCGAAGGCGATATATGGACGAAGGTCGTAACGGCGGGGGGGAGGAGGCAGCTGGCGAGCGGTAGAGGATGAAGCGCGACGCTGCCCGGGAGGATCGAGGACAGGTGAGAAAGGAAAGAAGCAGGTGCCAGTCGGGAATGGCAGTCGTCGTCGTTTGTAAAGGGAGCGTGTTGTGTGTATGTGGATGGATGGATGTAGCGAGGCAATGTTCTAGTTGAGATGCCAGTATAAAGTACGGCAACAGTGCGGTGCGCGCGCGCTGGTCACTGCAAGGCCGCCAAGACGCGCGCGCTCGGCGTCTGTGCACGTGATGTCGGCGGCTGCGCCAGGAGGTGCCAGCTCGCCTGGAGCTTGGCTGCCGATGCGTGCTAGCTGGAAAAACTGGTGCCGAGGGCGCGACTTTTCCCGAGCATCATCCAAATCTTCATTCTCGGCGCAACAACCCCTCGCTCCACCCTGACAGGGCCCATTGACAACCACCGAGCTCGTGGATCGCCGTTCGCACCCCCTTGCGCGCCTTTGCGGTCCCTCTCTACCAATGTCGTCAACAGGAGTCAACGTTAGTCCTCCACGTCTACCATCACCAGCCCCCCCCGGGGAGGCTCTACACACGCCATCGTGGAGCATCACTGCAATTGCTCGGCTCCGGGACCGTCAGAGTTGATAGGGAGCTGACTGAGCGGTGTGGCAGGTCCTCCGGTGGTCCGCCCTCGGCGTGGGCATCTTCTATGGATTCTCTCACCAGCGGACGATCCGCGCAACCCAAAGAGCCGAGCACGACAAGCACGAATACCAACACAAGCAGAAGCTGATAGAGCAGGCAAAGTCGGAGTTTGCCAAGAAGACGAACCCCAAGCCGGCTTCCGGGGACGATGGTACGTGCTTTCCTGGGCCAAGCAACCGCGATGAGCTGCGCCGGGCGGAGGCAGAACTAACCCAGGTTGCACTGCAGTCGTCACGGACGCCCAAGACCCCAGGTTCGACCTCGAGAAGTACCTGCTCAAGGTGGCCCAAGAAAACCCTTAGCATGGGATTGTGACGAGGCTGGGGGAGGGACGGGGAGCGTATCGCGACGTTGTGGGCGTGGAGGCGCATCTGCAGGCCTGGACGACCGAGAGGCTACCAGGGCCTCGACGAGTTCAAGATACGACGACATCGAACTGTATCACGGAGACTGCGAGAAGTGCTACTGCATAGACGTTTCCTTAGATCCCTGTTACTCACCGTGTACAGGTGTAAAATACACGCAATTAGATGGCATCACAAGCACGGCCATTGAACTGGTGCTAGCGGAATCGTGTGCTCGGGGAAGCTCCCGTCGTGTGTTTGGCTTTCCATGGGATCATGCACACGCTACTGGTCAAATGTAAATACTCATACTAATAAAGGCCATCTTGCGCATTTGCAGCAGACAGCTCATAAGTCGACGCTCTTTGATCTGTGATCTGACCAAGCGGCCACAATCTGGTCCAGCCATCTACACTGTTGCATCTGATCCGACAAATTTCGACCCAAACCCGCCACGTATATTATATTCGATTGATTCTTCAAAGAGCGTAACTATGAATACTAGATCACTCGGCTTGACTGATGGCCTGGACGACATTTCAAGTTCAGCGAACGAGACTTGGCGGCACAACATCGGCCAGGGACCTGCGTGTACACTGTACCCGTTTTCCGCGGCAACCCGCAGAGCACAGCAGGTCACTCGAAACCTCGTCCTCCAGGGCGGCAGCTGCTAGGCTTGCTTGCAGGTGCCCGCGCCCCACACAGCCTGTCTGTAACTTGCGACGAGCCTAAAGCTCCAAGCTGTCCTTAGTTCGCGTCGGCCTAGGCTTCGTGATCCTGCATCTTCAACCTTCTCGAGGCCAGCAGCAAGGCACCATGGCGGACCCAGCTCAGCCTCGCCCTGCGGGCTTCAACACGGAAAGCACTCGAACCCTTCTCAGAGTCGTCATTCTCTGCCTCATTGCCGCCGCTGCTATTGCGAGCCGCCTCTTCTCCGTGATCCGTAAGTCCTCCCTCCCCCGTCCCGACCCTCTCGCTGCGAGCATCGCGCCCCTTTCCTGCTTCTCGTCGGCTAACTCGGACTACAGGCTTTGAAAGCATCATTCACGAATGTGAGTCAATTGGAAACCCCTCCCGCCCACGCATGCAAGCATCGTTGCTGACCAGCCTCCAGTTGACCCGTGGTTCAACTTCCGAGCGACCAAGTATCTCGTCGAGAACGGTTTCTACAGCTTCTGGGACTGGTTCGACGACCGGACATGGCACCCCCTGGGCCGCGTCACGGGCGGCACCCTGTACCCCGGCCTCATGGTCACCAGTGGCATCATCTACCATGCCCTGCGGGCCATTTCCATCCCCGTCGACATTCGAAACATCTGCGTTCTTCTCGCGCCGGCCTTCTCGGGCCTCACGGCCTTTGCGGCTTACCTGCTGACGAATGAGATGACCACGTCGCCTTCGGCCGGCCTTCTTGCTGCCATCTTCATGGGCATCGCCCCGGGCTACATCTCGAGATCGGTGGCGGGAAGCTACGACAACGAGGCCATTGCCATCTTCCTCCTCGTCTTCACCTTTTATCTGTGGATCAAGGCCCTCAAGCTGGGCTCCATGCTGTGGAGTCTTTTCTGCGCCCTTTCCTATGGCTACATGGTGGCCTCCTGGGGTGGATACGCCTTCATCACCTGCATCTTACCCCTCCATGCCTTCGTCCTCATCTGTATGGGGAGGTATAGCCCTCGACTCTATGTTGCCTACTCCACCTGGTACACTTTGGGAACGCTGGCCAGCATGCAAATCCCCTTTGTCGGCTTTTTGCCTGTCAAGACGAGCGAGCACATGCCGGCTCTTGGTATGCGACCACCCGCGATGGGGTGGTTTTACCTGACTAACCTGCTGTCCCTAGGCATCTTTGGCTTCCTCCAGCTGGTCGGCTTCATTCAGTTTGTGCGAGCTGCCATTCCCAGCCGACAGTTCCAGACCTTCCTCTACACCATCGTCATTGCCACCTTTGGCATTGGCATACTGGGGCTTGTCGCTCTCACGTCTCTGGGGTACATTGCGCCATGGAGTGGCCGCTTCTACTCTCTCTGGGATACTGGCTATGCGAAGATACACATCCCCATCATCGCTTCGGTGTCGGAGCATCAGCCGCCTGCTTGGCCCGCATTCTTTTTTGACCTCAACATGCTCATCTGGCTGTTCCCGGCCGGCATCTACCTGTGCTTCCAGGAACTCCGAGATGAGCACGTCTTCGTCATCGTCTACGGCCTCTTCGGCAGCTACTTCGCCGGCGTCATGGTCCGACTCATGCTCACCCTGACGCCCATTGTTTGCGTCGCTGCCGCCCTCGCCGTGTCCCGCATTCTAGACACATACGTCACCACCAAGTCCCCCGACCCTGCTAAGGTGCAGAGTGCTTCCGAGGCGACCACCAAGAAGGCTGCCAAGAGCCATGGCCTTCGCGGAAGCGAGAAGCCGATTATTGGAATCTTCAGCACAATTCCCAAGGTTGGCGCGACCGCGTCTGTCATTGTGTACCTGCTCATGTTTGTCACTCACTGCACCTGGGTCACCTCCAACGCCTACTCTTCGCCTTCGGTTGTCCTCGCGAGTCGAATGCCTGATGGCAGTCAGCACATCATTGATGACTACCGCGAGGCGTATCAGTGGCTCCGGCAGAACACCAAGGAGGATGCCAAGATTATGTCGTGGTGGGACTATGGCTACCAGATTGGGGGCATGGCTGACCGGCCGACCTTGGTGGACAACAACACTTGGAATAACACTCATATTGCGACTGTGGGCAAGGCCATGGCCTCTCCCGAAGAGGTTGCCTACCCCATTATGCGGCAGCACGAGGTCGACTATGTGCTGGTGGTGTTTGGTGGGCTGCTCGGATACTCGGGCGACGACATCAACAAGTTCCTCTGGATGGTCCGCATTGCAGAGGGCATCTGGCCCGACGAGATCAAGGAACGCGACTTCTTCACTGCCCGCGGCGAGTATCGCGTGGACGCTGAGGCGACGGATGCCATGAAGAACAGCTTGATGTGAGTCGATGCCCAAACGAGGGTGGAGAGTAGGATGGAAGCTGACACGGCAACAGGTACAAGATGTGCTACTACAACTATCACACCCTGTTCCCCCCTGGGCAGGCTGTCGATCGTGTTCGTAGTGCTCGTCTCCCTGATGAGGGGCCGGTTCTCAACACGGTTGAGGAGGCGTTCACCAGCGAGAACTGGATCATCCGCATCTACAAAGTCAAGGATCTCGACAACTTTGGCCGCGACCACGCTGATGTCGCCGCGTTCGAGCGGGGACAGAAGAAGAAGAAGACGAAGAAGAGGGGACCGCGCGTCCTCCGTGACAACTAGGCGACGAAAACGTCGACTCGGGGCGCGGGAGCCTGACACCAACGAGAAAACTGCCAAAAACCACCAAAAAAATCAACGTCGAACTGGCTTCTATATAGATGAGGGCAGGTTCAGTGTACAACAATCGTATGGAGGGCCAAGGGGAGCTGGGAGAACAAGCAACCAGGCCGATTCATGCAGTGAATTGAGGGCGCACAGTGAAGTGGCGGAGGACAGGGTCTGAATTCGAGGGGCGAGGCGGTAGGAAAAGCTGAAGCTGCGCGCCTGAGGCGAAAGAATCCATGTCTAGATAGGGCTTTCATGTGCATGAAGACAATCGGTTTTGCTCTACGAGTTGAGATGTGAAAGGCAATGGTTCAAGAGCATTGGGTTGCCGTGCGACCGAGAGCAAGTTGCATGGGCAAAACCAAGCGTTCAGTTGGGGTGAACAGCTGGCTGGCAGCTGCGCAGGGGTCCAGGGCAGAGGGGAGAAAACATTTATTGACGCCATCGTTTTCTCTCCTCTCACCTCACCCATCCCAACTCGCATTCATCCCATCTCTGCTGCCCAACCATCCCTCCACGGGGCTGGCATTACATCGCTCATCCTTCATATGCTTGGCACAGAAGCCTCGTTCTTCTCTTTGCCTCTCTTGTCTGGCGCCCGGGCCCGTCCTGCCCGTGATGGGCTTCGGCAGGAAAAGACCAAGGGGGCGCCGCGCCCAAGAGCCCGATATCAGTCTCTTGGCTATGGCCTTCAACATGCCTACGCCTCAGGACCTGAAGCGCGAAGCAAGGCGTCGTGCGTCTCGAGATGACCCGAGTGCCAACCGCTCGAGAGAGGCCACGCCGCGTGCACCTAGCCGGCGTCACCACTACGCTGGCTCAAGTAGTCGCTCTGCCGCCTCTTGGGACGAAGCGAACACGAAACCTGTTAATGGGAAAGGAAGCAACACAGACACTTGGTACAATGAATCCACCAGCAGCGAGGAGGGGCTGTCTCGCCTCGACGAGAAAGGCCAAGGTCCGGGAGCAACCGAGTTTTGCGCACAAAGCCCATTTCCAGAATCCCCGGATCCAAGTCGACCTCGAGCCAAAGCAGAGCGGAATGACGCGTCACAGAAGCCAGCTGTCAAGAGCTCCAAAGCCGATTTCGCTACTCACATTGCTTCTCCCCAGAGTCCGGGCAAACAGACTCCTCGTCGTCGTCTGCAAAAGAAGCTCCTGAAATCGTCCAACGCTTCGGCCTCGACCACATTTCCAGCAACTCCATCTGGCTCTGTGGCGTGTCCACCTGCCACAACTACTACTCCAGCTTGCGCGGCGTCTTCTGAGCCCACTTTGCAGGCATCTAACTCTGCAACACCTTTCCCTCACGTGTCTCAACACCGCGAATTTGCTTTCATGCCACGGTCGTGTTCTGTTCCCGTACCTCAGCGCCCAACGGCTTGCTTCATCGATCCATTTTCTTGTGCATCGCATGCTTGTCGAGCGTCGATTCCTCACAACAATCGCAACCCACATGCTGGTGCTTCTCGGGCGGACACTCAAGGCCCAACCAGGCACTTTTCTCTCGAGTTGCAGCGTATCCAGGGACATATCGACCAGGTCAATGCGAGACTGTCACAAACCCCAGGAGACGACGGTCTTCAGCATGAGCTGCAAAATCTTCAAAAGCAGCTGAACTCGACACTCAACACGGCAACTGCCCGGGCCGGGTTTGCAGAACCGGTTCGCTCATCAGAAAATGCGGCTCTAAGTAATAGCCCTCGAGAGAAGGAGAAAGAAATCAAGCCTCCAGAGATTCTCGTGGAGAAATGCAATGACGCGGGCAACATCTCAGCCAAAGTTTTCAACGGTGAACGAGCTGAAGTAGCCAGAGAAAACGCAGCAACACCTACCCGTCCACTTCGCCTGAGGGAGGAGAGTCCGGGGCGAGGCTTTCGGCATCACCTCTGCTCTGCCTGTGGTGACGTTCGATCGAGCAAATTCCATCAAAAGCACCCCCTCATCCCAGGTCAAAAGCCTCTCTTGAACTATTGCGGCCTGTGCAAAGAGGACAGAATCGAGCACGGAAGCATCATTGAGCGACACCACTTCTGCTTTGGCTGCGGCATGGTCAGGTCCAAGGGATTTCAACGCAAGCATGCGGCTACAATCGAGAGCTCCTTGCTTCCAAACTACTGTAGAAAGTGCCAAAAGGAAGTTCGGGATACAGAAAGCATCGTCGATGTATCTGTCGTGAACTCGGTAAGTCTTTCTAGGCAGATGAACGCAGCAGCATATGAACTGACCACATCAGGATATTTTGCCTCATAGAAGCGGCGCCTCGGCGGCTATTCCGGAAGGAAATCATCCCACGGGCCTTGGAAGAGCAGACGACGAACATCCTGCTTCGAATGATCATCCTCGCAACGGCGTAAGAAGTGAAAAGACAAACTTGCGTCAGCGGCGAAGAGCAAGACGACCCTCGGATGTTGCTTCCACGGAGCATCTGCGCATCACGCCTATTTCGCACGATGTCAGCCCTGTGAGCGAAGGGCAAGCATCTTCCTTTTGCCCCAGCCGCCGACTGGGATCGGCTCAGCGTCGCGCCCAGCGGGGCTCGAGGGCAGAGGACGAGGATTTTATCAGTCCCATGAGCGCAGCGTCGGAAAAGACTGTTTACCAGAGGCCCTTTGTTGAAGATGCCGGAGCGACTATCTTGGCAGACGGCGTTGCTTCGGACAAAAAGCGCGCTTCCCCGGTGGGCAGTGAGGGGAGAGCCCCCTCGTCGTCCTCAGCGAGCTCTGGACAGAAGACGAGCTATAAAAGCTGTCTTAAAGGCGCTTCGGGCGTCTCCATACCTGATCCCTGCTCATCTCCTGTCCTCAGCTCTACTGAGGATGGTAGTCGAGCCTTGGGGGCCACCCCCGACGCCGGGTCTTCTGGCAGCAAGACGGTCAAGTTTCGATCGTTTGTCAGAGTCCGCCACTCACACACGCGGCATTCGAGCAACGCATCCTCCCAGGTCGAGTTTCGCGAGGCCAAGATCGGCCCGGGTGATGCCCCGACTTCTGTCCGTGTTGGACTCGGCAACTCTCCCCCCTTTCCCGAGAGAACCAGGTCTGAGTCGACGTTCCAGGAGCCAAACGAGACACGCCACGAACAGGGCCACGAGTTCAGTCCTGTGCCTCCTTATTCTTGCTTCGGCCAAGAGAACCCTGGGGAGCCTGCAGACTCGTCGACAAGATTCTCCAGAGGAGCCTTTGGCAGAGGATTTGGCTCTGCAAATCACAACCAGGGAAGCTCCGCGGTACACAATGGCGGACCAGGATGGGGCCCGTACACCCCTACCCATGACGAGCCCTCTTCATTCGACGAGGGCTTCCCTCGCGATTTCAGTGGCATGTTCAACAACTTTGCAAGCCGCGCCGGCAGCTATGAGGACTCGTCGTCGTTCCGCTCGTCTCGGGGCGCCTTCAGCGCAGATTTCAGATTCCCCATGGACAGCTTTGGAGCGGGTAGGCGCAACGAGGACGTGCCTGGATCCCCCCTATCCTCGACCCCGAACGCAGGCAACCCAGAAGTGGCTGGCTATTATCAGGAAGAGTACATTCCGCAGAAACACAGCTATTCAGAGCAGCCAGAGGGCAGCAAGAACGGCCCGTCGAGGTTTCGACACGGCACTTCAAGGGGGGCGAGTCACACTATGCGTGAAAACGGGCCCTTTGGCGGCGGCCACGATGAAGAATCGTCGTCGTCGTCGAGCAACCCGTACTACAAACCGAGCTATTTCGCAAGCATTCAGGAACTCTTCAACCGCAGCAAGCAGTCTCGAGCAAGCGGCGAGCAGCCGCCGCCCGACAAACAGACGCCCGACCACGGCCGAGTCCCTGAGCCGATCGTCGAGGAGCCGGACTCGCCGCCCGCATCGCCCGTGCAGCAGCTGAGGCTGCTTGGTAAGAGCGACCTCGATGGCTGAAACCTCAACAGGGGACAAGTGATTTGCTTACAGCTCGCGGCGCGCAGGGTTTGATATCCAGCCGATGAGCGGCCTGTCCACCGAGGAAGCGACCGTGTGTGGCCGCCCGAGAAGAGGAGACTCCATCCGGAGCTCGTCTTGGGTGTTGCCAAACGGGGGGCTGGCGGAAAGCTTTGCCGTGAACCGGCATTAAGCACACTCGCCTGGTCACTGCTGAAAGGGCGAGGGGCGGCTATTCGGAAAATACAGAGAGATGATAAAGCGACATGCACTATCCGGGAGGGAAAACTCACGACTCGACGGCTGAAGATGGCACAGAGCAAAAGGAACCTCGGACACGACGGCGAGGAGAAAGGCGTCTTCTCCTCATGACCGTGGAACCAAACCCCTACATGCAGAAAACTACTGTCCTACTACATACAGGTTCTGGAGTGCAAGAGAGAGAGGAGAACGAAGTAATTGACAATGGTTTTTGCAGTTGAGCTAGAGTAGGGGGGAGGGTAGGGGGGGGACATGGCGTGGCGGAACATAGGTCGCTGCAGAGGGAGCACGGGGACGCTTGGGCTCGCCTTTGGCATGTATCCCTTTCGGCCCAATACAGAAGCACGACTCGGCTCTTTCGTTGCACGACTAGCTTTAGCGGTAGGATGCAAAGGCGCGCGTAAACGGCTCCCACGGGCACGGCTCAGGTCTAGTTCCACAGTGACGACAGCGGGTGCTCTTGGTCAACTCTCCCGGCTCTCATCCATGTAGCAAAGGATGAATCCTCAACGCTGCCTGGGTTCTTCACCTGTACACGACGTTCGCTCGTTTCTTTTTTAAGCCTTCTCTTCACACCAGACGTGGACGGGACAGCATCGCCGCCTTCTCCAGCTCCCGCTCTACGGCCGTGCGGGAAGGGTCGCTAGTTGTCCATCTACAGTCCCAGTCCTCCACCCCCTGTGTCCCCCTGTTCCCCGTCCTAGAGATTGTCTTGAGCTCAGAAAACCGTATTCCCATACCAAATCTGTGTCGAGGGCGCCCTTCATTCGCCAAGCTCCCTCGCCCATCTTTCCTCGTCAGTCCGAGTGCTCACGAGCATTTCATCGACTCAGCCGCGCAGCCAGCACGTTGCCCTGCAGCCTGCTCGCCTGCGCCATGGGAGGCAGATAGCCGGGCGATGCCCTCCGCGAGCCGGGTCGTTGCCCCGCGGCGAGATACTCGACGGCCTCCAGCCTCCTCTTCTCGAACGCGTAGCTGCGCTCTCGTTCCCTCTGCACCTGCCGGAGCCGCGCCTGATGCTCAGCCTCGGCCTCGCGTAGCCGCCGCCGCCTCTCTGCCGCCTCCCGCATGCGTTTCTCCGTCTTATGGCACGCGGCATCGAGCTTCTGGGCGATAGCGGGGCTCGCCAGCTCCAGCTGCGGCCGGTGCTCTGCGCGTGGCTTTGAGGACCCTCCCCAAAAGCAGCGGAATATCAGCTTGGTCTGGTTCGTGGGGTCCTGGCCTCCCCATATCATCAAGGAGTCACCGTCGTTGATCCTGGTCCAGTAGTGAGACGGTGCGTTTGGATGCTTTGCGTCCGACGAGGCCAAGGTATAGCCATTGATTCGGATCCCGAGCGTAGCCTTTGTTGAAATCCAAAAATGATACGTTTCGTCGTCAGCCGAAGAGGTTGTTTGCCAAGGATGCTTCATCTTGGAAGGGTCCTTGGACGGGTCGTAACCCTCCTTCCAGAGCATAATCTTGAAAGCACACTTGGGCACTCTTGGTTCCAGCCGCTCTTTGAAGACCTCTGTGTTTTCGGGGCCCCTGCCAAAGGAAGCCAGTGAGTCAGTGATGGGGAAGGAGATGCCTTGAATGCATGATTCGGGAAGTGACTCAACCACAGCGATGGCTCGACTCGACGTGGGGTCCACCTGTACCGGCACCACAATCTGCGTATCCGGGAGCTGTGTCTGTGGGCCAGACCTAGCTGCGACGGGAGCGGCCGTTGAGGGGATGTCCAGTGTGTCGTCGGCGGCGTTGCGGTCCCCCGGTCTCAGTCCCGGGGCCCCGGGAAGCGCCGTCGCCCCGTTCTGGTTGGACGGCCCGAGGCTGGGCGGAAAGTACTTCATCGCCAGATCCCAAAGCGGTGATTTGTCGGGGCCTAACTCTTCCCCCCTATCCCGCGCTGCTTGCGAGAACGCGTCGTACTGAAGCTGGGTCATTTCGGGATATTGCAGATGCCACGTCGTGCGATCTTGCTCCCAAAACGTAATCTTGTTCACGGGGCCGTCGATTTGTCGGCCGGAGCCGAGTCTCTTGATCTGGGGGATGCGGGCCAGCAGTTTGAATTCGCGGACAACGTCCTCGGTAACGTCATCGTCCCCGTCCGACTTGAGTCTCTTGAGGGTGGGTTTACCGGGCGGAGTATTCTCATCAAACTCGTCGCTGACCTCGTGCGATGAGGGTTTGCGCTTGCTTGAATTCGGATCCATGGACGACTGCGACAGGGAGTTGAACGAGATCGCGGGACTTTCAGTCTTGGATTCTTTGCCGCCCAGGCTTTGTGATGCAACATCTTCCACCAGACTCTGCAACTGATCCGTAGACTGGTTTGGATAGATGGACGTCTGGTTGTAGACGTAGGCTTGGCCATTCTTACCTCCGATGGTGGTGGAATCTTCGGAATCGTACTCTTGGTTCTGATGTGAATCTAGGATTTCGGTTTCACCCATGCTCATCTCGGCGGGGATTCTGAGAAGGTCGGCTGGAAGGGCTCCCGAGCTGCCTACTGCCGAGACACCAACCTCTCCGAATAGCCGAGGTGGCGGCGGACGCTGTGTGACGAAGTCGTTTTCCTTCTCGGACTCGTCGCCTTCGGAGTCGCTTATGCGGTCGTCATCGTATGCCGCGGGATGAAACTGGGACGGCTCAATCTCAACGTCCTCGTCGTCCGTAATGACGTCGTACGACTGAGATGCCTCAATGACGGAGCCTGGCCCCCCCAACCAGGCATGGCTCTCGAGCTCCGGAATGGTTGCGCGATTCTCGGGGCGTCGTTGCAGCAGGCGGTGCAAAAAGTCAATGCCTTGCTCGGCCACTTGATACCTTTCGAGGGGCGAGATGTTGAGCATCGTTGTCATGATTTTATGCAGCAGTTCCGAGTGACTGATGCCCGACTTGACAGGGTACGGCGGCGAGCCCGTCAGAGTAAAAAACAAGACACCACCGAGCGACCAGATGTCCACTGCGTGGCTGTACCGTTGACCAGGCACGCGGCGCATCTTCTTGCCGCGACTCCGGACCCCGTTGTCGTCGTACTCGGCGTACTCGGTGTACACCTCGGGCGCGCAGTACAGCAGAGTGCCACAAAAGGTCCTGAGAAAGGTCTGCTCGGTGTCGACCATCTTGGACAGACCGAAGTCCGTCAGCTTGACATCGAGGGGGTCGAGTGTGTTGATGAGGATGTTGTCGGGCTTAACGTCGCGGTGGGTGATGTTGTTGGCGTGAAGGTAGCCCAGGGCACTCAGCAGTTGCCGGGCCATGGTCTGGGCCATGTCTTCTGGGAAGGCCCCGTCGTCCGAGACGAGCTTTCCCAAGTCGCCACCCGGGACAAACTCCATTATGATGATGAGCAATCGATCCTCCCAGTCTATGTTTTCCATGTAGCGCACAATATTTGGCTGGTCACGCGTCAGTGAGATGAGGGGCCGGAGGAGGCCAGGGCCGGGCTCACATGTTGGACCCTTCGCATGATCTTCATCTCGTTTTCCACTTTTTGATCCAGCACGCCATTCTTCATGAACCGACGCTTCTCAATCTCCTTTGCGGCATACGGCTTTCCGTCGTACTTGGACGTGACTCTGTACACGACGGCGAAAGCGCCCTGGCCCACTTTCTTTATCCGGTTGTAGGTGCCGGAGCCGGTCCATTCTCTGCGCATGACGGCCTGCTTGTCCTTGCGCTTGGAGGGCGAAGGAAGCGAGCCTTGGGCAGTGGTAGGTTCGGGGCCCGCCTTCCGCACCACCGGATCGCCAGGCGTCTTGAACAGGTCAACGTGGCCGCCGGTGCGAGGGGCCGTCTTGAGGCCATGCCTCGCGAAGTACTCTTCCACCTTTGCAATGTAGGCCCGGTCGTAGTCATCGTCGCGGCGAGGGATTCGGACGAGGAAGGTCAGGTCGCGGTTCAAGTCGTGGAGGAGTACTCTGATGATGCAGCCGGAGCTTAGCACCCATCTGGTGACGGGGTTGGCGCCGTTCTTTGGCTTGCTGGACAGGAGCCTTGTGTCGACAAAGGTGCCATTGGTCGACTGATCCTCGATCATGACGTTGCCGTACTCGTTGACGTAGATGCGGAAGTGGACATTGCTGACCCTCTTGAGGGGGTCGTTGACAAAGACGATGTCGCATCGAGCAGCGTTCCTGCCAAAGGCAAAGCCGGCGGCAGGGTTCTTGACATGGGCGGACAAGCGCAGCTTGATGGAATAGTCGCCGTGGCTCGTGGGGTTCGACTCGAAGCGGCTGGCATGGTCCTCGAGCTCGTAATCGGGCTCGACACCATCGGCCTCGTCCTTGCCGATGATGTGCGGCGAGCCCTCTTGGGCTAGTCTTTGGATTTCCTGCCGGGTGGGGTCGGAACGGGGGTAGAGTACGCAGATGATGTCAGAGACGTCATCGTCAGAGAAGCCCGAGTTCTGCTTGCCCACTCGGCGCGGGTCGAGGACGTTCTGGGTTGCTTCGGCAGAGCATGTCAGGTTGGAGGAGGTCGTGGAATGAGGGAGCGCGCGTACCTTGGGTGGGCTCGTCGCCGTCCATTGGGAGCGGCCCGACAAGGCAGCGGCCAGAAAGGATCCAGGCTGTCGCGCGGGGGGCTGCCAAGATGAGGCAGACGAGGCAGACGAGGCGTCAGTATACCAAGGTTGCTCGTCGTCAGGTGGGGGATCAGTCAGGGCGGGCTTGGGGGGGCGGTCGTGGGCGAGGTCGCGGTCGAAAGGGCGCGTGGTCGCGTGGCCTGGGCGGGGCAGTAAATAGGTGATGCTGAATAAAAAATGTGTCTGCCTCATCAGCGGCTCGCGGAGGGTGAAGTGGAGAGAAGTCAACAAGGTCAAGGACGAGAAAAAGAAAGGAAAGGAGAGGGAAAGGGACGGATCGCAGTACCGTACTGAAGATGAAGAGAAGAGAGAAGGCATGTCGTCAAGGTACAGAGGTACCCACTCGCAAGCATGTACCGGCCACATAGTCCCGGCTATGCGCGGGTACATGGTCATGGGACGAGAGGCGAGGCGAACTGCAGGCGCCTTGGATAAATACAGGCCGCAAAGTAGGTACTTGTCTACAGGGCTGGGGGGCACTGGCGGCCAAGTGCCGTCTGCAGCTGGAAACTTACACGACGGGCAACTCCGCTGCCCTGTGCCTGAATGACACCGGGTATGCACACGTGCATCTTGTGACACATGGACAGCTGAAGCACGAGACCCACGGGAAGTGTCTGCTCTACAGAAATGAGGTCAACACGACACACGCCACACCCCGAGGGGCCCCGGCTGGGGGGAAATGGAAGCCAGGGGAGCCCCGCCCGCCCCGGGCCACCGGCTCCGGCCCTACTACCCGCGCCGTTTCAGGGGTCTGGGGGATGCAAGTACAGTAGGTAATTACGGCGTATGTAAACTCGTCAATACATCATTAATTACCACGTCGTCCAAAGAGGCAGCTACTCCGCCAACGACGCAAACAAGGCCAAAGATAACACAGTGCAGCATCTCTCCACCTCTTCACTCCACCACGGCTGCGTCTGTGCAAGCCTTCCCACCGGGTATTTCCCACCGGGTACAGAAACCTGTCACGGCCGTGTATTCCATGACATTCCACAGTCGTGTATGTAGTCTTCAGTTTTTAAAAACATTGTTTTCCGCATCCAAATATGTATGAGCGCCTTTGATGTCGTCGGCTTTCCTGCCTAATCCAGACAACACCAGATGCGATAACAAAACAAAAGGTATCTTTCATATACCAGAAACGATTCTTGCCCTTGACACTGTCGTCTTTCCCTCGTAAAACGCCCAGACGTACGAACATAATCAATCCAATGCCTCCTCCTATGCGTTAGTGTGCTCACCATATGCTGCCATCTCCCTCCCCGCCAACAAGGCAGTCAGACGCAACTCCCTTTGACACATTCTCAGCTCCGTCTTCTAGAAAGCTTGCCCTTGATACTGAGGTTGCAGGTTCCGCGCATTCTGCACAGGCCCTGGGCCAGGTCCGTATCGTCCATCAGATGGTGAATGTGCCCCGTTCCGTAGCGGGCGCGAGAAGCTACCAGCCCCTGCTCCCATCGGATTCGTGGGACCTCCGTGTTGTGGGGGTGGCGGCCCATCTGCCCTGCCTCCAGCGTAGTAAAGGGGCTGCGGGCTGGGAGATCTCGATCCCATATTTCCGGGTGATCCCGCCGTGAGATTTCCTCCGTACGTGTACTGTGGTGAAGTCACCGGCGCCGTGCGTTGCTGCATCAACTATTCAGGTGTCAGCCGTTGAGTTTCTGCGCCTGAATGTGCTCCGCCACGGTTCATTGTGCTTGATCCTCGAGATCCTATCTTGCAAGTAGTGGCACCGGTCCAGGGGACTGACGCCCAGCATGATCGCTTGCTTGTTCTGGATGCTTCGACCTCTGCGCTTGATCAGGGACAACGGGACCGGCAGGGGCCGGGACCAACTTCCGAGGCACCCGGACGGTGCGATTGTCAACAGCAGGGCCAGAATTTACCTCGGGAACGTCAAACTCGGGGTTGCGTCGTGCCGGTGCCTCACCGGGACCCATGGGCCTCAGGGGCCCTGCTCGTTGGCGATCGGAGGACCCGCGTCCGTCATGCGAATGGTCGGGGCCCATGCCGGAATAACTACCGTTGTGGTAGTTGTCCGGGCCGCCATATCCGGGACCTTGCTGGTGCGGCGGCGGGGGCTGTCGTCTATCGGGGGGAGGACCGCCACGGTGGGCGTCGGAAGCGTAATGATCAATGATGTCGTTGGGCGTGATGCTCTGGTGCGTCTTGGGCGGCAGCGGCTTTCGTGACGGATGAAAGTTTGGGGGAGGGCCGCCCCGGCCCTGAGGGCCCGGATAAGGTCTAGGGCCAGGACCAGGCCCATAATTGCCGTGGTGCTCGTGATAGGGCGGGCCGTGGCCGGGTGGGGGGCGCTGGTTGGGTCGCCCACGTCCTTGTGGAGGAGGCGGGCCTCCAGGTCCGCCAGGCGGAGGGCGATGTTGGTCTGGCCGAAAGTTTGGGTGGTGCGGATTAGGGGACCGAGGTGGTCCCGGGGGATGAGGTGGGCGGCGTCCGTCAGCCGTGTGTGGGCGTGGTGCGTAGTTGGGATCGTTCATCATGTTGGGATGGCCGTGGGGAGGATAGGCCATGGGCGACCTGGACCGTTGGTTGGGGATGCCGTGAGGTGGCGGGGGCAGTCTGCCAGACGGTCGGTCTTGGCTGGTCGGGCTCAGAGCTTCGCGTGAACCGTACTGGTTAGCAGACGTTCCTCGAGGGTCGGCGTGTAGATATACCGATGGGCCAGCTGACACACCATCCTCGGCATGTCTTGTCGGAGGCATGTCGTCGGCGTTGGAGATACCCCCAGCCTTGGCCATCTGATCTAGCGTTGTGCTGGACAGACGGCTGTTGGCACGTCGGAGCTCGGGGGAGTGATATGCCTTGCTGGTGGGGCGCGCCTGTGGTCCGTGATTAAAGGCCGGCGGGCGCGAGACGGGCTCCGGGGTCTGCATGTTACGCATGCCCTCGAGATCCCGCATTTCCGGCGGGGGAGAGTTACCGAGTTCTTCATCTGAGCTTCCTGGTTCTCCAGACGGCTGCCGGTCCCGGGGGGTACCGTAGACGTTCGGAGAGAAGTTGCTGCCGCCCAGCTCAGGATCTGACGCGTTGTGCAGGGGGTGAGGTTGGGCTGTTCCCGGCATAGGCGGGTGCATGCGGCGATCAGGAAGCGCCGTATCTGTCCGGGACCCTCCTCCATTCAAGGAGAAGGATCGCGAGGACCGTACAGACACTTGGTTGTTGTTGAAGCCGACCCTGGGCTTGACGCCGTTGGCTCCGGCACCTCCACCGCTGAGTCTCGCACTGGATCTGCTCGCGCTTCGAGAGTGGGACCTGGTGCCATCTTCGATGGCGTTCATCCTCGTGCCAGTGGCGTCCTTGAGCCGCTTCCTCCACTCCTTCTCGGTCCAGGCCGCGCTGCCATCATCGAGAATAAGCGTCGAGACGTCAAGGGGTTCCAAGTAGCCATAGCGCTTGTGTTTGGGCAATGCAAACATGAGGGATCTGGGGTCAAGCACGCTTGCGACGAGCCTGCCGGGACGGCCATAAAGGCAAAAGGTGTCCCACGTCGGGAAGAGGAAGCGCAGCAGCATCTCGAATCCGCTGACGGCAGGATGAGTCTCGGGCATGATGAAGATGAAGCCCTCGGTGGAGGAGGGAGGATCCGAGTGGACGGTGACGTGGCCCTCAACCTTGAGAAGCGTCGAGGCGTCGACCAAGGACTTGGCCTGTGGGTAGATGGCGTAGGCCGAGTAGGCGTCGGTGATGGTGGCAATGGGTTGAGCCTTCTTTTGTTTCTTGCCGTCTTTCCTTGTGTCGTAAAACCTAATGTCGCCCTTGAGAGCGGGAACGGCGGAGCGGTCGTAGGGCGACCTCTTCTTCATCTCCTTTTGAAGCTTTGCGTACTCCTTCTCATCCGGAGGAGTAATGACACACCAGCATCGCCTCCACGGGACGCCGGCGCCGAAGCGGACTCGTACCCACTCCTCCGTCTTGAAACGCGACCGTTCCATGATGACATTGATGTTGTTCAAAGTCTTGCCCTTGCCGGCGACGAGGGCGCCAGTGTAGGCCTCCTGGAGGGTGGAATGCTCGTACATGGCGAGGCGAATGCCGGCCGTCCACTGGATAAGGGAGTGATGTGAGTTGAAGTGGAGCAGGTATCGGTTCCGACCGGCCGTGGAGATGCTGAGGATATTCTGTAGAGGCTGCTCGTCGCTGGAGCGCGTCGGCAGAGAATCAATCTGCGAGAGTGTCAGCATGGCGACGCCGTCTGACGCGTGGGGACCACCCACCATTTTGATTGACGCGTCGGTGAGGTTGATAAACTTGGGAAGGACTTCGCCGTCCTCGCCGGCGGCGTCCAGCTCGGCTGCATCCCATAGTGACAAGACGGTGCCGACGAGCTGCGCAAAGCACTCGGTCCACGTCCTGTCAGGATTGGGCTTGCCCTCTGCATGAATGTCAGTCAGGGAAACATGAGAGACGTCGAGAAGGCGGGTAGGGGCCAAGACGTACGGGAGTTTTGGTCATCGAGCTTGAGAAAGTAGCCCTCCTGGTAGAGCTTGTTGGAGTGGCTATTGAGAAAGGTGAAGATGGGCTGCAGCTCGGGTATCGTGTCCTCGTTGATATCCATGAGGGGCGGCTGGTAGGTCTGGACCATGGACATGGGACGCGAGGTGCTGCGCGGGCGCTGGCTGGGGCTGTTGTTGCGAGGGGAGCCGTTTACGGGCGTGCCATAATCCGGGTGCGAGGGGGGCGTGACGGGACGGCGCACAGAGTCGAGGTGCTGCTGGGTAAGGAAGGACTCGGGCGTGTGTTTGCCGGATTGCTCGTTGGGGGGCGACGACGAGGGCGACGGCGACCTGGTACCAGTGGAAAACTGGGACATAAACGAGAGGACTAGAAGGCGGCGGTTGCGCAAATTAGTAGCAGTCAGCATTGGCAGGAAAGAGGGGGCATAAGTGGCTCGGCTCATCCAGGGCGCGCGCGTGCAGGCAACCAAAGGTACAAGCGACTAATAACAATAATAAAGCATAAGACGTCTCCATCCGCGATGGACGAGTACCTCGAGGGTTCTGGGGCCGGCGGCAGGGGTCGTGGCTCGTCGGCGACGCTGGAATGAACATATGGAGCACCAACCTCGATTGCGACCCATACTTGCGGCTCGCTATTGCTGCGCTGCCACACTTGCTGGAGACCGACTCACGACACTGTCTTGTATGCGCTAGCGGGGGTCCTGCCTGGTTCGGCGACGAGAGCGGGCGGGACGGGGGCGCACGCAGAGAGTGAGAAGAGAGAGAGGGCGACGGCGACGGCGACGGCAAGGGCGAGGGCGAGCAGAGTGAGTTGGAGGGAGACGGCGAAGAAGCGTTTGCAAGAGAGAAAAGAGAGGAAAGAGAGACGAGGTAGGGAGGAAGAAGGAGAAGGGAAAAAAGCTGAGACAAAGGGTGATGTGGTGTGTGGTGTGGTGTGGGGGGAGGACACCAAGAAAAGTCGACGAGAGGCCCGACGTGGAGAAGAAAGGAGAGGGCGATGACGAGGCAGTAGAGGAAAAGAAAACCTGCTGGCCAAAACCGGTTGGTTGGCGGTGAGGCGGAGGCGCAGGAGCTACGGCGGCAGCGAACGACGGACGGCGAGGCGGAGCCGCGGGCTGCCGGGTCGGTCGGCGACAAAAGAATTCGATGATGATGATGGTGTCTCTGTAGCTCTCAAGCAATAGGCTAGCCACGTACCGCTCGCTCCGTGCGTGTCTGGCAACCAACGCTCGCTCGCGTGTCTAGGCCGGGCGGGTATGAGCCAAGGAAAAATGGTGGTGGGTAATGGCAGGGGGTAGCTGGAAACAGCCCGGCACCGAGTTACTGGGAGGTAGCGGGCAGCAACAGCGAGGCCAAGGCGATTCAGCTCCCCGGGTTGTGCGGCTGGAGCTGCTGCCCTGATCCTGTTTGCTGCTGCTGCTGCTGCCGCCGCTGCTGCCAAGCGAGGCGCAGGCCAAGGAAGGAAGCAGTCGCGCTACATGGTAGTCTGGACAGGCCTGCCACCTGGTACGAAGTGCCTACGCTCATACGGAATACTACCTTGGGTAGGGTACTTATTTACCTATTCGTATAGGTACCTATATAGGTAGATACTTAGGTACGATAGGTAGGTAAGTACCTATGGACGGGAGAGACTCCCCCTGTCTCGCAGAGTACGTATATACTTTTGATGGTGACCTGGCGCGGGCTCTTTTCGCCGTCGGGGCATCGGATGAAATGTCGCAGAAAAAGGCGTCACGCGAGACAAGTCAGATGGCCTCCCAACATGCACGCTTGCACCCCACAATCGTTTTGTTTCCTCGCCCATATGCGAATTCGACGTGAGAGGGGGGTGGTGCTGACGCGGTTGATAAAAAGAGAACCTAGACGGCCTTTGTCTGCGACGTCACCATCTCGCAGCCCGCATCGCAGCATGGCACCGAGGCGGCCCAATGGACGAGACAATGGACGAGACAGTGTGTGGCTCCGCAGCCGACTGTGTGCGTATAGGCGCCGGGGCCATTAAATGCGCATGTTACCTTGCAATGCTGGGTAGAGGTATAATGGATTTGGACTGCGCCTACAAAGTATTCGACGGGATCGGCCACGGCACGACACTCTCAAAAGTAAGCATAACTTAGGGTAATGTACGAGCATCCAGCCGCCCGCTCGCTGCCTGGGGCAGACAATCATCCCTAAAGTAAAGGGGAAATGAGGTACGGACCAGTCTTTTACCGTATTCAGACGGTAGTCGTCACTCTCCATCCACGCGACAAGCGCGTGGCGGCTAGAAAGAAACAGGCACGGACAATCCCCGTGTCCAACACGCGTTATCTCAGCCGCCCTGACATGACAGACGGTACTTGTTGCATGCTGACGCCGTGGCTGCGAGTGCGAGTACAGAATGGTCCGTGCCAATCCGTAGAGTATGCACGGAGTACCTTGTACGGAGTACGGGGCTGCCGGAGCGAAAGAAACAGCCCAGGGGAATGGAGGCTTGGCGTGCGGCAGGAGCCAGCCGCAGAGGAAGGAGGAAGGACTGCAACCGCCCAGAACCGCAACCCAGCAGAGTGGGCTCAGTCATCAGGCGAGCGAGCGTCAGTCCAGCCGCCAAACAAGTCAATCAATCACATCAGCGCCAGTGCATGTACATGCAGAGTACTTGGCGGGGGCGGGCTCCTCATCAACTCATCAACTCATCCATGCAAGCCATCGCATTTGCCGATGCGCCGATGTTCGAATCATGACGCCTGGTGGGAACAAAGAGGTGCAAATATAGGTTTCCAAGGCAAGGCAGCCATCCGTCGTGGCAGCCATTCAACCTGCAGCACCCGGCACTGTGCATCTGTGCCTTGCTTGGTACGCGCACCCTCCCCAACTTCAACGTCTGCCCTCTGCCTCCGTGTCGAAACATGTTCCGGCGGGTTCCGAGCCCTGTCCGGCTAATCCTGGGCCGAGTCCGAGTCCGTTACAACAGTACCTCGTTTCGGTAAGCGCCTTCTCGGCCTGACCACTCGCCCGGGCGTGCCGGAGCATGGACCGGCCACGAGCCCTGTCGCGCCGCCATGCAAGCGCTTGGCGATAATTCTGTCTCGCTCGACGACAGCAATCTGATCAGGCTTGCCCACAAGCGGCGCTAACTACGAAGCACAGTACAGCCAAATAACTGTCGCTTCGTTACAGTTGCCTGCCAAAGTCGGTACCCGCCTTGCAGCAGGCGCGAGATCAACCTATCATATCATCACTGCAGACCAGACCAGACAAGACCAGACCAAAGCGCTTCCTGCGGATGGCGATGATGCTCCCAATCAATCGCCCATTGTTCCCTCCTGGGCTCGCAGTGTGCTCCATCCACCGAACCTCCAAAAGCGCCAACACCCCAAGAATAGTACATACTTTGCTGAATACCACGCTATGCCATTACCGTCTCTTGCTCACCAGCAAAGCAAGCAAGGTTTCTCGAGCTACTTGTTTCTGGTCGGTGACTGGGAGGGGGGTGCAGTGCCTCGGATGCGTGTGCGTCAGTGTAGACGACACCGCAGGCCTCTCCACGGGGGCGCCGAGAGAATGGACAAGTCGACGACGGCCTTGGCGACATTGCTGGCCGGTGCCTTATTTTCATGCATGCCATTTAAGTTACTTCTCTAAATACTCTACTCCGTAGGTGCCCAAAAGCTGTTGGCTCGCGCAGCAACGTGATGGACAAGGCAAAGCTCAGAGACAAATGACGACTGCCCGCTGGGGCATTTCTTGGTTGACGTCATCCCAGCCACCTCGAAAGGCAAAGGCATCGGATGGTTGGGCAGGCCGACGCAGGCGGCTCGACAAATCCCGATGCATCACCGCAACCTCCATCCAACAAACTTTCCACGTCAGCCACGACACACGGCGTGCAGGATTTAAGCATAACCCAGCGTGAAGCTGATATAGACTTTCATCAGGTGCCAGCCAAGACGACGTCTTCCGCCAGCTTCTAAATGCAGGCATCGTAGTCCCCCGACGCATTCGTACAGTTGTGCCTGAGGCACTCGCCTGTAATCATCGCTCTCCCCTGTCTTGCGAGTTGGGGCTCTCGTCACAGCCAGAGGAAGTTGCGCGGCGGCCATGTCGGGAAGTGGGCCAATCAGACGCCCACCCGCACCGAATCTACGGCGCTGAATTGACTTGGAATTCCATGCATTGAGATGGGCAGAACCGTGTCGGGTGCGGAATCGAGGATGAAAGGGGGCTTAGAAGACGCCGCAGAAATAGGGAGCTCGGCAATAAAGGTTCCCGGGCGGCGTCTCCAGGCTAATGAGCGTATGCCGTCGAGAGCCACATTCACCAGCTGCGGAATGGTCGTGGCCAGCGCCGGGCAATCGGTGCCTCCCCCGGACGCGACAAGGATGAGCGGCACGCATGATCAAAAGACTGTCACTCGTCCCCAGTTCGCATTGGGACAATGCCCGAACCGGGATGGGGTCATCCAAGCTCGTCCGGTCTGATCATGCCGCCAACTCGCCCGAGCTGTTTATGCGCTTTAAAAGGTGTCAAGCGTGTGCGGTACGTGGGGGCTTACCTCTCTCCATAGAAAGTGGAATCTCAGCGATAAGCTGATAAAGGCGGTGTCCTTCGCGCTGTCACGTGCCACAACTTGTACCTAAATTGCATGCGCGACGACCGCCATGTAGACCTCAGCCTCTCTCGATGAGCCAACGCGCCGATTACAACCCGGCTTGCCCGCCAAAGAGGCTGCGGTCAGCGACCCCACGGGTTGACGCTGGTGTCCATGGGCGGAATGCGCCCGTCACGTCTCCCAGCGCTGGCGGCCACCCTGACACCTCTTTCGCGACAGCATCGCCTTCTAGGACCCCCGTGGCGGGGCCGCCGTGACCGGCGTTGTGCGTCGTCGTCGCCTTCGTCGTCGCCTTTGCCGTCGCCCGCCAGTCGACCCAAACTTGCGAGGCTGCCCTTCCGGTTCGAGACCGGCATCGGCCTCTTTGCGAAGCGACCGCCTCGGCCCTTTCCCCCGCCTTTCTTGTCGCCGCCCTCGGCGTCCTTCTCCGACCCGCTCAGCACCCATCACCAGAGCCGCCATCGCCAAGGGTACGTCAACGGGGAATTGCTGAGAGGTCTGACCAACGGCGACGATGCAGTGTACGCGAGCGACTTTTTCGTTTGTGCCAATGACGGAGTCGGTGCGTGGGCTGCTCGCCCTCGTGGTCACGCCGGGTAAGCTTCCCCATCCGCAACCCTGCCGTGCCTGGCTGACGAACCACGTAGCCTCTGGTCACGACTGATATTGCATTTCTGGTCTGCCGCCGTCGAGGCAGAGCAAGCAGATTATATCACGCCGGGAGAGTTCCACAGTCCAGATCCCCGAGCCACACTCCAAACGGCGTACGAGCAAACTTTGGATGCCACCGTCCCCCATGATTGGCAAGGCACCACGACGGCCTGCGGTGCCCAGTTGCACTACAAGATGCCAAGCGACGCTGCTGGAAGCGATCCGACACCACTGCTGTACGTGACGAATCTCGGCGACTGCCAGATCATGGTGGTCCGCCCGAGTAAGCAGGACGCCGTATACAAGACAAAGGAGCAATGGCATTGGTTCGACTGCCCGCGACAACTCGGCACCAATAGCCCCGATACGCCAAATGCCAATGCGGTCACTGACGCAGTAGACTTGGAAGTGGGAGACGTTGTGCTCGCAATGAGCGATGGTGTCATCGACAACCTTTGGGGACATGAAATCGTCGATTCAGTCGTCCGAAGCATCGCTGATTGGGAGTCGGCAAAGGGGCGTCATCCCCAGGTAGATCGAACAGGCGGTCGTAACGGAGGCATGACTGCAGCGGCTGAAAACCTTGTCGCCGCAGCCACGGCAATCGCAAAAGACCCATTTGCTGAAAGCCCCTTTATGGAGCATGCGATTGAAGAGGGTCTCGCGAGCGAAGGAGGTTCGTTGGTCCCCAGCTTGACTCTTTGATCCCACACTGACCATCTGAAAACAGGTAAGCTCGACGACATTAGCGTCGTTGCCGCGCTTTGTGTAGAGAACGAGAAGTGATGCAGGACGTAGGTTGCGCTCCGCATCGACAGCTGTACCTATCAACGAAATTCTAGGGGTTCCCGAGCACGAGAACAAACCATGCTTTCCTTTGCTCGGAGCCCAGGATGTCCAGTGAACTAGACAGCGTAGGCGAGCATTGATGTACGAGCTCAAGATGCTCTCCCTCCAGTCTCTCTTGACAAGGCCAGGTTAGGAGAGTACGGAATCAAGGGAGCATCGTAGACGTTGGTAAATGCGGCCTGCGGGCGGTCTGGCAACGAAATGGCAAAATTGGGCCCATTTTTCGTAGTTCCATTGAACTTCGCTCGCATAAGCGCTGCACGTGCTGCGGCACTCCTGCTTATCGAGTGGGGCGATAAGAAATTTATTCCAGAGAGCTCGTCCGTCTGCGCTCGAAAACTTGAATCACTTCCACGAAAGCCGGCAGCACCAAACCCCCGGGTACAACCCTCATCGGCCAGTTCATACAAGATGCGGGGAAAGCGTTCAAAGCAGTATCGCAAGCTCATGGAGCAGTTCGCCATGAGCTTCGGCTTCCGCGAACCGTACCAGGTTCTTGGTTTGTCTTCCCCGACGGTCGAAACCGCACTTTGGCTGACCGTGCGTGCCATTTGCAGTCGACGCTGAGATGGTCCTGGATTCGTGTCGGTTCAAGATGGACCTTGAGCCCGCGCTGAGCAGGACTGTTCATGGGACCGTGAAACCCAGTACGTCGACGCTGCGTCCGCAGGGAGCCAGAGTGAAGAGCTAACCGACTCAGTGATTACGCAATGCGAGATTCGAAAATTGTACGCGCGCAAGGACGAACCGGGAGTCGGCGAAGCCATTGAAGCGGCCAAGTCTTGCGAACGCCGACGCTGCGGTCATCACCCAGACGAATATCCAGAACCGCAAAGCACAATGGATTGCTTGCTGTCTGTGGTGGACCCCAAGGACAAGGGGGAGAATAAGCACCGATACGTGGTGGCAAGCCAGAGCCAAGAAGTCAGGCGAATGCTACGTGGTGTCCGAGGAGTACCGTTAATCTACATCCGCCGAAGCGTCATGATCCTGGAACCCATGTCCGACGAGAGCGCCCAGACGCGTGCGAGAGAGGAAAGGAGCAAGTTCAGAGCCGAGATCAAGACGGCCCTCGGAAAGAGGAAACGTGAAGAGAAGAAAGACGCTCACCAAGGGGCTGACCATGACTTACAGCCAGCCGGGGCCTGGGACGACCATGAGGACACGGCTAGTGACGCCAACGTGGCGGAAAAGCCCAAGAGCAAGAAGAAGCGCGGACCCAGGGGCCCAAATCCTCTATCAATGAAGAAGGCGACGAAGAAGACACAGGGGGATGCCCCGCTGACAAAGCCGATGCCGAGTGCGGAGGCGCCTGCAGATGCGCCTGCAGATGCGCCGTCCAAGAGAAAACGGCGGAGAAAGAACAAGGCAGCCGTCGAGGCGGCGGATGGCGGAGGTGATGGCTCCCAACCAGCGGATGCGAATGGCGATTCGAGTTGATTGTGTCTGCGAGGCACAAGAGCCAGTTGCCTGACTACTAGTGAACGCGTCTCCCGTCATCAGGGGATAGGGGCAAGCCACGGAGCGAGGATGGCATTTCGCCGAGACGCTGCAGGCAACGAATGTCCTACACGCCTTGAACGATGCTGTTGTCTCCCGTGGTTGGAGGAAGGTCACGCGCTACTTGGGCATCCTCATTCCAAGCGTTGGGCGTGCCGTGTGTATGCAAGGCGTGAAGTTTACATTACGCGTACGGAGTGGGAGTACTGCCGAGAGATTTCCCCCGCCTTAGGCAAGGGGGCTGAAAGAGCACAAGGGGTTCTTGCACGAGCTTACCTCTTACAAGTAGATGACTGCCGTCCAAAATATCGGAAAGGACTTTTGAACAGCCCCGATTTTTGAATTCTTGTCGCGTAAAATCGCCCCATGCCCTTGGCTTGCTCAAATTATACATAATTTACATCATCAGATGGCAGCAAGGCAGGTTTTTGATTGACGTGGGGCACTTTTCGCGTGTCACCGCTGTGCCAAGATTCATGTATACACTTTGTGTCTCTCCTCTCCACTACTTAATTTGGCGCCCGCGGTCCGGCCCAAAGGGAGAAACTCCCTCGGGATGAGTACCTAGGCAGTACCTTGTCTGGCCTGGACCCCAGACACCTCCATGACTAACCGACTAACCGACCCCTGCGTCTACCATCGTCTTGCATGCCAAACACCGCCACTCATCTCGACAGTAATCGCGCCTCTGCTTGTAGATGCCATCACGTCCCATCCAGCGTCAGAGGAGAGCGATTCGGATGTGGACGTGGGAGCCACGAGCTTCCATATTCGATCATGGACAGTAAAAAAGACACAGCATCGGACGGCAATACCTCCCGGAGCCAAGATGCGTCGGGGCCGGCACCAGCTGCAAAGCCAGAGCCCGACGAGTTTGGCCTCCCTCTCCGACAGTATCCCTCTCCAGCACAAGATGCCGTGGCACAGATGCCCAGCATGAGCGAAATAATTGCGACAGACGAGAATAAAGAGCTCTCCGCGGGAGATAAGAAGCAATCGGCCACATCCCATGCTCCGGCATCGCAACCGACTCCAGAAGTAGGACAAGGCTCTCACTCCGAGAGCGAAAGCGACGATGCTCCCTTCGATGATGCACAATCCTCCCTGCCTCGAGACTCCGCCGCCCCTTCTCCGCCGCCCTCTGGCTCGACGCCACCATCACCCCCCGCGGCTCATGCGACATCCAGCGCTGACGACGGCCCCTCGACCCCGTCAAAAACTGCCCATTCGGACGAGTGCGCGACTACATCAAACATCACAAAGGCCAAGAAAGAGTCGGTGGGAAAGTCTCCCAAAGATGAGAACACTGCCAAAACACCGCGCGTCGAGGCAGCACCGCGCCCTGCCAGTCCGCCCAAAGCGAGCACAGAAGAACACAACTTGGGACACAACCGGGACACGAGCGTCGCCGCGAGCACCAACAATGGCCTTGGCGTCTCTGAGTTTTCTCACCAACAAGTATCGATGCAGCCCGAGCACAAGGGCGGAAACGAGGACGGCGGCTGGCAGACGATGCCGGCCTTTGCGAGATTCGACATGTACGACGACGACGACCGTCTCATTGCCCGGGAACATGACGAAGCTGAAGATGTTGAAGAAAAGTACGCCTATGGCGGGCTAGGAGGTGCAGGCAAGGGCTATACTCGAGTGATAATGGACGAGGACGCCGAGTCGGCGACAAGCATGGACGAGAACACTAAATATCTATTCAAAGAAGCCAACGGCACGAGCATGATGGGCGAGGACGAGGGCCGAGACGCGGTATCTCAGATGCAAGCCACCAAGGACCTCCTGACCGAGGGTCAGAGGATAGCATACGTGGGCGTTGTCCGCCTGGAGATTGCAAACCTCGTCAAGGAGGCAGACGACGTCGAGGTGACCAGGAAGACCAAGAAGGAGGTTCAGACGGCTGCCGAGGCCGTCAAGATGTGGGGCCAGAAGATGATGATCCGCGTGTACTCCCATATGGAAATCAGCGCGGCCGAGCAAGTCATGATCGAACAGCTCGCGGAACACGGAGTGGTGCCGGGGGACTTGACGCCTGCGCTTCACGCCAACTCGAGAGTGCAGAACCCCATGGCGTTGGACAGCAAAGACGTCGGCAGCCCGTCGCAAGAAGCTTCGTTGCCGGCGACGAGCGTAAAGGAGGAGATCGCCGCGGAGCCGCCACCGCCGTACGAAGCCACCGACAGCTCCGAAGTCCCCGAGGTCCAAACCCCCTCACAGCTGCCCACGACGCAGAAGATCGACATCGACCTTCGCTGGACCGTCCTCTGCGACCTCTTCTTACTGCTAATTGCCGACTCGGTGTATGATGCGCGCTCAAGGGTGCTCCTGGAGCGCGTCGGTGCCAGCCTGGACATCACGTGGATCGACATCTGCAAGTTTGAGAAGAGAATCACCGACGCACTGGAGATGCAGCAGGCGGCGGAGAAGGAGAACTGGAACGAGGATGAGCACATGGATAGTCGAAGGAAGATGGCGCTGAAGAGGAGATATGTCATGATGGGCCTGGCCACTGTGGGCGGCGGACTCGTCATCGGGCTCTCGGCGGGCCTCCTGGCCCCTGTCATCGGCGCCGGGCTGGCGGCAGGTTTCACCACCATCGGCGTGACGGGCACGAGCAGTTTCCTGGCCGGCGCCGGCGGGGCTGCCATCATCACTTCTGGAGCCGCGGCCTCGGGCAGCATCATCGGCGGCAGGGCGGCCAACCGCCGGACCGGAGCTGTCAAGACCTTTGAGTACCGGCCGCTGCACAACAAGAAGCGGGTCAACCTGGTCGTCACGGTCTCTGGATGGCTGACGGGCAAGGTGGACGATGTTCGGCTGCCGTTCAGCACGGTGGATCCCATCATGGGGGACATTTACTCGGTCCTGTGGGAGCCGGAGATGCTGCGCAGCATGGGTGACACCATCAACATCCTGGCCACCGAGGTAGGGCACTCGACGGTCGCTGTACGCACAGCACGAGGTCTTGGGCTAATCCGTGGACGCAGGCGCTCACACAAGGTTTGCAGCAAATCCTGGGCAGCACCATCCTGGTCAGCCTCATGGCAGCCCTCCAACTGCCCATTGTCCTGACCAAACTCTCTTACCTCATCGACAACCCTTGGGCCGTCTCTCTCGACCGCGCGACGGCCGCCGGGCTCATCCTGGCCGACTCGCTACTGGAACGCAGCCTAGGCACGCGCCCCATCACGCTGGTTGGATACTCGCTCGGGGCGCGAGTTATTTTTTCGTGCCTGCAGGAGTTGGCCAAGAAGGGCGCATACGGGCTGATCCAGAACGTCTACCTGTTTGGCTCGCCAGTTGTGGTGAAGAAGGAGGAATACCTCCGAGCCCGGACCGTCGTCTGTGGCCGGTTCGTGAACGGGTTCAACCGGAACGATTGGATCCTCGGCTACCTATTCCGGCTGACGAATGGCGGCATTCGCCGAGTGGCTGGACTGGCAGCCATTGAGGATTGCCCATGGATAGAGAACATGGACGTGTCGGAGCTGGTTCCCGGCCATATGGAGTACCGAAAGGCCATGCCGACACTTCTCATGAAATGCGGCTGGACGGTAGAGAGCGAGGAGTTTAGCGAAATCGAGGATCCAGACCCAGAAAACCACCAGGAGCGGCAGAGGGAGCTCATCAACGAGATTGAAGAGGCGCGCAAGGAGCTGGAGAAGGAGGGCAAGGCCAAGAAGGGCGGCAGGTTTAGCCTCTTTGGCCGTCGCAAGAAGACCGAGAGGCAGGAATGGGAGGTGTACGAGGATTCGGCGGGCAAGGAAGGGGGCAAGGCCGAAGACAAGAGCGGCAACGGCCCCGGGGTCCTCTTCGACGTTGATGCGATTCGAGCAGAGCTGGCCAAGGAGGCGCGGGATGGGGCGACAGAGGAGGCGCTGCAGGTGAGGGAGATTAAGTCAACGCTGCCGCCCATGAAGCTGGACATATCACCCACCTCGCCATCGCGGGCAGTAGACGGACGGAGCTCGCTGCGGGAGACGAAAAGCGCCGAGGCGATCCCGTTGCGCCGGGTCAGCGATCCAAGAACAGCACTCTACCAGGCGCCGGCCTACGCCGGGATGGCGGCGGAGGTGGAGGAGGAAGGAGAGGGAGAGATGGAGATGACCTTTGACACATCATTCACCGACCCCTGCCCCCCAAGCGAGTGGACGGGGAGCGACGGGCCCACTCGGCCGGCCATGAAGACGTCGCAGACGGTGCCGAACGTGGCATTGACAGACCACTGGGGGGACCCAGATGAAGAGGACTTTGGACAGGAAAAGGAGATATCCATGACTTTTGCATGATCAAACCGGTCGACCTGACGAAGGACCGTGGGCAAATGAAGAAGGTCCGCCGCTGTCAAGAATCGGTGGCGTTTTTCGCGTGTTTGTTTCTTTTTGCAGTGCGCTCGTCTTTTCCAAGACTGGGGCGTACGCGTGCTGACGAGCCCGCAGCTTGGGTTGGGGGCACACAAGTCAAGCTTGTACAAAGGAGATGTCGCTTGTGTGGAGAGATGGAGAGGGAGAATGCTCTGGTTTGATCTACAGTTGAAGATGAGAAGGCGACTCTACAGCGGAAGGGAATGGGAGACAGGTTACGGGCCACGTGTAGCACCTTGAATGGCTGTTTGATGGGCAATGAGGAAAGGTTAGGTTAATGAGGTGTTATGAAAACTATTCGCCCAAGATGAAAAAGGCCCTATTGGCCAACGTAATTGATCAACCAGCCTGGCGGGCGAGCAAATGGCTCGTCGTTGCTTTGATGCTATATCGACAATGATACCTAGCTAGGTACCTAGGTAGATACCCAAGTCAAGGCACCGTACTCCGTACCTGCCTGACAAACGGTGTGGTCTTGAAACATAGCTCGAAATAGAAACAAGTCTCGCCGTTGGATGGAGGATGAGAAGCGAAACCGACGTCAGCAAGCAAGCAAGCAAGCAAGCAAGCAAGCAAGCATCCGGCGGCAGGAACCCTGTTAAGCCTGGCCCCTGCCTGCCGCGCCTTCCCGCGAGAACGTCAGCCGCAGTGGGGTGGGGTCAACTTCCCATGTGGACTCCGCCCGATTATCAGTCTCTTGGATACGCACGTAGTGCAAGGACTCTGCTGTATGCAATATGCATGGATCGGGTTGTTAGTGCTTGCGCGGCGCCGCTGCCTCGCTCCAGCTTCCCCTCGCGGCCTTGCTTCACGACAAGCCCCTGCTGCCGCTGCTGCCGCTGCTGCTGCTGCTGATGCGCGGTGCCATCCATCCTTCGCTTCGGACGTGCTGCCAGGCTTGAAGCACCTCTTCTCTGCCCCCAAACACTGTCGTCTACAGGACACCAACCATGCATCCGGCCAGCCCAAGAGCAAAGACTCGAGCTACTCGCCGAGAGACACCAACAGGTGCCGGCTACAACGGGTTTGGAGTGGCTCCTCGGTGTGCACTGTCCGCTTCGCTCCCCGAGCCAGCCTCTCCTCTTCTCACGCGCTGACTGGAACAAAGGCTTCTTCTTTCCGCGCATGGTCATGTTTTAGTGCAACCACACACGGCACTGGGCAACCTCTGCGTGGGACATGGACCCCTGTACGGATGGGATGCTCATCGTCGCTGATCCATCCTGACGAAAATCTGACTGCCCCCGGCGTCACGCCCATGGCCCAGTCGTGCATCCAGGCTGCAGTTGGCTGCCATTTGCTCGCCTGCTCGTCTTACACTCATTCCCTGTAATACCCGCTCTCCGGTCCTCGATTATACGTCTTCCACCTGGGCGGCTGCACGACTTTGCTCCTCGTGGGGCTCCTCTGTCAATTGCTTCCCGCGTTGTCACCACTTGACGGTCCGTGCCCCCATCTCTGCTCGCTTCTTTGTCGTCGTACGGTGCTGTCCGTCACGGCCTGAGCGGCGACCCGCGCCTCTCCTTCACATCTCCCGCTCAACGGCTACCCCAAAGCAAAAAATGGAACCATTATTACATCCGCAAACTACGGCGACGACAACTGCTTCCCGGTCACCCTTGTTCCAGCTGGGCTTCCCCGAACAAACGTCACCTTCTTCAAATGGCCCTCGCTCTCAGCAATCGACGCCGACGGCCATGTCCAATGCTGCGTCCAAAGCTTCCCCCGCCGTCCGCTTTGGCATCAACACCAGACCTCACGATGGTCGTATCCTCTTGATTGGTGACGCTCGTTCATCTTTCGACTACTCCTTGAACGGAACCGTCGTCCCCGACAGGATCGGCTGGTACTTCAAGCCCGACTCGTCCCAGGACTACAAGCTCGTTGATGATGCCGCATTCATCCTTCCAGGAGATGGGGCTTCCGGCTTGCCCTCGACATCATACTTCTTGACATATGGTACGTTGCACACAGAGGCAAATCACTGCCTTGTCCCGGCCATTGCGTCTCTAGTGACGTGCAAGGGAAACGATGGCTAACATGCCGCCCTTGATCCCATCTTCTCTTGCATCTAGTCTCCCAGTTCAGCGTCCAGCTCAACCTGAGCGCTCTACGGGTGAAACCGGACTTGTCAGGCGACCTGAGCAATTTTGCGAGACGTCAAGACGATACGGGCGACGAGTCCCGCCTCCGCAAGAAAATGATGGTTCGAATCTTCTGGACCGCAAACTCTGGAAGGACTGGCTATTCTCAGTCAGGCCTCTTCACCGTTGCTCACTCCCGCGACCCACAGCTTGTGGACGAGGTCAGAGTGTGGATGGACCAGCCTGAAGGCCAAAATGGCACCGAGGGCACCATATCTGGAGACGCGTCAGTAGAGGGAGGCACTGGGGGGGTTACTTACGATGGCGGCAAAGCTCAGGAGAGCCCAAACAACCAGCTAGCATCAGGCTCTCGCGGCGGCGGCGGCGGCGGTCTTTCGACCGGTGCCATCGCAGGCATCGCCGTGGGAGTCAGCCTCGCCCTCATCCTCCTCGTGGCCGGCCTGGCCTGGTTCCTGCTGCGTCGCCGCCATCGGAAACAGCACGAGGCCGCCTGTGCTGCTCGGCGGCTAACTTCCAAGACGTCTGTGGAGGACAAGGATATGCAAGCGGCGCACGTCGCTGATTCGCCTCGCTCACCCTACTTAGATGGAGGGACGTCAACGCAAAATCAGAGCTCGCCCGTTTCCCCGCTCGCGGGCGCCTCACATAGCGAGGGAGACGATGACCAAGCCGGGTTTACGCCGCACGAGGCCGAAGTCGCAGCTCTGCGCAGCTCGCACTCGAGCGCTGACGACCACGACGACCCTGCGCAGGCCACGCAGGGCGTATCGAACACCGTTGCCCACCTGGTCGAAGAGGGCATGACCGCAGAGGAGATTCGCCGGCTCGAGGACGAGGAGCGGCAGCTGGATGCCGAGATTGAGCGCGCTGCCCGGCGATAGACTGGCGATTGCCCGGCTTTGGATCGTGGCTGTTTTTGTCGCGTGGGTATATGATGCGGACCCAAGGGAGGGCAAGCTGTCAAGGTGTAGGGGACGCTGGGAGGGACCCGGGGCGCGCATGTCAATTTCTAGGTCGGAGTTCTGGGCGACGGGGGGCCGAGCGATTATCTTCATGCACTTTCTCGGCGACTTGTCAGTCTGATGTGCTCCAGGAGGAATACCAATCTTTTTCCGGCTGAGTCTCCTTGATGCTCAGTATCTAGGCGCTTCAGTTCTTAGGTGCCAATGTCTGTCTTGTCTTGCCATGGAGCACACGGAGTAAAGAGGGCCCATGTGATGGCGGCGAACGTCGCCGAAGCGTTGGCCGCGATCTTCGTATGACGCGAGGGGAGCCTGGCGAAAAAAACGGGTTGACTTTATTGCATCAACTCGTCAAGGGCTGCTCATAGTGTACACGCCTGCACTCCCACTGCAAACCCGACGACGCCTCGTCTCCCCTGGTCATGGGGAAAGGCCGCGCAATACAGAAGCTCCCACCATCGCACGGGTGGTCTTCCTCTTTCAAGTAGTCTCTTCTTAGCTCCCTCAGGAGCCTGCACCTCGGCCGACTGGATTACATCGCACCCTTTCCTGACGCATGAGCGAACGGCCTGCAATGCTACAGGCTAGTTGCGCGAGAACCAGCGGCCAATCATGTTGCTGGCGATGCTGCCGGCGAGGTTGGAGGTCCCAAGGGCGCTGCCGGCGAGGTTGGAGGCCTGGCTGAACTTGTCGCACCGGGAAAAGGCGAGGGTATTCATGACGGTGAGGACAAGAGCGATGACTGTGTTGGTCTTGTTAGCGCACTGATGTCACGCGGTTCTCGGCCGAGCTCCGGCAGCCAGCAGATGGCCGAGGGATTTGAAAAGTCCACATATGCTTCGGCCATGACTCGACGCCTCGACGCCATCTGGAAGACGGTAGGGGGCAGGGGCCGAAGAGGAAGAACAGGGGGGGAAGGGCAACGCACCGACGAGGGGCAGCCACAGAAACTGCAGGCGCACCAGGGCCAGGACGGCCATGACGACCCAGAGGACGGGCTGGACGTAGAGGGCGAGCCAGAAGAAGCGCGAGTCGGTCGGGTTGATTGTGCGCGAGGCCGGATCGCTGCTCTCAAAGACCCATTTCGAGTCGCCCGTCTGCGCGTCCACCTCGTTCCACCAGCGCAGGCCGACGAGGCGCCGCCCGGCAATGTTCTTGAGGTAGTAGAAGTCGGCGGCCAGGAGGAGGATGGTGATGATGAAGATCATGATCCTGGCGAGGCGCGTCAGCTGAGGGGCCACAGTGAGGATGGGGACGGCGAGAGAGGGGGGGCGGCACCCACATGCTCTTGATGATCCAGAGGCCGAGGAAATATATCAAGACGCTGGCTGTTGCGACACGCGCGTCAGCAAGCCATGACCCCGAGCCTCCCCCACTCTTCGTCTTGGAAAAAGAAAACCGCGCGACATGGGGCAGACAAGAAGACTGACTTATCCTAAACGCCAAAAAGGTGAGCAGCGTAATGGGATGCGAGCTCAGCCGCCAGCTCAACGAGCCGGGCGCGTTTTGCGTAGCGTCCATCTGCCCTGCTTTCTCCTTCTTCTTCGAGCTTTCCACGTGAGGCAGCGTTTTAGCAGCTTGATGAAGAATGAGCCCTCAAGATGTCGCCTCCTCTCGCTTTATTTCTTCTTCGTCTGCTTTCTGCACGCGAGATTGAAGCGCAGTTTAGGCCCCGATGCCGATGAGGCCGCTCGTCATGCCACCGCCGGGTCGGTCGCGGAGTTCGTCTCGTCCGTGGTCGGCGCTCGCGCGCACCAAAGGGGAGATGGATTCGGGGCAAAGGCGGAGACGGAGGCGGTTTCTCGTCGTCGGTCGGGTAACGGTGAGGAAGCTGTCGTCGTGTCCAATTGCCTTGCTAAGGCAATCATGGACGAGGTACATTCTTCGGTACTCTGTGCTCCGTACTCCGTGGGTATGTACCTACTCCGTACTGTACCTTACTTTGAACGGATTACCTAATGAGTGCATGGACGACGTCTTCAACAAGACTCGGTTAATACACCAAGGCAAGCCATCGCCACCGTCTATTCTCCCACTCAATTCTGCAGCGTTTTACTAGCTCCTATCATTTGCATCGTCCTCGCCCGGTAATCACTGACTTGGCCACCATCTGCCCGCATCCACCACCATGGCGACGGCGGCGAGATCATCATCCATCCTCCGTCGTTCGCTCCTATACGGTAAACTGCATCTACGTCCTGCTCCCCGGCTCCAAACTGACGTGACGCCTGGCTTGAGTTCCCGCCTCCTCCCAAAATATGCTCTCCAAATCCTTGGGCCTGGCATCTGACAACATCACGTATGATTTGGAAGACTCCGTCACTCCGGCGCTCAAGCCCACGGCCCGCGACAGTCTCAGGGCGCACTTCACCAACTTGAAGACCCGTCCCTCGTCCGTATCCGAACTTGCCGTTCGCATTAATGCCGTACCCACGCCCTTCGCCCTCCAGGACCTGACTGCTCTCGCGTCCGCCCCGCTCGTGGACGCCGTTGTTGTGCCCAAGGTTGAGTGCGCGGCTGACCTGACCTTTGTATCTGATGTTCTCCGTCACGTCGCACCGGAGCGCCACGCAAGTGGCTCTGGTAACCCAATCAAGATCATCGCCCTCATCGAATCCGCACGGGCTGTCATGGATCTCGGTGGCATATGCAAGGCCACGCCGTACCTCAGCGGTCTCATCTTTGCGGCCGAGGACTTTGCTCTCGATCTTTCCATCACCCGTACGCCCTCCTTAACCGAGTTTCTATTCGCTCGGTCCGCCATCGTCACGGCAGCGCGAGCAGCCGGCTTGCCCAGCGCCATTGACCTGGTATGCACGTCCTACAAAGGTGATGAGGGGCTCCAGACGTTGCGGGACGAGAGCGCCCAAGGCAAATCAATGGGCTTCAACGGGAAACAATGTATCCATCCCAGTCAGGTCGAGGTCGTTCAGGCCATCTTTGCCCCGGCACCCGACGAGGTTGAATGGGCAGTCAGGATCACCACAGCCGATGAAAAGGCGGCTGCTTCTGGTCGGGGGGCTTGGACGCTCGATGGCAAGATGATTGACGCCCCCGTCGTGGGTAAAGCACACGCCATCACTGCCAAGGCCGAGCAGTGCGGCTTCGACGTGCATGACCTGCGAAACAAGTGGAAAGATCAGGAGCCTGAGTGAATTCCACCGAAATGTATCGAGGACCGCGTGGCCCGCTGTCGACCAGGCCTTTGCAAGTCATACTTCCGCCTCATCTGAAGCAGTTGGGGCGCCAGAAACCTGTCATGTCCATGTCGTCCAAGTCATGCCTTTGCTGCCACGACCGCGGAGTGGCTGCGTGCGGCTCATGGAGCATACGGGAACTGGATGCTCTGCGCTGGTCACTGAGTCGACTGAACTCGCCTCCTGTGCCCATCGACTCCGCCAGGTCAAACTGATGGAGCTGCAAGTCCACCATCTCCTTGTCGAGCATACCGCCTCCATGCTGGAGCTGGTCGATATTTCGGTCCAAGTGCGGGCCCATCTCTGCTTCTTCCAGGGCCTCACGTTCGAGCTTCGCGATAAAGTCCGGCATGTGCTCATCGGAATCGTCATCCATCGGCTCGCCCGAGCGTCTCCTCTCAAACGGGAGAGCACCTTCCCTTTCCACGTCTAAAGCAAATCGTTGCGCCGGCTGCACCACCTGAGAATGCGGGATAGAGAGTGACGTTATGCCCGGGTGTGTCCACAAGCGATCAGCTACCTGCGGCGTGGAGACGCCGTAACGCAATGGCCGGACAGATGGGAGATTGCCGGGGAACTTGAAAAAAGCGTGGCTTCCAGACCCAGCCGCTGGGCTGGTCTCGTGGGAATATTGGTTCGCATCGCAGCCCCCATACCGGTAGGCGCTTTCGAGGCCAGTTGAGACTATGCTATATTTTTCCGGTCCCCTTACTCGCAAGAGGGGCATATCTGCGCTCTCCCGTGTTGGTTCTGTTTCGGGGTGGCAGCCCGCGTCGGGCCTGGACTGGGCCGTCCCAGTACGCTCTTGAAATTCATATTGCTGCGATTGACCTGTCCCTTCCGCGGGGATCATCTGTATATCTCGTGTCGCCTCAACGGGGTTGCCGTGACCAATGCTAACCGAGCCGCACGTGCGAGATTGGGGCTTGAGGGGTGGCACCCTTCTGCCGGTTTCCAGCCAGGGGCTCACCATGACTGCTTTGTCTTGGTAGCTGTCTCTCCGCGCATTGACTTTAGCGCATGCTCGAGGACGTTTCGGGTCTTGGTCTTCTCTGGATCTCGGCTTCTTCTCTCGTAATGGAGCAGCATGCGATGCCGAGATGCGATCGCGAGAGATTCCTGTATGATCATACACGCCAGATGCAAGTAGGCCGTCTAAATGTGAGTTGTTGGACCTGTATTCCGGGAGATCCAAACCCATCATGTATTGTACAGGAGGCTGAAGAGAAGTGCCGCCCGAATCACAGCTAGAGAGCCGGCTGATCGACAAGGCAGAAGCGGGTGCCCTGCTCTCTTTTGCCCCGACTTGATGCATGCTCGTTTCCCAATATCTCTCCGCACCAAAGCCCAAATCCGCTGCTGTTTGACTTACTGGCCTGTCATGACCTGAGTCTCGAGGGATCGGTGTATCGATTCGATCTGAACTCATTCCGGCGGGTGCGGGAACTTGCGTGCCTGGAGGGTGGACTGGACCAGACGGCCAGGAACTCCTGTCGCTTGTCCTGATGTTTGCAAAGAAGTCTGAGTCCTCTTGCAGTGATCTCTCCGCCTTTCGCTGGTTGTTAGATTTGCGTGACTTTGAGGGCAACGGCCCCTCCTGCTTGGCCTTGGGACAATCGACAAGATAATCGAAATGGTAGAACTTGAGGTCTGCAGCTGCTCTGGGTTAGACATGACCTTTTCCGCAGGTGAGTGTCACATACGCTGAGCAGCTGCTGAGCTCCGGCCATTGAGAAAGGACCCAGCTCTGAGATTGGGTTTCATCTGCCAAGCATCAGGATTAGGCTCTAGAGAATTGCGAGGGAGAAAGGACTAACCGTCACGCGTCCCTTCGAGATGGCGTCGGAAGCAAAATTGCTCATCACCTCTGGTTCAGATCGAAGCATCTGCTTTCTGTGGACCGTCTTCCGTCTCCTTGAACGGGAGGCCTTCTTCTTAGGAGGCGGTTCCCGCGTGCCCTGGCGCTTCCTAGTGTCGTACCGGTCATGTCGAGTCTTCCGCCGGATCCTTTTGCGATAGTCGTCACTGGGAGGCACAGAAGCCGCGGAAAGCTGGCCCGACGACGTACGGCGCTGCCTCTTTTGTCGAGGATTGGCGTCTTCTGGCGAGTCAGAAAAGGTCACGACGGATCTCTAGTCGCCTGACCGTCCCGACGAGAGGCTTGGCAATGGGCTGTCTCGAACGAACAGACTCGGGCTCTGCGCTGCTTGTCTATGCGGGCCTGTACTTGGCAGAAGGTGGTTTGGACGCCAGGGTTCCTGGGGCATTGGAGGCGTCCTCTCAGCTTCTTCGAGGTGCGACGAGTGGGCATGGCTGGCCGTTTGTATCCGGCTCAGCCAAGACTGGATAAAGTCAGTGGCAGACTCTGAGCGCATGACGCCGGTCGGGGAACGTGGTCGCGGCCGCATCCCTCGCGCCTGGGCCCCTGAGCCGCTCCTCGAGACGCCTTGGGAATGTGGTGATGGTATCGGGTCATGTCAGGGGCGTTTTGAGGGTCAAGTAGCTGAGAAGAGGGCGAGATGGAGAGAGGAGCAGCAGCAAGAGTTTGGGTTTGCGCTGGCTGGTTTCGACAAGACCGGGCGAGAGAGAGTGAGAGTGAAGCTGCAGAAGGAGTCGCTTTTGTCAAGTGAAGCGAGTTACAGCTACTTGACGCCTTGCTGCTTGCTCGCTCGCTTAGGTAGGTACCTAATCGGCCTATCTACCTTGGCTGAAAGACAGTGGCTGCCTTATTAGCCAAAGGCCTACTAGTACTCGGGCAGCATCGCAACTGCCGCCAGTTGTTCTCGACGAACCGCAGCCTTTGCGTCTCGAGCACGACTCACGCATAGCTACAGTGTCTACAAGTCTATCTGGACCTGTCCCTTGATATTGTTTGACGATGCCCTCGAGCAACGCACTCTGGGCGAGCTGTAGGCATAGCGGTGTAACTACAGAAGAGCTGCCGAGGCTGACGGATGCTTTCATTCTTGGAGAGACGCAACCGTGTGCCGCATACACCCTGAGGGCGGAAATGCTTAGGTACAATTACACCCAAGCATCAGCATGGCTCTCTCGCGAGGCACGATGCTCGGAGAAGCCACTCAAGAGTGTCCCCGCGCGCTTGGGCACTGTTTCGCGGGCGTTTGAGGGATGGGTGGATATGAAAAGACGCAGAGGGGGCAGGGAGGGTGCCGCGGATCTTCGAGTCCATGTTTGCACGGGACCGTCGGACGAGCGAGCTCATGTACGAATACCGTATGTTGGAGGGCTTTGTAGCCTCGCCCCTCGACGCCAAGCCGGCAGTTTGTCTTATCTTGTCTCGTCATTGTACTGGCTTGGAGCACTTTTTACGAACACACTTCGCAAAAAGACGGTGGGGGAGAGAGTCGCATGCATACGCACACTTGCATCCATCCCGTTGTACTGCACGGAGCATGAGTGTGCCGGTATAATCCTCCGAGCCGATTCCACTTGAAAGTACTCGGTACATGTATCCGGATATTGATTGACGCATTCTCAGTTCGGCGACCCTGATTCTCGACCCCGGAACGCCCGTACGGAGTACCCAGTACCCAGACAAGATGGTACATAAGTTAGTTAACACTTTACTTGATAAAGCATGGTGCTGCGCAGGCGCGGAGTGCCTCGGCAGCGTCTCTTTGCTGACTTCAAGCTGCCCTTGCCGACACAAGATGCGCACAAAAGAAAGGAGAAGGAAAACCGGTAAAGCATGATGGTACCTACCTACCCCGGTGCCTTGGTTGGATTGGAAGGAGACCAGCCAAGGTCATGGGTTTAGGCGGCCACGACCCAGCTGAGCGTCAGCAGCTTGTTCTGATTCTTTTTTGCCTGCTACCATCGGACGGCAACACTCAAAATCACGTGCGTTGCTGCCAGTGCGGCATAAGCATCGCGAGGGCATTAATCAAAGTCGGGCCTCCGTGTCTCCGATGGCGCAGCCCCGCGAAAGCTCTGCTTCGTGCAGAGCACGTGATGAAAATATTTATCTTGCTCGCCGGCCCTTGAACTGCTAGTCCCAGTTCAGATGGCCTTGTCGCTGCGGAGCACCTTGTACTTCGTATCGATCCCCCAGTCCCAGTATTTCGTGATGCTGTCCTTTTCCGCCGCTGCTCCTTGTCGCTGCCTCTGCTCGTGTCGCCGTGAAGAAGACAGCCAGAATCAGAACAAGATCCAGCTAGTCGACCAGTTAGTCGACCAGCCGGGCCACCTAAGACTACCTGTACCCATGGAGGACTCAGAGCCACTACCTACCTACCTAGGTACCTACCTAAGGGAGGTACGGAGTACAGGCAAACCGTTTGAACAATACCTTAGGTACCTAAATACCTTGGATAAATCCCAAAAGTGTACCTCAGTACGAGGTACCGCCCGCAACGCCCGCTGTAATCGCCTCATGCTGCCTGCCTATAACACCCGTGACCCTGCCTACAGCACCCGTGTCACCCTACCTGCCTCCTTGGGTGCGTTACATAAGCGGACCTGGCTGCCTCCGCCGACGCTACTTCGTACTGTACTGAAGTGGTACCCGTACCTTACCCACCCAGCTTGCGTCCCATTCCTGCCCTGCCAGCTTTTCTTTCTGCCTCGCACCACCAAGCGCCATCATCACAGTCCACCACCTCCCTGACGACTTTTCACAAGCGCCCCGTCTCCCAAATCATCAAACCATCCCCGAGCCGAGAAAGCGTCGCTCAAGCAACTCATCTCCGGTACATTGCAGTGCTTTATTCACCATGGCGAAGCTCTTTGTAGGGTCAGTCGTCGCTCCGCTCGCCTCCTCTCCTCCCCCTCTTTCTCAAATCCCCGCCCCCCTCTCTCCCTCTTCCCTCTTTTTCCATGCTTCAGGCCGACGCCCATCTCATACACATGGATGGACGAGGCCGTCGCGAGGCCAGCACACCAAAGACACTTCTGCTAACACTCGTCGCAGTGGCCTGGCATGGCATACGGACGAGGCGACCCTGCGCCAAAAGTTCGAGGAGTTTGGCCCCGTTGATGAAGCGGTACGTCAAAGTTCACTCCTTGTCTCGTCGCCCGCGGTGGCTGTTTGGCGACTCACGTCATCGGCCAAGCCACCGTCTTCCTCATGCTACTGCGTCATATCCCATCCCCCCCACTGCTTCATCCCACCGTGCGTGGAAATCTCTTCTAATTCAAAAACCCCTTGGGGTTGGAAAAGGTCGTGGTTAAAGACCGAGACACTGGTCGCAGCCGCGGTTTCGGCTTCGTGCGATACACCAACGACAATGATGCGGAGAGCGCCATTGCCGCCATGAACAACATCGAGTAAGAGCTCCCCATTGTCTTTTCAACCCGCTGTCGCCGGCCGCGTTAGTCTTTGGTCGGGCGCTCCCTTGTCTGCTTCCCATGCTCATGCTCTCCTAGGTTTGACGGTCGAACGATTCGCGTCGATAAGGCTTCAGACCGCGGAGGCGGCCGAGGCGGCCCTTCGAGCTTCGGGGGACGAGGCGGCTACTCGCAGTTCAACAGCTACAACCAAGCTCCCGGCTATTCTTCGAATGGCCAGATGTACAACGACGGCTACGGACGCGGCTACCCCCCGCAGCAGCCCGGATACCCTGGTCCCCCGCAGGGTAATGATCCCAAGCCCCAGTCGTCAACGGCGATGCCCTCCAATCTGCCGACTGCTGACCGTCTTGCAGGCTATGCCCCTCCTTCCTATGGATACCCGGGCTCGTCTCAGCCGCAGCAGCAGTCCCCAGGCTACCCGCAACAGCAGCCGCCGCCCCCGCATCAAGGCGGTCGAGGCTACTAGCGAGCTTGAATGAACAAGGCCCTGACACGACTTCGGCCATCTCGGAGGAGAATCTGCTTAGGACGGTAACCCCATCTCGGGACAACGACTCGGACCATTTCATGCCCCAAGGTATTGCTAGGTTTAATTTTCTCCCGCGGCCGCGCTGCGATGGTTTTCATATGGCGAATCCACAACGAGGTTGGACGCAAAATATACCCCGAAATGCTTCTGTCGATATCAGGGCTTGCAGCCCGAAAATTGATTCGGTTCTGGCCTTTGTGGTGAGAGGGCCGCCTTTGGAGTCGGCGGCTGCATGTTCTCTTCGCTCTCCTGTGTTACTGTGATGCTTGGTTTTGACTGCCCCGGGGTTGGGGGGGGGAGGGGGGTTGGGAGATGTTTTGGTGACTGCTTCTTGGTGGCCAGGGGATGGTTGGCGAGGACGCCACGCCATACTGTTGTTGTCTACATGGTGGCTGTCACTGTCTTGTCGACAGAATCGCACGTCACGGCCCCCAAATATACAAAAGACTGATGATGAAGGCGACGCACAGAAAGCCAGGGTCGGCTTTGCAGGTGGACGTCTACGAGTCCAGGCCAGGTGGGAGGGATGCCAGAGAGAAGGGGGTGGAAACGCCGGTTGTTGTCAAAAGCTTTCTCATGTTATTTTCTGTTTGTGTTCCCCCCGTCGGTTTACCCTTGCCAGTCAAACCTTTTCGATTTCCTCGGCCTCTGCCGTGCTGCTCGCTTGCCTAAAGTCTGTGTCGGGTCCGGGTGGCCGAGGTGGGCCGTCATGGGCGTCCCGCTCGAGAGCCCTGACACGCTGGGCGAGGTCGCTGACATGAGCGTCACCGCTGTCGGGGCTGAGCTCGGTGAGGGCGGTGTGGAGGTTGTACAGGTAGTCTTTGTTGAGGCCGCTGGGCCCGCGACTGGCGAGGATGTGTCGGGCGAGCTTGTGGGGTTCCTGAGGGCCGACAAACTGCTCATTGTCGGGGGTGCCGATGTAGACGAGGGTCGTGATGGGTGGGGAGCCGTGAGCCGGGTGAAAGGGGGTGTAGTGGATTGAGTAGCCGTTGATCTCGCGGATGTCGAGATAGTCCTTGACCTCGGTGATGCGCTCGGGGATGATGCGATAGGCGACACCCCAAACCTTTTCTGGAGCGGAGGAGTCGTGGTCGGACAAGCTGTGCCAGTGAGACTTGTCGATGAGGGTGACAACGCGGCCCGGAGCCTCTGGAGTGCCTCGATGGTCCTCGCTGAGAGTCCCGCCATGCCCACGGCCCTCGCATGTTAGCCACTGGGCGGGCTGCAGGACTCGTTCAGAACCGGTGCGCATACCTGGCCTAGACAATGTGAGCTGGGGGGGGCTCGTCGCTGGGGAGGAGGCGGGACTCTGGTTGCGGACCTGCCAGAACCGACGGACATAGCCCGTTACCCAGCCCGGGATTCTTTCATCTGGAGCCGGGGGAAAAGGGGCACAGGGAGGTGTCAGTGGGCCATGGTATGTGTGTGTCGGCCGGCGTAAGTGGGCATTACCAACCAAAGTGCGGCGGGGGTTTCCATATGAGGCTCCTGGGCCATGTCAGGAAGGTGAGTGAGACTCAGGAGAAGGCAAGGCGTTGGCGGTTATGCATACCCGTAGCCAAAGAGCCAGAACTCGGGGGCGCTGTCGGCAGTGGTAACTGTCATGGCGGGAGGGAGCTCGTCGAACTGGATGAGTTTATATTTGGTCGCCTCGTATCCGTATCTTGCCTCGATTTCTTGTCCAGGGCCAGCTACGTCTGTCCACTGTATACCGTAGGTGTCCACGGGGAGAGCAGCCCAGAGAGCAAGAGAGCAGGTCAATTGGATGCCAGGCAGTGTTGAAAAGAAGGGTTCCGTTTATTCCGGAAGACGAAGGCGAGAGACGTAAGCAGCTTGGTATGGCAATATGGGTAGAGGGGGAGCGACGAGTTGAGGGGGTCGTTGAGAGGACGTTACGCGGACCAATGCGCTGTAGCAGAGGCGCAGCGGAGACGAGGTAGTGGATAAGTAGGATGGTAGTGGGTACCGCCAGTGGGCGCCCCTAATACAATACGTAGTACACGGTACACGGGTATAGGCGCGACCGAGGGGAGTTCGGCCATGGACAGACCCTTTTGGGACCTGCTTGATGCAGGCCAAGATTTGGCATGAGTTATCTATCACGCGTTATTTTCCGTACAAAATACAAAAGAGAGTGACAAGGTGTGTGACCTGTGCGGTTCCGTGGGTCACACAGCCGTCGGAGCAGGCCAGCCAGCACCCGGGGAGCGCCTGATGGAGGTAAGGTAGGTAATTAGTTAACTAACTTAGTAGAGAAGCCAAACTGGGGCGGGGTGTTCCACTCCCCCCGCGGGCCCCAAAATACTGCCCGCCTACAGGCCTGCTGCCTGTATCCAACCTCGACATTCCTATTCTCTTCCTCTTCCTCCCGACCGCCCTTTTGCATCTTCTCTTTCCGATACCGTGGACACGAGGAGCATAATAGGGAGACGGGCCTACCCTTTAGTCTCCCCTTTGTCCTTTGAAGTTCGCCGTTTTTCCTCGTGAAAACCCTCGGCGCCGCGCCCGTTTGTCGACCCCGCCCTCTTCACACGTTGAAACGTCGCGACGTGGAATCAAAATGGCCTACAATCGACCTTACAACCCTGATGCTCTGCCCAGGTAGGCAGCGCGCCCTCTCCCCATCCATTCCTCCTTGCAACAACTTGCAACAAGCCCTGGACGGACCGCTGACCGATGCTCCCTCCCAGGTTCGCCGAGCCGGACGCTGTACGTATCGACGTTTCTCATGAGCAAAGAGCCATGCATGGTGTTAACTCGAGCTTGTTGCTCACCATAGAAGCCCGGTCCGGCCTCCCCGCCAGCCTCCTCCTCCTCCAACCCGCACTCGCGATACGAGTCCAAGCCACCGCCGCCTGTGCCTCAGCCGCACTCGTACGCTACGTCTCAGAGCGGCCGCCCCCAGCAGAACTCTCGGCTGCCACCGTCCCCCGTCCCGGACAACGCCCCGGGCTCGGATGCGACGCTGCTGCCGCTCTTCAGAGCCGTGGACAAGGACGGTGGGTTTCCTCGTCTCCTCGACAAGTGCCCCAGGTCCTGCTCATACTGACTCTCTGAACCACGCAGGCGGTGGCCAGCTGTCGGAGCGGGAGCTCTCGGCCGCCCTCGTCAACGGCGACTGGACCGCCTTTGATATCCAGACGGTCCGCATGATGATCCGCATGTTCGACTCGGACCGCAACGGCACCATCAACTTTGACGAGTTCTGCGGCCTGTGGTCCTTTCTCGCCTCGTGGCGCACCCTCTTTGACCGCTTCGACGTCGACCGCTCCGGCAACATCTCCCTCGCCGAGTTCTCAAACGCCCTCATCGCCTTCCGCTACCGCCTCAGCCCCCAGTTTGTCGAGCTGCTCTTCCGCACCTACGACAAGCGCAACGAGGGCGTCATGAGCTTCGATCTCTTTGTCCAGAGCTGCATCTCGCTCAAGCGCATGACGGATGTTTTTAAGAAGTACGACGACGACCGCGACGGTTACATTACCCTGAGTTTCGAAGACTTTCTGAGCGAGATTTTGAAGCAGCTCAAGTAGGCGGTGATGGTGCTTTTCATATCTCATTTCTCTCCTTGCTCCATCCGGGCCATCAACGCCGGCACGGTATGGAGGCATCCGCGGACTGGATGTTTGGGCGGCGAAGGGACAGTTGGTTGGATGGGTGGATGATACCCTCGGCGCCGCGTCGAGCCTTGCCTTGGTGGCATAGCAAAGAGAGGTGGCGTCCAGTCGAGGACCGGCGGCTACGGAATGGGATTGCGGGATGCGCCATGAAGCATTGGGCAAGCTGCCCTGCCACTTACGAAATCTACGAGGGAGACGAACTGCGAGGAAGTGGAAGGAATTAGAGCCGACGGGGCAAGGAGGCAGTGTTGAGGGCGGGCGGCGAGAAGACTAGGACTCTACCGCCGGTCACCTGTCCTTTGGGTATGTGTCAAGGACTTGTGGCTGGCACACATGCACGCTTCCCAAGGAACTCCTTCAGGGGTCAAGACGAAAGCTTTTGCGCGTCGGTACGGCAGGCCTCGGTGGCCAGCCAAAGACACGACTTTGAATTTGATGGGCATGTCTCGTACAAGGTACATGGTATCGCTGTGACTGATTATGCTGGGCCCTCGCCGCTGGAGCCATAGGCCAACGGGGATGAGACGGGGGCGTGACGATGACAATAGAGCCAGCAGAGGCCGAGGCTATAGCGTCTTGACCAACGCTCAAGGCTTTTGTCAGTCTGATTGGGAGATGGGAGGGAAAGCTGCCGACTTGGATGAGGTTGGTCGGCCACGGGCCCAAGCTCCGTCAGCGTTGCCCGCCTAGCTCGGTAGGCAGGTAGCTAAGAAACGACGTGCAAGGGCGGTGAGGCCGCTGAGAGGAGGGAGAATGATTTGGGTTTGCGCGCGCGGAAGCGCCGAGAGCGTGGGTGGAGGAGGAGGTGCCCCGATTACCCTTTTGGGGGGTAGTCGCAGAACGGTTCCAGAGGAGCTGTCGCACCAAGACGGATGGGCTGGATTTGAAAACATGGCCGTGGGTGGGATTTGCTTTGACCTTGGGTCCAGGCACGAACGGGTTGTGTGGTTGATGGGCGTCAACAACCGGTGGGAGGTGAGGGCTGTTGCTGCTGGGCCGCCTCCCGTACGGTACCGAGAGGTGGTGTACAGTAATGCAATAAATAATAAATGCATGTGAAAACGGCTTGGACTCAGTCGGGCGTGCTTTACCGCCATGCGGCATGGCTCGGCATGGCATTGTGCATTTGCAGTGCGCTCGGTGAGGTGAAGGGAAAGGTAGTAAGTAGTAGCATTTGGTGCTCAGTTCTGCGAACCTCGCCGAGCTCGGCTGGAACACGCCGTGCCCGAGGGAGTCGCTTCAGCGTTGACGAGATGAAGAGAGAATTACTTGGCGATGAGTTTCGTCGTTGGCTTCGCTACGCATCGCAAGCTGAGCAAAAGAGGTTCCGGAAACGCTCTAGCTGGCCCGTGCCAGAAAAGCATCCAGCTGCTTGGGGTTTGATACCTACGAGACGGTACTTGTACTACCTAGGTCAAGGTAGATAGGTAATTATGTATGTACAGTACAAGGCAGCAACTCGGTTGGTGCAGCGAGCAGTTCGGGCCCGCCGAATGGCATGTCTTTCCTTTTACTAGTAATTAGTAGGGCTGGCTCGCTGGAGTTGGCGGGCGTGCAGTGGCGCTAACAGCAGTTTGACTGTGCGATTCGCAGCAGGAAACGTGCGTACCGGCTGCGCGTGATCCTTCTGTCGGCATGGAGCGCTCCGCCCGGCGCGCCCCAGTACCAGGTAGCGAGCACGTCGTAAGCTTATCTGCATGCAGCTTTTGTATTTTTCTTAATTGCCTGACTGCGAGTGCGTTGTACAAAAGTGAAGCGGAGTATTAACTTACAGACAGTAGATAGGTTGGTAGGTACCTAGGTAGGTGGGTAGGTAGGTTGGTAGGTACCTAGGTAGGTAGGTACGTCCTCGAGGTCCACCCCGGAGCTCTGCTCCCTCTCACCCTGGGCAGGTACTGACCTCGACTTGCTGGGCTGGCACGTGCTGTACAGGAGCTTGAGGTCATGCACCATGACCTCCGAGTTTTACCTAGTACCTACCTAGGTACCTAACTTACTAACTGTACCCACTACGGATACCTACCTACTTATGTACTGTACCTACCTAAGCCTGCCCGCCCTCGAGTGTGCGTGCTCCACGCACGCCTCGCACGTTAACTTGCTTCCACCTCCACCGCCACCACCACCACCACTACTAGCCAGTCATGCACGCACTCTACGCCCACCAGTCGACGAATGACGGCCCCATCCACCCTGCCTCTCACACCACCTACCCGATGCAGCGAGGTTTGTGGCAGCAGCTCAAGCTAAAGGTAGGGAGGTAGGGGTAGCTGGCGCCGTGGGGCGGCAGCAACAGAAGAGAAGCTCTGTCTGCTCTGTCTGCTCTGTCTGCTCTATCTGCCCCCCTCGTTTGCCTGCCCGCTCTCTCAGTCGTCACTTGTCACTGGCTAATGACAACGGCAAGGTTGTACAGTACGTACCTGAGGCAATGCTCCCGACTCGGACGACGGGGCCTGTCCCGAGTCAGTCAGTCAGTGAGCACCTACTACTAGTAAGTAGTAGGCGGCGTCCACTGTGCTGCCGCCCGTGCTCGGGGGTCAAGACGCCCCGTCGACGCTCTGGCCACTCGCTCTCCATGCTGTTTGCACTCGTGTTGCAGGCCAGCAGCTTCTTTGGGGAAGAGGGGCGACGACAAGCTTGCATCTGCGAGCTCGCCCATTGGTCTGCGCGAGAGAGCATCAGGGCAGCGACTGACTTACAACGGTCACTACAGGCCTCGGTCCAGTAAACCGAGCCCCCGGAGTCCTTTGCTCTCCTTTAGTACCTTACCAGCAGTACCTTGGCTCTGCCTTTTACCTCGCCCACGGCCGGGTACCTCCTCCCCCACCTCCCCTCCTCCTGGCATAGGTAGTATCCATCGACCGTTAATCCTCTTGTCGCTGTCTTCTCACTCTTTGCTCTCTCTCTCTCTCTCTCTCGCCCTCCCTTCCTCCCTCTCTCTCTCAGCTCTCAGCCCTCAGCTAAGTAGCCATCCATCTCTCTCGCGCCCCCCTTCTCCGCTCTTCCTCTTCCTCAAAGCAGCTTCCCTTCCCCATTGCTGTCCGTCCACCGCCCGCTGCCCGCCGCCATCGTCTCCTACAAGTTACAAGTTAGCTTCCGCCTCGTGTCCCCCCTCCGCCTCTTTCTGTTGCACGGCCCGGAGGAGGGGGCTTTGATGCTGCAGCCCGCCAGCCAGCCTCAGCTCGTGTCTTGGCCCTTGGCTGTACTGCGCTCTCCTCCCTCGCTCGGCTTGCTGCCCCTCGTCGTCGATCCGGCCTCGACCATTCATCAGCAACGCAATACACTGCCTTAACTCGCATCCCCTCTGTCCCTCGTCTCTCGTCGCAGCGACGCTCCGCGGGCCCGTCTGTCGTTGGCCGGCTGTCGTTGGTTCGCCCCTTCGAGCTCCTCACCTGCCTGCGCCATTCCTTACACGCTTCAAGCTCGCCCGCCGACTTCTCAGAGTCGACGCCGCAGCCAGTTTATCCTCTCCTCTAGGCCCCTTAGCCCTTCCCGTCGTGGCCGAAGCTCAAATTTAGCCTTTGCTGAGCCTTGCCGATACTGGCCCCAATTCTAAAAGCCGCTTCGCTTCTGCCCAAGGCGCTCGAGAAGGACGCATCTGCTCCTTGTCTTAAGAGTCGGCCTTCTTTCACGGCTAGTCTTATTCCTAGCTCGCTTGCTTGTAGCTTTGCTCTTCTTCTTGATTGCTTCTCCTTTCCTCCTCGTCTTGCCACTGCTCCTCCTCTCGACCGTTTCGACAACAAGGCAAGCTCCCTCTTGGACTTGCGATGCCTAGCTCCTCCCTCGACGACTGCCGCCTATCCGATTGATCGTCCAACTCGCCCCCTCACTGCCCCGTTTCTCCTGCCTTTGCGCATGGTGGATTCAAGATGCCGCCACGCTCGTCCTTGACCTCTTCCTTCTCCATCACCGACTCCAACAATGAAGTCGTCTGCCCCTTGCGAAATCAAGACGGCTCCAGCTGCCGGAAGCGCTGTATCGGCGTGAGTCCCTTTCCCCTCGTCCGCCCGCCCCGCGCACCCCGCCTGTCGCATCCGCGCCTCCGTCCGCCCTCTGTATACCCCGGCTCCTTGACTCTGACCTGTCTCTCGCCAACCTGCAGGAAAAACGATACCGCTCCATGCAGGAGCATATCCGTCGAGCGCACCCCGAGAACTACATCTCGAAGCTGCCGGCGACCGAAGAGAGCTTCCTGCTCATGATCAACACGCCGCCCCAGGACCGTCGCAGTACCGACCAGCCATCGTCGTCGGCCGCACAGAGTCTGTCCTCCGCCACCGTGTCCACGTGCCCCAGATTGAGGCTGACCTGTCCGTCGTCGACACAGACTTGTATGATAGGCGCAACCATCTTCGCGATGGCTCGAGTAACCCCGGGACGCCGCGCCATGCCGACGAGTACCCCCTAACAAACGGCATCTCCTTGTTGGGCGCCGCCAGCGCAGCAGCAGCTCTTGCCGAGCTGCACGGCGTCAAGTCCGAGCGAGAGAATGAAACCGATCGAGTATGTCGTCGCATGTTTTACCCCGCGGCCTATCGATAGCAGCCGACGCCCCTCGCCTCTCTCCACCGTCATGGCTAACTCGGTGCGCTGCAGGATTACTACTCGGACACGGACGGTCGCCGCGTCGCTCGGACTTCAATTGAGCTGCCTCCCTTGAACCTCTCCCACAAGGATGTCACGAGCGATCCCTATTCGGCCGGCAGGCCACGCGAGATCTTGCCGCCGCTCCTCGCCAACTCGCCGCCCGGGCGCTCCTCGACCCTGCCGCCCCTGCAGCGGCCCTTGGGGCCCAATCGGCCGCGCAAGCAGTCGGTGACGAAGCGAGGCCGCGAGTCCAACCACAAGAAGAAGACTTCTCGCGGCTCCGCCGCCGATTGGCTCCGCCGCATCCAAAATGACGAGCGCTTGAGACCGGGCGGCAGCCATGACCGGAAAGCCCTCTCTGCCGAGCCCTCGGCGGACTACGGGAAGCGCTGGGAGGATCTCATTGACGCTGCTGACCAAGCTGCCTCGGCGGCCGGCGACATTGACGATGACCGCACGCCTGTAAGAAGCCATCAGTAAACTACTGTCTCCCTTTTGCTTTTGTATGCTTCCGGCTTAGTGCTGACCCTGCCGCTGCAGGTACCGCAATCGCCCGTTTCAGTTCACCGAGGCTCGCTGCCGCCGTTGCAGCACCAGCAGCACGTCCAGGCCGGGAGCTATCAGGCATCGCCGCTGCAGCAAGCCCTGACGCCGCCGTCCTACAACCAGGACAGCGCGGACCCCTTTCCTTCGGTCGAAAGCGGAGAGAACTTCCACATGGCACCTCGTGGACTAAACGATTCGTCGCCGACCTATCCTTCGGCCCACAACATTCAGATTTACTGCGCGGCCTGCCAAGGCGTGTCGCAGCTCAAGGGCTCGTACGCGTGTACGGAATGCATTTGTGGCCTCTGCCCGGCCTGCGTCGAGGTCCTCATGGCGGAACACGGAGCACGAAGAAAGTGTCCCCGTTGTGCCACCATTGGCGGCCGGTTCAAGCCCTTTCAGCTCGACGTGAGATGATGGAGCTCCTTGACCGAAACTCGGGTTTCCGCCTTAACTTTGACCAATGAATTTTCATCCAGGCCGCGACGCACTAGCGACCATGAGGGACGGCGCACGGCGGGTTAGCATCATACAGGTTTTTGATCTTTTTCTCCTCTTTTCTCGGGAGGCGTGCGCGAAAGCGCCTGGCCTGGCTGTGGCGGCCGTACCGGAGATATGGCCCGAGCTCTGACGGCCGCTTGACGATCATTTTCTCTTTTGCCTCAAATGGGTGGGCGATCTGTTGCTTCGCGGCGTTGGTACTTGTGTATTTTGGATCAGATCCCCGGTGGGAGGCGGCCTGTGGGACAAATGATTCCCGACGGTCATCACGGACGTTAATTCTCTGGCGCTGTCATGTGTTTGGATTGATGTGCCGGGATACGCCCAATCTAGGACGGCAATTGACGATGGGATTTGGCAGTGCCCAAGTCGAGGGCCCGATAATAAAGGCAAGTGTCTTGAATTGTGGCTCGGCTTGTTGCTCGAACATGTATATACACTCGTTCATGCGTCCCCAGCTTTATAGAAGAATGAAAGAATCAATCATTGGAATAAATCACGCGCGCCGACTCCCGTGTCGTATTGTTGGTACACTGGCTAAGCTCTGGCGGAGCAAGGGTTGAACTGGGCCCAACGTCGCGACGCGACGCCTAGACCTTCCTGCCCACCTTCTCCTTCTCCTGCTGCAGCAAGAGGTTCCTGACGGCGGCCCTCGAGTTGCGGCTGCCGCCGAGCTTGGGCCCGCGGAGGACGTCGCCGGGCGGGGGCTGCTGGCGGGGCGGGTGGGCGTGGCGCCTGCGCTGGCGGCGCTGGGCGAGGTCGTCGAGGTATTGGCGGCGGAACTGCTCGGCCATGCGGTCGTCGGCGGTGCGGTGGTCGCCAGACGCCGCGGCGGAGGTGGAGGTGGAGGACGAGGGGGGTGGTGGGGCGGTGGACTGCTTGGGGAAATCGTAGACGTCGACTAGAGGGGGAAGACTCAGCTTCTGGACAGAGAGGAGTGCTGTAGGAATATGGGTTAGGGGGGTTTGAGGGGGCTGAAAGCGTACGTCTGTTTTCGTGGAGAAACTGCTCGACAAACTCGTCTCGCTTCACGTCGTCGCTGTTGCGCCTGTTGCGCCCAAAGCGAGGCTTGGGAGCCTTTTCGGCGTGGCGCCTCTTGGCGTCGTCGCGGCGGTTGCGCACGTCGGCAGGGATGTCCACCTCGAACAGCTTGCCGTGCTTTGTGGGCTGGTCGCCGGCCCTGACGGCCGACGCAGTGGACGGGGCGGGCGGCTGGCCGGGGTGGTCGGCGCCTGTCGCTGCCGGGGGGGACGAGGGAGGGTGATGGGGGTGGCGGGACTTGGTGGGCTTGGGAGCGCTTGAGGCGGCGATGCGGCTAGAGAGGCGCGACTCTATGTATTCAGTCCTTGGGAGATTAGCGCGGGGGGGCTCTTGTTTGCTTGTCGAGAGTGATTGGCGGGAGGGACATGGGGGCAACGTACATGTGTCTGTCGTCCGGGTCGGCGATGAGGCCCGTCTGGTGCATGAAGCGGTCGGCGATGCCCCTGACGACGGGCTTTTCGTCGTCGGCAGCGTCCTGGCCGCGCGGGACGAGGGCCCTGGAGACGTGCGGGCCGGCGAGGGCGGTCGGGCGCGACTCGTCGGAGGCGAAGCCAATGCCGCGGAAGCGCGTGCGCCGACGGCGCGGGTTGCAGCGCACGACGGGCTCCGCGTCCGAGTGTGCGTCTGCATCTCGCTCGAGCGGGCCGGGGTGGCCGTCTTGACTGCCGCTCCTGCTCGTGCGTCCTCTGCTGCCTTGTTTCTCGTCGTCGCCGTCGGCGGGAGCTCGCGGGGCAAGGCTGTCGTCCTGGTCTTGGGGGCGCTGGCGATAGGTCTTGCGCCTCTTGCTGGGCCGGAAGCGGACGACGGCGGGCTCGGCTTCGTGGGGGCTCGGGTTGGCGGGGTCCATGGTGCCTGCGAGTTGTGTGTGAGTGGTTGTGCGTGGTGAATGTGTGAGAGAGAGAGAGAGAGAGAGGTTGAAATGTGACGGCGATAAACAGTTCAGCTGCCTGCCGCGGTGTGGTGGAGACGGTACGTACCGGCGGCGGTCTCTTGGTGACGTTCGGAGTACGAAGTGCAAATTCGATATCTCCTCTCTGCACCACCAACACATCAACCGACTCTAGAACCAGACCAGCTCTCATCAACAATCACTCGAGGCAAAAGGCGGCAAGCTTGGACTCGCTTAAAATTCATCACTGCTATTCGTACAGCAGGCCCACGCAGAGCCTCTCCCTCGCTGGCTGAGGCGGGCTTGCTGAGATTGGTCCAGCGACATGCCCGTGAGCATCAACACGTATCCTCTCAGCTCAGGCATCAGGCAACGGCGATACCGTGAGTTGGAGGATCGCCCCTGTCGCTCCCGATCTCTGCAGCCCCGTCCCCGCCCGCCGGGTCTGGGCTGGGCCATCGGGTGTCGCCGACCGGCCTGCAGTCGAGCCATCTGATGGCCAGTCCGACGTCGTGCGAGGCGACCCGAGTGTGCATTTTGAGCAGGCGAGAGGGCCGCACGACCATGTACCCGTTGTCCAGGTGGACTTGCAGGATGCGAGCCGAGAGTCGCCCGTGGAAGCTGGCAATGAGGATCTTGACGCCGTCATGGAGCACTCCCAGGGAAGCCGTCAGTGCCGTGAAGACGCCCACGGGCAGCATCTGACACCAAAGAGCCAGGGATGAAGACGAGAACGAGAGGCTAACACACCGGACAAATCCTGTGGCGGATAAACATGGTGGCGTCGTGGACCGAGGCCTTGAGCAGCGACACGGCAAAGAGCAGCTCGCTGCGTAGAATAGCCCCCTCAGGCGGCGCCGCCATGTCGTAGACAGTGCCGATGGCGTGCGGCACGTCGGGATGGTACGTCCAGTCCCTCCACCCGGTGCCGCGGGGCCACATGCGGTAGCTGCCGGCGGCGAAGTAGTGGAAGCGGACCGACCCGTCGGCGGTGCGCACCCGGGTCGCATCGCCGGGCCGGTTGCGCTCGCGCACGTAGCGGTGCGTGTCCCAGCGCGACGCCCGCCAGGCCGCGAGCTCGCAGGAGCGCGCCTGCCGCCGCGCGTCGGCCAGGGCGTCGCGCGCGCAGTCGTCGCAGCCGCCGGGCCAGCCTCGGCCGCGGAGCCGGTGGACCTGGATGGGCTCGAGCGGCGGTCCGTGGCGGTCCTTGGCGCGGCAGCCGGCGGGGCCGGGGAGGAAGAAGCGCGGCTCGAGGTCGATGGGGTCGTCGTCGTCAATGTCGAGGGGCGCGCCGCACACGACGAGCAGCTCGACGAGGGCCGGCCCGTCGAGCGGCGGTGTGTCCCGGCGGCGTTCGAGCTGCTCCTGGATGGCGCACAGCGTGGCAAAGTCTTGCTGGCGTTGGAGGAGCTTGCGCCGCTCGGGGGGGGAGGGGGCTGCCGTCGGGGGGTGACGATGATGCTGCGACATTTTCTCTTGGTCCGCCAAACGAAGCTCAAGAGAGACGCTTCCTGCTGGAACCGGAAAGGCTGTCGTCGCTCGGACGCATGCGAGCCTCGGACGGCGGCGGTGGTGACGGGGCAATCACATCAGATAAGATGCAAGGGGATCAGCGGTGGATATAGCCGGATCTACGGATACAGGAGTGGTTTGATGGCCATATACGGTAGCCATGGTCCGCGATGCGACTCATGCACTCTGCCAAGGTCCTTCTACCCTTTGGAGCTCTTGCTCTCGCCGCTTTGAGTTACCGCCGAATCACACTCCGCGTGAAGAAACATCGGCTCTATTGCCTGTCCCTGGTCTCTCGTTGACGTCATTCCTTTGCGGTGAGAGGGTTTGCAGAGTAACATGATATATTGCTGTTCGTCATGCTGGTAGCGTCAGCTAGTTAAGTAAAATGAAGGATGCTTGCTGGCTTATGAGATTCAGGCAACCCCCAATGTCCAAGGAGGCCTTACCAAACCCCCTTGTGCTGGGACGTTTCTCCTCGGAATTCAGCATCGTCCATGACACTTACCGCCATTTACACCTTGCCCCTCACTCCAGGGTAGGTCGAGCTCAGTCCCCCCCCCCTCCGTTCACCCCGACCTCATCGTCATCGCCAGCATTAACCCAGCTCACCCCGACGCTTCCCCGCCGCTTCAGCTTCGAGCGCAGCCTCCAATTCCCGAGCGAATTCGAAATGGCAAGACGTGTACGCAAGTATAAAAAAAGAAAAAAAAAACCCCCCCAGGGACCCCCTCGAGTCGCTGACCGGTCGGGCTGGAAAGTCGTACTTTGTCGCCCACGGCGGCGTCGTGCAGGGTATGTGTGCACACGCATGCCTCCATGGTCCGGACAGCCAGCGAAGGCCTCCTGGCTAACTCCCTCTCCCTCTCTAAACCCCCCTTTTCTCGGACCTCTAGGCGTTGGTTTCCGGTAAGATATCCGTAGACAAGCCGCGCGGCTGAGTGGCTATGGCCTCTTCTGACCTTTGTCGGCCCCCGGATAGCTTCTTTGCCAAACAAAAGGCCCAAGAACACGGCATCACAGGATGGTGCCGCAACACGCCCGACAACAAGGTGAGCGCTCGCCCGCCCGCCTCTGAACGGCCTCGTCGCGCGCCACTGACACCCGCAGGTCGAGGGCGAGGCCCAAGGCGAGCACGACGCCCTGGAGACGTTCCTCAAGGAAGTCGGCCAGGGCCCGGCCCACGCCAAGGTTGTGCAGTTCACGACCGAGGACCGCGGCGTGGCGGATGGCGAATCGGGTTTCAGCGTTCGCCACTGAGGGCTCGCCTCATGATTTGACTACCTACCCCCAACGCCCCGCAGAGGACAACCTGTCCCTGCCACCATCCTCTAGAAACGCCGAGAAGCAAAAGAACACAGATAGTCACACAGACAGACAGGAAAGAGAGGCGTAACTGAGGCGTACATCGTCTGCTCAGAACCCTCGGCCACGCCTCCGGGCCACCGGCTTCTTGACCGCCCCCTGCGTCACAAACTTCTTGCCGTCGTGACCCACCTTCTTCTTGGCCGTCGCCCGCTCCGCCTCGGCCTGCTCCCGCTCGGCCTGCCGCCGCTTGTCCTCGGCCATCTTGGCCTCAATCTCCATCTTGCGGTTGAACTCGGTTTCGGTGATGCGCTTCTCGCGCGCCGAGTAGCCCTTTTCCTTGACCGAGTAGAAGACGCCGCCCAGGTCTGCCAGCCAGTGCGGGTCCACGGCCGTCACCGTCGACACGTACACCTTGGCCGTGAGGATGAGCTCGTGGTAGACGACGTAGTCGGGTGGGTGGCCCGCGTACAGGGCGCTCGTCGGGTGCAGCTGCACGGCCACGTTTGTCCGGAGGTTGATGTATTCGCCCGATCCCTTGTACTTGGCCGCCTGGTGGTAGTAGCCCGAGCAGATGCACCGCCGGATCATGTCCCAGTCCATGCCGCAGCTGCTGAGCTGCATCCTCTGCATCCGCACAATGTCCACCAGCTGCTCCCGTATCTCCTTGGCCCGCCGCAGCGACTTGGCGTGCAGAAAGTGCCTGACGCACCACCCGTCCGAGTGTCCGTTGGCCTTCCACGCCGAATACACCTGCAGGTATGTCAGGTGGTCCGACTCGTGCACCCAAAACTTTTCCCGCTGCGTGTCCGCCTCGTCCTGCCGCTCCTTGGGCCGGTAAAAGACGTTGGGCACCGACAACATCGACACAATCGTAATCATCTCCTCGCTGCACCCGTATTCGTCCGCCGTGATGAGGAGCTTGGACAGCGACGGATCCATCGGGAACGCGCTCATCTTGCGCCCCAACTCCGTCAGCTCGCCGAGGTTGTCCAGAGCGCCCAGGGCCCACAGGTCGAACATGGACGTCGAGATGGTGTCCTGCGGGGGGGGGTCCATGAAGTCAAAGTCGAGGAGGTCCTTGACCCCGAGCGACTTGAGCATCAGCACCGTGTTGGCCAGGTTGGTGCGCTGAATCTCGGGTATCGTCTGTAGGTAAAGCTCTTCCTTAAAAGCCTTCTCCGTGTACAGGCGAAACGCCTTGCCCGGGCCCGTCCGCCCGGCACGCCCCGAGCGCTGCGACGCGTTTGCCTGCGAGATGGGCGTGATCTGGAGCGTGTCCATGCCCATCTTGGGGTTGTAGACCTTCATCTTGGAGTAGCCCGCGTCCACGACATATCTAATGCCGTCGACCGTCAGACTCGTCTCCGCAATGTTGGTGGCGACAATGCACTTGCGCACGCCTGGCGCCGCCCGGTCAAAGATCTTGGCCTGGAGGTCCGCCGGCATCTGGCTGTAGATGGGCAGGATGCTGAGCTTGGGCGGGTCGTTGAGGGCGTCGAGCCGTTTTTGCACCAGCTCGCACGTGATTTCAATGTCTTCCTGGCCCGTCATGAAGACGAGTATGTCGCCGGGATCCATGGAGACGTGGATGGCCAGTACCTGCTGGACTGCTTGGTCGACATAGTCTTCGACCGGCGAACGGTGGAACATGACGTCGACGGGGAAGGTTCTTCCCGGAATCGTAAACTCGGGCGCACCGCCGAAAAAGTCGGAGAATCGCTTCGAGTTCATCGTCGCCGACGTAACGATTAGCTTCAGGTCCCGTCGCCTCTGCAGTATTTTCTTGAAGAGACCCATCAAGATGTCCGTGTTGAGGGCACGCTCGTGTGCCTCGTCCATGATGATGCACGAGTACCGCTCGAGGTCAGGCTCGTTAAGCGACTCTCGGAGCAACACTCCATCCGTCATGTACTTGATAACCGTCTCCCTGCTCGTGCAATCTTCGAATCGAATGGCGTAGCCCACGGTGCCGCCCAGATTGACTTCCATCTCCTCCGCGACTCGCTTGGCCACGCTCATGGCCGCCACACGCCGCGGCTGCGTGCAGCCAATCATGCCGCTTGCCCCATAGCCGTCTTCGCGAAGGAACTGCGTCAGCTGGGTCGTCTTGCCCGACCCCGTCTCGCCCACGACGATCGTGACTTGGTTCTCCCTGATGATGCGGAGGAGCTCCTCACGAACGGCGAAGGCGGGTAAGAACTCTCGCTGCTCCCGCAGAGTCTTGCTCTGACTGAAATCGCTGGCACCCTGCCCCTTTTTGAGATGCTCGCTGAACTTGTTTGTCTTGCGCTCGCCGTTTCGGGCTTCTTCCTCGCCGGCAACGGGCAACGCGCTGTCTGCGTCCTCTTCCCTGGCCCCCATAATGTTCCCGAGCGTTGTGCCCGTGATGCTGGTCGCTTGCTGCGCCTGCCTCTGCCGCTCTCTTTGCTGCCGTGCGTCCTTGACAACCCTGCTCCCTTTTCTGCTGAAGACGGCCATGTCGCTCTGGTAGTCTCTCACAGCGGGCACTGGGTCAAGCTGCTTTGTAAAGATGGTGCGTCCGTCCAGGAATGGGGGCCTCAGATCGTGGACGAGGAGGTGGACGCGGGTCGCTTCATCGTCGTCAAAGTCGGTCGCCAGGTCCCTACGCTGGGCGACGCCGGAGACGAGCATCCTGTTTGTTTCCCATGCGTCGTTTTCCTTCCGCCTCTGCTCCTGCCTGGCGTCGTATCGGCTTGCCATCTTCTCGGCCTTTGCCGACTCTTGCTGCTGGCTCTCCCAAGCCGACAGCTGGTACGATGCGAAAGGGTTGTGGGTGTCATCGCCAAAGGTGTGTCCGCCAAACTCGTCGCCCCCATACCAGTCACGGTCCAGGGCCCTGTCATCTTCTTCGGTCGGCTCTGGCTGGTCCAACTCTCGTGGCGGTGGCCGTGAATGTGCCCGGGGGGTCGAGTCTCGCGCATCGTGGCGGAGCCTGCTCAGGGGCTGGGCTGCTTCGACTTTCCGCCTCTTTGGGTTGTAGTCACCGTGGTCTCTGTCTCCCGCCATGATCGCTGTCTGGCTGGGCGCTGACCCTGAGCCTGGACGATGCGATGTTGGAGGCCGAAGAAAGGATGCGCTGTTGGAGAGCTTGCTTGATGTCGCGAAGTTCTCCCGGACCGATCCCTGCTTGGTACGTATCCACCATGCTTATCGATAAACCCCGCCGAAATTTTTGGGAGCGCCGTGAATGAATTTCTTCTGGGCTCGACATGGCGGCGACGAAATCGCCCAACGTTATGCGCCAGGCTCCTCGACACAATGTCCATGATCACGGCTGCGCAATGGGTCCCGCGGGGCTTTGCGGCACCGTTTCCGCAAAAGTATACCTTGGACGAGGCCGAGTATGAAAGGATAGCCGCGCTGGCCAAGCTACAGCTCGACGACGCAGAGGAGGATCTCAAAGAGGCGGAAGAAAACGACGGCCAAGATGCGAGGGGAGATGAAATGCACACGGACAATGTCGAGTCGGGAAACAAGGAAAAGTACGTCAGCGTGGGCTCCGAGGCGTCACAATGGGGTTTGCTGATGGTCCCTGGCCAGCTTCGACGACGATGACCTGAAGGAGTACAACTTAGAAAACTACGATGACGACGAGGACGAAGAAGCCGGGACGCAAGACGAAGGGGAAACTATGGGAATGTTTGGAAACGTTCGTTCCCTCGCCTACTACGGATCCAACAACGATGATCCATACATTACGCTGAAAGGCGGCGACGAGGAGGATGAGGACCGAGAGGACTTGCAAATCTTGGCCACCGACAACCTCATCTTGTCGGCTAAGGTCGAGGACGAGCTGGCACACCTCGAGGTCTACGTGTTTGAAGACGACAGCGACAACCTCTACGTGCACCACGACATCATGCTCCCGGCGATTCCGCTGAGCCTCGAGTGGATCGACATGCCTGTCGGCAAGACGAGCGCCGACAAGGCGGCGACGGGCAACTTTGTTGCCATCGGAACCATGGATCCGGACATTGAGATATGGGACCTCGACACCATCGACACCATGTACCCGAATGCGATCCTGGGACAAGGCGCCAACGCCGAGGCGGGCGAGGGAAAGAAGAAGGGCAAGGGCAAGAAGAAGAAGGGCAAGAGGGCCAACGACGAGTACCACGTGGACGCGGTACTCTCGCTGGCTGCCAATCGGAAACACCGCAACTTGCTGGCGTCAGCGTCGGCGGACAAGACAATTAAGCTGTGGGATCTCAACACCACAAAGTGCGCCAAGTCGTACGCGTACCACACGGACAAGGTGTGCTCGCTAGCCTGGCACGCAGCCGAGCCGACGGTGCTACTAAGCGGCAGCTACGATCGGACCATCGTCGCGGCGGACATGAGAGCGCCGGACGCAAAGGTGCCGCGCTGGGGGGTTGAGAGCGACGTCGAGAACGTACGGTGGGACCCTCACAACCCCAACCTATTTTTCGTGTCGACGGAGAATGGAGCGGTGCATTACCATGATGTGCGCAACGCGCCACGGAACCCGGAGTCGACCAAATCTGTGTGGACGCTGCAGGCGCACGACGAGTCGGTGTCGTCGTTTGACATCAACAGCGTGATCCCAGGCTTCATGGCGACTGGGTCGACGGACAGGACGGTCAAGCTGTGGAACATTGGGCCAACGGGCCCGTCAATGGTGGTATCCCGCAACCTGGACGTGGGTAAGGTGTTTGCGACGACGTTTGCGCCGGATGCCGAGGTGGCGTTCCGACTGGCCGTGGCCGGCAGCTCGGGAAGCATGCACGTGTGGGACACGAGCACGAACGCTGCGGTGCGGAAGCTCTTTGCGCAGCGGATGGCCGGGCAGGGCGACGAGGCGGTGGAGGACCGGCTGATTGGGGTGGACGACGACGAGAGCAGCTCGAGCGACGAGGGGGAGGACCAAGAAGGCGAGCAGGGGGAGGACGGAGACTCGATGGACGAGGATTGAGCGGATGTGTGGGAAATGACAGACCAAGGTTGCGTCTGCGAGTTGGTTTACCTGACATGATGGTGAGATGAAGATGAGGCATGCACGGCTTGTGCTTGCTGCAAGGGCCCACATGTCCTGTCTATTCTGCGGCGCGAGCCGTCTCGTGAAGATGCAGGCGCGGGCAGGGCTGTAGGGTAATACGCATGATGTGCCGTCACGTTGCCAGTAGCCTTGTTTATTTCGCGGCCGTTACTTTTGATGAAGGATTGCGTCTGAACCAATTTCCAAGGGAACTGCCAAACCTGTCTGGCCAGAACATGTGAAACGTGTCGGCTGGCGTGTGTGTGTCCGGGCAACGGTCTGGGCCGATGGTTGACAGCACGGACGGAATGCCGCTGTGCATGTACCGGCCGTATGAGGGGGGAGACGATGGCCAAGGGATGAAAGGCAAGGGAAGGAAGACGCCCGTCATCTGCCGTCCACTGTAATTGAGCAAAAAGCTACGGACAGAGTACATGTGGAGCGCGTGGTAGAGCTGGTCATGGAGACGGTATCAAGGTGATTGAACTATCACCATGAAAACTGCGTCGACGTCAGCAAGGATCCTGCAACGGTTGCACTATCTGATGCCGTCGATGGTTAGTCTGGTGCTGGCAAGGGAGAAAGTGGGAGAGGGCACAGACAAAGACGAGGGTTGCTGCTGCTGAGGCGTGGCTGCTTACTTTATTTAACAGGACAAGATTGCAGGCACTTCTTCCCCCCCGCCTCCCTCGTGTCGGGATGATGATGGGCGAGAAAAGGGGCAGGCGAGAGTGAGGTAGGGTGGTAGGTGGGTGGTGCACTGGTGAAGGACAAGGATGGATGGGGGTAAAGGGCGCTTGTGCAAGGCACCAAGCAGCAAGGACACTAGGGCCTGAAACCAGACGGGGGCCAATGGCAGGCCGAGAGAGCAAGAGGGGATCGGTGACTTGGCGGCAAATCATGGGTCATGTCTCTGAGAGCCCTTGTTTGCTCTGGATTTCCGTGAAGCTGACACAGGATAGGATGGACGATGATGATGGGACCATGGCCAAGAAAGAGGGCGAAACACGACAGAATGTTCTGGTCTCTGGTCTCTGGTCTCTGGTCTCTGGCCACGTCGAGGAGAAGGGGGCCAGGGCTGTGTCACAGACCATGCAGGTACAGACAGTGCGCAAGGGTCGGGGAAGCCGTCGCTCGCTGCCGATTGACTACTGTATTGCGTGCATGCCGCGTCGACAGTCCGTGAGCGATGACAGCTCTCTCTACAGTCCTTGGTCTTGCACACTGTGCCGCTGTCCGTACACCGAACCAAGGCGCCACCGCCAGCAGCCGTCTCTCTCTCTCTCTCTCGGCAGCAGCCATGGCATCGTCTACTTTGGTGCTCGCACAGCTGCGCATGCACCTGCACATGCACCTGCACATGCACCAAGAAGGGCCAAGAAGGGCCAAGAAGGGCCAAGAAGGGCCAAGAAGGGGAGGCCTCGTCCCACGACGAATGCACCTTGTTCTCAGACTCCAATATACCAGCCCTCATAGACATCGGGGTCTCCTTCTTCCCCACCCCATAAACCGACCCCTTTTGTAGTATTGGAAGCTAAAAAGGTCTGAACGCAAGGAGATGTGTGTGGGGTTTGCTCAACAATAGCATTCGCTAAAAAGAGGAGACGAGGCCCTGAAGATTTGGAACGGGATCTACAGTACGTGTGGCCCGTGAAACTTTACACACTGTACATACTTCTGCCGTCTGTATGTACAGTAATTATCCGTACCCTGAGTCGGCAAGTAGGGGACGCAAACTGCCGAGGGCATCCTGCGCAAGATGGAATCCAGCACAGAAGCTTGGCCGGTCACAATCATCACATCACATGGACTGACTGTATCACGAATCACCAAGCACAGAATTCTCATGCCCATACATGCGTACAGTGCTGCCCACGCACAGTATGTATGCCTGCGACGGTGCCTTGCAGACGCTCTGGTTGGCCCAACAAGCTTCAATGGTTTTGGGCCATGAGACCCTCTCAGGGAGCCTGCACTAACTAGTAGCCTGTAGGGCAGGGCGGTTCTGTTGCACACGGAGCCACGTCCGTCCTCGCACTAGTTCGCCAAACAAACAACCCATTGTTTTCCATCAAGCCAGCAGGGCGGAAAAACGGGGGTGGGCAAGAAACGCGAGGAGTGGAGAGAGAAACCGTGCGTCGATCGGGTGGCATTGGATGGTCGCAGGCCATTTCAGCGGCCACTTCAGCGACTCCACCGCTCCACCGCCTGAGAGAGCTGGAGGAGGCGGGCCGAGGGCGACGCTGGACAGTGCACATGCACCGGGGCGCTTACCAAGGCCACCCCGGCGATACCATGTACCCCCAGCCTGCCCAATTAGGCAAGCCAGGGTACCGCTCCCAAAGCTGCCAGGTAGAGTCCGTCGTGCCTCCAAGTCCCCCGTCGCCCACCACCGCGTGAGTCCACGCCGGCCGGGATACCCGGGCAGTCGACGGCAGCTACGCAGGATACAGGGTGCAGGTACGAGGCAGAACGAGCAGCAAGCTCTGCAAGGTACCCCGGACCTGAGAAACCTTGGCTGGGCCAGTGGCTGGCCTCACAGTGCAGTCCTGCGGTCGTGCAGTCTCTCGACATAATTATCCTCCTCCCCCCCCCCGTCGGCGGGCGGCATCCCCGTCTCTCCTGTTCCTCTCCGTTTGTCTTTCCCCTTCCCCCCCCCCAGTCGACATTGGCGACGACAGGCTGCGTCCTCGGTCCATCATTTCCCCTTTTCCTTCTTCAATTATCATTGCAGGACAGCGTCCTTATTGTCCGCATTCACCGACTTGCTGCTCATCTTCCATTCCTTCGCCTCGGGCACAAGAGTGCAAAACGAATCAAGCTCGCCAAGTGCGACCATTTTCTTGACCCATTTTCATCAGCAGGCTTCTGATCCAACTACGCCACATACTACAGATAGGTGGCCGTCGACGTTGAACGTTCCTTTGCCGTCGCTTCACTGTTGCATCCGCAATCTTCGCGCCTGCCGGGGTGTCTTCTGCGTCACTCTCTTCCAAGGCGAGACTGCTCTTCGCCTCTAACCGGACTTCTGTCTTCGTCCTTGTCGCACAAGCAAAGACATTGCCTCGCTCTACCTCGCTCTACCTCGCTTTACATCGCCGTTCCTGGGCTGGCCACGGCGATACCAGGACTGGTCTCCTCGCACAAGGCACGCGCCCGTCGAGTGCAACCACGAGAACAAAGGCGAAAACGGGCAAGAGACCAAAACAAACCCACTGAAACCGACTTGGTTGAAAACGTGACGGCCCGAGATTAGGCTCCCTCGATTGCTTGTCACCACCAGCCAACCAACCGAAGGGGTCTCACAAAGGAGCGCCACTTTCCCGGCAACCAAACCTGTCTCCAGCGGTCTCTCGTGCCTAGCGACGTAAACAGTTGCCTGTTTGAGACGCCTTGCTTTTACTACTTGACCTCTGCTCTTCTGTCGGCTTTCTTTTCTTCACCTTGGGACTCTCACATCACCTTCCTGCTTGAGCTTTAGCAGCTGCAGCTCTCACCCGCAACGGCACATTCTGCAACGTTTCTAAATCGGCTCCATCCTCGACGCCCGCCTCATCGCCTCTGCACGACTTGCGGTCACAAGGTGCCAGCCCCTCGCGCGCATCGTGACCTTCCGCCCCGTGCGCGCACCGGGGCCCTGGGCAGCTACTGCGCCGCGCTCAACCTGCTATACATTGCAAGGCCACCCCGTTTCCCCTTCGCACTCGCGCTCAACTTGCAACAACACACATCATGTCGCTCTCGCGTGCCTTGACAACCTGCCGCCTGCGGCTGAGCAGTGACTTCATCGACGGAGGCAACATGCCCCGGTCCAACAGCACCCGGAAGGCCGTCCCGCGCCACAAGATATCGGCTCCCATCCAGCTCATTCACACCACAAACATGCTCTCCTACAACGCCCCTGATCTTCCACGGCCTTCGCGCAGCAACTCGACAACCACCAGGCCCGATGACGACTCGGATGCGCAGACAGCGGCGTCGACGCCTCCCACAAGCCCCGAAGTCGCGCCAGGCGAGCGGCCCTCGTCACCGCAGCCAAATCACCTCACATCCTACTTCAAGCAACCCGCTGGGTCCCTGGCCGCGAGCGAGGAGGACCCGCCCAAGATCCCCAAGCGCGCGCCGTCCCACACGAAAAAGAACTCGTTTGAGAATCTTGCCCGCTCGCGCTCCTCATCGCGCCTGTCCAGAGACTCAGACTTTTCCGCGTCGACGAGACCCGGCCAGACCTTTTCTCGCTCCGCGTCAACGTCGACTCGCGCCTCATCCGTCTCCCATTCCTCGTCTCCTTCTTCCACCAAGCGGACTGCCTCTCGGCCTGTCACCCCGCCCGTGTCGTCTCCCCAGCAGCACCCGTCCAATGAGACTCACCCGTTCGGGCAAGAGCTCGCCAAGGTGCATGAACTGGCCGAGGAGTACAGCGTTGGCGACGGCCTGGCCACCATCGATGAGGAGAAGCTGTATCTCGACTCGCGGGGCCTCAAGAAGCTGACGGCCGACGACTACCTCGGCGTCGTGCAGGGCATCACGTCCACCTTCTTTCCCGAGGCAAAGCATGCCACGCCCGTGGTTCCCCTGTGGATCTAGACGCGAGAGTCGGCGGACTCTAGACTTGTCGCCGCTGGACGACTTCACATTTCCATTCATTTGTACATATTTGTGGACATTGTCCTTGGACGGCCGCGTGGTCGGCTACGGTTGAGGAATCTTGGTACGTGATTTAAGCTTGTGAGCGGAGGAGGAAAAGGAAGGTTGTATTTGCGGGCTACATACTATACCAGCCTCAGAGGGCAGGCTCCCCTGGGCACACACACCAGGCGGACGCCGGCACCGGCGTTTTCGAGGAGGGACAGGGTTGGAGCATGGTTGCGCGGATGCACAAGGCAGAATGTGGACGTTGAAGCTTGTCAGTCCCCTATCTTGCCCGCCCATCTCCATCTTTCTGCGTATTGCGTGACGACGATAAGCTGCCCCAGGCCAGCAGCCTACTACCCAAGGGCGCATGGCCTGCCATGACGGGAAAGCCATATTGGGCTGCTGGAGTTGGCTGCCAGTACTTGGGGGACTGCGTGGAGTGGCTTGCAGGGTCCAAGGCGGGCAGAGGTCACGATGACGGTCCGCAAGTAGGATGCCGTCGACCACTTGACGCCTTGACAGGCCTGACTGACCCCGCCCGGCCCATCACATGGCCCAGCGTCCGGAAGGCGAGAAGCGATCGCGGGGGTGGGACGCATCTCCGCATCGAACAAAGCAGCTCACGCCGCCCACTTGCAAGCTCAAAGCTTCTCCTTTGACGGGCGCAGTAACACGTGCCTTCCCACCCGGAGCGCGAAGAGACGGAGGAGAGGAGAGAGTATGCATGCGCAGTAGCGTGGCATGCATGCCCTCAAAAGCGCGGCCCGCCAAGACCAACGCCAGCGACGCGCGACCAACACGTGTAAGTCCTGGGCCGGGAGCCCTCCGCCCGCAGACGGCCACGCTTTTTTGCCTTCGTGGCCCGCTCGCTCGTCCCGCCAGCTCACCATGCTTTTGGGGGGGGGGGCATCGACGACGCCGTGGCGGGAGGGCCGCTGTTGGTGGGAAGGGGGATAGGTCGGGCGGAGAATACAAGCACGATTGTTGGGCTGGTGGAGTGCCACCTATCACTGCGTGTTTTGTATAGCGGATGGCTATTGAGCATTTGCCATGTGCCCTGCCCCCGCTCCACTTTCTTCTAGATGATGAAAAGATTTGTTTTAGCCCCGTCGGGCCGTGGCTGGCAATGGTGCGGCACGGTGCCGGCGGGGAGACGGCTGGCCCCAGCGCGGGCGAGCCACGAGCGGCGACGTGCATGCAGCCGCGGCTAGCTAGAGACGCAGTCACCGAGGAAGAAAGGGAGGGCGAGAGAGCGGCGAGCATTCCGAAAACGCTAGGAGGTGGGACGCCCGTCCTGCTCGGTGCGCGGAGCTTACGATCCCCATGTGCATATGCAGAGTATACATCTTCTATCGAATGTCTTCCAATGTCCCCTCTTCAATCCCATCCTCTGCCCGCGCCGGCACGCGCCGGATAGTCGCCGCAAAACAATGACGTATTGCCTCGTGTCAAGTCTCTCGCTCTCGTGGGCCGACTTTTGTCGTCCTCAATGGCGTTAAGGCTAAAAAGCCAAACTCAAAATCGGGGCGTTGCGCCTTGTGTGCCAACCCGAGTCCTCGTGCACATCGCCGCCGTTGTGCTTTGATATCGCGCTTCTCCGTCCAGGGTCTAGAGGGAAAACAACCGCTTCGTCGCTGAATGATATGAATGCCGTGCTATGATGTGTCTCCGCCTCTTAACCGTGTCCCGTCCGCCTCGCAACCGCGTCCAGTCCGCCTTGGACGAAAACAGCGAGACAAATAGAAAGTCGCAAGAAAGAATCATCGTCCTCCGAGCGGCTCGGTGGCCTTGACCAGGTCGGTGATGGTGACGATGCGGTAACCCCGGCGCCGCAGCTCGGGCAGGACGATGCGTAGCATGGGGGCGGTCCAGGGGCGCCTGTCGTGGCAGACGATGATGGCGCCCGGGCGTGCCATGCTCAGGATGTGCCTGGCGTTGACCGAGGGGTAGGGGATCTGGGCGTCGTGAGGGTATATACTGCCGAGGACGATGCGGAAGCCGCGGTTGCCGAGCAGGTCGCGCATGCGGCGGCTGAAGAAGCCGGAGCCCGGGCGGAAGTAGTTGTTGGGGAGGATCATGGCCTCGGCCTCGTACGCGGCCACGAGCTTGGCCTTGACCTGGTTGACGTCCTTTTCGAGCTGCTCGTTGCTCAGGCTGCGCGAGGGCTCGTCGTGCATGGCGTGGTTGGCGAGCTCGTGGCCGTCGCGGATGAGGCGGCGCAGGGTGTCCTCGCGGCCGTCGACCTGGGCGCCAATGACGAAAAAGGTGGCACGAGCGGCGTTGTCGCGCAGCACCTGCATGATGTCGGCCGTGTGGGACGAGGGGGCGTCGTCGAGAGACAGAGCCATGACCTTTTCGGCGGCGGCGGGCTCCTCAAACAGCACGTCCGGGTAGCGGGCGCGCAGGTAGCCCATGAGGAATCGCGGGGGCTTGTAGACGCAGTAGACCGAGTAGACGGGCAGGACGAGGACGAGGGCGAGGGCGGCGAGGGCGACGAGGGTGGCCATGCGGTTGCGGCGGACGCGGCGGCGCAGCCTCGTGGGCAGGCGGAAGAGGGCGAGCCGGGGCATCGTTAGGGCCCCTTTTCCAGGGCCTGTGCCTCGAGCGAGGGCCCCCCGGCAGCACGCTCTCTCGCTCGCGGGAGCCTCAAGGCCGAGAGCAGCGTCGCGCGCGGTCGTGTCGTTGGGCTGGTCCTCTGGCGGGGGCACGCATCTGCCGTCGCTCCTCCAGCCGGCGGAGGACTTGAATGGTTGATTCGACTGCGGGGGCGGGGGATGCTGGAGTCGACCTGATGGCTCGGGACGATGTGCAATTCTGATGTCTCTCGATGGCGCATTTTCTTCTTCTTCACTCTCCCCTCCCCCCCCCTTTTTGGGAAGCGACGTCAAGCGGACGCGTACAGTGTGCAGACGGACGAAAGAGCACCACAGCTAGTGTCGTCTTGTATCTCGCCAAGCTCACCTGCCATGGGGCGATAAGTGACTTCTACGAACTGGGGCTGCTGGGCAAGTTACCGCTGGGACTGACAGGGCTGAAGGTACCCCTCAAGAAACTTCGATTACCCACTCGCTCCAGGTACCTGCGGTACACCTGCTCTGCTCGGCGCGTATGGGCTCAGCACTGTACAGTGCACAGCGTATCCTCACGTGCGCATCAAGATGGCTTCTCGTCGTACAAATGATTTGTTATCCCTCTCAACACAGCGCTGTCTCGAGATGCACGAAGTTGTTCACGTTTTTTTTTTTTTACAAACTGATGAGCTGGATCGCTGCTTCTGCCATTGCTAACGGCAAATACAGACTCCCAGGACAGAAAACCTTTCCCGAGGCAACTGAGGGTCTCCATCTCGGATGCCGACGTCTATCAAAGGCAAAAGGCAGCAAAGGACACGTTCAAGAGCGGCAATCCCGACCCGAGCCAGAACCTATGGAGGTTTGAGCCATGTGAAACGTCAGTGGGAGCGCAATATACTGTAAGCAACAGTCTCCTCCTTGTCTCTGACTACTGGGCAACCAACCCATCCAAGCATTTCCATTTCCATTTCCGGGACTGGATACGGTTGTACGCCTCACCAGCGACCTGACCTTGATAGAGTTGCCCGATGGCCTCGCCTGGAACATGACCTGGTAGACATTGAAAAGTGAACGAAGCAACCAAGAGCGAGGCAAGTATACATGGTAAGCCAGGCTAAGACGGAACATTCCTTTACTTTGCAACTATCCAAGCCACCACGGGATATAGCGCTCTATTCACTAAATTCACATACCCACATGCCTTCATTACAACCCACTATCGATCTGGTCGGGAATATTCGTCTTGGTCCACTTGGACCACTGCCTGCACGTCTCGGCGACTGTGTGCGGAATCTTCATCTTGGCCACCTTGTCCGGTTGTGTGAGGAACTGCATGAACAGGCCGGCCGACGCATGCCAGGCGATGTGGCAGTGGAATGGCCACATTCCTTTCAGCCACCTCATATTAGCATTGTGGAAAAGATCAGGGGCACCGAGGGCCGACCAACCTGGGTTTTCCGACGCGTCAAACTGCATGGCCAGATGTCCGTTGGGCTGGAGCTGGACAACGTCTCTCCGCTGGGGGTTCGAAGAGCGCACAATGGTGCCGTCCCAGGTGCCGCTGCCTTCATTCAGAATATACATGTTGAATCCGTGAAGATGCATGGGGTGTCTAGAGCAGCCCGCGTTAGCAAACAAGAGTCCCAACAGCACGGCGGGCAAAGGGGGCTGCATACGGGGCTGGCGTGAGGTTGTTGACGATGACCCTCACCGACTTGGCGTCTCCGAGGTCCTTGGCGTTCCACTCTGGGGCAAAGCTTGTGTTTCCAAGGTTGCTCAACAGCAATGTCGGGGTGTTGTAGTTGATGCGGAAGTCCTGCCCGGCGAGCCGCCAGAGCCCGATGTTACTGGCATTGGTGTGGCGATCGAGGTCGATGGAGAGGGACAAGTCGGGCGTGGGCACCTTGAGCTTCATGACGGGCTCCGTCTTCTTCAGATCATCGTTGGAGCACGTTGCAGGGTCCGACACGTTCCAGGCCTTGGACCGCGGTACCTCGTTGGTCGATTGGGCGTTGTCGTAGTAGACGGCGGCGACGGCAAAGTCCTGGTGAGACAGACTGCAGGCGTGGGAAATGTTGGACCGCATCCAGTAGGAGGTCAGGTGGCCGTCGGCCTTGACGAGGACATCGGTGCGTTGGCCGATGCCGAGGGTGACCACTTCCGTCTCGTAGGGCTCCACGGCGACGAAGTCGTTGGCGATAACGGTCAGCTTGTGCTGGTCGATGGAGAAGCGCTGCAAGCCCTCGGCGCCCGAGTTGATGAGCCGGAGCCGATGGATCTTGCCCTTCTTGAACTTGAACTTGGCCAGCGGGGCGTCGTTCTTGCAGAATTGGGCGCCTCCGATGGCATTGGTGCAGTTGTAGTTCATCTTGCCGTTGATCAGGTTGTTGTCCGACGAGACGGCGCCGCCGCCAGGCGCCATGGTTTCCTTGACCAGCGTGAAGTAGTCGGGGTGGTACCAGTCCGAGAGCATGACGGGGCCCACGTCGACGTCGTACTTATGCTTCTCGGGGCCGTAAATCACCATGGGCCCGACAATGCCGCCCGCGTACTGGGAGGAGTAGTGCGAGTGGTACCACGTGGTGCCGTACAGCTCGGCGTGGAACTGGTAGGTGAAGGACTTGCCGGGGGCGATGGGGCAGTGGGTGATGCCCGGGACGCCGTCGAACCAGGGCGTGCCCGTCTGGAGGAAGCCGTGCCAGTGCAGGGCGGTGCCCTCCTCGGGGCCCGTGATTTTGTTGTGCACCGTCACCTGGATGGTGTCGCCCCAGTTGGCCTCGATGAGCGGGCCGGGAAACGCGCCGTTGACCAGCAGGACCGACGCCTCGACGCCGTCGGGGGCCAGGCGGCCGCGGCTGATGGTGAAGTCATAGGTCCGGATCACGCCCGTGTGCGGACACTTCTTGTAGTAGTTGGTGTGGTGGTCGTACTTGCTCCACGGCTTGCCGTTGGGCAGCGGGTTGTTGCCGAGATAGCGAGGCAGGTAGTGCGCGTCGAGGGTGCCCAGCTTGGACTTGCTGCGGGAAGGTCAGCTATGGATCGGGTCAGAGGGGGTCATGCGTGGCAGCAGGTGCTTGCCCGTTGGTCTCCTTTTGGCTGAGGCCGTGCTGAAGGCTCTTGGGGCTGATGCCGGGCCGGTTGGGGTTGCCCTTGAGCACGTTTCGGAAGTAGTTGGAGTTGTCGCCGAGGAACACTCGGTAGAAGTCGGACGAGAAGTCGTTTTTATCGTCTTCCTTGTTGTTGTTTTTGTTGTCCTTGTGGCTGTCGCTGTTCTTGTACTGGGGTTTCTTGTCCTTGTGCTGGGGCTTCTTGTCCTTGTGCTGGGGCTTCTTGTTCTTGTGCTGGGGCTTCTTGTTCTTGTGCTGGGGCTTCTTGTTCTTGTGCTGGGGCTTCTTGTTCTTGTGCTGGGGCTTCTTGTTCTTGTGCTGGGGCTTCTTGTTCTTGTGCTGGGGCTTCTTGTTCTTGTGCTGGGGCTTCTTGTGGTGATGATGGTCGATCTTATGGTGGTGAAGGTCGACCTTGTGGTGATGGTGATGGTCGACCTTGTGGTGGTGGTGGTGGTGGGGGTCGCCCTTGTGGTGATATTTGGCAGGCGCGCCATGGCCATTGCCGTAGTCACCTTCCGTCAAGGCGTGGCAGAAGGCGGCCAGGCGAGACAGGACCAGGACGGTTGCCGTGAGCTTCATGATTCCCGATCCTACGTGGCAGGAGCGTCCTCGGCAGGAGAGGTATCCGGTAATCTGGCCGAGAGGGTTGGCGCACTCGCCGTCGGTTCGGTTCTAGGCTCCTGGTTGGATATATATAGCACTAGTCATAGCACTCCCCTTCTCCGTCGACGCTCGGGAGCCTCGCCGACGTCCAGCCTCAGGCTGCGGCGGAGGCGGAAAGCATGCCACGGGGGAAGGGCACATCACGGCACATCACCGACCCTCGGTCTCAGGGGCCGCGGCCTCTAGCTATCGTGGGAAAGGCGGCGCAGCGCATAGTTGCCGTAAAGAGAAAAGACACCTCCCTGGCCATGGTCTTTGGCTCCACCACATACCACCAGGCCCGGCTAAGGTTGGGTGAGGAGGGATCTGAGACGCTGAAGAACGACGCGGAAGAACGACGCTGAAGAACGACGCTCAAGCACCGGCTTGTCCTTGTCCGAGTCTCGTCAACTCTGGGGCCGAGTCTCATCACACCGCTGTAGTACACAACGACCGACGCGTCGTCTGTCACCCGTCCTGTCACCCGTCCTGTCACCCGTCCTGTCACCACCAAACATGGCGAGGGAAAAGGCCAATGGCCCATCCTCGTCGTCCCCATGCCGGCCGGCTCCGGTCCGCCACGTCTGGTTTCGCTCTGGGCAGCATGAGACTGGGCAGGGGAGTAGGCCGCCGATGGTCACCAGACCAGTCTTGTGCGGTCCTAGAGCGAGCCTGGCATCGTCGATGGACCGTCTCAGTTCCTCCCGGCCACCCGCTCATGATAGGCCAAGACTAGGAGCTTCCGACTATCTGATGCAAGGTCCTCCAACCACCAACCAAGTCCTCTCGTCCTCTCGGAAGAGATATCTCTTACGGCATCCATCTCTTCGCGAGGGAGGCTGGGTCTCAGTCTTCCGCCACCCGCCTTCTTCCACTGGCTCGCGTGTCTGTTCCTAGCCGCCGCCGTTTGGACTCATCGAGAGTCAGACAGCCTGACGTCTTTCTTGCCTTCACATTCCGTCCGGCTGCCCCCCCCCCACGGACAGCCGACAGCACCTGTCTTGGACTTTGTTTCGCCCTGTCTAGCATTCCACCACCGCCCTGTCCAGCTTTTGCCCGCAACGGAAAGGCGCGTAGCATCACGTGGAATTCTATTCCCTTGGCAAGCACCAAGACCCTTGTGGCGGGCCAGCGTATTCCTAAATGTCTACCGGCAGCGATTGCCGTTGGCTACGGGTGCGAGACTTGGGGGGGAGCACCCCAGCCAGGCAATCGGCGGCGACGGCCCGAACAAAGATTTCTCAGATGGGCTGATGACCAGTTCTCCCTTGATTTATCTGTCAGGAGTGGTCAGAGGGGCCAAGGTGCCTGCGTGGGAGCTGGGGACGCCCGGTATATAGTCTGCAGATTCCTCTGCTTGTGCGCCGGCGGCTGTCTCTTTGCCCGCTGCACCGCGCAGGACTCGCAGCCCACGCACCAGACAAGATGAGAGCACGTCACCCCCGTCACACGGTCATGGCGGCGTCGAGACTAACCGGCTTCCGCAGATCCTCAGCCTGTGTTGGGCGCTTTGCCTTGCGTCTGTGGCGACGGCCTCGACGCTGTACAAGGCCGAGGAAATCGGTAGGTCGACTGGCGCCACGTGAGAGGCTCGGATATACACGAGACGCTGACGTCCTCGTAGATACGATTATGAAACAGGTCGATCTCAACGTAGGACGCGCCTCTACCGCCTCTCTCCTCGCCCAAGTCGGAGCCGCTAACACGACGGGATGACAGTGCCCGGGCCTTACTGCCGACTGCAAAACTATCCTCATGACCCTCAAAACAGACTATCAGAATGGGATCCTCAAGCAGAGCATTCAAGCTCTGGACGAAGCCATGGTAAAATTCCAAAAGGTAGGGACCAGGCCGTGCCCGCCAGAAGCCCAAGATGGTGCTTACAGCTTGCTCAAAACAGGCCGTAAAAGCCACGCCCAACTGCCTAGCCGCCGTGAACCTCTGCGCCAAGAATATTAAGGAGAAAGGGGGCAAATGATATATTGGTACACTTGAATGCTGGCCAGCTCGCTCATGTCCGTTTCCTCGCGTCGACGTCATTGCTTGGCTGGCTTTCTCATTCAGAGCTTGATCCCTAGGCCGGTAACTGGTTTTGAAAATGTAACAGGGTCCGCGGTATATCATATATGATATATGTACACTGCGTTGTTCAGCCTCCTTTATAGCCCCCATAGGTACTCCGTACACGTCACATAGTTAATGCTACGATGCCAGTCCCATGTCCAGCTTGCTAGGAAGTCCGCCATGTTGCTCCCGCAGACCTGTTTCCCGCAGTGCCTCGCAAGCGCCACCACTCGAGAGGCGGTTCATCATTGGGCCTGGACGAGGCAGCCCTGCAGCCCTGGCGTGGGACGGAGAGGATGATTCGAGAAGACGGTGGTGACACAGCCCCACTGGCAAGGCACAGGCCATGAAGAGGGCCACGAAAGAGGGCGAAGAGAACAAGGGAGGCTCGGATCACCTGCTTTTGTTATTGCGTGGCGTGTGTTGCTTGGCAGCAGCGCGAGGAGGTCCCTGACAAGGAGGCCTGGTTACACATATAGCCACACTTGTCCCTCAACTGCGCGGATGAAAATGCTCCGTCGTTACAAGCCTTTATTCACTGTCCTACCAGTTCTCGAGAGATCCCGCCTGACGGCCAATCAAAATGCTCCCAAGTTTTCTGGACTCGACTCGTCGACTGCCCGGTCTCGTGGAGCGCAGCGTCTCCCACAACTCGGCTGTAGAAGCCCCAACTCCCGCAGCCATAGCACTTATTCTCCTATTCACCATTGCCGCCTATGGAATCTATACAAAATCCTCACCGCGTTCCCTACCCGACATACCGCCCAGACGTACATGCGCCGGGACCATCCTCGGAGACGTACCCGACATTGTCGCGACCATCATGGCCAGAGGCAATATCAAGAGGTGGATGGTCAACCAGACTACCCGGCACAGCTCAGACATTGTTCAGATCTCTCCCGCAGGGGTGCTCGGTCGTCCCCTGGTTGTTCTCGTCAACTACCGCGAGGCTCAAGACATACTCCAGCGACGAGGGGCCGACTTCGACGTTGCCAGCCTGCACAACGAAATCTTCCGCGGTATCATGCCTGGAGCCGCCATTACAAACTATACAGATGAGCAGTATAACAGTATTCGAGTCCTGACTCGGGAACTGATGACGGCAAGTTTTCTCTCCAATGTAAGGGGGCCTACCATTGGCATGCCAAGTCCCGAGGCTTATTAGTCACTACCTGCTTCTAGGTGTCGGGACCCAAGCTATACGCCGAAGCATCACGCTTCACAAACACCTGGAAGGCAAAATCCCAAAGAGCCTTGGGCCGGCCGTGGAACGCCTCGCCCGACTTTGAGCGGCTTGCCCTGAACGTGGGCTTCTCCGTCGTGTTTGGGGCAAGGCAGCAGGGCGACGACGAAGCCATCAGCGGCTCCCTGAGTGGCGAGCCGCTTCACGACGACGCGTCCGAGGCCGTCGACTGCGACGAGCCCATTGCCTTTGAGGAGGCGCCGCTGCCCGACATATTTGCCGCGTCCAGGTTGCATAGCCAGGCACTGCTCGACGCTGCCCTTGGAGCGCCGCGGCTCTATTACTTTGCACTCGGCTTCCTGGCCTCGTGGCGGACGTCGCTCGACCTGGTCAACACGTACGTGGGCAAACGAGCCGCAGCCTTTACGCAGGAGCTGGCCAGGGGTGCAAACCCCTGTCCGACATCGCACTTGGAGGCAGCCCTCAGCAAGGACGCCCGACAACACCGGCGGGCCCGGGCCAAGACGGTGCAGGACGAGGCGTACAGCCACCTGCTCGGCATCCATGACACGATTCCGCACTTCATGGACTGGGCCGCCGTCTATCTCGGCATACATCAGCACCTCCAACGCCAGTTGCGGGCCGGTCTGCGAGCCGCCTACCCTCAAGCAGCTGCGGAGCAACGTGATCCGTCCTTGGGGCAAATCATGGAAGCCTCGTGTCCGCTGCTCGATGCCTTCATCCAAGAGGTCCTCCGATGCCGACCACCCGTCTCGTTTCTCCTCAGGGAAGCGCGACGCGATACCACCATCCTGGGCCACTCCATCCCAAAGGGCGCCCAGGTCTTCATCCCAACGTCCGGGCCAGGCCTCACCGAGCCACCCGTCCACACCGCCCAGCCATCAAGCCCCCCGGCAGGCTGGGAGAAGCCCGAGGTGTTCGATCCGGGCCGATGGCTGCGCAACGACCCCGAGACTGGAGAGGCCAAGTTCAACGGCCAGAGCGGTCCGTTCTTGGCCTTTGGAGCCGGCCGGCGCGGTTGTTTTGGCAAGCGCCTGGCCTACCTAAACCTGCGAGTCGTGCTGACGCTGCTTGTGTGGTCCTTTGAATTTGGAGAATTGCCCGATAATATCATGACGGACTTGGGCCTTGAACAACACAAGTCGGCGAAGCCCCGGGCAGCCTGGGTCAGACTGCGCCAAGTGTGTTGTTGAAGTGCTCCCCAGCATATCTTTGCACTACTATACGATAATACGAGGTTGCGCTCATGGGACAGTTTGAAATGCCTGGTAACCAACTAGCTTGAGATGCCTCTGTGTCTGCCTCCTTGCAACTGAATATCAAACAGCGAGCTCCTGAGCATATCCAATCCTGCAGATACACTAATTAAGATACCTGGGTTGCCGCCGAATACGCCGTCACAGGAGTAAGCAAAGCTGTAAATTACTGTGCTACGAAGATGCAACAAAGCATTGATGTAAGGCGCGCGCTGTCAGGTCTGTGGCGGCAAAGGTGGGGGTAAACTTCCGTATGGCAAAGTAGCGGGTAAACCATGTTGGCCAATCAGAAGCGTTTTGTACGGTACGAATAATTCTACGGCGTACAGTATACATCGGCTCTGGCCAATCACAACGCTGCCTCCGGGTGAACTCTGGGTAAATCTGACCAATGATGGTTCTGCAAATAATGAGTAGGCCAATCAAAACGCTGGGTAAGGAAAAAGTGGTCTGCACTTTTTCCTCAGTAAAGAAGCACAGCTGAATCTGCGCACTGCGTGTACTTCGTCACTACGTAGCTCAAATTTACAGCTTTGCTTAATTAGACCATGTTCAAGGATGGGTCTCAACTACGACGTGCGCAGGGCCTCGATCCCCTGCCGGAGATCCTCCTGCAAATCCTCCAGAGCCTCGACCCCGATGCTCAGCCGCAGCAGCCTCCGATCGACGCCACGGTCCGACATGGCCCTCCACTCGATCAGGCTCTCGACGCCGCCGAGGCTAGTGGCGTGGTGAAAGAGCCGCAGCTTGCTCGGGAGCCTCTTGGCCGCGGCCTCGTCCTTCATCCACACGGCGAAGACGGCCCCGTAGCCCCGCGGCATCTGCCTGCGCAGCCAGCTGTCCGGCTGGGCCGCCTCGGGCTGCAGGCTGGCGTGCTGCACGCGGTCGACGAGGGCGGCGGCGGGCGTCGACGCGTCGCCGAGTTGGCGCGACAGCCACGAAACGAGGGCGGTGGCGGTGGCGCTCTGGCGCATGACGCGCAGCTCGAGGGTGCGCAGGGAGCGGAGGCCGAGCCAGCCCTCGAAGCTGCCCATGACGGAACCGAGCACCATGCGCTCGCCGCGCAGGTCGTCTATCCAGTCGAGGCCCGGCCGGACCGTCAGGGTGCCGCAGAGCATGTCGGAGTGGCCGCCAAAGTACTTTGTGCCGCTGTGCATGACGACGTCGGCACCAAAGGCAAGGGGGTCCTGCAAGGGCGGGGGCGCAAAGGTGGCGTCGACGGTGAGGTAGGCGCCGGCGTCGCGGGCCTTTTGGGCATAGAGCGCGAGGTTGCGGGCCTCGCCGACGGGGTTGAACGGCGTCTCGACGTGGACGACGTCGCCGGGCCCGAGGTCCGAGGGGTCGCAGTCGAGGGGCAGCTGCTCGAGGCCGGTGAGGCGGGAGAGGACGTGGATGACGCCGTGGCAGCCGTGGTAGCCGTCGCCTATGGCGATGCGGCGCGGGTTGATGCGGACGAGCATAGCGTGGAAGGCGGCAAGGCCCGAGGCATAGGTCAGCGAGGGCCCGCCGAGGATGGAGGCCAGGACGGCCTCGAGGCGGGCCGTGTTGGGGGCCGTGTAGCGCGAGTAGACGTGCGAGTCGAGCGGCGCCGACGGCTGGGAGAGGAGGGTAAGCTTGGCCCGGCGACGAGGAAGAGAGGGCTCACGTCGACGACGTCGTCGGGGTCCAGCCGGTCTGGATCGTCGGTGTAGCGAAACGTGGTGCTGACGTGCATGGCCGGGGCCACGGCTCGATGGGCGGCGACACGGTCATCGCCATGGACAGTCCTCGAGGCCAGAGACAAGCGGCCGAGGTCGTCCGGCAGCGTCGCCGGTGCTGCGCCGGGAGACATGCTTCTCTGTGTGCGCTCTGTCGCCGTCACTGGCCGTTCAAGCTTGATCTTTCAGGCGGGCGGCGACGGGAGGACGTCTGAATGAACTGTATGTGACTCGACAGCCACCGACTACGGGTAAAAGGGCTTCTTTATTTGATACCTAAGCAAGGGGTGGCGGCGACTGAGGCACCGGAAAGCGCTGAAGGAGCCCCTCTCTCCCCCACCTGCCCCGCGCCGCTGCTGCAACCCCGACGCCGGAGAGAAGAGGGCGCGCCCTTCCGGCGGGGCACCGGCGATTTGAAGGCGTACGGAGGTACTCGGCAGGTACTCGGCAGGTACCCGGCAGGCACCGGTACATAGGTACGCGCACGTGGTCAACGCGGTGCAGTATCCGTACCTCAGTAGACTTCGAGTGGGGGCCGCGCGCACGCAGCCATCGTGGGCTCTCCGGCAGCAAAGCTTACCCCTTCCCGCCCATTCCCTTCACAAACGTGGCATGATTGCCGACGAGCGGGATCAAGGCATTCACTAGCCACGACAAGTCTGGTCGGCTCCCCGACTGCACCCTTTCGCGCCACCCTGCCACCGCCGAGTCCTCCTCGATTGAGCCAAAAACTTCGCACGAGGCTTCGATACCCAGCCGGCTGCGCAATGGCCTCGCAAGCCGCGCCCAAGACCTGCAAGGTCATCACGGCGGAAACCATGGCCAAGCGTCTCCTGGCCGAGGTCAAGGAGACGCTGGCCAAGGTCCAGGGCCCCGACGGTTCGCAGCCCACGCTCGCCGCCTTCCTGGCCAACGAAGACCCGGCCGCCGTCAAGTACGCGGAATGGTCCAAAAAGACATGCGAGGACAAGTGGGGGGCCCATCATCCCTTTTCCTTTCCCTCGTCCTCGCCCGTTGGACGAGAGAGGCCGGCGTCCTTGCGGTGCTGACCTCGTTGCTTTAGCGGCTTCACGTTCGACCTGCGCAGTGTCGACAAGGAAATGCTCGAAGAGGAAATCATGAAGGCCAACGACGATGACGAGGTGGACGGTATCATCGTGTACTACCCCATCTTCCCGCAGAACCCCAGCCACGACAAGTACGTCCAGGAGACGGTCGACCTCTCCAAGGACGTCGAGGGCATGAGCCACAAACACCTGCACAACATGTACCACAACGTCCGGTTCCTGGATCCCCCCGAGAACAAGAAAAAGTCGATCCTCCCTTGCACCCCCCTGGCGGTGGTCAAGATACTAGAGCACCTGCAAATCTACAACGCCATCCTGGCCCCGGGCAACCGCCTGTTCGGCAAGACCATGACCGTCATCAACCGCTCCGAGGTCAACGGACGCCCGCTCGCCGCTCTCTTGGCCAACGACGGCGCCACCGTCTACTCGGTGGACATTACCGGCGTCCAGCTCTTCACCAGAGGCCAGGGCATCAAGCACCCCCGCCACCAGGTCCAAGACAGGGAGGGCTGGGGCCTCAAGGACTGCCTGCCCCTGAGCGACGTGGTCATTGGCGGCGTGCCCGTCGAATCTTTCAAGGTCCCCACCGAGCTCATCCGGGAGGGCGCAGTGTGCATCAACTTTTCCTCCTACAAGAACTTTGACGGCCCTGCTGTCAAGGAAAAGGCTTCCATCTACGTCCCGTCGGTGGGCAAGGTCACCATTGCCGTTTTGCTGCGCAATCTAGTGGTGAGTCGGGGCCCCTTTGACGGGTGTCTGTCGTAGCTAACGCGGCTCAGCGCTTGATTGCCAACCACCCCTCCAAGGGGGACGTGGACAAGGGCATTGTCCAGGCCAAGAGCGAGGCGTTTGCTGATGGTTGACGAACACTGGGAACCATTGGTCTGAGGAGGGAGAAAAAGGGAAAGCTGGGATAGAGTTTGGTCTTGCCTTGCAGTTGTAGTGACGACGAGGATGCGTCGAGGGTGCCGAGTATACAATAGAGCATGGCGATGTGCCCGACAGCACGTACATGGGCCCCCTTTGCGCGGCAGGACTTAATTACCGCAGTCTTTGCCGCTGGCAATAGCATGGCAATAGCTGCGAGCTATTGGCCCGCTCGGCTGCTCGGTGCGCGATAGGGGCGGAGAGCGGCAAGCCTCCCTGGTCAGTGCTGTCGCGAGAACAGACAATCAGACACGCGCAGCAGTATATGTTACTCCGTATCAAAGTCCGAGTTGGGTCAAGCCAGCCCCGTGCATCGCGAAGCCTCGTTTCTTTTTCTTTGCCATGGATGCCGAGTGCGTGGGCCGTCTCACAAGGATGGGCTCTTGGCACGCATCGCGGCACTCACGACTCCAGCGCACGCCATCGACGACGAGCCCTCCCAACACACGACACACGGGCCCGACCCCATCGTCGCCGGTCCCATTATCGCCACGGCAATCTTCCATTAACGGAAACCTCGAGTTGTTTGCACGTTGGTAACAAGCGTCGACATAACGCATCAAGCCGTCACCTCGGTAGACTCACCGTTTGATATCTCTTCTCGTATCTATTTCCACAACCATGTCCCTCAAGCTGCCTATATGCCGTGCCCACCTCGCATCCTCACCGCGAGCAGCCAATTGTATGCCTCCTTATCCACACTGGCTCCCCCAAGACCAGGGCGCCTGCCTTGCACCTGCAATTATCATTAAAGTCGTCGTGCACCAGGGCGAGCCCCCTTCTCCGTAGCCTTTGCACTCCTCATTGAACTGTTCCGTCTCTTGCTCGACCTTGCCAAGGCCAACTGATCCCGGTCAAGCCCGAGCACCATGTGTGTCTAGAAATCCCTCTCGTCTCACTCTGCATCTCCCGAACGCCGTTTGAAAGAATAAGAACCATTACATACAAGTGGCGACAACAATGCAAGCCGTCCTTGGCAAAGTCGACCAACAAGAGGCACCGGCTCCCCAGTCTTGCGTGAGGCGGCGACGCCTACGGGCGCGCCTCGTCCGACGCCTTTGGGCGCTCAATCTGGCCGAGCTCTGAGCCTTGGCCGCTCTGCCCCCTCTTGCGCCCGTGCACGAGGAAGCGCGAGACGCCCGGCTGGCCCGTCGCGTCCCGGTCTGCCGGCTCGCCGAACTTGGAGAAAAAGCCGCGCTTGCGGGGCTGTTGCTGCTTGTTGTCGTCCAGGCCAATGTCCTCGAAGCTCTCCTCGGGAGTCGGTGGCTGGCGACCTATCCTGTGATCTGCAGCCCATCTAGGGGTACGTTGGAGGCGGGCTGAGTCGAGACTTTGGCGTGTATGCAAGTCGTGGCTGATGACGGGAGATCGTGCAGTAATATCCTGCGCCAAGTTAGCAGCTGATGGGTAGACTCCTGGCCCGAGGGTTGGTGCGAGGAGGCTACCCTCCCCCGCGTCAAGGGAAAAAAAGGACGTACAAATGATCGTCTGTACGAGTCAAAGGATTCTCGGGAAATGGAAAAGTGCTCAATGTCGCCAAAGCTACTCCCGGTGTCCGACGACGAGGCCCTCGACGACAGGTACTTGCGCGGCCAAGGGGCCCTCTCCTCGATGGGCGACGGCTGCGAGCGCACATTGTCAGCAGGGCGCAGTCATTACATATAGTATAGAGCAGTGGCCTTACCGGGAGATAGACGCCGCTGTCATTGACGACTGGATGGGCCGAGAGCTGATCAGCCAACCGGTGACAGGGTCTGGTGACGGGGGCTGCGGGCCACCCCCACAGATGGGCCAACGGACGGGTGGGCGCATTGGGGCGCAGGAATGAAGGGTCAGGTCACACACACCGCTCATCTTGTACTCGCCCGTGTCTTGGCTTTTGGCGCTGCGGATGCTGAGCACCGACGACGCCTTGGAGCCGACCGTGTCAACGCGCTCAAAGCCGAGGTTGCGTTCGGGAGGGGCATTTTCGTCGTGGACAGCGACGACAGTGCCGGACCTGCGGGCAAAGGGGTTTCGGATGGGCATGGCGAGAGTAGTTGGGCAGAGAGGCCGACTTGAGGCCTTGAGGTGCGTGCGACCAGGATCGAGGTGGGTTCAATCGAGGAGCTGCCGTCGCCGTTGTCTAGTTAAGGGCGGAGAAGCGGCGGGTAGGTTCGGGGCGCGGTCGACGATGGCAAATGGATGATGGGATGATGAATGATGGGATGATGGGATGAGGAATGATGGATGATGGATGATGGAGATTGAGAGGAGAGTAAGAGTGAGAGATGCTCTGGGAAGAGGGAAACGGGAGGGCGTGAAAAGGTGCAGGCAAAATACAGTTGGACGATGAGCAGGAGGGGGCAAAAGCAGCAGCTATAATTAACCAATGGATGGATGGACGGGCGGTTTTACCATGTGCAAGGAGTGGGACGGACTCGGAGTGCCGGAGAAAATGGCATGGAGGAGGAGGAGGAGGAGGAGGATTGAGTGCCTGGCGATTGGCGTCTCGGATGACGCGCCCGCGACCCGCCTTTAGACTTTAGAGGACCTTTTCCGGGGGAGGAGGCCTTGGCGCCGGTGGATGCCTTTTTGACATATTTGACTTTTCCCCCTTTTCCGGGCGGCTCGACCCCCAACCTTTTTGCCTTTTTTGGAGTTCGTAGGGTAAGTTAGGGTAGAGAGGAACGTGCATCGAGGTCGAGAAGGAGGCGGGCGGTGCCAGTGCGTGGTGAGCGCTGGCCAGAATCGGCTAGAGCCGCGACGTGCCCTGCGAGGTGTCACTTGCCTCGCACTAGGTACCTACCTTAAAAGGTACTTTATACAGTGCCTTGATGTGTGCGTTCCAAGTACCTGGTCGACTCTTGCCGATGGATGCAGGCTCCGGCTGGAGTGGTATTAATTCAATCAAGGCAGAGAAAGAAGAGGAGGAAAGGGCGTGAAGGAAAGGCTCGAATAGGTCCACAGGTGTCAGCATATGCGGTTGGAAAAAGGTGAGCGCCAATCGACCCAACAAGTCGCAGCCCCGTTTCGAGACATGTTGCAAAACAATCCGATCCAGCGTACCTACGCTCAGGGGCTCCCGTCCACGGGGGTTCAACGGCTCGGTGCTCGAGGTTGGCGACGTTGGAGTGTTTGCATACCGTGCTTGCACCAACCAATGCACTGACGCACGCACATGCACACATGCGATACGGAGTAGGCCTAATAATGACACAGATCTCTTTCCTGTGGCCCTCGTGCCTTTGCGATAACCATCACGTGGCAGCAGCCCCGTTGCTTGTACTGTAGTGACAGTCAAAAGTGTACATGTCCGTCGACGACAAACAATGCTTTTCGTACGTGTAGGACCATCGTCTTGGCACCATGACGTAACGCTGGTGTTCGCCGATTCCGACGTCGAGGTGCTTCCAGGTGCTACCCAGTGCTAACGCACACAGCCCCAGTGCGCTGCCGTCGTCGGGGATGCCTGACGGGCCGATTCGGCGACGGGCTCGGGAGCGATTACGGTACAGGCCCGCTGCTGCGTGTGCCCGCTGTAACTTACAGTAAACCTCGGCAGTAAGCGCCGGCTTTTGACGAACAGCAGGGCAAGCAAGGTGCCTCTAGCACGGGATTATAGGCCCACTATTGACTTGGTGCTTTTATTAGTCCGTAGCAGCTCTTTGTCATGCGCTGTAATACCCACCCCACCGACTGCTGGCTGGGCATCGACTGCAGCAGCCAAAGACGGGACGACGCGGGCAGACTTATTATTCATCGACTTGTTCATGGAGCCTGATGATGCCGAAGTCTGACCGTCGCCATGGCCCTGGGTTCACTGGTCAATTCGACGTCTTGTCCGTTTGTCCATGAGATGAAGCGGCAAAGAGAAGGGAAAAGGAGAGCGAGTCCATGCAACCCAATGGCTCTGCTCGATCCAGAGCCGCCAAAGAACAGACGGCAGAGACAAATGCATGCACGCCTGCAGCATCAGACACTCTGCAGCTCCAACGTTGCACCAAACCCCCTCTCCCCCCCTTCTTCCTTCGGCTCGCTCGCCTATCTGTCGTCAACGTTTCTTTCTCTGCAAACACGGCCCTAGCCCTCGGGGCTCGTGGCTTCTCTTGATCATGATATCAGGCATGACCCTGCATGTGCCGGCCACCAGACCAGGGTGTCGACGTTAAGACAAAGCTCTTTGCAATCACTTGGTCATTTTCTAATACCCGTCGTCGACTCCCATTGGCATTCAATCCGGGCAAAAGAAACAGACAAAGGCCAGGCCTCTCCTTCCCCCCACAAACTGGCCGGTGACGGCGCCGTTTCTTTCAATCGCCACAAGAGTCACAGACTCCCAGCTGCTGCCTGCGCCTTTTCATCTCTCCCGCCTGCCGCTGCTCTCACGTTTGCCTCTCGGGAAAAACGGAACAGCAGCCCTGCACACGGACCTGATGCGAGCCAAAGTTCTCGCAGCAGACAAAGTCGAGCAAGCCTCCGTCTCCACGCTCGCCCCAAATGCCTGCCGCCCTCGTGCTGTCTGTCGCTTGACTCGCAAGATCCCATCGCCTGGAAGCTGACGCCCTCTTCGTTCTTCTTCTTCTTATTTGCCTTCTCCTTCGTTTCCGTTCTCCACGTCTTTCGCGGTTGATTGAGAGAAGAGAGGGAAAACAGGCAGAGAAAGAGGGCCTGCTGGGCCGTTTCGCATTCCCCTGTGCAATCCTCGGACCACATGGCCACCTTTTTCGTCGGCTGGGAGCTGTGGCAGGACATGACCTTTGTGAGCACTCCCTCATCAGCTTCCACGGACAGACAGAGCCCACAGCTAACTAACTCGGCGCGACGGGCAGGTTCTGGCCTGCTGCATAGTCCTCGTCTTCCTCTTCGGCGTCGTCAGGCTGTGGTTGAGCAACCGGAAGCTGCGCAAGCACGAGGTCATCGACGAAGAGCGCCGGGTGCGCCTCGCAGAGATGCGACACTGCGGCATCGAAGCCCTGCGAACAACAAACGAGATTCCCTTTGGCGTCCGCGCCCTCGAGAGCGGCGTCGAGGTCGAGGGCATCTGGATATCGCGGTCTAATACGCCCGATGGCTGCCACACCCCGGCCTCGGCTGCGCCCATGGACGAGCAGGGTGCAGGCAAGGGCAAGGAGAGAATGGTCGAGCTGGGACGGCGTCACAGCCCTGATGCGCCCTCTCGGACGACGACGATGCACAGGGCCATGTCACCAGCGGAACCGTCGAGCGATCCCGACAACGCCTCGATGGAAGAAGGTCGGCCGTCTGGGGAACCACACCCTAGGCTGTATACGCCCACGGGGTTCCGCAACGACCAGCGGGCGGTCCACGATTCGCGCCTGTCTCGTGGCTGGAGGGCATCCGCGATTGCGCTGTCCGATACGCAGCAGCGCCCGGTCGCGGCCGGGCCCGTCCCCGGCCGGCCTTGGATCGATTTCCCCAGCGACGCGGCGCCCTATGGCGCGGCCGCGGTCTACGCCAACAGGAGCACGAGGCGGCTGAACACGGGGTTCGAGGTGCTCCCCGCCGGCGTCCTCGGGCCCAGGCAAGAGTTCCTGGCCCACGGCGACGCAGACGGGTGCGAGGTCGAGGTCGGCAACATCCGCCAAGGACAGTCGTCCAAGTTGCAGAAGAGGGCCCGCGGTTGACGAAGCTGCGGCTCCAGAGTTTCAGCCGCTGGCTGCTAATGTGAGTGGGGTCCCGAGGTTGAGCTGGTATGCGGACGGGTCATCCCACATTCATCATCCATCTTGGGTCGCCGGCTACAGCCGCAAACAGTGCGGGGAGTCCCCGCCGTGCATAATATGGATAGATGGGTTCCTTGTCCTCGAGACAGTTTGCATGTATGTACGAAATAACGTGAGACGAGATGAAAATGTATTATTAGTTTGTTCCCGAAACTGCGTCTATCAATGAGCCAAGGCCAAGGTCGAGGCCGCCCTTTCCCTTGCCATAGCGCGGCACCTGATTGGACAAGGCCACTTGCAGGCAGCCGGTTGCTCAGTCAAAGAGGAGCAACGAGCAGCCTGAACAGACTGAACAGCAAAAAAAGAAGTGCCCCAGGCCAGAGTTGAACTGGCGACCTTTCCAAGGCACTTGCCGTTTTCTACAACTTTGTAGTTGAACTGCTCTACCGTTGAGCTACCGGGGCTTTGAGTGTCTGTTGTTGAAGATATTCGCAGCTTTATCGCATTATGTACTCTAAGGCCGCTTTGCCGCAGGTGTCTCGTAATTCGGTCGTGTTCCGATCGATCTGTCGGGGATAACGCCGGGAACATGAGCGACTAGCGTCCACGGGAGGTTGGCCGAGACTGCGTAAGCCCTTGTGCGAAAGGAGGGCCATGTCTGTGTGATCGAGGTCAGTCTACGAGCCGGGACCATAACGCCGTAATCCCCGTCAAGCCCCTGAACCCGACGCCATCGTCTTCACAGCGTAGCAGCAAAAAAAAGAGAAGTCGAGAGGAAACAAAAATGGCAACACAGCCGTCCGCAGCAGTCCACTGGGCAGCAACCACGGGCTTCGACAACGCGGCCGTCGTACCCGGCGCGGACCGTCGACGAGGTCCTCGGCAACTTGGGCCTGGCCCCGCCCGCCCGGGTGGTAGACCTCGCGGCGAGACGGGCAAGTTCACGGAGCTGCTACGGCGGCGGAGCGGGGGGGCGGGTGCTTCGAGGTGATGGCGTGGAGCCCTTGGCCAAGATGAGGGGCGCGCTGGCGGTCAAGCGGTTGCCGGGCGTGACGGTTTGTCCGGGCCTTGCGACCGAGAGGGATGCTTCTGATGGCTGGGCTGATGCTGTCGGTGCTGCCCCGGTGAGTCGTTGTGCTTGTGAGGCCTTGTCTGGCAGACGACGCCGTCTTTCCCTCTCCGTCGCTGAGTCGCTTCCGATTTCGCCGTCATTTCACTGGTGAGTGGCCAAATACTGAGCAGTACCCTTTTTTTTGCGCTTCGATTAGACCGCGGGCTGGGCTCCACGATGCTAGCTAGGTTCGCTCATAAGCAGGCGCTGGAGGAGATACACCGCGTGCTGAAGTGGAGGGGGAAGCTGGGCATGATCTGGAACGGGTAAGACTGTTGAGCCTCCCCTCCCCTTCCCCCAGTTTCCCCTTGGCGTGCTCATCGCCGGCAACAGACAACCAACAGGAAAATGGACAGCAGCGACTCGGTGGGAACAACAACGCAAAGAGTTGATCCTCAAGCTCGATCCCGCCGGGCCGCCGCGCTTTCGCGACGACAAATGGTGGCACGTCTTGGAGCGCCAGTCCCGCGCGGCGAAGCCAATCTTCTCGACGCCCATGGGCGAGAAAAAAAAGGGCACTTCCAGGAATGGCTGAGCGAGACCGGCTTTGAGACAGGGTCAACACCCTGAGCCAGGTCGTGACCCTGCAGGGAGAGAGCAAGGAGGGTTTCAGGGCCAGGTTCGACGAAAACTTGAGAGACGGAGACGGCGACTGGAACGCAGAGGGTCGAGGTCGAGTCCCATGGCGCGACTGTGGATGTGTGGACGGCGAGGCTGTAGGCTGGCGCTTGCGGCGAACAAAAAGGAAAGCGCGTTTGTCGAATCATGGACACGGCAGAGGAGAGACTATACGGTATTTTGGCGTCTCCTCGATTAAGTCCACACTCATGAGTCTGCAGAAATATACATGACTGGAGAGGCCGTCAGCCGGACCGTCTGCAGCAAGACGCGGAAGAGAAAGGCTTACCGTTGTTTCCTCGCACAAAAGCATCGCCATACTCTCTCCGCTTGGCCCCGTTGACATACTCCTCCGTCTTCTCCAGCGCAATGTTCATGTATCCGTCGACGGACTGCAGCTCGCCTAGATTCGCCAAAGCCGTTAGCCGCGCTTGTTCCGGTCGTCGTCGTCGGCTTCCACGCACCCTTGTACACGACGCCCGAGTTGAGCTTGACCACGACCGGGTTGCCGATGATGTCGCTCAGGAAGCTCGAGGGGTCCTTGCCCTCGCCTTGCGTGATGGCTCCGTTCTCCATGGCTGTTGCGGGGGCTTCGTGTGCGTGTAGGATTTCCTTGTCAACTTCGGCGCTCGCCAGTGGATGGCTCGAGCAGATGGTGGGCGAATGATGGAATGGTGCGACCGTGTGTCGGTGAAGTCTGCACAGTATTGTCCGCCTAACCAGGGCGAATGGACAGTTGACCCAGTGTACAGTGCGTTCTGGCGGCGGCGGCGTACCATTTATCCGGCTGCACCTCGGTCCCCAGAGCAAGCAAAGCATCGAGCCTTGAGAGCTTCACGCAGGCAAATATTTACGTGTTCGACGACTGCCGTCGCCCTCGCGCTCCATGGAACGTACACCCGTTACGCTCAATACGGACTGTCAAGCAACATGCAACTCTCTTTGATTCCCACACTGTCTGACCCGTCCAGTTCTGCGGCTCGGTCTCGATTTCGCACCCTCATCACTCTATAATGCATTACTTGCCGCTGCGCCGCACCTCTCTGCGTACCGAACCCATTCGGACTGATGGCGGAGATTGACGACTCCGCAGACAGTCGAGCTGCGTAGAAGCTTTTTCGACTCCCGGTGGACAATGGAAGCGGGCTCATGGATTGCCCATCTCGCTTCGGACGGATGAGACCAGATGACTCCCTTCGACCCGGACCGCCATCGTGTTGGCCAGAATTCTGTAAACCATCTTCCCTACACATGGTCTGGGGTACTGCACATGTCTCGCCACTCTTTAGGGAGCGGCCATTGCGAGTATCATCGCGCATGTCAGCCACGTGCTGCTGTATTGTTTCACGGGCAGCTCGCCTCTCTGCGGCGCCGGTTTCGAAGTCTTCGTGGGCCTCGCCAACGTCTATTTGAGCAGCCAACACAGCTTGGGGCGCTCTGGAGCTGGCGGCCTGGATGAAACTGTCACGGTGCTGTTTCGACATATCCCTGAGGTTCCTGAACGCGACGAAGGAACAGAGTGGTGTGGTCTTACCCCTCGAATGTGACAGAGATCCGGTCCTCCTTGCCTTGCAAACGGAGCGAGATCTGAGACGACGGCAATCGGAGTTGTGGACTCTGAGGTTTGCACCCCGGTTCGCCGATCGAGTTCTCGCAGGGCACGAGGCGTGAGCCATACGTTAGACAGGCTATCCCAAAACCACGTTGAGAAAGAAGTTGGGCGCTCGGTGCAGCCTAGTTTTTGACTTGGTCCTTTTGGCGGGGGTTTCGTCTTGCGAGAGAACATCTGCGCCGCGTCCCTTTCGACTCTGTAACTTGGCCATGGGCGCCTGTCGTGGAGAAGCGCAATCAAGGAGGGGGTGCTGCTGGGCCTCTTAGCCAGCATTTCTAAAATCACGCGCCATGAGGCGATTGAAAGGACGGGGGAACGATGATCTCAGTCCTTTTGCAAGGTGTTAACCGCCCGTTTTGCATCCGCAGGTTGGGATAGTTTGAGAAGCCGTCTTTTCATGGCTATTTCCAGAAATGGTGCTTGGTAGATCAAGGGTGAGCCATCAGGAATTAGGCCCCTATAGCGTTCCAGGTAATAGTGCTTATGCCTTTCTATAAGCCCCCTCTGCAAGCCATGCCTAAGTACTGTTATAGCGCTCTTTATAGGGGCCTTTGTAGTGGCCTGTTACCCTCTAAGTTAATTAGTAGCCCTTGACACATTAGCTAATGTGCGACCGCAGACGCCGGGGTCCTTACGCGACGCGATTCCCCGAAATCTTCCCTTCACGGTCCAACAGACCCCGCTGATGGATTCCACTGACTGCACCGAGGCAAACTTGAAGATTGCTTGCTTCATTTGCTCACCCACTGTTCTTTCAAACGTTTCCTCTTTGACGCCAAACAGCTCACGCCACGATCCTTTGTTGCTGCCGCTGCTACTTTCAGTCTTTCTGCTTCTCCGTGCACGTGCGCGTGCACCTCCAAACGACCCGCCTCAGCGCATCAACATCTTCGCTCCTCCTCCAGCGCTTTGCCCTCGCCATTCACCGACGAAGCCGCCGTCTTGATTCCAGCAAGATGAAGAAGCTGCCATTCAAACCAACGGCTCTGCGCAAGCCTTCGCTGCCGCGGCTGGCCTCTAGCGAAGACGACTCCAAAGGCGGCGACAATGACGACGGGCTCGCCCTCTTTCGAAGATCAAAGGAGATGGAGCCCATCATGGCCGCCGACCGCGAGCGGAGGATGAGGAAGAAGCAGAAGCAAGATGATGAGCGGAGGAGGCAATCTGCGCTGCTGGCAAAGCGATCGCGCGACGACGACGACGACGACGACGAGGATTCCCTCGACGGGCCGCACGACGACCAACTCGACTTCCCCGAGCAGCCGCCCAGTGCGCGCGACCAAAGCATGCCCGCGGTCGATCTTTGCCGGCCGGAAAATGGAGAAGATGGCTTCAGGTTCGCAGACTCTGTACTCTCTACGGTGTTGGAGGTATTGGAACCTGGGAGCCAAAAATCCGGCTGACATGCATACAGTGAACTAGTCACGCCACCCGCGTCGAAGCGCTCGAGAACCGAGTCCACGCAGTCGAAGATGCCCAGCCTCGGCTCGGATGAAGCGGACCTCGTCATGGAGGATTCGCCGTCGAAACGGCCAGAGCGAGCCCAGTCGCATTTCACAACGCCGAGCAACAAATCCAAGGAGATCGCGGCCGCACCACCCAGCGCTCAAGCCACCGCCGTGGTGGTCTCGCCGTCGACGCGGCGTGGACGATCCCTTTCACATGGAGCAACTCCGAGCAACAAGCCCGAGATTGCGGCCGCCCCAAACAGCGCTCAAGCCATCCCTCCCGACTCTGAAGACGACGACGACGACGACAGTGCCGACGAAGACGACGAAGTCCAAATCATCGACACTCCTCCAATACGTCGCAGGAGCGGCGCCGAAATCACCGACACCGCATCCGTGCCATCGCCGCCACCCGCAGACGATGACGAGTTTGGCGAATACGTTCGCAGGGCCGAAGAACAGCATGCGCGCGATAGGGCGCTGCTGGGGAGCGGGGCGGACAAAGGCCAGGGCCGCGAGACGGTTGACATCTTGGTCACTTCAACGGTGCCAAACGCAGGGCCGTGCCGCATGAAGTACCTATTCGACAAGCCCCTGCGAGTGGTGCGGGACAGCTGGGTGGCGGTGCAACGGAGAAACGGGGTGCAGCTCCCACTGCAGCACGACGACGACGTGATTCTCACGTGGCGGAGGAAAAAGGTGTTTATCTTTTCCACCCTGCTCAACCTCGGCATCCGCCCGCAAGGCGACGGCCGTATCCAGGTAGATGGCCATGGCAGGGAGGGCCTGGCCGACAGCCGGACGCGCGTCCACATGGAGGCGTGGACGCCCGAGCTCTTCCAAGAAATGGAGCAACAGGAGGAGCTGCGGCGGAAGCGCGAGGCGGGCGAGCTGAGCGAGTCAGAGGACGAGGCGGCCGACGAGTCTCCCACGCCCGAGGTCAAGATCCGTGTCATCCTCAAGGCGCGGGGCCTCGAGGATGTCAAGCTGACGGTGCGGCCGGAGACGACGGTGGAGACGCTGGTGGTGGGATTCCGGACGCAGCGAAGCATCGGCTCCGACAAAGCCGTCAGCGTGGTGTTTGAGGGGGAGCGGCTCGAGGAGCACGTCACCATGGAGGACGCAGACATTGCCGACATGGATCTCATCGATGTCCATATCAAGTAGGTCTTGGCCCTGAGAGAGGGTCTACGGGGGTTGAAGAGTGCCAGCGAGCGAGCGAGCGAGATACCCGGGCTGGTTTTTGATGCCCTTTCACCCTTTTCTGCAGCCGAGCCGCCGCGATTGTCGGCACGGTAGCTTCTGCGGCAATTGCCAGTCGAACATCTCGAGGAAGCCGTCTCTGCTCTCACATTTGAATACCTAGAGCGATGTCTGCTTTTGAAGATGAGGACTCAAAGCATGACATGCATTCACTGCGCCTAGGCTTGCAGCGGATCCCATCACGTGACTGCGTTACCGCTTCAGTGATTGACCGCCCCACTTCGAAGACCCACCCATTGCGACCATCTCACGTGATGTCGCGATGAGAAACTTCTCTTCCCGTCACTCTCCCGCTCACTCACGTTGACCTCTCTTACACCCTCACTCGGCTTGATATCGCCACTTTTCAAGGCCAAAATGGCGATTCAATTCTGCGATGTCTGCGGAGACACGCTGCCCGTCTCCAAGGACGAAAAAGTCTGCTGTGAGTGTTGCGGCACGAGCAACAAAAGTGCGTCGTCCCCAAGTCATCTTACCCTCCCTTGACGCCGACTAACACGGGCGGGAATGGAAACAAGACACTCTGCTCAACAGCGTCACCGTCTCTTCCACCAGTAACTTCCCCTCGGACCTGCGCAAGAAGCGCACCATCAACGCGCCCAAGCCCATGTCCTCGACCGACACGTGGTCCACGACGGACCTGACGTGCCCCGAGTGCCAGGCCAAAGAGGTGCGCTACACGACGCTGCAGCTGCGCAGCGCCGACGAGGGCTCCACCATGTTTTACTTTTGCCCGGACTGCTCCGCGAGGTGCGTGGTTGCTTCCTCTCCCCCGTGCCGCCCCGTGTCCAATCGTTTTTTCGGCTGCTTACTCCCAGGATCAGGTGGAACGAGAACAACTAGCCTCGCGGCCTGAATGCGTCTCGTGACATTATCGGACTGGGGCTTTTCTGTGAGGTTTACTCAAGCGGCGCAGGTTGTCGTGCTCAGACAATGGTTTCTTTGTTTGGTTTTGTAGTCTTCGGTGAATAATTTCATTGTCAGGGGCATACGCACGGCCCGGTGCAGGGGGGAGGCTATTTGACGCGTTTACGTCAAAGGCTTTTTCAAAGACCCATTTATCATATGGGATCATGGCTGGATTCTGGCGTTTGGGAGCTCAAGAAGGACTTGAGCTTGGTACTTAAAAAGTCCATGGTCGCGCAAGCAATATCCAAGATATCTTGTTCCTCCTTCGCGCACGTCTCAGAGACAGGTTTGCGAAAGAGACCAAGTATAGCAAGCAGTTGCTCACCTCGGAGTCGGGTTGTTTGCTTGTTCTACGTAAGTATCGGCCCGCATTGAACGGCAAACCCATGTGTTCTGTGTAGATCGTTGGAGAACCTACAAAGTACCCGTAATGATAGCAACCAAGAAGCCTATATCTTCAATATATTTTCTCTTCTTATAAAAGGGTATCGGAGCCTCATAGAGCGGAGGCTTTTACTCGCAACCAAGCCGTGAACCGATCAGTCTTTTATCAGGGTATTTCACTTGATGTACCAAGGATGCGTCGCTCGTATTTGGCCACTGCAGTGTCCCGAACATTCAACATTGCTTCTCACACTTTTTTTAAGTCTGATCTTTAAACCATCCCTCGGCCGCCGCTCCGACTCTCATACTGGGCTGACGTTCATGTCGGTGGACCCCCATCATCAATGCCAGGGTCTCGACTCCTTGTTGTTGCAGCGGCGTTTGCGACGAGACAGCTGGATTCGGGGAGGGATTCTTGGTTGTGATCAGTCGGAGTTTGTGAGAGACGAGAGGGTTCAGAGTCTCGGGTTTTGACAGTTTGGGCCTTTTGCAGTACGTCGATGACCAGGCGGGCCAGTAAGGCCGTCGTCGCGGTTGGCGTCCCGGTCGTGAGCTACAGCTTGCACCTCGACGGCTGAAACAGGATTTGGAAATGCGCTGCCGTCATCTGCGGGTTTTGACTCGGGCGGCGTGGTTGACGTCGCAGCTCCGTCAGACTTGTTGGCTCGGTTTTGGTGACGTCTTTCATCTGCTTTAGACTCAAATGCGCGCTTCCTTTTCCGTGCTGGCTCTTGTTTTTGATCATCCACCAGCTAGCTGCCTTTCAGTCGTTGCCTCGGTACTCGTCGAGGTATCTGGGTCTCGCTTTGAAGGGGTCGTGGATGTTGATGGCCGGGTAATGCCGCAATTCGATGCTTGGGCTGGCAGCTCTTGCTCTGAAGATGGAAAGGCAGCTTTGGGCCGGTCCAAGGTATCGAATGGCAAGTGTGGTTCTTGTATGCATATTAGTGGGGATTCTCGTAGGGAGAAGGACTGAGGATTTGCAAACCCAAAGATGGCTGGTGGCCATTTTCATCCGGTGGAAGATATGACGCGAATAGTGCGATGATGGTGTCTAGGGTTGCATATCGGTTGAGCCTCATGAGATAAAACCAGTGGTCGACGCTGACTTTGCGGTTCCGGAGGATGCGGTATATCATTTTGTCGGGAGCTTCCAGCAGTTCGTCCAATCGTTGTTTCTTCCTCTCCTCGAGGCGGGCGAGGAACTCTTGCCTATTGGCCGAGAAGCTGGCTATCTCGTTGACGTCATGGTAGAAGGCGTCTGGGTCCTGCCTGGATGAAGAGAGACGTCGTGTTGAATCGTTGGTGAAGCTGGCCGAAAAGGTCGTTCTCGTCCATGCCAACCCTCCAGAACGGCCAGCGATACTCGGGCTGCCCGTCGAAATCAACCTTTGGTGCATCTCACCACGGCATGATGGTGCTTTCCTATCGGTGCCCGGGGAACAATGAGGTCTGATCCGGTATGATGAGAGATTCACGACAGGGATCAGGAGAGGATCTACAGTGCGTGCATACAGCTACCACGTTCATCGCACAGTACAGACTCAATCAAAGAGGTACCTAGGTGTGCAAGATGTTACGGGCATTCATTTCACTCGATCACCCCTAGGTAGGTAAGGGAGTAGCTGTCTGCGTGTTCAGCGGTACATTGACAACCGAGAAATTGACAAGGTGAATAAAGTTTCGTCAATTCTCGCCAGGGCAGCAGCTATAATAGCCGTTCATCGCAGCTTGTCGGCCAGGTAGCCTGCAGGGCCCGACGAGATACGCGGAATACCTACCAGGTAGGTAGGTAGGTACCTAGGCCGGTACCTAGGCATAAAGGGGAGGTACCTCGGCGCTGCCTAATTTATGGGGCAGGCGCTTGCAGTTGGACCCTTTGCGCGTGATTGGCCGTCGACTCGCGCAAGGCACATCCATCCATGCAACCACTCCCCCTCGGCAACCTCTCCGACCAATCCCGCCAAACGGACAACATCAATCTGTCACACGGGCGGGCAGCATCCAACCTGCCAGACAGCTCACATCATGCACTCACGATGCAGTCGTCGGAGCGTTATCATTTTGCTGGCGCATTGCGTTTCAAATTCACACAATCGATAACCCTCGTTCCCGCCGGCGCTGAGCCCACGGCATCGCGACTTGGAAGCTCAAGCAGGCCCTCGACCTACCTGTATTAAAGCTTCGCCCCGAGACATGTGGCCTATCCCTCTGGGCACTGGCAAGCCAGCGTCGAAAAAATATGTCGTCACCCAGCCTCACCCAGACGGCTATCTCGAGGCTCGTCTGGCTGCCGAGGCTAACCCTCAAAGCGGCCACAGGCCGCATGATTTGCCCGTGTCCGTCCACGACCCGTGCCTCGATGCACCCTCCAATGTACGGGCCATCCTCTCTTCCGGGCCCTGCTTCGGTGGCCTGGTCAAGATGAATCTGTCTCTCCTTCTCCTTTCGCCCCCATATCCTCGACGACAGCAAGCTCGATGACGAGGGACGGCAGGTGCTGCGTCCTCGCGAGTCATGCATCATCATGCCTGGCCCATGGAGAATTTCTTCGGCACAGGATGAGCTAAAAATATGGACTGATCTCCTCCTGCTCCGTCGACGCTATGCTTTGGTGAAGAGGACCCCAGCAGCGGACAAGGCGGCCAGAAGAGAAGAGGCAGTCCTGCTCCCATCTCAGGCCCGCCGAAGCGACTTCGCCACGACGGTCAAGATGACGCTGATCATAGCGTTGTCCTGTTCAACAGTCCATCCGAGGTAAGCCAGCTGACCAGTCATCGACCCACGTATATCCATCCAACCTGACTGACTCATTTCGCCCAGATCACATCAGTGGCCCAAGACAAACTCACAGTTGTCGACGCATATTACCCACTACTCGACCCCAAGCCGGGAGAAGTCTTCACCATCAGCTCCTGCGCCGGCAATAAAGAGCTTCCACCCGCACCCGCTCCAACTTCATGTACGTCGGAGAATTACTCGCTCACGCATCTTCGAGACATCGTCATCAACAGAGGCCTGGCCTCAAATCCTCACGATCAGCTATGCACGGGGGGATCATCTTGGTATGTACCTTACGGATTCTTTCAAAGGAGTCAAAGAGGATTTGAGGGTGATGTCATTGCATTGGGCGTGACAGCATTGTACCTCTTGAGGAAGGTCCCGCTACCCGATCTGACCGAACCCGGACGGCCTATCCACAGTGCTTCCAAAGACCCAACGCAAGCTCGAATCATGGAGGCATGGCATGACGAGGTCAAGGAGGTACGAAACGGGCTGGCAAGCGCCGGAATCGAGTCGGTAGTAAGGGATACCTTGGCCTCGGCGGCACTGGAAAGAGCTACCGCCCAGAGCATCCTTGAGATGTGCTTGATGGGAAATTGCCGAGGGTATGCCATGTTCAGTAACGTTGACTGGACAGTGTTGAGGAGAAGCACACTCAAAGTATGTTTACCAAGAGTATGATTACGACATAGGTAGCCCAAGCTGGGGCAGCAGCCGGGTAGGGGGTCAAACGAGAGGCAAGTAGCCGGGCCCATGGGCCGGTAGGCAGTCGGGCAAGTAAATAAGCAGCTAGATAGGTCGGTGGCAGGGCAGCCGGGCAGGTAGTTAATCGGGTGGTCAATCGGGCAGTCAGTCAAGGAGTTAGTAGTCATTTAGTCAAGCAGTCGGGCACTCAGCCGAGACAGCCAGCCGTACGAGTAGACCACGCGTAGTTCATGCGATGCCATTACTCGCAGATAAGGATGCGATTCTACGGCTGCGTGAACCGCACTGGGAAAGGGGGCGATGGACGTGTTGTCGGCCAAATATGAAGCACCACGTACGAATAGAGATGGGCGAATAATTAGTTATTATCCATAGTAATGCGTCCGTAATGCTCACAGTAATATTGTAAATGTCCATAGTAATACGGAGTGGTCACAGTACAGATAATGTTTGTACAGAGTAGTAATGCTTACTTACAGTAATCTGTAATGCCCGTAGTAATGCTTACGGTAAACTGTAATGCTGTAGTAATGCTTACAGTAATCTGTAATGTTTGTAGTAATACCCACAGTGCAGATAATCTCAGAGTAATGCTTACAGTAATCTATAATGCTAATTAACTAGTAACGCTGTAAATGCTCAGAGTAATGCTCTTCGAAAAAGACTTGCACTTGAACACTCCACCTAGATCTATCTAGTCCTTCACGTGCCATCAAGACACCACCGTTCCAGAGCAAACGTCCTTGGAACGCTAATGGCACTCTCGTGTCAAGTTTACATGCCCTAGACTAATGATGCTCGCAGTCGACTCAAGGTTATGAGCATCCGCCGCGTCCACGGACAGTAATGATCCACGCCATGAAATACACGGTAGGCCGAAGTCAATAGCACGTTACAAATGACGCTCTGTAGTCTCTCGCCTCGACGTCCAACATGCCTATCCGCGAGTCCTATTCAGCACTCTCGACTCCGAGCAAGTGCATTCCTCCTCACACCAGCAGGTTTAGCACAGCCATAGACCGTCAGCCAGCCATCACGCCTCCCATCAGGTTCGCTTCTCAAGCTTCGATTGCGTCACACGCGGCACTTGAAACGGGCGGGGCCGAGGCGGCATCCTGGCAACGCGGCTTGTCGAGAGTACCGGGGGTGAGGGGCGGCGACCCGGCGATTGCCTCGGCGGCTTTGCTGTCGCTCGACGCGCATTTAAACACGAGGCTGTCGGCCGAGCTTCGACGCTCGGGCCGCAGCGGCGGAAGAGAACACGCAGCGTCGGCCTCTAGCTGGACCGACGACTCAGGTAGGCGTTTCCGGCCCGCACCGCTGCCTGGGATGTTCTTGCCAGCCTTGAAGGTCTGCATGACGGTAATCTTGGGCGGCGGCAATTTGGCCTTTGCGGGCCGGTTGGTCTTGCGAGAACGAGGCTTGGACCCCTTGGCGGGCTGTTGATCGGCGTAGGCATCAATCTTGTTGCCAAAAGTAATCTTGGTCTGATTGGACTTGAACGCGAGCTTCTTGGAGGAAACGGGCGGGCTCGGGCGTGGCGTCGGAATGGTCTGGATTGCCTCGACTTGTCTTGGCTTGGCATCGAGCTGGATCTCGGCGTCTGACTTGGTTGGGCTGGATGGAATGCTAATCTCGATGCTGCTCTTCCGCAGACTCTCGAGCTTCTCGGCGTACTGCTCTTGCGACACGAGGTAGTCGTCGCCAATCTCGCAGTCAAAGGGTGGCAGGGCAGCCAGCCTAGCCACGTTGTCGCACCTGGAGCGCACAACGAGATCCCAACAGTCCTTGAAATCTGCCCCCTTAGGCTCGGGGTCGATATTGATCCAGGCTGTGAAGCCATCCTTTCGTCCCCGAGCGACTTGGCACATCTCCTTGACGAGCCGACGTGTGCCGGGAACCTTAAGGGTGGTGCCGACGACAATGACGGCATCGGGGCGAGTCTTGAGGTCGGCCTTGGCCACGTTGCCAATCGCCTCCTCGTCCGGGTTGAACTCGTTGTAGAGGACAAATCTGGGCCGTAAGCGGCCGATTCCGTGGCTGCGCTTGCCGGCAAAGGCTGTGCGCACCTGATCTCGCTCTTTGCACATTTCGCACAGGGGGGCTTCGGGCCCATCGAAGAGATCACCGTTGAAGGGCTGCAGGTCACCACACTTTGTGCACACCATCTTCTGGAGGCCGCCGTGGAGCTGAATGGTGGGGGGCCAGGGACCCTTGGGCTCGAGGGGCACGGCGGTAGCGAGTGGCTCCATGGAGGTGTCGATGCAGTCGATGTTTTGCGAATATAGCCGCAGCAAGCGTCCTTCCTTGGCGAGAGAGGCGAGCAGGTGGTGGAAGGGGGTCGGGGAAGCACCCTTGGTTAGATGGGCCATTTCCCTGACCATGGTGTGAAAGGATTGTGTCGAGGAATCGTGCTTGTAGACGGAGGCGTCGAAGAGGTGCTTGCCCGAGGCCTTTAGTTTGTGCTGACTTTTAGCCGTAGCGAAGAGTCCGGTCGAGGAGCGAAAGTCGGGTATGCCGGCCGAGACGGAGATTCCGGCGCCGGCGATGACGACGATTTTCTTCTTCTTCCTGAGGGCGGACAGCAATCGTTGCAGATGAAAATTGTCCTCGTGGGTGGCCTCCTCGTTGGGCTTGGCCAGATCCAGATAGGCGGTGCTGCGGACTCTCGGGGGCGCCAGCCTCCGCTTCTTTGTTGGTCGCGGGCTGTCGTCAGCAATGGGGTCGCCGAGCTTGATGGGCGACTGTGTGCCCGAGACGGTGGACGAGGACATTGGCGAGGGATAGCGATCCGCGGCATCGGGCTGGACGACGGGAGAGCTGGGCAGGGAGGGCGTGTTTGAAAGCCTAGTGAGCGGCGACGAGGCCGAAGAGGCCAGGCGCGAGGACAAGGGACTCGAACTGCTGTCCATTGTATCCGGGGGTCGGGGTGGACGGGAGTCGTCACGGGCAGGAGCGAAAGCAGCTGTGAAGGGAGGAAAGAAGCGAAGCAGGCCGGTGAGCGTCTTCTAGACCATGGCGAGCCAAGGGATGCGTCGTTTTTCCGCGGTTTCCCAGCCAAGAGTCGGGTCGAGTTGACGGGATGGATTGAAAGTGTGCTTCAGTGGGGGAGAATGGAGGCGCTTGATTTGGTGGTTCTTTTTTTTCTCTCCTTTTCTCCTCCACCTCGAACGAGAAGCGGCGTGCGAGCAAGAGTGGGCTCGTTGCGTGTGGCGGCGTCGCGCGTCGATTTGGAGTCTTGTGTGATGTTTTAATTGCAAATAGCGAAAAGCTGATATGTGCGTCGCGTAGAGGCGAGCAAGAGCGGCCAAGGAGTGAGAACAGAGGGGGAAAGGAGGGCGCTTGGAAGAGAGCGCGGGGAGCAAAGTGAGGGAAAGAGAGGTTGAAGGTTGGAGGTCGGCAAGCGGAGGCGGTCGGCAGGGGCGAGGGAAGGAGCGGGAGACGGCGGAAGGCACCTAGAAAGGGGAGTCGGCGGTACCACTTTCCTTTTTAGCGGCTGTCGCAGAATGAGCGACTGACGAAGACCGCCGGCGGATTGCACAGACGGACGGACTGCGCTGCACAGGCCGATGGGGAATCCTTGCTTATCTATCCTGAGCAGTCGGGCTTTCCTTCTCGATGTTTTCGTGTTTATTTCTCCGAGCTGAACCGCCGTCATCTTGCTTGTTATTCTTGTTGTGTGCGTCCATGCGCCGTCCACTCTGAGTGATAACGCTCACAGTGCCGAGTACTGGCCTGCAAGTACCCCCTGTTTATTAAGCTGCCGCTCTCCTCGCATCCTGGAGCGAGAGCGTTGCCATTGCCGCTAGCCTGGCCCGGCGCTCTCGCTGGCAATTCGACGGCCACGGCTTTGCTCGTTGAATCGGTATTGTTGGGGCACATGGTTTGGTTTGTGGTGCTGGTGGAGAATAAGATGTGGTGATGCTTGCTTAGTCCACCAATACGTACGGTCAGAATTCCTCGTCTCCTATCCCATTCCACTAAATGCCTCTTCCCTTCTCTGCTCTAGGCCCAGTAGCATGAGACGTAATAGGGGGTATCCTCTTCAGCGAGGCATCTCGTTTCCAACGCAAGCACAATCGGTTTGCAAAACGTCGACACCAAAAGGAAAAAAGCTGTAAATTGGAAGGTACGTACCCCACAATCCCGTGCGGGGAGGGCCAAATGTGGTTTAATTATCCAGCAATCTTTTAGAGCTTGCAGGCGCCCTAGATCATACCCGAAACAACAAATTGACTCGCGCCCAATCCGCACTGCAGCTTACGACATCATGCTCTCGTTAGGTCGCCTCCCCGCGGAAGCTCAGTTTCAATTAGACCAGACAAGATGCAACGGACACAGCCAGGTAATCGATACCTCCATCTTCACAGGATCTGCAGGTACCTTGCCGTACAGTGCACTTTTCAGTTGGTTTCCCTGGAAACCGTCCACCGTGGGGCCGCCCCACTTCTTTCCACGCGGGAGACTGCAGTGGATCCGCATGCATCCAACGCCATTCCTGATTCGTCAGTCAGACTATTAGGGTACCTCATACTGTACAAGCTGCGACTTCAGCTTCTTCTTCACATCTTCTGTCGGGCCCGGTCCGCCTTGGCCTCAGTCGTGACGGACAAGAGCTCCGTACCCCCGGCCCCGTCGCCTCCCTTGCCTCGGTCGCTGCCGTTCCTCGATATCAGCTCCATGCCCAGGACACCCGTTGCCATGCCCGCCAGGTGCGAGGCCAGGTCGACCTGCAACCGCGCCGTCGTCCCCAGGCTCGCCAACTGCATCGCCACCAGCAGGGCCAGGAACACGATGCCATGCACCCCGTCGCGCGGCAAGCCAAACATGCGGAACCCGTCGTTCCGGTGCTCCCAGAAGTAGGCCGAGCACAGCCCCAGCGTCGCCCCCGAGGCCCCCAACGACGTCACCGTCAGCCAGCCTCGTAGCGTGTACGTCGCCAGGCTGCCCAGAAAGCCCACGGCGCCGCAGCCCACGTACAGCGTCAGGAACTCGGCACGCCCCATCTCCTCGTGCAGCCGCGTGCCCACCAGCCACAGCGGCACCATATTGATCAACATGTGCCGGAGCGACTTGTGCGAGAAGGGCGCCGTGAAGAGCGTCGCGGGCTTGACCGTCGCCACCACAAAGATCATGTACCGGTTGAAGAGCGACCACAGCGGCGGCACCCTCCACCCCAGCCAGATGAGCGCGTTGACGGCTATGAGGGCTCCCACCGTGGCTTGCGACGCCGGAATGTCCCGCAGCAGCCTGAACCGCGGCATTGGCTCCTCGTACACGGTGCACACGGCCGCCAGAAAGCCCAGCACCAGCACCACCGCCGTTGCCGACGGCAGGATGCGTTCCCAGGCCTTCATCTCGGGCGGCGCCTCCAGGTCCGACTGTGCCTCCTTGTGGTACTCGGCAATCATCGGGTTCGTAGGCAGGCGCGTCTGCTCTTGTGCCTCGGCAAGGGGCCCAGCGACCTCTTCTTCTTCCTCAGCGCGCTGCCGCTCTTCCCCGAGGGCCTTTTCCTTGGCCTTTCGCTTGGCAATGTTGCGTGCCCGGATCTCGTCGAGCATGCTGCGGCCGTAGACCGGGTCCGGTTTGTAGGCTGTCGCCGAGGCTTCCCCAATATCTTTGGCCTCGCCCACCCTCTTTTTGTTCTTCTGTATCTCCTGTTCCAGCTGCTGCTCCCGCTCCAACTGCTCCAGCTCGTCCTCGGCCCTCAGTCCGGCATTGACAACCTCGTCGACCGGCACCGTCTTGCGCAGGTAGGCGAGCCCCGCGGCCACCTGCTCGGGGGTAAACTGCGCCGTGTGGATGGCAAAGGCCGGATCCTCGAGGGTCCCAGCGACTCTTCGTCCGTGTAGGATCCGCAGCAGCTCATTAGCCTCTTGGGCACTCAAGCCCGGTCCGAATATCTCCTTGGTCTGCGACAGCCCCAGCTCCCTGCCGCCAAACGCAAGGCCGTGTTGGTCGCGATAGCTCCGCGGCAGGTCCTCGTATGCGCGCACGATCTTTGCCGAGGAGAAGATAGTTCGATGGGGGCCGAGACGATGGCTAGCGGGGGCGTGCGTCGGCACCTTGGAGGCATGCCACCTACCGCGGCGGAGGGCATGGGGCGTCCGGGCCTGGCACGCGCGGGCGGTGGAGAGCCATCGCGAGGGCGCCGTCGACAGCAGAGACGGGGCTGGCAGTCCCCTGGGTGCGAGGCCGGACCTCAGCAGCGCGCGCGAGGCATTGGGGCAGAAGAGGAGGCTGCCCATTGCTGGCAGAGCCGTGCCAAGGCTGACTGGTGGGCGCGTGGGTGGTAGCCCTGCGGATTATCGAAGCGGGCGGGTAGATGAGCTCGGTCCGGCGTCGATGTCGACGCTGGGTGGTGACCGTTTTTTTTTTGGCCTGTCCAATGAAGCGGAAGCCGATACGCAAGGCTGCGAGGTCGGTACCTGGCTTGAGGTATGTACCTAGACGGCCACCTCAGATCTCCACTCTTGCGTAAGCAGTCCCTGCAACATCAGAAAGGCTCCCCTCGCATCAGCCTTCCGCCCCATCGTCCTCGCCCTCAAGCCAGCACTCAACCAGGGCCACAAGACACTCCTCCCCCGCGCGCCCTTTTGCCCACGAGAGGCCCCTCGTGCCCTCCCCCAACGCCCACCATGTCCTCGGCCGACACGCGCCCCATCTCGCCCGCCCGCTTCGCCGCCGCCCTCAAGGACCTCTCCCCCAGCATGCTGCACCTCAAGGCCCTGGAGATCCGCAACTCGGTCGCCCACCTGCAGTACTCCAACGACCAGCTCAGGCCCTTTGCCGAGGGCTCCGTTGCCCCCACCACCGACGAGAGCACCAGCGGTGGTGGCCAGCCGGACCAGGACTGCGTCGACGCCATCCGCGAAAACGAAGTCGTCATCGACCGCATGGCCGAGCGCGTCGCCCTCATCCGCGCTGAGGTCGAGCAGCGCGGCTTGAGCTGGGCCGAGTTCCAGGACGTGGACGAGCGGCGGGATATGGCCGAGGCCAAGCAGGCCAACGGCGACGGCGGCGCCGCCCGTGACGCGCCGGAGACGGGTCGACATGCGGCCTGGTCCGACGGCACCTTTCAGACGGGGTCGATACGCGGTGGCCAGGTCCACCTCGACGGCCCGCCGGGCGCACAGGCCGGGACGGCCGGGGGCAGCCTGTCTGACGAGCAGCTGAGACAAGCCGTCGAGGAGCAACTACGCAACCTGGGGCATGATGACGATGGCGGCGGCGATGACGGCGATGGCGGCGTTCATCTTTGAACAAGGACGAGTTTGCAACCGCGGGGCACAGCAGCATGGACGGCGTTATCGGGAAACATGACGCCATGTACCGGGTACATATTTGATTTCGGCGACTATCAATACCCATTTCCTCCCGCACACGGCTGTCGGACACGACACGCAGTCACCACGATGATACGGTGCGAATGATGGATACAGTAGAGGGTGGGTGTGAGGGGCTTCTCTCCAGGCGCAAGCGTTGATGCTCTTCTTTTTGGCTTGCCGCGACTCGGGAGGAGAAAGAAAAGAAGAATGATGAAGCCCTCGATGCGATGGCGCAGCGGGCTGGTGATTTCGCCTGTCCCTTTTTGTTTGACCAAAAGAAATAATGATGAAAAAACCGCTGTCTGGCGCCGCGCCCATGAATCCGATGGTAAAACAAACCCATAAAAACACCCGGCATGCTCCCCTAAAGCAGAAAAGAACGAGACTCGAAAGACAAGGGATGGAGAGAAGAAAATAAAAATCAAAGACGCGACGCTGTATGTCTAGAAATGAAAGATTCGTTTCGGACGCCGGCTACTCCGTGTCGTCGCCGACGGGCGAGTTTGCCCAGGTCGTGGTCCTGTTCCTCCGCGACTTTTGTCGTTTGGTGGATTTTCGCGACATGGTCTGGCCACCTTCGCCGGCGTCCATGCTGGGAATCGTCTCCAGCTTCGGCCGGCGCGCGGCTCGTGTCGAACCGCTCGTGGAGCGGCTGGCCACGTCGGTGATGTGCGGCTGGGTAGCGCCCTCCTCGTCGTCCGAGTCGAGACCGTGGTGGGCGGGGCGCGGGCGCCGTCGGCTCTTCTTGCGCCTGTCAAAGGGGTTCTCTTGCGAGTCGTCGGATTCGTTGAGCGACAGGCTCCGGCTGCGCGCGTAGTTCGTGGAGCGCCGGCTCCGGGGTCGGAAGAGGGACTCGATCAGCTCCCTCTCGGTCGGGTTGCTCTCCTTCCTCGACCGCTCCTGTGCCAGCTTGTCCTGCAGCGCGCGGCCGGCCTGAGTCTCGTCGGAACCCATTGTCCTCCCGCTCGACTTGCTCCCGCTGCTGACGGCGCGCGAGACGGGGACTTTGCCCTCCATGATCTTGGCCGGTGGGGGCGGCTGGAGCATCCACTTGCGCGCGTCGCGGTGGGGGGGTTTGCTGCTGACGACGGGGGGGTGGTAGTCGTTGACGGGGGGGTTCCTGGGGGAAAAGTAAAAGTCGTGACGCTCTTGATCCGTCACCTCCTTATCGATGCCGAGGGTGGCATCGATGAGCCTGCCGGCCGAGTCACGGGCCTTGGAGAAGGCGTCCATGAGCCTTGTGCCTGAGGCACCAAACTGACCCCACAGCTCCTCGTCCTCGCGCTGGTAGCCGCGTCGCGTGTTCCAGTCATCGGAGACGGCGTCGTCCTCGGGCATGGTGGACGGGCTGTCGCCAAAGTTTGTGCGGCTGTCGCCCATGGCGGTGTGCTCCGACATGCTCGGGATGCTGCTACTCTCCCTGCCGGAGCTGGTGAGGCCGCGCTGGCTCGAGTTCTTGCTGACGGCCTTCTTGGGCAGGCTGGGGCCCATGCTAATCTCGTCCTGCCAGTATGGGTTCGTGTTGAAGGGTGAGGGGTGGCGGTAGAGGCCGGGCTGCTCCGTCTCGAGCTTTGCCTTTTCCTGCCTCTCCTTCTTGGCCTGGCCCTTGGCCTTTTGGCGGTGGCGGACCTTTGCACATGGCGTGCAGGCGACCAAGTAGAAGACGGCCGACTGGACGGCGACAGGGAAGGACATAGCGTCTGCTGTTCTAACGCCGCATCCAGGATGCCCTCGGGGATTGGCTGCGGACAAGGCGCGGGGACATGGGAGTGAATTGTGCGGGACACCGGCAGCGACGGTACCACGGCAGTCGGCGCAGGCGGGACGGAGACTGGCAGAGCAGCCCTTCGGAGGTGGCGGGCGAGGCAGCCGGGGATGGAGAGGAGGCCGGCGCAGGCAGCCAGATAAAGCGGCGGGTGGTGGCAGGCGTCTTGGGCAGGCGTCTTGGGCGGGCGGCCGGGCGGGTTGGAATGGAATTCGCAGATCGAGGAGTGTGTCGAGGGGGCGTTGTTGGTTCGGGACAAAGGGTCAATCGGGAAAGGGGGGCGTCTGTTCTAAACCCAAAGGATGTCTGAGATGCGGCACCCGAGGGCCGTTCATGGATGAGATTTGCGGGGGCCGAGTCGGAGTCGAGGTCGACGGAAGAGAGGAGCGAGAGGTGACGGCGAGAGAAGGAGAATAAGGGACGACGGAGATGGATTGATGAAGCAGGGAAATCAACCATCCGGGCAGAGAGCGAGAGAGAGAGAGGGTCGAAACGGGAGGCGGAGCTGGCTGGGGCTGTTTTTCTTGTACCCTGAACATGTACTGTACCTACGCTGCATCTTGACGTTACCTGCATCAGGTTGAGGCGAGCTGCGTACCGACTCTCGTGCTGTACTAACAGTTGTTGCAATGAGGGCCAGCCTCGCCCCGGTAGCCCAGTACCTCGAATCTGCTCTCGGATTCAACCTTGGTTCCCCCACCCCCCCTTTTCCCCTCCTCCCCAGTTCCTCGGGGGCTCTAGCAGGAGCCTCCCTGACACTGTACATGCCACTATACATGCCACTGTACATGCCACTGTACATGCTGCCCCTACAAACACGGTACAGTACAGGCAGGCCGCCGCCAGGCATCTCCCCGGACCGCTGGATGCTCTAAAAAAAGGTCGCGTCGGATAACTACACGGGTGACGGGGTTGGGCCTTGAGATCGCCATCCGGCTGCAGCTTCGCATCGGAGTGCAGCAATGTATCCATACCTGATTCCTTTGCTGCCCCGTCAGCCACTTGCCGGGAGCGCATTTCTGTCTCCCTTGCACGTCAAAATATGTCTCGCTGAGCTTTGCCTTGGCAAGTCAGTACGTAGCAACTTTTATTTTGCTCCGCCTCAATTTCCCTGGGCCCAAGGTTCCCAAGAATCCATTGCGGCAATACCGTAACTTACGTGTCTAGATGAACGCATTTGCTTGACCGAAAACGCCAAGGCCTTCCCTGTCCCTCCCTGTCTGGTTTCCCTGTCTGGTCTCCCTGTCTGGTCTCCCTGTAATATCACCGGGGCATGCCTGGGCTGGGCGACTCGAGGCAGCCCGCATGTTTCTCCAGCCGCGCGCCGCTGCATGCCATGCGGCTGCCGGCCGCGCCTGTCCAGCCCCTCGGGTCGGGAGCCGTGGATTTGGACAAGAGACGGCAGGCATAGATATACTCCGTCAGGGGTACGAGGGAAGAGGGTGGCGCCAAGCAAAGGGCTTGACTCCAATCAGTATGTATCCGTATATGTGAATGCCATCCGAGGACCACCCTCTGGAGCTCACGACGTCCCGCATTACCGGCCGTCATCTCGGCTTTCCAAGGGCCATGCCGCGCGAGTCGCCGCCATCAGCACAACCAGTCCCGGCGCATGCAATCAGCTGCTGTGTCCTGTGACAAGAAAAGGCGCAGAGCCCCCCACAGCCGCCTGCAACCCCCCCAGCCGGCCAATCTCTCTCCATCTCCAGTGCTCCTGAGATTGGACGCGGTGGGCGGCGCCGCATTGGCCCCCCATGCGCTAAATGTACAGTCCATGTCGCCCGTACATGCACTGCCCACCGCCGCCGCGTTGCTCTATTTCCAGGTCATTTGCTGGTCCCAACCGCCTGCCCTTATCGTGGCTTGGGTGCAGTTGCATGTCCGAATCCGCCGTCTCGGGTCCCTTCTCGTCAAACGCGTCCCTGCACAGCTGTTCTCTCCTCGGGGCACTCTTCCGCACGGCGACGGCCATGCATCTACCTACAGTACAGTACATACAACAAGCTACACCTATAAACAGCACCCCCATCCGTAGGCCGTGGCTTTAGCTTTGTCATGCCCCTGGCTTCCCAATCTGTCGTCCGCCCAGATCCCTCCATCCTTGCTGCCTACCCTTGTGCCCACGTTTTATCCCCAACCGAGCTTTCTCTCTCGGAGCCACTGAAGGCCACGCCTCGCTCGCGTCGACAGTGCTTGTTTACAGAGTACTTGGTTCTCAAATTGAAGCCCCCTCTGCCCAGCTTTAAATAAAAAAATACCGCTACATCCTTACACGCAAAGGTTCCTTCTGAATGCCACCCTCGCCGTCGCAGCCCCCCAGCATTGACAGCACTCCCAGCAAGCCCACCCCCGTGACCGAGCCCATACATGCATCCGAGTCCTCATCCCACCCTCTCAACACCATTTTTTTCTCCTTTCACTTGGGTCCCGCCGTCTTTTGAACCTAACCCCCAAGAATAACACAAACAGAGCGTTACACGATCACAAGGGAACAGAGGTGAAAAGGACAAGGGGGACTGTGTGCCGTCTGGCACCTAATGTACAGGGGCAGCAGAGCGTTTGGTGCTGCCCCCATGCCCCGGAAATGCAGTGCTTTGCAATTGATCCTGTGCAGTCAATCTTGTAATCTTCCTCTCGCCAATCTCTTCGCCATTTCCTCATACGTCCCATTCCTCCTCCTCTTCGGGGCCCTCGTCGTTGGTAAGGGCCGAGAACGAGCCGCCAAAGTTTTGGGGAGCCGGGGCTTTGGGTGGGCTCTTGTTGGTGCTGGCGGCGAGCTGCTTGGGCTGGGCCGCAGGTTGCGTCTGCACCTTCTCGTCGCCCGAGGAGACTGAGGGGGCCTTCTTGGCAGCCTTCTTGGAAGATTTGGTCGTCACTGTGTTCCAATCATCGGCCTCGTCCTTGAGCATCTCCATCTGTACCTCTTCGGAGGGGAGAGACGAGATCCAAGAGCTCTCCGACTTGGCGCCCGACGGCGGCTCCGTGGCTGACTGCTGCTTCACGGCAGTCGGGACCGCCTTCACCTGCGTGTCCAGGGGTTGGTGGAGGACGCCGGCGTCGGGCGTCTGGCCGGCGCTGGCGCCATTGGGTGCGCCCTGGATCCAGGCAGAGCTGGCTGGTTTGGCAGCCTGGAACAGGGAGCCGTCCTTGGCGGCACGGCCCTCGGCGATGCGGGCAGCGCGTCGCTGCTTCTCCTCCAGGGTCTTTCGCTCCTTTTCCGACTCCTCGCGAGCTGCCTTGGCAGCCTCGGCCTTCTTGCGGTTCTGGCGCTGCTTCTTCGACTCCGTCTTCTCCGGGGCCTTGGCCGGCTTGGACTTCTGTTTCTGGGGCTCGGCTCCGGTAACGCGCAGGACCGAAGGGCCGGCCGGTGTGGGCTCCAGCATGTCGCTGACGCCGCTCACGTCCGCTGGAGGGGTCTGAGGCGATGAAGGGGGCGATTGATCGTCATCGGCGTCGGCGCCCGTGGTCGAGGACGGGGCCGACGGGACCGACAACTTGTCCTCGGCGACGCGGTTCGAAATCTGGTTGGCGCGAGACTGCTTGACCGACTTCTCTCGCTGCTTCGCCCCTTCGGCCTTCGCGGCAAACTTGGTGCCTTCCTGCGCCTTGGCCAGCTGCCTGGCAAACTCGCGATTGTCGGCGCCGTCATCCGATTTGTCGTTAGGGACTGGTCTGGATTGTGTGCTGTGCTCTTCGGCGGTTTTGTCACGGGGCTTTTCTTTGGCGGCTTCTTGCACCTCAGAGGCGAAGCTCTCCATGCGCTGCTTCTTCTTCCTGTCCTCCTTGCGTGGCTCTTGGTGCGAGGGCTTGGCGCCCCTGGGCGCAGCGGGGGCGGTTCGTCTATTGGCCTTGTGTGTTGAGACGTGGTAGAGTGCATATCCAACACCAATCAAGGTAGCGTAGCCACCAACAGTGTAGAGGTAGCTCATGGTGGGGAGGTTGAGTACTTGGGTTTTGGCCGAGGTGGCGGTCGTGCGTCGTAGTTACGTTCGATGATGCGGATCCCGAGGGGTCGAGACGACGATGGGACTCGAGTGGCCGCCTGGGTCGGGTGCAGCAAATGCGGCCTACAAAGGGAAAAGGACGATGAGAGCAATGCGGAGGAAAATGGCGAACCTGGGGCCCGAGTTGCGTTGAGCGAGGCGCGTCGAAATGCAGGGCCCGGCCTGGTGTGTCGGTCAATCGAGTGGCCAGGCTGTCTTCAACGGGGGTGGCCCGTCTGCGGGACACGCAATGGTTCGTCAACCGCGTGGCGACTCAGGGGGTGGGAGAAGGGAGAGCCGAGGAGGAAACGAGGCCAGCAGGCAAGGGAAAAAGACGGGAGGATGGAGGGAGGGGGAAGATAGCGTGGTGAATAAGTAGGGAGAAGGAAGAGAAAATAATTTCACGGCGACCTGGTCGGAAGGTTGAGGCGCCTGTGGAGGAGGACCTGCCTACGAAATACCTTGGCCGTAATAACTGGTATAAGGGGGGGGGGAGGGATATGTACAGTACACGGTGGATACAGTAAGGCACGGTGTAGACTGTACAGTACGGCGAGGCATCCGGGCCCGTGGAACGACGGCGGGTACGGACGTCAAGGGCAGTACCGCGACCAGCTTCGTCGTCGAGGGCTGCAGAGAAAGGGCTTCTGTGTGCAAAAGGGTTCGCGTGAGACGCGGAGCGAGGGCGGAGCGCGGTCGGCGAGCTGCCCTCGAGGGGGACAAGGGGAGAGAGAGAGTGTTCTCGTACAGTACGAAGTACAGGGCACCTCGGCAATGACTAAGACGGGTTGTCCACCCGTCGGAGACCCTTACAGTGAAGCTGGTGGGGTTTGACGGAATGGGCACCCAGGACACGTCTCTGCTCCAGGCCGCCCCTGGCTGCTGCCGCCGGAGATGATTGCCCGATATTTATCGACCGATTGTCGTTGCTATGTACCCGGGCGAGCTCGTAAGCTCGTAGAGAGCGGGAGTCCGAGGGGTACCTGAGCACAGCACGAGCCAGCACTGAACTGAGGGAGGACAGATGAGGTAGGTGGCAAGTTAAAGCTCCTTGCCTGATTTCATACAGTGCGCAAGCATGAGGCCATCTCTGCCCGTACAGGCAACACCACGTGATATGCCCAGGTATGCCATCTGCTGCTACCCGGGAGCCTTGACCGTTGCCCACTTCCGACTTGCAACGAGCTCAGACCCTGCCATGGCAACTTGCAGATAAACCAGCCAAGAGCATATTTACGACCTGCCTCTAAATACCCGTACGAAGAACTGGCGCGCAACAATGGGCACAGGTGCTATGGCGAGAAAACTACGCGAAAACTACGCGCGCATCCACGACAAAGGCTCATTCCCACCTCGCAACAAGAGGACAGCCATTGCCTCGCCACACATGAATGGCGACGGCGCATTCGATCCGGAAATGTATGCATCTACAGTGAAGCACAGCAGCATTCGGGACGCTGCATGTTTGCCGTATGCCAGGTCCCGCGGAACCGGCCGGCCGGGCTCGCCGTTGGCTCCGGGACAGTTGACAGTTGGACACAGTCCACTCCTTTTCCTCTTCCCCTCCCCCACACACACCCGAGGGAGGGAGGGGAATCAACAATTGAGGGGCCCTCGGCTACCGACATACTTTTTTTCAAGCTTCAAACTACCTCCGTAGCTTTATTCTGCAATATCAAGGGCCCAAGAAAACGGTACAGGGTAGAGCTCCTCACGGCTTGTTGGGAAAGCACCGCCGAGTCTCTCGTGGCCGCATTGCAGTACGATATTGGTGCGAGTCCGCCCAAAGGAGTTCTGTACATGCTGCGCTCGCGCCGAGGTTCGGCCCACTGCGTCCGTCCCCTCACGCTCAACCTCCACCGTCATCACCACTCGCCTGTTTCAAAACCAGCTCCCAACTTGAGCAACGACGTTGGTTTCGGAGACAGCCATCCTACGACATGGCTCCTCACAAAATCATCATCGACACCGACCCAGGTACGTCGTCGCCCCGAGACAGACACACGACCGTCTAACCTCACCCCGAGGTGTCGACGACATCATGGCCATGCTCCTCGCTCTCAGCGCCTCTCCCGACGAGCTCGACGTCGCCATGCTATCCGTGACATATGGCAATGTTCCCCTGCAGAGGTAAAGAACCTTGCAACGACCCGCCTGTCCATCTCTCGGCTCACACGCCCAGCTGCCTGCGCAACGTCGTCGCCCTTTTCCATGTCCTGGAAAAGGAGCTTGCCTGGAGAAAGCAGACCGGCCGCCTCGAGGGCTACGGCGCCATGAAGGCGTCCAAGCCCATCGTTGCCGTCGGCCCCGAGCACTCCCTCGAGGACGAGGTCCTCATGGCCGACTATTTCCGTATGTTGCCGCCCGAGCATGCAGGGTCCCGCGTTGCCAGTGGCTGATATCGACCGTCCCAGATGGGGAGGATGGGTTGCACAACGTCCACGACACGCATCCCCATCTATGTCCCGCCGACACTTGGAAGTCTCTTTTCCACAACGAGGCCGACGCCTCGCCCGACGACTCCGTCGTGTCGCCTTATTTCACGCCGTCAAAGCAGCCCGCCCATCTCGAGATTCTGCGCATCCTCCGCGAAAACCCCGTCGACACCGTCTCCATCCTCGCCGTCGGGCCTCTGACCAACGTCGCCCTCGCCGCCGCTGAGGATCCAGAGACGTTCCTCCGAGTCAGGGAGCTGGTGGTCATGGGTGGCGCCGTCCATGTCGAGGGGAACGTGACGCCCGTCGCCGAATTCAACTGCTATGCAGATGCCGTCGCTGCGGCTCGCCTCTATGCCCTCACGTCCATGACGCCGGCGTCCACGATGCCTCCCATTCCCGCAAAGCTCTCGACCCTTCCGCCGTACCCGCCCAAGCTGTGGCGCCAGCTCAGGCTGACCCTGGCCCCCCTCGACATCACCACCCCCCATTTGATCACAAAGAACTACTTTGCCGTGCGCATACAGCCGCACATTGATGCCGGCAGCCCGCTCGCCACGTGGACGTCGCACTTTATCAAGGGTGCATTTTCCAAGATTGAGTCGATGGAGGGTGACGGCAACGAGCCGGGCCTGTCCCTGCACGACCCACTGACTGTCTGGTACATCTTGACGCGCGACGACCCCCTCTGGAAGTTTCCCGCCAAACTGGAGGACATCCGCATCGAAACCTCGGGCCAGTGGACGCGAGGCATGCACGTCGTCGACAAGCGCCTGAGAGCAAAGCCCGCCGAGGCTGCAGCAGCGGTTTCTTCGGATCCTCGCGACGACGTCGAGGTGGTCACGCTGGACGAGGTTCCCGGAGACACCATGGGGTGGCTGAGCGTCCGCAAGGGGAACAGGATCAACCGCATCATTGCATCGCCAGGCGAGGAGGTCTTCAAGGACGTCTGGATGAGTCGTGTGTTTGCCTGAGCCATGGAAGTGGGCGCTTCCTGAAGAGGCTTCGAGAGCGTCAGCAAGCCGTGGACGAGGCGTCAAGCTCCAAGCATCGCCAATCAAGGCTATCAAGGAAAGGAGGAAGAGGTCATGTAAAGTTCCATACCCTAGCGAAAGGCAACGAGGGCTCTGTAGAACGTTTTGTATTTCCCCAGACTCCGTGACCATGCAAACAATTTCAACTCGTCGAAGCTAGACCAACTTCCATGTCATGCAGCCGAAACGCAAGGGCAGCTGGCGAAAAATTCAGACGGCGCGGCAAGGGGAGCGAGGCTAAATGTGCTTGGTGGTTCCGATTGTCGAGCCTCTGACTTCCGACCAGTCGATGCTCTGGTCGAGCTTCTCGTCGACCAGCCCGACCGAACACACGCTGTCTCCGCGCACCAGGTATAGCCCCAACTTCACCTCGGCCGAGGGCTCCGGATCGTCTTGCTCTCGAATGACCCTCTCGACGGCCTCGGTCAGGACCTGCGGAAGCACGCGTGCGCGTCAGCTCAAGCGATACACGCACAGGCATACACAGCCGCAGGAGACGGGAAGTGACGAGGTAGAGAAGAAAGGAAAGGGGCGGCGTACAAGGTTGGTCGACTGATCGGCCGCGGCGAGGGTGCCGACCAAGATTCTCGAGTCGGCCGTCACGATCAGCACCTTTTCTAGAGCGGGAGAGTTGGAAGTCAGCGCTGGACCGCCGCCGAGCTGGTTGGAGAGAGCTGCTGACTGTTCAGGTAGCCTCCGAGGGTGGCCATGGTCAGACGAGGGATGGGGTGGAAGCTGTCACAGGCCAGCGAAAAGGGTCGCCGGGGGGCGGTTTTCGAAGCTACTTCGTGGGGTGATGAAGCTGCTGCTGGTGGCGGCCGGGGTGGAGGAGAAGCTTCGGCCCAGGCAGCCTCGCCCGCCAAGGAAAAATCAGGCACAAAAGTGACTCGTGAGTCAAGGTACTCCGTACCTACGATAATGTTACCCACGCCCGCGCACTGTAGTACCGCACTGTGCAAACGCAGACTGCTATTCAGACCTCGAGGTTCTGCACAGGCACGATGGGAGACTCGCATGCAATGAAGCTCTTCCAGTGCGTAGTTTTGGTTGTAGAGAAGGCATCGCACCTGGATGATCCTGCTGCTTGTTTGGCGCGTGACGGCCAGGCGAGCTTCTACGGTCCGGGGGGACGCTCGTTGACGGGGAGAGCAAGCTTTGCTTCGGCTATCACTGGTCCTGGAATGGTGCAGTGCTACGCGTTTGGCGAGTGCTAGATTGAGCTTTGCCGCTGGCGAAGCTTGCTCAAGCTTGCTCAATCTCATCGCGTCACGACGCGTGGAACCGCTCATCCGCGAGCACAACACCGCCCACTTCTCGTCAGGTCCATCGAGCTCTTTCACGCCCATCAGAAAACTAGTGACAGGAAAGCAAGCTGCTGATGCGTGAGCATAACGTCGCATTCACGCATCACTCGAGCTCCCTTACGTTCAGAACAGACCACTTTGCACCACGGGGAATTTAACTGTTGCCGACATGCCACTTCTTCTTCACCGCACCGGACGCACCGGTACGAGCAATGAAAAAGGATTGAGCCCGCGTAGTTCGCGTCACCTGGAGGCAGTGTAATACCAGGGACACAGTGGGCGGCACCATGCGCAATGCGCAGAGGATCCCACCCATATTCCAAAAATAAGAATAATCACGATTAGCCTCCTTAGAGGCCTTTCAGAGATTAAACTGAAAAGAACAGATACTACACTTGATCTAAGCCAAAAGGCAAAGAGAGCTAAGGAGAAAGGAAGAAAAGATTCTAAAATTCAGGCGGGCGCGGCAGGATTTTATAGCTGTAAAGAGTGGAGTCGGGCGGTGTGGGCTGGTGGGCACGGCAGAAATAATGACCAATCAAAGACTTCCTGAAGCCTGGATTTCCAGGCGCGAAAGTCTGCGACCAACAAGTGCGGGCACCTGCGCGTGCCCACCAAGGTACGTACACGCATTGGTTGGCTCTTGGATGCGAACTTTTTAACTTGAACCGTGGTATCACCGAATCATTCAGCCGAAGGCTGACTCTACATCAATCCATAAGTTTCCCGAATAATGAGGGTTTGGTGCAGACAGGGGTCAATAAGTTTCCCGAGTTCTGATTGGCCCGAATTTTGTATGGACGGCCGCAAAACGTGCAACAATTGGATAACGGCTGCAAAAATGTGGGACTAGGTGTCTGTGGCCCGTAGCAACCCTGGTTTGTTTACTTGCGCGTCGCCTTGACGTGGAAACTTCGTTGAAGCAACGCGTCTTGATGCGTGGTTCGCGAAGTACTGAGTCCTAAGTCTACTCCCTCAAGGGCTTCAAGATGGACTTGATTTCCATCGTCTGTGCCCGCTGTGGCGAGGAGAAACCGGCGGGTGACTTCGTCAGCAAACGGAAGTCTGTTTGGAAGACCAAGAACTGCCTCGCCTGTCGTAGTCAGTGCAATTCTCATGTCAGCTCCGTCTTCCTCACTCCGTAAGGCCATTCAACGCTAACTAAATGAAGAACTCCAGATCCAGAGGCGCGACCTGACGTTGAGGAATCTCGCCGCCCGTCCTTCCTTAGCCGAGAGACCTGCTCCGAAGAGAACTGAAGGGAATGCTGGTCTATCGCCTTGCAACAGAGATCCGGAACCCGGCCCACATCGCCAGAGAAGCTACGGCAACTTCATACAACTAGGAGGTTATTCGGAGAAAGAGCCAGCCCCAGGTAGTGCTTGGGACGCCAATTCCACCAACCCAACAGAGCTCGCGGCTCTTCCGGACTCTTGCTCCCTCCCCCACCGTACAGCCAACGACCCATCCGATCGCCTCAGATTCTAGTCCGTTTACTGTACGAAGCATCAGCATAGCCGACAAAGATTACTCTTACCTAGCGTCTAGGTTCCACAAAGGTGGGAAGCACTCACAAGATGATGCCTCCAAGACTGGGGCGAGGGCCAAGCAGGCCGCTATCCAGCGCGGCCACCGTTCACGGCGTCGTGCAGGGAGATTGTGTCACCGACTCCACAATATCCCAACTCGGCGTCTTTAAAGGTTCGGAGGTTCCTGGAGAAGATATCCTTGCGCTGTGCTCGCAGTGGTTTGTTTGCGCTAACCACGGAACGTAGGTGCGAGTCAAGATCGACCGCAGCTGATTGGGCTTCCAGATGGGGATGAGGTAAGGAGGGAAGGACATGACAGCGGCCAGTTCTCTGAGTCCGATATTGACGCTGAGGACTACTTCAACTTGCTGCTTTCACCCGCTCGACCTCGCCGGTACCTCAAACAATTAGGGGTGGAGCCCGATTCCGATCTAGGGGACGAAGACGAGGACAGCGATGATGATTACGTGGATGGAAGCCCTCTTCGCCATCGCATGCGGCAGCCTTCGGCACAGCCAAGGCGTGGCGGCCGTGGTCCTGCCCCAGGTACAGGAGGGCGGCCGAGACAATCTCGAAGGCAAACTCGACCGTTGAGGCCGCCACGACGTGTTCGGAGCCCGGTAATGATTCCACCTGAACAGTCGGCGGTATTTCACGCACAAGATCCGGCGTGGAATGGCGACCTCGACGCTTGCGCCTTGACTGACCGTGACAAGACCACCCTCCGCGAGTTCTGGACAAAGCTGGACAATGACCAAATGCAGTTTTGCAGTCGATGCCAAGAGAGTTGGTTTCAGATGAATATCGATACCGACGGCATTTGTGCGCGTTGCTATCGAAAGGATGCGAAACGCGGCCCCCGCGAGCCGTATTTCTTCTCTGCGGATAATCAGCTCGACTTTGGCCCTGTGTCGGCCCGGTTGCCCGAGCTTACGCCTACCGAAGAGTCGTTGATTGCTCGCGTTCACGCCCACGTCAACATTATGCTTGTGCGAGGGCAGCAGTACAAATATCGGGGGCACGTCGTTCACTTCCTCCGCGAGGTTGGCTTAGTGTACAACCAGCTCCCGCTGTTGCCGCAGGAGTTGAACACTGTATTATTACGGCCTGCCAATACGTCGTCCCACGCCAATCTTAGCCGGCAATTCACCCGCCAGTTCCGTGTGCGCCGCCAGGCGGTTGTGATATGGCTCAACTACCTGCGGCGCCATCATCCTGGCTATCGATGCATCGTTATCGACGAAGAGCGGCTGAGCCAACTGCCTGAGAATGGCAATATCCTGGATGCAATACCCCAAAGTCAGGTGGAGGCTGCCGATGTTGGACCCGAGGAAGATCACGAGGCAGAGCCTGACCTAGAGGACGAAGCTGCGGTGCCGGACCTTTTGGCCAAGGACACGGAGCTCGATGCTCTGCGGGCTATTCTCACTAGAGAATCAGAAGCTGATGCAGAGCTTCCCACGAACGTCAGGCTCGGCCGCAACACGAGTTGCAGCTCCCGAATATACGGCACACGCCAATAAACGAGTTCAATCGCTCTCATGCCCTTCTCTCCTTGGCCTTTCCTGCCTCTTTCCTGACGGTAGAGCTGACTTTGTTGAGCCTCGATTACGCTCCATTGATTACAAGGATTACATTGAGCACGCGATGCGTTGGCATGACGGGCGTTTTGCCCGCCACCCGACCTTCCGCTTCGTCGCATTCAACACTCTAATGCGGTCACAGGCACGTACACGGTCCAAGTTCTTTGTGAAGCAGCACGATGGCACTCATGAAGCGCTCACAAGAGAGCGGCTTGTTCAGGCGCTCCAGCACAGCGAGGACCCCGAGGCGCAGGCGCTGATCAACTCGATCACAAGACACGCAGTGTCTATTCGCGGTACACGCCCTTCTGGAACAAAAGAGGCAGGACCTGGAGGCTTATGCCTATAACCTTGGCTGTCCTGCTGCATTCATCACATTTAGCCCGGCAGATCTGCACTGGCGGAGTCTCTACCAACACATGCCCCGATATGAAGAATGGCTGGCCGCATCCGAGTCGGAGAGGATGGCTCTATCCCGCCAGTTATTGCGGCAGAACCCTCACATTGCAGCTTTCCACTTCTACCGCCGATACTGCTTCTTTCGGGATATCGTGTTAAGGAAGAAGTTCAACGTCACGGATTACTGGGATCGGTATGAATGGCAGGGCCGTGGTAGCCCGCACAACCATGGCCTGTACTGGATGGAGGATTGCCCGGGACCGACATGGAGGACGAAGCCGCTCGTGAGGTATTCGCACGCACGTGGGGATTTCACATCACCGCTATCAACCCCGAGCCGAGTAGGACTGTGCCTCAAGGTGAGGGTAATCCCCTGAGCGCGGATCCGCTGGGCACGGAGATGACGTTCTTGCGGCTCTCGCAAATTGTCAACCGCTGCCAGCGTCACAAATGCAATACCACGTACTGCTTGCGCGTCAGAAAGCGAACGGGCGATCTAGCGAGGACATGGAGGCGGCTGCTGCAGATATCGAGGCTGCAAATGCGGCCAATCCAGAGAGGAGTGCCGCTTTGACTTCCTCGCGCCTTGCGGGAGCTGGCCGCAGTTATGAGGAAGGAAGGAAGGTCGTACTTCGTCTTCGAGGCGGCCCGGAACGACAGCCTCATGAACCATTTCAATCCTGCTATTGTCCTAGGCTGGCTGGCCAATATCGACATATCTCCTTGCACCAGCTTACAGGCGGTTATTACGTACGCTGCGAAGTACTGCAGCAAATCTGAGAAGAAGACCGAGCCATACTGCAAGCTGGCCGACCAGGTGTTGCCACACACAGCGCACCTTCAGCCCCTGCTCTCCTTCTCCTCTCGCCTTATGAATAAGCTGATTGCCGAGAGGATTACTCGGCGCAAGAGATTTCCCACCTGCTGCTCAACATCCCTCTGCAGGAAGGTACGCGGATGGTGGTGTACGTCGACTGCCGCCCGTTGGAGCATCATGCGCGGTCGTACCGCGTCGACGATGATGTCAATGAGACTGTCGGCAGCTACCAGAAATATCTGGAGAGAAATGGTCAGCATGAACGAGTAACCTACCTTGAGTACCTTCAGTCGTACAATCTCAAGACGTGGAGGATACTCTGTGCGAACGCGAAGAAGAGGGTCCTGTCTTACTTCCTCGGTACCGGCCGGAGGCTTCTCCCCAGTTTAATGACTTCTGCCGTGTCAAGTTGATGATGGTCCATCCGCATCGCTACCCAGAGGAGTTGCTCACTGTGGGCGGGCAGCGGTTCGAATCTTTCGCGGCCGCGTACCAATACTGCCGACAGCAGCACCATTCCCATGAGGACGACCATTACGGAGAGCCAGGAGCAAAGGAACTGAGGGCAGAGGACGATCAGTTTGAGCTGGAGGAGCATGTGGATCCCGTTGTGGAAGAAGATTGGCATGAACTCGCCCGCATGCTGCCGGATCATCCGCTGGGGGAAGAGGACATCGACATACTCGGCCGCCGAGACCTCGATGTGAATTATGATTGGACTCCCACGTTGGACGGTATACCGACAGTGGCATTCTGACCGGCGACTACTGGAAGCAGCGCAAAGCGGAGAACCCCATGTCCCTTGAGGTGGATGATCAACCCTTGGATGCTCGCGATTCCCTAAATCCGGAGCAGCGTCTAGTGTACGACACGGTCATGGACCACTTTCTGACCCAGCACGCTTCCCAGCTGCTGCTCCACGTAGATGGCGGAGGCGGCACCGGCAAGTCATACCTCATTAACATACTCTCCGCCCACCTCCAAGCCGCCGCAGGCGGGAGGGGAACGCCTGTTTGGCGTGCCGCTCCCACAGGCGTTGCGGGAAATCAGATTTCGGGCACTACCTTGCACTCCCTGTTGCATCTCCCAATCAACAAAGACTTCAAGCCCCTGTTAGCGATTGACAAGGCTCAGCTCCAGAAGAAGCTTAAGGATGTCAAGTACCTGATCATTGATGAGAAGAGCATGCTAGGACTGCGTCAACTATCATGGATCGATGACCGTCTCCGCGAGGCGTTCCCGAATCGGAATGAGGAATTCTTTGGCGGCCTGAATATCCTGTTGGTTGGCGACTTCTTTCAACTTCCCCCAGTGCTGCAGAAGCCGCTTTATTACGACAAGGAAGTGCAGGGAGTAGAGATCAAGGGCCGGAACGCATATCGGCGCTTCGACAAGACGGTCTTCTTAAATGTTGTCCAGCGTCAGCGTGGTGACGACCAGGAGGCATTTCGCACGGCCCTCGGGGAATTGCGACTGCACCAACTATCCAGGGAGTCCTGGAAGCTCCTCTCCAGTCGTGTACAGGCGAAGCTAGACGATCGGGAGGTTGCCAAGTTCGACAACGCCTTACGGGTGTACGCCACGAAAGACAGGGTCAACGAGTTCAACCACTACCACCTCGACCGCCTCGGCCGGCCTGTCATCCAGGTAATGGCCAAAAACGTAGGCCCTGGCGCCGCGGCAGCGCCTGATGACAAGGCGGGCAACCTTGCGAAGCAGATCCCCATATGCATTGGCTCCCGTCTGATGCTGACGTCCAACCTTTGGCAGCCAGTTGGCCTCTGCAACGGCGCTCGTGGCACAGTTCACGATATCGGCTGGGCACCTGGGGCCGACCCCATCCAAGACCCTCCCTGCGTTATCATGATGGAGTTTGACAAATACAGCGGACCGGTATTCCTGACCACCCCTGATGGCAGGAAGATTGTGCCGATTCTCCCAGTGGAGAGGGACTTCCTCATCGGAGCCACTCTCTGCACTCGCACCCAGTTTCCTCTGATCGTATGCTATGCAATTACCGTGCACAAGTCACAAAGCATCACCGAGGACATGGTCGTTACAGATCTGTCCTGCCGAGACTTCCAGACTGGTTTAAGCTACGTGGCCGTCTCACGCGTGAAGACGCTGCAGGGTCTGATGCTGGATGCGCCGTTTGACCGCAATCACCTGACTTACGCGTCTCCACCCGAGGGCATCAAAATGAAGATGAGGGATCAGGAGATCCGCAGACGACAGGTTCTTACTCGGAACCCCTACGAGACATACCACGGGCCAGCGTAACTCCAGGTGATGCAACTCGCATTAGAGAAATACTGCCGAAAATATCCGTGGGCGTAGATAAGGTAACAATTACATGCTTGTAGATGATTTGACTGCTCGGTGATTGACCGCTTGGCCCGTTGGCCCGCGGACTCGCAGCCTTCGGCTGATTGTACGCCTTGCACAACCGCTCTAAACTGCAAGGCGTGACGTAGTATTTTACATTTGCATGCTGAAATGCAGCCTGCTTCTATGATATAAGTCACCAACTGCGCCCGAGGCCCAGGTATCGCTGCCCTTCAAACGCCACCAGGCTCCTGGACGCCTGCATGCCAAAACATTGTCATTCTCCTCCGTGCTGCTTGCTGACGGCCGGCTCTCGTCAAGATGTGACAACTCGAGCAAATTACCCTGAAACGCCTCGTCTTTCCTGCCTTCCAAGCTCCGCCGCCCACTCTCAACCTTCCACCAGCTCACCCTCATCTTCCGAGAGTCTCGCTCGCTTCTCCGCTCTTCCCTGAACAGCGCTAGAGTCAGCATCGAAGTCTTTTCTCTTGGGTGGGGACCTTGGACCACTGTCGGCCCCGTCTGCCCCAGGTTGACATGCTGTCTCATGATTCCGATCCCTCTCGGCTCCCCTGTCGGTGACGCCGTTTGTTCTCGCTATTGGGCTGCGGCTGGCTCGCTCGACGTCCATCGGGGTTCCGCCGGTGGACGAGAGCGTATCTGCTTGGCTCAACAGCGTGTCCGCTCGCCGCCGCGTATTCTCCAGGTCAAACGCGGGCGACGGGAGCGACGGGTTCTGCTTCCTAAGCGGGTTCTCCGTGTAGAACTGTCGCATGACCTCGATGGCCCTGGCGCAGCGGTCCTCGTCCCCGTTCAGATACTTCCACCACGGATCCCCGCCAATGTCGTCAATCTGTTGACTGGTGTGGACGCTGGCAAAGAAAATAGCGCTAATGGCCACGTCTCTCGCCTCGATGAGGAGCGGCAGCGCCGTCAGGCAGGCGTCGTTACAAAAAGCCCAAGCTGCCTGTCTCAAGTGCTTGTTGTGAACAATTTCCAGCTGTCCGAGGAGCTCAAACAGGTGACGGTACGGGTTGTCAACCATGAGGTCAAAGGTCAGTTGTTCCAGCATAATTTCCTCATAGGTGAGGATGCTATCCCGCCATCGCCAGTATTCTTTGCTCTGCTCGTCAATCACGAGTTTTGCATTCTTCTGGGCCACCTTTGCGACCGCAATAATGATATCTTTGGTTTTCCTGCAATTCTCCTCGACCTTGTTCGCGAGGAACAGCGCGGTGGCGGCAATGTTCTGCGACGAATCATTAGCATGGCCTGTGAACAAAGCCCAAGGCGTACCGAGGCCGGCGCAAAACAACATGGACGGGGGAATCACTCACATAATGATGAATGCCACCTCTTTCCTGCACCATGCCGAAGCGCATGTAGAATCTGTGGAAGAAAACGCCGGCCACCCAGAGTGTGATCTGCGGCAGGTCCAGCATGACACCGGCCTGGTAGATGAAGTTGATGCCCTTTGCTCTTCGCAGCCTCTCCTCGGACGGGGGAATGCCGTCGACGATGCTCGGAGTGCTGTGCACCTCGTCCGAGGTGAAGAACCATTGATTCAACGGGGCCATGGGCGTCTGCCTGCCGGATTGCGAGGGGGACCGTTGGCTGGAGAGGGTATTCGGTCGCGGGGGGGACGTTCGCGTGCTGTGTTGAGGAGGCGTGGGCGCCGCAGGGGGCACATTGCGGCGTCGAGGAGGGGATCGCGACGCCTGTTCGTTGCGGGAACCGCTCGGGAGACTGGGCGGCTGGTAGCCTTCGCGAGGCGGCCGGTAGCGATCAATGCTCGCCATCTCCGGCAGAGACTACGTCGGACTGGCAATCAGTAGGAGGGAGCGGAGTCGATGGAAACGCATGGGGTAAACAAGCGCGCGCCGAGCAGAGAGAGAGACAGAGAGAGAGAGAAGCAAGCCGGGTAGCGTTGGTCAATGGTGGAGGTGGTGAGGAGAGGCGAGCGACGGGTCGCGACCGCAATGGCAGTTCGGCCGTTATCTAATCTCACGGTCACCTGACCCGCCACCATGCATCCACGTTTGCTGCCCAGGCGATCCGTCTCTTCAACCGGGGATTTTTGGTGCAATTCTGAACAGGCACAACCTTGAACAAGGCAGAAGGCCATTCATGGGGTATATTTGACTGTCACGTGCACGTCTCTACCTGTACATGGCTGGCTGGCTCAGAGTGCCTCTCCGTCATTCCGCCCCCACAGCTTCACGGTCCGATCGTGGCCCCCGCTGACGATCCATGTTCCATCCCTGCTATAGTCGACGCTGGCCACCGGTGCCGTGTGGCCACTCAGCGTCTGGATCAGCGTCCAGTCGTCTGCGGAAAAGACCTTGACGTTTCGGTCGAAGCCGCTCGACACGAAGAAGGTGTCGGATTTCTTGGGGATCCGCCCCCCTTTCTCGTCCACGCCCGTCGGTGTTCCGTCGATGGGCTCGTCGAGGCCCTTGAACCACCGCATGTCCGACACGGTGCTGCTGTGCGCGCCGATGCCGCCGGTCCTCTGTACCTTTCGCACGTCCCAGCACTTGACCCATCCGTCAGCGGACCCGGACAGAACCCGGTGGCCATCGGAACTCCAGTCGAGGGCGTGGATGGGTTTGATGTGCCCGTCCAAGTGCCCGTCCAGGATCATGACTGTCCTGCCCGATCTCAAGTCCCATATCCTGCCAATGCTATCGAAGCCCGCGCTCGCCAGCAAAGACCCATCGTTGTTGAAGTTAATGGTGTAAACACCTCTGGAATGACCCTCCTGCAGGAGAACTTCTGTTGTCGTCTCAACGTCCCATAGGCGCCACGAAGTATCCTCGGACGCAGAAGCCAGGTATCGGCCGGAGGGGTGGAAATCGACACGACAGACCCTTTGCGAATGCCCTTGCAAGGTGGCGAGGGGGGTATCCTGATTCAGGGACCAGAGTTGGACCAAGCCCTCAGCGCCCCCAGAGGCTAGGTTGACAGAGTCTAGCGAGACGTTGTGTTGGGGCAGAGTGGCGCCCGGGAACCATGAAATGCCACCGATTTTGTTGGTGTGGCCGCGGTAGGTTATCTTGTCGGACAGGCTCGGGATCTCAAGCAGCTTGACCTGGCCGCCCCAGTTGCCGATGGCCACAAGCTCGCCGTTGGGCGACATTCGGGTCATACTGATGTTCCTCTCGCCGACCGTCTGGCTCCCTTGCAGCTCAAAGGCCTGCAGCCTTTCCTTGATGTTCTTGCGGAATTTGACATGGGTGCGCAGGGGGATGGTCGCTTCTTCCTTCTGGACAGCCGTCTTCCGCTTGGCGCGGGGTAGGGAGAAGCGGGCGATGTCGAGGCGAGCCTGGAGCAGCTTGTCGCCTCCTCTCGAGTAGAACTCTTCCTCTTGCTCTTCAGCGGCGTCGTCGTCCGAGGCGTCCTCCATTGTGATGTCGCCGTTTTCCAGACTTGTCATCTCGGCCTGGATGGTCAGGAGCTCGCGCAGACGGTCGCGCCTCTCGGCCGGGCCCTCGCCAAAGAGGGTGACGGGCTCGCCCATCTCTCTTAGCCTGGCGCGGACGCGGCCATCGTCGGTGGGAACGGCAATGGTGGCCGCGAGGCGCTTTCGGTTGAACTGGTTGAGGATGGCCGAGGCCTTCTCGGCGCCGCCGGCGGTGGGAAGGTCATAGTCGTGGTTATCGGGAAGATCCTCCAGGGCGACACCCACGGCGGCCTCGGCCTCTTGGACGTAGGCCTGTCGCGACGGGTGTATCATGATGGGCAGTGAGGAGCCGCGACGCGACGGGGATGAGGCGGCGCCGTGTGTCGAGCCAGCCCTCCGAGGGCCTTTGCTCTATCAGTGCCCGGGCGTTGCTGGTCGCGTACGCTGTCGAGACTAGGTAGGGGTTGCGTGGAGCTGTGCGGCTGCGGGGTCTCGATCTGGGGAGTGAAGGTTTGCGGGCGCGCTGTGTGACGATGTGAGGACGTGCCGGGCTTGGTGAAGCTCCAAGCTAATATGTGGACGAGTGAAAAGTCTCTGGTGGGGGCTGTGAATGTTGGCCTGTCCCGATAAGGTACAGCGCAGTCCCTTCGAGGTACCTCCTTGGGCACACGGTACGGAGTACCGAAAGCAGCAGTAGAGACACAGCAGTCGAGACACAGCGAGTCGTGAAAAGAAAAGTTGTGTTTGTCATGAGTGACGGTGGCTTTGAACCGCCTGCAGTAGGTAATTGTTCACAATGCCGAACCTGTTCTCTGTATTCCGGCGCCCAAGCATCATTGTTCAGTGCCTTTCGAGTACCGGTAGTCGATGGATGCAATTGTGTCCAGCTATTCTTCTGCACATCCCTCATGCATCATCATCCATACCGATGCATAGGAGAGAGAACCATCCATACCTTGGAGAGTCCGGCAGCAGCATCGGGCAATGCAATTCCCACGGATGCCCTGACTCGAGCCATGTTTGTACGACAGTAAGAGGTCTTGGTCAGGACCAAAGTCCTGCCACGCTGTCGTCAGTCAACTCTGTAAAAGCACGCTCCCGTCTACAGCAAAAGTGCACGCCCTCAAACACGCCCTCCCTGCTCTCTCACTCTCCCCCCTGCGATTGGTCCGATGGGGGCCGAGGGCAATCCTGAGCCCGGCTGGTGGAGGCGGCTCCGACGCACTGCAGAAAGAAAACTCTGCTTTTACGAGTGCGGCTGACACGGCCGCCGCTGGAAACGCTGTTGGGCAAGTACATGCACTGACGGACAAACTGACGGACAAACTGACGGACAAGCTGACGGCTCATCCTGTCTGGTCAAGGTGTAAAAAAAGAGTGCCGAGGTGAAAGGGTCAAAGGCCGGCAAGGAAGTGGATGATGGAAAAAGGAATCAACTCAGCTATTTCTCTAGCGCCGTACAGTGAACCATGTCACTCGCACGGCCCGAGGTTTTACCCACACCATTCCTCCTCCCACACAAACCGGCGCTCTCTCTCTCTCCCTTTCCTGAACCGCCTTGCGAGAAACCGCAACCTACACGCGCCCATACACACAGCGACCCGGCAACCACTACCCGATGCATATACAAGATCAGTTCCACATGCGATCCTCGTTCTTCAAGTACCAGATGCGTGTTGCCCGCCACTGCGAGATCCAGGCGCTTCCCTTTGAGTCCCAGCAGCGCGCTGACCCGGAGCGCCGACGGGGAACCTGAGCCGCCGGTCCATATCGCGAGGGAGAGCCTAGGCCGGCACTGCTACCCATCAGCATCCATCAGCAGCCATGATAACCCCCGTCCCTGCCGCCCTCACCACCGTCCGTGGCTTCCAGGGCACCCCCGTCACCTCTGGCGACGAAGACTCCGACTCGGGCGTCTGCGACACGCCGCGTCTCAATGCCCGCCGCGGCCGCAACCGTCTCGATGATGTCGTCAGCGCAAACTGCAGCCCTCTCCTCCGCCCACTGTCGTCGCCTGCCGTATCCGGCATCGCCAAGTTGCGCATGCGAGCCGACCCCCTGAACCTCGACGGCTCGTCGCGCTCCAGCTCCGTCGTCCGCACCGGCTTGCGAAGCGCCATTCACAGCCGCTCCCACAGCCGCGATGGCCTGCGCAGCGACGCCGGGAGCGAGAGTTCGGACAATGCGTCCACCAGCTACGAAGTCAACCTGGAGGATGACTTTGTTAGTGAAAGCCTGCGCGACCGGTCCCCCTTCATGGAGCCCCTCGAGGGAGGCTTGAACCCGAAACGCAAGATGACCTCGGAGGAGTTTGAGTCACTGCGATGCCTCGGCAAGGGCACCTTTGGCACCGTCCTCCTCGTCAAGCAGCGCGCAACCGGTAGGCTCTATGCGCAGAAGCAGTTCAAAAAGGCGTCGCTCGTGGTGCACAAGAAGCTGGTAGAGCAGACAAAGACGGAGCGTCAGATCCTCGAGTCGGTCAACCGGCACCCCTTTGTCGTCAAACTCTTCTACGCCTTCCAGGACCACGAGAAGCTGTATCTGATCCTCGAGTACGGGCAGGGTGGCGAGCTGTTTACCCATCTGAACACGGAGAAGATGTTCTCGGAGACGGTGACGGCCTTTTACATGGCCGAGATGCTGCTGGCCATTTCTCACCTCCACAACGACCTGGGGGTCGTGTACCGGGACTTGAAGCCGGAAAACTGTCTGCTCGATGCCGATGGCCACCTCTTGCTGACGGATTTTGGCCTCTCCAAGGTGGCGGTGGAACCGTCCGAGGGTTGCAACTCGATGCTCGGCACCGTCGAGTACATGGCCCCCGAGGTGATTCTCGGCAAAAAATATGGCAAGGCCGTCGACTGGTGGTCGTTTGGGGCGCTCGGGTACGACCTCATGACGGGAAACCCTCCCTTTCGCGGGCAGAACCACGCCAAGGTGCAGGACAACATTGTCAAGCAGAAACTCGTGCTGCCCTACTTTCTCAGCCCCGACGCAAAGGACCTCCTGACGCGACTCCTGCGAAAGGACCCGCACAAGCGCCTCGGGGCGGCCATGCCCAAGGATCTGCTCACGCTCAAGAAGCACCGGTTCTTCCGCAAGATTGACTGGAAGAAGCTCGCGGCGCGCGAGATGGAGCCTCCGATTCAGCCCATGATTACGGATCCGGAACTGGCGGAGAACTTCGCACCCGAGTTCACGGAGCTGTCGCTGAGCCCCGTCGTGGCGGGCGGGGAGCCATGGCCGGCTGGCGCCTATAGCGGCAAGGACGATGTCTTTGGGGGCTTCAGTTTCGTGGCGTCGTCGAGCCTCCTCGAGAGCAACGCCTTTCCCATGGCCAACGGCGCCTGACGAGGGGTCTTGCTGCGCCTTTTTCCATTTTAACCCACTTGGGAGCGTTTCTTATCTTTTTATAAGCTTTTCCCACAAGCCGTCTGTAATGATGTGGGAGGCCTGGCTGCGAAAGAAGGACGTGAGGCACGCGCGGTCAGAGACGGACTGCGAGACGGGGCTTTTTGTGCAGTGCGCGTATCGAGTCGTTGGATTACGTGGCTCCTAAAGGTCTACGAGTCATACGATAAGCGGGAGGCTGTGTTTGGTGCGGCACTGGCCATGGGGACCAGGAGGGGGGAGGGCAATATATATGTGCATGTGCTTCCATGTGCGGCCGCCCGATCGACGAGATAGAGTTGAGATAGCGCAGACTCGTGTGACAAGTCAGGGGCGGCCACATGGTGCGGCAGGCAATCAAAATGCCCTCTCTTTACATCCCTCGAGTCAGCCCTGTATGCTCAGCCTGCCGTGTGACTGGTCGAAACGGAAGACGCGCGTTGCCAAGGCGAGCCAAGACGCCAAAAGGCTAAATGGAGGGGGAAAGAGGGCAAACCCGTCCGGAATCCCTGCTGGTGCCAAGTGGCCGTCTCCTATTCCTCGACGACGGGACCCGTATGCGTGGATGATGGAACCGGGGCAGCGGGCGGCCTCTCCGTACGGTTCAACAAACAACGTCGACGACGGCGGTGGAAGCGTCCTCGTATGCGAGGAGGCTTGGCGAGCGCGCGCGGCGGAAGGGTCGGGGCGGCCTCGTCGCGTAGAGGTCCAGACGTTGGCGATGACTCCGACACGGGACAAGGCCCATAGGGCAGGGTTCCGCGTCGCACCTTGGTCCCGAGCCAAGCCCAGCCCCATGCCCTGCGGCCCCCGTCAGCAAACAGCAGGAGTGGTGTGGGGGGGAGGTGGGGGGGGAGAAAGCTTTGCTCCTGCGTGCGTGGCGCGGAGGGCCGTGTCCATTCAGTGCTCGGTGTTGCACAAGGCAGCGCCTCATCCACCCTCGCCAACTTGGCTGCAGCTCTGGTTTTCCGAGACGGCCATGTCGTCATGTATGATGGCAGCCCTCGGACCGGCGTGGAATGCTGTCCGCGCCGAACGGAATCCGTCTTGTTCCTCGGTCCGGCGCGCCGTCCATCACTCACCGTGCGTCGCCCTGCCTCTGCCGTAAGCGGGCAGACAGACGGACGCACGCCGCGCCACCGTTGTCTTACAATACAAAAAGGCCCTTTATGGCAAAGAAGAGCACGGCTGACCTATCATCGGGCTACCCCGGGGGGCCGCGGGGTAGCGAAGCAAATCTACGAATGGCATTTCGTAAGGCTGACGATTACGTACTCCGTAGCGGCCGGCTTCTCCGCTTTGAGACTCGCAGGTTTGGCCTGCTGCTTGCTCTATGTATGTGCCCTCCAGTTTTATTTCATTTCTTGCGTCTTCTGCTTCTGGTGAGTTTTGCCATGACCCCAGGGTTTCGTGTATGTAATAGACGTGAAGATGAACCGGGTCGGACATGAAGCCCGTGCAGACGCTCAAATCGGACCCCCCTGCCCCCACACCCGGTTCCTGGCTGATGACGACAGGACCCTCTCCTGAAACTCTATTAAGCCTCTGAGGCAGCTGGAGCAAAATAATCTCTACTTCGCTGGAAGCACCCCTACTTTTCTCAGCCTGCGATCAGCCGGGAAACTCGCGGCCGAATGTGACCATTTCCTCCAATTGGGTGCACACAACCTTGGCCACAAACTCTTCGGGATTGCCATCTTGTGCATCCTTGATCATTCGCAAATAGTCAGACCGTTCAGTGCCAAGGAAAACGACTGGAAAGTATCCCTGGCGAATCAAGAAGTCCTGCATTATCAACCTAGCGACTCTGCCATTGCCGTCGGGAAACGGGTGAATGTGCAGAAAATAGGCAGTCGCTTGGCAAGCGATGACGATCGGATGCAGATCTTTGATGCGGTGGGCTTTGTCTCGCCACTGGAAGAAGCGCTTCATCAGGGCCGGAACCTCGTCAGGATAAGGGAAAACGCGCAACGGATTGCTCCGGACGGTGATTGGGGCTCGTCGAAAATCTCCTGGCACGACTCTCCCTCCCCAGCTATTCGCATAGATTTTTTCCGAGCTCGTTTCCTTGATGATGAGAGCCGAGAGCGCCTGAACTTCATTCTCGTCAAGCCCAGCCGTACCGACGTTTTTCAAAGCCGTCTCGGTGACCCAATGAGATGCCACGATGTGGTTTCGCAGCTCTGTGGCCTGGCTCACATCGGCCTCGGGTAGGATGGAATGAACTTCTGGGAGCGCTGACTGAGAAAGTTTGCTAGCAGACACAGATGCGAGGTCGACTTCCTTGAAAAAGGTCGAGGCAAGGTAGTCGTTGATCCGGATACTGTTGCCAAGATGAAGTTTATTATCCTCTATCGCCACGGACTGATGCGCATATTTAGCGATAAGGCTACGAGAAATGTCACTCGTGCGGAGCTTGATATCACTCTTGTAGCTATCGATGTTGTCGAGGATCGAGGCATGGCGCTGCACTGCGAGTCAGTCTCGAACCTGTTCAAGCATCGAATTAGGGGTTAAATGGTCACTTGGTTCAGGCTCGCGTAGCCGTTTCGCTCGCTATCACCAGGATAATGGTAATCCTCCCAGACTTTCCCAGACTTGGCCAGCTTATTGTACTCGGGGCTGTCTCTTTCGAGATGGGTGAAGGGCGCGTATATCTTTTTGAGTAGGATGTTTCGCGGGTTAGTCGACGAGCTCATGCCACGCCCGAGAGCGGGCGTTGAGAGGAGAAAACCACGGACGAACACCATGGTTACTTGAGCAAGCAAAAGTGTAGAAGAAGGGTGAGAGAAAGGAAAAGAACACTGCAAGGTAAGGCTGGGGAACAAGGTGGGGGCACAAGGTGGGGGAAGTATGGTGTTTTAGGGAAGGGCTTGACAGGTGGGTACCTATTATAGGCCCACTCGTGCGTGATTGTCTGCCGCCGCATGTAAGTCGGTGTCGAAGGTCGAAGGAGTGTCGAAGACGAGGTCTGTGGGCTGTGGGTCCGTCCGTTTCGCAGGGGACCCCGGGGGAAATTCCCTCCCCAGCTTCGGAATGCATCCCACATCCCTCTGTTCCGCATCACGACTTAGACATGGGCTCCCATGTGTGCGTATGTGCCAAGAATGAATGGGGAGAACTAAGCCGTCCAGCAGCCCATGTCTCTGTGGACTCAGATCTCCCACGCGCCGTGACGCCAACCGCCACCACCCTCGCTCTCACTCACTCACACGCAACTTGCACTCCCAAGGCTTGCGGCTCAAGCCAATCACTCACAACGCAAAGCACGCTGTCTCGGCTGCCCACTTTACCCCAGGGCCCTGCCTCGCCGGGGGGAGGAGAAGCGTTGGTGGCGGTGTCGGGTCCGAGGTTTGAGCGCTTTCCAGGGTCTTCGTGTCAGGCTCTGCTGACTTTGGCTCTGGGCCAGCATGACGCTCGTTTCGTGTGTAGTGTCGTACTTTGCTGGCGTGGCCTCAGGCAGTTGAGCTCTCCAGAACGTTGCCCGTCTCCATAATTGGCCCATGTTTTGGAAGTGCCGGGCTATATCAGTCCCGCCACTGCCACTTGCCCATGCTCCTCCCACAGCGTCGAGAAAAGAAAAGGGTCCTGGAGCCCCCTTGTTCTTTCCTTCTACTTCACAATTCCATTCCTCTCTCCTTCATCACGTCATCTCCCATCTAGAGAAATCCATTGCAACAATCAGTCTTGTTCCCCGGCAGCGCTATAGTACGCAATGAGGCTCACCAACAAGACGGCCATCGCCGCTGCCCTGGCCCTCAGTCAGTGCCCGCTCCCCCGTGCTTTCGTGGCCTTCGCTAACGCTCCTTGCAGATGTGGCCGAGGTTTGGGCCGCCACGGCCTTGTACTGCCCCGAGGCCGAGGTATGCTTCCGCTGGGGAGTGCCAGAGGCCGCCGCCAAGTCGGGCTCCGGCAACGTCTACTTCCAGCTCCGAGCCCCCGCCAACTACTCCTGGATTGGCCTCGGGACAGGATCCAAAATGCAAGGCTCCGACATGTTCGTCATGTACGCCAACGGTATGAACAACGTGACGCTCAGCACGAGATCCGGCACGGGCCATACCATGCCGCAGCACGTGGAACGAAACGACGTCCAGCTCGTCGAGGGCTCGGGCATCAGCAACGGCCAGATGGTGGCCAACATCCAGTGCAATGGATGCAGCAAGCTCGACCTCTCGGGCTCTTCGGGCTGGATAGCCGCCTGGGCCCAAGGCAGCCCCCTGAACTCCAACAGCCTGACGCAGCGAATCTCCAAACACGACGGCTTCGACAGCTTCTCGGTGGACCTCTCCAAAGCCACCGTCAAGTCGGACCAGAATCCCTTCGCAGGCCCCGCCGCCGCAACCAGCGGCGGCGACATGGACGCCGTGTCGGGAGGGAATAGGGGCAGCTCGGGCAAGAGCTTGGGAAACATCCACGGCATCCTCATGGCCGTCGTCTTCCTCATCGGGTATCCGCTCGGGTCCACGCTCATGCCCCTGGTCGGCAACTGGATCCTGCACGCCAGCTGGCAGATGCTCGTCTTTGTGGGCATGTGGGCGGGCTTTGGCATTGGATATGTCATCTCTCGGCGTGAAGGTTACGTGAGTGTTCTGCTCTGCCAAGGGTTGATCAAGTCGCTAACAATGCCTTTGTCAGTTCTTTGCTGGCCCGCACACACAGCTGGGCGTCATCTTGTGCGCCCTGCTTGGCTTGCAGCCCGCCTTTGGATCGCTGCATCACCTATACTTTGTCAAGCACCGGGAGCGCGGCGTCATCAGCCACGTGCACATCTGGTATGGCCGTGGGCTCATGCTCCTCGGCATCATCAACGGCGGCCTGGGCTTGAAGCTCGGGGGGTCGTCTCGCGGCTTCGTCACGGCGTACAGCGTCATAGCCGTCATCGTCAGCTTGATGTACATCGGCTCGATCCTGTTTCGCATGTCGAGGAGCAAGCAACGTCGCTTCAACGGCGGGCCCAAGTTCCGGGTCAACTCGATCTGACCCAGGCGAGCCGAGTAAAGCTGGTTTACCGAAAGGGAAAATGTAAAGTCTTGGATGTGCCCCTGGTTGAGCGTGGAAAGGCATCCTATCCCGGCATCAGTGGTTTAGACCAGATCTGGACCCCCGCGCCGACGAGGAAGAGTAGAAATTTCCCAGCATTGCAGACAATAGTCAAACTTGAAGCTATTCACACCGTCTTTTTCGTTATAATGCGAACGAGCCAGGATTACGCATGTCACATCCATATCAGCGCGCTCGCGCCGCACGCCTTTATCTGCCGAGGGTAACAAGGCTATACAAGTTATACTTGTTATGCGTCCCACTGTAGAGGGTGTAATTCCAAGTGAAAAGAGGCGCTTACCTTGATGCCCTAACTCTGCTGGGTCAGCTTCTCAGTGGCCCTTGCTGACATGTCGCTGCAAGGTCACAGGCAGCCCATGTCGAGAGAGGTCCGTCTCAACATGCGCACCGGGCCTCTGGTCATGGCATCCACTTCCGCGATTGGCATTGCCGTGGGCGCCTTGCTTAGTTGGTCCGTCGCTTTCCCGAGTCCCCTCTCCATACCCGGCATCAATGCAGCATATCATGCTCGGGTCGCAGCTTCGCCAATCTCTGGCTTCTGCGCTCCGGCCGCCGGCCCGATGCGGCTATTGCTGCATCTTAAGTCGGAACCGAGTGTCGCTTTGTTCTTACTTGACCCCCAAGGGTCGATTGTCGAGTCACCCATGGTTTGGGCTCCAGGACAGAGGTTCGTTGACGCTTGTGCAAAGCTGTGGACGCAGAGGAACTGGCAGCATCATCGTCATCAAGTCCCCGCTTCATTCCCGAGAGCCGCTGGGCGCGGCGTGTATTGGTCGATGATGGGGGGGGCAGGCCTTGTACTTGTTCGGGCTGATCTGATTACTGTTAGGGAACAAGGCGCGAGAACTTGGCTGCAATAGTACGAACAAGATATGAAGTGCCCGGATTCCAGCTTTCGCTTGAGCTGGAAATAGTATTCGGCTATCTTGTCCTGCTCGACCTGAGCGGCTTCATCAATGACAACTGGTTCCGGCGGCCCATGGATGGCACGCGGCCCATGGATATCACGCCGGAGGGCATTGTATTTAGTCTCGATAATATCGAGTTGGCGCTCCCAGAAGGTCGGGTTGTCGAAGTTGGCGAACTCGCCCCCGCGATAGGCAACTTGTCCAGTCTTATCGACATACACCTCGGCCTCGCGTTGGTGCTTGATGCCTTGGGGGCCCATATACCCAAAAGCCTTGATCGTGCCAAGGATCTCGATCTTGGTGTCCTCGATCTGAGCAGCAGGCGACCAGACGGCAGTTGAAGATGGGGAGTAAGAGGGTTCACTAAGCAATCGGAGATTGGCCTCCGTCAGCTTCATCGTCATAGTGGCGGGAGGCAGCCAAGAGGAACAAGAGGTCGAAGTAGTGGCCTTGAAGTCGGATGCGGAGGGATGAGCAGCGAGCTGCATTTACTTGTGCGAGGGTGCATTTTCTTGATGCCCAGGTACAGAAGCTTATGATCGGGGTAAGAAGGTGGTGGTGGTCCAATCGGCAGTGCTACTCCAACCAGTGCCACCTAAAGGCGCAACCGGGTGCTGCGCGAGGGCACCTGATGCTGCCTTCAACGCACGAAAGCACGTGACGATAAGGCGCCGCCCTCAACGCACGAAAACACGTGAAGATAGGCATCCCGAATTCCTACATGCATGATGCAAGCCGACGTTGCGACCTCATGCGCAGATATCGATTGGCCATGGTGGTCCGACGACGCGACAGCTCTCGGCGCTTAACGTGCATAGCTGTTCTGACTTCTATATACCAAAGGCGACGTGCTCGCCGTAAGCCATCGCCATCCTTCACCTGTCCTGCCACTTACACTACCTGTCACTAACAGCGCATTCCAGTATGGCGCCCGGCGTCCTCGAGATTACCTCAAACAAGCGCCGCCTTCTTATATATAAGGAGAATGGCGACTTTGTGGTCGATGGCGAGGCCTTGAGCTTCGAGTCTGACCCGTACCATGAATCGACGGCGGACCACGACGACACGCGTAGGGACGGTACGCCCGCACCCCAGTTTATCCGTCAGGGTCTCTTGCGCATCACCATGAGCTCCAAGCCTAAGGATGCTCATCTTGGCTGGATCTTTGGCAGTTATTGCCTCGCCTGTGATGTTCTGCTGGACGAGAATAGCCGCCGAGGAATCAGTGCCAAGCAGTTCGCCGTACGGATGCAGAAAGAGCCCGGCGTGTTTCTCATCGTCAATCTCAGCCGGCACGGCACCCTCATGAGGTCCACGGACCCTGCCTTGACTCTCGTCAAGTCGCAAAGAGCTTTCGGGGCCAGCGTGGGCATGAGAGACATGACGCTCCGTGTGGGTGACCTGGCCCTGGAGCTAACCTGCCCCAAGAACTCGGCGCACCCCGGCGAGTTTGAAGCCCACTGGTCCCGGCTCTATGCCGAGCTAGGTGCCCAAGTGCCGCCAATGACCGGCCTGGCTGTGAGTGCGGGGCCAAGCACCGCCCGCGCGTCGATAGAACAGCACGGGAACATGCCGAGCCCGCGGTTCTGCTATAGATGGGTCGATTGGATGGCCCGGCACAACGCAGAGCGGCAGGGTTTTGAGGGGCCCAGTTTGAGGTGGTCGAGTTTGAACTGGCAATGTATAAAGTGGCCGAGTTTGAAGTGTCAGTGACCATTTCACTTCGCTCAGTACTGTACGCCTCGTTGTCTGTCTTGTGGATGATGCCAACTGCAGCCACGAAACTGCCTGAGCCTTGGGATGCTCCCCTGTTCCCCTTCCTTACCGCATGAGACATGCCGTAAAGTTGGCGTTACGCAGGTACTTTTGGACATGTTTGTTGCGTCGAATCGAAGTCGCAATATTAAAGCCGATGCATATCAGGCGAAGCCCTGGCATCCTTACAAGCGAGGCCGATACACGGTCTTGCCTGCCGGCATTGAGATACCGAAATTCCTGTGATTTGGAGTGAATACATGTCTGCACGTGACGGCTCACCTTGCTTTACGGCCGCGGCAGGCGAAGCAATCATCTTTTTGTCGACCACTTCATGCCCGCATATAAACGCGGCCATCGTCATGAGTCGCCTCTCTCCCTGTCGATTTCTCTTCCAGCACCGGCGCGCATTTTACCCTCTGTGCCCTACTCAAAGACGCCGACATCGCGCTTTGTCTACCAACTGATCGAGGAGGTGGAACGGCTGGAGTATTATCAGTCTGGGGGATACCATCCCGTCCAGATCGGCGACTCTCTTCAGGGGCGATACCGCATAGTGCACAAGCTCGGCCATGGCTCATTCTCAACAACTTGGCTGGCCCGGGACCAGCAGCTAGCAACCTATGTTGCCATCAAAGTGGCCACCTCGGACTCAGACCACCATGAGGCCGACGTCTTATCTCGCATCACCGTGCCTACTCTTGAATGCAAAGGCCGTGGCAAACCCCTGCTCCCAGCTGTCCTTGATCGCTTCAGCCTCTGTGGACCTAACGGGACGCACTTTTGCCTCGTAACGAACCCGGCAAGATGTAGCCTTGCTGATACCAAAGAGGCGTCTGGTTCTGGTATCTTCCGGCTCCAAGTTGCCCGAGCTCTTCCCGCTCAACTTGCCATTGCTGTCGCACGAGTCCATGACCAGAAATATGTCCATGGAGGCAAGTATCATTGCCCTTTCTTAGTGTATTTTCTAACAATTTCCCCAATAGACCTTCATCTAGGCAATATCCTCCTACATTTGCCATCGGGTCTTAACCATCTCTCAGAGGAGCAACTTTACCACAAGTTTGGACCACCCGAGCCCGAGCCTATCATCCGGCTAGACGGAAAGCCAATTTCGCCAAATATTCCTTCACACGCAATCTCGCCGGTATGGCTTGGCGAGCCTAGTGAGAATATCGTGCTCTCCAATGCGAAGCTCCTGCTTGTGGACTTTGGGGTAGCCTTTCGACCATCGGAAGAATCGAGGTTTCAGTCCTATACACCGCTCGAAATCCGGCCGCCAGAAGCCCGCTTTGAGCCGACAACGCCCCTCTCCTTTGCGTCCGATATCTGGAGCCTTGCTTGCACTATATGGGCCATTATCGGCCAGAGATCGTTATTTGACAGCCTTCTAGCGACTGAAGACGACATCACGTGCGAACATGTTGAGGCCCTTGGCTGTCTTCCACCAGAGTGGTTGGAAAAATGGGGAGCGCGGTCGGAGAGATTCACTAAAGCTGGTCAGGCCGTAGAGAGTCGATCTGTGTGGCCGTGGGATCAGCGTTTTGAGAATAGCATACAAGAGCCTCGGCGCGACAAGGGAATGGTGACCCTTGACATGAAAGAGAAGGATACTTTCTTCGCAATGATGCGGCGAATACTTGCGTTTAGACCTAGTGACCGGCCGACTGCCAGGCAAGTCTTGGAAACGGCATGGATGAGGGACTGGGCTCTGCCCGAGTTTGAGAAGATTCCAGAATGAACATTCTTTCCTGCAATCTATTATCTGCCAAACCTGAAGGATCCGGCAGTGTTCAGGGAAAGATGCAAGAAATGTGGACGAAGATGAGCCAAAGTACTCTTGGAAATACAATAACAGCATCACGGCATCAGTCTTAAATCGTACGATGGAACGGCAAACGCGGATACACTGGCGCAGGACGCAGGTTTCGAGAAGCCGAGGTAGCTGGGCTCTGGTCCATCAACTCTCGGCTAGAAGCGAACTTATGTCGGATCATTCAGAACTTGGTGGCGTCCTCGCGTCTTGGGGCTGAGTGGAAAAGGTAGCAACGCCGACGAGCTTAGTGCTATTTGGGGATATTCGAGGAAGCCCTGCCTGGGGGGGCATCCTCGTTTAGACATGTGTCCATTCGTCACGACGCAGTAGCAACTGAAGCGATCGTGAAGTGTCGACTCGAAAAGTAAACTGACTCGCCACCGTCGTCGAGCGGCCCACCGCAGGCGGGTATCATGGCCGCATCCCCGAAGGCGATCGGAGGCCGACTCAGCGTTGAGCATCGAGTCGTGTCAGCGAGCTCCATCAGGGCGATCGGCGGGGCTTCGGCGAGCTCGTCCATGCCTCTAGCCAGAAGCTGGGTTGAGACGTTATCGCAAGGATAGTGTCAAAGGATGCATAATAGCCTCGGAGGGGTTCTTCCATCCTGAGAGACTAAAAAGATTGAGAGGTCATGCGCATCCGTCGTGTTGTTGACGGGTCACGTGCCGCCAGCCGCGCGCGTTCTACCACAGTACCCGAGGAGAGGGGGTGGACACCTGAGGCACAAAGCCGTCCGATCTGGCCCGGCCGGGGGGGTAGCGACATCACGATTTTCACCCGCCCATCATCACCCGCTCTTCCGCAGCGCCTGTTCTCCCCCCATTGAGCACCACGCCCAGCCATTCACGATGCTCAGCCGTCTACCCAGGGCCTCGGTAAGTATCCGACTCTCTCTTCTCTCTGCCCGTCGCTTTTCCTGCCGGGCCGGTAGCCTGGCCGTAGCTGGGGAGCTTCTGTTGACCTCGTCTACCTCTGCAGCGCGCCAGCTCCATCATCGCCACCGTCGCTCGGTCGGCCAGAGCACACACCCAGGTCCGGAGCTTCATCGCTCCCACCGTCTCTCGGAGAGGTAGGCCCTCTTTTATCTCGCCCGAACCTCTCCCCCCCTACGTTCAGCGATCATTCCAAAGGCCACCTCTGCCGCTGCAACCACCACCAATTTGGACCCGCAGCCGACTCACAGCACTCGCAATTTCCCAATGACGACTCCTACCAATCTCTCACCGCAGAAATCAGAAACAACCAAGAGCAAAGCTAACCAAAGTCTTCTCCGCAGCCGACTTCGTCCAGGAGCTCTACCTGAAAGAGCTCAAGGCCTACAAAGTCCCCCCCGTCAAAGAATCCGATGCCGAGGGCCAGGTCCAGACCTTCTCCATGCCCAAGACGCCCGCCTCCCCCGAGGAGACCGACCTCGCCGGTAACCTCAAGGAGTACGAGAGCATGGCCGTCGAGATTGAGGGCCAGGAGGCTTCCCACGGCGCCCACGGCGCCGCCTCGCTGCCCGACTGGCTCGAGGCCGAAGAGGACGAGCCCAAGGCCCATTAAATACAACCACCAGCAACGCGGCCGATCAAGTGGATGGCGCCGAGAACAAGGGGGGGGGGTGTTTGGAGGCTGCTGTAGCGACGGAGGGGTTGCTTTCCGCCAGAGCGGTGACCAAGAGCCGGCCGGCGGGGACATGGCGGGCTGGCTCACGACGATTACGGGTGGTGGATGCCGTTGACAAACCCGTTGTACATTTTCCGCGTAACAGCCTTGTCTGAGGGTGTAGGACTTTCATTGCGAGGAGCTGACAATCACGATGCCAAGACTCTGCTTGCCTTTTGCCTTTTGACTTCTCGTCTCGTCTGGTGCAGCTCTCCAAAGCATTTGCCATCAAGCACATGGACCGTATAAACGTCACATCGGTGGCAGCACAGAATGCCGTACGACGCAGTCTGACAACCTCGGGACGAATTGATCTCACGAGGGGCCCGCACACACACACACTTACACACATCTTGTTATCATTGGTCCCCAAACTCGGGGCCCTTCTTCGCTATTACTAGGGCCCATCTGCCCTTCTAGCCACGATACCGTTCCCGGGCTGCCTGGTACCAGCCCGGGCCGCGGCTTGCCTTTCCGTAGCCGGAGCTATTCACTCACCGCTTCGCCTCAGGGATGTTGTGGGAGAACTCCGCCACCAGGCTGACCAACGCAGTGCAATCCACTTCAGCCAGCCAGACGCACTCGAGGCATCCCGCGTAGCAAATGCGGACGCTTGGCAATCGCCCAGCTTCGCAATCGCGCTTTGTGGACGCTCCAGTCACAGCAGCAAGCCGGACAAAAGCAAGAGACGGACAACACGCCGAGAGCCACTATCCTGTTCTCGTTGTCTTTGGGAATACCTCGTATTTTGTACGGGCCCTAGGACCGAAAGTCCCCGGGTTGGGGGCCGATGCGAACACTTTTTTTCTCAGCACATACCCGAACGCCATGGTTCCTCCTTGCTCCGCTGCCCTTCTGACGATGCAATGCAAAACTAGCCGGCCCCCATGATGCAGTTATTCCTTTATTACCCCTTCATGCCAGGGTCGTGACAAGGACGACGAGTCAGTATTACCACTCGAGCTGGAAAAAAGAAGCCGTAGTCGGCCAAAGTCTAGCAGTCGCGCTTTGGCCTCTGGGTGCCTATACGTCAAAGTGTGAGCCGCCGACCATTTGCTCATCCGCCGTTGACGTTTTGATGATGCCACTCATACGGTTTGCCTTGCGTAGATCAATGTCGTCCAAGTTGTCCCAATCTTCGTCGTCGTGATTCGCGTGCGCATCGTTCATTTCCTCGTCGTCATGCCTGATCCGATCCCTCATGTGGTCATCGAGCGCGCTTTCGTCGACAAAGGTGAAGCCCTGGAAGTTGGCTTGGACCGACGGAGACAGAGGCGTGGATGTCGCGTAGCCCCGTGCCAGCGCCGCTGCGCGCTCGTTAAGTGACCCGTTCTGATCCAACGCGTTGGTGAACTCGGGATCGAAGTAGGAAACGTCTGTCTCGGATTTGAGCTTTGGCCTGAAGGGGGGCGTGATGAGCTTCTTTGCCAAGATTTCCCAATCGATGTCGGCGAAGAAGGCATGTCGCTTGAGCTCTTCGGCGTCATCCGTCGCCCCCAGCCTGTGCTTGGGGTTTCTGTTAAGTAACCCCTTGACGAAATTTCGGCCTTCTTGTGAGAGGGTGTCGCGAGGGAACCGGACTTTGCCGAAAGCAATATTCTTGTACATTTGTTGCGTGTCCTCGGCGTAGAACGGGCTCCAGCCGCAGCACATCTCAAACACCAGCACGCCCAAGGACCAGAAGTCAACCATCTTGGTGTACCCCGACTCATCCAACAGCACCTCTGGCGCCAGATACTCGGTCGTCCCACAGAATGTGTTGGTCGTGTCGTTCTTGGTCAAGTTTGCCTTGGATAGCCCAAAGTCACACAGCGCAATGTGGCCGTTGGCGTCCAAGAGTATATTTTCTGGTTTGAGGTCGCGGTAGACAATATCGTTGTTGTGTAGATGCTGGATGGCTAAGATTAATTCGGCAATGTAAAACTTGGCGCGCCGCTCGTCGAAGCGGCCTTCTTTTTGCAAGTGCCAGAACAGCTCTCCGCCGGACATGTAGTCGGTCACCAGGTACAGCTCAGATGGCGTCTGGAAAGAAAACTTGAGGCCGACGATGAAGGGCGAATCGGACATGGCCGTCCGCACGAGAATGTTGCGCTCTCCGACCGTGTGCGCGACCTCCTTCTTCTGCACAATCACCTTCTTCTGCAGCACCTTCATGGCATAGATGCGCTGCGTGTCCCTCTTCCGTACTTGGTAGACTTGGCCAAACGTCCCTTTGCCAATGAGCTTGAGGATTTCGAAATCGCTTGGGCCGAACTGTTTTCTCTCCGACCGCTGATACAAGGCCTCAACGTATATCTCGCCGGTCGGGGCGTTCTCGGCCACTGTGTCTGCATGGCCCCGCAGCGTAAACCAGCCCTTGACGGGGCCGTCGTGATCTCTGGTAGCCTGAAAGCCGACGTGTCCCAGGAATTCTTCGCCCACGGCCGAGTGATCGTATACGGATATGTCGACCAGCATGTTGGAATCTACAACGTCACTACTCTAGTCAGCCGTCGCGTTCCGACACGGTGCGCATTCAGACAGGGGGTACAAGGCCATACTAGACAGCTTCGGCATCCCATTTCGGGTTCAGGAACTGGGTGCGAGGTGTTCGGTTTCGGAAAGTGTTGTAGTCGGTGATGCTCGTGTTGCTACTCTGGCGACTTCGCATGGGAATGGCCATTGGGCGGCCAGAGTCGCTGCCTTGGCGTTGTATTGGGATGCCGCCAAAGGCCGACGGCGGCGCGTTGGGGATTTCGTCTTCCTCGGCAGGCCGCGGCCCGCCCGAGATGAGCTCGCTCCGCTGGAAGACGGCGACGACGTACGGGTCGCGGCTCCTACGCAGCCCTCGCGCCTCGGTGATCTTAATCCTCAATTTCCCCTTTGGCGCCGGAGCCTGAGCGCCGGTGGCACTCCGCGGCGTCTGCAATCCGCTCGCATCGACGCCGTCGTTGCTGGTTCGACTAGGCGTCTCCTTGCCTTCTGATTGCGACGAGTGAGCAGCGGACAGTGCTCTCGTGGGAGTCGGCGGACCGCTCTTGAACATGACACCACGAGTTAGCCCTCTCAGTCCCTCGAGCGAGTACCACTTGCTAACAGAGGTGGCTGCATTCAAGTCGGGAGATGGAGGCTTGAACGGGGCTTGTCCGTGTGGCAGTTGGGGTGAGGCAGCAGGACGACCAACTTGAAGGGCAGCTGTCGCCACCTCTGACACGATCGTGGGGGCTAGGGGCTGGGCAGTGGCAGGCTCTGGTCGACCAGCCGGCTCCGGCGGGTCACGGTGGGAGCGAGAAGCGCCCACGGCGGTCGCGGACGCCTCGGAGCCATGTAGAGCAGAGTCTTGGGTCATTGAGCCCTCGGAGGACGGCGTGTGTGAAGAGGGAGGGGTTGGATAGGGATGAGAAGCTGGCTGCGCTTGGAGGGCAGCTTCGGTGTGAAGAAGAAGGCTGTCAGGCTGCGAAGAAATGTGGACATCGACGGGTGGTGTTCTGCCGTAACGCCAAGAACTCTCGGCACGACCTCGTGATTGCCGCGCCGTGGACGAAGCATCCTGGCCCTGCCGGGTCCGCTTGGGATCCAGGGGCACGGTACCGCCGGACCGTGGGAGGACGGAGGACGGGTCGCTATTAGAAGAGTCTTGACAAACCTGGCCGAAGTAGCTCATGATGCCGGGCAGACGTTTGTCCTGAAGGTCTGGCTGAGGAGTGGCGATGCCCGAGCGTGGCGTGTCGGAGCCAATGTGGTCCACGCCATCTTCGTCGGTGGCGGCGGTTCTGACGGATCGGTCAATAACTTGCATCGTCGCGGCAGGCAAATGAAATGGAGTGAAACGGTAGAATCAAAGCGGAAGGGACTTTGCAGGGCGATGACTGGTGGCGGGGGGGGGAGAAGCAAGGCGACGTGCCGATGGGAACACTAATTCCTGGCAGTAAAACCCAAGACTAGGAGTCAAGCGGGGGGGGCGTGTAAATGTGAGGCTTGGGGGCGGGCAGGCCGTGATGCGGGCAAGGATAGTTGGGCAGCTGAGGCGGGAGAGGCGGCGATTGACGGAAGCCTGGGCAACGCGAGAAGGGAAGCGATGGTTCCGGGAGCGGGTGTGGAATGGCACACTCGCCGCGCAAAGGAATTGCAAATAACGAGACGAATCGTCGGAGTGGCCATGTGGGAAGAGTGGAGATGTTGAAGCTTGATCGGGCCCGGACCAAGGTAGCGCAAAGTACTTTTGCTGTACCGGTGGGTGCGAGCCTAAAGCCGGAGCCCGAGGCCCATGGCTGCGGCTCCCACGAGGTGTCCAAAAGGTACCTGCTCTAAGCCCCGGGTGGCGCATACAGGCGCGAGTCAGGAGGGCCGAGTCAGGACAATCGATCGCTAGATCGCTGCCGACAAAGGGCTAGGCAGTCGAGGCCGCAACCTGATCAAGGACTCAAGATGGAAGCTGGTGCTCGGCCCCAACGGCCAGGCCAACGGTGCAAGACGGCCGCCCCGAGAGCCTCGCATCTGCGTCGAGGCGGCCAGGCTTGAGCAGAGCACCTTGTACCGGTCCTGACTGGCGGCCCCGCGCGCGGTCATGGATCGACAACGTCATGTCCACTCTGCCATGGCCCACGGGGGATGTCGACCAAAAGGGGCTTTCATCTGTCCGGCAAGGGCAGAAAGGGGCAGAGGGGGCGCATCAGTGGTCCAAATGACAAAGCTGACTCGCGATCTCGGCCCCGGACACCTCTGGCTGAAATGACTTGCCGGATATTGCTGGGGGACAGACCAACAAGACGCTCTACCGCGGGCGGGGGAGCACCAGGCGGCCATGCAAAGAAGGTTTTGGCCAACCTAGTGACCGGAGATCCGAACCCCAAAGTTCACTTGAACAAGCTAGGCTGCCGTTGGATAAATGGAGGTAGTGTATTCGCAGGCGTGTGTGTACCTTGTACAGCAGGTAGCAGGTATGACGCATCACGACTCGACAGGCCAGAAGCTTGTAGTGTGCTGAGCGTTGGGGAGAAGTGACTTTCGGTTTTTCTCTCCCGCCATGGGGACAGGGTCTCCAAATCGGGCGTCAAGGAAGAGGGAGAGAGAGAAGGGGAGAGAGTGGGGGGGGGGGGAGGTAGAGTGGAAGAAAAGTTGGCCCACGTACTTTGACATCATGGCCTGCGTGGCTCGCCGAAGCAGGTCAAAGCCGCCTCCCACGTTCGCATGCCCGCCCTCGGTGGTGCCCGACATGGCGGCGGATCGGCTGGCCGGACGGAGACGAAGGGCAGACGTCTTGACGGGACCGGCAGGGGAGGGAGCAGGCTGGTGTTGTCGCGTGCGCCTCTGGAGGCGGATAAGGGTGGAGGGGGAGGGGAAACAAAGATGACGGAGAGGCAAAAGCGCACGAGGGAGGGGCCAGAGGAAAAGGGTTCCAGGCCGTGGGGGCAGACAAAGAGCCGTCGGTTGAGCTTGAGAGGGCCAAAGTCGACGAAGCTCTGGTGATGCAGGTTGCAAGCTCTGGGGAGGCGAAAGAGAGGGCGGTTGGGGGATGGTTGGCGCGGTTATGTAAAAGCTCTGCACGGTGCTTGCTGCGGCGGCATGTATCTATCTACAGGCGGTACGGAGTCGTGGGCGGCGCCGCCTCAGGGTGCAAAGTTGATGCGGGACGGGGCACCTTGGGGGCTGCTTAAAAAGCAACATCCAGGGCCACAGTGCAAACTCCCGTGCAAACTCCAGTGCAAAACGCCTTGCATGCTTTGCCTTGATCACCACGGCTTATTCAGACGCCCGGAAGCTTCCATGTGCTGTTTGGCGCCCGCTTGCGCACAGTAAAGCACCGCACACACTGTCCATACAGCATTCCCCCGGCGTCCGTGGGCAAAGGGCGAGCGGGGTTTCTAGTGGGACTTGGACGCTGTCATTAGTGGGCATGGCGCCCGAGAGAGCGACACGTGCAGTACCTGCGCTGTACTTGGAGCTCGATTTATCAATGCTACTCTGCCATTCTGCCTACTCCGTAATTACCTACAGTACACTCTCATGGCACAGGGTCGCACCTGTGCTCCAGATTGATTGCCAGGTACATCGAGTACAGTACGTACAGTAGTCGATTCCGGGGCTGCGGTGGCGGCGTGCGGCCAAGATGGCGGGGCTCCAGCTTTCCGGGAGTACCAGGCCGGCCAGACAAAGTACAGTGCGCTCCAATGTCCACGCCAAATCCGCGCCGACCCTGTACATGTACCGGTCAGTACCTGTGTGCATGGCGACGAGGCCACCGGCCACCCCCCCACCAACCAGCCTGTATCCGTAATGCCTCCGACGCCGTACAAACTACGTTATTTTGGGGCATGGGGAAGCGCTGTGGCACTTCATCTGGTACAGGATCGCCCAGCCACGGATGCCTTGGCTCCCGGCTCGCCATGTCGTGCGCCGTCCGTGCTGTTCGTCCCGAGTCTGGCACGGCCTGCCATTGGCCTGGCCTCTTATTGTTCATGAATAGATACAGTAGGTAGGTAGGCAAGCCGTGTGGCCATTGTACTTACGGGGTAGGCATACATGAGGTGGGAGCGAGATATCATTCACTGTACATCGATCGCTATCTCTAGTCATCGATATGCAATGGCCCGCCCTCGGCACGGCTAACAAACTTCCCGCCCTGGACCGGCATTCCATCCCGGGCGTGCCAGCAACCAGAGAGGCATGCTCGACACTCTCGACCATAGGCCGTTGCGCAGTAGTTCTCCGCTTGTCCCTGTCTCTGTCAAGTCCTCGATCTGGTAGTTGGCTCCATTGGACGGCACTCAACATACAAGCGGGCTATTGAACATCAGCAGCCGCCGCATCAGCCTCGGCCTCGCCTGTCCAGGTAGCGCATGACCGCATGTACCTCGACAGGTGGTCGGAAGCCTGAGGCCATTGCCACCTTGCCGCGGAACGAGCACGTCCGCCGCCGCAAAGCAGTCGCTGAATCATGGTTGGGATATTACATGTCTATACCTTGTATCGACTTCTCAGAAGAAGGCACCTAGGTGCTGGTGGGATAGGAAATGACGACGGTAAGATCCAAGGCATGACACTGATGAAAGCACGTCGCATTTCAGCTGCCAAGACGCGCATGACTTTTGCCGTATCCAGCCGGTGTGCCATCAAACGCCCCCCCATGCGATTGGTGATTGTGTTGCGAGGCCCATCTCGAGAAGAGGTGAAGAGGTTCCTAGCAACTCGAGCTATTGGCCACTAGGCACCTGCCTAGTATTCGTACTTGCTCTTGACAACACAGTACCGGGTGCAACTTGAAAGAGTTCATGCTTTTAGTTCTCAGCCTCATCCTTCCATCCGCCAGAATCAGCAAGTAGCCACGACTTGCATGTACCTATTGGCCTGTTGCAGGTACTGTGCTGTGCTTGTGAGTTGCATGATGGCTCAGGTGTCAGTTATGCGCCCAAGAAACAGGTCGGTCAGCATTGAATCATCGCCATAGCCCTGTCTCTCCTCTCCTTTGGACCTGCCACAGCCCCCTTTACGCCCTTTACGCCCTTTACGCCCTTTACGTCTTTGGCACAGCGCCGGACGTGCTTACGCACAGGTACCCGTCACTCGGGAGAGGTACTAGACCGGTACCTCGACAAAGGCCACGACGTCGCACGGCATCCCAGCACCCATTATTGCTCCTCGCTCCCTCTCGCTTGCTTCTCTCCCCCCTCTCCCTGCGCTGCCAGCCAGACAGCTGCTTTACCAGCCGCAGCCGAGTGGTTGCATGCATCGCGCGCAGCGTCGCCTTATGCAACCGTCTCACACCGCTCCGCTGTCCGCCGTGACGTGACGAAGCCCAAAAAGACGCTGTTGGCCCGGGCTGAGATAGCAAAGGTTTTGTGTACTCGAGGGAAACCCGTCTTGCAGCAAGCACTGCGCTGTGTCTGCGTGTGCTCGACGACGGAGCATCTTGAGCAGCCTGGCAAACCAAGCAGTCGGGGACATCAACCATCGCCTCATCGTCTACAGCAGACGGGCCGTACCTGAACCGCCACAGAGGGTACATGGGCACTGGACACCAGAACCGAAAACGACCACCGCGCCACCTATATAACCTGGTCGCCCTCGGGCTGCGTGCCGTCCTTCGCGGCCTTGATTTTAGCCAGCCAGTTCGTCTCCATCTCGAGCGTCACTCCCTTGGGATAGAGCCGGCGGTCGACGCCTTGGCGCGGAGCTAGGGGGTCAGGATATTGTCCTTGTGCGGGCTGTCAGTGTTGCACTCATGGCATGGCAAGACGGGAACGGCTCCTCCTACTCGTGCTGAAGCCCTGGTCCGCAAGCTTGGACATGAACCGTTCCTGGTCGCCCTTGGCCCTTCTCGGGGGGCCGTTGCTGCTCCCGGCGGGCGTATTGGGCTCGACAACTTGGGTGTCGAGCGGCAGCGATGACTCGGGTTGGCTAGCTATGGGGGATGACTTGCAAAGACAGCCGTTGACAGCAGAGGCTGTCCGTCAGATGGCGTTTCGGGCAAGTTTTTCGCTCCCATGAGCGAGAGCCTTGAGATGGGAAAAGAAGACAACGCAGCCCGTTGGATGAGGCAGATTCCTACGTGCAGGACACAGGTCACGACTGGCGTAAGCTCGGGACAGACTATTGGACGGCGGGATTGCCGCAGTCCAGGGCTTGACAACGTCGCGGCTGGTCAGCAAAGCCCCCCTCTGGAAGCAAGGGAACACACTTGCGCAGGGAGATATTTTATCTGTACAATACTCGGCACATGCATACAGTAGACACTGCTTCGTAGGTACTGTGCAGCGCGATGACGTGCCTCGTTGGCCGTCATGTCCGCGAGAAAGAAACAATGGCCGGGATTTGCCAACAAGTCGGAGCTCCGGGCAGCCCAAGGTTGGCGGGCAAGGCCGGGGCGACGTTTCTCCGCAGGCGCCGGCCATACCTATCCCTCTTCGGAACTCGCCAGTAAACCCGTGAGCCCACCAGCCAAAACCTCCTCTGGTCGACGGCTGCTTGAGGGCAGACAAACTTCCACCGGCTTAAGCTTTTCCTCTTATTTTTCTCCCCTCCCAAACTCACTATTTCTGCCTTTTTTCCAACATCGCCATTGCCTGCAACCCAACCCTTATGAACAGCTCCGTCGCCCGTCCCCGCCAGCCGCCGACGCCGCACACGCGATCGCCCGAGACACTCTCGTGACACAGCCAAAAAGGCCGCCATCCGGCGTCTCCATCCGCCCACCGCCCCAATGAAGAAGGCGGCCGCAGACATCCCCGACGCGTGGGACGACGATTGGGAGGCCCAGGTCGACAGCCTCCCCCAGCAGGACGTGCAGCCGGAGGGGACGTCGGCGCCCCTCACAAAGGCCGAGCGGCTGGAGCAGCACGCCGAGGCAAATCGCAAACTGTGGGAGTCGGCGTAAGCGCGAGACCCTACCCTGACCACCTCAACTTGGCCCTGGTCCGCCGCGCATGATGCTGTGCTGACTGCTGCGTCCTCTCGTCATTGCAGCGACACGCCCCAGACCTTTCACTACCTGGAGGCCAATAACGACGTTCCCCTTGCGTCCACCTTTAAGCCCCAGGTCAAGGTCCTGAGCCGCAAGCCGGTCGTTGCCAAGGACCCCGTCACCGGCCTGGCCCGGCTCGCCCTCGACGACGATGCCGACCAGTCGGACAAGAGGGAGGCCCAATTGACCCCGGAGCAGATCCGCGCCAAGCAGAAGCGGGATCGGGAGGAAAAGCAAAGGCGCTACGACGAGGCACGCGCCAAGATCTTTGGCGAGTCGGCCTCGTCGTCTCGTGGCTCGTCCCCCGGCACCGTTACCCCGCCCCGCCCAGAGGGCCGTCACCAATCGGGCAACGGCCGAGGTCGTGGCCGTGGCGGAGGACCGAGGAACGGCCCGGACACTCGGCAGTCACAGCCCGACATTCGCCGGCAGAACAGCCAAGCCGGTCCGACCAGAGAGCTGTACGACCCCAACTACGCATCCAAGCCCGAGCTCCCCGCGCAGAGACGAGGGCCGGAAGGTGATGCGTGGAAAAGCCCTCCGCCCAGAGACGAACCACAACAGCCCATCCGGGCGCCCAGGGGACCCGACGGCAGCGGACGGGGAGGGGCCGGCTTTGTGCGGCGCGGCGGCAAAGAAAGTTGATTGCTGTGGCCTGACAGCCAATGCGCTCTACCATCCGCCCCCAACCTTGCCGGCAAGCTGGACCACCTTGTCGGCGTCGGTGGCGCGGTCCTTGCCGACGTCGCTGATCACCTCGCGATAGCTTGTGAAGGCCAGTCTATCCAAGCCTATGCCCGTCATCTCAGACCAGTATACTAGGGTATCATGTACATGGGACGAGGAAATGCCATCAACCACGTCCCCGCCAATCGGGCCGTCCTCGGTCTCCGCCTCGCCGTCGGAGAAGTAGGCCTCGTCGACCTCAGCCAGCCAATCCTTTTGCTCCTGCGGGCCCGGCTTGCCGACAAAGCCCTTGCGCTGCGCGACGATGGGATCTTCAACCTTGATCTGCCCGCCGCCGTTGGTGCAGCCCCCGGGACACGCCATGACCTCGACGTACCCATACTCGAGCGACGCCGCCGACTTGCCCGCAGCCCGCCGAGCGCTCCCAAAGGGCTTGCCGCCGGGCATCCGGGACGGCCGCGCAGGTTTGAGCCTGCGTACCAGGTTTTGGATGTTTCGGAAGCCGTAGTACCGCGCGGCCCTGAAGAGCGGTTGGCCGTCGAGGGAGACGCAGTACTCGACCACGTCGGCGTTGCGGCCGCGGGTGGTTCGGATTTCAGAGCCCGGCGTTTGGGCGGCTCTGCTCTGCAGGATATAGTGTAGCAGGCCGCCTGAGGAGCCGGCGACGCGGGGAGGACTCCGAGGGCGTTGTGTGGGGAACAAGAATTGGTGTAACCGCGAGTCGGGGAAGGGCTCCAGCGGAGGTATGGAGGTGCCGTCTCGGGGAAGCTGGAAGAAGTCGATTCCTCTTGACTCGCAAAGCATGAGAAGTTCCTTGCTCGTGATGACACAGTCGACGTCGCGGACTCCCGGCGCGAGCGAGTCTGCGCCAGCCCACGCCTGGTCCGTGAGCTCCTCGCGGCTGGCTTCGAGCTTCTTGTCGAAGCACGGCATGACGGCCAAGTGCCAGATGCGACTGGGCGGGATGCCGAGGCTGCGGCTCAGCGTCGTCTTGAGCAGAGTGCCGGCGAGGGCCTGAGGCGACTTGACGCGCGACAGGTGGGGGAGGACGTGCGGGTGCGTCTTCTCGGCGTAGCACACCCAGCCGGGACACGAGGCGGCGAGGACGGGCCGCGAGGGGGTGGATGCGCCGAGGGCCTCGTCGGCGGCGAGGACGAGGGTCGCGTCGCGCACAACGTCGGTGTCGACGACCCACGAGAAGCGGCTGCCGCACGCCCCGCCGGCGGCGAGGCCCGAGTCGCCCCGGAGCAAGACGTCAACCATGCGGCGCACGTCGGCGCCCGAGACGGCGCCCGAGGGGCACGCGGCGGCGAGGCTGGCCCTGGTCTGGGGGCTGACGCTGGCGACGAGCAGGCGGGCGCCCGGGTCGGCAAGCCCCTCGACGACAAAGCGCCGCGCGGGGTCGTCGTTGTCGGCGGTGGCGGCGGGGACGGCGACGACGCGCAGGGCGGGCGCGGCGTCGAGCGTGGCCAGGACCTCGGCGTGGCTCTGCAGGCTGACGAGGACGGCCTCGGCCGAGGTGACGCAGCCGGAGCAGGCGAGGCAGTCGGTCAGGGAGATTTGCGCGGCCGACTGCTGCTGCTGCTGCTGGGAGCCGCCGTCGAGCATCACCTCGGTCTCATCGTGGGCGTCGGCGGCGGGGAGCGTCTCGACGGGCTTGATGCATGCGACGCCGGGCGAGATGAAGTCGTTGAGGTCGTCGACGGAGAGGATGGCGCTCATGGTTGCGCCGCCGGGGGCTCGTCGCCCAAGACCTGTGTGTGGCTACTTCACACTTCTTCTTCGCTTGTTTCTTTTTTCCCTCTCTTCCTCTTGTCCTAGAATTTATAGGGTTCGGTCGATTGCCGTTCCAAGTCAGAGTTGTCTCGTCTGTATATCTTCTCTCCTCTATGCTTCTAGACGGCAGCTCGTTCGGGAGGGGGGGGTATCTCGGCGCTCTGGAGGAAGCGGCTTCGGCGTCGTCTGTATGGTTCGCGGGGGCCTCGTCCTCTTTTCAGCGTCCTGCTCGCCGTCGCTAGACTTTATTCTGCCGTGTTGAATGCGGGACGAAGAAACCAAAGTTAGAAAGCCCAGCAGACGATAGAGCGTCCAACCAACAACAACCTCCCTCAACAGCAAGATGCAGAAGAAAAAAGAAGAAGCAGGAAATGGAGCGCTTTGCGCTGCTGCTCGGGGAAAATCGCCACAAAACACGGATCCCCCGATCGCGCACCTCCTGAAGGGGGGGGGAGAAAAATTAGGCTTGCAGGTGCACGGCTTAGAAATACGGCGGCGGGCGTTGGCTGGGGCTGCGTGCGGCGATGCGAGCTCGGCGACGGGCCTTTTTGGCGCTGGTGGCGTCACCGGCTCCACCGACCCGTGGGCCAGGGGTGTAGGGTAGGCGGGCAAGCTCGCAGGCCGGGCTGTTGCACGACAGGGGCGAGAGGAAAGACGAGAGTTTTTCACGTCGGCAAACATCAACGCCTGCTGTTATCGAATAACAGAGAGTTGCGACGGCCCCTCCTGTATTTTGCGGCCCGTCTAGACACACGCAAAGACGCGCGAAGAAGCGCGGACAATACGCCGCGTGTGCATATCTAGGCTGCTCCCATGCTTACATCAACTCGGCGATGCCCTCATTCCTCGCCCGAGCTCCCAGCCATTCAACTCCCTCGATTGCAATGTACACGAATGATTTCTCCGAGCAGCCGCAGCCGTAAACTCCAAGTAAAGGCCCCCTTCTATCCACCCGCTTATACACGAGGCCATTGCCGCTGCCCCAACGGGTGTTCGCTGCCAAATAGAATCCAAGAGCCAAAGAAGATAAAGATGATAAAGAAACGGCACGCCTAGGCCTCTGTTGCCTGGGCTGCACTTGCGGCGGACGTGGTCTCGCCTTCTCGGTCCACGCCATTGATCTGGCGCCCTGGGTCCTGGGCCTCGACGACGCCCGGGAGTTGCACGTCGGCGGTGCCCGACAGGATGGCCTGGCGCCGCTCGTGCCAGTCCACCTCGCTCTGGATCACCTGGGACAGGAGCACCTCCTTCTCCAGCCACTCCTTGTAGTAGACCTCCTCCCACTCCTTGCACTCCTTCTTGAGCGCCTCGCCCACCTCGTCGGCCCACTTCGATTCCCAGTAGCACTTGCGGTACAGCTTATCTACCGGGTAGGCCAGCTCGTCGGCCGAGAACAACTCACCCGAGAGGGCCGTGAAGAACTCGGCATTGACCTCCTCGCCGTTGACCGACGGGTCGGCGCCGTCGTCGTGGCCGGCGCCATGCGACTGCGGCGTCTTGATGATGATTTTCAGCTTGCTTGACTTGCCCGTGGGCCCCATCTGCATCGACTTGGGCACGGGGTCCGAGGGCCGGAGCGCCTCTGTTTCGTGGACGGTCCGCATGTGCTTAGCAAGCGCGTCGGATCTCGTAAAGGAGCGATCGCACTCTGCAAGAAGCATTAGCCCAGGCGTACTGGAGGAGAGGAGAGAGGCAGCGGCGAACCCGGCAGGTAGCAGTAAAAGGGCTTTTCCCTCGTGTGGCTGCGCATGTGAGCCTTGAGGGCATAGCCGCTGGCGTGGGGAAGACCTTTGCGCTGGCAGCTCCTCCACTCGCACGTGTACTTTTTTTGCCGATTCTCAATGTGCGAGTTGTGGATGTGCTCGACCAGCCTGTCCATGTTGCTGAGATCGCCTGCGGGACACCCGTCCCAGTCGCATACCGAGACTTGGTCCTGGAAGTCGTCCTCGTCGAGGCGCGCATTGACGGGGGAGCTCGGGATGTCGCCCGACGTGTCCGAGGACAGGTCCGACATGCCCTCGAGGGCATCTGGCTCGGGGACGGGCTCGGGCTCGGGGTCCGGGACCATGGCCGATGATGCCGTCGACGCGGCCTCGACCTTTTGTCGCTTCGAGGGGCGCAGGGAGGCCTCGTCGTCGTCGTCGTCGTGGGCGTCGTCGTCGTACGGCTCCTCGGAGGCCATGGACGACAGCGGAGAGTCGGGAGGCGAGTAGTGGTGGCGCGCCATGGCTGTTTTGGGGCGCGAATGAACCGGTCGAGGTAGATGAGCGGGCAAGCGGCAAGAATTGGTCGAATGGTGGACAAAGCTGGTAGCTGATAGGAGCCCGAGAGCTGGCTTGAGTTGAGGCGGCGACGATGGGGACGAATACGACGAGGGGGTGATTGTTAGCGCGGCGCCGAATGCATTGGGGGACGGAGAGGGAAAACAGAGGCAGCTCGAACCGAGCGGGTGGACGGGCGAGTCTGCGTTGCGGCTCGCGCCATTTAAAAATTGGCTCGCGGTGCCATCACGGACTGACTGCAAGGGGAGAAGCTTCAGCCCTGTTGTACAGTACAGTGTGGCCAAGGCCAAGTGTCATCGCGCGGCGCATCACCAGGGTGCTAGTCACAGTGCGGCCCTGTACGGTACGGCATGCATTCATGGCTGAGTGCGCAAAGCCACTTGTTGGTAGCCTCACCAAGTATTTACTTTGGATTCACTAACAATGTCCAGTATTGGGCTTGTACTCAGCAAAAAGGCATCCTCAGCCTCTGCGACAGCCTCTATTCACCAATACCCAAATAATACCGACAAGAAACTCGCAAATGGTATTGAAATGGCACAATCTATAGCGCGTCACACTTCAGGAAATGATGCATATATATATGTGTCATATGCCTCTCCAACTCCAAGTCGTCAAATTCCACCCTTGACTCTGCCCTCCATTTTCCCCCAATCAACAACAGCTTCGCGGAGCTGGCCATCAAGATGATAGAATGAGAAAAGAAAAGAAAAGAGAGACGCAGTCTAGGCATGGCCGTTGGAGCCTACAAGCTTGCGTCTCTGCTTAACGGCCTCGGCGAGGTTGTCGAGCACAGATTCGGTGTCTTGCCAGTTGATGCACGCGTCTGTGATGCTTACGCCGTACTCGAGACCCGACTTGCCCTCGTCGGGCACCTTTTGGTTGCCTGTTTGATTCGCGACGCAGGTTAGCGTCTCCTACACCCAGAGACAAGCAGGCAGGCTTACCCTCGTTGATGTTGCTCTCAATCATGACGCCCATGATGGCCGTGTCGCCCTTTGCAATCTGCTCGGCGAGGTCGGCAGCCACTTTGGGCTGGTTGCGGTGGTCCTTGAGCGAGTTGCCGTGGCTGCAGTCCACCATGAGGCGCTGGCGGACGCCCTTTGCCTCGAGGGCCGCCTTTGCCTTTGCGATGCTGTCGGCGTCGTAGTTTGTGCCCGCGGTGCCGCCGCGCAGGATGACGAAGCAGTCGTCGTTGCCCGTGGTGCCGACAATGGCCACGACGCCGGGCTTGGTGACGGACAGGAAGTGGTGCGGGTGCCGGACGGCGCCAATGGCATCGATGGCGACGCCGAGGGAGCCGTCGGTGCCGTTCTTGAAGCCCACGGGGAAGCTCAGGCCGCTGGCGAGCTCGCGGTGCAGCTGGCTCTCGGTGGTGCGGGCGCCAATAGCCCCGACGGAGAGCAGGTCTGCGAGGAACTGGGGGGAGATTGTGTCGAGCATCTCGCTGGCAATGGGCATGCCGCGGGCCGTCAGGTCGACAAAGAGCTGCCGGGCCAGGCGCAGGCCCTTGTTGATCTTGAAGCTGCCGTCAATGTCCGGGTCGTTGATGAGGCCCTTCCAGCCGACCGTGGTGCGCGGCTTCTCGAGGTACGAGCGCATCACGATGAGCAGCTCGTCCCGGTGCTTATGCTTGGCCTGCAGGAGCATGTCGCAGTAGCGCAGCGCCGCCTCCGGGTCGTGGATGGAGCAGGGCCCGACGACAACGAGCAGCCGGTGGCGGGCGTCGGAGCCGTTGACGACGGCCGCCACCTCGTCGCGCGACTCGATGACCGTCTTCTTGGACGCGGGCGTCTGCGGGATCTCGTGCTGCAGCAGGTCGGGCGGCGTCAGGGGATTGTACCCGCGGACTGCGTGCGTCTCGGTCAGCAAGCGCCCAAGCAGAAGAGAGTCGACGGCCTACTTCTCCAGTCCTCCGAGTCGGCCTTGTTGCCGACATTCTTGTTCTCAATGTAGAACTGCCAAACATGCTGTGAGTCACCTTGGCGGTGCAGGCTGCTGGGCCAAGACTTACCGACATTGTAAAGGCAGGAGCGGGATGAGAAAGAATGAGAAAGAAATGTTCCCAGGGGAGGAAGAAGGGAATGGATGACACGCTGAAGACGAAGCAATGGAACAAGAAAACGTCGAGGCGTAAAAAGTCGATTTCTTGTGCTTCTCTGGGCCTGCGTCACTTCCCTCCCCCTCCAAAGATTAATCGATAAATCAGGTGTTTTTTCCCTTCGGGGTTTGAGAAAAATAGGGGCGGCGGGGCAGCGCTGACGCCGTTGATGCCCAGCGCCCGATTGGTCAATTCATCTTCGAACTCTCCTCAACGCCATATGTTTCTTCAGCCAGCGACACCGTCACAGCTACTGTGCCATCACCTTATTCAACGAGCCAAGTTGCGCATACACATCTGCTCACAGTAGAGTGCACCCCTCGTCTTGCTTGACGGGCACCTCTCACGCAACGTCAATGCTGACGATTTTAATGTCCTCCTCGGGCTTCTCCTTGTACGTCCGCACACCCTCGATCTTTTGTATCACCTCGAACCCTTGCGTCGCCCGCCCAAATATCGTATGTTTTCCGTCCAGCCACGGCTGCCCTTGCGTGTCAGTTCGTCCTTTGGACAAAAAATAAAGAGTCCGAAGAGCGTACCGTCTTCTCTGTCGTGATGAAAAACTGGCTCCCGTTGGTGTTGGGCCCCGCGTTGGCCATGCTCAGCGTGTACGGCTTGTCGTGCTTGAGGCTGCTAAACTCGTCCTCAAACTCGCGCCCCCAGATGCTCTCCCCGCCCGTCCCGTCGCCCAGCGGGTCGCCTCCTTGGATCATGAACTTGCGGATCACGCGGTGGAAGATGGTGTTGTTGTAGTAGCCACTCTTGGCGTGCGTCACAAAGTTCTCGACCGCCTTGGGCGCTGCGTCGGGGAACAGCCGGACGTGGATGTCGCCGTACGTCGTGTGCAGCACCGCGCCGTCGGCCGTCTCCTTTTGCCGGACCTTGGCCTCTTTCTTGTGGCCCGGGCCCGTCGGCCTCTCGTTCTGCACGTCGCGCGTCGACTTGGAAATGTCCTCGTTGCTGGTAAACATGTAGAAGCGCACCTTGCCCACCCCCGTCGCCACCAGGATCGGGTCCCGGGCCTCCGACTCCTGCAGCAGCGGGTTGCTGGACGCGCCCATCTCCACCGACACGACGCCCTTTTTCTGCGGCTGGCCCTGGTACAAGGCCAGGTGGACGGCGCGGAAGCCCTCGTCGCCGCCGTAGACCTTGAGGACCCGGTTCGTGTACGTGTTGAGGGCCTTGATGCCGAGCATGGAGCCGTAGAGGATAAAGTGGCCCGACTCGTCAAAGACGATGTTGCACTTGGACCGCAGCAACGGCGACTCGAGCTCCTTTTCTTGCGCGAGCCGTCGCCCAAACTCGACGTGGTCGAACTTCTGCGACGCTGCTCCGGCCTGCTGCATCTCCTCGATGGCCTGGAGCGACTCGTCGTAGGTGCGCTGCAGCTTGGCCGTGGCAAAGTCGAAGAGGCGGATCTTGCGGTCCGGCAGCGACAGCGTCGCCAGGCTGTTGCCGCTGGGCGACAGGGCGAGGCACGACGGCACGCTCTTGGCCTTGCGAAAGTCAAACAGGTTGGTGGCGCTCTTGTACTCGAAGACGTTGTCGGGCTTCTCATAGCTGCCGCTCGGCCGCCAGTACTCGACCATGCCGTTCTCGTCGGCCGATACGACGCAGTCAAAGGCGTCGTTGAAGGCCATGAGGTGCACGGGGCTCCGGTGCAGGCCCTTGATGGTGTGTATGGGCTCCTCGCTCTCGCCGCGGCCGTCGTAGATGCGAATCAGCGGCCCCGCCTCGTCGGACACGGCCAGCAGTGGCAGCGAGGCGCCCTTGCGGTGGACCCAGCACAGGCACTTGGGCGCGAAGCCGGGCGAGATCATGGACAGCAGGTCAAAGGTAACGACGTCGAAGACCTTGATGGTGTCGTCGGCGCCGGCGGTGGCGAAGCTGGTGCCGTCCTGGCTGACGGAGACGGACCTGATGTCGCCGTTGTGCGCCTGGAACTGCTTGACAAACTCGATGCCCTGGGCAATCTTCTTCCAAAACTTGACGACGCCGTCGGCCGACGCGGTGATGAGGAAGTCGGTCAGCGGTGTCCACGTGACGAAGAGCAGCTGCTCCTTGTGCATCAGCGACCGCGAGTAGCGCGTGGACGAGGGCATGGCGGCCACGTAGAGCTTCTCGTACGGCAGCACGCGGCGCTTCTTCTTGGGGGCTTCGGTCGAGGGCAGCTGCGGGCCCATGTCGTCATCCGACGAGTCTGGAGGAAGCTGAATGTCAGAAGAATCGGAGTGCGAAGCCACAGACACAGACATACCCGATCCATCTTGCTCGGCAAACTCGGCGTGGCTCCGTTTCTGCGACCGCTCGTCGGCCTCGGCTGCGGGTTCCGCCATTGCGACGCGGGCTGCTGCAGCTTCTGTTCCTGCTGGAGCTCCTGGATCAACGCCGCCTCGGCCACCTCTCGCCTCGGTCTTATCGAGCTCGCGCCGCGGACTGTCGAGGTTGCGCCGAACTGTTGTGGGAGGGCGATGTGAACTGCGGCGGCGGGTGACGGGACCAAAAAATGAAGTCTCGCCAGAGCTACCAGCCGTGTACCGCTTCGGGTAGTCAGCCGTGCGAGATACTTGTGGTGGGTAAAGTCGGCACATGCATTCCAGCGTGCTTCACCCGAAACAACAGCTCATTTTTATTCGAGTATTTTTAGCATCTCAAGGACTCGTTTTACGTCTGTAAGTATTGTACAATGGCTGATTGCCGTGACGTCAATAAGTTGATTGATCACCTGATTTGTCCCTGTCCAGAGACTGTTTATTCAGCCGTAGGCTGACTTTACATTAATCGAATAAGTTTTCCCTAATATGAGGGTTTGGTGCAGCAGGGATCAGTTAAGTTTTCTGACATCTGATTGGTTGTATGGTTTCTAAAACGTAACTCAACTGGATGATGGCCTTCTAAAAGTGGGTCCAATTTTGCACTTGCCCCTGAATGTCACAGAGCTACTCTGAGCATCGCGGGTCGCCAACAAACCCATCGTACGCAGCTGCTTTCAACCGCAGTGAACCCTATGCCTCATCGAGGGTCTCAAGGTGGCGTGGTTTCCATCGTATGCATTCGCTGTGGCGAGGAGAAACCAGCGCAAGACTTCCTCGGCAGAAGAAAGTCGGCTGGGCACACCAAGAGCTGCTTGGGCTGCCGCAATAAGCGCGCCTATCATGTTGGCTTTATCTCGCGCTCCACAAGATGTTCAATGCTGATCAATTGAAGTACTCCAGGTCCAGACGCATAACCCAGACTTTGAGGAGGTCGCGGTCCGTCCTTCCTCCGCTGACGGGCCTGCTGCGAAAAGAACAGACCGAGATGCTCGCTTACAACCCGAGCAAAAGATACCTAAAGCCCAGCCTACATCATCTGAAAGTTTCCAGGAACGTCATACAGTGAGGTTTTCTTCCGAGGACTCGATGAGCCAACCGCGTGTAGTGCTGGGGACACCACTGCCGCCGACCCAACAAAGTTCAGGGAAAGGTTTAGGAGTTGGCAGGTTCTCACTCAGAATCCGTATAAGAACGGTTAGGGGCTACGTAACTCCACTTGATGCTACCAAGACGTAGATGACGCAATGAATGCATGACTGTAGATTCTTGAATTTTCAGGCCTGCCTTACCGTTGACAGCAGACTTGCAGCCTTCGGCTGATTGTACGCCTTGCACCACTGCTCTAAAGTGCAAGGCGTGACGAAGTATTTTAAATAAACTCTATTGTTGTGAGGCTCGAAGCGCTCCATATAGCAGGCTGTCAAGCTAGTAAAATAAGGGCAGCCCCAGTGGAGGTGCTATTAACGCGCATTATACGTCTAATCTCTGCTCTGACACAGACATCCGCTATCGAATCGACTCCAACTCGATCTCGCTGGAACGCTCGGGAACCTTTCACCAGCACACCAACAACCCAAGCCTGTCCCCATCCACCACTTACGAGTGCCTGCCGCTCTACAGGGTAGCTCGTGCCTCTCGCATGAGCACCTCTGCCCAACCAACTGAAACAACAAGATTTTACTCAAGCTGCTGGCACAACAAAATCAGACAAACACCCAATGTCCATCTCTTCAACGTCTTCCGTCCAAGAAGTAGCCGCCATCTGCCACCAGCACTCCGTTCATCCAACTCGTCTGCGTGCTAAAGCTTGCCGCTTCTCGTGCCAAATACAATAGTTCTTTCCACCCCCCCAAGCTCTGCTCGCCATGAAAAGCACGGGGCCATCAAAGCTGTCATTAAAGCCATTTACGCCCTTGCATGAGAGACACGAATATGAGATTAAAAAACGGAACTCAGGACCTTGCACATGTGCCAGTCAAATTTCTAGCAAATTAAGCCACAAGTCATGGTCATCGCTTCATTGCCAACGAGTTATGTAAATATTACTAGGCCATGTCGTCCAACGCGGCTATTCACCTTTTCATACGTTTCATGATCCGTCATTATCTAGCAGCCAATCTCCAGGATGCCCACTCCGGCAATGATGTTCTCATCATTGGCCTTGGTGTCCTTACCGTCAGCGGTGCTCAGGACGACGTACGTCTGGCCCTTGGGAGCAGACTGGCCCTTCGTGGCAAAGTCGGGGCCTGGGATCGAGGCAGTGTACTAGGCGACCAGTGTGTCAGTGCGAGCGCGCAATGGCAGCGGGGGTGGGAAAACTTACATCCTTGTCCCCAGAGTTCGTGACTTGGACGTAATAGGTCTCGAGGCCAGAGTAGAAGACGGCATACACCTTATCCGGCTTGTTCTCGCCCTGGGCGTCCTTGAACGTGACCGAGCCCTTGCCGGCGCAGAACTTGTCTCCGCTCGAGGGCACGGCGGTGAGCTTGGGGAAGGGCTTGAAGGGGACCTTGGTGCCCTCGGCAAAGCCCGTGACGAACTGGGCGGCCAGGGAGAAGACCTGGTTGAAGCCGAGCGGAGTATCAAAGGCGGCCGGGAACGGCTTCTGCTTGAGGGCTGCCCTAATGTACGAAGCATGCCGGGCCTCGACGGTCAGGATGGAGCCAGCGGCCGTCAGATAGTCCTTGTTGGTGATGGCCGGCGCGGCACCCAGGTAGGCGGAGACGCCGACGCCCTCGAGGACGCTCGAGAGACCGACAAACGAGGCGGCATCCTTGACGGGGAAGGCAAAGGACGGCTCCTTGATGGCCTTGTCGCCGAGAGCCGTCGAGAGGAACGCGACATGGTCCTGTATTTTCGGGTCGCTCGTCAGCAGCTGCCAACATGAAAACAACACGCGCTCACGCTCGCATTGGGTGACTCACCTTCTCGTCCTGGCTAATGCCCTTGAGGTTTTTGTAGAACTCCTTGGAGAATCCGGCGTCGAGAAAGTTCGCTTCGGTAAAGTTACTCAAACCTTCGCTGTAGAACTTGGACTCCAGGAACTCCAAGGTCAAGGCATAGTTGAGGATATCCACGTCTCCGAGCTTGGAATCTTGGTCTAGCGGCGCCGCCAAGCCAAAGGAGACGAGGCAGGCTGCCAGGAGAGAGATTGACCGACGCATGACGCTGTATTGTCTTGTCTTGGGTTCTGAACGAGAGGGTTACTGTGCAAGCAGCTATGCAGTATGTGTGAGCTTGCTGGGGAAAGGAGCCTTTGAATGCTAATGCTGAGTAGGATAAAGCCTTGGAGAGAGAGAGATGCAGCTTCTTCTTATACGAGTGCCCAGAGACACGGACGTGCATGCCAGAACACAAACCTCACGGGATGAGCAGAAGCTGGGATTTCCCACCATGAATCAACATGAGATGAACATATGGATTCCACCAAACAGACTGGGCCTATGCCTCTTGCAGCCGTCAGGCCAAGTGGATAGACAGACACTGGCAGAAAACCATTGAATGCCTGAACCAACAGACTGTTGGCAGCTAGCGGTTGCTATCTGTTGCCTAGGCAGGCAGTCTGGGTCGGGCTAGGGCCGTCGGAAGAGGGAGCTTCCATGCTGGTAAGTCACCTGTCATTCCCTAGAAAGGCGACGTCAGTGCGGAGATTTGACAGAGCCTCAACCAGGGTTCGAGATGCAGCGACGATCCGGGGCGGAAAGGGCCGCCGGATGTTGGCCATTCCGAGACACTAGCAGAGAAGCGGACAAGGCCAGATTGGCCGACGCGGCCCTTGGCAGCCGGAAGGCGGCTTACCCGTCGTGCACGCATGCCTCGAGGCCGTGATTACTGTGCGTGACATTTGTCCTCGACCTCGAGGGAGGTTCGCGCGGCGAGACAGGCGTTGTCTATTTACTCGTCACTGACTTACATGTTGGACTTGACGTCGCCCGGGTGCCGCACCCGCCGGAGCCGAGAACGCTGCAGCTCCGAGATTCTCTTGATGCCAGCAAATCCCAAGCCCAGATCGAGATCGGCCAAAAGGCCAGCCAGCACCGCCTGCGCACCCGCCGTCCCGTTGATGCCCAGCCCGTAGACGACCGGCCGGCCGACAAAGACGGCCTTTGCCCCGAGGGCCAGTGCCTTGGCAATGTCGGCGCCCGTTCGGACGCCCGAGTCGAACATGACGGTGATCCTGTCGCCCACGGCGTCTGCGATGTCTGGCAGCACGTCGAGCGTCGCCACTGCGCCGTCGAGCTGCCTGCCTCCGTGGTTGCTGACAATGACGCCGTCCATGCCGTACTGAACGGCTAGCTCGGCATCCTCGACGCACATGATGCCCTTGAGGACGATTGGCCCATCCCACCACTTGCGAAGAAGCTTGAGATGCTCCCAGCCATGGCTGACGCCAGGGAAACACAAACTGGTCCAGTAGGCGGCAGCCGAGATCCTGTCGGACTCGGGCGTCCCGCCATGGCTGCGCTCGGCAAACTTTTCCCTAAAGACGGGGTCCTGGAAGCCAACCTCGTCGCCCTCTCCGACGACAAAGGGGAGGTTGGCCGTGTCAATGTCTCGAGGCCGCCACCCCAGAGTCCAGGTGTCGAGGGTGATGACGAGGGTCTGGTACCCATTGGCCTTGGCACGGCGCAGGAGGGAAGCGGTAATGTCCTCGTCGGTTGGCCAGTAGAGCTGGAACCACTTGGGCCCGGCGGGGCTTTTCTGAACAAGCTCCTCAATGCCCGTCGAGGAAGCGGTGCTGAGGGTAAAGGGAACGCCAAGGGCAGCGCAAGCATTGGCAGTGCCGACCTCCTTGTCGTCGTGGTACAAGGACTGAACGCCGACAGGGGCCATGAGGAGGGGAGTGTCTTTTATACTTGGCCACGATTATTCGTACATGGATTGACGACGGAGACCTGGCTGGATGGCCGGCTTACCGTATTTCTTGCCAAAGAGGGTCACGCTAAGGTCCCTGGGATTGGTTGGCGTCAGCACTCTGGGGACGAGCTTCCACTGGCGGAAGGCGAGGCGGTTGGCATCCATGGTCGCCGACTCGCCGGCGCCGCCCTTGATGTAGTCGAAGCCATTTTTGGGCATGGCATTACGGGCCATGCCCTCGAGCAGGTTTGGATTGGTTGTGACGGCGGGCAGCTGGCCTTCCAAAAGGCCCTTTTGCATGACTTGCTTGAGATATTCGGCATAGGGCACGTTGTTGCTGCCGTCGGGGGGTGCCATCTCGAAGAGGTCGGATCGGATGGGTTGCGAGGTTGTTGGTGGTTGTGCGTCGTCGTGGTGATTTACAGGAGGAGGCAGAGGAGGCAGAGGGGGGAGAAGAGGGTGAAGAGGGTGAAGAGACCGAGGCTGGCCTTTGGCTCCGACGGGTAATTAACTGCTGCAGAGCCAAACGTGCCTGCTTGCAGAAGCTCCCGAAATAGGCAAAGCACAATCACCAGCCTATCGCGGCGAGGGAAGCCACTTACAGCGCGGCTTGTCCAGAGTACATACAGGCCAAGTTCTAGTGCTCCCTCGGAACCCGGAACCCACCGCGCCGCTACTAGTCTGGGCCACTGCCGGGGGGCCACCAACAGCTAATTGACCATTGAGAGCAGAACTGCAGACGCCGGAACGACCTGGATCAACCCAGACGGTACCTGCGGCACAAGTACACCCTTTAGCACACCGACCTGCCGATGATGCTCCACCAAGCCCGTGACCCTCTCCGTTCGAGGAGCAGCCGGCTCCCATTTTGTATCCATGGAGTATAGTTAACTAAGCCTTAGGTCCATCTTGTAAAAGTCGGACGAGACTATCGGAGAGTTGGCATTCTTGACCTGCGAGCTTCTACGGCCGCGCCAAGAGACTCAGGCGTGGTTCGTGGATAATGGCACCGGCGAATAGAGCATCATGCATGCACTATTCTGTACTGCGATAACCCCGCCCTAGCACTGACCAAAAATCTCCCGCCGAGGAGCGTCCTCGACCATCGAATCCAGACCTGCACCACCCTCCTTTCCAGTCGACACCGCCGCCATGGACATCGACGACATCTTGCAGGAGGTCGACCCCGCCTGGCAGACGGCGCCCTCGGGGACGCGCGACCTCCAGGCTCTGACGCGTCGCTGGGTTGCCGAGCGGTCGGCGCCCGAGCTGCTCGGGTGAGTCTCTTGCACCTCTGTACGTGGCTGCCGCAGGGAGCTCGACACCAATGCCCAAGCCTAGGCACCGGCGGCTGCTGACCTTTGCGCAGCTGGCCCTCGGACCACCTCTTTGAGCGCGTCAACCAGCGCATCAAGCAGCAGATTGAAAAGGTCGAGGACATGACGGGCGACATGGACCCAAAGACAAACTTTGCCCTCATTGTCATCCAGACGGAGCTCGAGCGCTACAAGTTCCTCGTCCGCAGCTACCTCCGCGTCCGCATCGCAAAGGTATGTGTGTCCCTCGTCCTCAGGGGGCCCCCGAGTCAAACAAAGAGACTGACTCACCGTCCCTCATCCCAGATCGACAAGCACGCCCTCCACTACCTCTCCAACCAGGACCTGCGCGACAGGCTCTCGCCCACCGAACTCGCCTACGCCACCCGCCACCAGGCCCTGCTGCACAACCACTACCTCTCCTCCTTCCTCGCCTCCTTCCCCCAGCAGCTGCAGAACCTCAACGACACGGCCGGCAACGTCAGCATGGTCGACGCCCCGGACCCGGACACGCCCGTCTTTATCCGCCTCTTGCACGACTGTCGCATCCACGGCAAGGGGACCGACGCCGACAATACCCTCCTCGCCGAGACGGGCGACGTGCTCATCCTGCGCTGGTCCAGCGCCAAGCCCCTCGTCGACGACGCCGATGCCGAGCTCGTCTGATCTTGGGACTGCCGCCGCTTAAGCATTTTGCCATTCTTCTCCGGCAGTCCCGGTGAGCTCAGTGGCGGCGAAGCCAACCACGCGTCTTGGGCCGCTCTCCGAAAGCTCGCCTGGAATATGCCGAGCAGTTAGTCGCACGCCCGAACTGGCTCACGCGAGCCCAACATGAATGACGATGGCTATCTTGTTCGCGGACGCTACCCGGAGCTCGGACATGTCGTAGAGGCGGACAGGCTCAGGACCCGCCCGTGTGGCCTCCGTCCTACAAGAGCGGCATCGCCAGAGGCTCAAACTGCCAACCAGCTGTAGTCGCCAAGTACGCCAAGTGGGAGAGGGCTATGTAGACTAAGCTCGGATCGAGACCTGACAGGCCTCGTAGATCCTCGAGTCTGATGAGTCGGGACGGAAGAGTCTGAAAGGATACTTGTTGTCGCTGCGAAGGAATATGGGACGATGGAAACAGGCAACGTACTCAACTACCAGACGGCCACGGATGTTTGTGTGCCGGACGGATGGGGAATCGTCAAATTCAATGGCACATTAAACGGCCATGTCGACAAGACGACACGAGCGCAAGCCGACACACTCGGTCGATTCTCGATAGCATCATCCCATAGCCCCCTCAGACGAAATGCAACGCAAGCCTCCTTTATATGCCAGTCCGACGACTGCCTAGTTCTGAATGGTCCATAACCGTATTTTGCCGATATCATTGCCCACAGCCAACAAATCACTCCCCCTGCCAAACGCCACCGTCGTGATGCGCCCCAGGGGCGTCTGCTGCGTGGGCCAGTTGCGGTAGACGGTGCAGCTGGGCAGGTGCACGAGCCGGAGCGCGTCTTTTTTGGCGCGGCTGCCAAAGGCCAGCAGCTGGCCGTCGGGGGAAAAGGCGAGCACCGTGATGGGCGTGACGAGGTGATCCAGCACGCGCCTCGGCGTCGGCCGCTCCTTGATGGTGAGCTCGGCCTCGCCCGGCACCACGAGGTCCTGACGCTCGTAGATGTTGGTGATGCCGCTGTTGGAGCCGACGGCGACCCAGCGGTCCTCGCCCAGGGCGGCGGGACCTCCGTGGCCGCCGAGGGCCAGCACGATGCCGCCCACGTTTCCGTCATCGTGCCAGACGGCGATGAAACTCTGTCTCTCCATGCTGTACTCGCCGACCATGCCGTCCTTGCCCAGGATCGTCATGCCGTTGCCCGTGCTCCACCAGGCAAAGTCGGCCAAGCCATTCTGGCTCTGCAGTCTTGCGGCGGCGACCCACTGCATGGACGCGACGCTGAGCACGTTGACGACGCCGCCCCCCTTTCTCGTCGACGCCACGATGGCCATGTACCGCCCGCAGGGACTGAGCTTGAAGCGCTCCATGGACTTGTGCTCAAGGCGATGACCGAGCACCTGCGTCGTCTTCTGCACGACGCCCGAGGGCAGGTCCCAGTGGTGAAAGAACTTGCGGCGCCCGGCAAAGAAGATCTTGTCGCCGCGCGGGTAGAGGAACTCGGCGGCGCGCACGTCGACCTGCTTGACCTGGACCGACGTGAGGCGCGGGTTGGGCGGCTGGGCATCGGGCGCGATGTGGTGCAGGAACAGCACCGACGCTGCGCTGGCCGACAGCAGGACGGGGTACTCGGGGTGGAAGGAGAGGCACGCGACGGGCAGCTTGTGCGTGTCGAGGATCTCGCGCGTGCGCTGGATGTTGAGCACCTCGGGTCGCAGGCCTCGCCTCGTGGGGCCGCCCAGCCCGGCCAGCCGGTTGACGTCTCGCAGAAACGCCTCGAGCGGCTGCGCCGAGACGCTGTCGTCGTCGCTCGACGAGTCCGATGCGGCAGAGGAGCGGCGCCGTCGCTTCGTCGGGCGGTCATCGGACTGCTGCGCCCAGGCCGGCGCGGGATACAGACGCTGGTACTGCTGCCGCAGTCTCGTGCAGTACTCGGTGCCGCTGACGACGTCCTCGGCCTCTGTGATTCGCAGCTTCCGCAGCCGCGTAACGCTGGCGAGCGAAACGGTCAATCGATCGTCGTCGCTGTCCTCCCACGCGGGAGCATCGTCCTGCGCCGTCTTGCCCGACCCGGGAACGTCCTTCGCGACGCCACGGGCTGCGCCGGCGACACCCGTGTCGAACATGAACAAGTCTCCGTCGTCGACATCCTCCAGCCCTCCTGTGTCGGCGCCCGCAGCCTCCAACTCGCCGCCATCGGCGCCCAGGTCGTCAAACAGATGGCCGTACTTGAATAGGCTCTCCCTGAAACTTGTTTTGTTGCCCAGTACCAGCTGCTCCAGCTCCTCCTCGTCCGAGTCCTTGTCGAAGAGCCCGGCCGCGGCTTCGGGACTCGCCGCCACGTCGTGTGAGCCGGTGTCGGAGGCATTTTGGCTATCGGAATCGGATTCCCATTGCTCTGCTTGTGGCGCCATGTTGTATGAGGGGCTGTGCCGTCGTGCTGAAAAAAAAACCCCCCGAAGTAGGTTAACGGCCTCTTGTTTTGGGAGGGTCCATGAAGTGCAGTAATTGGAAGAGGCACTTTTTTTTTAGACGCTGGATGTCAGCCTTGCTTGGGCCCCACCAATCTGCAGAGCTTAGATCGCCTAGCCAATGATAGCGGGGTTCTGTTGCAAGGCTGAATCAGTGCTGGATTACTGTACTTCTTCATGCAGGCAACATCTTTCCCGTCCGTTTCTACTTCTTCCAATTTCTTTTCTTGGAGCTTCATCATCTTCGAGAAATTGCTCGAGTAATCTGCTCCTCCAACTGCCCAAGACTTGGACTCACCGACTCGCGGCACTTGAGCGACAAGACGGCCCCTCGCTGCGCGACATCAACCAGCCTCTCTACCCGTCCGCCCTGCGCCAGGCCCGAGACCATGACGCCCAGAAACGTGTCGCCAACCCCGTTGACAGAGACGATATCCTGCACCTCCTCTGCAGCTGGGAACAGTCGCATGTAGACGCCGCCAACGCAAGGGTGATCGACGGCCGCCCGCGTCAGGATGAACTCCTCGGCGTCCCGGTCTCGGAGAAGAGGATCGTCGCGGTCTAGGATCGTCGTGAGGAGGACCCCCTTGGATCCGAGCTTGGTGAGGAGCGTGGGTATGTAGGGCAGCAGCTGGACCGACTGCACCGGCACGCCGGCGTCGGTGAGCTCGGCCGAGGTCTGGCGGACGAATCGGTCCCGTGCGCCCCTCATGCCAAACGCGTCGATGACTTCGAACCAGCGGCCCAGCTCGAGGTATCCGTTATCCTTGGCCGCGGCGTACATGGCCGCAAGCTCGTAGACGTTGGGGGACGCGAGATGGACGCTCGCATGGGGGAAGACGCCGAGTTTGGGAACGCCCGTCTGGTGGGCGCAAAACAGCCCTCGTGACTTTTGCACTGACACGGGCTCGAAAGCAACTTGAGCGTTGTGCTCCCTGCCGGCCTGGATCCATGATCTGATGTCGCGCGGCGTCCAGTTGCCATCGACGACGAGCCACTTGGGTGCCATTGCTGCCACGGCCGACTCCCAGTGCTCGGGGGACGCGTGTTCCGTTAAGATGCCCATATCAGCCATGGCCATGACCAGGTTCCCGCTGCCGTCGTTGACGGCCACATACTGCGCGGTGCGACTGCCCGGGTGCGACTGTTGGTTGAGTCTCCGGACGTGAGAGGCGTCGAGCCCCGAGTCTCGTAGCGACGAAAGCACCGTCGATCCAGCCCTATCATGCTCGTCAGCATGCATGCATTGCTTTGCAAGAAGAAAAGCAAAGACCGCTTGCGAGATGTTTGCCTACACGTCGTCGCCGACCACGCTGCATAGCCGGACACGAGCCTGCCTGCTGGCTAGGTGAGCAGCAAGCGCGACATTGTGGCCGACACCGCCAATTGACTGGCTGATGCGGGCTGGGTTCGACGTGTACGCCTGCGGTGCTACTTCGCCTGGCTTGGAAGCTGTGCCGGTATAGTCACAGTTGAGATCGACTGCAACCGCGCCGGCTACGACGACATCGACCTTGGTGTCGATGGTGGCGGTGGCGGCATTGGGCTGCTCGGGCTTATTGGATGCTACATCAAGTCTATTTGTATTATCTAGTCATCAGAGCCGAGCCGATACAATACAAGTCGTAGCTGCAACTTACGAGCTCATCACCGGCTGCGAGCGCGACGCAGACTGCAGCAGGCGGGACAGCTCCACGGCAATATCAGTGGCCCGTGAGATGTTGGCCGCCACCAGGGCCTTGTTGGCGAGAACGACCCTTTCGCCGGTGAGCTGCCTGAGTCTCTGCAAGATGTAAGGCGTGTTTTTGCTGCCGGTGAAGCCATTGTCGACGGCCTCCTGCACCGCCTGCTCAATAGCCACCCTCATCTCCCCCGAAGGGACCGCAAACTCGTCCGGGATCGGGTTCGCAAAGAGCATGCCAGACTCGATGCCCAGCCGCTCCTGGGCAAAGATGATGGCCGCGGCCTCCTTCTCGCTGTTGACGACGGACGGGCTCGGGGTGCCGCTCTCCCTGGCCCAGAAAGCCGGGAAGTCGACCTTGCCGGTCCGCCCGTCGGTAAAGGTGGACACGAGACAGCCCTGGGTCTCGAGGTACTCGAGTGTCCGGGGGATGTCGAGAAATCCCTTGCAGCCGCTGCACACGACTGCCAGCCTGGTGCGTCCCAGCTCGGTGAGGTCGGCGGAGACGTCCATGGAGTCCTCGCCGCCGCGGTGCACGCCGCCCAGGCCACCGGTGCCGAATACGCGGATTCCGGCCAGTCTCGCGAGAAGCATGGTCCCTGCTATTGTCGTGCCGCCGTGGATTTTGCGGCCGGCGAGGCCCTACGATTGTGGTTTTGTTGTCAGGCTGCGTAGCTTCTTGGTTTCCCACGGCCTCCCTATTCCACGTAACCGTGCCACACACACACATACACACACGCACACACACGGACGAAGCCCAAACTGCAAAAGACAAAGGAAGGGGGGAGGTGGCAAACTCACCATGCCGACAAGGTAGGCAATGTCCCTGCGTGAAGCCTTGACAGTACCCTCGTCTTCCATCATGCGAGTAATGTCATGCGCCGACACGCCAACCGAGGGAACGCCATCGACGACGGCCACAACGGCGGGGATGCCGCCATGGCTGCGGACGAGGTCTTGGTGCTCTTGGGCGAGATCTTTGCCCAGCGCGCCGTGGGTGTAGATGGTGGACTCGAGCGCCACGACGGGCTTGTTGAGCTTGACGGCGTCGGCCACCTCGTCGGAGACCCGGAGAAGGCGGCGCAGCGCAGCAGGCGTGCCGTGCGCCGTCGCAGATCCGGTCGATAGCCCGCGGCGCCCGCTGTCGGGCTGCTCATGGCCGCAGCCGCGCGGGCGCGGGCGAATCGGGGCAGTGAGCCGTCCAGGGCCGGCGTAGAGGCGCAAGCGGATGACGGCCCGAGCCATCTGCATTGTCGCGCGCAGGTAGATGCCAACGCCTCGATGATGACTGGTGTTCGACTACTAAAGAGAGGCCGTGCGAGAGATGGCCTTGGCATATAAGACCGACAGCCGGCGGGATGAATGCTTCTCGCCTTCTGCAAGTTGGAAGCTCAGTCACATGGAGGGAGCGCTGCGGAGTCTGCAGCTCGACAGACAGCCTGGCGAGAGCCCATCCTGAAGGATACGGGGAGATTTGCCCGCCCCACGACGTCGGAACTTCGGAGGCCACGCGGGCCGGGCGCCGCCGGGGTCGCATGGCTGGGGCTGGGGAAATAAATACCCGGGCCGGGGAAGCTTTTATTCCAAGCGTTTCGGCAAGCCAGGGCCGACGGCTATTGTCGGGCAAAAGAGGCCGTCCACCTTTCTCTATTTGCACACCGGGCCACCGGATTTCAGCGCTTGCGGGCGGTTTAATACCTGCTGGCCGTACCTCTACTCTACGAAATGCTTATTTATAGTCTCGTTCCTCAAGGCATTAAGCGGCCCCGCATATGAGTGTGCGGGGCGGGCTGGCGCTGGTACGCATGTTAAAATTAGGGGTGTACGTGCAAATAGGTGATAGGAGATATGTTTGAGTGTTTCATAATCAGCTATCCTATGTTTGAGATAGAGTATAGTGCCCTAGGAACTTCTCTTAAGAAGGTTTGTGGAAATTGTATGGCTCCTATTGATTACTCGAAATAGGACAACACATACACCGATTTGGAGCCAGAAGCACTGCCTCGGCGAGCGCCTGCAACAAAATTGACCTCGCGGCCCGCGCATGTCCCCACTGCCGACTGCATCGATTTCGATACAAACTTATAGTGATTTGGGGCATATCTAGGGTGCAAATAGTTCTACTTATATAAACTCTTCTCTCCTAAACAGGAATGGTCTATTGGCGCTCTAGGAACTCCAGACAGATCCAGTCCAGCCCAATCCAGTCCAATGCTAGTCCTGTCCAACAGGATCACTGTCCGTCATATCTCTCAATGCTAGTCTCGTGTGCAGCACTCAAGGGCACTTGTCAAACGTCTTGGCCGTTGCTTCGCCGTCTTTATTAACCTCGGAATGGACCATGACGCCGCAGTAGTGAATGTGACCCGGCTCGCCCGAGTAGACGACTCGGATAGGGGTAGGGCCGCCGGGCTGATCTTTCTTTTTTGTCTGAATGTTCCATACAGCCGCCTTTTTGCCAACCTTTTTGTCAACCCAGTAGATGGGGTACTCCCACAGAGTGGCCTCCTCCTTATCGCAGTCTGCGATATTAAAGTGAATTTTCTCTCCGTTGTGGAATCGGTGCGGAAAGCCGCTCTTCGGGGCTTTGTCAATGCTGAAAGGGCCAGCCACTTTGGCCTGAGCCCGGGCAGTGGCTTCATCTACTTGGTACGGCTTCTTTGCCTTGTCGCCTTGAAGCTTGGGATTGCAGGTGATGACCTAGGATGTTGTAACATTAGCTCCGCACCATTTCTTCCACGCCAGCTGGGAATCTTAGGATGAAGGCTTCTTGTTAATGACTTACGGGGGCGCGCGACTCCAGATGGGCCGTCTTAACATCAAGTCCTGGAGCAGCGAAGGCAGAAGCCGCGCTCAAGACTCCCGTGGCAAGGAGGGCAGCGGAAAGCTTCATTGTGACGGCTCAGCTAGGGGTCCTTGATGAGGATGTGGAAGTAGTGCGATTGGATGTCCGTGGGGTTGTTTTCTCTGTTTTCCTCTGGATCGAAAGGTGCTGTTTATATACCTGAACTGAGAAGAGTATAGACGGGGCCTGAACAGTGACAGAATCTGACCAATGCGAGGGACCAGGAATGGCGTTCTCGAGCGAAACCATGTGACGGAAACAATAATAGAAAGGAGGCTTTGCATTGCTTTCGGCAATGCGGTAAGGATCATCTATCAAGCCATACATGAGCTGACAGCCCCCATCTGCACTCTCACCCAACCGAGTTCTCCGCCGAGGCCCGTCGAAGACGTACATGAGGAGTTGACTTTTGCGACCTTTTGCTTGGTACATTCGTATTTGATCAAGGGGCTTATGGATCAGACGTAATAAATATCTCGCGATAATTGATACGAGACCAATCTAGCAACTTGAGCCTGTTTCTGGGCCTTGACAGAGACGTTAAATGCCGCAACAGTGCATGCGATGAAAATCGACAACTGCCCGGATATCGAGCCTTGAGTATCGATTGGCATCCCGGTGTCGTGCTGTTGGACGCGCATGATGAAAAAGCCTTGAGCGCACTCTGCAGTGAAACCAATCATCATACTGCTTTCAGCTTGGTACATGCTAATACGAGACACTGTGCCCCGTGAGCCTCGGCGAAAGCTGAGTACGCCTTAGAGGTGCGGCTTTCACCCCTTGACTGGCTTGGGGGCAGTGTTGGTTGAGGTCGACAATTTCGGGCCGCCCGAGCAGTGGCCACTGGCGACCCTGAAGTCCTTGCCGTGAGTCATCCGGAGAAGGCGTCGAATGACAAGGGGTCGTGCGGAGTATCCGTACTTCGTATAAATGCCCGACAAGGCGCAGAACCCTTGAGACGTCAAATCTTACAACACGACATAACCCAACCCAGACTTCTTCATCTCCCCCGCAGCGCACCAGATACTACCCCAGCGACATCCTAGTAGCATCAATTGGCCAAGTGAAAGCAGCTTGCAAGTCAAATCACCATAGCCGACCAATGGCCGCGCAAGACGGTACTCTCGACGCTCGGTTGTTTGACGACGACGACGACGCCGAGGACCTTGTTTTCAAGCAGCCTCTCGATGCGCTCGTCACCCAGGCCTCGACCCCAGCTCGGGCGGCAGCTCAGATCGACGAGTGGGTTGTGAGCGAGGCCAACAGGCGATACAGGGAGCTCGAGGAACGGAATCCGCCCTTTGAGCTCGCCGACGACGAGAGCCTGTACCTTGTCGGGCCCAACGCCTCGAGGCACATGCACATGCTGTTCGACTCGGTCGCGAGACTCTGTTCAGCCTTTGAGCCCGGCAGCACGGCGCAGGACGCGCTTGTCGACTTTATCGTTCAGCTCAAGGCTCTGCCGAAGCATAATGTGCCGCATTCCCGCTTTGATGAAGATGAGAATCCCGTCGGGAACGACCGGCTATTGCTGTGGCCATTAGGCACCCCGTCGGCAAAAGTCTTCATGCTCGCCTTTCATCGCGAAGCCGAAGGTAGTCCTCCCATGGCCGGCCACGCGGACCAAGCTGACGCTCACAATGATGCCGTAGATCTGGCATACCCATTCTCAGACGTTGAAGAACCCAATAGCGAGTCTCAGCAGCGGTGGAGAAACCTGCAAAGCTTCATCGCGCGAATCACAACGCTGGACCTGATTGACTGCAGCGAGGTGTGTGCACTATTTTATATCCTGCCCTCGTCACACATGTATCCCGACCTCGAGAAACGCGGCAGTGGTGGGATCAACAGAATCGCGGGCGATCTCAAAGCCGCGGCTCAGTGGCTTCTCGGCCACTCAGTACGCCAGTGGGTATATGAGCGGTGCAGGAAGAACGCCGAGGACGCTGCTGATGGGTCTCGCGAGGTTTGGAGCATGCGGAACTGGAAAACGTGGAAAGAGCAAATGGCGTTTATAGCAGAAGACGAGCGGTTCTCGGAGGAAACACGGCTTCTTGCCAGGTCGTTGCTGGAAAAGATGGATACCCAGGGATGAGACTCGATCGCCGCTGGGATATATGTGACCTGTCTGTCAGGACATTCGACGGCTGTGCTCCTGGGATGAAAAAAGACCAGCAATAACAATATAGGTTGTTAAAAGAATTCCTTTCTTAGTGGCTAATTCGCTATTATTTTCGGCTTTTTCTTTATCATTACTTATAGCTAAGGTCTTATTACAGATTCTTTTTAATAGCTAGTTAAGCGTAGTATATACGCGCTGCGGTTCTTTATCCGCCTCGCGGTCGCTATCGCTAGAATCATACTCGCTTTGAAGTTAAGAATCGTTTATAGAGGAAGGCATCATAGTCGCAAAAATATATATAGCCCTACTTATTGGGTTATTAGCTATATATAGCGTATTTCTTATAGTCGTACGCCTTCTGTTGCGGGCGTGCTTGCCTGTTAAAGTCTTTTATTATTTTTAGGGGTATACGGCTGCGGGCGTTACGAAGGTGTAGATTAAGGAGGGCTAGGAGAGGGAAGCTAGCCTCAATACTCCTCAAGACCTGCCCTTGGCCGAATTACTCAATGAGGTAAGCCGCGAGAGAGACTCGACTGCTTATGCTAAATTGTGGCTGTCCCATTAACATGGCAGTACGAAGTATAGCAATCAAAGCCCGAAATATTCAGTTGATTCAAGGAGAGATTCTTAACCACTTTAACTAAAGGAATATAGTTGGTTAAATATATGTCAACAAACATGAAATATGTCGCCCGGATTGTTCCGCCCTTGCTCATTACATGCATGGTTGGAATGGCAATAGCTGATATCCCATCACTGACAACGGCTTCCATTCTGAGCCTGATTAGTGCCCTGAGCCTGCTGCATCACAGCTTGGGTGATGGCACATTTAACAGTCTGGGTCTGCTGTCCCGCGCACTGCTGAGGGGGTTGGTTTCCATTCTGAGTTTGTTTCGCGGCGGCCTGAGCCGTGGCATCGTACGCAGTCTGGTTCACAGTTTGAAGCTGCTGTGCCACACATGGCTGAGAACTCTGAGGCTGATTTCCGTTCTTTCTCTGCTTCGCGGCACCTTGATTGATATTTCCAGTCTTATCGCATCTCTGACGCCGGTTTCTGTTATTGTTCATGCAGGGCGTTGTTGGCTGCTGGGCCCGACACCCGTTCCCGGCCTGTCCGTTGCTCGCCGGGTCAACAAAGCCGCATCCAGTCTTACCCTGCTGGAAAGCGGCTTGTGGGCCGGAGCAGACGCCTTGGCCGCCGTTCACCTGGGCGCAGCAGTTCGACGCGCAGTCGGCGTTGTTAAGGCAACGCCCGGTGATGAACTGCCCCCCTTGTCCGTTGCCGACGTTTTTCTGGCCGCCAGGGTCCGCCGTCAAGGCGTATGCGCACAATGCCACTAGCCCTTGAGTTCACCATAGCATTCAAGCTGGACGGGAGACTGCGATAGCTGCTTACCAGCCATGAGAGAAGCGACAGAGCTGCGAACCATGTTGGAATAAGTCGCGTGGGAGAGGATGTGGAAGTGGGGAGCAAGAGAGAAAAGCTAGTAGCGAAGCCTTATAAGGAGAGAAAGCAAGTCCAAAGTCCAACTTAAGTGACACCTGGTCCAAAGTTAAAGACGGGAGTTGAATACCGAATTTGAACGGCTGGCGATCAGTGACGAGGGAACGAAGAGTTAAAGAGAATGCGACAGTTTAGAAACTGAGACAAGAGGCGACGTCGGGCTTTATAAACAAGATCTAGATAGCGTATATTATAATCTCTCGGTGATGTTGGACAGTTGAGCTGCCAAGGCTTACCTGCGACAACCCAACCCGTAATGATCGACGGCGAGTTAGCGAATGAATCTTGACGCAGCACAAGGTAGGAAGTAACACGGAGCCTGTATCGATAGGTGATGGTTGCATAAGGGCGTCTCACCATTGGTGGTGTGGAAGGCGGGACGTGACGATGCGGCATCTACGGAAGCTGAAGCCGTTGTGGTGCTCATGTGCAGATTGAGAAGCTACGGTGGCGCCTTGACACGCTCTTGCCATCGACAAAATGTTTCTACGCATGTATTACATAGACTCTCCCCCTGACTCCCCGCAATTATAAGGAGTAGGTGTTCCAAGAGGCATTGGATGGAGGTGTGGTGTGTGATCCTTCATAATCTACGAGACAAGCATCTATAAGCCATTGGTTTCAAATTCGGAGATATTTATAGGTTATTAAATAAGCACGTATATCGAGTTTTCAACCAGTTATGCTTATTAAACCTGACCAAACGGGTGTATATACTCTCTATTCCCACAATGTCTACAGAGCCAGAAAGACTCTTCTCAAACACAAAGGTGAACATTTTTGACCGTTACAATCATAGAGAGACTGACGCAATTGAAGAAGTAGAGTGTTTAATGTCATAGTTTCGAATTTATGAAACTTCCAAGGCGGGAATACATAAATTGTATCAGTTGTATGATAGAAGTCACGGCATTGTCAAACATGGCCAAGATACCGGGACTGTCAAGCTGGTAAAATACCGCTACACCATGCAAAATGAGGGCACCCCCAATAGAGGTGTTACTAACGCGTATTATAGGCCCTTTATTGTCATGACAGGGACCCTAACGATGTCAATGTCGTTCAATGCACGGATAGTCCGGATAAGGTCATGGAATACGCATCGACAAGCAACACAGTAATATTTCAGGGGGGTCGCATTGCCAATACTATAGGTTTTGTCCAGCCATATTTATAGCAACACTGCTGTCTCCCAGCCTTAGTGGCTAATGGTAAGAGTTGCTGCGCCTTCTTACCCTAGCTATCAACGAATGACATACATCTTTGAAGCAGCACTTACAGCTTGTATATTATACAAGCGAGGACGGATGCCCGCCTTGCTCTATTTACCAGCCATCGCGGCACCCCAATGATCCCCAGAGCTAGCCAGCTAAGCCTCCCGCTTTCCGTTTCGCTTAGTTTTGGAGGACGACCATCATGCCGCTCGCCTGAGACAATAGGACTGAAACTGATATTGCGAAGATAAGTAGAATGATCTTGCAGATAACCATGAAGAAGATCCACCCCGCGGCTTAATTCGAGAGATAGGTCATGGCCCTCGAGTAAACGAATGCCCAGCAAGGCCCGGCCTGCAATGCAAGTACTAAGTGTCCTTAGAGAGTCATGTACGGCCAACTAGTCTCGCAACGCATTTGCTTGGTACTCTGCTAGCTGTCACATCCAGCCGAAGGTACTTATGGTCTTGCCCGCTGTTGTCCGGCTTGGTCAAACGGCCGTTGGGTTGCAAGGCCTTCCTTGGCAGTGTGGCCTCGGCTGTGTGAGTGGAGAAGACCATCTAGACCAGACCAAAGTGATATGCGCTACCACATTGCCGTAACCAGCTATAGTTCAATAGTACAAACCGCTGCCAAGTGAAACTCTACCAACTTCAGCCACCTCTATATCAACATCGGACGACACATTTAAGGTTATAGCAATTATACTGCAACACTGCAGTGCTATTGATTAGCAACGAGATCACTTTCCCATCTGCGCTGTTCCAAGATTGCGGTGGGATTAAATCTCTTAAAATATGTCTATAATAAACCGGTCTCACTACTCGATGGCCATTCTAGAGCAAGCCAAGGCTCGACGCGTAGAGGCGTGGGCATCCTGGTAAAAACACAACTTCTTACGTTCTTAGCCCGCTTACAATGTTTCAAGCGCCCGCGGTCTCCAGAAGGTGTCTCACGACAATCATGCGCAATACTTGACCTCATATTTTGTCCAGCCACTTAACACTTACCGAAGTCTAATTAAAGATAAAGAGATCTAGGAACAGCGGGGGATCTCGGGCTTAGCACACTATTGTACTTCAACAGTCGATTTCGATCACGTTCTTCTGCCTTTCTCTTTCTCTTTCTATCTTTGGTCAACTTTCTACTTCGCTAGCTTGCGAGGACATTATCTCGTCGAGCGTGATCTGGTCATTTTACTGTAGGCGCCGGCTGACCCAGACTCGCTCTGGCGACTTCACACTGTTATTTTCTCTTTAAGGTGAACAGTTAATGTTGACGAATCTACCCTAGGGAGTTCGAGCCTAGGTGGCTTTAAGAATGGCAGTGATAAAACTCCGGTTGGTTTATCCGAATACCTACCTCGGCTCTTTAGATGTCCACTAATGTAATCAGCATCGACCCAACAGTCGTCTCAGAAGAGTCGATTGGGACTCAGGAGACGCATGAAGCCGAAAACCTCTCAAGCCTGCCTGTGGGGTTGTAATTGTGATTGAACGTCGAGACACAGACTCAGACCCGGACTCAGACGACATCTCAGACGACATAGACATGAGCGACCTCGTTTTCCAACCAATCTCCCGTCTCACTTTAAGCCACGCCATGCCCAGCGAACCTACGGCTTTTTGCACCGTCTCGACGCTCACCTCGATAACCTATGAGGCGACGACTTCAGTAGCGCCGCCCCTTACCGCATCGTCTGCTGCGAAGACCAGCCGGTGGGCCTCGAGCTCTCTCATCAAGTCGACAAGGTCACCGTCGTTTTCCTCGGATCCTATAATGGCGACAGCCGGCTTTCCCAGTGACTTCGCGGTTACAGCCGCGACTGCGTCGGCATCACCATCAGTTGACGCGGCCAGACCCGAGAAAGAGACTGTATCTACTCCCACGGCAGACCGTCTGACTGCTGGGGGCGTCCTCCCGGAGAACAGCCGCGGCTCCGCGATTGGTATTGCAGCCGGTGTACTTGGTACGTTACTGATCCGCGACTGGCCAGCGGCGTTGTGCGCATCCCAGTCAGCAGTCATCACATTGGTAATATTTACAGGGGCATTCTCCGTCTCGATTCTATTAGGAGTGTGGATTTATATGGGCCGCAAGCGTAATAAGAATTTGTCTCGGTTTAGCTACGAGTATAATTAATAGTTGCTTTTCGATTGGGAACTGTTTTCCTCTACAGTGTTATCTATCACTTACCCATTTCCTTTATGTATCAGAAGCTGGCCTACTGAAACTCTATTAGGAACAGAAAGGTAGCCTTTCTATTCCGTATATCTCCGTGTTTCTTATAATGGCGATTCTACAAGACCAGTAAGTGATTGCAGCAGCGGACACGTCCTCTTCAACGTGATTATAGGAATCGTCTAGCGGTAGTGATTAAGGCTGGATAGTAAGACAAACCTAAAAATAAAACAAGGCAGATGCCCCCGATCTACTTCGTATATAAGTGCCGGAATAGTCTATGCCGTTCCCTGCCTTGGTAGGGTGGGCGATTTATGCAATGCACTTTAGACTTCAGGGGACGAAACCAGGCCGGAGTTAGCCTGCGAACAGGCAGGGCTATGCGCTGTGTATATAGTAAGAAGTAGGGAGATTACTTTTATTTAAGGATCTGGGATTATGTCAGCTTAAAACACCACTTTCCTAAAGGCGGATAGATCCCTGTTAGTATGCTGGCTTTTGTCTGGACTTTCTCGCCCAAGAGGCTGTAGAGCATTTATGCATCTATTTTAGATTTTGGACTAGTGAAACAGGACCGGCTTCACTGTGTATTAAAGATACCAATGTTACTGTTAGAAGGACAGAGGACAATCCGTATTGTCATTACCTCCACTGGGGGTGGTAATGCCTTGCTACTTAAGCGATAATATTTGTTAATTTGACAATTACCGTATGATGAGAAGACTATCATATCAGTCTATCACTGATCTAGATAGAGTTAAGAAAGACCGCCACAGGAGGCGTCGTTAAAACGGGGTAAGGTCGTTGCTAACTCCTAGGGCATGGATTTCCGATGTCCCAAGGCAGTCTGGTCCTCAGGAGAAGCAAACGACTGCGGGGAGAGTAAACACGGAGGTCTGCTGGATCCAATTTCGTGTGACGTGTATACTACCAGGCAGGTAGCTCGCGAGACGAGGACGGCTTTTTTAGCAAGCAAGCAAGCAACCCTTGATCGGGCCACTGGCTCGGGAGGCGCCAACTGCCAGAGGCGGACCTCATACTTCCTCCAAACACCAACACAATGCCTTTCCATCAAGAAGTTCGATGTGTGTGGCTCCTTCGTGGTCTACGCGAGCCGGCCTCGAACTGAAAAAAGAGCTCCCGTTTCACACCAATATGCGATTCTCACCCGAGGCATGGTTCGTGAAACGGCGCGCGTCACGAGAGCTAAATTATCATTTCCGCCGTGGATGATGATCCAGGGTTCGACTGATCCTGATCCACGACGTGGACCAGTAAGCCATCGCCTTGGCGCCGACACTCGAGTCTCACGATTGCTCAAGGTGGCCAGGCTGTGTATTCAGGTCCGGAGGCATACTGGCAGGTAATAAATAGGAAGAAGAAGGGGCTAGGGTGGCATTCATTCGCCCCGTCGACCTCATCCCGTTTACTGTTTACAATGACCGACCCCCCGTGGCAGCGTTGGCTGTGCCAGTCGCGGACTGGCCGCCTGTCACGGGTTGCTCCTCGACTATTAAACCAAGGCTCGCCGCCCCGGACTTGACCAGCATCGCCATAGGTCTCATCTCGTTATACCAGTCTTGGAGGCTTCCGCTCATTGCTGCCCCCTTACTTCTTGTCTTGTCCAGAACCCTACATTCATAATCCTCCATAGCAGCTTCAAAAGCGATCTCCACCCATTTCTCTCCCGCAAATATGTCGTTGAAGGCGGTTGTTGCCTCCATGATTCTCATAGCCGCAAAGCTCGTGGCTGGTCACGCCGCCATCACCAACGCTTTCGGCGACCAGGGCGGCTTGGGTACGGCACTTGGCATCAACCCTAAGATGCTTCGTAACGGAACGAAACGCAACCCCTTCCAGCAGGACTCAACGCGGTTTCGTGGCCGCAGCCGGGCCACTGTTGGCGAGACCATCGGTGCAGGCGCCAATTCTATCGAGCAGGGCACGCAAGCTATCATGGCCCAGACAGGCCGCCAGCTGCCCCAGATCTCGCCCGGTGGCCAGCTAACGATGACGGTCCACCAAGTCAACGCTGACGGCGCTGGCCCCTTTACTTGCATGATCAACTCAGACGGCACGGCTAAGAACTTCCAGACCCTTCAGGTCACCCAGAATGTTGCCGGTAACAAAAACGGCCGCAACCGCCAAGGCAACGCCTCGGATAACCCTCTGACCGTGTCCATCCCGGCCAACCAACAGTGCAGCGGCAACGTCGCCGGCCAGAACAATGTCTGCTTGGTTCGCTGCAAGAACCCTGCCAAGGCCGGTCCCTTTGGCGGCGTCGTCCCGGTCCAGATAGTCAAGCAGGGCAGCGGCCAGGCCGGACAGAAAAATAACCAGCAGGGAAATAATCAGCAAGAAAACAATCAGCAGGGGAAGGCTCAACAAGGCACTGGAAGCGCTACAACTGCCACCGACAACCAGGCCACCGCTGTTGGAAGCGGTGCTGCTGCCAGAACCGCCACCACTGGGAACACTGCTGGAGGAAGTGCCGGTGCTGCTAGTAACAATGATGACGTCGAGGATGATGATTGACTGGGGTGAGGATCGGCGTCGGTATCGGTTTCGACTGGGTTCTCTGGAACAATCGCGTTTTGTCGGTTGAACACATCGGCGAGCACGAGGACGCGCGCTATTAAGTTCGCGCCTTAGTACTTGGATAGTTCCTGAGCAGTAGATGTAACTATGTTGCTATATAATCATACTCCAAGTGCTGTGTAAAATTTTAAGCGTAAAAATGCTAACTAGATTACTGTCAAGCTGGTAAAATACCGCTAATTACACCATGCAAAATGAGGGCACCCCATAGAGGTGTTACTAACGCGTATTATAGGCCCTTGTCCTGACAATTACCGTAAATTGCGGATCCTGAAAAAACCTAAAAGCGGGCCGCTAAGAGATAGCAGCAAGGCGGGCCTGCGGCCGTAAGACTAACAGTTCCCCGCAAAAAGAGAGGTATAAAGCGCTGAAAGTGCAAAACTCTACTTCAATGCATTTAAGATATGCTTCCCGTTCACGTGACTGTTAGTTGCAACGTCCGTCCTCCCCACGCTGCCGCCCGAGAGCGTCATGATGCCATGCCGCCAAAAGCCTACGAACCAGGGACGAAAACCGAGTTCATCCTAAGGGAAAAGACTCGGGCGTGCAAGCAGCTGTTTCAAAAATGCCTCCACATCCCGGACATAGACGAGGACGACTGGCTGGCGCAGAAAAGCGCCGAGTTCAACTTGTGCACATCCGGCCTTAAAGCCGACAAGCATGGCCCAGATTCTCTCGACTCTCGGCTGAGACTCCGCCCAGATATCAGAGATGTCGTGGCCGATCTCCTCGATGGCCTGGTGACTGCCCTCTCCAAGTACCAAGAGATAGGTAGGCGCCGTCGTATCGACCGTACCACGCTGGCCTACACTTACAGCATCCTTGGACTGACCGTACCAGCATCGTCGGATGCTTGTTCAATAGAGCAGTCTCCAGAGAAATCTGACGCCAATAACCGATCCCTTGCGTCATATGAAGTAGATCGATCACCGTCTTCCTGGTCCGATATGAGCGACAGCATTGGGAGCCGGCCCGAGTCTCGCGCCGACCATGACAGCGGCAACCCAAATCGCGACTTATTCCAGGAGCAGAGGTTATACGTAGAGACAAACCTTGAGATACTCATTCGAATCCACGCCGCCATCAAAAAGTCCGGCCTCAAGCTCAGGAACCAGCGCGCTGATGACGAGCTCAAGAGAGCTGAAGAGAACTACCAACTTCAAAAGGTGGCGCTAGGCGAACATCAGGCTCTCTACGGGAGCGATGGCTCAATAGGGCACCATGAGCGGTTTAGGCGTTTTCTCAACAGACTCGTTCTGCGGAATGGATACACCGAGAGCCTGATTCGTTACATTGCTTCCAACATCCAGGCGTTCATCGTAGCACACGGGACCGAGAGCGAGGATGATCCATACTTGATACTTCAGGAAAAGCTTCTTGTTATCTTTCGAGCCCATCTTTACGACCCAGCTAGATTAACGACCGTACAACGTCGCCTCATCGACGCCAAAGTCGTGAGGCGAAATAGGCTCATTCATGCTGGGAGCGTTGACAAGCACAAGACAGGAACGCACCAGGATCAGCGTCGAGCCCTCGGGCAGAAGCCGATACTTGAGGAGATGAGCCAGAGCTTCCACGCGGCAGATCGGACCAAATCTACGCCAGTTGATGCTTCACCCTTGTCACAGATGTCGTCCAGATCCAAGCCCTTGGATGGCGAGGGCAACTGCAACAAGATTTTTGTGAGCCAAGCAGCCACTTCGCTAGAGCCGACATTCAGCATTACCGGTGCGCTACTGCCTTCGAATATCACAAAGTCGGCTGCCACGAAGATGTCAGCGAGGGTCGCAAACCTAGATTATCCCAAGTGTCCAGCCAAAGAAGGGCCTTTTCCGTGTTCATACTGTCCCTTGATCCTGTCGGGTGAGTACACTGAGAAAGTTAGATGGCGGTATGTCTTTGCCACTCCCCTTGACATTGAGGTTTAGCTTACAACTGAACCTATGGCACACGTTGCGCAGGATCTCCACCCATACGTCTGCATCTTCGACGACTGCGAATCCCCTGATGACATGTACGGATCCACACATGACTGGATGTCACACATGGCACGATGCCACTCTGCCGTAGAATGGGTATGCACGGAGTGCCCTAAACGCCATTCGTCCAGTATTGGTGACGCCTCGACCGATTCCTTCCAAGACCCTGGGCGCTTGAGAGAACACGTCATCGCTGCGCATCCAGCCTTTGAGAACTCCGAGATGAACCTCCTGATAGATGCGAGTAAGCGATACGCCGGAATTAAGAGAGCCGGATGCCCTCTATGCCGACCTGGGCTGGTCACATGCGCTGCAGGCGAAGTCGAGACTGAGGATCCAATTCACTCTAATGGCTGCGGATTGGTACAGCTGGAAGAGGATGAGCATATAGCTACCCATTTGCACGAGTTTTCGCTCCACGCATTTCCCTGGCTCGACGAAAGCAAGTCCGAAAGCGAGTCAAGAATGTCGCTCTCATATTCAACCCCCAGCACCCGACAGGAAGTCACCTTCCCGGCTTCGGGCGAGACGGTTTTCATCCCTGAAGAGCAAAATGGTTGGTACAGCCTGCATGAAATCCTCGACGTTCTCCAGGATACGATGGCGGAGCTTCTTGTACTGCGAAATTTCAATGGCCCTGCAGGTGGCCATTTCTCCAGCTACAGCCCTGTTTACGGTAGGTTCGACTGGATTATGGATGAACTCAGGCAGCCGCTTGAGGGACTGGATCACGAAGCCTTCATGTCTACCTTGAACGAGTGCCGGATTACGGTTTCCCAGCTTCACGAGGCCATTTCGGCTCCTGACTATGACAAATTACTCGATGAGTTGCGAGGACAGCAGGAAAGGCTGATGTCGATCTTGAACAAGATCAAGAAAAGTTCCAGCTCAAAACAAGACGACATGAAACTTCGAGCTCCCTTGCCACGGTGGCTCGGAGTAGGCGACGCACGAGGTAGGTGGTATTCGCAAGCACAGCCCAGGTCTCTCTTCTCGTAGCATCACCATTATAGCCATTGCGTCTACGCATTCTTCATTCGCGACACGTATGATGAGTAAAAATATTGACTGATTCTCCTCTATAAGCAGACGGGTTGTCCACCGGAGCGACCCTCGACTCTGTGGCCGGTCGTCGTCTGCTCTGGACACTGCCAGCACAACGCAGCATGGTCCTGCTATACGTCTACACCACTCTGCCCCTCAATTCCATTGTCAGGGTTATCCACCCTCATCAGCCAGCCACAAATATCGGGTGAGTTGCGCGTAGATGCTCCTCTGGCCTACCCACTGGCCGCCCTGCCCGTCTTGCTCGACTCTAATGCTCGCCAACTGCTAGCATTGACAGTGCCAACAAGAAGCTCAAGGCCTTACTCTACAAAGAGCCACGATGGCTTCGTCCGCGCAACGAAAGGGACATGGGCCGGCGTGTTGCTCAGCTTTCCAACTCCCTGACGAGACTAAAGTTGGCGGAAATTGCCACTTCCGATGCCTCGTCTTTGCCATCCGACGGCACCTCGCGTTACTCGTTCAGCCCAGCTCGTGTCAAGGAGAAAGAAATCGAGAGCTCGGAGCCGGCTGATCGGCTTCCATTCGACGCTCCCGCGGCTTTCAGTCCTGAGCATGACCGCTTCGAAGGTCCACGCCTCCTTCCGAATGACGTTGACACATCAAGAGTCTCGCCTGGACTGGAGGTTGCCACTGACACATTTGCCGAGGAGATGGAAGACTCTGACGTATTCTCCTCGTTTCTCCGGCGCACTACCAGCCTTTCTGCCTCGAGTGGCACAGGCTCGTTTCGACATATACTCTCCGGTTATTCCGGTTCCTATATCCAAACAGTTGAGAGACTTGTCAAGGGGTTCGGTGCTCTGCGCAACAATCGGTCCGGTATGCAGGAGGAAGTGGAGGCACTATTAACCCGGCTTGACAACGACGATGCTCCCCGCGCGTTCGACAGCAAGCACTATCCTCTGCCGGGCGACTTTCTCTTTCTCGACCGGGATCTTTTCACCCCGCGGCAATTGTGTTTGGTTCCAACGGGTGACCATGACTCCAGGAGATGTTTGTGCTTCAACCAGTTCGACGATTATTCCTCGCCATGGGTTACTACCGAGGGAATAACTCCCACAGGTCGCCGACTCCTCGATGCCGGCGGACCTACCAATTTGGAAGTATTCAATAGCGATTCTGCTGGAAACACAGCACTGCACTTTCTTGCCGCTCGCGGTTCACTCACATTGCTGCTGCGCGTCGTTGAGAGTGGTAGATATGCTCCCATTCTCAATGCGAGAAACACAGGCGGCCAGACATTTTTGCACGTCCTCAACCAGGATGATATTCAAGGCCATCTTGTCTTTCAACTTCTCCGCGCAATCGTTGCCCAGGGTTTCGATATCTGTGCTCGAGATATCTACGGGCGAAGTTGCTTTCACATCCTACACATAGCAGAGCTACCCCTGGACCGCAGTGAAATCCGGAGGCTCATCGCACGCGACGCTTTTGGTGTCAGGCATACAATCCAGCATTGGCTGGTTGACATCGAAACCCAATCGGTGGACAGAAGTGGGACTTCATCCGAGGCAATGCTCAGCTTTGATCCTGCAATCATGGCAGAGGCCCAGTTGCTAGAACATATCAGGCTGGCTGTGGACGATCCATTTTTGGAATTTAAAAACGGGGGCAATGGTCTTCATTCCGTGGCCATGGCGACTTTGAGCCCCGGCAGCCTGGTTCGGAAATACGGTCTTGACCTGCCCGAGGAGGAATGGCCAGACCGGAGACGACGAATAGGGCAGCATGCCGGCTCTGGCGGTACAGACCTAAGGTTTCGCCACTCCCTTGCGCAAAGCCTCCTTGACGCGGGCCTCGACCCTAACCATTATGACCTGAACGGCAACACGCCGCTTATGCTGTTTGCTGCAAATCTACCCGAGGACGAAGATTATGAGACGGGCCCCAAAATCCTGGACAAGCTTGTCCAGCGTGGCGCGAAGGTTGACGCAAGAAATCGGTCGGGCGAGACAGCTCTGCATATTGCTGTCCGCTTCGGCCGAAAGTTGGCTGTCAGGGAGTTAGTAAAGCACGGGGCCAACGTATATGCCAAGGAAGCTGAGGGCAGAAGCGTGCTTGATGTGGCGGACATCAAGATGGTTAGCTCCGGGGGCAATCCGCGCGACTACGCACAATACGAGGCGTGCCGGGCGTGGCTAAGCAGCGACAAGGTGCTTGCTGTGCAAAATCCAACTATTATTGACGAATGGGGACGACGGTAAGTGGCTTGAGGTGGCTTGCACGGGCTTGGATGAGCAGTGCGGGAGAGTCCGAGACGAGAGCCTGGAGAGGGGCTTGGTGTGGACGGAGACGTGCCAAGAGCAGCAGGGGTGCATTGCGGGAGTCAGAAGCTGTCTGTTCTTTATTTGTAAAGGAGTAATGAGGACTGCTTGCGGGCCGAATGACTTGACGTAGTCGTCGTGACCTCACAATGGCCTTTCTTTACCTGGTTGACATTCTCTAGAAACCACTGCGTCTCCTTCAACAACCGGGCTTTTTAACGGTGTAGATTGAAAAGTAGGAAGGCTTGGCCCTCCCGTGACAAAGATGAAGTGACCACGGTCGGTTTTTGCTTCAGTCGTGGTGAAGTCGGCCATGCCTTGGTGCTGCAAGACCTCGCCAACATTCTCCTCTTCCTCCCCGCTGCCGTCCAGCGCGGCTCCGACGGTTGCTTCGGTCTGCTTCCACCTAGGCCGCAGAAGGCCCTTTTGGACTTTGGCGAACCGAACAGCCCAAATTCGATCCCCTTGGAACGCGGTCGACTTGATTCTCGAGTTGCTGCTCTTATCAGAGGCCCTCAATGTCGCGTTAGCAACGCCGGCAACGTCCCTACCAGCTGTCAGCGCATCTTTTGCACGACGCAGCTATTCCCGCGTCTTACAGACTCGGACCGGCGCCGAGTCCGGTGGAGCTCGAGACAGAACTGCAAATGGTTCCGCCGGCCCGAGCGATCATGAGTCCGGTCACGACGTACACGGCCCACCGATCCAGGAGGAGAGTCTTGTTCTGGTCCATGTGGTCCTTGACGCCCTCTTTCTCCAGCATTGCGTTGATGTATGCCTTTGAAGGCTGCACGATCTCCGTGTCCATTGCTTCGAACTTGGCCCAGTCCTTAATGGTTCTCTTGAACTCGGCCTTGACCCCAGCATACACGGTGGCGCCAACCGCGGCCGTCGCGAGGGGAGCTCCGGCTCCCACGGCTGCGTCGCCTTGGCGCTCGCTCAACGTATCCCATGTGAAGTCGCAGAAGTGGGTGGACGAGATGCGCATGTCGGGCGTGAAGAGAGGAAGCGGCCCCTGGGTCAGGATCGGGTAGAGGCATTTCGGACTGGGCACTGCGTCGCCGAGCCGCAGAGGTCCCTCGGCCTTGCCGCCAGCCTTGCTCGGAGTGGCATATTCCGGGGGGGTGTAGAAAGGTTGCTCAAGAACAAACCAGCATTTATTCATTTGGGGTAGATGTCGGATTGATGGTGTGTTTCGAAACGTCTGACGTCACCTGTGAGCCGGGAGGAATGAATAGTAGATCTCAAGGCTGTGCAAACGTGGGCTTAGCTTGATTGCCATCACGTGGAGACGAGCTTGAACGTGCAACCTGCATCAAAAGACGGCGGCTAAGCATCCCCTCATCTCACCTCGGAAAGCTTGGAAGGGTCTCAGCCGCACCTCGGCCGGACTCGACATGTCGGTTCAAACGAGAGACACCCATATAGACTTGCGCCCGTTCGCGATTGAATCCATCCAAAGAGTCATCAAGATGGCCAAAACCATACAATTCGGACACACCCAAGACGACAAAAAGGCGTCGCAGTTCTGCGGCACATGCGCCAGCACTTTATGGAGCATCAAATGCCATTTGCAAAAACCGCACCAAGCTCGAGATGAGAGCCAGAAGAAGGTCGAGGGTCTCCTGAACAACCTCGAGAGGCTCTGCAGCGTAGGTACATGTGTTATTAACTTATTCTCATCCTCCAACCCAGAGAACTCCCCGGGTCTATTGGTCTGTTACTGACCTTGATGCTTAGTGGCCTCGGTCCTTGCAAAGGAGCTGTTCCAGAATAAACACAAATCGCTGGCCAACCCTCAATGCTCTTCAGTATCCACTCCCCAGGGACAAGGCAACCGGATGTCTTCGAAACTTTGCCTCCGCAGACAATGGCGCCACTTTGGATAGTCAATTGGAGCTCGTCAAGAAATTCAGGAGATTCTCTGGAAAGAGCGTGAAAGAAGAGACGGCGCAGGCCTTGGCAGAACCACCCAGCGAATGCTCTTCGTCACCCCGGCATCTCAAAGGGCAACAAATGGGCTTCGAGATGGACGACGACATTCAGCATCTTCACAGCACCTTGCTCCGATATCAAAAATGCCGTCGGGAGGGCTCCCATAGGAGTATAATAACAAACATCCGACTGAATGGCTACAGAAGACTCGCTGCCAACGATGCCACCGCAGAATTTGGCGTCCTCTTTTTCGATCATCCCCACACAGGAGAATGTCATTGGCAGGAGGCCTGCATCCAGATATGTCCTCGGCAGCCTTCGACGGCATCCAGAATGTAGCGCCTTACGTCTATCCAAGACACGTTTGACGGATGCTCGCTAATGTTCCTGCAGACGCTTTTGGGACGACGAGCATGAGCAGCAGCCATCTTCACCATCCCAATGCCATGAAAACTACACGCCAATTTCCTATTCGAATTTCTGTCATTATATCAGTAGTAGAAGCCAAGCGCAACTTCTTCTCTCGGCTCAGAATGGCATGCTCATGCTCCGAAGGCATTGCGACATAAGCCGAAACTGGATATCGAATCAACGGGCAGTGCCCCTGGCAACCCTTCTCCGCGAACACGAGGCGAGATTCACGGAAAAGATGAAAGCTGTCCTGGCCATGCTGCTGGCAAGGGCAGCCTGGCAGTTCTATGACTCGGCGCTCATCGGCCAAGGCTTGACCAAGGAAAACGTCCATTTTCTCTTCGAAGAGCGCGACCGCATACACGGCGTCTTTATAAACGAGCCTATGCTGGTAACTCGGTTCAAGGACGACAGCACCAGTGAGATGGATCTTGGTTCCGAAGTTCAGGGCGAAGCCGTGCGTACAGCAGCCATTCACGATAGGCCAAAGCTTCTGGCTCTCGGCCTTTTGCTTCTGGAGCTCGAGACGGGGACGCCTATGGAAACATATCGGGAAGACCCGGACCTTCGCCCGGCCGGACCGTTGAATGTCAACACAGACCACAAGATTGCCAAAAAGCTCCTTGATCCGAAACATCCTGCCTACATTCTCCGCGAGATATCCCCTTTTTCCCCGTTCAGGAAAGTTCTTCCCATGTGTATCGAAGCGGGAGAGCTCACAAGAAGGCTTCACGAGAACCTCAGCGCTCAGAAAAAGACCAACCCATCACTCGATCCGTCTAAAGCCTTGATTTATAGCGAGATTGTGCTTCCGTTCGAGCAGTGGGTGACCAATTACGACGATCCTGACATGGTAAAGGTGCTTTACAAGATACAACGACCATCAGTACCGGGGATCATTGGGCCAACGCCACAGGTTCCGTCTCGCCCAGAGCCACATACAGTTATTAACCGCAACATTGTCCAAGACAACGAATACACGTAACTCACTTGACAGCGAGTACTTTACGATACAGCGCTAACTGGTTATAGAACACGCCGACTCTCGCAACGATGGTTCGAAAACTACGACCAGCTCAAAGAGGTTCTGCAACCACAAGACGGCGAGACTGGAGCCAAGTACCAACGTGTCAAGATTGCGGTATTAGACACGGGCATCGACCCGGGCGACTACTGGTTTTACCGCGATTCTAGAATCATCGACCAGTATAAAGACTTTGTGGATTCCGACCACAAAGGTGTCCCGAATGACGAAACCGGCCATGGCTCTGCTGCCGTGTCTCTCCTTGTGAAGACATGCCCCAACGCAGGTCTCTACTTGGCGAGGGTGCTCAAGACAAATAGCCCGACGCGTGCCGAGGTGGATAATGTGGTCAATGTATTCGCCGCAAACTCCAGAGCCACGCGTTATGCAGCAGATGATGGCTGACATGGGCCTTCCCAGGCGATTGACTGGGCCATCGGCCACAAAGTCGATATCATCACCATGGCCCTCGGCTTCAGGGAACACCAGCCTGACATCGCCGATGCGATCACAAAGGCGCGTGGGCAGCAAATACTCATTTTCTCGGTCGCGTCCAACGCCAGGAACATGGACCGAATCTATTTCCCCGCGAGGATTCACGACCAAGTCTTCGGAATCTTCTCCACCAACGGCGGCAACCGCGAGTCCAGGGATCTGAACCCGTCTCCCGACGACCGGCAGCACAGCTTCGCCATCTTCGGCGAGGGCGTCGAGCTTACCGAGAATGCACCTCTGGTGCGGGGAACTTCGTACTCGACGTCCATCGCGGCCGGCTTGGCGGCCATGCTGCTGGACTTTTCGCGGCAGGAGACGAGCCAAGTCGAAGCTTTCGATCTTTCACGACTGAGAGAGATGAAGGTCATGACAAGGGTGCTCCTGGAGATGGCGAGGGAAAGCAGTGATGGCAAGTACAAGTGCATCCGCCCGTGGGACGTCTTGAGGAGCCGGCTTGACCCTTGCCACGTGGCAATGACAGGCGTACAGCGGAAGAGTCAACGTGAGTGGATCCGAGGGACCATTGAAAGGTTGCTAGAGAATAGTTAGGGCGACTTTTATTTATGCTGCGGTTCTGTTGAATGGGAGAACTTATTCCACCCAGGGGACCATGTCTGATAGGGCCTACGGTAACTAGTCGCTTGGCTGATTGATCGAGTATTACTATTCGTACACCACAGTAAGTTACACACGCATACGTACCAAGTCAGCCCGCCCTGCCCATTTGTACCCGGGTTGCCTGCAGGGGAACAAGCACGTGACTTTCGTACTTTTTGATTCATACGAATACGGAGTACCAACGACTCCGCGCGTGCCCCGCTCCCCGCACGCCCCGCATGCCTACGCATAGCTCCCCTAGCACGGACCACGCAATTTCCTCCGACGGACCTTGGCGTCCTCTAGCTGCCTGTCAGCGGATGGGAGTAAGTGCAATCCTGGGCTTGGATGTTTGGCGTAAGACGAGCGTACGGCCTTCTCACACAGAGCGAAGCAAGCAAGCAGTGTCTGCTCATCACCGACCACAATCACTCAATTAGGAGTTCACGCTGTGACACGCTCCTCTGCCGCTGGAATGCTGCCACACACTCGACTCCTCCCCCGCGAGGGCTTCTGCGGCGACGTCGTCATCAGGGTCCTCGGCCTCACCGTATTCAACCCGGTCCTGCTGTTACCCTTGGCCCTCGTCGCGCGCTTCACCGACAAGGGACACGGCCTTTCCGACCTCCATCCTTGGGCTTCGACGACGCTGACGGTGCTCCTGTCCCTATCCCTTATTGTTCGCGCCGACGCCTGGCTGTCGGACAAGGCCCGGAACAACTGGATCGACGATGCGTACGATTGGTCCAAGGAGATAGTCTTGGTGACGGGGGGGGCCCAAGGCATTGGCGGGTCCATGGTCCGGTTTCTAGACGACAAGGGCATCATGGTCGTGGTGCTGGACCTACAGCCCATGTCCTTTACGACGTGTGAGTCCTAGCCTGCCATGTCTCGGTTTTGTCAACGAGGCTAGGTATGCTGACGTGCAACAGCGTCCCGGGTGCACCACTTTCACTGCGACATCAGGTCCCCGGAGAGGGTCAAGGCAGTGGCGGACGCGGTCAGGGCCAAGGTCGGCCATCCGACCGTCGTCATCAACAATGCCGGCGTGGTCCGAGGCAAAACTGTCTTGGATGCCGAGCCCACCGACGTGCGATTCACCTTTGACGTCAACACGCTGTCCCATTTCTGGGTCACCAAGGCCTTCCTCCCCAACATGACGGCGCGCAACCATGGCATGGTGGTGACCGTCTCGTCCATTGCCGCGTGGGCTGCTGCCCCCGGCATGGTGGACTACAGCGCATCCAAGGCCGCGGCCAAGGTGTTTAGCGAGGGCCTGGCAGCCGAGCTCTCGGCCATATACGGAGCGCCCAATGTCCGCACCGTCTCGGTTCATCCAGGCTATACCAAGACGGCCCTCTTCCAAGGTTTCAAGCAGAGGTCGAGGTTTCTGGTGCCCCCGCTGGAGCCGGATTCGGTTGCCGAGGCTGTGGTAAAGCAGGTGCTGACGGGACGGAGCGCCCAAGTCATTCTTCCTAGGTGCACGGCGGCTTTGCGCATCTTGCCCGAGTGGTTCGGCGTCCCGTTCCGGGCCCGGACGTTGAAGAGTGTTATGGCGGGCTTCAGAGGGAGACAAGTTGTTAATGACGTCGACGCTCCTTACGAGGGCAAGTATAACTCGAGGAAGGGGGCGAGAGGCGAGGAATAGGAGGGGTCAGCTTGAGCCTGAGATTGTGAGGGTGATATTGGCTTGCGGCGACATAATGGCGCGGCTTCGTGAAGTGAACGTTGGTGGTGGTAGTGATAAGGATGCTGCTAGGTACCGTGGAGAGGGCTCGATCGAAGCGCAATAACGGGCAAATGCGGAGCGACTCGGCGATCCCAACCACGACTCGACGTGTTGTAGATGACCGATGGGCTGATGATGACTGGCGAAGCGAACGGCCGTCTCTGGCACGAGGACAGCTGCAAGCGTGGTCCCATTTCAGCTGCCTGTGACTACGGCCCTGACAGCAGCAGCAGTCTTGTTTGTGTTGCAGGGTCCATCAGACCATGTCGAGAGCGGGGGAGCGGCAGCGTGGTCTGACGAAGTCGCGGAAGAACGGATGAGCGGGAGAGGCGAGTTGCGAATTGCGAGGCTTTACGGGCCGGTTCCGAAGAGCGCCGGGCTGAGGACGAGGAGCGAGGCCGGCATGGTTGGTGTATGTTGGTCACATGCAGCATCACGACTGCCGTTGCTGTACTGTGCTTTGTAGTCTGTTGCTGTTGTCATCGACGACCAACGGAGCAAGGATTGTTGCATCTGCATGGTCCGCGTCACCATGTTGCTGTCTTGACTTGGGAGCATCACGAGGTGCTTGTGCGTTGATCGAGTGACTGCATTGGCAGCATGTACTTCGTACCGCAAAGCAGGGCACCTTGGCGCACTGTCCGATGCCGATGAGGCTCTGCGTGCAGACACTGTGCAGGCAAATGTTGGCACACGGTGCAGATACCAGGGAATGGGTGCTCTCCCGCCCAAGTCGGTCCCGACCCGGCTTGACTGGAGCGTCCGCGTCGCAAGCCCTAAAGCCAGCGCGTGAGGCGACGGGGAGGGCGAAACTACCCCAAACGGCGCTCTCGGCCTTTTTTCTTTTTCTTTTTGCGGGCTCGAATCTTCAAGATGAAGACTGCCAGAAAGTGGCACCACTCATCGAAGGCTGCAGCCAATCAGACGGGCTCGGTCAGTCAAAGAGCCCCCTGGTTACAAGGAGAAGGAGAGATGCGTGTCAGCGAAATCAGCCCATTCTGGCCTCACGATCACCGCAGCACGCAATCAGGTCATGCCACTTTCCACCGTCTTTTCCTCTCGCTCTGTTGCTTGTCGGAGGACCCTCCCTCCGCCATTCCCATCCCCCATTGCCCTCCCTTGTCTTTCTTGTTTTTCTCTGCTGCAGAGAGTCACCAACAAGTATCCGTACGTAGACGCATTCTACAGCTCCCGCTCATTCGGTGTCGTCCAAATACATATGTGTAGTAGGTACCTAGGTACCTAGGTACCTACCTAGCCTACCAGGTACTTACCTTACCTACCTTGTAATAGCTAGCTCTAAGCCAAGCAAGGTACCTGCATGCCCGCCCTGTTGCCGCCCAGCACCATGTTCCTCACATGCTGTGCTCGCAACTCTATCAGAGATAAGGTCGCGCCGCGCATGAGAAAAGGCTTCTGCGGAGGGACCACGTAGGATATATCCATTCACAGAACGTATCGAGCAGTTGTTTTTCATCTTGTGATTCCGGCCCAGCGAAAATGTGCGTACAAAGATACTGAAGATATAAGGGGAGGCACATGCGTCCAGCTAATCCGGTCATCGATAAAGGCCATTTCACGACTGGCTGTTACGTCTCTCCACACCCGCTTCGGGCCTTGGAGCTGTGCTTCGCACTACTACCTAGTACCTAGAGACAGGCAGGTACAGCATGTACAGAAACCACTAGGTAGGTAGGTAGGTAGCCTCGCAGTGCATCTGCATCGTGTGAGGCTCGTGTGTACATGTATGTCGTTATGACCTTCGGGGGTACGCTCTAGTACCTGGGACAGGTCTGGGCTACTGGATTCCCTGCGAATGCGAGGCCCTATACAGCGTACCTCAGGTATCAGCTCGTACCTTACTTAGAAGAGACCATGGCACGTACGTCACCTATAATGGCTCTCCGTCTCATCGTACCTTCCTCAAACTGCTCCGTACTTGCCTGATGGATTAGTTAGGCCGCCCAAAAAAAAAGACTGCCATCGTCACCTTTTCCCATTTCCTCTCCTCACTGTACTCTTAGTCTCATATTGTCCCACCTCAAAAAGAAGACGGCACCTCCAGCTCGCCAATCGTCCGCTCCTCTGAAACTTCCACTTTTCCGAGGCACAGCTTCTCACCCGACCTTCCCTTTGGCGCTTCCGGGGCCCGGCGGGCAGAGCACCCTAGACATACATACACCATAGGTTCGGGCAATCGTACATACAGCCGGTCAGTCAGTCACCAGGTCTGCCCTGTTCGGGGCTCACCGAGAGAGCACGGCCAAGGCACAGCCGGAAATCCCAATCGTGTCCTGAATCACGTCTTCGCCATCTCCCGTGCTTCAACCCGTCATTACTGTCTGTCGCTTCTCCGACTTTTCACGCCTTCTAATCTCTCTGCTGTGCTGCTTCGACATCTCCAGCTCGGGCCCGTCACCTACTCGATACGCACACGGCGTCGCCAGGCCGCTCATACGCCCATCCAGGGCACCCACTGACCACGTCTCATCACCCCCTCCGCTGAGGCTCTTCAGCTCAGCTCGCGACTCGCTCCACAGTCCGCAGCCTCGTCAGGCGCCCCCTCCTTCTTCTCATCTCGTGCTCTCCGAACCTCTCTTCTCCGCGCCTCCTCCCACCGCTGCCGCCGACATGGCGCCTGGCATACTCGACGGCAGCTCTGCGCTCGACACCCCCTTGGTCGACGTCGAGCACCAACTCGCACCCGTCGACGAGGACCAGGAAATGGACGCCGTCGCCGACCTCACCATGCTGCGCAGCTTCCCCGAGCCTCCCGCGGAATGCCAGGTCTGCATCGTCGGTGCCGGTCCCGCAGGCCTCATGCTGGCCGCCACTCTTACCAGGTGCGGCATCCACGTCGAGGTCATTGATGACAGGGCCGACCATACACCCGTGGGAAGGTAGGTCTCACCGCTACTCCCTCATCTCGCTCCCGGCGACGTTACTTGACCCCCAGTCTTTCTCGACTGGCGCTGACTACCCATGCGTGCGCTCGCAGGGCAGATGGCCTCCAGCCGAAGACCATCGAGACGTTCAGACAGCTGCGCCTGGCCGACACCCTGCTTCAGCGTGGCGTCTGCGTCTTCGACATTTCCTTCTGGCGCAGCACCGCCGAGGAACCGCTTCATCGGCTGGGTCGTGAAGTCCACTACCCCCCTATCATCGACGTCCTGGACCCTTACATCCTTCTGGTCCACCAGGGCATCGTCGAGAGCCTCTTCATCGACGACATGAAGAAGCGAGGCAAAGACGTCCGTCGAAACACGGCCTTCGACTCCTACGACCATGTTGCAGGCAAGTCCGGCCAGCTACAGGTCAACTGTCGAATCAACGTCACCCACGACAAGCGAACAATCCTGACCCGATACCTGGTGGGCTGTGAGTAGTTCCTCCGCCCTCTCCCTCTGCCGGGCTGACTCGCCCTGTTTTAGGCGATGGAGCGCACTCCAAGGTTCGAAAGAGCATCCCCGACGTCGAGGCCGTGGGCATGTCCCAGGCCGCCATCTGGGGCGTGCTGGACGGCGAGCTCATTACCAATTTCCCCGACATTTGGTCCAAGACTCTGGTGTATTCCGAGGAGCATGGGTCCATTCTCATCATTCCGCGCGAGAGAAATATGACTCGCTTCTATATCGAGCTCAAGGCTTGCGCGTCGACGGACCGGCGCCAGCTCGGCCAGAACTTTGTCATGCAACAGGCAAGAAAGATCATGGCGCCCTTCAGCGTCGACTGGAGGTACATAGAATGGTTCGGGCGCTACCAGGTCGGCCAGCGCGTGGCGAGCCGCTTCGCGGATGCCAAAACCCGCGTCTTCCTCTCCGGCGACGCCAGCCACACCCACTCCCCCAAGGCGGCGCAGGGCATGAACACGTCTATGCACGACTCGTGGAACCTCTCGTGGAAGCTCAATCTCGCCGTGCGCGGTCTGGCCAAGCCGGAGCTGCTGGAGAGCTACGAGAAGGAACGGCGCAAGATCGCCCTGGATCTCGTCAACTTCGACTACGAGCACGCCAACCAGATTGCCGGCGGCGACGCGGTGGCTCTGGCCAAGAACTTCAAAGCAAACGTTCGCTTCATCTCGGGCATCGGGGCCGAGTACGGCAATAGCTCCATCAATCGGGCGGGCTCGTCGGACGGTCCCCCACTCGTCGGCGATGCCCGGCCGGGATGTTTGCTCCCGCCCGCCAAGGTTACGCGCTACATCGACTCCAACCCGGTCGACGTGCAGCTCGACATCCCCATGCTCGGCCAGTTCCGCATCTTCTTGCTCATGTGGGACGTGCAGCAAGCGGCGCCCTTCTTGACAACCTTTTGCCGCGCCATTGCCGACACCAGCTCCTTTGTCAGCCAGATCTCGGCTGCCGCGAGTGCATCCTACGCCACGCAGCCCCGACTGGGGTCCCCCGAAGACGTCTACATCCGCCCCGAGCGGTACACGGCCGTCAGCCATCTGTTCACATTTGCACTGATCAGTAGGTGCCCCCTTCCCAAGAGTCACGTGGACGAGAAAGCGCGAGAGAGGAAAGTGCTGCTGACAAGAGGACCAGCAACCATGGCCAAGGCGGAAATTGAAATATCCGACCTTCCAGCCATGCTCCAGGACAGCCGTTGGACGCTGTACCTCGACGACATACCCGAGAAGGACACGAGGGGTCAGCTCTGCACCGACAAGTGGCTCGGCAGCCTCGAACCGGGCGAAGTAGCCATTGTCAACGTACGCCCGGATGGCTACGTAGGTTCCGTGGACCGATGGGACTCGAGCGTCGACGATGCCGGAGTGGAAGCCGCGCGTTGGGTGGACGACTACTATGGGGGCTTTATGCAGATTCCGAAGCCAACGACGTGATACCACTGAGCCCGACGAACGATCCTTGCCTAGAATCCCCTCCCCCCTTTCTTCGGGCATCGCGAGACGTCCATTTCACCAATGAAAGCTCGTGGATCAAAGTTCCCATATTTTTGTTATTGATTTTATCTGTCTTGGTCATTGCGTCGCTCAACGTGGGGTTCGAATGTTGTTATTGATTTCCCCCTCCCCAGCAAACAGGAGCATCCGGCGAAGTTGGCGCTGAGAATTGGAACACACTTAGGGGGTAGATGAGCATTTATATGATCACACGCCGCACACCTTTTTAAAGACAGATGGTAATTAGTTACCTCTTTTACTTGCTTTGTTTCGGGGGAGGAAGAGCGAGAGGAGCAGAGAGCCAGCCAGCCAAGGCCTGGTGGCCAGGGGCGGTTTCGCCGTGCTTGACTGGAAACAGGCACGCAGGAAAGTTGCATTTTTGCTTGGGCCTCTTCCCTCACTTGGTAACGCAGCTCGTCTCCGTAAGTTGGTGGCTTGTTCTCCTTGTACGTGGAGATGCCTCTCATTGTCATCACATGGCTATCCCCGAAAAGAGAGCAGGGCACCAATCTCTCTTGTTTCTGACCACTTTTCTTTCATACAAGAAACATCCCCATTCCCATTCTTCTCGCCACTAAACTGCCAATCAAACTCGCCCACGCCTCTCACTACAGCACTCTCATTGCAGCGTCGGCATGTGGACGGCAGCCTTTTTGGCCACGGCGTCTGAGCTCTGCCATAGCGACGTGACCGTTTTGAGCTGCGTGTAAAAGTTGATGCCGGGCCTGCCGTAAAAGGTGTTTGCACCGCCGCCGGCGATGCTCTTCTTGTTGCCGGTAAAGGAGAACATGGGCAGGGGCACGGGGATGGGCACGTTGACGCCCACCTGGCCGGCCTGAATGTTCTTGCGGAACGTCTCGGCCGTGGCGCCTGAGCGCGTGAAGATGGCCACACCGTTGCCGTACTCGTTGCCGTTGATGAGCTCAATGGCGTCGTCAATCGTCTCGACGTTGAGGCAGACAAGGACGGGCCCGAAGATCTCCTGTCGGTAGCACGTCATGTCGGACGTCACGTTGGAGATGATGGTCGGGCCGACAAAGTTGCCGTTGGGGTACTTTGACGGCTTTTGGCCGCGGCCATCGAGGAGGACGGTGGCGCCCTCCTTCTCGGCGCTCGCAATAAGGCTCTCGATGCGCTGCTTGCTCTCAGGCGAGATGACGGGGCCGAGGTCGGCGCCGTCCTCGAAGCCCCCGTCCACCTTGAGCTCGCGAGCGCGCTCGGCCACCTCGGGCAGCCAGTCCTTGGTCTCGCCCACCATGACGAGGGTGCTGAGGGCCATGCAGCGCTGGCCGGCGGCCCCGAAGGCGGCGCCGACGACGCTGTTGATGAAGTGGTTCTTGTTGCAGTCGGGAAGGACGGCGGCGTGGTTCTTGGCGCCCAGGTTTGCCTGCACGCGCTTGCCGTTGGCAGAGCCGCGGCTGTAGATGTACTCGCCGGCCGCGTTGCTGCCGACGAAGCTGATGGCTTTGATGGTGGGCTCGTCGAGGATGAAGTCGACGGTGCGGCGGGCACCGTGGATAACGTTGACGACGCCCTCGGGGAAGCCGGCCTTTTGAACCAGCTCGGCGAGGATCATGGCGGCGCCGGGGTCTCGCTCCGAGGGCTTGAGGATGAGAGTGTTGCCGGTAATGGTGGCGATGGGAATGCACCAGAGAGGAATCATAGCGGGAAAGTCTTGTGGCCGTGTCAGCACCGTTGTCTCTGCCTGTTCCCGCTCAAACACACACACACACACACGCTCGCAAAAATATGGGTGTGGGACCAGACTCACTAAAGGGGCAGATGGCAGCGACGACGCCCAATGGCTCACGATACGTCCTCGTTTCCATGTCCTTGGCCACCTCGAGAACCTCGCCCTTAAGCAGCTCAGGAGCGCCAATGGCGGCCTCTGCGACCTGGAGACCGCGCAGGACGTCGCCCTTTGCATCGGCAAACGTCTTACCCTGCTCGAGAGTGATGCTGGCGGCGAGGCGGTCCCAGTTTTCGCGGATGAGCTGGACGAAGCGGAACATGATTTGCTGGCGGGCAAGGACGGTTGTCTGGCGCCACGAGTCAAAGGCCTTTTCAGCGCTGGCCACGGCCGCCTTCATCTCGTCGTCGGTCATCTGCGGGACGCGGGTGACGAGGTTGTTGGTGGCAGGGTCGGCGAGGTCAATGAACTTGTCGGCCTTGGACTGGACGAAGCGGTTGTCGATGAAGTAAGGCGTATTTTCCACGGACTGGACCTTGTCGTGCGTTGTCGGGTAGCTGGTGGCCGTCGAGGCCAGAGCGGCCGAGGGCTTGAGGTGCTGGGCCGTGGCATGGATCCTCCGCGCGGCGACCGACGACGCCGCCGACGTGGAGCCGGGCGAGGGCATCGTGGACGTGCAGAGGGGCGGGCGGGCGATGGCGGGACGGCGACAGGCGCTGGCAGAGACGCTCCGCAAGACAAACCGGCGCATGACGAGGGGGGGATGCTGCTCTCGAGCTTCTGCATGAGCAGCCAGGCACCTTTGACTTTGCCTATCCGTGGCTGTGGAGGGAGAGGGAGGCGGGGATTCCGTTTCTCTCACCGGTATAAGTTATCATCTACCCTTAGCGGCGGCTATACGCGGACAGAGGGAAGGAGCAGATGGCTGAGAAGGAGGGAGGGGGAGATACCAAGGCACAAGTTACATTATTATATGTCAGATGTCGGCAAGGGCTCCTGCCGCCGCCCTACCATGACTTAATTACCTTCCGTACATGCACCTCGCATCTGGTACTCGGTCGGTACCTACAGCTGTTCCGGGCCCTTGTGGGGAATGGTTCACCAAAGTCCCTCCCCCGCCGCCGCCCTTTGCTCCGTGACTTCTCTGTCGGTACATGCCTCCTCCCTCTGCAAAACACGAGGGGAGGACCGACGTGGCTCTTCCAAGCAGGCCACTGACAGTCAGACCACTGGTCCGACACGCACAGCAACAGATCACTGCCAATGCCAATGCTCCGTGCATCAGGTACATGTACTGGTACATGAGTTACCGATGTCGCCCGCTCCGTTCCGACCCCGCTCCCGCTTTACGTAACTCGGATACGACTCCGACCTCGCACTTCGACATCACCGTCGTCAGCTACATCAAAACATCCCGTCTGGTCAACATTTCAGTTTCAAGTCAGTTTGCGTCGTTGCGCCTACATGATATACATACACGTGGGGTTTCCTGCGCGCAAAAGGCGCGTTTCCTTTGAAAACTTGTGCGCCAGGCCCTGTCCTCCACCCCTTTGCATCCCAACTTGCAAACACAATCCCAACTAGCCGCCGTGACATTGCGCTCTGTTTTCATCGCCTTGATGCCTTTCCGTACCTTTCTTCTCCCGCTGCCTCCTCCGACGCCGGGCCACCCAGCTTCCTCACACAAGCTACAGAGGGCGCCCAAGAGCCGCCCTCTCGGTTCGCTACGCCCTCCTCCGACGTCGATCCCTCGCTCTTCGCGTCAGCGCCTAGGTCTGGCTGCGAGTCGTGCGCTTCGTCACCTCCGCCTTGGCCTTCTCGGACCCGGTCGCGATGGCCTCGGCCGCCGCGTCCTTAGCATCCTGGGCCTTGTCCTTGGCGTCGCCGACAGCCTTCTGAACAGCGGGCGAAGAGCCGCCCATGCCAACCAGGCCCAAGACGAGCGCAATCAGCGTCACCGCCACTGCAACGATGCCACCAGCAACCTCGGGAACAAACTTGATGGCCTCAATCGGGTTCTGTCGGCCAATCGTGAAGAAGAGGTCGAGCTTCTCCTTGATGTAAAGGACGGGGTCGTCGAGGAAGCTGAGGTCCGAGGGCGATTTGGGCTTTTCATCTTCCTTGGGCTTGTCGGCATCGGCCAGCTTCTTCTCCTGGGGATGCTTGATGGCAAACGTCTCCTCAGCCAGCTTGTCAGCGTCCTCGACCGAGTGACCGATGTAGATGTTGTCAAAGAGAATGTCACTTTGCATGGTCCAGATCTCAAAGCCGATCTGCGCAAGAGTTGGTCAGCACGCTGGACAAGCGGACACGCGTCTCACTGGTACTCACAGCTCCCATGGGCTCCAGGTTGGCCGGGGTCTTGTCCTCGTAGAAGTCGGGGTTCTTGATCTTGCGAGGGTACCAGGGGCCCTTGTAGTCGGGATTCTCAATGTAAGGGGCAGTCCACTTGCCCTTGTAGTCGGGGTTCTTCTTGAGGGGCTTGTTCCAGGGGCCACAGCCAGAGACATCAGCGCACTTGGGGTTGGGGACTTGAGGAGCCTCCCAGTCGCCGTCCTCGTCATCACTCCAGTCCTTGGGCTTCTGGGCCTCGGGGTCGGGGACAGTGGCGGTCTCGTTCTCGAGCCAGTCCTCGGGCTTGGTGGCATCCTCGTCGACGATTTGGTACGGGGCATCCTCATCCCAATCCTCGGGCTTCTTGGCCTCGGGGTCGGGGATGCGGGCCTTGTCGACCCAGTCATCAGGCTTGGAGTCTTTGGGGTCGTCAATCTCCGCGGGCGGGTTGATTTCCGGATGGAAGTCCTCGAAGAGCGAGCCGGACTTGATCTCCTCGCGGTTCTGCTTGATGGCGTAGGTGTTGTTGGGGTGGACAATCAGAGTGTAGAGCTCAGTGGTCTTGACAATCTTGGCGGTCGGGGGCGAAGACAGATGCTTCTCCTCGTATTCGCCCGTCTTGGGATTCTTGTGGTTGATTATGAAGTGAACCTTGTTCGTGTGGCCGCACTTGTCGGGGCCAAACATGACGACGTAGGGGGTCGTGTTGCTGAACTCTTCCTGGTGAAGGGCCTTGTTGTCGCGCAGCAGCTTCATGTAGGCGCCGCCACACTCGAGGCCATCTGATTGCGGGCAAAGGTAATGAGCACGACTGGTTGTCTGCGGGGAGCGAGGGAAATTATGGGGGCATGTGCTCACTCTGAAGCTTGACCTCGTACTGGACCACGAGAGTCTTGCCCTTGTTGTCAATCTTCTTGGGGAACTTTGCCGAAATAGCATGGTGGGCAGCCGGGTTCTTGACGACGAGGCCCTTGTCGCCCTCGATACCCTTGTACTTGACGGGCTCCTCAACGGCCCACTCGCCGACGTAGGCCCAGTCCTCTCCTTCTTTGGCGGCATCCTTCATGTCCTTTTTGGCATGCGAGGGCTTCCATCGCTTGTCCCAGTCATCGGTGAACTGCTCGAGGAAGGGAGCCTTCAAGGTGGTGGGCTGGCGGTGTGTCAGCGCTGAAGGGATTGCATCACGAGGGTTGCGCCTCGAGTCGAGGCGAAGAGGCGCGCAGGACTCACGGTGAATGAAGGAAGCTTCTCGGCAGCAGTCAGCGGTTTCTGGGCCTCGTCGGCACGAGCGGTGCCAGCCAGGAGGGCGGCAGCCGCGACAGCGTTGAACTTCATTGCGGGCTACGGCGCACTGCGCAGATGCTGAGGCAGGTGGGAGATGGAGGCGATGGAGGACAGAGACAGGCACGGGCAGAGACGTGGTGGGTGGAGGAGAAGAAAGAAGTCGCCAACGGGCCAGCGCTCGAAGAGGGGGAAAGTCTACGCCGTGAGGTGGAAGAAGATACGTCGGTTTAAAAGAAGGCGGCCAGGTACGTAGCCTGGCAACTGAGGACACGTAGTTGGTAGCCCGGAATGGACACTTGACGGAGGGTGCCTGCCACGAGGAGCATGTACCTGTCTGGGAGGGGGTACCTTGAGAGTGGGGGAAGAGAGTCTCCCAGCGGGAGAGCGACGCCGGCTCCAAGCTTGTACATGGCTTACCAAATCCAGGTAGATGCGTGGCTCAGGCTACACGAAGATCCCCAGGCAGGCTGGGAAGGGTCGCCAGGCATGTCGTTGCACTGAGTCTCATGTCTATGCGCCAAGCTCACAACCTCGCTTGCCTGCCATGGGGGGGCGAGGAGATGCTACTTGCAAATCAATGCAAAAGACGGGTTTTCATTGGCACGTTGATGGATACCTATCCAAGCTTGCCCGAAGTGCCCTGGAGGGCATCAATTTGAAGTCAGGGTAGTGTGGGGCCGCCCAGCGCCTTGGGGTCTAGAGCACAGGGTACCTCCAGTGGCCTTTCCACGGCGTAGAGACACGTAGCCACTACACAGTGCCCGTCAGCTATGGAAGCGTCGAGAATCCACCACGCTCGATAGGCCAGAGAGACGAGACTCGATAGCGCCAAGACTGACATTCATTAACAGTTGCAACACAGACAGATGTCCATGGACACTCGATGCTTGGCAGGGAACAGTGACGTTCGCAGCACGTGTCGCCTGCGAAGCCAGTGCCTGAAGCTTCGCATGCTCACGAACCGGCAAACGCCCACAGAGGCCCTTAACAGCTCCGTGTCCAATGAGACAGCCGATCACACGAGATCCGTCATCGGTGCCGGAGAGACATGGGCTAAAGGGACGAGGCCACGTCGACAAAGCAAACCGCCCCCACCCCCTATTGCTTTGTTCACGGCTCGGCATTGTTCATTTCCGCAGCCGCCCTCTTTGCCGATTGTCCAGAACGCGTCGCTTTGTTCCAGGAAACTGTGTCCCTACGCGCATTCATGTTCTCCGCTTGACATTCCCATGTCTGGTGCTAGGAAGGAGAAACTAGCTTTCTTGAATACCATGGATGAGACATGCGGGAACAACTGCCAGCTCCCGTCGAGGGACTGACTGTCTTGCCCGAGGGAGAGCACGCGTCTCGCTTTTGGCAATGGCAGGAAGACAATTGCAATCTTTGTTCATATCCCAGCCGCCCGGCGCCATCAAGGCTATGCTCCGCGGCCGGCCTCCGAATAGACTGGTTCTGCGCTCCGGGGCTCTCTCTTGAATCACATGTCACTGGCCTGGCTCAAGCCCGGGCTGCTCGACACCCTCGAGCCTTGGATTCAGTGTTTTACAGTTCGCGAGACCTCGCCTTCGTTTGGCGATAAGTCGCGCCGACGAAATCACCCGGACCCGACCTCTTTTGAATGTCTAGATAGTGGTAACCCGGCTCCATGGAGTTCTTCTGAGTGGTCAGTGGCTGGCCATCCGTGTCTCGCCTTTCGAGGAGCTCCTTTACATTGGTAGAACGTGCACCTGCGCGGGCACTCGCCAGAAACCCGTGGTAGAAAACGGTTGCACTCTGACTTGTTGGAGGCGGTCATGGCCATGATGTGCACAAGCTTCAATTCTTCCTTCTGTAACTGTAGTGTGAAGCTCCAATCGACCACGGCCTGGCATCCCGTGACGAAGCCATCATTCGAGGCGTCTAGACACCTTTGCCCATCTCAAATGCCTCCATAGAGCTGTAGATACAGGGTAGGACTCGACCGAGTGGGGGGCAAATTCAAGTTTTGTCTCGGCTACGGACAGACCCAGCTTCACGCAATGGACTGAAGAGAATTGAGGCCCAAAATCATCCCGTCAACACAGTGAAGCAGTGGGTTGGTGTCGCAAGTGTCCCGAGTCAGACGTTGGCCCTGAGCACAAAAGACGGGCTTCTTCGCGCTTCGTCCCCGATACCTGGCAGGCTGAGGCGCTCGGCGACCGCCACCAACAATTGGGCTCAAGACGAGGAAGAGTTCCTGCTCAACGACATCTCTCAACGACATCTCTCCAAGAACGGCAGCCGCCGTGGCGTAGTCGAGCAAAAAGGGGGAAGGAGGGGGGGCGCGATGCTGCGAGACGGTCACATGACTTGCTCCTGTCGTCTTGACCTTATCACGACTTCAACGTTACCCTGCGCTGTCCTCTTTCTAACCTGGCTCATAATGTCGCGACAGACCCATCCAACCTACAATTGAGCCATCATACTACTCACATTGAAGTCAATATTCATCCGGTATCCTCCCATGGCGACTTCTGTGCTTCCTCAGGTCGCCCTCCCTCCATTGTTTGCCCTCAAACGCCATCTCTAAAAATCGTCCCAGGGCAAGCTACAAATAGATGAGTTCGGCGACCGACGTGAAGGGGGCGGGCGGAATGGATCGTCAGCCCGCCAACGTGGCCGCACGCTGTGCATTCCATCGACATGTCTCTCCGTGCCGTCGAGGCGCGCCGACGCCGGGAGATGGACCTGAACGTGTTCCCTGCTCGGCAAGGCCACTTTTGCCCGTTGACCATGGGGCACTGGCATGCTGGGCGTCATGCATTGCAATGGCTGGCTGCCTTGTCCACAGGGAGGCTGTCTCCATTCCCCGTCCAAGCTCCAGCTGCTAGCATCGTCCCCGATCGGCGGCAGTCCACCAGCAGGGTTCCTCGGCAGGGTAGCCATACGTACGCCTCAACTCTCACCGAAAGGGCGCGACTTGGCCTTTGTCGCCACGCCCATGGAGCGTGTCGCCAACCCTGGAAGCCACCAACTTCCATAGGGTCTCTGTACAGGGACGGGCGTTCGCGGGCACGCCTTGCCATTGGCTTGAGCGGCTACTTTCTGGTAGGCCCGGACATTCTCCCCGGCTGTGCTCTCAATCATCGTAGCCACCGGCTTGGCCGAACTCCAAACTCACTCGGGACGGCGAAACCCTCCACCCTGTCAATGTCGAGACTCTGCCATTCCTCTTGCCGCAAGAAAGCGCACTGTCTCGCCCGGCAATGCGCCTCGGCATCAAGCAACTATGGCAGGCCTTTGCTTTCCATCATCAGCGTCCCCCAAGCTGACGCATGAGATCGTCCGAAACACCCTCCGCTGGATTTTCTCCGTCACACTCAATCACGATTGGGATAGAATGGGCAGCGCGCGTTGACCTGTAGTATAAGAAACTTCACCCCGTCGTGACCAACTCGGCTCCCCGGCTACCTCCATGCACTGTCGTTGACTTGCGTGTGGCTTAATTCGGCCAAGCTTTTGCCCTCGACGTGATCCTGCCCTTTGATCCATATTTCATCCAACAAAAGACATCCGGGTAGTCGCTTTGCGTTTCTCGGCATAATGAAGTTTACTTTGGCCACTGTTCTCTTGGTCAACCTGGCTGGCTGCGGGTTGGCGAGTCCAGCAACGGGCATGAGAAATGACTTGTCCATGACGTCTGGCACGGTAGGGATCTCGGCCTCTGTCCAGGAGAAGGGAACCATGATAAGTAAGTCGTCTCCAAGAGAATGCTCGGGCTAGCTTGTCTTACCATCGAATAGAGGAACACCTTGACAAGGCCGTCATGCTGTTGAAAGAGGTCGGCAAAGAAGAGCCCGCCTTTGGAAAGCCACTGGATCGGGCCACCATGACGATTGATACCCTGAACAAGGCCATTCACAACCTCTTCTTGCAATATCAGTACAAGGGCAACGGAACTAAACCCACGGGCGGTTACAAGCCCGGCGGCCCTCGGTACGGTGGACGTAAACCTGGAGGCTACGGGAATCCTCGCGGCTACTGACTTTGAGGGAGGACAGTAGGCTCTGGAGTCCCAGACCAGGACATGTTCACAGGTTGGGCCGCCTGTCCAACATACGCGACGTCCTGTTCCCAGGCCGCGGCGTTCGTGTATCTTTACTTTGCCCATTGCCATGGCATGGCGCGACGGTCGCTCTTAAAATGCTGATGATAATGAGACTCAAAACTCAATTGCATTGATATTTTTAATAAGGAGCCGATAAAGACGTTACGTTATCAAGTACTGCGAGTGTCTCGTCGTCATTGAGAAAGAATAGGGCCCTTTGAGCATGACACGCTCGACTCTGGACTTGAACTGATGACAGTCTGCCCGCCGTCGGTGTGAAAAGCCTGGGCGCAAACGCCATGAAATGTTGCCACGGCGGCGACGATGAGAGAAGATGATAATTACGCTATTTCGGCGTCTGGTTCCGACACGAATGGTATCCCCCGTCCCGATGCTTCTTCGTCAAAGTATTCGACATGAGCGTGACACGCAGTGTTCATAGCTAAAAGAAAAGAAAGCAAAGGACAATAAGAAAACCGCTTGACAAGCGTTTGCCTCGGACCATGGGTCAAAGCCCCTCCCTTTGAAAATATCAGTCCATGTCGCTATACGGTCAGCTAAACTTTCATGTCCTTGTATAGGTTTTGTTTAGAAAAGGTCTCGTCATGTGTCTTTTCTTTTCATCTTCCGGTGGAAGAAGACAAGCCAAGAGGTGGACGGGGGAAATGGGAAACGGGAAGTGGGAAAGGGGTCAACAGGGGTAAAGGGGTGGGGGACGCACAGTAAAGACAGCGTCAGGTCGCCGTGGATGCGGGCCCGCAGCTCAATCTCTATATCGAGGTTTAGATCGAGCCGCAGCTTGAGCGGGTTCTTGCCGTCGTCCTTTTTACCCTCTTGCTGATTCTGCTGTTGGTTCTGTTGTTGGTTCTGCTGCTGCTGCTGCAGCTGCTGCTGTTGTTGCTGCGGCCTCTGGTTCCCGCGGGCCAGTTGCTGGTCTTGCTTCTCATCGAGCCAGGCCGGCCGCTGTTTCTTGGGGCGAGACAGGGCCGTCTTGTCTTGCTGCTGGCGGCCGACGTCCTCGGGCGTTGCGGGCTGAGCTTCTTCCTCTTCCTCCTCGTCGCTGGTTCTATCGTCGCTCAACTCAGCGTCATCGTCGTCATCGTCCTCGTCATAATCATCGTCGTCGTCATCTTCGGCATCTTCAAACTCGCCGCCGGATTCACCGTCTGGCTGGCGTCAGCTTTCCGGTCACCAGCTGTCACGCAGTACATTGTCCAACAGAGGCACGAAAGTCGCGCTCACCAGACCCGTCTTCGGCCTCCTCGCTCTTGCTCTTCTTCTGCTGAGCGCTCTGCTCCTCAGTCTTGTCCGGGCTCGGCTTTGGCTCGCCGTTCCCCTGTTCAGGGGCCTTGGCGTCGTTTTTGCCGGGCGATTGTTCTTGTTGCTGTTCCTGGGACATGCGTCAATACCCAGCCTGGGCTCACTGGACTTGCGCAATCACGGCTGGACTTACGTTTTGAGCGGCCATGATCGTTGACCAGGGGGAATGAGAAAGAGGAGGATCGTGAGGCCCGAGCTGATAGGATACTGGGAATCAAAGCGAGTCGGTGGGGAAGATGAGCTCTACTTGATGCCGAATATCGCCGTTTCCTACGATGCTCGTCACGTAAGGGATTCGTCTGGTGGTATGACTATGAGCAGAAGACGCAGATCCTGTTTTTGTTCCGTGGTTCACGACTGACAGGCTGAGAAGAAACCAGGAAGGCCGACTCCAACCCTGATGTCACATCGAAGCGGATGGGTTTAGGGGATGATATCACTATCCTTGCCCACAAGACGCCGGTTATTGGCAAGCCGAGTACAAGACGGCCACGATGGGGACCTAGGCGACCCTGGACGGCTATGACGCAAGACAACTTGTTCGCGCCGCCTGTCAAGAAGCATATTGGGCCCTACTGATGATGCCGTGTCCTGCCTGCATGCTCGCCCACGTCACCCCCAGGGATGGAAAAGGGGGGGGGGGGGGGCGTGTGTTGGAGCAAAGGGACCTCCCTGGACCATCTGCTGACATTGAACAGGGGGCCCGTACATGCTCGCATACTTGATTGTGTGCATGGATGGAAGTGGTCCCAGACTACTGCGGTGGGTGGCTGGAGTGAAGGAAAACGTGGAAACTTACGTGCATATCCGGGGGGATCGAGATGATGCCGCCTCGTAGGTGGTTCAAAAGGAACCAACGTCATGGCTGTTTCAATGGACACTTACAAGCAAAAAGGCAGGGAAAACAGGGCATTGCACACTCGCACACACCCAGACACTAATCGTTTCCTCGCTCTCTCGCCGTCTTCTTCCAGAATGGTCATTGGATTGCTTGCCATCGCGGCCATCCCGACGGTGACGGGGGTCGGGCAAGCGGTGAGCGCGCAGAAAAGGCAGAACGCAGCAGCCAAGTCGCAGGTCAAGTTCCACCTTGCCGCCATGGTTCCGTGCCAGCAGGGATTTCGCGAGCTGGGCATCTGTGTCCTTCGAGGCGGACGGGTGAGAGCGTTCCCCCCTTCCCCCCTTCCCCCCTTCGTCTCTTTCCTCTCCCCCAAACCAGCCGTACCGGCTTTGCGGGAGAGGAGGAGGATCTCAAGGGGCAATGCTGACGATGAAGGTGGGGAGGCGCGAGGGTGAAGCTGGTGTTGGATGTAGCCGAGACGCAGCATCAGAAGCAGCAAGCCGCGGGCCACCGATTCTGCGGATACTACTTCCCTTACCCTGGGCCGGAGCAGCACCAGGGCCTGGTCAGCACCATTGCCGACGACCCGCCCATGCTCAACTGGATCTACGTCGACGGGCAGACGGGGGCGGTGCGGCACGGCGGACGCAAGGACACGATCGGTCACGTCATCGGGCCCTGGGGCTGGAGCGACGACGAGACGTGGTTGACGCTCGAGGGCGGGCCGGGGGGCTTCGTCGCCCGGCGGGAGCCAGACGAGGCGAATGGGGGGCTTCCGTGCTGGGTGGTGTACTGGGATCCGGCTGCGGGGGCGGGGAACAAGGACGATGACGACGATGACGACGATGGAGATGGGGAAGGGGAGGCGGGCCGGCAGCGGGTGGTGTGGCTTCGTCGAAAGCCGCTGCTCGGCGTGGAGAGCCGGTACGTCAGGGACTAGGACCTGACGGAGTGGCATGTTTCTCCACCCCATAGATCTTGAGATCCGAAGATGGTGTCTGCTTTCATGCTATTTTCGATTCCGGGTTATCAAACAAGAAAGTTGAGACAGAAAGAGGGTGAGGGGGTTGGTTGGTGGACCAGGGGTAATCAAGGGGGGGAGTAAAGGGGGTGTGCATCGTTGTGGGTTCGTGTACGCGAGACGGCAGGGCAATAAGTCGACAAGGAGGCACAGAACGATAACAGCACAGACGAGAGACAGAGAGAGGTGTGTCTAATCGTCCAGGGACCATGTCCATCCATGGCCGGGGTCGTTGTCGATGACCTCATCCGGGCCGTTCCATGCAGGCATGCTCCAGACCCGGACACTTGACGCCCGAGGCTTTTCATACATAGTGACGGGGCCTCCGGTGGTCCTCGCCACATCCATTGTGATGACCAGCCGTAGAAAATAGGGGCCGAGTCTTGCTTGCCATCTCCAAGAGCGTGTCGAAGACGAGACAACCACACAGACAACAAGAACCAGGAACGAAGCGGGACGACACATTTCGCTCGTGCTTCAAAAAGAAGACCAAGGAAGAAAAGACTCACCCCGCCTTTTCTCTCACAACTCCTCCCCTCCCGCACCACCCGCCGAAATGTCCGAACACTCGTCTCCGGCACCGACCCGGGACCCCGAGCGGCCCAGCTCCGGCGGCGACGACGACCCGTCGAGCTCGGGCGCCGAGGACAACACGAACCAGCTGGCGCGCCAGGGCGAGAAGAAGAAGAAGAAGAAGCAGCAGCAGACGACGACGATGGCGGCGCCGCGCAAGAAGCGCTCTGCCAAGAGCAAGTCGTCGGGCCTGCCGCTGGACCAGCTGCCCGTCGAGGGCTTGGCCGACAACGCCGTCGGCAGCGTCAGCAACACGCTCGGCTCCGTCGCCAACAACACCGTCAGCAACCAGCAGCAAGGTGGTGGTGGCGGCGGCGGCGGCGGCGGGAAAAGCGACACGCTGCGGCTGCGGCTCGACCTCAACCTCGACATCGAGATTACCCTCAAGGCCAGGATCCACGGCGACCTGGAGCTGGCACTGCTGTACGTCCATGAACCCCCTATCCTCCTTACTCAGTCTTGTCGCTCCTCCCTCATATTCCTCCCTTTTCTCTCCCCCTCTCTCCCCGTCATCACCATCATCAGGCCATCGTCTCTTACATATGCATTGCGCCTGGTAGCACCGGATAGCTTTCTTCTCTGGCCCCCGGGGAGTTGGTCGGATTGCATCTTGTCTCTACACAGTTTCTTTTTGCCGGGCTATTTATTTTCTGCTTTGCTGGCTGCTCACCACCACCGCACTTATTCCCACTCTCCGCCCCCAAGGCCAGGATTCAGTCGGCTAATTGTTGGTTTTTTCCGCGCAAAAAACCCTGCAGGAATTAATCAAAGCCCGATTCTGTTTTCCTCGACTCACGCGCCCGTCCACACCCCGTTGCGAAGTTGTCTGGAATCCATCTATTTGCGTTTCTTGTCTGGCAGTCTGTTCTGGATTTACGTTAAACCCCCCCCCTCGGTGCATCACCGTCTTATTGCAGCGGAAAGGGTGGTATGAAGACGAGAAAACGTCTCCATGACCTTAGACGAGTATCTGTAGCTCAATCCAAAGAGGGCTTTTTGCATGCCGTTGCTGTTGTTAGTTCTGCAAAGCTGCCGCAGGCATTCGTATTCCTATCCGGCCCTTGCAAGGATCAAGAGCGCAGCTACTGCACGCACATGCATCTAAGCGCCCGTTTTATTACGCGTCCCGATCCTGCCTTGATTTCCCCCATGCCTCCATTCCCTCGAATTCCTTGGCTCCCCCCTCGACCTCTATGATTATTGCTTTGCTCTGGTCCGAGGCCAAAAGGAGGGGGTGCCAGTAAACTCCCATGTTAGTCCAGCCCTACTTATGTGTAATTCGCATGATATACACACACCGCCCCGTAATTCAGGCAGGGAACTTGAGGCAGCAACCGTCTCACCTGCCAGACTCGGCTACCTAGGGCCGGCTGGACGGGGCGGAGCAGCTTTTCTTTTGCCTCGTTGGCCTGGACCCGACGTCACATCTCGTTGCGTTCCTCTCACCCCTCTTGTCCCGCCCGGGATGACTTGCGAGGGAGAAGGGAAGAAAGAAAGAGAAGGATTCGAGGTTGCATTTGTTTCTATTGGAGGATTATCGAAGTTGATTTCCTAGACGTTGTGCAATTGTTACGTCGGGCGAGCAGTGGGCATAGGGAACAACTTGGGGCATTGTCAAGAGAGAATACTAACCAACTGCTTCAATGTGCTTATCCTGTAATTACATACATAGCGATTGGAAGTGCTACTATTATGTCATTACTATCATGAGGGCTGGTAGGACAAGGACAAGGGTCCCTGTCTTTCGGCTTCTTTATTTTCGTCACCACCCCAGCTCATACTGTAAGCTCCCGTCAACAGCATAACAACCCATTCATTGTACGGCATTGCAAGCATCAAGCCCGTCTTCAAATCGTCACCATTCATCCCTCTTCCCTCTCCCATCCCTCCATCATCTTCTCCACAATGGCGACGGAATCTTCGCCGCCGCCTTCGTCGCCCCTGAGCGAATCGCCACCCCAAGACCAGCAAGATGCCGCGCACCCAGACTCGTCGCCAAAGACTAGCAGGACCAGCCCCGATGACGACAAGGCCGCGCCCGACAAGCCGCGCGAGCCCATTGCCATCCCCCCCATCACTCCCATCGCGTCCCAGCAGGACCTCGAGACATTGGCGCGGGGCCTCGAGGGCAGGTTCGTCGACGAGTTCGGCAATGTCCTGGACTGGGACGGCACCGTGCTGGGCCACGTGCGAGGCGATCTGCCCTCCATGGTGGGCAGGCCCGTCTCTGCGCGGGGCCAGGTTGTCGACGCTGACGGCCAGGTGGCTGGGTACGTCTCCGAGAACTTTGTGCCCCCGGCTGGCGCTGCTGCTTCCTCGTCGCCCCCTCAGCCGTCGTCGAGGAAGCCACTCGACCGGGGGCTGAGGGTGGATGAGGCCGGCACCATCTTCGACCACGAGGGCGTGCCCGTCGGAAAGATAATGCAACCAAAAGGCTCTCCTCGCCCCGGCGAATCAAGACGGGGCCAGGGATCACAGCATCACCCGGGCACCTCGTCATGCTCGCCCGCGACCCCCAGCCCGTCCGAGGTCTGCCTCGACGTCAAGTCGACGCACGACGGCATTCAGCTGATCATCAAGATACCCACCGTCTTCCATGCCTGTTCCGCGCCACCGCCGCCACCACCACCATCGTAAGGGTCTCTTCTCCCTCCATGGTCTCGGTATTCTGTTCTGTATGTACTTAGTATGTTTGCATGGAAGGAGTACTGTACGAGTATCAGTTGTGATAGTGAGGTGAGGCTGATCCGGCGCGGGGAAGCCTCGACAAGGGGGAAAGGGGGGGGGGGGGTGGCTTGATGAATCCATAAAGGCCGAGGCAATGATCCCTGTGTAAAGGCATTAATGGAAAAACAGGGTGAGATCAAAGCATGACATGCAGGCGTCAGCCACACCAGCTTCCCCACAGTCAAGACTCCTTACCTCATGTCTGAGATCATCTTGACCATGTTGCTTCCATCGGCAACCCTGTTTCCGCCATGCTTTGACCCCGTCGTGATATCCGCCGGGTCCATGGAGTCGTTGTGGCGGCACCGGAAAAGAAAGCACGCAGGCCTGCAACAACTCGCATCTCGATGACCGGCCCTCCGGAGCCAAGAAAGAGGCACGGCACGGGCCAACTTGCCTGGTTTGCTGAGGATATATGCATGGGCCAACCGCATCCCGAACCCATTCATTCTCTCCCGCTCTTCTCTGCTCCCACGCCCCTCCCACCTCTTCTGCCCTCGCCTGGCTCCTTTGGCACCCCCCGATTCGGAGCCCGGAGCCGTCATATTGCGTCACTCGTGGCTCCAAGAACTCGGTTCCATCTGAGCGGTGACGCCATGCCAATGGCCCCCGTCAAAGTTCTGGCTGGTCTCTGACGTTGGTGGCCTTTCACCCTTCTTCGCAACTTGGTTAGACAGTATTGCAATGGCAGGAAGAGGACCAAGAAACTTGCTTGCTGGGCATGGCTCACATCGCATATAAATGTATAGAGGCTCGTGTGGCTGTATATCTTTTGCCGTCCGAGAGAAAGAAAGCAGAAGAAACTTGAAAAGCTGAAAGAGAAACACCAGGACCAAGTGAACCAACCCCAGATTATACCCCGTACATCGAAGAAATCACCATACTCGCCGGCAATGCCCAAGAACCCGCTTTCCATCCCCGGCAGCTGGGGCCAAGAGTCCGAAACGCAGAGAGAGGACGAGCATGAACAATGTAATGAACCCGCCTCCATTTCCTTTGGCCAGCTCTAGCTAACCTGTGAAGCTCAAACTGAATCGGCGGATGCCGTCCCACGAAGTGTCGCCGCCGGCGTCGTCAACAAGTCCGGAGAAATCGTAGACGACAGCGGCAAGGCCATTGGCAAGATACCAGACTCCGAGGACCCCCAGGATCTCGTGGGAAACACCGCCACCACAGCCGGCGACATCGTCAGCGACTCAGGTGATGTCCTCGCCAAGGCCTCGCTCGACAGCGAGTACACGACACAGTCGACCAAGGGCGAGGCCAAGTCGGGCAGCTGGAACCTGCTCGGCAAAACAAAAGGCGCCGTCCAGACGGCCGAGAACATCCGGAAGCCCGTCAGCAATACGCTTGAGTTTGCGGGCAACCTGCAAACCTTGAGTCAGAACCAGCGCGGTCGCACCGATGAGAAGCAGGCTGAGGGCGCTCCGAGCAGCGCCAAGGGTGAGATCCCGGGCGAGAAGCATTCGACAGACGCGGACACGTCTCGACAGGACACTTCTGCCAATGTTTCCGAGCGCACCTCTGTCAAAGACCCTGCAGAAACCCCGTCCTCGTCAGCCCAAGGCGAACATCTACCATGCATTCAACTCAAAGACAATGACACCCCGACCGGCGAGAGAGCGACGGATAAGTGTCACAAATCGTCCGCCGCCGACAAGGCTCAGGAGCGGTCAAAGGCGGCCACAGACGACCACGTCAAGGACGCCAAGCCCGACATTGACATCCCAGGAGAAGGCAAGACCCCCGATGAGCCCATGGTCGTGAGGAGCCCCGCGCCAATCGACGAAGACGACAAGGATGCCAAGTCCGAGACAAAGCCCACAGACGCGGCCACGAAACAAACCGCCGACGAGACAAACGAAGAAGCTCTGGAGCAAGCAACGGAAAAGGGCCCCGAGCAGGCAACCGACAAGAGCTCAGATCAAACAGAGACGGCTACGGAACGAGGTCGCTCGGTGGGGGCAGCAGACAAAACCCCTGGACAAGCAGCAGACACGGTTACGGACCAGGCCACAGGGCGAGCACCCTCTGAGCAGCATTCGGAGCAGGTAACGGAAAAAGCCGTTGAGCATGCTCCTTCTGAACAAGTCCCCACAGACCAAAGGTTGGAGCACGCGACGGACAAGACTTCGCAACACACTCCCTCAGAACATGGCCTCGAGCAGGCTTCGCACAAGGGTCCCGAGGGCCTCGACCAAGCTCCAGATCACACCACGGAGCGAGCGCTTTCGGAGCACCCCACTGAGCACGCCTCCCTCGGCCGCACGCAATCCCAGTCGCTCACGTCAGCCAGCGTCGACGACTCCGTTGCCGACACCGAGACCAAGGCTGAAGGCGAGGCCGAGGTCGGAGAGGAAACCAAGGCCAGGGCCGAAGGCGACCCCGAGGATCCAGCAGCCCTCGGGGAGACGGACAAGGATGGCGCACAGGGTGAGGAGCGTGCGGCGGAGGCGGTTGGGGAAGATACCGGCAAAGAGGCCCAGCAGGAGGACGGAACGGAGGTGGCAGGCAAGGACGAGGAAGAGCAACAGCAGCCTACAGCCCCAAGCATTCTCAAAGGCGCCAAGGTCAACAAGGCCGGCAACGTCGTCGACAGCGACGGCGACGTCGTGGGGCGGTTAGTCGAAGGTGACGCTAAGCAGCTCCTGGGTAAGATGGCCGACGAGTCGGGCAACTTCTTGGACGAATCGGGCAAGGTGATTGGGCGTGCTGAACCCCTTCCGGATGAGGAAGAGCCAGCGCCTGCCGAGGAGGAGGAGAAGCAGGAGCCTACAGCCCTAAACATTCTCAAAGGCGCCAAGGTCAACAAGGCGGGCAATGTCGTCGACAGCGACGGCGACGTCGTGGGGCGGCTGGTCGAAGGCGACGCCAAGCAGCTCCTAGGTAAGATGGCCGACGAGTCGGGCAACTTCTTGGACGAGTCGGGCAAGGTGATCGGGCGTGCCGAGCCCCTTCCGGATGACGAGGCGGCCGATGCTGAGGAAGAGCAGCAGCAGCCCGTAGATTACAGCATTCTCAAGGGCACCAAGGTCAACAAGGCCGGCAACCTCGTCGACAAAAACGGCGACGTCATCGGCCGCTTGGTTGAGGGCGATGTCAAGCAGCTCCTGGGAAAGACGGCCGACGAATCGGGCAACCTCTGGAACGACTCAGGCAAGATAGTTGGTCGAGCCGAGCCCCTTCCCGATGACGAGCGGGCGGGCGCCAAGGACTTTGCTCCCTTTGAAAACTTCCCTGATGCCACCGTCGAGGCCGACGGGCGGGTCGTATCCGAGGGCAGACAGGTGGGCACCGTCGTCGAGGGCGACCCCAAGCGCCTCAAGGGCAGCCGTGTCGACGAGGACGGCGACATCCTAGACCGACGTGGTAACGTGGTCGGCAAGGCCGAGGCATGGGACGAGCCTGAGGCCGAGGTGCAGGCGGAAACGGACCGGTCGATGCTGGCGGGCAAGAGAGTAAACAAGGCGGGTAACGTGGTCGATTCGGCGGGCGTCATCTACGGCCGCGTCATCGAGGGCAACGTCGCCAGCCTCGTGGGACGCATGTGCAACAAAGACGGGCACGTCATGAGCGAGTCGGGCGAGATCATCGGCAAGGCAGAGCTGGTGCCGGAGCACGAACGCGAAGGGTCCCGCGACGGACCGTTTGCCGAGCTCGTCGGCTGCACCGTGACCAAGGACGGCAAGGTAGTGACGGGTGCCGGGGATGTGGTCGGGCGGCTCACGTCGGGCGATGGCAAGAAGCTGTTTGGCCGCTCCGTCGACGAGGACGGCGACGTCGTGGACCGCAACGGCAACGTGCTGGGCAAGGCAGAGCGCTGGGAGGAGCCCGAGGTGGAGAAGAGGAGGGATCCGCTGGCCGGCCGCCGGGTCAACCGCGAGGGCAACATTGTCGACGAGGACGGCAACCTCATTGGCAAGCTGGTGAGCGGCGACCTGGCCATTTGCTCGGGCAAGGAGGTGGACGAGGATGGTGACGTTGTCAACTCCAAGGGCATCACCATCGGACACGTCAGCCGGCTCGAGGACATCCCGCCGGAGCCGGAGCCGGAGCCGGAGCCCGAGGTGGAGACGGAGACTGCGGAGGAGAGGGAGGCGCGCGAGCAGGCGGAGAAGGATCGCAAACTTGCGGGACAGCTTTCAGCGTCGATCGAGCAATCACTCGACAAGATCCGTCCCATCTGCAAGATGATCACGGACAAAATTGACAGCGCGGAGCGCAAGCCCAAGGACGAGCTCGACGAGGAGCAGCTGGTTAAGGAAGTGAAGCCGCTCATCGAGGAGGGCCACAGGGTCCTGACGGAGACCAACGGCGTCATCCGCGGGCTGGACCCGGACGGCCGCATCCAGCGCAATGCCAAGCACAAGGCGGCGACGCGCGACGCGAGCCCCGAGGAGCACCACCTGGCCGAGGTGCTCAAGGAGGTGAGTGCCAGCCTTGTATGGTTCTGAGCGGTAAGATGCTAACGACACCGATACAGCTCACGGGCACCGTCAGCCAAACCATCGAGAACGCTCAGCGCAAGATTGACGGCATGCCGCACGCCAAGAAGGAGCTCAATCCTCTATGGGGACTGCTCACCGAGCCGCTCTTCCAGATCCTCGCGGCCGTGGGCCTGTTGCTAAATGGTGTGCTCGGGCTCGTCGGACAGCTGGTAAGCAACCACCGCCCCCTTTCCTCGTTTCTCCCTGAGTCGGTCGGTCGAGAGGCAACGGGATTGACTCTCCTGCGTGTAGCTGAGCGGTCTGGGCCTGGGCGGCCTCATCGACAAACTGCTGGGCGGATTGGGGCTCAATAAGATCCTCGGATCCCTCGGCCTGGGCAGTGCGCTTGACGCGTTGACGGGCAAGAAGAAGAAGTAAAGCCACACCGAGTTGATGGGATGGAGTCGAGATTGAGTATGTAAATGCGCTTGAACACGGTACACACTGTATAAGAGCGCGGGGTATTGTGGAGGATATGGAACCTTGGCACTGTGTACCTTGGACTCGATGGTTCGTCAGGGGTAAAGCTTAGCGGGACGGTCCGGCCTGGCGAGCTGAAGTCACAGCGGCTAATCACTGGAGCTTGAATTCTTTTGGAACTATGTTCGTCACGGGTTGATCAATCCTCGGGTTTGCCTGTATTTTACCTTTGCTCATGGATGTCTATGAGCTCAGAGTTTGTCGACACTATCGAAAGTCGTGTTCTGTCGTTGTCTTGGAATGTCTCAGGCCCTGGCATGCAATGTCTCCCCCCTATACGCGAGCCAGTAACTACCAAGTTCGCAGCTCACAATGTGGCACAGGACAACGAATAATGGAAATTTTGATTCTCATTCATCGAACAACTAGCTCAGTCCAAGTCCCTGCCACCTATCCGCCGAATTATACATGTTTTCAAAATCGTTATGCAGAGAAATATACAACATCGCGTCATGGCGCCCTGGTGCGCCCATCCACCCTTTTAACGGCGTGGCCCGAGACAGTGAGCAGGGGTGAGCATGAAGAGCTTTACAGAGCGAGAACAGCGAGGGCAATACCCAGGATAGCGGCGGGAGCAGCGGTGGCAGCCGGGGCGAGAGCGGAGGAGCTCGAAGACGAAGAACCGTTGCGGGAGCCGGAGCCGGAACCGGAACCAGCGCGAGTGCCGGAGCCAGAGGTAGAGGTAGCAGAAGACCCGCCGGTGGCAGTGGCGGACGAGCCGCTGGAGTCGGTGGCAGTAGAATCGCCGCTGTCAGAGCCAGCAGAGTTGCTGCCAGCGGTAGGAGAAGCACCCGCGGCACCACTCGAGGCAGGGGCGCCGTTGGCAGAATCACCACCGGCGGCGCCAGTGGCCTTGGGGGTGCCGGCAGACGAGTTATAGTAGTGCTTGCTGATGCAGTCGCTCTGGCAGGCAGCGTAGCGCTCAGTCTGCTCCTTGCTACCGTCACCCTGGGGGCAGGCGGCGACGCAGTTTGTGGTGGCGTTGACCTGGCTGGTGTCGGGGGCGGGGACCTACACAGGGAGCAAGGTTAGCCATGTGAACTTTAAGAAATGGGAGACGAGACTGAGAACGTACGGTGATGCAGTGGGACTTGCACACAACGTCCCCGAGGGCGCAGGCCGCGAGGCACCTGTCGGCAGAGGTCTGCGGGGCAGGGGCAGCCGACGTGGCTGTAGCGGCCTCGGACGAGGAAGCGGCCTCGGAAGACGCGGGGGCTGACACGGAGGTCTGGGCGCTGGCAACGGCGAAGGCGCCGGCAAAGATCAGGGCCGTGAAGCGCATTGTGACGGCGGTGGTGGTGGTGGTGGTGGTGGTGGTGGGAAGGCGAGAGGGCGATTACAATAGCGACGGTGGTAGCGAGTGTCGAGATGGAGAAAAAGCAACAAGTGGCTATTATGACAGAGAAGAATGGGATGGAGAGAGAAGGAAGGAAGAGGGAGCTGGAACAATGAGACGCGAGCAGGTCGAGGCCCTTTATTAATTTGACCAAAAGGAGGAGCCGGGGGGCTGCATGCTGGCTGGTCCGCCATGGCCAATACCAAGCTCGTGTTTTTGCCCGCGCCTGTGTTGTGTTTGTGCGTGCACAACAAGATCCCCTGCTCTGGGGGGAGGAAAGGGGGGGGGTCGATCAACACACGACGGTGAGAGGGGGGCGTGAGTCCAACAACACCGGCTTTCGGCTCGGCGCAGCCCCCCAAGACCTACAGTGCAGCACCGTACAGTGCAGGCATGTGAGCTACGGACTCGACATGCCCCCCAAAAGCAGACGGGCGCCGACGCAACCGCATGTTTTTCTTTCCTTGCTCGATGACTCTCTTGCGAGACCGTGTGTGTTTGTCCAGGAGGAACTCAGACATCGGTCCATCAACGGACAATGTTTTGACTGGAGTGGCGAGAGCGTCGACGGCTGGTATGCAACACCCGTCGTCAAGCTGATTGCCAAAGAGATTGGGGCAAAGAGGCGAAATTACGCCCATCATCGGGCGGCCAATTGGTTGCTTGGTACAGTGCCGAAACACGCAGCCTGCCTCCGCCCGGCATCAGGCAATTGGAGCAGGATGTTCGAACGGCGGGCCTCGCCGGGGGGGAGGCGTCTTTTCCCGTTCAGCTTGTCCCGCAAAAGAAGCAAGGCACGAGGTTATTTCGCTGGTTTGAAGCTAGCCACGGTGGGCGCATGGGCGCCTAGGCAACTTACTCCGTTGCCAAGTAGCACAGTAATACATGGATTCATTATTCTTTGTTGCTGATACTGACGATGAGGATGGGGGTGGTTTTTTTGCTGTTGGGAGCGGCCTGCTTTGTCCGCGCACCACCCCTTTTCCCCGGCTCGCTGACTGAAATTTGTCTCGGCTCAAAGGAGGCAATCGCGGGAATTTTCTTGTTTACATCGTTCCTGCTCATGTATCCGTATGTACTGTCCAGTACAGTAAATATCTCGCCGGCAAGACCAGCCGTCCAATCAGTCATTCGGCCTTTTGTGAGCACACACATGGATATGCAGGCAAGTGTGCCGCGCGGCACATGACATCGGTGCTCAAATCAACCCATCAGCCCGGGCCGCGGCGACTGCATTCAACTCGCTCTGTGCTGTACAGTGTGTACACGAAGCCGCCGTCCACGGTAATACGAGAGGCGCCGGCCTTTTGGGTGGGAGAGCTCGTGTGTGGCTATACGAGACGCTTTGGCTTGCCTCTGGCCAGCCGGGCATGTGACAATGCTCATCATGATTTGCTCCACGATCTCTTCTCTTCCTGCTCCTTGGCTGTTGATCGGTGGATCCCCCAAGCCTCCGCACCCCCCCGGTCGAGTGAGAGAAAGAGGACCCCGATCGGCGCCAGAGCGAGAGTGCCCCGGGGAATACCTAACAAGAGATGACAAGGTGCGCCATGGCCTTGTCTTTCATTTCGTCCAGCAAGTCCGTCCGGTCTGGCCTGTCCGCCGCGACCGAGACGCGACCTGTCGACGCTTTGCGGCCAAGGGCGTCCGAGCGCCGTAGGTGCAGAAGAAAAACGACGAGCCCCGAGTGCCCCATGACAACAGAATGTACGGATGCTGTACATACGTGTCCGTACGGAGTATTCCTTTGCGAAGCTATTGCCTGCCATCCCCTGCAGCACTTACGTAATGTGAGAGCAGCCGGTGTGCTTGACATAAACAATGGAGCGCATGTTCCTCAACCATGGAAATGTAAGCAAGGGGAAAAAATCTTTTCTCCGCCAGACCCAGCGATCGTTTGCTCGCAGCCGAGCGCGCATAAAAGCTCCATTCTTGTTTGCCCGAGCATTTTATGCCCGCTAGCCTGCGCGCACAAGCGCAACCACGGCTCCACGGTGCTTTTTCCGCACAAACATGCATGCATTGATTTCATCCTCGGACAGATGCCAATGCAGGCCCCGGCCGTCAGCTGCACTCACTGGTCTCAGGGGAAGAAGCAACCCAATACCTACCTACTCCGTAGTACTCCGCAACTGTCGTGGCAAATGGCTTCATGTCCTTTTAGCCAAGCGCCATTCCGCCCACGGGCACATGGCTCCAAAGCACTCATCCCAAAGCTGAGCTTCGTCACTTCGTCACAAAGCGCATTCATTTTGAGAGGCCGGCACATCTCAGCCGTCCCTGCGGGCCCAGCCCATCGCGCTCGCTTCCCTAAGTTACCGCGCGCCGTACCTACGCTGCTACCTTAACATCAGCATCCTCCTGTTCCTGGCTGGACCTGCAGTCGTGTCGTGGCTTTGATTATGAGATGCCGCACGCGCATTCACCATTTCGGATTCCTCACATGCCCTCCACGCGCCGCTGCAGCTCCAAGCACCGGGGCGGCAAGCCGAGGCGCCTTCCTTACCTGCCTGCGTGTCCCTGTGCGCCCATCTCATCTTATATAGGGAAATCTCTCATCACTTTTCCGACCAGCACCGTCCCACGTGGTCTGCCGTGAGAGTCTGCACAGACATACATGCTGTACAATGGGGTATCCGTAGTCATGCACAAGGTTCAAAGCAAACGAGACGACGCGAATTATACTCTCGTCAGTGTCGTACGAAATAAACCCATCGGACCAATGAGCTGATGGATACGTGCCTGTCCGCCTAGCCCTCCGGCCCGACCCCGCACCCGCAGCTCACCTCACCGTGCCTCACCGGCGGTGAGCTTTTTCCTAGCTCACTCACCGAGCAGCTGCTGCTGCAGCATCCCCCTCAACCTCAACCACAAATCTCTCTCTCATCCCTGCGAAGCTAATTTGCTTTTGCGCAACAGCTGACCTGCTCCCGCACAAACGTCGTCGGAACATTCCCCCTGTCCCACGTCCATCCGCCCCCCTCCTACCCCCCCTCCCCTCCCCCCCCACGCCGCCCGCGATGGCCTCGTCCGCCGGAGCAATCGACCCCGAGGACAAGCGTCCCGGCCCCGGCCAGGACGCCGCCGCCGACCGGCTCGTCACCTCGCACGACCCGCAGCATCCGGCCAACCTCATCCCCTCGCTCTGCGCAAAGTTCTGGACCCTGGGCTGGGTCACCGGCACCGGCGGCGGCTGCTCCATCAGAGACGGGTGAGCCTCGTCCCATCCGCTTCATCACTCATGCTCATCGTCGTCGTCGTCGTCGTCATGTCCTAACACGGACCAGCAACCTTGTCTACATCGCCCCGTCAGGCGTCCAAAAGGAACTCATGAAAAACACCGACATCTACGTCCTCAACCTCGCCGCCCAAGACCCCCACTCGGAGCAGCAGCAGCAGCAACAGCGCACCTATCTCCGCTCTCCGCCCTGCCACAAGCCCTCGCAGTGCACCCCCCTCTTCCTCGCCGCCTTCACCCGCCGCCGCGCCGGCTGCTGCATCCACACCCACTCCCACTGGGCCGTCCTCGTCACCCTCCTGCTCGAGGCCAACAGCCGCCCCGACGTCTTCGAGATCAACAACATTGAGCAGATCAAGGCCTTTCGCCGCGCCGCCGACGCGGCCAAACCCGGAAACCTCGGCTTCCACGACACCCTGCGCATCCCCGTCATCGAGAACACCCCCCACGAAGAGGACCTGACCGAGTTCCTCGAGGCCGCCATGGACAAGTACCCCGACGCCTACGCCGTCCTCGTCCGGAGACATGGCGTTTATGTCTGGGGCGACAATGTGCACAAGGCCAAGACCCAGTGCGAGAGGTGAGCACGCATCACACGAGGCATGGTGAGTCCGACGTGGCGCTGACACACTCTCCCAAGCCTCGACTATCTGTTCCAACTGGCCGTCGAGATGGCCAAGCTGAGCATCCCCTGGATCAGCGACATTGCCCGCATCGGCCCAGACCGGCCATAAAATAAGCTTTGTAGGGTCTAGTGCGTGCGTACGGACGAGCCGAGACTTTGTCTATCGACGGACGTACTCATTGGCGCCGTCCTTATTTCTACACATCCCGCGCCAAGCATCGAGGCAAACGAAATGCGATGCGGTGGTGCTCAGCCTCGACCATCACCCGGCGCTCGGCAGATGGGAACAGGGAACAGTTCGTCTTCTTTTTGTGGGCTGCAACCTTCAAAGCTCGTCTCTTGTATAAGCTTGGTCACCAACGCCCTCGGTTTCCTCCCACATCCTCTTCTTCGTGTTCCCGTGCTCGTTCGAATCAGATCGCCCATATGTCGATTCCATGTCTTCCACCATTTCGCGTACCTTTTCCACCACCGACTCCAAGTCCACCTCATCCGGATCCCTTGTCTCGTGTCTCACTTGGGCGATTGGCAAGTCATCGTCGGGCAAGCCGTCGACGGGAATCCTGCCCTCCTGCCCGCCCACAGGCACCTTGACGGACTCCCCGGCACCATCGCCGCGTCCCCGCAGCATGGCGCCGCCCGCCTTGGTGCCGGCTCCAAAGAGGATCCGAATCGGGAGCCACACGAGCCACCACAGGGGCCCGTAGAGGATGCGCCGAAAGACCAGCCAGGCCGCCGTGGTCAGGAGCATGTAGAGCGCCGTCTGAAGGTACCATGTGTCGCTCTTCTGCGACCGCAGCAGTGTGCCGAGCAGATCGCGCGAGCTGGCAAGCATCGAGTCCAGTGACGTGTACGATTCATTGAGCTGCTTGAGCGCAGCCGACGACTCCGTCAACGTCTGGTGCGCAAACTCGCTGCGCGACAGCTCGGCCGCCATGAGATCGTGCGTCCGTCGCAGGGCAGTGGTGACGTTGCTGCTGGCGCCGACCGTCTGGCGGTCTTCCTGAGACAGGCTCGACTGCTGCAGCGTGTGTCGTGGGGTGCGGCGGATTATAGGCATGGGCGCCTCGCCATTGGCCGACGTGGGCGACTCGCACTCGGACACGGGCATCGATAGCGACCGGACGAGGAGATGTCTCTCCAGTCTCTGCGCCTGCTCCAAGCTCTTTTTCGCCGCGAGCCGTGCTTTTCGAAAGGCTGCTCGGTGGCTGTTACGTAGAGTCCGTGTCAGCGCGGTATCAGGCCGGTTGAGAAGGCAACAGGGCATGGCTACCTGGCGAGCTGACTACCCAGTCTCTCGATGCCATCTTCCAACCTGGCCTTATCGTGCCCCTCTGGCCTGGCATACCTGGCCTCTTCCTGCAACAGTTCCTGCTCTTCCAGCCCACTGCGCAGTATCTGCCCGATCTCTGCGCTGAGCTCGCCGCTCGGACTGTTCTCTTCCTCGGTGTCGAGCGGGACGGAGCCAGGCTGGAATTTGAGGTTGGATAGACGATCAATCAGGTCCCGCAGTTGCGTCGTGGTTTCTTGCAGAGCCGTCAGGCGTTCCTGAAGCCCCTGCAGCGACATGATGCGGATGCGACCGCTGAAGCGCGTTGACGTAAAGCTGTTGTTGGATGCGGCGACGAACTACTGGCACTTGGCCTCGTCGACGCTCGGAGGCTGGCCAGAGAAGGGGCTTCTTTACAGGGGTTATGGACTTATCGGGTCGGCTACTGGGTACCGAAGACTTGCTCGAAAGGGTTTCAGAAACGTTACCGGTAGGTCAGTCCGACAAGGTCTGTTATAGTATCAGCAACAGTAAGTAATATATTAAAATGTATGGCTTTTTAGCTACTGGGTAACAGCTTGCGGGCTTCAGCGTCCCGATCCGAATGCGGCTAGCACTGCCTCCAAGGCGCGACTCGTCGCGACACATCGCAGCCAACGTCTCTTCTTCCCAACCTTGCCTCGCAGTCAACATATTCTTAACTTCTTCTCCGCATCATGCCACACTCGGCAGCCCACCAATCCGGATCTGACCAGTCGGAATCTGAATCTCTAAAAAGGGCCCTTGCCGACGATAACAATGTCTTGGTTCTAATGCGCTACCCGGCCCTGCGGGAGGAATTCCTGACGTCCATCGAAGCCAATAAAGCTGCCATTGAGGAAATGATTCGGCTTCAACTGGGAGTTCGATCGTGTCGCCTGAGTGTCAGAGAGGTCTGGAGATCCGGCAGTTTCAACGTTGCCATTCCAATACGCCTGTCCAAGATGCGAACCGTCTTCCTCCGCCTCCCCTTTCCGTATCGCATTGGCGAAGACCAGTGCCCGGGAAACGCCGAAGAAAAGCTCCGTACAGAGATTGCTGCCTATCTATGGCTACAGGAACACTGTCCTGACGTCCCAATCCCTGTTTTACATGCCTTTGGGTTGCCCGATGGATCAACGGTGAGCGTTGGCAAGCATTGACGTCCCTCGTGATCCTAGATTAACAGCCTTAGTTCACACACCCATCCAACACCCCTTTCTGGGAAAGATCTTGGTGGAACATCAAGCGCCTGATTTTCTCTCTTCTTGCACGCCCAGTACCCGTTCGTCATGTTCGACGATCTATCCGTCACTCGCTGGGCCCTGGCTTTCTTCTCATCAGTGAGGCACGCGGCAAGAGGCTCTCCATGACTTGGCCGGAGCACTGCCATGACAAGGCCTATCGAGAGAGGTTGTTCCATGGTCTGGCACGCATCTCGCTATCGCTTAATACAACCCCCTTACCACGCATTGGGTCCTTGCTGCTCCGGACGGACGGGTCGATTGCCCTATGTAACCGGCCACTGAGCCTTTACTTCCAGATGCTCGAGAACGAGGGAATTCCGTCGGGTGTTCCACGCCATCGTACGTACGCCGAAGTGGAATCGTATCTCTCGGATCTCCTCTCCCTCCAGGATAACAAGATCCGGAACCAACCCAACGCGGCCCACTGCCAGGAAGACGGCCGAATGCAGCTCGCCGCTCTCACTGCGCTGCGGGCCACCATGCACCACTTTATCCGCCCCGAGTTCCGCGACGGCCCCTTTTTCTTTACGCTGACCGACCTGCATCAGCAAAACATCTTTGTCGACGAAGACTGGAATATCCAAACCGTCATCGATATGGAGTGGGCACATACCATGCCTCTGGAAATGCAGCTGCCACCCTACTGGCTTACGTCGAGGCCAGTCGACGGCTTCCAGGACCGCGACGCCGTTGCCGAGTATGAGGCTGTCCTAGAAGAATATATCGCCATCTACGAGGCCGAAGAGAGGCGGTGTAACGGCTCGGTTGTCCAGGCATCAGTCCAGCGCGATGTGTGGCAAAGGGGCAGCTTTTGGTACTTCCACGCCGTCTCGGTACCGAAGGGCATGTACACTCTATTTAATAGGCACATCCAACCGCTCTTCAACCAGGACCATCCTGGCCTGAAGGTTTTTGACGACGTCTTCTATTGGTACTGGGGATTCGGCGCGCAGGACCTGATAGACAATAAGCTCAGGGACAAGGAAGACTATATAGCAAGGGTAAGAGAGGTTTTCGAATGATTGCATCCGCATCGACTGATCCGGGAGTAATGCTGGCTTCTCCTTAACAGCATATCTCCAAAATGAAATCCAAGCCCTGGTTGTAACCTCTACCTACAGTACTCCGTAGCAGGCTAGCCAATGCGCCCAGAAGCGGCTCATTTGAGGCATCAGTTACTCCCAGGGAGGAAATCAACTGCATGGCGACGTGCCAATAAGCATCGACCGCGTGACGGAGAGGCGCTCCGTATGCAGCCTGCCTGTTTGAGGATCCTAATCTGACCCCGCGTTTCGCGATGACTCTCGCCAGCAGCTTGGCCTTCAACATCATGGGGAAAGGCGACCAGAAAAAGAAGCACCGCAAAGATGCTGGCTCTGCCCAGGAGCCGCAAATGGAACAACAACTTTGGGAGATCAATGAAGTCATAATCAACGGAAACTACACTCTCGGAGAGGCGGAAGGCGGTCAAGTCTATTACAATTTGTTCACAAGGAGACAGGATTTGCCCACAAGCTTCTGGTATCAGGGTTGGAAATATATTCATGTCCCCAACGGCGCTGGAAGTCGAGACTGACCCTTTCCTAGGAGAGATGCCTTGGAGCAACGGGCACACGCTGAGAGGCTGGCGCAGTCTTCAGGGAACATAGCCCAGCAAGCCCGAGGAGCAAGCGGTGCGCAGCTGCTCTCCCAGCAGATTGCCAGGGATCCGAACATGGGCTTGCTGAACTCGTCCGCCGAAGCTTCGCAAAATGCGCGCAAGAAGAAGAAGAAATGACGAGGATGGCATTTCATAGTCCAGTGTGAAATCTTATTTGCTTCCAACCAACGGACGAAGCCAAGGTGGACGTCCGTGTGAGGTTGCTGAATTGGGTGGGGCTTCGACGAGCAACTGCACCCCCAGTTGCTTTGCCACAACGGCCAGCCCTTGAAACACAAGGTCAGTTAACCGATACTCCGTAGCCTCGTCAAAGACTCGATAGGCGCGCGAAAACCATCGTGCCGTTACCGGGAAGGTGTCGACGAGACTGACAAGGGTTGAAATGATCCTTGTGAAGTCATCCCAACTGCCTTCCTTCGCTGCCTCCGGAGTGCAGCCTCGGATTTCGTAATAAGTGCCCCCCTAAAGAAGAAGAGACACCGTGCTCGGTATGCGAAGGACCTTCTAGGGAATACATAGTGCCCTGACCCTATACCTTATTACGTCGTAGATCTCATCGGCGCGAAAGGTCTCGATGATTATATCCAGGCTTCGCTAGTTGAATAGAATAACGCATATATGCAATGCGAAGACTGCGCTGCAAATATCGTATATCGTACATGGGTACCTGTGATTGGGTGCGCGCAGCTCCCTCTCTTAAGCACATTGCACCGACAATATTCCATCCTTCTCGGCTTCGGCAACTAATTAACTTATATAGTATCTTGCTAGAAACGGACTCACAGCGCATACGCGACCATGTTGGGCAATTGTGACTCTGCAATTGCGCCCCCTTGAGCTGGTTAAGTTGCCGCGCCGTCAACGGTCACGCACACAGGCGTGTAATGGCTGGAGACTTTGATCAAAACTCAAGGGCAAAGAAAAATGGTGATGGGGTGTTTACATTGCAAGCTCTACCACATGCCCGTCTCAGCAGCCGAAGCCCTGTGCCATTAGTAACCGCGTCTTCAGCATCATGACGAAAGGAACCCCCCTAAGCCGCCGTCCTCGTCCCTCAAACCCCTCCCTCCCACAACTCTCCGCGCCATCCACATACACCCGTTAGCAGTATCCTTTGCTCCGTAGTTGCACGCAAGAAAAAAGCAGAGAAGCACCCACCTGGAGAGAAAAAAAATGTGAAGCACCGCCCTCTGAACAGAGTAATCGGAATCGAATCATGGCTTCAGCCACGCCACGCATCGCACTCAAGTGTCAAGACACAATCCCCGCAATGGCTTCCCAGAGGGTATCCCCCGCGTGGCGGAAGGGCCCTGAATATTTCTGATGCCAGTTTTGCAGGCGTCGAGTGACGCCGAGCCCTCACGGGCAGACCCGTCCTCTCCGCGTTTGAAGGCAGAGCGACTGCGGTGCCCACGGCTTTCCTCAGAGAAGAGGACCCGTGGTGCGGTGGGGAGATACTCCGAATTTCTCGCATGCGAAGAAGAAAGAACGACCCCTGTGCAGAGCAGGGAAGGGCACATTCCAGGTGTGAGAGGCATTCCGCTTGCGCAGAATACGTCTCCGTGTGGAAGCATGGAAGCGCAGCGTTGTTCAGAGGGCGATGCTTGCAGGAGGCAAAAAGAAAAGCGAAGGATTTGCGCGCCGCCGTGTTCCTTTGTACTCGTATGTACTTGTCGAGGCGTGCGGCTCAAAAAGGTTGATGCCAAGGCACGGGCACAGGCACGTGACACGGGGTGGGCACTCGAAGCAGAGACGGCGCCTCCGGTTTGGTGGGCTAGCTTCAGGACATTGAGCCGACCGAATCGTTGCGAGCTGTGCTCGAGCCGCCCAAGATGATCACAAAGTTCATGACCGAGGTCTCGGTCAAGTTCAACCCCTTCTCGGCCTGCGCCAAACCCGCGCGCCTCTTCCTCACCTACCTGCCTCCAAACATCCGGGCCAACGGCACCTCCGTCAGCACAACGCTGCTTCCTCGCAACAACCCAGAGCCCAGTTCTCTGAGGGTCAAGTTCAGTATGTCGAGTGTTCCAGCATCGACCCAGCAACAGCCAGCTCGCTAACCCGCAGCAGAGGACGGCAAGGAATTCAACTTCAACTGCGCCAAGACCAACATCAAGGGCCTCATCGAAGAAGTCGAGCGGCATTCTCGCCAACTGCAAAAGGCGGCAGATCTCACAGACTAACATGCCACAATCATCATCAATGCTTGGGTTCCATGCATGGGCGGCGTTTTCACGGAGTCGGTTTGTACAAGAGGCACGGGCGGGATAGGCATGTACGATGCTATATTGAACAGAGCAGCCGACTTTTCTGCATATTATGTAGGCAAGGCACAAGAAACGGCCTGCACAGTAGACCCATCCACGGCCGAAGATTTCCACCTCTAGCATCGAATCTAAGTCGAAGCACCGCTAATGAAGAACCACTTGTCGATGGAGCTGTCAATCTTCTCCGGCGGGAGATCCTCATGGGGAGGCAGAGGAGGCAGCTTGGACCGGTCCTGCAGGTTCGGGGAGTGGGCCACAGTCATGTTGGCGCTAGAGACATGTCAGACAGTGGTCGCGATGGAGAAAGCAGACGAGCCCAAACTTACATGGAGACTCCGCCGGGCTGAGTCTTGCCGGTGATGAGACGCTCCCAAGCCTCGGCGCACTCGCGGACAACGTCCATGGCGTAGCTAGAAAGATACCGTGAGCACATGACCAGCACAAAAGCTAGCTGCCGGACACGTACCTCTTGTTCTTGCACTCGCCGGTGAACGCAAACTGGTTCTCGGGCTTGCCATCGGGGATCTTGTAAATCCGGAACCACTCATTGGTGGCCCGAAGCAGGCCGGGCAGGTGGCGCTCGACATCCTCAATGTCGTTGAGCTTGGGGGCAAGGGGGTCGTTGATGTCGATGACAATGACCTTCCAGTCCGTCTCCTCCTCGTCGAGGAGGGCCATGACGCCCAGGACTTTGACTTGCTTGACCTGACCGGTGTAGCCGACCAGCTCTCCAATCTCGCAGACATCGAGAGGGTCATTGTCGCCCTTGGCCTTGGTCTCGGGGTGGACGACGTTGGGGTCCTCCCAGGTCTGCATAGTGGCAGAGGTGGTGCGCCGCGGTCAGCCAGGACGGATTAAACGTGTGCTTGATGGGGGGGGAGGGCATACCTGAGGGAAAGCGCCATAGTTCCACAGATAGCCCTTGTGGGGGAAGCAGTTGCGGACGAAACGAAGCTTGCCCTTCTTGGTGTCCTGCTTGATAGGGTTGAGAAGCTCCTCCTTGGAGATCTGGTTGCCAGGGCGGGCGGGTGTCAGCGAGCTCTAGGATGTCGCCGATGGGGAGAGGAAATGGCGATCGGGGTGTGGACTGGCGCGCAGGAGGAGCGAATGCTGCCTGGAAGGGGAGGGGGGCGAGGGCAAAGCTGGGTTTGCCTGTTGGGATGAATGAGGGGAACTGGCTGGTCGGAATACCTCAAGCTTCGCATTGGTCCATCGGGGAATCTCGACAATCATGTTGAGGATGGTCTGCTCCTGGTTGGCATAGAGAGGGATGTCATGGAACGACGAGACGGGCTGGCCGTCCTTTTCGATGTAGACGCGATGCTCGAGCGAGTTGGGCGCGCCCACCTTGCGGAGCGAGTACGGCGAGGTCATGTTGGGCGGCGGCGAAGAAGATTTGACGTTTGACGTCGAGGGCAATTGAGAGGGGGCCGAGTCTGGCGCAGCTGAGCTCGAGAAGTGGCGAGCAATTTGCGCAGTCCGCTGGGAGGAGGGGGAGGCAGATAAGGAGGAGGAAGAAGAGGAGAAGTGTTGGTGGGAGGAGGAAGAGGGCTGATCACGACAGCATGGAGGGGGCGGGGCACCTGGACCCATAGGGAACCGAGCTGTTGATCTGCGGGCCGGAGCAGCGACTGAGTACGACTGCTGCTGCCTGTAGCCGCCAACGGCACCCCCTGTGGCAGTCGCAGCGGCAGACGTTGGGAAGGATGCAAACGACGCGACGACGCGGCAGCGATTGGCCCGGCCGGTGGGCAGACGCTGCAGAGGCGGCTTGGGCGGCCAAAGCTGGTGGAGGCTTTGCCGGAGGAGCATGAAAATTGTGACGAGACGGAAGTGCGAAGAGTGAGGGAGTGGGAGAGGGAAGGGGGAGGAGAGATTGAAGAGAATTGCCCCGAAAAAGGAGAGAAGCGGCTGCAGCCAATGACCAGGAATTGGGCAGAGAATGGTTTCTTGCCCAGAAAAGGGCAATGTCACTCAACAAGCACCCACGAGAGGAGACGAGAATCCAGTCGTGATGCCAGCCTGGAGCCAGGCCTGGTGGGCTGGCTTTCAGTTGCTCTGGGGCTTCCTGCAGAAGCTGCTCAGTGCCACACCCCCCCTGTAAGCCACTGAAGACGGAGGAGGTGGGGCGTCGGGACCAGCGGCCGCCTGTCAGCAAACGGCAGCGAGCAATATGCAGAGAGCAAACGGCACCCGGCAATCCAGGGTAGCATCGCGGCCCCTCTCCATTGCACGTGAGTTTCGGACAACTCGATCCCCTTTTCTTCAGCCGAAGCCCACAGGTCGAGTCGGCTCGCTCGTCATGGAAGCAAATCATGGTGCTATACGAGCACGCAAAGATACCTAACAAGACCATAAATACAGCTTCATCAGAGGTCACTCACTACTGACACCCGAGACGCAGCCGAGCAAACAGACCCGGGCAGCACAAGACTCATCCACCCTTGTCAGCGTAACCGCCTCATGCTCCGACCTCGGCCGTCTTCAGCCCCTCGGCGCCCGCCAAGTCCTCCTGAGCCCTGACGCTAGTCCCACCCGGGACCGCCAGAATCCCCTTGTCCTTGCCCTTGAGAGAGGGCGGCGGGCTCTCGGCCGCGTCCAGGTAGGCCTCTTGGTCGGGTTGCCACTCTCGGAGGTCGTCTTCGCAGTCGTTGAGAATCTGGCGCGCCTGTTGGCCGTGCGCATACGGTTGCCGGTCGTCACCCGGCACAACCGGGGTGTCGTCGAGGAGGGCCAGGAGCCGGCGGCCATGCTTGGCGAGGATGATTTGCTTCTCGGCCCGCTCGATGGTAGCGGCGAACTCGGCCTCGTACGCTTCCTTGAGCTTCTGGCGCGTCTGTCGAGCAAGCCAGGTCAGCAGGGGCCCTTCTTTTTGGCGGGAAAGGCGGCCGACAAGATGATGCGCTAAATTGAGGAATACTACATACAACATTGGTTAGTTGCGCCTCGGCAACCAGATTCTCAGCCTCGGCCCTAACAAGCTCCTGCTCGAGGACGACCAGCTTGGTGCTCTCGGGCTCCTTGGACTTGAGCTTTGCTATCTCGTCGGCAATCTTGACCTTGCCGTCGCGGCTCGGCTGCACGCTCTTTTCCGTGTTGCGAATCGTCTTGAGGCGGCCGCGGGACTCGTCGAGGGCGTGCGCGTACGAGTCCTCCTGCTCGCCCATCTCACTCAGGATGACGCCGACCTTGTCGGAGACGTCGTTGACGCCATCGTCCCCTGTCTGCTCGCCCCAGTCGGAGAGCTGCTGAGCGATGGCGATGCGCTCACGACCGGCCGTTTCGTGGGCTGTGACGAGATTGTTTTCCGACTTGATGAGGCGGAACAGCTTGCGTGACAGCTCCGGCTGGACGGTGCCGCGAAGGGAGTTGAAGGAGAAGCCGGTGCGGCCGCCCGAGGTGCCGGTGCCGGAGCTCTTGTTGGCCTTGCCGCCGGAGCGGATGGAGAGGGCGCGGTTCCTGTAGGACAAGGGCGAGTTAGAAGCGACGTCATGCCGAGAATAGCGGTGGTGGCTGGACATGAACTGCGCAAAGGAATCGTCTGCGCTGGAACGAGACATGGCGATGGATGCGGCACTGAATGACAGACAGACGGACAGAAGGACGACGAAAAAGTAATTTGTTTTGGAGCCTTGGGCTTTGCTCACATGACGGCCAGGGGCAACTGCCAGAGCGCGGACGAGGTTGATATCAAGGTGAGGCGCTATTGCCCGTGCCGGTCGAGCGACTCTGCCTTGTCCCCTTGGTCGAACTGCAGTCGCGAGCAAGGCTGTCAGCCTGGCGCAGGACGAAGCAGGAAGGTACCTAAGCGGTCGATGGAGCGTGCATACATACCGGGTATTGCGTAGGGATCCCGGCAAAAGACGCGATGGGTAAGAATGCCGAGGCAGGTGCTGTAAGGATGGGATGCCTGCCGTCGTGATGGATGGTAACAGGGGACTGGGGAAGACGAGACTGTCGGCAGTTGGCGCGCCAGAGATGGACGAGGACGAGGACGAGGACGAGGTCGAGGGCAATGATGACATCAGGGCTGGACAAAGTACTGTAGGCTGTCCAAGTAGGCTCTAAGGGAGGCAGAGCCGGGTACCCGTCACGCGATCAGCCCTCCAGCGAGATACTCGATGACGAGGTTGTGCATGCGCGGAGATGGGCTGGGCGTGTACATGCCCAGCCAGTACTGATCAACACTGGGCATTTGGCTTGTTCCATGCAGATGGATTGGGCCCAACGAGCCTCTCGGTGGTGGATGACGACAGAATGCGCGCCCGCCGATGATGTCATCCGCGGTCCTCGAGTCCCCTCTACCCCGCCCCTCCAGCTCTGTTCGTGGACTCGACGAGCCAACCAGCTTCCTTAGGGGTGATCAATCAGCCGGTGCAGATCCAACCGGTTGAACATTGAGTGTTGCTGCCACGCGCCCGGTTCATCGATTGCGCCCCAGAACCCAGGAATGTGGAAGCCCCCGTGAAGCTTTCTCTGGCATCTCGAGTTGCTTGCTTCCATCAAAAAGACGAGGACATGGACCGACCAACATGCATTAGCACCACTGCTAGGCACGGCTGTAGCTAATGGTGACCACCTCATCTTGATTGCTGATATCGGATGGCCTTTCGTCTGCCTTTGATGATTGACGGGCAAGTCTTTCGGTCCCATCCCATCCCATGCCAACGCTCTAGCTATAAAACACGTCGCCGTCAACTGCACATCGTCGAACTGGCCACTATGCAAAAAGTGCCCAATGCCTCGGAGACAGACACGACGCCGTTCTCCAACTCACCACCACACTCAATCCCCTTCTCTTCCCCGTCGTAATACCCCCTAGCGCCGTGTCTGCGTCGTCCGCTCGTACACGACGGCCCCGGCCGGCGCGCTGGGCCCGAGGTAAGTGCCGCTGACCCGCGGGGTGCCGTAGGGCGACCGCCGCGTCACGCTCGTGTAGCTGGCCCGCGGCGAGTGGTGATCGTGGTGGTGGTGGTGATGGCCGTGGTGATGGCCGTGGTGATGGCCGTGATGGTGAGTCGATCGTCTGGCCGGGATGATTTCCTCGTGGTAGTAGTATTTGGTGTTTGGCTCGCCCCAGAGACACATAGCGTCGGGTTGAGAGCTGCAATACCTTTTGGTTTCCGAGTGTGAAAAAGCAGAATCGATTTGGATGCCGTCCTGCGTGGGAGATGAGTCCAATCTGTCATCAACTGAGCGGATGACTGCAGGCTTTTTATGAATGCGCCCGTGCCTGTTCTCCTGCGACCAACTCTTGTTTTTGCTGCCGGTGGCCAAAAGGACGGATGGATGGTGGAGGGCCGACCAACGGCAGCCCATCATCAGCTTAGAGCCGCCACCGACGCCCACCCACACACGCGCAAGGCTATATCCGACGCCCCGTTATCGCCTCTGGCCATCCCCGCTCCCTGATTCGCTGCCGTCATCTCAGCCGCCTTCCGCCCGAGGCCGGCCCGAGAGCCCAGAGCTCGGCTTTCAGGCCCTCATCCCGCCAATGGCCGATCGGGGCGTTTTCAAGCCCGGCTCGGATACCTGCATTCTGGCCACATCTACGACCATGGCAGGATTCAGCTGCCCGTCATCGTCCCGGCGCTTTGCCATGCCTGCTGCTTCACGGTTCCACAACTCACCTCCATCCCGATGCAACTTGTCTATCATGCCCCTTTATATTTGGCAACGTCAACTAATGGTACATCGTACAATTCATCCGCTGTGCCCTGTCCCGCTAGGAAACCAAGCCCTTTGCGAGGGGTTTGTGTTCCCTTGCTGCACTCTACTTCTTCGAAAATCCCACCTCGACTTTGCCAACAGCCCAGGCCGCAGCAAACACGGCCAGCATGCTCGAAAACACAATCGCCGGTTTCCGCATCATGCCCACCAGCGACGTCTCGTACGAGATGATGAGGTCGCGGTCTCGGAAATCGTCGACCAGGTTCCGCGCTTTGACGACCACGGCCGTCCGTCCCATCGTGTCGAGGTACGTCTTGTGAACGCCAACTGAGATTTCGGTGATGGATGTCTTGGGCACCCCGGTGTAGACCTCGACGTTCCTTCTCGGGGGTTCTCTTTGTCAGCCAGCCATCGCTGCCGAGTAATGGGTCTTGGGACTCACGAAGCGCCTTCCGGCAGCAAGACACGGATGTTGACATGCTCATACTCGACGCCTTCCGCCTGCCTCGGACCTTCCACAAAGGGAACCTTGAGCACGTAGCCGCCCGATGCCGTCTTGCGCAGCAGAGACGCCGTGTTCGAGTTCCAGCCTATGGTGAAGGGATACTTCCAGCCGCCAAAGATGGGATACCGGGGCTTGAGCTCCAGCAGTGCCTCCCGCTTGCCGCTCCTGAACTTGGAGGTGGACACGTTTCCAATGGCATCGGTAAAGTAAGGATCGACGCTTCCGGGCTGGAGTGGGAAGCGCAACTCCTTGATAGCCATGGAAGAGGGGTTGAAGTATTGTGACTGGGCCCACTTGACCCGGTTAAAGGGCGTCGACAGGTTGGCGCCTCTGTGGTGCAGGGTATATCTCTCCTCAAAGGCAACATTGCCGCCCCAATGGCTGACCTCGATGTCCCGGTCGAGGTTGGACACGTGCGTCACGGGCTTGGTAAACTCGAACCGGACCTGCGCGGGCGACACGGCACCGGCCGGTACCTCTTGGTCAAAGGGTCCGTAGGTGAGCTTGGAGCCCTGCTTCTGGGGGTGCTGCTCCTTGTCACCCTTTGCGGGGATCTTTGTGTAATCGGGGACGGCAGAGCTCGGGGCCTTGATCTCGGTCTTTTGTTTCGAGGTAGGGTACGCCGACGGCGCGTAGGCAGAGAAGCTGTAGGCGAGAAACTGTTGCTCGTCTTGCTTGACGGCAGCCGGCAGAGGGATGTACGCCTTCAGGTAGTAGAAGGAAATGCCGAGCGTCTGCTGTCCGCCGGGCTTGAGCGGAGCAGGCAGTCGAATTCGATAGTATTGCACGTCACTGGCAGAGAATCCGTCAGGGGCCACTCGGGGACAGACAAGCGTGAGTTTGCCGGGGACCAGGCATACCTGTGGGGGTCATATTCAATGGCATCTGCGCGGAAGGGACCGGCGTCTGCGTCTTTGCGATCCTTGGCCTCGAAGCCGCCAACCCTCGCCATCTGGTCAGCCGTGAAGGGGACAAAGTATTCATCTTGGGGACCCTTGGAGACGTTTTCGACGAGGACGTTAATCTGCTCCTTGGCATAGTTTTTCTCGAGCGAGATGATGTGAACGAGGTTGGCGTTTTTGAAGACTTGGGGCGGCTTGAACTCGGCAGGCAGAGAGACTTTGGATGACGAGGGCTGCGAGCCGGCCACGGTGGTAGCCAGCAGGCCCAGGAGAGCCGATGCGACAGACAACGACTTCATGCTGGCGATTGAGCGGAAAGGGCACTCATGGATTGCACGCGCCCGGCGTTGTGAGGGTCGGAGTCCAGCGAGGTTGTCTATGCAGCTCGACTGCGTGCCTCGGAATGGCATACGTCGCCCATTCGGAATGGCGTAAGCTGCCGGGGTGAAGCTCCAGCCCAAGCTCTGATTGGCGGGTGTGATCAGGCGGCAGTAGATTATTCCGTCCCGGCAGTCTCGGCCGCAAGCGGTACGTACTGTGCTTGACTTCAACTGCTCAACTGCCTCAACTGCTCAACTGCTCAAACGGTATCCGTACTTTGGAGAAAGACGATAAAGGTTCAAGAGCGGGAAAAGACGGGGATATAAACGTGAAACGTGCCGCTGATGCCGACTGGCCGCGGCTTTGAGCTTCAGGCGTGCCTGTCTTTGTACCTTTGCTGTATCGCGTACTTTGCGTCTTCTCCCCTCGGCCCTTCCAGGAGGTGCGCCAGCCCGGTCCGCCATGGGTGCAGTATTATACTGTACTGTATGCTTCATAAAGCGACATGTCACGGCCAACAAGTCGTGGCGAGAGTGGGTGTGAGACGGGCCAGGCCGGGTTTTGGCAGGTGGCTCGCGACGGTCTGGATCAAACCCGGACTCGGTGATAACAGACACACAGCCGCAGCGTCCACGCATTAATTCGCAAGGTCATTCCATCGTTTCGACGAGAGGAATAGGCATCTGGACGAATTAAGGGTCCGAATCCTCGGTGCCTGGCGCCAGACTGACGACGGTTCCGCGTGCGGGCGCTGCAGCACCGTGAGCCGCATTCGGGCGGGGTCGCCATGGCCTGCAGCCTGTTGCCACTGGAATTGCCCCACCAGACTTCTTCGCCGTCCAGCTTCATTGCCCCTCCCCCTCCATCCGCCTCTCTCAACTCCTTGCTCTCGTGTTTGCACAATTCCACCCCCTCTTCCTGCGACGACGCCATTCAGAGCACTCTCAACCAACGCTGTCTACGTCTCACCACCTCGTTGGCCCCATCCTCGCTCCAGCTCCACCCGCCTCAACAAGCTCCCGCCCGAGCTTCCTAGAGCTACCTGCCCCTGCACATCGCCGTCATCCTCTCGGCAAAGATGGTTGGCCTGGGACCTCGCCCGCCGCCCTCGAGGAAAGGTACGGCCAGCTTTGGAAATTCCCAACCGGTGCCCCGTCACTCTCCGATGCCAGGCCCACGGAGGCCCCTTCACTTCACCAGGCATGGACCGTTGCTCTGCTCTGCATGTTCCGTCAACGTGCAAACGCCCCCCCGGTCGTCTCTCGATTTGATTCGTGGGTCCTCGACCTTATTCATCGCCACGCTTCATCAGGTCAATCCACGTCCACCCCGGCTTGTGCCACATGCGATCATTGCGCCGTGGGGGGAACCGGGGTCTGGTCAAAGAGACATGCATAGAACATGATTGGGCCTACAACCTGGGCGTGATGAACAGATGACATATCATGGTTCCCCGTACCACGAGCCCGGCCAATCTTAAAGCCCTGGCATCTCTGCGTGAAACCCAGCTTTGCTTCCACCTGCCCAGGCAACCCTTTGACCTGTCCCAGAAAGCGAGCTGACAGACACAATCACCATGATAGGGTCCAAGGCGGATATCCCCATGAACCTCCTCGAGGAGGTGCGGAGGCTGGAGGAGCTCTTCGTTGTCGACCAGAAGAAGCTCAAGGAAATCACCGATCACTTCATTTCGGAGCTGGCCAAGGGTACGTCATGCCACCAAACACGCCTCAAATCGACGCTTTGCTGATAACCACCATAGGCTTGAGCGTCGAGGGCGGCAGCATCGTGAGCATAGATCCCATCAACGTGATTTCAATCGAGCCTTTGCCCTCTAACCAAGCCATAGCCCATGAACCCGACCTGGGTCATGTCCTTCCCAGACGGCTATGAGACGGGCACTTTTCTCGCCCTCGACATGGGAGGCACCAATCTCCGCGTCTGCCAAATCACCCTGACCGACCAAAAGTCCGAGTTCGACATCATTCAGTCCAAGTACCGCATGCCCGAAGAGCTCAAGACAGGCAAAAGCGACGAGCTCTGGGAGTACATTGCAGACTGCCTGTACCAGTTCATCGAGACGCACCACGGCGACTGCAAGATGGAAAAGCTGCCCCTCGGCTTCACCTTCTCCTACCCCGCCACCCAAAACTACATCGACGCGGGCGTTCTTCAGCGATGGACCAAGGGCTTCGACATTGCCGGCGTCGAGGGTGAGAACGTCGTGCCCATGTTCGAGGCTGCGCTGGCCAAGCGCGTGAGTCCAGCCCCTCTCAGGCGTGGCCGGGGGAGGCTGCTAACCAACAATCCCTAGGGCGTGCCCATCAAGCTAACGGCATTGATCAATGACACGACGGGAACCATGATTGCCTCGGCCTACACTGACCCCAAGATGAAGATTGGCTGCATCTTCGGCACCGGCTGCAACGCCGCCTACATGGAGGACTGCGGCTCGATCCCCAAGCTCGCGCACATGAAGCTGCCCGCCGACACACCCATGGCCATCAATTGCGAATGGGGTGCCTTTGACAACGAGCACAAGGTGCTACCCAGGACCGACTTCGACAAGGTCATTGATCGCGACTCTCCTCGGCCTGGTCAGCAGGCGTTCGAAAAGATGATTGCTGGTCTGTATCTGGGGGAGATTTTCCGCCTGGTCATGGTGGACCTTCACGACAACCGGGATGCCAAGGTGTTTGAGGGCCAGAACATTGACCTGCTGCGCAAGCCCTACGCCTTGGACTCGTCGTTCCTGTCCGCGATTGAAGAGTGAGATGAGATTCCCAGCCCCCCCGATGAGTTCCCGACTTACAAATGCTGCCAGAGACCCTTTTGAGAACCTGCAAGAGACACACGACCTGTTCACAAAGAAGCTCAACATTACTTGCAACCGCGGCGAGCTGGAGCTCATGCGACGGCTGGCCGAGCTCATCGGCACCCGCGCCGCCCGCCTCTCCGCCTGCGGTGTCGCGGCCATCTGCAAGAAGAAGGGCTACAAGTCCTGCCACGTTGGCGCCGACGGGTCCGTCTTCAACAAGTACCCGCACTTCAAGGCACGGGGTGCCCAGGCCCTCCGCGAGATCCTCGACTGGCCGGAGAAGACTGACCCCAAGGAAGAGGATCCCGTCGAGATTCTTGCCGCCGAAGACGGCAGTGGTGTCGGGGCTGCCCTGATTGCCGCCCTGACTCTCAAGCGAGTCAATGCAGGAAACATGGCCGGCATCCTGCACCCCGAGAATTTCAAGTAAGGGATGGTTTGGTCCAGGAGCTTGGCGGGCAAGGCATTCACATGTCCTGGGGTATGGTGGGATAGAGACAGATTCATAGACAGCAACCAATGGCCAGGAGAAAAGCGAAGTGTGCCTTGTATAGTGTCTGCTCAGGCATCATGTGAAATCACCCCATAAAGGTGCATGTCGGGAGTCGATATTCTGCGAGGGAGGTTAGGAGTGACGACTACCGTGTGCGCTTGGCACTGGGGAGACTCACTGTCCAGCGTCCAGTATCGCCGCCGCACGCCTTCCCATTGCCCCTTGCCCTCCTCCCCGAGGCCGGCCATGTCGACGTCGCTCTCTTCCCATTCGACGTCGAGGCCCGCATCCGCGCAATGCATCTCCACCACCTTTGTGTAGACGTCGTAGCAGATGCGCCGGTCGGCCCCGAGCCCATTGAAGAAGGAGAAGCGGCCATCCTGATCCAGGAGGGCGGGGATGTACTCGGTGAAGAACATCTTCAGCAGGGAGTAGTCTTCGCCAAAGGTGTCAAAGTAGATTGCGTCGTACGTCTCCCCCTGCTCGATGAGCCGGGGCACGACTTCCTGCCAGCGGCCGGAAAATATTTGGTAGGCGCCGGGCTGGGGCGCGTTCTTCTCCCAGGCCGGGCCGAAGCGGGACTCGGGCTTGGAGACGTGCTCGAGGACCGAGGGGTGGGCCTCGATGATGTGGTGGCGCGAGGGCTGCAGGTCGGCGAAGATGCGGTCGATGATGCCCATGCCGAAGCCGATGTTGAGGACGCGCTTGCCCGGCTGCGAACCGGGAACCAGGGCGGCGACGGAGCGCCGCATAATGTCCGTCTCCCACGCCATCATGACGCCGTTGAGGTCTGAATCGAGAAGCTTGTCCGCGTCGTAGGTCAAGTCGGACTTGAGGTACTCGTCGCTTGTGATGGGCTTCTCTCCAGCATCGGGAGGAATGAAACGGGCCTCGCAGCCACCAGTCTCGCCATGTCTCTCAACGGTGCCATCAAGCTCCGCGGCGTCATCTCCGGCCCCGTCGTCTCCGGCCTCGGAGCCCGACGAGAGCTCCTCATAGCCGCCCATGAGCGCAAAGAGCAGCTCGGCACGCACGCCCGCGTCGACGCACAGACGATAGAGAGAGTTGCGGCCTAGGCGCCAGGCAACGCAGCCGGGCGTCTCGTTGTTGCAGTCGACGTCGTTCCAGATGGCGCCAGAGAAAAAGAGCTCCTGAAGTGCCTCTTTGGCCTCTTGGGCGCTCAAGTCGTCGCCCTCGTCATCGCTCTCGGCATCGCTGGCGGGTCCGCACGCTCGTATCGCGGCATGCAGGGGCGTCTCGCCCGTCTGGGGATCCTGAGCGCTGGCCCTCTCCCGCACGTCGAGGAGCTTCTTGAGGCCCGAGACGTCGTGGGCCCAGGCGTGGTGGAGGACGTCGCGAGTGTCTTGCGGGCAGTCGGGCGAGATGCGCGCGGGCATCGAATCGTCGACGGACGCCATGGCCGTGGAGACGGCGGATTGCGACGAGAGATCGGGGCTTCGAGTTGTGGCAAGCTGTATTCAATCAGGAGGCTTCGCACCTACAGTAGGCAGGCGAGAAGTCAATTGCCGGCGAAAAAAAAAGTTGGACCAGCATGGGCCCACCCCGCCACGGGCTGAATGCGGGGTCCCCCGCCCGTCCAGGTACAGCGGCTCTCTTGCGTCCGGCTTCAGTGGAATCGGCCCTGTATCTTAGGCGTCTACGGTAAATGGGTACAGTACGTACAGCGTCTCGTCCCCCTCATCGACGTCGCGGCATCTTCACCTCGGCTCTACCCTCTGTCGCCACTGCTGCTCCTTGAACCGCACGCCATCCCGCTCCCGCCCAGTCAAAGGCATTACCTCTGGCGATTTCCCGGCTGTTGTGCAACTCGATCGTTCGACCGGGGCAACAACCAGCCCGACCCGACGTCGCGGCCATGAAGTTTGGCGAGCAACTCCGGTCGAGCGTCATCCGCGAGTATCAATGGTACTACATTGACTACAATGGGCTCAAGGCCGAGCTCAAGAACGCCACGGGGCCGCCCAAGGCCCGCGCCCCCGGCGGCAAGGAGTGGACCGAGGAGGATGAGACGCGCTTCGTGGGCAAGCTCGAGGACGAGCTCGAAAAGGTGCACACCAAACAGCAGGTCAAGGCCATGGAGATTTCCAGGCGCATCGCCGTCAGCGAGCGCGAGGTCCGCGACGTCGTCAACCGGCTCAACGAACGCGGCCTGACCGAGGAAGGGCCCAGCGAGGAGGAGTTTCAGCTGCTCGAGGAGGACCTGAGTGATATCATTGCCGACGTCCACGACCTCGCCAAGTTTGTGCAGTTAAACTACACGGGCTTTTACAAGATTATCAAGAAGCACGATGTGAGTTGATGTCCTAACATGTGTGATTTGTGACTGGATTTGCCGCCAGCACATTTTAGGGGGACTGACTGGACGTAGAAAATGACGGGCTGGCACCTTCGACCAGCATTCGACACTCGGCTCAAGGCCAAGCCCTTTTACAAGGAAAACTACGACGCGTCCGTTATCAAGCTGTCCAAGCTGTACGACCTCGTGCGAACCCGCGGCAACCCCGTCAAGGGCGACAGCGCGGCCGGCGGATCCCAGGCCAGCTTTGTCCGGCAAACGACCAAGTACTGGGTGCATCCCGACAATGTGACGGAGCTGAAGCTCATCATCCTCAAGCACCTGCCCGTCCTCGTCTTCAACGCCAGCAAAGAATTCGAGCAGCAGGACTCGGCAATCACGTCCATCTACTACGACAACCCCGACACGTGGGAACTGTACGAGGGCCGCCTGAAGAAGACGGAGGGTGCCGAGGCCATCCGGCTGCGCTGGTACGGCGGCATGCAAAACGAGACCATTTTCGTCGAGCGCAAGACGCATCGCGAGGACTGGACGGGCGAAAAGTCGGTCAAGGCTCGCTTCGCCATTAAGGAAAAGAACGTTAATGCGTACATGAGAGGCGAGCTGCTCCCGGCGGCAATCTTCGAAAAGGCGCGGAGAGAGGGCAAGAAGTCGGAAAAGGCTATTGCTGAGGACCAGAGGCTTGCTTCTGAGATTCAGTACTCGGTTCTCAAGAAGGGCTACAAGCCCGTCTGCCGCTCTTTCTACAACCGCACCGCCTTCCAGCTCCCGGCAGATGCCCGGGTTCGCATCTCTTTGGATACCGAGCTGACAATGGTCCGCGAGGACAACCTGGATGGCCGCACCCGCAGTGGCGATAACTGGCGACGCATGGATATCGGCATCGACTACCCCTTCTCGCAGCTGCCACCCGAAGACGTCTTGCGCTTCCCCTACGCCGTCCTCGAGGTCAAGCTCCAGACACAGATGGGACAGGAGCCTCCAGCGTGGGTTCGCCAGCTCATCTCCTCGCACTTGGTTGAGGCAGTTCCCAAGTTCTCCAAGTTTATCCACGGCACGGCCTGCCTGTTCCCCGATCGCATCAACCTGCTCCCCTTTTGGATGCCGCAGATGGACGTGGACATTCGAAAGCCCGTCGCGCACGACTTTGGCATCCACAGACCCGGCATCGCGGCCTCGGAAGATGAGGAAGACCTGGACTCGGACGAGGAGGACGAGCGATCCAACCGCCCAGGCCCGTCGGACCGACAGCCGGGCGCACAAGGGCTGCACGGCTCAGTGGCCGATGCCGAGGACCAAACCGCCGACGCTCCCGCGCCCAACGATGACTTTCCCATCTACGATTCGGACGAGGAGTACGACGAAAACTATGCGTTGGAGGAGGCCAGGAGAATCGGCGGGTGGCACTACTACTCGACTCTCATCTCGACCAAGGCGCACGCCCTCGGCCAAGTCGCCCTCGGCGTCGCCAAGCACCTGGTGCCCGCTGCTCGTAGCACGACAATGGATCGCAGCCAGCGGCAGCAGATGCTGTTTGGGTCGGGGCCCGTGCTGCAAAAGAAGATCAAGGCACCCAAGGGCAAGAAGATCTATGTGCCGGTCCGTGTCGAGCCCAAGGTCTACTTTGCGGCCGAAAGGACCTTTTTAGGATGGGTAAGTTTGGGGAGAAGAGAGGACCGAACAGGTTTACTTGCATACAGCGCTGACGGTCACCTTTGTCACGCAACAGCTCGAGTACTCCATCTACGTCGGCGCCATTGCCGTGACGCTGCTCAACTTTGGCTCCCGCGCGACGCCGCTGTCGCTGTGGACGGCCGGCATCTTCACCCTGCTCGCCGTGCTGAGCCTGTGCTACTCGGTCGGCATCTACCTCTACCGCAGCTGGTCGATCCGCGAGCGCAGGGCCGCCCGGTACTACGACAAGTGGGGGCCGAGCGCCCTCTGCACCGCCCTGCTGGTCGCCGTTGTGCTCAACTTTGCCTCCGAGGGCCGCGATAGGGGGTTCTGGTGAGGCCGGAGGCGGGAGAGGGGGCGAGAGTCCTGCTTTACTGTTTCTTTCTGTACGATTGTATACTTTTACGGTGGTCGTGATGATAATGTTGCTTGGATTGGGTGCGGTGGCGGAGATGGCCTCGTCGCGACGCCTGGGCGAGCCCAAATGGACGGACAGGACAAGAAGAAAAGGGATGGGGGGAGGCGTCGCTGTAGCGGTTGAGCACTCGAGATTTGATGTGTAGAGGCATCGACCGAGTTAATTGAATAGCGGCAGACCAGGCAATGCCCAAGGCCTCACTTCCATCGCCGTGACGCTAGAGACGTCTCGCTGACTCGGGGAGCCGGTCTGCGTCAAACTTGTAACAACTCTCCTTCCTTTTCTTCTACAACCATCATATCGACACTACGGACAAGAAACAAGACGCCAACACCTGTAAAGGTATCTAGATATCCGCCGAGCCCACCGCCGCGATGCCCTTTACACTGCCAAGCACCCAAGGCCTAGACCGCCCCCCCCGGCTTAAGCAACGGCCGTCACCCTCCTCACGCTCCTCCTCGCCCCCTCGCCCGTAATCATGATGGCATTCTCCGTCTCGAGCGCGCGCATCACCTCGTTGAACTCGGCCGTCTCGACGGGCACGCTGGCGCCCTCGCCTAGGCGCTTGGCCACGTCGCCCCAGCGCACGGCGCTGCCGCCCGCCGTCATGTCGTCGAGCAGCCGCAAGAGCGCGTCTTTGAGCTCGCTGCGCCGCTTGCGGTCCGCGGCGCTGGTGCCCTCGGTCAGCAGGCTCATGTCGATCCTGCCCTGGGCGTCGGTTGCGGCCGTCTTGAGCGCCGTCTGGATCAGGCGGTCGGCCTCGCGCACGTCGTCCCTCGTCACCGTCTCCGACAGGCGCATCTTGGCGTGCGCCTCGGCGAGGCGAATCATGCTCTCCAGCTGTCGCGTCGTGGCTGTGATGCGCTTCTCCGCCGCGCGCACGTCCTGACCCAGCGCGCGCATGGCAATGTAGCATTCGACGAGCTCCTGAGCGGCCTCGGCCGAGATGGTCGGGTGGATGTGGGCCCGGGCAAAAGAGATGTACGACGTGAGGAACTCGACGGGGAGGATATCATTGTCGGATGGGGCCGAATGCGGCTTGTCCTCGAGGTAGAGGGACAAGAGGTGCTTGGCGAGGCGCTTGTCCGTCTTCTCGTCGACTCGGTCGAGGATGAGGTAGACGAGGTCGAATCGGGAGAGCAGGGTGGGGGGAAGGTCAATGTTCTGGGGGACCGAGAGGTCTGGGTTGTATCGACTGCCGATGGGGTTGGCCGAGGCCAGGATGCTGCTTCGTGCGTTGAGTGTGGTGATGATGCCGGCCTTGGCGACCGACACGGTCTGCTGCTCCATGACTTCGTGCAGCACCGAGCGCGTCGCCTCGGACATCTTGTCAAACTCGTCAATGCAACACACGCCGCCATCCGACAGCACCAACGCGCCCGACTCGAGCACCAGCTGCCGCGTCTCGGGGTCGCGCGTCACGTACGCCGTGAGACCGACGGCCGAGGACCCTTTGCCGCTGGTGTAGATGCCGCGCGGCGCAATCTTGTGGACGTAGGACAGCAGCTGCGACTTGGACGTCGACGGATCGCCGCAGAGCAGGATGTTGATGTCGCCTCTGTACTTGGGGCTGCCACCCTTCTCAAACGTCTTGTTGGCGCCGCCAAAGAGCTGCAGGAGGATGCCCTTCTTGACGTCGTCCATTTCGTAGATTGAGGGTGCCAAAGAACGCGCAAGCAGGTCGTACAGGTCGTCTCGAGCTGCCGTCTCGCGGATCTTTGCCTCTTCCTCCGGGCTGACAGCGCGCGTCTCCTCGAGCTCGTTGCCGTCCTGCGCGGCATCTTCTTCGCCCGTGACGCCGAGGGTCGAGGGATCGGCCCCCATACGCTTCCTGTCGACCTTTTGCACGTGCAAGACGTCGACATATGTCTTGAAGACGCTCTTGACCGCTCGCAGTCGAGGGTTCACGCGCACAGGACTGACTCGAAAGATGCCCGTCAGCTCGACGCGGTCGCCGGCCTTGCAAAAGTCGACCAGCTCGTTGTAGACGCAGACGGAGACGGAGTGAGGCGTTTGGCCGGCGGGCACGGCGTCGGGGGTTTCCTGGAGCTTGATGACCTGCTTGTCTTCAAACGAGCATCTGTTGTGGACAATCTGCATCGAGTTCTTTGATCCGCAAATCTGGCGGGGGCACTCCGTCGGCTCCCGGATCTTGCCCCGGTCGAGGCCAACGTTGACCGAGTGGTTGCAGACGTTGCAGCGGAAGAAGGCATCCTTCATGTCGGGGATGACGGGTGTGGCGCGGATGACGAGGCCTTTGATGCAGATGAGGCGATCCATATCTGAATTATGCGTTAGGGCGAGCGCTATATCGTGCACTGAGCAGGCTACTTACCCGACGGATTTAGATCTCTCAAGTTGATGGAGCGATCGAGGCCGAATGGGCGCACGACGTAGATGGAAGAGGCAACCTGATCCTCCAACGAGGGCTGCTGGTCTTGCGGCGGTCGAGGAGTCGCGGGATCCTCGGGCCTGTCGGAGCTAGGAAAGGCAGGCTCAGAGCTCTGCGTGCCCTGCTGTGTATCCTGATTTCCGGCGCTGCTCTGCGACGGACGGTTTCGGAGGCCGTCGGCGCGGGCGAGCTCCACCATCAAGTCATGAACCGACTGGTCCATGACAGGGACGATTTCCTGGGGATAGGCCTGGATCTGGTGCCAGAGCTTGCGCGTGGGCGGGTACAAGTTGAGGTCGGAGATGTCGAGGAAGAGTCTCGTGGTGCCCAGGAGCATCATGTTCTCCAGAGCCTCCCGGTACGGCTTGGACTCGGCATCGGGATCGGCGGCGACTTGGTCATCCGACATGCCATCGCGATACATGCGGTACTTTGTGGTGAAGTTGCGCAAGAAGTCCTTGAAGGAGGCGAACGTGTCGTCAATAGACACGGTGGTGCCCCAAATGAGACTTTGACCATGGCCGCCGAGAGCATCGGCCTCTGAGGTGTTGGGGTCACGGTTGGTAAAGGACCCGGCGTCTGACCCGGGAGTCTGACCCTCGCGCACCACATGGCCTGCATCGTCGAGGATGACGCGACGGGGCGCACGCGGCGTCCTAGCCGAGTCCGAGTTGATGTCTCCGCGCCTGTACGCTGCAGAGGTGCCCCGTTGGGATCCGACGAAGAGGCCGCTACTCTCGCTGCGCAGCTCCGACTGCTGCCTCAACGAGCGGCCGGGGCTAGAACTGGGCTCATATCGAATGGGCGACGACTCTGCATCCGTCAGCATTTGGTACACACAAGAACGTGTTTGCTCCTGCTGCGCTTACCTCCAGCAAGGAGGCCGCTGGCTCTCGGGGTTCGCTGAGCCTCGTCATCATCGCCTCGAGGGGTCTGCGAGTCTGTCATCTGCCGCAAGGGCGAGCTGGGAGCAGCGCCAGGCGCATGGGTGCTTTGGCTGTCCAACATCTGCCTCAAAGGCGACGAGACGTCCCTGTCGGCACCATTGTGCTGCCCGCTCCCTTGGGCAGGCGACGACTGGAAGAAGAGGGGGCTCGAGGCGAGTTGCGAGGATTGGCGCGTCGAGCGGCGACGTGGAGTCGTCGACTGCGAGTCTCGCTGCCGACGATTCGACGGCGACGACATGGTCCGACTCGAGAGGATGATGAGGGCGTCTCTTGTTGAGGACGGTGCAGGTGGGCGAGCTGGAGGGAGGCGGAGAAAAACGAGAGGCAGCGAGCGGGTGATGGCAGTTGGTTAGATTAGCCTTGACGCACGAGACGCGTACAGTGGTTTGTCGGACGCGACTTCTTAAAGCGCGACTGGTCTGTGCGCTCGCGTCCAGGGCCGGAGCGGTTAAACAATATGCCGAAGCTGGCCATCAAAGTGGGTCCGGCTGCATGTACGGAGTACCGTACCTGGCCTGTATAGCGAGGCCAGCTCAACGCCGACGAGGCCATTCGCAACACCGTAGTCGAGAGACTACCCCCCGCCGCAGCCATGTCTCCCGGAATGACCCTCTTCTCCGTCCAAGCTGTCCTCGTTCTCAGCACCGAGGATGGCTCGCGCATCTTTGCCAAGTACTACTCTCCGCCACACAGCGCAGGGACCGGTGCGAATCGACCCCCAATCCCATCTTGCTGCGCCGTGGGCGACTGACGACGGCCTCTGCAGGCGGCGCAAGCACATCGACGAATCCTTACCCTGACGTCAAGGCTCAAAAGGCTTTCGAGAAGGGCCTGATTGATAAGACGGCCAAGCAGACGGGCGACATCATCCTCTACGACAACCGCATCGTGCTGTACAAGCTGGAGTCGGACGTCATGCTCTATGTCGTCGGTAGCCTCGAGGAGAACGAGATTCTGCTATACAACACGGTCCTTGCCCTGCGCGACTCGCTGCATCTCCTCTTCAAGTAAGAAGATGGCTCTGCCCCCCCCCCCCTTGCTTGGTATTCGCAGCGGCAAGACTAACGCCAACCCCAGGCAATCCGTGGACAAGAGAACAATTGTCGAAAACTACGACCTCGTCACCCTCGCAATTGACGAAATCGTCGACGATGGCATCGTCCTCGAGACAGACCCCACCATCATTGTCCAGCGAGTCAGCAGAGCGCCAACACAAGATGCGCCCATGGGCCGCATCGACCTCAGCGAACAGGGCGTCAACAATCTGGCACAGCTAGGAAAGTCGAAACTCGCAGATTGGTTACGGCAGGGCCTATAGTGTGGCATGGGAAACATTTTCTTCATCACGTGATGGGCGCCTTTGCGTGAATGAATATCATGAGGACGGGTTGAATGGGGGGTTCTCTATAAAAGGGGTATAAAAGATCTATGCATGGGCCATTCATGCTCTAATCTCCGAGGCTGCCTTGCGAAGGCGATTCATGACGGCGGCAGCCACGTCGAGCTCGCCCTCTATACCGTCTACAAATATTGTGTCTGTCCCCCGCCGGTCGAGCTCTCTCAAGGCCGCAAATAGTCCTTGCGCTATCCCCCTCGTGTCCGTCCCTAAGCCGAGGTCGTAGACTTGGCCGACGGGCGTCCCGCTCTCAGTCTCGAGGTCAGTGACGAAGACTTGGTACGGCGAGTCGGATTGCTGCTGGTCGGCCTCCCCACCGATCTCGCACGACGCAGGAGCAGGCCGCAAGATGCCGAGGTCGAGACCGGCCCCGAGCTTCCACCGCTTTGTGCGGATAATGCCGATGGTCCTCGAGACGGCATGGGACGAGTCTCCGTTGGAGATGGTGGCCAGCGCAGCCTGGACATCGGACGGCAGAGGGCCGCTGGCCGCGCTGCGATTTGAGGCCTCGTAAAGGACCACCCTAGCCCTGGGACTATAGTGCTTGTACTTCATGCCGGGGGCGCGCGGGGCAGCCTTGCCCTCCTCGCTCCAATCCTTGTAGGCCCTGACGACGGATGCCCAGCCGGGGCATGCGCGCAGCTCCTCGATGCCGATGCCGCCGGGCCGCAGGACGGCGGGCGGGTCGCACAGGCCGTCTACAACAGTGCTCTCGACGCCGACCTGGCAGGGCCCGCCGTCGAGGATGAGCTCGATGCGGCCGTCCAGGTCGTCCCTGACGTGCTGGGCCGTCGTCGGCGACGGCTTGGTGGACGCGTTGGCTGACGGGGCGGCGAGGGGCGCGCCGGCCAGCTTGACGAGGGTCAGGGCCAGGGGCGACGAGGGCATGCGGACGCCAAAGGTGGCGAGGCCGGCCGTGACCTCGGGGGCGAGGGGCGAAGGGTCCGGCAGGGGCAAGAGTATGGTCAAGGGACCGGGCCAGAAGCGCTCGATCAAGGGCTCGTAGCGAGCAGGGATCTCCCTCTCGCCGAGTAGGCGGCGGAGCATGTCGAGGTCGCACACGTGGACGATGAGGGGGTTGTCCGAGGGCCGGCCCTTGGCCGAGAAGATGCCCCTGACCGAGGCGCTGCGAGTTGCATCGGCGCCGAGGCCGTAGACGGTCTCGGTGGGGAAGGCGACGGGGATCTCGCTGGTGCGCAGCAGCCTGGCGGCCGGCTCCAGCGCCGAGTCGCGGGCCTTGGGCGAGATGCGCCACTCATCGAGCCTCGCGAGGCCCTCGGCGTGGCCAAAGTGGCCCAGCGGCTCGGCGTCGTCGCGCCCTCGCACGGCGACGACGCGCGTCTGCAGGGCCATGACGGCCGGGGTCGCGCGGGCCAGAGCCGGTATAAGTCGCCGCCGAGACGACGATGAGCACGCCAGCGCTGATGAGAAAGGACTTGGGTTGCAATTTGCAAAGATTCGCCTGACGGGTGCTGAAGCTGCTGCAGATCCCTGCTCCGAGGACGGCTGGCGTGCGTGAGTGCAACCTTTGATGCGCTTGTCCAACTGACGGCTCGACGCTTCCTTGACTCGTTTTACTTCCTTCTCTTTTTCGACATGTTTTTTTGCACAATATACGTACATACATCATCATCAGCGTTATGCCTGGCGTTGTGAAGCCATTTGACCAATAGGAGCTCAGGTGCGCGCGCCACCGAAATAGAGACTGGATGACTGGCAGCTGCTAATTACCAGCGCCTCCATGAGCTATAGGGATCCACTTGCAGTACACTTGCGGAGCGTACACTTCTCTTTTGGCTGCACGCCATAGTGGTTTTCCAACAGACACATATTTGTGTACTGGACCAAGTGATCTTCGCTGAAGCTGAGGGCAACGCTCCTCCAAGCCTACAGCCTCAGCGTGACGGCCTTGGCTCTCCCAAGCGAAGGCGGGATTGTTCATGGAACTTCATGCTAGTCAGCGTGGAGGAGCAGGGTGGAGGAGTCACGACTCACGAGTGTTCCTCGCCCAGCACCCTCTGGCGAGTCTCCATCACCTGCACTTCTAGCTTCTCGGCCTCCTTCCACCGTCCCTGTTTCCGGTGCGTCAACGCCAGGTTCGCCATGCTGGTTAGCGTAAAGGCATGTTCCTCGCCAAGCACCGCTTCCAAGTCTCAACAGCCTCCACGTTAGGCTTCTCCACGTCGATCCATTTGCCCTCCAAGTATAGGTAGCTGGCCGCACAATGGAGCAGTAATGCCTTCGCCCTCACCCCATCCTTAGATTCGCCAACCTTAGCCTCCAGCAGAGCGTTTGTGTAACGGGCAAGCCGCTTTAACGGCGGCTGCGCCGCCTAGCTTCTAGAACCTTCCATTGGCTCGAAGCTATAAAATGCTATTGTGCTCTCATGTAGTAGATTCTCTTTCTTTCTTTCTTTCTTCTCTATCTTGATAGTAAACAGCATAGGGACTAGTTAGTTGTATCAACTCACTAGAGGCCTTTCACATACTATCAAGATCACTGAAGACATTGAAGACACTGAAGACACCGAAGACACTGAAGACACCGAAGACACCGAAGACACTGAAGACACCAAACTGAGTCCCGTCGAACTATTGGCGTTCAGCGAAGTCGCGATGGCCGAAGATAACAACAACATGCAGCCGGACGTCCTCAGCGCCCTGGTTGCCGAGATACGAAGTCTGAGAGAAGAGAGTTCCCGAAGAAACACCCAGTTTGAAGAACGTTTTATTGCCCTGGAACTCCAACAACACCAGCAAGCCCGTTCGTCTGAACTCCTAGAGCCAACGCCATCTGTCACCCCGGCTGTCCCCATTGAGGACACTCGTGTGGTCGCCACTCACAACCCTCACCCAACCAAGCGCCCCAAATTACGAGACATACCGAAATTCGGCGGCGACAAGGCCCAGTGGCGAAGCTGGAAACTAGAAACCGAAGGAAAGCTACGAGTCGACAAAGAAGCCCTTGGAGATGCAGAAGGCCACTTTATGTACATCTTCATGAGCCTAGAAGGCAAGGCTAAAGACAACGTGACCACATTTGTGGAGATGCAAACCGAGAAGAAAACGTTCAATGTTGCTGAACTACTCAACCGCCTCGAATTGCTGTACGGGGAGAGGGATCGCAAGCAGAGAGCTACACGCAACCTGCATTCGATTAAGCAAGGAGAGAATGAACCGTTCACGTCCTTTTACCCCCGCTTTGAGAGGGAGATCGCCAATGCCAACGCCGAGTATTGGCCAGATGACAGCAAGATTTCCTACCTCCAGGAGGCACTAAACGATAAAATGAAAGCAGCCCTCATAGGCTCTGACCCCTCTGCCATCAGCAGCTATGTTGGGCTGGCGAGGAGGTGCGATTCGCTGAGCAGCCAGATGGAATTGTTGGGTCAGTGGAAAAGGCCTCGAGGCAACACAAAGAGTTCGGACAACTATGACAACCACCAGAATCATGGAGGCCAGGCTGCCCAGAAACAGCCTGGCCAGAAAACCGAAGTTAGACGAGAGGATATGATGGAATGGGAACCAACTCTACAAGCATCCGCGAAAGTGAACGCTGCGCGCACCCGCAGTGATAAGAACACATATGGTTACCAATCCAAGCGACCAGAAGACCAAGCGCTGTTGGGCAAGCGTGCCAAGTGGGTCGACCAGGCCGAGATGGACGCCCGTTACCGTGAAGGGCGTTGCCTCCGTTGTGGAAGAGACAACTGCAGAATCGAGCGCTGTCCATTGGCTGCGCCTATCCGACCCGCAAACACGACCCGACGCACTCAGGTCAATGCCGTGACCCCGTCACGACCAGCGGTCACTAAAGCCGAGGTCGCCGAAGACGATACTTCTTCTCATAACGATGAAGATTCAGACTAGGGACACGCGGCGGCTGTGAGAGAATGGGATGTGAGCGGAAAAGCAAAATGGACGGAGAACCGTTCATAGCAGACGTCAGGGTGAACGGCACAGACTTCGTGCCATCTCTTGTCGACTATGGCTGCCTCTGCTACGGCGCGGTTAGCAAGCGCACATTTCACTCTCTCCAGTTGCCACATATACGCGTCCAGCCGCGCATCTTGGAGAATGCAGCGGGAGACGGCAAGGAGGTCAAAATCGACAAGATCACGTATGTGTCGATCGACCTCGATGGACATCAGCAGCATCGTGTTTTCATGTACGTCATCGACGATCTGAACTGGGATATGATCCTGGGTAAACGATGGATGGAAGACCAGGATGTTCACATCCATGCGAAGGAAGGATATCTCGAGATCGGGTCCAATGGAGTTCAAGTACGAGACCGACGACGTTACCAGCCTCCACAGCTAGATGTCTCTAATGTCATGGCCGCAACCTTTTAGCAGAAGCACGCCGTGACAAACGCAAAGGCGGCATTGGAGTTCACTCGGTCACGATGGCGGATATTGACAAGGCCTAAGACCGAAACCGAAGACTGACGTAATGGAGAAGCTGCCACCACAGTACCACAAGTGGTCTCGAGCTTTCTCTCAGCAACTGGCCGACCAGCTGCCCCTCATCGGCCAGGTGTGGACCTGAAGATCGAAGTGCTGAAAGACGAGCATGGCCGAGAAGCCCCTACCCTGGGGACCGCTTTACAGCATGTCCCGCGAGGAGCTATTGGTACTACGGAAGACTCTCACAGAACTACTCGACAAGGGATTTATTAGAGTCAGCAGCTCGCCAGCCGCGGCACCAGTCCTTATGGTGAAGAAGCCCGGCGGAGGCATCCGCTTCTGCGTGGATTACAGAGGTTTGAACCATATAACGAAGAGGGACCGCTATCCCTTGCCCTTACTGAGCGAGACCTTGCGAACGATAGCCAAGGCAAGGTGGTTCACCAAGGTAGATGTTATAGCAGCGTTCCATAAGATCAGGGTCGCCCCCGGCGACGAGGAAAAGACAACTTTCAGAACGCGCTATGGATCCTTCGAATGGCTGGTAGTTCCATTCGGCCTGACAGGCGCACCAGCAGCCTTTCAGCGGTACATTAACAGCGCGCTCCAGGATTACCTAGACGATTTTGTGTCAGCATATATCGACGATGTCCTGATCTTCTCCTCTGGAAGCCTGCAAGACCACCGCGACAAGGTCGGCAAGGTCCTCCAACGACTGATGGACGCCGGGCTGCAACTGGATATCAACAAGAGTGAATTCGAAGTCAAGGCTGTGAAATACCTTGGGTTTATCATCGAGGCGGAGTGTGGGATCCGAGTCGACCCTGAGAAGGTTGAGGCTGTGAAGGAATGGGCAACCCCGACGAATGTTAAGTCCGTGAGGAGTTTTATTGGATTCGCGAACTTCTACAGGATGTTTATGCCAGAGTTCTCGGTGATAGCGGAGCCGCTAACGCGGCTAACGAAGAAGGACGTGCCATTCCGTTGGGATGAATTGTGCGAAGAAGCCTTCGAAGCTCAAGGACTTGTTGATCACGGCTGATCCTTGCACACTTCCATCCAGAAAGGAGACTATCGTGGAAGCAGACGCTTCAGGATTCGCGTCGGGAGGCGTGCTCTTGCAGAGAGATGATAAGGATGGACTGGTACGACCTGTCGCATACTTCTCGAAGAAACATTCGGCAGCCGAAGCGAACTACGCTATCCATGACAAGGAGCTACTCGCCATTCTCAGATGTTTGGAGCAGTGGGAACCAGAGCTACGGGCAGTAGAGCACTTCAAGATCCTAACGGACCACAAGAACCTGAGGTACTTCTACTCGGAAAGGAGGTTGACAGAGAGACAAGTGCGGTGGTCGGAGTTCCTGTCCAGGTTCCAATTCGAGCTCGAATGGAGGCCGGGCCGCAAGGGCGGATTGCCTGACGCACTCTCGACGGGACCAGGATATGCCGGCCAACTACTCCGATGAACGACTAAAGGGACGCATTATGAGGCTATTCCAAAATGATCACCTTAGAAGGTCCCAATATCGACATTGTCTACCAACACCGAGGTGCCCAGGAAATCAACTTCGGAAAAGAGATCAGGATATTTGAAGATGAGGAGTTACAGCAGCTGTGGCACGCCGCACGGCAAGAAGACAAGCTTTATCAAGAACTCACGAAGCTGGTAGCAGATGGAGCGAAGAGTGTGCCAACAGACTTACAGAAGGAGAAGGTTGTCAGCATTTCAGAATGCTCATTAGACAATAGAGGCCTGCTGTGCTTTAGAGAACGCGTCTGGATACCCGGTTCGGAGCCGCTACGTACAAAGATCATCCAGGAAACTCACGACTCTCATATCACCGGACATCCTGGAAGGGACCTCACGTACTCGACTCTGTCGAGACGCTTCTTCTGGCCGGGTGCCGCTAGCGATGTACGTCGGTTTGTGCGCAACTGCGAGGTTTGCGGACGAAACACCATCTGGAGGATACAAAGAAAGGACTCCTAAAGCCGCTCCCTATTCCGCAACGCATATGGAGCAGAAATTACCATTGACTTTATTACTGACCTCCCACCGTCGGGAAAGATGGCGCGACGAACTGCATGGTGGTCACGGACCGACTCACCAAAGGCGTCGAACTCGAAGGATTGAACGATATTTCCACAGAAGCGGTTGCAAGAAGACTCTTCGAACGACACTACCCTGTCCATGGCATCCCAACGGCTATAACCAGTGATCAGGGTCCCCAGTTTGTCAGTGGTATGTGGAAAAGTTTCTGTCAGATGCTAGGGATCGAGCAGCGGTTGTCGACGGCGTACCATCCACAAACCGACGGTGCAACAGAACGAATGAACCAAGAGGTAGAGAGGATTCTTCGGATATGGACGAATTATCTGCAGGAGAACTGGTTAGACTTGCTTCCAATCGCGATGGCGACTATTAACGAGAGGAAGCAACCTCCACCGGACTGAGTCCGTTCTTCTTCATGCACGGCTACCACAACGAGCCAATCCAATTAGTTGAGCATCGAAGAACGGAAGACACGACGCAGGGGGAAGCGACAGCGGAGGATTTTATTCAGAGACTACAGGACGCCACGGGTTTGCGCAAGCAGATAGCTATGGCCCAGGAAATACAGCAAGCGCAAGCCAACAAGCACAGGACAGCCGCACCGAGATACGAGCCTGGGGATTGGGTATACCTCAACGAGAAATGTCAAAACATCGCGACCCTGCAAGAAGCTCGATTGGCTACATGCCAAATATCAAGTGCTCGCGGAAGTTAGCCCACATGCCTACAGGTTGGATGTGCCTGGGCGCATCCATCCAGTCTTTCACGTCGACCTACTCCGGCCAGTCCCCGGGCCCCATTGCCTTCGCAGAAACTCGATCAAGAGAGTGCCCCACCGGTGCTGGTGGACGGCGAAAAGATGTACCTTGTTGAAAGAATTCTGGATGAAAGAATGGAAGGTACGCATAAGAAGGTGCTCGTAAAATGGCATGATTACTCGCAGCCTACGTGGAACCCCTTACTACTATTCGACACACCGATGCATGGAAGCAATGGAAGAAGCATAAAAGAGTGTCACCTTCTCAAGTCATCTTGCCACAGATTGCCACGACCCCGGAAGAGGAAACGTTGGAAGGGAGGAGGTAATGTAACGGGCAAGCCGCTTTAACGGCGGCTGCGCACCTAGCTTCTAGAACCTTCCATTGGCTCGAAGCTATAAAATGCTATTGTGCTCTCATGTAGTAGATTCTCTTTCTTTCTTTCTTTCTTCTCTATCTTGATAGTAAACAGCATAGGGACTAGTTAGTTGTATCAACTCACTAGAGGCCTTTCACAGTTTGCGGGCGGTAAATACACACTGCGGTGCATCCGGTTCTCAAACTCTCCAAATGGGTACACGTTCGATACCGCCAACAACGCCTCCCGCCTAAACTGACTTCTTTTGCCGTCGTTAAAGAGCCAGTTACCAGTCACTAAAACCAGCCGATATATGACCGGGTTGCCGAGTCTCTCCTTTAAGAGGAGACTAAAGGCTTCTTGTAGTCCAATAGACTTAGTTAGCTTCACGGCACTCCTTGGGCCTCTATTGCGTTCCTGTATACTATGGTGCGATAGAAATGGCGTAGGAATGCCCTGCCGGTCGAACATGCTTATCGAAAAGAGGAAATTACCCGCCAACAGCTCTTATTCCTATATCTAACGGAACGACTGTAGAGCCTCCAAGTCCCGCCCGATGGTCTCGAATCCCTCGCTTTGCAGGCCGACGACGCTTTGGTCGTTCTCGCCGAGTAAACTAAGAAACTCCTCCATGGAAATATTATTTATCTAAATAAAGGCAGCCGCCTAGACGAGCGCAAGCGGCCGATGCTCCGCACAGCGGCACCATAGACCGCGACTCTTCGCCTCTTAGACGCTAACCAAATTTAGTAATGCCAGAGAGGCTTGCATGCCTAGTATCGGGGATACATTTAAATCTGCCCTTCCTAGCAAGGTACTCAGCCTTTTCGTCCGCAACTCATCCAAACCTCAAATAGTGAACTACTACCACCATGTCGTTGCTATGCCGAAACTTAGTTTAACCAGTTTCCATTTTAGCTAAATCACAACACTAGACAGTTTGAAACTAGGCCTACGTTAAGTGTCGTTGGGGTTATTGTGGCAAGGGGACTATCTAGGTGGTCTGCGAGGCTGTTGTCTGCGGGGCTGTCGTCTGCTTGGCCTTGGCTGCCTTGAGTTCCGCATCGAGCTTTTTATACTCATGATACCACTCCTTCATCTGTGCGTTCGTACCCCCTGCCGTAAGTTTTGCGGAGATTTCGGCCAATTTCGATGCGATTTCTTGTGCGGAAGGCATGGTGGCGGATTGACAGTTGGGAACTCTGAAAGCTCTGAATGGAGATGGCGAGAATATTCAGGTTGCTTGATTGAGAGGGAAGATGTATTCGCGTATGTCTATGATGGAAAAGGATTGGCGCGTGGCTGGCGAGATTATACCCACAAAGCAAAGTAAAGCAAGTACGTAGGGTAGTAGGTTGGTTGATTGAGGGGGAAGAAAGCAAGCCACGGAATCTTCGGCCCTTTTGAAATGCGGTAGGGCCAACTTGGGTCACGTAATTAAGTTAGAGCACGTGCCCGGTCGCAGCGGCTACTCCGTCGCTATCCGTAGACCAGCCAGGTCTGGCGCTGGCATTCGTGAATGGCTTCACCGGACCTGAGTGAGGCCAGCCGCAAACCCACCGACACCTGCATGGTCTATTTTGAGTAATCGTATTGGGCGGTGAAGTTCTTTGACGAGTCCGAGGGATGTTTGCGAGCGTCGCATCCCAGTGCCGTTTCATCCCACTGCTTACGTCCTGTTCCAAGGCTGGTGCTATTGGGCTGACAACCACCGCCAGAATGTCGCGCGCGCGTATAGAAACAATGGTGTTGTCTGGCAGCCAGGCTCGCCCCCATCATTTAATCATCTGCCATCGTGACTGGCCGGCCATCCTCCTCTTCGCCCGGAGACGGCCGTGAACTGCTGGCATCACACCAGCTTTAACTGGCGGCGAACAGGCGGGCCCCATACGAGTGAGCCTCGGAGAAACCATGTTGGACGTAATCTTGTCCTGCAAGCCAACGTGAGGAGTTCTGGACTTTCTATAAGAAGGGCATCATGCCCCCCCTCCACAGAATCCCTCTTCTCGGCGGGGATATAAGTCAGCCTGCAAGAACGGTGGCCTCAGCGAGGTAGTCTTTTCCCTATTATTATACCACCTGTCGTGCATTTCCGACCTATATATCTCGTTCCTACCTTGACCTATCCCGCCAAATCGCCACCATGCTCAGAAGTCAGGAGAAGAGCAATGCTAAGAAGGAGAGCAAGACGGATATGCCGAACCGAATCTCTCGAGAATATAGAGAGATTTAGAAGCAACTTCGACAAGGCCATCACCAGTTTTGCGACGGTGACGACGACTGCACGGTCCAGTGGAACCCCCAAGCCCCCTACGATCGGAATGACTGGGAAACCAGCTCACAGATTGTGTGGGCAGGTGTATGCTGGCAGACTTTCATGTCTGTGTTGAATTTTGCTTCGTATGGCCGGCAGAAAGTATAGCAGCCAGCTATTGTAATTATATGCAAGAGCTTGGTTCACGAATTCAATATTTCATGCTTCAGGTACTTGGCTTGGAGGCGCGTGCCTTGTGTGTCTGAGGCGCGTTAAGCGGAACGTTGGTACGAGGGCCCTGGAACGACTTGTTTTCCCGCCCCTTCACAACTGAGTTATACTTGAAACACGTTCCACTATACAGGCGTCCCTTATATGCTATACTTTGCTGTTGGTGTACACCGTGATTTAGACGCACGAGTCTGGAACCGTCCTGTCATCATGGTACGCGCCCGGTCAACATTGTCAAGGTCAACTTTCTGGTTTCCATGTTGTAAAACACCGGGCAAGAATTCTCAAGGAAAGCCTTGCCCGCTCATACCCCAGGACCCTGGCCCTGGCCTACTCCAACCACCCGGACATGCTCGGACTAATGACGCTCACCGCGGCCGAAATCGTAGATACAGTGGAGGTTTATCCCAAACAATGAACATGCGCTGCTTCGCCTGCCAGTCGTCCTGGCCCGGAAGTAAATCGAAATCGAACCGGTGGAGCAGTCGAGCAGTTACCAGTCGGATCTCCGCAAAGGCCAGCTTCTGTCCAAGACAGTCACGGGGTCCGTAGCTGAAGGGCTTGCAGACAGACAGGCGATCACCACCAAACTTCGCACCATACTGTGGATGATTTTCTGGCAGCCATCGCTGTGGACGAAAGCAATCCGGTTCCACAAAATGATCCGGGCTGCGACATGTGGCTGACAGATGAACGGAAATGCATGTCTGACAAAGTTAGTTAGCTTGGAAACGGTCGGTCAGCTTTGACGGCGCTCCATCCTTCAACATACATCTGCTGGAACATTGTGTCCGTTGATGACATCGCCGGGGGATATTCTTGTTGGTATCTCGGGCGAGGGCGGGTAGATTCGCAGTGTCTCCTCAATGCAAGCGTTTAGAAATGCCAACAACGCGCAGTTGCGAAAGTCAATGTCGGATTCCGTTGTAAACTTGCTTCGTATCTCTTCTTTCAAGATGCCGTAGACTTGTCGGTTCTGAGCCAGGTAGAAGAATAGTCCCACCAAAGCTGTTGCGCTCGTATCGCTCCCTGCAACGACGAGAAGGAGCGCATTCGACATCATCTCCTGTTCAGTTATTCTATTCTCCCCATCTCGAGGTGCTTCGAGGAAATGGGTGAAAAAGTCGGAGCGGCCGTCTCTTCCCTTGACACCACGGCTGATTCTAGATATGGCCCTTTGTTGCGCCCAGGCTTGGATTTCCATGAACTTGCGGAAGAGTGGAATTTTGTTCATAATCCGCGAAGATATTTCCAAACGGTAGGCCAGGAGAATTCTCCGCAAAGCGTTCTCCAGCGGGTGATAGCTTTTTGTTTCTAAACATTGGAAATGCTCGCAAAAGGTTAAGTCTCCAATAATGTCAAAGGTTGTAAACTTGAACCAGTCCACAACATTAACCGCTTGACCGCCATCAGAGTACTCAGTCATTAGTTGTATCAGCTTGTCGACATATTGCGATATGACTGGCTCCTGGTCACCCAGGGCCGATTCGCTGAAACCACGGGCCAGTTGCCGCCGCTGCCATCGGTGCGTGTACGACGACGGAGCTCCTATGATGCTGTATCGGCCTTCGGGGCCATGGAATCCAGGTTGCTTTAGATACTCTTGCTTCCCAGGCCGGTTGGCGAAAACCTCTGGCCACGCCGGAGACCCGTCGACGGATAGGTGGCTTGGTCCAATCCGGACAACAGGGCCGTACTTGCGGTGCAGTTAAGAGATGTCTCTGACCCACAAGCCCGTGACGCAGTTCCGCCAGAGATAAGGTATATACGTGGCGGACAGTAACGGGGGACCTAGGAACTTAGATAGAGGGTGAAACCAAAGCCGGTAGACGCATACCGCCAGCCGATACGCAACCACCAAAATGAAAATATCAGGTTTGGCCGGGAGAAATTTCCGGAAGTGAAACTTGCCAGTGCTACGAGGCCGACAATAAGCATGATGCTTTTTGTAGGCTTGCGCCTATTGCTCGACTTGTACTTATGCGGTGCTGCCAGGCTCAATACACAATAGGGATTGATGCTCTCAAGGTGCTTTGGAGTTGTATTTGCTGCTGTGTTGAGACGGCAGAGACCCCGCTGGTAGCCAGAAATGCACATGCCAAGCTTTATATCACCCTGTGCCTTGTGTAACGAGGAGAAGATAATGTCTTCTCCCCTCCCCTGGCCCTTTCAGACTCGGCAAATCAGGAACCGCCGTTGCCGCTATGCTGCAGCTGCCGGGCGGGGCCTATCGTTCCCGCTCGCCGCTCCCACACGTATATCTACGAAGTATGTACAGAGGAAGCCTTCAAAAGTTATCGGCCACGCTAAATTAGACCCTATAAGGAAAAAGGAAGTAGCAACCAAATTACTATAGCACCGTTCCCAGCTTATACCTAATCTAGCCTGCCCTCGCGAGATTCGTTGCCGCCCTTAAGTTTAATTATTTTCTGTATATAACGAGGGATTCGTTTAATCTAAGCCTATATCTTCTCTTACGGTAGCTCCTTCTAAGTAAGATCCTAAGCCGTGATAGCCTTAGCTCGGCTCTTTAGCGCGCCCTTCTTTATAGTCGTTCTTTTTATCTATAGCTAAGCTAGCTTAATAGCGTTAAGGTTAGGCGAGTTGCCGTACTAATAAAGCCGTTAAATATCGTAAGAATTATAGAATCGTTAATAAATATAGTGGTTATAAGTAGGAGCCTTATCTTCTTATATAATCGTCTTAGAAAGCTTAGCCTTATACTCTTTAGTAAAGGGAAAGAGCTTAAGAAGAATCTTCTTCTTTTAGTAGCGGAACTAGTCGATTCCGCTATACTTAGAGCCTCGTATAAGCTTACCTAACTTCTAGTTAAATTTCTATTAAGGTTTAGGTCTAGGAAGTTAATAGAGATATAGTCTTCGTAAGCCGTTATTAAGTTCCTACTCCTCTTTTAATAAGGGCTTAAGTTCTTTATTTATTATTATAATAGCTTTATCTACTACCTTCTTCTTAGTAGTAGTCTCTAGTACCTAGTAGTAGCTTAGGCCCTTCTTATTATATAAAAAGCAGCCCTAGAATATAAATTCTAAGGCGCCTTTCTATCTCTAGTAGATATAGCTTTAAGTAAAGCGCTTATTAGCTTTCCTTTATATATAATAGCCTCCTCGTTAATATAGTAAGATAATAGAAGTCTCGTCTAACTAAATTACCTTCTTTTAGTCCTCGAGGGTCTAATCTTAGTATATAAGATACTAGGCTAGTCGTTCTTTTTATATCTTCTTCGTTAAGCCTAGCTTCCTCGTAGGCTTTATCTTCTAGAAGCCTACTAAGCGGAGGACTCGCTATATAGTTATTACTAAGACCGGGTGCCTTACTAAGCTTAGCTTACTAGTAATATTAGCGTAGTTTTTTTCCCTGCTATATCTATCGCGGCGAACCTTCGTAAGAACCTTATCTTAGATTATAGGCTGCTTAGAGGGACGGCTAGAACGAGGGGCATCTTAGAGCTACTCGTCTTAAAGGGTTAAGGGTAGCGTATCTAGCTTAAAGCCGCGTTAAAGAGCTCGTATATAGATATATTTAACCATTCTAAGAGGCACGCTAGTTAAGGCAGTAACTTTAGTAGCCGATTTCCCGCCGCCTCGAAGTACTATAATAAAGGCTCGAGTCGCGATATCTATTTTTCGCCTTATTATTATCGGGAATATTAAGAAAGGCGGAGGGGCGGCTGCTATATAAAATCGCGTGCAGGGCACTCTATTTACTTTACTACTTCCTTTTTCCTTATAGGGTCTAATTTAGCGTAGCCGATAACTTTTAAAGGCTGCCTTATTACGACCACGGCTACTAAGCCGCTAACGGTCGACTATATTAAGCACGTAACACGGTCTAACGGATAAATAGTCGGCACGACTATCTAATAGATATAAGATCGAGGGGATTATAGAGATCTAAGTAATCTAGGATTAACGAGATTACTATACTTTAAATAATCTAACGTTAGGGATTATAGCTAGGCCTATAATCTAAGGATAGTCTCTATAAGTATATATAGCTACCTAGTTTTACTCCTTTAAATAGATAGCTCGGTAGCTTTTAATATTATAATTATTATAATCTCTGTCGGGAGGTCTGTACTGCAGTAACGCAATGGGTTGTATTCAAGATGTCTTGCTAGGAAGGGAGGAAAGGGAATGAGGGGGCACACTACGTGCCCTTTATACACGGATCCCCGAGGTCCATACACGTGACGCTAAGGGTCACGTGTGCGTGTGTGCGCACCTCCCTTACAATCCTACTATAGCTATATGCTACATTCCCACACTGGCAAATCTTCTTTTATCGCTGCAATCGCAGCAGTAGCAGCAGGTGCGGGAGCGTAGCAGCAACCGCAGGTGCGACCGCAAGGTGCGAAAAGAGTGACGGTTCGAGCGGCAGCTAGCGGGAGGGCGTTCGACTGATCCTTCTATCCTAATCGTAAGGCTATTCGTATCGACGAGGCGTTCGAGGGCGCGGTTAGGCGATGCCTTTGTCATAGCATCTGCTGGGTTGTCTGCGCCGTTAATCCAGCGGATTTCTGTGATCTCACGCCTTTCGTAGGATTGACGTAGGGCCATGATATCTATCATCAATCGCTTCTCCTTCGTTGTGCCTAGCTTAACGAGGCACTCGTAGAGGGGAAAAAGAGTCGGTGCAAAGGATTAGGGGGATAGGGGGGAAGATTGAGGCGGTCTGTGATCTTCCGTATCGTCGTTGCTAGTGATATCCCAATATCGAATCCGTTGACCATGCCGTAGATCTCTGATGCTAGCACGCTTCGGGTGACCCTCTTACACTTCGTTGAGCTCCAATGGAGGACATTGCCCTTGATCCCGAATTGGTCTTTGGTACGTGCGGTCTCGGTCTCATTGACTAGGGCAATGACGAAGCCTAGCTGTGACGATAGGTCCTTATTGTTCGCAAAGGAACCGTCGGTAAAGATGATAAGCTTGGCATTGGCGAGGTCAATAGGGATATACGTTAGGCCTCGCTGCTGGTGGTCTTTCTGCCATTGAAGCCGCTTGTTGAGGTCGTGCAATCCTCTTCCGTAGGGGTTTGGACCTGGGCAGCAATAGAGATGTCGAATGAGGCCTCTGGTTGACAGATTGAAGCCACATACGCGCCACGGGCACGCTGTTCCACGTACTGTTGGGCTCGATCGTATGCCTTGATGTCGATGGGTTCGATCTTGGCTGCTTGACCCTTTTGTTGAAGCAGTAGAGCGTTGTGGAAAGTGGTGTCTTGGAGGGTTATCTTTGCACCGTTGAAGTCAATGCTAGTACCCGGGGTCATCGTTGTCTTCGGCTTTGCCCGAAATTGTGCCTTTACGAGTTCCGCTTCCTCTAGCGCGGAAAAACGTTGTGTGCCAAGCATAAGGGTATCGTCAGTCTGCATTCCCACAATCCCAAAGTTATCAGGTCCCTTATTCGTAATTAGGAAGCATAGGTCGTAGGTTGATGTGGACATGTCGAGGTTATCGACATGATGCCCGTGATAGGTTCGAAACCAATGGACTCCGGCCTCCGCAATTCCGTATAGGGGCTTAATAACGCGAATGATTGTTCCTTCCGGGTATCTTCCTTCTAATTCGGCGGGAAGATGCGTGAGAATGGTGCGGAATAGTTCGGTCTGCGCCTGGGGATACGCTTGTGTGATGTCACGAAGAGAGGTCATGCCGTGAGAAAGGAGGTCTGGGAGATAGCAGAAATAAGCCGTTGACTGACGCGTTGAATTGTCGGGGATTGCGTCAATAGGGTGGTTTTCTCTTGGTCGTTGTGCCCTTGGACCACGAGCCTTGACTTCTCGTATGGTTTGGTTTCTTTGCCTTTAACCTCGCGGACCATGCGGGAGCGGAAGATATGATGGTTCCCGTGCTTTGCTTCATTGTAGCGTTCGAAGCTAAACACTCCTCGTACCAATAGATCATCGATCTCCGTGCTATCGGATTCCTCAAAGGGGGTGCCTGGCGTTGTGATAATGCCTTCGTCCCGTAGCTTGATGGCTAGTTGGTAGGCATCTTCTTCCTTCTTGACTAGGAACGTCGTCTTTGGCTTGTTCTTCGAACCAGGGGGGCGGCCTCGCTTGCGCGGCGCCGGGGATTAGGAGCAGGAACAGGGGCAGGGCAGGGGCAGAAACAGGAACAGAATCGCTCGCAGGATCAGAAACAGGAATGTCAGAATCATCCGCAGCAGCAGCAGCGGGGCAGGGATCGTCGTCTCGTCGCGGAAATAAGGCTGCACAAGGGTGGAACGGAAGGTCTGGGGTCCGTTGATAGTATCAATTGTGACATTGGAGCCATCAATTGCACTAATCTTAAAGGGCCTTGCCAGCCGAGCTTTTCTCTCCACACTCGGACCTCGCTTTGCAGTGGGAGCGATAGTATAACGCCTGTTGATGATGGTCCGTTCTTTGTGTGTAAGGCGCCCTGCACTTGCCGCTCTGCTGAGAGCTGACGAAGCATTTTCATCGCCTTCTGGGCTGCGGCAGCCCTTTTCAGGGTCGTAGCAGAAGGGGGCGAATCTAACGCCATTCGAGGGTAGGCGCCAAAGACTAGGAGCGTAGGGACAATGCCATTTGGCCCTGCTGTGTCGTTGATGGCTTTGATAGCCATTTGAAGGATCGATTCGGGGGATGTGAAGGTCCCGATTTCTGCGTGGAGGATCTCAAACGCACGGCGGAGAGGGGCATGATATCTTTCAACCTTTCCAACGGACCAATGTGCTTCCACAGGGACTTGCTTGCAGGTTATCCCCATAAGCTTTGCCTCGTTACGGAACTCTAGGGAGGCAAAATTGGTCCCTGCGTCGTGCTTGATAGTATCAGGGGGTCCGAGATATGTGTCTATCCAGAGGGCTCGGAGGGCTTCCCACGTATCCTTTGCTGACATCGATAGGAGGAACCTGGCTGCTTGGAACGCTGTTGCTGTATCTACCACGTGCAAGACGGGGCGTTGAGGGTTCAAGGTAGAGCACATCAGCGACGATTTCGTAGTTGAATTCCTGGTCATCCTTTAGGGTGAATTTGAAGCGTCTTGGAGCTTGAGAGTGCATTTGACAGTGATGACAGAATCTCGAGATGTTCTCTGGGATATCTATCGTCACATCGTTGTGGCCAGCTTGCCGTAGGAGGTTGTGAAGTCTTGGGACCGCTGGGTGCCGAATCGACGATGAAGAGTGCGGATCTCGCTCTCCGTGAGGAATGCGATAGCGGCCTCGTTGGTCTTAGGTAGGAGGAACCAGGATGTCCCCATTTGCGGATAACCGGGAGGGTTGTTCGTCCGACAATAGTGTCTGTAAGGTTGTTGAAATAGATGCCTAGGCGATCCATATCAGCGAGAGAGAGGAGGAAGGGTAGGGGTCTTGAGGATATGGAATGTGATCCTTCCGAGAGGTGTTTTAAGGGCGATAGAGCCGAGGATAGAATGGCTTCGCCGTTGCCGAATTTGATAGAAGCTTGGCCTGCTGTAGTCTTATCGAGCGTTATAGCAGGGTCTGCTCGTTGTAGAGCGATGCATTGGTCGTAGCCAGCTGTGGAAACCTTCGCGGCGCCTGTGTCAATTATGATGCCTTGGAATCAGGTCTTGAGTAGCGCTCCTCTATCATGAATTGGGAAGCAGGTGTAGCGTTGTTTTGAGAGGTGCTATACACGTCTTCCCCTGTGATCAGATGGTTGAAGGCTTGCTGGCAGAGCATTTGGCTTGTGTGCCACTGTTCTGGGTTGTTGTCATTATCTTCATTGTCGTCCTCGTCCCAGGGTCGTTAGCATCATCGTGGGCATCCATCTCGTGACCTTCAAAGTCAAGAACGTAGGCTGTAAGGTCCTGGGAGGGTAATCCCTATGAAGTGACAGTGGGCGACGTATTGGTCTCAGGATCTTTGACGTTCCTCGGCAGTGTGCTTTGTTGACCAACATCCTTCCTTATTGCAGACGAAGCACTTCTTATTCCACGGGTGGTTGTGGCCGTAACGGCCTTGTGGGCGGTTAAAGCGTTGACTATTGAAGATTCCCGTGGAGCGTTGTAGCTGCCTCGTTGAGCGTTGCCTCTATACCTTCTATACCCCTTCTGACCAAATCTTCCGCGATTGTTGTTGTATCTTCGATCGAGATAGTAGTGGTCATTGGGATCCATATGATCAGATGGTTCCTCGAGGTCTTGATGGTATTGAGGGCCTCCTTGAAGATAACGAGGCGCTATTCCGCGTGCAAGATGGGTCTCAACGGAAGAGCGAAGATCTGCAAAAGGGCTCGATTCCTTCGGCGGGCTTGAATAAAGCGTATTCAAGTTCAGGAACACCGCGGCATGCATTAATAAGCGTTGTACGCAGTGGAACGTTTCCTGCATACGCGTTGCCAAGAGCTCGTTGGCATAACTGTAGCTTATCAAGGTAGCTGAAGAACCTCGTGTAGGGATTTCGTAGCATTATCGGCACGGAGCTTGTTAAAGGAAATAGTCGTCCATTCAGTATAGTAGTGAACGTGGTTAACTTCCGTATCGAAATGTTGCTTGATGCTATCGTATGCCTTGCGGAACGTTGAGGTCCAGTTAACGTGGTCAATGTAGTACGTTTGGGCTCGGCCAGTAAGGATTCGAGGAAAAGAGCGTGGAATTGGTCCGGCTTGACCTGAATGTTATAACAGATACTCATAAAGATGCGTAGCTTATCATCGAGAAGGTCATAGGGTTCCCCCGTATAGTTCTTCTCTTTGTCCCAGATCTTGGTGAATTTCTGTTGTGTGTCGGCATCGACGATGCCGTTCGGGATGTCGGCCGGGAAGCGTTGTGTACGCTTCGAGGATGTGGGAGAAGAGGTTCTGCTAGAACGATGCTCTGTTGCTGGAACTGATAGCTTGTAGGATGTATTGTTCGTTGGGAAGCGTAGCAGTCGTTGTGGGCGGTTCCGCAATTGTCGTAGCGGGAGGAGCAGGGAGCGTCGGAATAGGGGCTAACGGCGTGGATGGCTCCGCCGTGTTGGAGGTGGGAGGGTTCTGCGTTAGTCGTCTCTCTTTTCTTGTATAGGCCTCCGTTCCTTTATCGAATTGGGTTACCATGAATTCGTTGTCGGGCCAGGCTGGTGGGTTATCGATCGTCTGTAGGAAGACGAGCTGTGGGATGATGTGGTCACCCTTTTCTCCTGTATAGATACCACGTCTCTTTAAAAGGTAACGTAGCTCCTTCGAAATTCCTTTGGCATCTTTCTCCACGTTGCCTCGGTCCACTGTTGGAAGTGATCCTGGAAGAATTCAAGGATATTAGTGCCATGAAGGTGTACGTTCTCCTCGCATTCTGACATAAATCGTGCGGTATATGTCATAACAGCTATTCTATCTTCCTCTTGTGGCGTGATCTCATCCTCCCATCGGGTCGGATCGATATCCTGATATTGGGTCTTTGGGATCGTGAGATTTTGGACCAATTCCCTTACTTGGTCGAGAAGGCGTCGTTCCTCGTAGAGGCGGGGTTCGGGGTTGGGGTCGTGCTTGTCATTGTGAGGGTTGTCACGTAGTTGTCGAATCGTGAGGGCTGTCACGTAGTTGTCGAATCGGCGTTGTGGACGCACTTACACTTAATGTAACCGTTAAGTGAAGTTGGAAGGATCTATCAATGGCCTACCGGGAGCTAGTTGGTTGCCGGGTCCGGGTAATCGTAGAGTCCTTGATCTTAGCATAGAAACCTCCTCTAGGTCCAACCAGGGCAATATCGCTAGGAATATGGTAGTTGGGCTTTCGAAGGTTGCGTTCTATCTCTTCTTCCTTGCCAATCTGTGATCGACCAAATCGATCACTGATCAGTGTCAGGAGGTCTGTACTGCAGTAACGCAATGGGTTGTATTCAAGATGTCTTGCTAGGAAGGAGGAAAGGGAATGAGGGGGCACACTACGTGCCCTTTATACACGGATCCCCGAGGTCCATACACGTGACGCTAAGGGTCACGTGTGCGTGTGTGCGCACCTCCCTTACAATCCTACTATAGCTATATGCTACATTCCCACAATCTCTATTATAATCTTATCTTTAATTCTAATTACTTAATTACCTAGTTATAGTTTATAGTCTATAACCTCTAACTTATTACTAACGTAATATACTTATTATTACTTAGACTACGCCCTATTATATCTATTAATATAAACTACTTAATAGGTTTATCCCTTAGGAATAATACTAGTTATTATACGTTAAAAGCTCTTATTTAATATAATACTACGTTACTCTAAGTAATATTATAACTATTAATATAACTATATAGTAAGCTAGATTAACTAACTTTAGAGCTACTATATCGCCTTAAGATATAATACGCGAAATTATTACCCTTTAATATAAGGTATAGTTACTTAAGAATAAAGGAGGTAATTAATAAGTTAGGGACCTTAGAGAAGTAGTTAAACTAAAATAGCTAGGACTATTTAACGGTACTTATAGTACGCTTTAAGACTTTCTTACTAAACTTAAGGCCTACTACTAGTTTTACCTTACTAAACTCTTAGACCTAGTCGAAAAGGTACTTTATATAGGAAATTATTTATCTAGAATAGTACTCGCTTAGTTTAGACCTATTATAAGGGACTTTATCGATAACTAACTAGCGCGATAAGATAATAAAATAGATAAAGTCTTTATTAGTTTCTAAGGATTTAAAGAAGCTATTATAAAGGTATTTAGAAGAACTAATAAGGAATAAGAAGCTAAATAGAAACTTTAAGAACTCCGATAAAGGATCTTAGTATTAGATTATACTATAAAGTTCTATTAAGTTACCTTAAAGCTTAATTAAGACAACGAACCTCTTATATTATAATTCTATAATAAGCTTAAAAAAGAAGTTAAGGACGAGCTTTATAAGGAAAATCGACCTAATAACCTCTTAGACTATATTACTATAGTAGTATAAATTAACGATAGATAGTATATATAATACTAAGAAAAGAAATAAGGAAGAGGAAACTAAAACCCTTCTTATAGAAATAACTTTAACTAATACGCTAACTATAAAAAGAAGCGCGAAACTCTTATTACTTATATCTATATAACTAACCTAGGTAAGATAGATCTAGATATAATATAGAAAAGTAAAGGAAAGTATTTTAACTATAGGAAACTTAGATATTATATTTAAAGAATATAAATAACCTTATAAAGAGAAGAAAACCTACTAGGTACTAGCCTTAAAAGGTAAGAAATACTTAAACGCTATTAATAAATAGGAACTAAAGTATAAACTCCTTAGTTAGACTATATACTATAATAATAAATATATAATATACTTAAGCGATAAGAATAGTATTAAATAGTTCCTAAAGCTATTAAAAAAGACCTTTATAATAATATAATAAAGGGATCTTAAAATATAAAAATAAATTAAATTTATAGAAATAAAATACCCTTATCTTAAAGGAGTCTTTTAAGACTAGATTAAAAAGAATAGTAAATAATTCTAAGAAGATATTTAAAATAAAAATCGATAATAATAATAGGTAGTTTATAAATAATATAATAAAAAAGATATAGATATAGCCCTTATACTTATAAAACTTAGATAATAACCTAAGAAGGAATAATAAAGTATCGATAATATAAGCTTTAAAGAATAAGAAATACTTAGAGAAATAAAAGATAAAGATTATAGAGGTAAGTAAAGTTAAGGTCCTTTAAGCTTAAGCGCTATACCCTTAATCTAAGATATTAACGGTAATAACTATACTTATTAAGGTTAGTAGCTTAAAGGAGGCTAATAAGCTTTATAACCTAAGCTTAGTCCTTAAAGTATAATCTTTTAATATAAACCCTATAATAAGTTAGTTTAACTATAAAAGTACTATAACTACTATAGATATAGCTATATCGCTAAGTAGTATATATCGATATAACTCTATAGCCAATATAAA